TGTCGCGGACGCGGGGGTACAACCCCTATCTCTCTTACCTTCTCGCGCATTGTCTTGTTTCGTTCACGCTCCGCGTGGGCTGTGCTTTTGGACTCTGACTCATTTGTTTGGCATTGTTATGGACACTGCCCAGGATTTACTATATAAACCTTGTACCTTCATCCCTAGTCCCCATCTCGACCTCTTTGTCATTGGGACTAGGTGCGTATTCATCCCCTGATGTACCTGTAGATACACCAATCTAATCTTTGTCATTGGGACTAGTCTTTGTGATCCTCCGCATTCTGTCGCCGCTCTGAGTCCGCTGCTCTAGCGTCGTTAAGCTCCTCCGCTCCGCCGTCACCGCCGTCTCCGCCACACTGTGTCCTGAGTGGCTGAGGCCCGACAACGGCCTATATGTTGATTTGCGTAACAAGGAGCAGAAGCAGCATGAGAAGTAAGAGTGGAAAACGCGCAACTTGGGAGAACAATCATGGTGGAGTTTGAAATAAGCAGCCATTACAAATAGATGCGCAGCAACCTCAATGCACTGTCCACTACCAAAGTCCGCTGTAATTTCAGACTCAGACATATATGGGCTTGTATATGGGTTAAAAAACATAAAATGAACTTCACTGCACTGCAACATTCCCCTGGTCACCCTCAATAGTAATGGAATGAGGCTTTGAATTGATGCAGGACTGCCCAGAACTCGAAGATAGACCTTTCTTGGACTCAGAGTTGGATAGTGCGAATCAAGGAGTGAATATAACAAAGTGATAACATACTCAACACTGAGATGCTGTTATGGATTAAGTACATTCACAAAGATGAAGGTATTTATAGCTCTTCAGGAGATGGCATCTTCCACATGTTTGCAAATCTCATCCTCAACCCCTCACAAAGAGCGGCCTGGCATAGGATGTATGCTTTCCATCCTGAAACCACCTGTGGATCAACATGAGAGAAAGTGTGATCCCAAGTTTGCCACCACTGTGCATGCTAATCCATGTATTGTAATACACACCACACCTCTTTAGCAAGAAGGGTAACTTCTTCAGCCCATCTCATCTGACGTGCTTTAGCCTTGTACCACTTGACTTGTATTGCTGTAACAGTTTCAGTCTTTTTGCTCCTGGGAAAAAGATCTCAATCATCACCCACCATCATACATTCCCTCATCTGGTGGCTGCTGTCCTAGAAGAGGGCTAGCTTGACTGCCTGCTAACCAGATCCATGTTGGCTCCTTCCCGCTTTGGGATATGGGAGTAGTGATGTCTTGTAGGGGGCGTACATCGGTATTCTTGAGCTTGCAAAGCTCGGTGGGGAGAAGAAGGCAATGTTCTGCATTTTCCAAAGATGTGATGGTCTGCAGCGCCTCAAGGGCAGAATAGGCAATATAATATGTTTGAACGTGTGTGTTGATCTTCTTTTCCACCCCCTCTATCTGGACATGTGACCTTGTATTGGCACTCTGCCCCTGGGAGAAGTAATCCTTCCAGTAATAGAGATGGGAGATCAGGTGTAGATTTTGGCAGATGGAAGAAAGTGCATTGTGAGCTTGAGCAACTCTGAAGAGCCACTCAATTCTCATAAGGTTATGCTTGCAAATGACATGTCCATGGAGTGCCGATGGAAGCCAAAGGTACATGGTCTCAGGATGATTAATTTCGTTGGACTTTTGCACATTCAGCCGAAGGATGGTCAAAGAAGAGATATAAATTGACTGAGCCTGAACCCAGTTGCTGATCTTGACGTGAAGGGTGTTTTCTCAGTTCTTAAGATTAGCTTTCTGCTGATCTGTTGCATGGAGGCTATTGTCAACTCAATCAGAGCAAAGACGGTGCTGCTGCTGCTCCAAGTCCATACCCACTGAAATAAGACCACCCTTGGACATGTCAGTGTAGAGTAACTTTGATGTGCCATCCTTGAGGTTCTTAGATTCCTCCTCAGCAAGCCTCAGGCAAACAGCAGCCACTGAGAGAACTGCCAGAGTAATGTTAGTAAAGAGCTATCACAAATGTTAACTGTTTGCACACTTTCTGTCCTACTCTCAAATGGGTTTGGTCTTGTCTGGTTGTCTTCCCATTCAGTGACGTCCTTTGTCCAAGTGTTGATGTCGTCTGGGGAAATACTCTTTTCAAAGTGCTCGAGAAATGCGGTGCTCTCCTTGCATTTGTGAATTGCTTGAGTGGTTTTCTACAAGAGAGTAGAGCCCATAGACATGATTTTCTTCCAGTCCCAGTCCCCAAAGTATGCGTTCAGCGTGTCATGACAATGCCCTGAGCCCATGTCCTTTGTGCTGCTGGCAACAGGATTGATGTTAGACCAGCCCCTCTCAGCGGCCTCGCCATCTGTTTTGCCTACCCATCGTGCAAAGTTCCAAGAGTATTGAAGCTGACATGAAGCAATGTGTGCCAGTAGGTGGAACTTGCCAACAAAGTGTCGCATAATACAACCAACAGGATTGAACCACATAGACTCTGGGATCTGCAGCACCCGTTGCCAGAGTCTCAAGTCCCATTGACATGCAATATCATAGGATGTGTTGAACCATTGGAGAGTAGATCAACAAAGACCCAGAAAGTATGTGTAGTCCATGATAACATATCTGATACACAGTCAGAGATCATATAGCACAGTGAAACATGAAGTCAAAATTTACTTTTCACCACCCCCTTGTATATCTACAATGCTACATGCCTGCTTCATGTCGTGTTGTGCACAGTCTACTGTATCAACACCGGTTACAGCCAACCCACACATTGATTTTGTATTGGCCATGTTGACGGCCTTGTTGACTGGCACAGGAGCTATGCTAATACAGTCGAGTCTCCAATAATCCATGCCCCCAATAACCCATACCTGCTGATAACCCATACAATGGGGCTACTCCCGAGTTGGTCCTCACCCAAATGGGTCCAAAAACCCATAACTCTCTGATACCCAATACCCCATACAATTTTGCCAGCAAAACCCATACTTTTTGGTAGTTTTTGGACCCTTTAGAGTACATTTGTAAGCCTTAATTGTACTATCACATTTTTTCGGTTGTGTTCGCCCTTGTTCCACCACCCAATTCCCTATGCAAATGAACAACAGCAACGTAGAAATACTCAAGAAGGGCCTTGACACCCTTAGAAGTAACATCAAGCAGCGCAAAACTGAGCTCGAGGCTCGCATTTCTCGCAGTCAACCAATCTCTGAAGAAGACGAGAGCTGGCTTGATGGGTGACAGGAACCCTCCAGATAGTGAATCAGATGGACTTGACGGTGCTCCTGAACCCAGAGGTGGAGCAGGGGAGGTGAGGAAAGTGTGGGAGCAGAGGGAGCACGTGACGAAGATGACAAGAATGGCCCAATCGAGCTTCCTCCTACATGCAAGGAGGTCCTCGAGGCCACCGCCGTTATTGGGCGGTGCCTCGACAACATGGACAGCATGCTCGCTCAAAAACTCGAGGTCATGCTTGCCTCCCTCATGTGTCAGATGAGGGTTGAAGCATCACAGCAGCTTGAGACATCCCAAATCACTGACTTTTTTACTCATAGCTCGTCGGAATAGTTTAGACAAATAGAATAGAAAGCTAATAGAATTTTTGGGCTCATTTTATCCCCCTTTTTTCAACTTTTTCTCATAGTCCATAATTCCGATAACCCATGTCTTTTGGCGTCTCCCGAAGAGTATGGGTTATTGGAGACTCGACTGTAAAGCCTAGTTTAGTATAGAATCTAGGTGGGTTTGACTTGTATCTTACGTCCTGCGATTTATTTAAGTGTGTCTTGAGGTAGTCCTTGTATGGGTCATCTTTCACAAAGTATGCTAGCCATCACCAAGTGCTGGATCAGCGCTATCACTGGATTTCATGCATCTTTTCAGCCTGAAGTTGGCATCTAGTGCTAGAAACAATGCGTAGATCCACCTGCATGATATATGTCAGAATTTAGAGATGACTTAGGTGGATTATTGGTCATAAATATTCACAAACACTCTGGAGGTGCACTTCCTAATCCTTAGGTAGGTTCTTGCCCGGGTGCAGGCACGTAGGACACTCTACCGCATATGCACCCTTAGGAATGTTGTTCAGAGACTCAAGATCAGGAATCTGGCTGGCGTGCTGAAGAAGTTTGAGATGTCTCCACTCACAAACCATTTGAATGAAGGCCTCGTAACAGTCCTGAGAACAGTCAAAGCTATTGCATCAGTGATGGAGGATGACATACCCTAGACTCCTTAACACCTGTGTTACTGGTTTGCTGGGCAAGCAACTGATAAAATTTGTATGCAGAGACCTTTGATTCATATAATAACTTAAGATACTGGTTGAGCACTGAAAATGTTGCTGCAGTCCTGGGGTCATCTGTGCTTCCAGGAAACAAAGAACAGCGGAGCAATTCCTTGATATTTCTCTGGGCTGTGATGCAGTCGCAGAAGTCTAAATTAACCTCATGGATCCCATGACAGTCAATAACGACAAAATCATCAGCAAACAGGGGTGTGGGTTTTGTGCATGTTACTCCGGAAGGATGGCCGAGCTGAATTTGCATGCCCAGCTTCTTTAATGTTGTTTTCTCAAAGAAATTGCCCATCCACTGCTATTAGTGCCAATTGTCAGGACACTTCTTCAATCCAGTAATTCTGCAATTGCTGTACCTTAACACAATGCAGTGGATTACTGGTATGCATCTCCACCATGCATGCCTGACAGACCAGACAAGCTCCAAGGCAATCAACACATTTGTACTCAGCTAAGTGTTGATTGCATTGAGGGCATGTGACCTCTGTTCCTCTGGCTTCATGACAAACAAGCTCTTTCAGAAAGATATGCTTTGACTTCACCCACTTTTGCAGAGGTGTTTCCTGTTGTCCTGGTCAACGTTAAGACACTTGTTGTGAGATGGCTTACAACCAAAGCACATACACGTCCTTGAGTCTCAACAGGCGGGTCATTTGGCTGTGTTCCATGGTTCAAATCCAGATCTTGAAGGCTTGTATCAACAAAGGAAGCTGTAATATTATCTATGCCACAGATGTAATCTTGATTAATGCAGATGGTACAGAAACTCATGTGCATTGAATAATGGTAGTGCTGACAAAACTGAACCAGTTGCCTGATCAGCTAGAGGCTGAGTAGATCTGTTGTCTAATAGCAACTGCCAACTCCTTAGTGTGAAGCTCACAGCTCCTGTTGACAAAGTAGACTGTCACGCCTATGCATCTCCAGTCAAACTCCGATCCATGTTTGCTCCTTTGGTACTGCTTCGGGATCTTCAGCAGCTACAGAGTAGATGCTGACACACTCGGGAATTATCAGTCAGCATGTTTTCTTGTGACCAACTCACTCCACATTCTACCTGTCATTACTTTATGCCTGTCATTATTCCGCAGTTACGCCTGTCATGCTTTGTATTCTTACAACCTTCAGTCTTCTTTGGTGATTACTCATGATACTCCACACTTACGCCCATAGATATCCGGAGCTTATCCGAAGATTCAGACTTATGATATGAATAGTGGTAGCATTCGACTTGTATTTGATAGTATGAATATCAATTTACTCCTGCCCCAACATTCCTGTGGCCTTTGACATTCTTTCGTGCTTGTCATCTCTATCCAAGTCATACTCCAAGTTGACTTGATGTCGACTTGTCATCTCCATCGTACTCCACCGTACTTAGCATCTTCTCCTTGCTTCTCATGCATCTCCTTTACCTTCACTATCTCCGGTTCATCTCCGGTCGATCTCCACACTTCTTCGTACCTTCACTAGCATCTTTGGGACACGGTATCCCTAGTGGAGCATAGCTCGAATCCCGGTTCTCCCTGGGCAGACACAGTGTTGACATAGACACAGAAAATGAGCAAGCTGTCTCCTGCCTTGTCACTGATGCAAGAGGCTGTAATGAGGCTGCAGTATTAAATGGCTGAAATGTAGCACCATTTTTTGAGTGCCCAAAGGAGTGAAAACCTCCTTGATCACCTGGAAAATATTGTGTCATGAGTGAACATGTACTTCCCTCAAGCTGTTCTAGAACATACTCATTCTCTCTAGGAAGGTTGCAGAGATGTAGTTGTGCAATGGCCTGACAGATTGAGAGTGTCCATAGCTTGGACTTGGGTACTGGCATTTCTGAGCATCTCAGCAACTGTCACAGCCATTTGGTGACTGTGCACAAAGTTTGTCCGCAAAATATTTAAACACTCAAGTTCCAGACTGTTGGTTCCAGGATCAAAGTTCTTCAGCGCACAAAGTGCAGGGATGGCGGGGACACCAAAGAGGGTATATTGACTACATGGCATACCTTATGCTTCTTGGTATCTTCATCTCGTGCACAATATCTCCACAGATTCCTCACACTCATCAAATCATGGTTGCATTCTGTGCACGAGATTGATTGGCGACCTGTTTTTGTACACAGAAAGAGAGTAAGAAGCAGCCATATGTGCGCAGAAATTCTAAATAAAGACTCCCACAAACACTTTGCACGGCAGCTAACCATGTTTGGATGGCTTCTACTCTGCCCCTCAAATGCCGCTTTCCAAACAGAGCGGGCATCTGGTTCAGTTATAAGCACACCAATTTGATGTTTCTTCCACATTGTCCTTTGTCTTTCTTCTCTCACATCTCACTCACATCTCACTTCCCGCATCATATATTGGGCAGTGTCATGCTAGCTCCCACCTATCCTCATGCAAACTCTACATCTTTGGCCCATTGTGATCCTACTGTTGACCATGCTGCTGTTCAGGGTGCATATTTTTTGTCAGTACATGCTGCATTGCTCAGATCTAACAACCCTGCATACTAGCTCTCATTGCCACAATGAGGCTATCAACAGACATCCATCAGGAAGTCACTGCTCACCTTTTCTATGAGGACTTTCAGATGAAGACTTGCTTTTGACCCTCCTCCCCTGCCGGGTCCAACCTTGTCTTCGCCGGCAATGATGAGCCTGCAGATGAATTTGATGTGGTTGGAGCACTCAAGGAGCTGGTGGTCGGTAATTCAGCCCAGCCTGCTGTACAACAACCTTCTTCCTTGGGCTCTCCTCACGTGTATTATGCCACTGCCAAAGGTATGTCCTATATTTTGTGACTGCACTCTGCTGGTTGCTGATATGTTTCTTGTATTTAGTGCCTTTGTCCTCAGTGTTGGATGTGAGCACAATTAGCTCTTCTTTGGTCCAACCTGCAGCTGTTTGGGGCACTTGCATGTGCACTTGCACCCCCATTCAAGTTGGTGGTGCTGTGCTTCCACACCTACCAAGGCTGGTGGACCACTCGCAGATGCGTGCCAATGGCATCAATTTCTGGCTGCCTGAGGGGGATGCAACTGGGCCCTTCTACTATGTTTCTTGTGGTCACCATGTGGGGGTGTTCTCTACTTGGTATGTTTCAACCCCACATCTCATTGATATCAATTAGTTACCGACACACTTCTGTAGGTCTGTCACATCTCCACTTGTGACTGGCATTGCTGGTGCTACCTACCACCGCATCAAGGACCTTGAGGTTGGGATTGCTGCATGTGTTGATGCTGTTGAGAGGGTGGAGCTGACCATTGTCGCGTAGTACAGTCTCGCAGCTCATAGATAAATCCTTCTCTTTACTCTTCCACTCACTTGATCTGTGTCTTTTCCACCCACTTTGACTTGCCCCATCAGACTGTTGCTTTCTGAGTATTGATTTTAAGATGCATTGTTTTTCTTTGATCTTACAGACCACATATCTACTGACATGTATGTACTACTTATGCTAAGATGCTCAAAATGGATATGTTTACGTGGTCTGCACCTTACTCACAAGTGCTTGTGCCCTGACACCATCAAACTGTTCCACTGTTGTACACGCTGGTGCACTACTCTGGGCTAAGGTTAGGGTTAGTAACCCACACATGTATAGATCACATTCATGGCAGTGTGTAAGGTGGGCTTTAGTTTTTTGGGGCTAAATCCAACATGTGCTGTCAAAGGGAAGCACCCAGAACAAGTGTTCTGCCCAAGAGCGGTTTTTAGTACGTGTGATGGCACATGCAAAGTGGTGAAAAAACAACATGGACTCGAAAGAGAAATTTGACACCGCCACAGATTCATTTTCAGACTCCGATGACATATGTGGAAACTCTCCTTATGTTCTCCTTGGTAAATTTGCAACCATTGCATTCTCCAAAATCAATTATACATACCAAAAGACTTGTGAGGTACCCTAAGTCACTCCCATCACTGTGCTCCCTGTAAGTGATTGTGTGCCTTGTTGCTGGCATGTAGGTCCAGTACACTTTTAGTGATGTCAGTGTCTGCCAGCATTTCCGATGGCAATCGGTGCCAAGCGTGGAAACCTTTTTAGTCCCAAGTTGATTGATGCTTCTTAGGAGCCCATTGAGGTGGACCGTCGCATTTGCTCAAGCACTCAAGCACTCAAGCACTACTTTATCTTGTGCATCCTTGTCCTTGTTCTTTGTAGCCCAATACAAATGCCTCCCCACCAGCTCCTCCCACACCACCTACACTTTCCCCTGGCAGATCCTCAGGCATGCCTCAACCACGTTGTATGTGCATGCGCTCTTGCAGAATGCACGCTGTGTCAAAATTGACTGGGACCTCTAGTCCTCCCCCGTGGGGTCCATTGTTGTGCACAGGTACACATTTGGCTGCAGCATCCCGTTTGCCACTGCATGCGCAACCATCAAGGCACCCAAGGGCCTGGGCAGTGACAATGTTAATGGCTAGCTTGTGCTCACCAGCCTTGAGTGCCATGTCACGCCGAAGAAGCAGGGTGAGCTGAGGCCATGCTCTCCACGCTCATCCCCTCCAGCACTGCTGCACTGACCATGAGCACACTGCAGCACCTTCAGCGTAAATACCCGATGGGCATCCACCTGAGCTTGAGCAACCTTGACCCACTCAAGTTCTGGTGCAATGGCTTGCAGATCGCATGCCTCAACTGACAGCACTTTGGCAGGGGCATGCAGTTCAATGAGGTGATGTTTGTCGGACGGGTTAGTGCCCAAGCCTGCTGTTTGCTGCCAGACACTTCAGCAGACGTGTTTGCCAGTTGCTGCTCCACTGCAGCCCAGGATTCCCCTACTGCCTGTGAAGCCAAGGACTGGGAAAAACCCATGCCCTGGCCATTGGATGAGCTATCAGGAACAGGAGCAGGAGAGGAAGGGAGAATGGACGTGGAAAGGGACAGGAAGAGAGGCAGGGAGCAAAACCATCTTCACGACCACCCAGTCATATATATCAAGGAGCATCCTCCACCCGTTGTGGTGGTGGCATGAAAAAATGATGTTGTTGATGATACCCAGTCAGCACTTCATGACCCCGCCAACCTCTTCCGCACTGAATTGTCTTCGTCCATGCCCATCCACCACGCCCATCTACACCTGCCCCTTCAGGAATTGCCACCGCGCCAGCATGTGCTCCCCATCACCCATCTTGCGCCAGCCAGGCTGGAAAGCTGTATGGCAGCAGTAGCAGCACAAGCCAAGGGGGAGGTGCAAATGCGTCCAAGGATAGGGGGGTAGGGGGTAGGGGGTACCCCCAGGGTGGGCTTACGGAGCCAGCGACCTGCAGCGGATTTGGCTGAATCTGTTACCTGAGAGACCAAAAGGGGTACTTAAGCTCCTATCTATCATGCTGCAAACCCTACAATAGGGTTCTATGGCAAAGCGCAGTATTATAAGTGTTCAATATTATTAGGGGAACAGTAGACCGTCGTATGACACATCTGATTAGCCTCTCCCTCGCCATCGTACTGGATCTGCAGAACACAAAGTGAGGAACATGCCATCAAAGAAGAAGAATGTACATACCCACTGGCCTCTTCATCTGGTGTCAGGAAGTTAACAGGACCATCAGAAGGAGAAGGTCCGGGTTGATGGGCAGCCTGAGCTGAAGGCTGACTCCACTATGGAGTGCCCGCTGTGTGGTGAGCAGGTGAAGGTGGGGTTCTCGGAGGCCAACCTAGATGTGCACAAGGAGGGAGCCAAGTGTAAGCAAAATATCAAGAGGAAGGAGAGGGAGAGGGAGAAGGCAGAGAAGGCAGAGAATGAGAAGCAGAAGGCAAAAGTGAAGGAGAAGGAGCCGCCGAAGAAGAAGCTCACCTTGTTTCAACTAGGTGTCAAACTCCTCAGGCGCGACACTGCCCATCCTCCTCCCAATGTCCCAGTTCCCTCCTCCCAGCCAGTACCCGGCCCTTCTCGTCCGCCGACCTCTCCTGCCACTTCCGCGTTGCTCGCTGGCTTACGTGATGCAGTCACCCACATGCCGCTTGATATTCCAGAGGCGGAGGCTGACGACCTGTTAGCCCAGTTTGAGAACCCAGCAGGCGCATACCGTGGCATGGACCGTGACAGCATCTGGGAAAACACCGACCAGGCCCTCAATTGTGTTCTCGCCTTTGGGCGATCTGAGGAAGAGTTAGCAACAATCATCAGGCGGGGAAGGCACGGCATTGACACCTTCGTCGAGTTCTTCAGGTACCTACTGGTCGATGCCTGCATCGACCCGGTGCTGTTAAAGGACAGGATGGAGAGGGTCGTTCGTGTCATCGCAACATTGTGAGTCATTATCTTGTACCTTGTTGGAATGTTGACTCACCTAGTACACAATGTTGTAGTGGCCGGGCAAGCATGATCGACCCATCGTTGGCAGGCGACCAGTCGGCCACTGCAGAGCACGAGGTGTCGCATCCTCGTGTCTCGCCGGGCATCGACACAATCACTGGGACTATCGAGGTTGATGCGCCTGTCGAGGTCATCGAGATTGATGATGCTAGCGACAAAGGTCTGGACGTTGAGGTGCCGGCGATTGTCAACCCAGCGACTGTGGCTACAAAGGCAAGATACCAGTGCGAAGGCTATACATTACCTATCCCACCTGGGGACTCTGGGGCGATGCTCTACCCGTTTGGTTTGCATAGTCGCTTTGTATTTGGCTGGGCTGTCCATCTCTTTGGTAACCGGCTGTGGCTGACCTCGAATGACTACGCTAGGTCAAGGGCGATGAGTAGGACGTGTCATGCATGTACTAGTCTGGCCAACGACAGTCAGCTTGCATCAATAACGCGGCAGATGTGTGAGGGCGTTCATGAAAACTCACCTCATATATACCAGCCCATCGGGGGCCTGCACACAATCATCACAAAGAAGAACCACCAGGTTCAAGCGATGCATTTGGGCCGTATCAATATGATGAAGAAGCTGACGGGGAAGATGAAGTCGTTGGATGATCATAAGAAGTTTGATGTTGCCGTTGCTCACAGCGAGTTCTTGAGGGTTGATGTGCTTTGTCGTGCCTGCATAAAAAGAGGAATGTCAGCAAAGGCAATGATTGGCTTACTCAACAAGGCGGTGAATGGTCTGTACAAGCCAAAGGGCGTTACAGAAACTGAACTGCTCCGGGCGAAGGTGTTCTCCAATATCGCCGGCTCCCGTGCACTTCAGATCCTTCATCGCTCGACTGGAGCACTGTCCGATCGAACGGTGCGTCGGCACACAGTGACACCACCACTGTGGGTGTTGGTTGCAGCGCCAACAGTCGAAGAAGTCCAGTTCAACGTCAGCAACACTTTTGGTGGAGGAGGCAGGGACATGCCTACGGGGGCGGCGGTGGAGACTAGCTCCCTCAATGTGCCGGGCTACCAGCTGATGATTGACAAAATCAAAGTGGAGGGGAGGCCACGATGGGATGACAAAACCAACATGATCCTGGGTGTGGCAAGGGAGGATGCGTTGAAGGTTGGTCTGGAGTTCTCGTCGATGGCAGAGGTGGATGCGCTGCTGGATGCGATAAAGGGAGGTGATGTGCGGTTGGCAGTGGAGGTAAGCAGACTTTGTTCAGTTTGTTCACGCTGACATTCTCACACCTATTCTATTTTGGTTAGGCCACCGTTGCAGCGATTGGGCTACTTTCCGATAACTCAAAGGTGTATGCCGCACGGCCTGTCGTGGTGTCAGGAACGTGTAAGACAGAAGATGCTATGACCCACGCGAAGCTCATTCAAACCGTCATTGATGGCTGCAAGAATGTTCCGGGCTGCTTGTACAGCCTGGCTTCTGATGGCGAGGCACGACGTGGAGCTGCATTTGTTCGACTCACGCACAAGGCCAAGCTATCCCCCAATTCCCCCATATACGCCTACATTGGTCTGCTTCATCTGTTGAATCAACTGGTTGGGGACGACGACATCACCTCTGACAAGGATTATAAGCACATCTTCAAATGTCTCCGGAATGCCCTCTTGCGCGAGATGGGGATTATGATATATGGGTTCCATATGCAGCCATCAGTTCTGGAGTTCCAGCTTTGTTCAGCTGGTGTTCCCCCGCATCAAGTCAGCTACCTCCTCAATCCGGAGGACAAGCAAGATGTCATCTTGGCGTACAAACTCCTCAGGCACATCTGGCGAATGCCTCCGGCGGGAGCAAACACGCGTCCAGGCTTTGCTTCTGCACGGAAGTATATCTGTATTCTCGGCGACTTTTTCAGGCACCTTATCAGCCCCTATATTGACCCCAAGATGTCATTGCGCGACCAGTTATTCCATCTCAGTGTGGCCACACATCTCATGTGTAGCCTTTACATGCACCCAGCAGGCGGCAATGCTTTTCTCCCCAAGGTCTTGCACACCGACATACAGATCATGATCAAGAACACGTTCTTTTCTGTGGCAAAAGCAAAGGTCAATCGGCCTTGCGGCGAGTTCTATATAATTCTGCTGGGGACTGATCGGCTGGAGGTTACCTTTGGGTATATCCGCAGCGTGGTTGGTAGCAATGCGAACACTGATATTTACCAACTGGGTGGACGCATCGCGGCATTGACCAACACTGCTCAGATACTCGCTGATCACTCGGAGTGGGACAGTGGTACTCGCCGACTTCACCTCCCTCCATTGGACTCAGAGGAGGATATCACCTCAAAATCGGATCACGTCAACCCAGCATCGTGGCAGGGAAACGTGAACGTTCAACATGTTCTCCCTGTAACAGCCTGGAACAAAGGCTGGAGCTATGTTGAACACGAGTATGCCGAGTTCTTGGCGCATGCTTGCTTCACTCAGATAGATGAGCTTGGCGGCGACTTGCTCTTCCCCACTGGTTCTCCGATGGGCGGCATCTATCATACCCCAGGTGATACTGATGGACTGGAGGAGGAACCTGAGGTGTTGCCAACTCCCTCTGTCGAGTCAGACACCCTTTCCCTCTCAGAGGACATTGATCTTGATGACCAGATTGTCATTGAAGAGGCATCACGTCAGCCTGCCTCCTTTTCTCCTCAAATTGAAGTCGCTGGCAAGAAAGTATACAAAGCTCGCATTCTTCGGCAATGTTTCCGACTTCTTTCCTCGGCTGGCTCCACAGATCGACTGAAGCGTGTGATGGGACTCGCAAGATTCGGCTCCACCACCACTCCCCAAATTGATGATCTCCTATCCTCTTTAAGCACTTTTGGCGGACAATCTCTCTCTGTTGGCGAGCCACTGGCCACTCTGGTCAAGACTGACTCACGGCTGTTCTTGGCGGTGGTCCAAGTTTCATCAATTCAGTTCTGGGGTCGTGTTCTGATGGACATCCCGGAGAGGGCACTTGGCGAAGAAGGTGTGACAATCACGTCCCAGGTTGTGAACCTTTTTGAGTGTAACGTGCCCGGCCTGTATGGCGAAGACTGGGAATTTGCTGGTGGTCTGGGAAAGGTTTTGAGGTCATCACCTGGCCACAACTTCCACACCGTCAATCCTTTCATGCCCGAAGACCAATCTGGTATCCCATCGCTTCTTTTTTCAACAGCCGAGCTCCAGGCATTTTGCTTGAGCTTGCATTTGCAGATTGTTCAGTCACCCACTGGTCTCTCTTGCCTTCTCTCTATCCCGACAACGGACACATTCCCATATCGGTCAAAAGGTTGTGTTCTTCCTATCTGTTCTTTGCTTGTGCTAACAAACTCTCAGGTGGTGCAGCGTTCACCTGTGATATTGACGACCCCAACAATTGTGAACCCGACAATGTTGATATCTGTCCCCTCTGCCAGCCGACTTTCGAGCTTGATTGCGACAATGGCCCACGGATGCTGGAGCATTTTGGTGCTCACATCCTGTGCGACAGCAACATTGACAATGCGATTGAACTCTGTGGCCTTTGCGCGCAGCCCGTTGCATTATCTGGGTGTGTCTTCTTTCTTCGCCGTAGCAAGGGGTCAAATGGCATGGTTCAAGTTGACACCGACCAATCAACTTGTCCGAATCTTGTCAACTTTGTTTATGCTAATGCTGCCACATTCTCCCCTCACGCGCCGAGCACGAACGTCCCTGTTCCCTGCCAGCTCTGTGCTCCCACCACAGAGGCAGAAATGCGCACACCCGCTGTTTGGCGGTACTCCATGGAGGCACACTTACGCATTCAACACCCCACCTCCCAGCTCACACCTCACCTCATCAAAATGTATGCAATCCCGGTGGCCGAATATCAAGCAATGAAGGTGAATGTATGGCAAAAGCAGTTTGTGAAGACTCGCCGCACACGCAAAGTCTACCAACCCCCCAAGCTTGCCATATCCGATGCTCACCACTCGTCGAATGTCCCCATGGAAGAATCTGACACTCAGGCGAACAGCAAGGGCACTCCTAGAAACAATCAGCCAGAGAGTGAAACAAGCAATAGCGAGGTCAATGACAAACCCGACTCTGAGCCTGCCACCCGCCCACCTAGCTCCCTCGCCCTGGGACCACCTACACGCCCGCCCAGCTCCCTCTCTTCTCATCCTGGGGATGTCAATGACCAAGACATTGACGACACTAACATCAATGATGTTGGTTAGTGGTTTTTGTCTTCATTTTCCCGGCCGTTTTGCTTACCTCACTGATGCTCATAGTGGACAAGAACCAGCTGGATGGCCCTGAGTTCACTGAAAGCAATGTAGTGTCCCACACGGGAAGATGCAGCCGTAAATGCGACCTACTCGCCCTCCTCGGTGATTGCAATTGCAGCCGGCCAGTAACAAAGAAGGAGATTGACAACGGCGTGACAATTGACTGCTCGGTCAGGGGGTGTGAGACAATACATGTATGCTCTTCTTCCATCTGCGTATTGTCTTGCTCGCTCACTTAAAATTTTGTTCTAGTACCATATGGTTTGTGTTGAGGTCAACGAGAAGCATGGCAACTGGAAGTGCCCGGCACACTCAAGGGCTAGAAAGGGTGGGGGAAAGCGTCCACGGAGGGGTTGACAGAAGTATATATAAACAAATGCTTTCAAGTAGAATCCATACGCGTAAGGGGATAGGATATACCGGGTGGCTCAAATGCATTGGTTTCTGTAATAACGTGCTTGTGAAATTGCATTTGAGTTGGCCTTGCCGCTGCACATGCTTAGATGAAAATCTGGTGCCCTCGGGCTGCTTGTCACAGTACATATTTATTACTGGCACTGTTGTCTGTCATTGTGCAGTGTACCTACATGAACCTTACATTTTCACTGCTCCCGCGTTGCATTTTGGGCGTGTTTGCGTTAAACGCGCTATCGCTTTTGTCTATTCAAATGGCTATTATATGGGCCGTTTGTATGTTATGCAGCCTTTAGGCTACAGGATGCTGCTCGACGCTGTGCGCGCTGCCCAACCTGTGGAGAGTATGCCTTATCCAGAGCATACGTCCACAGGGCCGAGCAGCCCGTTGCGAAGAGTGTCCTGTGCCATCAAAACGCGGGGCGCACTACTAGCATGCGCGCCGGCAGGTGGGCTGGGGCACCTGCACCCACCACCGGAAGAGACAAGAGGAGAGTGCATAAGCGCGACTCAGGTTAGAGTACAATGGGCGGAGCTTCAATTACATGTGCACACAGAGACAAATAAACGGTGGAGATTAAAGTATGTTATACAAATGCGGATAGATTATCCTAATATGGAAGGGGGGGAGGGGGGAGGGTATGTACCCTGGGCGGCGGGTCCTCTTACAGAGTGAGTTGACCCACTTTACATTTTTGAAGTCTTGCCTCCCCCTTGGCACAAGCAGGATGTGGCGGTGCTCAAGGCTCTCACGCACAATGTCAAGGAGCACATCAAGCTCAAGCTTAATGGCAAGCCCGGGTCCATGCACAAGGACAATGTGCATGAGTTTTTTTTTTTGCAGAATTTGCTTTTTTGCAGACTTTGCCGTTGACAGGGTGCTGCAGCAACTGGTACGTGATGTTCAGCAACAGCGCAGATACAGTGCACTGCGTGTCAGGTGTGCTTGGCAGATTAGACACGCTGGCGCTTGTGTACCAGTTGGTGGGGCTGGTTGTGAGGCAGCTGCCGTTGCATGTTACAATGGGGCCTGCCACAGTCAATGCAAGTTGGACAAAGGAGGAGATGCTGGAGGAGGCCGCAAAGATGGTGGAGAGTGAGCTGTGGACATTGCTGGAGAAGAATATTATGGATCACGTCATTGGGCCACTGGAGTGTAGGAGCACTGACAGATGATATACAAATGTATGCCATTGCTTCATATACATATTCTGCGGTGTATTTGGGTCTGGTTTGAATGCAGCTGTTCCAAGAAACTAGTAAAGATTGGCTGGAGCAAAGCAGAGACCCATGCCTTGTGTAGGCTTGACTACGTTGTATGTAGTAAAAAATGAAGTATGGTTGACCCGTTTGGAGGGAAACTGACATTGAACATCAAAAAAAATTGGGTAGGATGTTTCTCTCCTAAGATTGAATGCAGTTTGATCCCAGTCCTGTTCATGAGTGCGTGCAGAGATTTGTCTAGCTACAGCTCAATTTGAGTACTCGTGCACTAACTTCAAAGACAATTGCATGATGTTAAGCTATCTCCCACAACCCATATATCCTGTCTCACCTTCACCAGTTGTTGTATAGACCAAAATCAAGTCTTGTAGTGTCACAGCTTATGTTTTAATGTTGTTTCCATAAATCTTCTAAGAAGCCCCTGTCTTGACATTTCACAAAGTTTGGTGTACCAATCAATTCTGATAGACCGCCAAGCCTATGGGCCTTTAAGCCAGATGGATATAACCTTGAACGTTATCTAATTTCTTTCCCATGCCATTGGGATGCATCATTTATGGGTCAGATACACCCGTCCCAATCAATATACCTAGTGATAACAGACAATAACCTATCTGCAACTTACTCTTCTACCGTCATGGGCAGGCCATGGAAGCATCTGAGCGACAATGCTCGGGCAGCAGCAGCTGAGGTTTTGTGTCAGCTGTATAATACAGTGTGACCATGATTCTTTCCTTTCTATTCAAGTTGGTGGACCAGTCACAACTAATGCTATATTACCCCAGTCATCATGAAGAAATCAACAGATGTGCCAGGGAGAAATATAACTGTACAAGAGCATCAGTGTATCTTCTTACTCAACATAAACATAGTCCAAACCTCCATCAAAGGTTGGAGTTGCATTCTTGATGTCAAGGACATCTCTGACATCATACCAATATTAACCTTTCAGTTCTGTATCATCCACTGCATTGGGTGAAACATGGAAACCCCCAGCTTCAGCCGGCCGAATCGGAGAAACAATCAAGAGGTACATTATCAGCCATGTTGGGGGGAAACACATGAACAACATGCAACTTGTCAGGCACAATCTATACAAGAAGTCAAATGTGCTCAAACATTGCCCCTGCAAGCAACCAAGGTCTGCTGCACAGCCTCCACTCTTTTCCTGTTTTGATTATTCAAATTCTACATTTGGAGTTCACAATAATCAAGCACAAGTCCAAAGTATACTCGAACCTTTTCATAAGGATACAGAGGGCAATGTCAAAGCCTATGTTGAGCACCAGATTTCATCCTTCCTTTGCTGCTCGGAGTCACCAACCTGAAGTCATGTTATTGCCAAGTTGGACACATTAGCAGAGTGCGCCAAAGGTATACTAACAGGTGTACGTGAGCTATTCATGGATGTTGTTCAGCAGGCAAACTCAAAGCCATCTGATGCACCAATCATACAAAAGGTGGTCACCAATATGGAGGAGGTTTTCCCTGCGGTTCTTGATGTTTACTGTCTTGCTGTATCCAAGGACATAGATGAACTCCTTGTACTGTATAAAGCGCAGAAGCTTGCTTACCAACAGCTAAGCACCATGTAAATGGATAACACATCATTTTAACTTGTTAAAGCAGTGGACCTTTTGGCTAAAATAATTCCCTTGTCCTGCCACAAACCAAGCACCACAAATTACTACTTCAAGTACACCTTTGAGTACGCAAAGCTGACACCCAGTTAAGTCTCACCATCCTAGTCCCTATGCTCACCTCCCAAAATTTGGCTCTAGGAACCTTGTTTATGCTGTCAGGGCTGGTCAGTGCCCATATTGCCCATATGCGCAAAGCATGCAGACTGAGCAATCACCTGCTTTGAGCGAGGATATGCGCAGTATCTCCATTGAATTTCTGGCCAAGTAAAATGTACTAAAACAGTGCACTGTCTACAGCACACTCACCTGTCATGTCAGAAAGCCCAATCTCTCAGCTATCTCATCTCTCCGTGTGTGCTATCTCCTTGTGGTTCTTGACATCTAGATTATCTTTTGATTGCAATGGCTCAATTGCAGACACAAAAGAAGAAGGTAAGCAATCAGATTTCCTATGACGTCATCCAACCCAGGTACTCATGCATACCCATTAAGGTTGCAACGGTGCCGAAGGCATTGGATTCCCCAGGCGCAATAGCAGCAAGGTGGCCCAACAAGAAGCAGTTGGCCTTTTTTACTGCCTTCTTGCCTGAGTACCTACAGCTACAGGCTGAGAACACGGGACCCTTCAAGTACAGGACACTCTGGCCTCGCATTTTTGAGCTTTACTTCAAAGATTGGCCGGAGCTCCAGTTCATTGCACCTGACCACAATACCACCACTGTCCTGTCTCCTGACTTGCAACAGAAAGTCAACAATGCAGTTGACAAGTGCCATGCGGTAAGTAATCACTACCTGATCTGCAAATGACCATGACTTATGCGGACTACTATTACTACTAGAGAATCAAGTCTTGATTTGATAACAGAACTCAGGACACTGCTGACACTCCACATCACATCAGCTGCAAGGGAACTAACCTTCTCTGCCACCTCTTTGCTCCCAAGACACGTGCCTTCAGGGACTCGGAGGTATACTCTTAACTGTTCTATAAGGACACTGTCATGCACCTGGTTGAGAGAGACCTTGCAGCCGGTAAAGGAACTCACCTTCAGCTTGTTCAGAAACACTCCTGAGAACAGCTTGCAAATGATCTAAAGAAGAACCCAGCACTCCATGAGGAGATCAAAAATTACAAGGCATCTCACCGGGTACCAACAAAGAGCTCAGCAACAGTAGTGCATCCTCCGGGCTTGCTGGAAGCTACTCTTTCTGCTAAAGTGTGAGTTGCCTTTTCCCCTTCTGCGATGTTGGCATTCTAGGATATTACTTACAATCCTCCACAGAATCGTCAATGGTATTATACCAGGACTTTTGCAGATTTTAAACGAGTGCAGTGATCTGACTCGGAGTGGAGAGTCTCCAGGGTGGTATTTCTCTCTACTTGTTGGAGGAAGAGATCCAAGTCAGGCAAAGTTACTGGAGGAACATGAGTTGATCACCACATATTATATCTGAGTTGTTGTTCATTTAATTGTAGAATCAACATTGGACTTTCTGAGGCACAGAACACATTTCAGGAGCTTCTCTCTATCTGGGATGCTATAGTTGAGCCCACATTCAAGAACTTTGCAGCTACTGCTAAACGTGAGTTTATGTATTGAGTCCGTGATTTATCTTTGTGCTTACCCCTTTATAGCACCAATGCTTGAATGCAACGAAGACAAGATAGACGTTGATGACCCTCTTGGTGTGTATCGCAATCACAGTGAGCCAAAGGACAATGCTGAGCTTGGGGACAACAACAGCCTTGAGAACAATGTCAAGATCCCAGACCTTATCGAGGAGCAACTCAACGACAAAGAGGATGACAAAGAAACAAGCAGGGACGATACAAGCCAAGACAACTGTGCTTTCAAGTATCAAGCCGGTTTTTTGAGCGCCAGTACATTTTAATTAAACGACTCTTTCTTCAACAACCTCCTCAATGCTGCAGGTATTTTCATTATTTTTTGTGGCTGATTTACGCTGACAGTCTACTGTACTATAGAAGACCCCAACATTAATGGAGGTTTATGGACAGACGATATCTTTAACACCGATGGTGCGTCTAGCTCTCCTTGTCACTCCAAGTGTGATGCTAGATACCTTTCTGTGGGTGCTTCAGTGCCGCATGATTTGTCAACTGCTTCCTCATCCAAAACTGGTAAGCAGACTCTGTTGGTGTTTCTTGTTCCGGTTAAGCTATTAATATACTGTTTCAAGGTGCTAGCCACCCTGGCCATATCACTTCACTGTGGAGCTCATCCGGAGGCAGTTTCTTTGATGCTGTGTTTCTGTACACGACAGCACAGTGACCAATCAATCTCTTCAAACACCCAGTTTTTTCTCTAGTACTGATTGGAGTGATGTAGGTGTTAGTGTACCAGGCACTCACTATCACTCTGATAATGGTACATTTCAAATCTGTATGTTTAGCTTGAGCTAATTCTCTGTCCCTCAGTGTCATTGTTTGATATATCTAACTTTGAGGCCTTCATACCTGGCCCTCAGCTAAACAGTCCCATTCAGCACACTTATCCCATGCCAGAAACTCGGTCACAGGACCCTGTGTTCTCAGACTTGCCCCATCATGGTTCAGTTGGGTTTTCACCTGACCAGCTTCAGGAACTTGCCTGCCAAGTGATCCAGATGCACTCACCAGCGCCACTTCTGTCATCCATCCCAATGGCCCAATCTCCTCCTATGCATGCTAGTCTGATCAGTCCACAGGTATGTTTCAGTATTTATTTCTATTTTTGTCTTGTGTCCACTCTCATGCTAAGTTTATCTACAGATATTTAGCACCATCACCAATAATTCTGGTGGCTCACCCCAGTGGAGTGCTTGTTTACCAGTCCCCACCTTGCTTCTAGCCATGAATAATGCCATAGGCAGAAGCTCATCTCACGACCAGTCAAAGGAGAACCATGCATCTAAGAGTGCCATCAATACCTCCAGGGGCAGGAATAAAGTGTTACAAAATGCTTCTCAGGCTATGCATTTACATAAACAGTATGTCTTATCTTGGTTTTGCCACTGCCACATGAGAAATGTTTTCCTAAGTTCATTCTCTTCCTTTAGGAGACAGAAAAGCGTGAAGGAAGCAACAAAGAAGGCACTGGGATGACTGTGATTGTGGTACGGTTCAGATTCTGTCTTGCATTGTTCCTATCTGTTCCTGTATTACCAGTGCTGACATGGTAGCTTTTCCTCAGTGAGGTTTTTGACACCCCTGTGGCAGTAGTATATAGCTATGTACAAATATTTGAAGGTTTGCTGTTGTACATATTATTAGATTGACTTGAATGGGTTTGGAAACCTTTTCACTGGTAGACTATCTACATGCCTCTTGTACATGCACAAAGATCACTCCATGCAAGTGCCTTCAGTGTTGCACACAGGGGCCCACCCTCTTTCAAACAATTCCAATTGTGGCTATTTTTGCTTCTGTGTCAAGGCTTGTGACTCTGATCGTGGCCACGTTGGACGACAGAATGACATGAAGCCAGATGCATATATGGCCCACTGGCAAATGTGCATGCACTTTTTTTTGGCCCTGCTTGGTCCTGGATTTCAAACTCCGCCAATATGACCAAACACACGCATGTCACTCTCTTCTTCAACTATGGCTACCGCACCGCTTCCAGAGGTGGGTGCAGGTGCCCCGTTCCGCAACAGTCTTGCCCCTGTTCTACGCCCCTCAGGATACGCTACGCTGCTCGCGGCTGGCTCTGATGGACATGTGCTCTGGACAAGGCACACTCTCCACAAGTTGGTCGCGAGCATAATGGCAAGGCTGCCTGCAGTCCGGCCAAGCCTAAAGGCACACACGCACAGCCAGCACCTTTTGCGGGTGTAAGTACAGTGCAGCGGATGCACACAGCATGCACACCTACATATGCATGCCCAATTGCACCCATGTATGCACGTACACACGCACTGTCCCACTCACAAAGGATATAAGTGTATGTACCGTAGTAGTGCTCATAATGTATCAATGCTGTGCTTCTATTGACTACAAACACAAACAATGATTAATGAAGCTCTGCTTAACTGAGTTGCTCAATATAACAGATATCTGCACACGAGTGACTGTGCTTGCCCATGCTACAAGTCTTTTTTCTGCTGCAGTGAGCTGGTTCTTCACTGCATCTTCTTCACTTCTTCACTATATAATAGCTCCACCCGTATTTTGTTGCTTCGTGCATTAATCACCATGCATCTGCATTTTGTAGTCCTATTTATCATGTTATTTCCAAACTCTAATTCTCGAATGTGGTCTGACAGCCAACTACTGGACTGATTGATAACACAGTGAAAGGCTACTACAAATGAGTATGCACTATGAATCACGAAAGGTTGAGATAACTTAAAACAAAAGTCTGGGGGTACAGTGATGAATACTACAGGTTAAAATAACCACACAAAGTTGTATGGGGCTTGTCGGAAAAAGTGAAATTGCATCAAAATGCATTGAAACACATTTTGATGGTAACCCCATCTTAATGGGGGGTTCGTAAAGTTGAGATACTGTTCCAACGCTCATAAAAACAGGTCATCGGCAATGAAAAGCCAATCATATCATGTCGCTACAACCGCATTCCTGCCTTGGCACCATCTTGACAACATTTAAATGGCATTTTGACAATTTGAACCCCCCATATAGTTGCGTTAAGATGTGAAATGCTGCCACTGTCAAGATGCCTGTTTTGGTTTTTCCGACACTAGACAGGTGTTAATAATATTGTTGAAAGTACGAGTGGTACTTCACACTTTTATGACTTCTATTGGTGTATACCAGGGACTCTCCACCCTTAGGCGATGTTCCTCATAGAGGTCTACAAGTAAACACCGCCATTCTATTGCTATATTGGCACTCAACGTGTGTATACACTTAAGCACCTCTTACGTACTTCATGACTTGTCATGGCCTGCTGCTGTTGCACTAGGCCATGTGGACTTGTAGCTAGACATCCATGCTATGCATGGTTTAGGGCTGGCTCATTACAAATATGGTAGTAGATTCACACACTCCATGTATACTATATATACAAGTCACTACCATGAATACATTCCTTAGTCTCTTCTACTTGAATGACTACCATCATCACTCGCAACCAAGCTCTCCAAGCTTTACTCAAGTCTTCACCGGTGAGTATGCGCCTTCATAGGCATTCCAGCTTTACTTGTGTATCATGTCTTCAACAAATATATCATGGCAGCTGTAACATAATCATCAACATAGAAAACAAAACAAAAATGAGTGCACCAGTAAAGATGATGACCAAAAAGGTATAGCCAAGAACATATGACACAAACATGTTGGCCAATGTATCATATCTCTGGCACAGTTTGAGGGCCTAACACCCTTCACATACCCGTCGGCAAAGGTAGAGGCACTAGTTATACAAAAAATGACTGGGGTTGGGTATGAAACGTAAAAGTGTCAGCAAACCAGAATTGCGCAAAGGTTACATCTATACCTTTTACATGCCATGCTACTAGTTTGGGGGTGAGTTGTCCTTGGTGTTAACCTTCATCAGGACTCTCTTTCCAGAGCATAGGGAAAGGATGAGTATGAGGAAAGGGACATAAGGAGCAAACCTTGGGAGGGCAGACTGAGTTCTGCTTTGTCTTCACGGAAGGTGTTGCACAGGATGGAGCCAACCTGGAATGAACCAGAGGTGACCAGAGGCGGATAAGGATGGTGAAGACAACTGCTGAGATGGCACAGATCAAGCTAGAGCCATGTTGAGAAGACAGAGAAGAATGTCAGGCAGTAGAAGGGGTTGCTCACCATTGCATACAAGTATTTTGCGACAAAGGAAACTGAAAGGGCAAGGAGAATGCCAAGCGCGCTGAAGAACGTGATATATATTAGTGAAAGGAATAGGAAGTAGTGTGGTCACTTACCTGGTGTATGAAGCCTGAGAACCATCAGAATACACACCATTCACACCAGTGCTGAGATGGACAGGATCCCCAGCAAGGGATAGTGAATCCCGTCAATGACAAGTGAAGCTACCCAAGGAGTGATCAAAGGGGAGGGGGGGCAGACAATCTTAGACTGATGCAATGTACGAGCAATCTAGGGCCCAGAGTGACCCAGTGCCAATGTGAAGAGTAGCAGCGCTGCTGTCTGACAATGCCTTATAAGCTTTTTCAGATAGGAGCAAGGGCTATTAATTAAATAGAGTGCACACCTGGAATAGACATGCTGTGCACAAAATGCGTACTTGGCAAGTTATCAATCTGTGCACAAAATGAGTATGCAGTTATCAACCTGTGTATGCATCAGGAACTTCGTGACCTTCTGGGTCAACTTTTGCGATCTTGTGAGACTTGTAGCTTGGTTCACCAAGCTACCAGACACTCAAGGACGACAAGCCCACCATCTTGTCAACTGGTCAGAAACTTGGTCCTGCAGTACTAGTAAAATATATATGTAAATTAACCATCACCGTACATAAACGAGTGCATATGATGGTCTACCCAATGGTTGATGTAGAATGAATGAAATGCATCTAACAAATCATGAAATTGTAAGCCTCTGGTAACGTGCCAGTCCCATAAACCAGCATCAGGTGTACAGCACGAGATATTGAGTCCAAGTGGACGACAGCCATATTGGGCTGGTTCCCTAAATACTCTGGACAGACAATCCACATCCCAGTGGTGGGATCGGGGCAGTTTCCTATGGTGACAAACCAATGTATCAAGGCGCACGGATAAAGGATATCATCATATTGTAGAGAAAAAAAGAGATACACTCACCTGACCATCATCCCTTGCATCCCCGGGTTTTCGCCATTAACTTCGATTAGGACCATATCGCGTCTTGGGTACTGGTTTCACCAGCGAGGATGGCTCTGGATCCACTTGCGATGCATGCCGCCTGCCCTACAGTAGTTGCTTGGGGCCCAAAAGCGGGTGATTGCTGAATGGTGAACAAAAACGGGCCCTGGAGCAACAGGACAGTCCTCAATCGCGACGGGATGAGCGACGGGGTTGTGGTCCGGATGCATCTGGCTGAACAGAAATTGCCTGATGAGCTGCAGGAGCCGGGGCTGGCCAATGATGGCAGCGAGATGGCAAGGGTTGCACGGGTAAATGCGGGCCTGTTCTAATCAACACGTCAGTACGAGAGACAACATTGAGAGAAGGGAGAACTCACCTCGTGTACATGACAACTCAATGGACGAGAGAACCTTTGGGCCTGTCAAGGGTACGTGATCATCTTCCAGGTCCTCGGGAGCAGCGGATTGGTTGTCGGGTGACGAGGGGATATTGCCGCCGAGGATGACATGTCGATAGCTTGATGTCATACCAGCCATCATGCCTCTGACCTTGAATGCTCGCCTGGCCGCTTCGAGGTTATCAAGTCGAACCAAGATGCAAAGCATCTGGTATAGCGCCTTGAAATGATTTGACCATTGCCACGGTTTCTTGACAGCAACGATATGTTTTGACTCCGTGATGGCTGACCAAAGCCCATTTGGAGACCCAAAGAGGACAATGGAGTGTCGGTAATGGCAGAGGGAATGCTGATGTGGCAGGGAAATGCCAGTTGGACAAACACCAACATGGATGAATATCTCCCGGAGGCGATGGAAACGGGTGAGGGTGTGATCAAGGTTGTTAAGATCTTCAGTAGAGAGGCTGTTTTGACATGCAATGTAACAAAACTCCAAGAATGCCAATAGGCATTAAACCATTTTGGCAGGAACAAAGCCAGCTATAGCTGGGAGGTAGACCTGCAAATTGATAGTAAGGTAATGAAGTAGAGTACAAGCAGGGAGCGCACCTTCATGAGGGCCTTGCTGTCATCACCCGTCCATCGGGGAATCTATGGAGACTGGGGAACGAAGGGGCCAGGTTGATTCTGATAGATGTTAGGCTCTGAAACAGAGCAATAAGTCAACTCCACGTACTGTTGATCAATCTCATTGATGATTGTGTTCCCTCATGCCTCGCCATGGATGATCTTGAGGTAACTGTTGACCCACAAAATGACGTGATCCTTGAAGGTGCCCTTGATCACTTGATGGAGGAGGTCTGGCGATAGAAGCTTGTGTATATCCGCACGAGGAAAGTGGTGCGTAAACGACTTACAAAAGCAGTCAGCTTGACATAGCGAGATCTTCTAGGATAAAACTCACCCGATAATCGCCGCAAATCCCATGTTCATCCCAGAGAGCATCTGTCAAGAGTCAACAACAATAGAAGTCGGTCTTGTTGCGTGTCCGACGTCATGCATCTGGATTGTCTAAAGCCTCTGGCCTTGCATTGCACCTATGTCAGAGTGAGTGTTATGAATAACCAGATATAGGGGGAACTCACTTTGGGCACCACCCCTGGACTATACCCGATAGCCACACCTGTTTGGGGTAGTTGGTGATATATGGACCCAGCCCGTAGATCACCTGACGAAAGTGTCCGTCTGGGCACCTTGCTACCTCCGGTGTCTCCATACCGGCTGCGAGTGGCTGGAAGACCTGGCGAAGGGCCTCATGATACAGTTGGCGGCAGAATGTGCAAAACTCGGGCTTATTCCGATGACGCTGTTTAGCTAGAGCAATGATGCAGCTGTCAGTTAACGTGAGCATAGAATATGAACCCACGTACTACGGGGGATAGGAAGAAACACAATGGGGAGCACAGAGTTGCTGTGCCCCCGACGCACCATGTTTGATAGGTTGCCGGCCGACATATATACAGGATGAAATTCTTGATGGCCTGTAGCAACGGAGATTGTTGTCTTGTCACTGCCAGCAATGACAGGGATGAATGCTGCGCTGTGATTGCACGGATCCTCAGCCAACATATCCTGATGTACGAATGTCAGCAGAAACATCAAATAGATAGACTAAATATATACACACCGCTTGCCGCCATGCCCACTCGCCGGACATGAGATTTGAAAACACTCGCTGTCCTTTCTTGTTGAAGTGACGATACGGGATGTAGTGTATACTATTCTTGAAGTCAGCTGTTGCGAGCTGTTGATGGAGGACGGACCGGGTGTCCCTGGTGCATAGTTTGTATGTCTCCATCATCCACTTGGGAGGCGATGGAGGAAGGGGGCCTCCATATTGGCCCTTGTATACTTTCCAAGGAATACCTCCGTTGGGTATGGCGTCAATAGTCTTGTAGAGGTCCTGTTTATTTCTCCACGGTGCTGTTGCACCGTAAGGCGCAAGTACAGCATTCCAGAAGTCGAGCAAAGACCTGATTTTGGCAGCTGATGACTCAGTGTTCACATAGTGCTTGAAGGTGAACTCAAATTCCACGCGGGACTGGAACAGTGTCCACGTGTCGGAGGTGTGTGGAGGGGGGCAGCAGGTGGTGGTGGTGGAGGGTCATTCTTGTAGATGAATTGGCTGTTCTCTGCAGTCTTCTGTGCTAGACAATGGGATAAGAAATTGCTGTTTAAGATGGAAAATTTTATGTACCACTCAAGTAGGGATGGCGGATGAAACTGACATTCAGACAAGGGATGTTTGATGCATCAGGGAGGTCCTCTGAGACACTCCGGTGCTGGACATTGAGGTGTCGAAGGTGACCGGCCTCCGAGAGGCATTTTCAAGGGCAATGGGGGCATGGAAAGGTTGGGACACGAACATTAGGCATGGACATGACAGTGAGAGCAAAGAACAGAAATTGACTCAACTAGCGTGCTCAGACCTTGGTGGCATGGCCTCACATTGAGATACATAATTTTGTTCAAACGGTGACCTGGCACGTCAACAAAAATGAACTGCAGCAGCTTGGTTCTGTTCCTTTCGACTCTTTTTTCTTTGTCTCCTCCACCACCATGGCTAACAGGCAAAGAACATCAACCAGGCTAAAGAGCCAAGGTGTCAAGGCACTCACCACAACCATCACCTCTCCAACTGTCGACAACACTTCCTCCAACACCGAGTCAAGTGCTCAGGCTCCTCCAGATCCAGCTAACCACAAGCACCCGTGTGAGCTGAGCGTCACGCAGACCGGGGCTGCACCAGCACATTCTGCACCCAAGCCCAAGTCCAAGTTGTGTAAGCATCAGGGCACGAGGACAGTGGAGCAGCTGGCAGCAAACACTGCAGCTGTTGTCACAGCTGAGTGCGCACCCGGTCCAGCAGACAAGTGCTCACCTGGTCTGGCAGCTGAGTGCTCGTCCGCTCCTCTGGCTGTTCCAGCCTGGTGTACACTTCCAGACTGCAAGCGGCAGGAGCACCCGGGGAAGCCCAATGTCCCTCGGCGGAAGAGGACCTCGAAGGAGGTACAGGCGCACGAGGAGGAGAGGAGGCAGCTCCTCGAGCGACTACAACAGCTCAGCAAGCGGCAGGCTGCAGAGATAACTGATGAGGAGGAGCTAGATGAAGTCAGGGAGCTCAAAGACAAGACGGAGGTGGTACTTACCTGGGAGCAGCAGCTCAATGCTGCAATGAATGCCCCGCCGTCGGACCATGACACTGATATTTCGACTGGTTATGGTCAGACTCTGGGCCGAGAGCCTGTCTACTTGGATGGTGACAATGAAAAGCCTGCATATTATATAAGGACAATGCCTGGGGTGAGCTACGGAATCCTCCAAAGTGCCTTTGACTTACATTGTTGTTATAGGTGACTCCGATGGACGATAACACGAGTGTCGGTGCCAGTGTTAGCATTGAGGCAAAGGTGGTGAGCAAGAAGGGGAAGGCTCCACAGAGGTAAGTGTCACACGTCACTGCTAGTGGCTATACATTACTTACCTATTTTGGCTCTCACCTACAGGAATACCAGTAAGACCACCGAAAACAAGGCGGCGAAGGCACCCATGTTCGCATTGGGCCTCAAGCTGGGATGGCGCACCCATGCAGCCTCTTCCTCAAACACCTCTCACGAACACGCACCAGCCATTGGTGGCCTCAACGACGACGACACTGGTGGCGCTCATCCTGGTTCTCGCAAGGCCAAAGCACTGACGAAGCAGGGTCAGCTGCCATGCAATGATGTATGCCTCTTCACTTGTATAGTGCCCCAGTCACTAATACTGTACCTACACAACCGTAGGTTCAAGGGATTTTTGCGTGACATGGAATCAAGATAATTTCGGACAAGACCAAAGTTCAAATGCCTGGCGAACACGTGATTTTGAACCAGGGTCCCAGGGTGGTGACATCATCAAGGCATCACTGCCAGACAACGAGGCAACAACAAAGGTCAAGAGGATGTTTCATTAGAAAGAGAAGTTGAAGGGAACACGGACCATCTTTTACAATATCTGTATCCTTTGTCCATTAGGCTTGTATACAGGAATCTCAAGCCCTTGCCGCCGGTATGACTTAAATATTGAAGCCTGCCACTAGTGGGATGCTCGACATTCCATGCCCGGTCAACTGTGGTTGCGGTGAGTGTCTTGAAATTCTTAAACACAGCACAAAGAATGCAGAAAACACTCACTGCAGCGAATGGCTTTACTACATCAGAATATAAGAGTCCTAATATTTTTCCGTCATGTGGTGAGGTTCATTGTCTTATGTGATGGGTGACAAACCAGGTCTTAAGTTCATTTTGCGGGTCAAGTGTGTGGTGTGACGAACCTACGGTCATGTAGGTACAGTATATTTGCAGGTCATCTGGATTGACGACTCAGACTCAGACAGCAGCAAGGACACCGGGCTGGGCAACACCTCACAGGAGCTTAACAGGCCGATGCTTCCATGGCCCTCAAGAAGCAGACACCGGGTTCTGTGAAGCTTGCCAGCAAGACCAAGGCCCGAAGGTCTTGCTCCATCCTTGCTAAGACCTCTGCGGCTCCTATTGTCAAAACCGAGCCTATCACCGAAACGGTTCCAGTCATCAAGTCCAAGCCCGGTGTTGTTGCTCCCAGCCCAGCCGCTCTCATGCCCGCCTTTGACATCAACAACTATTGGACCACATCTCTCCTTCCCACCATCCACACCTGCTTCGCGTCTTTCGACAATATGTGGAACATTTTCAAGAGATCCCCAGAGACAGCTACATCAGGAAAAGGAGAAAACCTGGTTGGGACGGGTCATTTTAGGTAGTGTTATATAGTAAATGTAGCTATTCGCACCGATCACGAACTATATAGTGGTATGTAGTACATACTACTTACCTTCATAGGCCGATATAGTAGCCATCAAAATCACCACAGCCGGTACCACTGGTGCATGTTTATATTTATGATAATGACGGGATTATACTCAGATGAGGCTAAGAAACTACAAGAGGGACTGCATAGTCCTCAAACAAAGCTGTATCTATGTACCGATTCAATAGGAATTCGTCAGCATGCTCACTTGACTGACCACCTATCCAATTTTGCAGCACAGCAGTGCATCCAAACTTTGGTGTGATATGACATGGGCGAATCAACTTAGAAAGTCTTACCACACGGACCCGCAGTTGACCTCGGTGCGTGGCTCGCTTGAAATTGTACATCCCTGAATCTTCATCCATGGCACCCAGTTTTCAAAATAGGTGGACATAGACGAGTGGTTCTTCCAACACCGGCCGGGATAAGTGCTCAGGCAACTTGAATATAGCACGCATTTGCACAACACGAAGACCTAATCAAGCCAGAGATTTGGTTCCAGTTATGACACATGATCGTGATAAGGAACTACGTACCATTGAGCCCACCAAACTCTGCATAAGCATCGTGATCCTCTTCTAGAAGAGCAGTATCCCATCTTGGCAGTGAACGTGGCTTCCTGGGACCATTTGAGTGTGCAGCTGTCGCTCGAATACACATTCTGAGCGAATTGGGGTTTAGGTGTGCATTGGGGCGGATATGAAGAACAGCGCTGTTGTAGAGATTGAAATGATCATATTTGTTCGGGTGGAAGCTGTGTTGAAGCTGTCCCTCTTCCGTCAGAAAGGTGGTTAAGGCGGCAACAAAGCCAAATGCGCCATAGTCCGCCTCAAGAGTAGGGACCAAAACTCCACAGACAGGTGGAGACTTTGCACTTCGGGTGCTGCAGGAAGCATCAGGTTGTGTGGATGAGCGATGCTATCGGATGGCATGTCTTCCATGTCACTGTGAATGGGTTCTTCGACGTCAAGAGCCTCATTGCTCTGGGCCAGTGTGTCAGTAGAGGGGAATCACCAGTCCAGGTACACTGACCACCAGGCGACTGACTCGCGTCGTTGAAGCCATCGCGCCATTTGGAAGACATAGTCTTTATGGTTTGTACCTCGCCATGCTTTCTTAGCAAAATCAATGTGCAGCCATTCCGTGTTCTCAGTGTTGAGACCGTCGAGCAAGCCAAGAGCAAGGATTTTTTTGAGGTAGTGAAGAAGTGAATGAAGCTTTGGAATATTGAAGTGATCTTGAGTACGCGCATTCAATGTGATGAAGATCTGCTTATTTGCGTGGAAATTGTCCAGTGATTGCCGCAAGCATGTGAGTGTTTCAGTTGTTTGGGAATGGTACTGTGCCACCATCACGAAATCCAGAAGCGCTCGTACAGCCCTCATCACATGTGAGTCAACAGAGCCGGCCAACACTGCGACAAACACACGCTGAAGCTGCCTGTGCTCACCAGCACTCCACTGTGTGATAGGTGAGATGCCCTTCTCAAAGTGTCATAGCCCAGTATAGAGCATCACTGACTCGTCAGGAAAACAGCGGGCTCCTTATCAAGCACTTTTTAGGACTTATCGCTTTTTTGGCGTCATTCAAGCATGAAATAAGGACACTCTAAAAAGTGCAAAACAGTAGGTCCTTCTACTGTTTTGCATACTGCGCTGTGCTTTTCTGCGCTCTTTCCTTACTTGTGGTTGCTTGGGCAGATCAATCAGTCTGTATTAGGTAGCAAAAAGCGAGCATATAGTGTATATAAGTACCGGAACAAGAGAAAAGAAGTGATTAAAAGAATTCATAACCGTACAGAATGCACACTGTTTGGCCGGATAACAAGATTATAAAAGGAGGATGCGAAAACGAGATTGAGCAGGGCGATAGCAAAAATGGCGTAACAATAGATTGGAGTGCGAGAGCAGAATGGCGACAAGGAGAGAAGAGAGGACTACTGACAGGGAAAGGGGCGAGCACCAGCTGAAGTGACGATGGCAAGACCAGGCACGTCAAACGCAATCCTAGGATAATGACCAATTAGTAAGGAAGCAAAGAGAGAAGAATGAGACTAGTACAGTTCTGCGGCAGCTTCGCACGCGGATCGGCGAGCGCAACCCCATCCATTGCCTTGTCCTCACCTCCATTGGTGTGAGCCCCCGTAGCCCTGAACGTGTTGGCGAGGTACCCGTCGTCCATGGATGCAATGCCGGCCCAATAGAGGTCCGTCGCCCATTTCCAGTTTGCCTCCGAGAAGTTTGCAAGGGCTGTCGAGGACTTGCCAGTGCGTTCAGTGACTTCTTGTGACCCTTAGAGTGAGCCTGGAGGAGGTCCTTTACCTTCTTGATAGGGCAACTTTGCTTGCCGCTGGCCTGGTAAGCAATCAGGTTGTCCACAACCGACTCGAGGTCACCAAGCTGTCCATCAGCAGCAAGCTGGCAGGCGTGCTCAGCCTGTAAAGAAACAGGATTAGTAGTGTTGATAAGGCTGGAGTATGGAGCATACCGTGGCGCATGCAAGGGTCATAGCACTGCATGGAGCATAGCACTCCTCATTGTCATACTCGGGGACCTTGACACGGCCCCGGATGGCAGCGTGATGTGTCGCAAGGGTGGCGGCATAGAGTGGGCCTCTGAAGTTCCCGCTGGGCTGGGAGCCGTCTTCTGGAACATTTTCGAACATAAACGTGTTCGCAATGAGCAGCCCGCTGGCATACTCAACACGGTTGGCGTCCACATCATCATAAGCGTACATCTCCTCAGCCGCGAAGGAAAGAGAGAGGACCGCTGAAGCGGTGGAGCCGAAGTTGCTGCACCATTTGGTGGCCCTCTGCTTGCACTGTGCAGAGTATTAGAGTGGTTGAACAATACAATAGGCATGCTTACCAGAGTGAATACGGCCCCGTCTATCGCGTCCTGCTCCAAAGGCAACTCCTTGTTGTAGACAGCACGCCAGATGTTTTGGAGAGCGGTGAGGATCTTGTTGTTTGAGGGACCCCACACATCCTTCTGGCGAGCAAGCCAGGTGAGGAAGGTCAGCAGGAAAATGAGAGCCCACCTACGATTCTTGTGGGCATGCGAGGGCAGCGTGTTTGTGTTATGTTTCTTCTTGCGCTTACCGGTGGTGTCATCCTTGCCACTATCCACCTTCTTGTCCTTGTCGCCCTTGGCTGTCTTGGAGATGATGGCCTTGCCCGAGGCCGGCTTAAGGCGCTTCGCTGGCTGGATGTCAACGTCACACTGTACATTATTTAGTAGAACCCTCAGAGCCCAGGACGTAAATACTCACCATGTCTGTAGTGCGAGACTTGCTCTTTGCAACAGGCGCACTCTCAGGCTCTGAGTCCTGCAAGATAGATCAGCAAGACATCGTTGAATGGGATGGAATCATACAAGCGCAATGTCCTCATCTTGCTCGTCCTCTTGATCGTGATCTTGTCCTCTCAGCTCTTCCTCGTTCCGATCACCTTCCTTGGTACTATCTGCACGGCAACGCTTGAGGGACAGGACCTCATGGTGTTCATCAGGAGAGGGAATGTTCTCAGGAGTAGAGAAACGGTGCTCAGGAGGGGTGGCGATCTCTTCAACGGAGGAGAGGTGTTCACGAGGGAGGTGGTGACACGGCAATAGGGGTGGGCTTGGTGGGGGGCTTGAAAGCAGTACAACCTAGAAATAATATAAGACCTGGAGAATGGGAAGCGAACATCAGTACTTGCCTCTTCTGCGCCAGTGTTGGCCCGAAGACTTGCCCGCTCTCGGGCCAAGTCCTCAGCATTGTTGTCTAAGAGCCCGAAGTCTTCATTATCCTCGGTCGCAGACTCGGGCTCGGGCTCGGGCACCTTCTGCTTCCTCTTGGAGGTGGTGGACTGGGCAGCGAGGGTAGAGGACTTTGCACTAGTCAGCACACTGTGGGAACGAGAGGTGTTGGAGTCTGAGGCGGGTGGACCATGAGGAGCAATGGCTACGGACCACTTCTTGATATCAGTCTTGAAGCCGATGGAGCGGCTGGCGGAGATGCAGTCAAAAATGAGGTCACGGTAGAAGAGAGTGGATTCAGAGAGTTGCAAGAGCATGACGAGTGGAGGATCAGAGAATGGACAGTGGGAATTGACTCACACTGTTGAGGCATCAGGCTTGCCTTTCCCAGCAGTCACTGCCGCTGCATTGTTCTCCACCTGTACCATCCTCCGCTTGTCCACATCAGCACGGAACGTTGCCCTCTCTGCCACGCTCCTCCTCACCACCTTCGTGATCTCTTCAGGCTCAGAAATGTCTTCCCCCTCGTTGCTCTTGTCGGCTTCAGTTCGCAACGGGATGATGCAGAGGTAAGCGGGAGTAACAGTGCAAATATAATAAGCTAATCTCACCCTTGGTACTAGCTTTCTTTGCCGCGTCCTTGCGAACTCGCTTTCTGACCACAGGCTTGGGTGCAGGACTGTCTATAAGTTGGTAAGCACATGTTTGAATGGTGTCGCTGTGGCCGAGGATACTGACCATCGTCATCAATCAACATCTCATCATCATCAGACCCATCTACACCAATCTCCTCCTCGTCGGCAGGTGTCACCTTCTTTTGCCTGGGCTTTTGCTTCACGACCACGTTGGCTGGAGCCTCGGTGTCCTTGTTGACATTGGTGCTGACGGGGCCGGGCTTCTTCTTCGCCTTCGGCCTTGGCCTGGAAGACGCTTTGGGCCTAGCCATGTTGTCGCAATTGTCGGCAGGATCATTGTTGTTGTCGTTGGCAACTGCGGCAGCAACAGTGGTGGCATGCTTGGCTCTCCCTATTGATGCCGTTGCTGGCCTTGACGGTGCTGCTGGTGCGTGGGCAAACTTCTTAGCATATTTCTTGTCTAACTTGTTCTCCAGAGTGGCTATGTGTTCCTTCTGGCGGATGACGGCGGCATTTTTCTTGTCCTGCTCGGCTTTCTTGTGCTTCTTATGGAGTGCAACTTCGCTGGAAGTCTGTTGGCTCAACACCTTGTGGATCTCGCCGGGATGCTTGTCTGCGTTGGATGCCCGTGTGTTCATCTGAGTGGTCATTGGAAGAGTAGTAGAGGGCAGAGGACAGAGGGCAGAGGACAGAGGGCAGAGGACAGAGGGGAAGGAAGATGGAGGTTGAGTTGGAAAACTTTTGGGACGACGCTGCGGTAAGGTGTTCAGGTAAAAGAGGGATAGAAACGGGAGTCCACTGGCTCCGAGCTTGCAAATGAGTGGTAACGTACTCCACAGCTTTTCTCTTGGGTTATCCCCTGACATGAGTTGCCACGACAGGTTCGCCTCCTCACACACAAATTTCTCCATTCCCCCCTTCACCTTGCCACTATCCTTGCCACCTCTCTTTCTCTCCATTGGGCCCTCACCCATGTCTCTATTTCAGCACCCTCTCCTCGCCCTTGTCTCCTCTTCAACAACATTCACCCCTCAACCTTGTGTCTTTGTAACATACCCCTCCACTGCACAACTCTCGCTATGGACCCAACTTCCTCTCAAACGGACGACTTTGTCTCCCAGCGCCCAGTCCATACCCTCCACTGGCTGCAGTGCCCTGTTGCTTCCTGTCAATGTTTTTTTGCCAACAAGTCAGGTTGGACCAAGCACATCAATACCAAACACAGCCGTTTGGTTGACCGGTCTCACGAGCAAGCCCCAGCTCAAGCGTGGGAACCATTCATTCCGAATGCCTCCGACCAAGCCTCCAGCAACAATCCACTGGAGGACGAGAACTCCATTCCACAATAAGACAATGTCCAGTCAGACATCCTCCCAGAAGTCGGACCGCCAAGGGGCAGGGTAGAGGAGCTTGCAGGGAAAAAGATACGAGAATACCATCCCACTCTTGATGGTGCATCTCAACACTTTCTACGATTGTATATTTCCTCATCACATTTCACACAGGACGGAAATGTGGGCCTGATGGCAAGTTCGTGGATGACCATACACCCCCCTTCCCACTGCCACCACAAGCACCTGATGACTGGGCCCCGTTTTGGGATTGCATCGAATTTGAAACAGCGGACTTTCTTTATTGGCGGTCTCAGGCACCTGCAGGCGAGGTCGACTTCTTCATGGACCTTTGGGGCGTGTTGTTGACAAAGCATCATGACCATCCACCATTCGCCAATCACACGGATATGTACAAGACTATCGACACCATCCGAGCAGGTGAAGTGCCCTGGGAGTCCTTTATGATGTCATACAAAGGTCCACGGCCAGCGCATGATGTTCCTCCGTGGATGGATCAGACATACGACGTCTGGTTCTGCGATCCGCAGACGATCATCAAGAACATGCTTGGAAACCCAGATTTCAAGGATAGCATGGACTATACCCCGTACCGTGAGTTTGATGTCTTGGGCTCGCGGCGATGGGAGGACATGTTCTCTGGTGACTGGGCTTGGGACCAGGTGGTGAGCATTTTACCCTCATTTACTCATTACAGATACTAACTTTCATTCAAGGATGAAATTGCGAAGGATCCTGCTGCGGCCGGGTGCACATTTGTCCCCGTCATCCTTGGCAGTGACAAGACAACCATGTCAGTTGCTACCAGCCACACGGAGTACTACCCGCTTTACCTGTCCATAGGCAATGTCCGCAACACTGTCCGGCGTGCGCACCAAAACGTGGTTGCCCTGGTTGGCTTCCTATTGATCCCCAAAAGTAAGTTCTGTGTTCATTTTGGAGAAACATCTATTCATAGTATGCCAAGCAAACCAGAGATACATGAGCGATCCAGACTTTCAGCATTTTCACCGACAGCTGTACCACTCGTCCCTCTCATGCATTCTCCGTTCTCTGAAGTCTGGCATGACCAACTGTGAGGTTGTGCGCTTCGGAGACGGATACTTCCAACGGGTGATGTATGGCCTTGGGGCTTACATAGCTGATTACCCGGAGCAGGTGCTCCTTACCTGTATCGTACAAGGTTGGTGTCCCAAGTAAGTAGTAGATGCCTCTTCAAATGCAGGTCAAGTACTCACCTTTGTTCCAGGTGCCTCACATTCCGGGATGACCTCAACGGCTCTGACACCGAGCATCCGGTGTTACCCCGATGCAAAGAGCATAACGAGTTTGTGATCGATGAACTTGACCTCGGCACATGGTGGGATAACTATGGCATTATAGGAAATACCATTGTACGTATCTGACAGTAGCATCTCGTCTATCTCAGCTAATTCAAGTCTATTGTCAGCCGTTCACGAACAACTATCCGCGTGCGGACATTCACGAAATGATTTTTTTGCCGGACATCCTTCATCAACTTGTCAAGGGAACGTTTAAGGACCACCTCGTCGAGTGGGTGGTTTTGTACTTGCACAAGGTACACTCGAAGGATTGCGCCCTTCAAATCCTCGATGATATTGACAGGAGGTACGTCAGTTCAATTGCACTCTAGACGCGGTCTAATTTGTCCGCTACAGAATTGCTGCAGTCGCTCCTTTCGCTGGCTTACAACGGTTTCCCAATGGTCGGGGTTTCAAACAGTGGACAGGAGATGATAGCAAAGCGTTGATGAAGGTATAGTACATTGAGTTTTGTATTCTTGGCATAATTCTGACGCTACCATTAAGGTTTACATTCCAGCCATCGAGGGGCATGTTCCCCGTGACGTCGTGCGCACGTTCCGTGCGTTCCTGGAGTTCTGCTACCTTGTTTGATGTGACATCATCACTGACAAGACCCTGCTTGAGATCAAGGACACATTGGAGTGTTTCCATCAATATAGAGTCATCTTTCAGACCCTCAGTGTTGCAAACTCCCTATCCCTCCCCCGACAACACTTGTTGAAGCACTACTTATTCCTTATCTGTCAGTTTGGGGCCCCAAATGGACTCTGCTCCTCAATAACGGAGTCGAAGCACATCAAAGCGGTCAAGGAACCATGGCGGCGATCAAGCTGATTCGAAGCTCTCAAGCAGATGCTTATTACTAACCAGCGGCTCAACAAACTCGCCGCAGCTCGCGTTGACTTCACAGCACACGGTATGTTAACACAGCCCATTTCAGCCACAGCCAACGCCCTCGCACAATGTAAGTCTTACATTTATCTTCTAAGCTAACACTAACTCCACCCGGGGCCTCTAGTGACAGGTCTTTTTCAGACATTAGCAGTTGACCCGGCCACCATAAGTCACCTGCACACGCGAGGTCTCAACGGCGGGAGTGTGGAGGAGGAGTCGGGGTCAGCCATTGATGGCCAAGTCGACGCAAAGGTTCGGTTGCCCAGGTCACCAGGTGAGTACTCTCTCATTTGCACTATGTATACTTTCTGACATGCAATGCGTCAGCGCGTGGACGTGCGCACAGCCTCGCTCAACTCGCGAACGAGCTGTATCTCCCGATGTTCGACCTGCTCTATCAGGTCAGGTGCTTTTTGCAGGAGCAGCTATCGCCTTCACCGGACGTGGACGTCGCGAACATTCCCCTCAACCACCTCCCTCAACCACCTCCCTCATTTCCCCTCCCAAACCCAGATATTCATCTACAACTTGGCCATCGCAACATTCTGTGCCCCCAGCAACATTTGCGGGACAGCCGGAATGACATCCGAACGCATTCAATCCACCCTCAATTGGAGAAACGAAGCCGCTCGCCATGACTGTGTATTCGTGTCAACAAACAGTGAGGTCTCCAGTATGCTCGGCATGGAGGTCGCCTGGGTCTTAGCCTTCTTTGGCTTCGACTACCAGTCAAAGTACTATCGGTGCGCCCTTATACACTGGTTTTCCCAAGTACGAGATGTTCAAGACGAGGATACCGGGATGTACATCGTTGCCCCCGACTACAATGATGATGGCACCAGCTTGCTTGCTGTTGTGCCCATCAACTCCCTCGTCTGCGCCGCCCATCTCATCCCTTTCTACGGCGACAAATTCATTCCGGAAGGCCTCAAACACTACAGCTCTTACAACAATTTCTTTGGTTTTTACATTAACCGATATGCTGACCATCATTCTTTTGAAATAGCTTAGTTATTCTGTCTATTTATTCACAGTCGAGTAGACTAGTATACTGTACCTACACGACCGTAGGTTCAAGGGATTTCTGCATGACATGAAATCAAGATAAGTTCCGACGAGGCTGAAGTTCAAATGTCCGGCGAACGCGTGATTTTGAACTAGGGTCACAGTTTGGTGACATCATCAAGGCATTATTGCTGAGGACAACAAAGGTGAAGAGGGTGTTTTATTGGAAGGAGAAGCAGGCAATGCGGACACACCACTTACAACGACTGTAAATTGCTTGTCCGTTGGGCTTATATACAGGCGTCTCAAGCCCTTGCCAGACCGGTATGACCGACTCACTGAAGCCTGCCAGTGAGGAGCTTGACATCCCATCTCCAGTTGACTGTGGTTGTGCCAGTAAGGGTCCCAAAAACCTGAAACTCAGTGCCAAGGGGTACCCAATGCTTGGACCTTGCAAAGTGGGTTCGTAGATTTCGTATGGCCACTTCGGCCTCTACCCCCCCACCCCCCCCCCTTCCATATATAGAAGTAAAGCCCCTTTCAAACTACATACATCAGCTACATGACATAATATATCTGAGGCTCTAAACATATGACGAAAACATTAGGAACTCGACTGAATACATGAGACATATAAAGACGACACTGCCGTCCTACTTCTTCCCACCGTGTTTGGCCCTCTTAGTGGATCGAGTGTGCGATGGGCACCTCCAATCCGTTTCGATGCAGTCGAGATACATGCAAGTTAAATGAAACTAAGAGTGAACGGATAGTTAGTACGCAGTGACAAATACGGTGTAACAAGAGCATACCCATCCGGTCTCGCAGCGATCGTACTTGCACCGGATCGCAACGCCGTTGTCGATTTCGTTTTGCGTGACGACTTTATCGCAGTCGCATGCCCGCAGCATCGCGTTGAGATCACGCTTGCGACTCTTTCGTCCGGCGCGCATGATGACATCATTTTCAATGAACTCAGGCGCGTCGAGAGTGATATCGAGCGCCGAATCTGAGACATGTGAGCTACAAATAAAGAATGATTGTCAGCGACCTCACCTGCTGGCCCATCCTCAATGTCCGACACAGCGCTGGAATGTGTGTCGTGGTTGCATGATGTACCAGCAGCCGTAACGTTGAGGTCTTCTGCATGAACATCGTGTAATTCCTGCTCGCCGGCAGGGGCCGACGTCTCCGGGATGTCTTCGTTCGCATCCGATGTAAATTTTGAGGTCCTATGCACGTCCAAGATGGCTAGTGTTGGAGCATGATATACCTTGCGAGATTTACGGGATTTGGTGAAGCGTCTTGCCCAAACGAGTGTCCGCATGTTGTCGATTTCGTCCGGAGGGATCGCGAATTTGGCAGTGAGATGAGAGAGGAGTTGGGAGGAGGCATGATGAATGCGAAGGTGGGCGACCATGGAGTATTGCCATATAGCGGGGTTCCGGACAGCCATCTTGTTTGTTGGGGAACAGATTGGGCAGGCAAGAGGCACATTTGTGCACGGCGCGGACTCGCTTGCAGTTGCGGCAGAGTGGTAAGCAAACGAGACAAGATTGGGGCATAATGACCAAGTATCGTCCACCTGGAATGTACTAGAGGCTGAACCTCTCGTCGGACGGAGATGGACTACACACCCGGATTGAGCCGTTGGCTGCAGGCAAAACCCACACACCTCAACCGTACGGTCCATGGCCTCATCGCATAGAATATGCGCACCCACATGCTCGATGAGGCGCGGGCCGTTTTTGCGCGGCCACTCAAACGAGGGCTGGCACCGTGGGCAGAGGTCGGCTGATTCGTCGACGGCGCTGATGTTGCGTAGCCCGTCGAGATCAACGGCAAATGCAGCGCGGCCTACAATAAACGACTCAATCCAGCCGCAAACAATCAACGAGAATTCTCTTACCTGCCGATCTATACGGGAAGTCCTCGTTTGCAGGTAGTGAAGGCAGACAAGTGAGACCATCGAGGCGGATGACTTGAGCATGAAGGCTAGTAGCGAACGCTTGCAGTTCTGCCGTAGTGAAAAGGAATGCAGGGATGTCGTAGTCGGTGGGGAAGACAGTGGGATTAATCACCTGGTAATTATGCCCGGGGGCAGACTTCAACATCTTCCCCATTTTACCCGTCCATTCCCAATCCTCGGCCTCCAGACCAAGGTTCTCGGCTCCTCGTTCTTGCAGGACAAGAACCTGAGCAGTGATTGACACACCTTCCTCTGCAAGAGCAGTGGCAGGGATTTCAGGTACGCAACTGGAGTGAAAGTGGATGGCAGAGACCTGTGCAACAGCCAGGAATAGACGAGAATCCGTCTTTACGAGAGTAACCAGAGGCTCGCCGATAAATAGGCGAGCACCACCAAAGACTGACAGCGAGGTGAGAACACTTGTATCAATATCAGGTGCTGCTGTGAACCGCAACAGTCCCATGACCCATTTCAAGCGATCTGTCGAGCCGGCTGATGAAATGAAGCGAAACAGTTGACGGAGGACATGGGCCTTGTACACCAATTTACCCTCAATCTTGACATATGGCGAGAACAAGCTGTGTTGCACAACATCCTCATTGGCAACTTGGTCTTCCAGGTCCAGGTCTTCCGTTTCAGGTTCAGGAGTGGTGTGTGGAATTGGGTCATCTTCAAGGACATCGTCGGGATCTGGCTCTGAGACGGGATAGGAGTTTGATGGATGGGAACCGTCAGGGAAAAGAAGATCGCCACCGGCTTCTTCGATCCCCAAAAAGCAGTCGTGCACCAAGAAGGCTGCATAGTCATGCTCAATGAGCGCTCGACCCTGGCTCCACGGAGTGATGGGAAGGACATGCAGCAAGCAGACGTCGCCGCGCCAAGAGGCCGGATTGACATGGTCGATCTTTGCCGAAAGTTCAATGTCGCTGGAGAGACCTGGTAATCTAAGCCGACGGGGGGTACTATCCCACTCTGGGTATTCGGCGAGTATCTGTGATGACTGGATGACGTGTGCGATGCGATGGACAAGCTGAATAATATCTGCATTGGCGTCATTACCGATTATTGTGCGGTAGATTCCAAAGGAGATCTCAAGACGATTGGTCCCGAGCATAATGATATAGAAGTTTCCGAGAGGCCGGTCCACCTTCGCTTTTGCAACGCAAAAGAACACATTCTTGATAAGGATTTGGATGTCTGTGTACAATTGCTTTGGCAAGAACGCGGTCCCACCCCCTGGGTATGTATAGAGACTGCAGGCAAGATGGGCAGCCGCGCTGAGATGCGACAGCTGGTCAGAAAGGGACATATCAAGATCCATGTAAGGGGTAATGAGGTGCCTGAGAAAGTCGCCGAAGATACGGATATGCTTCCGTGCGGCAATGACAGTTGGACGTGAGCTAGATGTTTCAGGAAGCTCCCATATCTCCTTGAGCAAGGATATCGCCAAGAGGACGTCTTGCTTATCATTCGGGTTCATCAGGTGCTCTACTTGGTCGGGTGCTAGATCATTTGAGCAAAGATGCCAGCTGAATATCTCAGGAGTGATAGTAAAGCCATAAACAGAGATCCCCTTGTCCCGGAGTATAGCACAGCGCACACACTTCATGATGACGTGCTTCCAGTCCTTGTCGGACGTGATATCGTTGTCGCCCACCAAAGTATTCATGAGTGGTAGCTTACCGACATATGAATAGATTGGCGATGATGTTGGCAATTTGTGTTTGTGCGTGAGGATGACAAGGGCCGCTCCGCGGCATGCTTCACCATCAGAGGCAATGCTATACAATCGGCCTGGAACTTTCTCGCGCGTGCATGCATCAATGACGGTTTGAATGAGTGTTGCATGAGTCGGCGCATCTTCTGCTTTACACGTTCCTGAGACAAGAATAGGCCGGGCGGCGTGAGACCGAGCGTCACCTGCAAGAAAACCTATAGCAGCTACAGTCGCCTATTGGCCGGAATTCAGTTGGTGAGAATACCAGGGCACATATGAGCGGCTTACCTCCACAGCCAGTCGCACCTTTCCATCTGCCACTGCCCTGCAAAGCGTGTACGCCTCTGCCTCAGAACAGAACTCCAGCCCGATCCGGTCTGCATCTTCACGAGCCACTCCGACAATCCTGTTTGTCTTCTCGTCCCAACGTGGACGCCCTTCCACCTTGATCTTGTCGATCATCAGCTGGTAACCATATACCTCTTCTGCTGCTGATGCTGAATCCTCAGTGAGTCCCAAGTTACCCTCGCCTGCGAATGTATTTTTGATGTTGTAACAGACCTCCTCCACCGTAGGGAACCCTGCCGACGCACGTAGAGGATGAGTGGCTGCAAAACGTCGGAGTGTACTGGTGGAAGGTGAGCCTGTTGCATTATGATAGATTTGCACGAGGCGAGGACCGGCGAGATGAAGCATCAACACGGCAAGCCTCTTCTCGGCCTTGTCAAAGCTCTTCGGGCTGTACAGCTTTTGCGTAGCCTTGGCCAGCTGCTCTCCCATCTTCTTCACCAACATCCCGTTCTTGAGACAGACCTTGACAAGCTGCCCGACACGTGTCATGTTGCTGCTGCCGATGGCAACAAGGAACTTGTTATGATCATCAAGGACCTGCGATTTTCGGCCAAGACTCTTCGACATATTGACGCGGCCGAGACATAAGGCCTGTACTTGGAATGTCTTTGCGCGGATGATGCTGTGCAAGCCACTGATAGGCTGGTAGACATGCGGTGTGTTTTCGTGCACGCCGTCCGTCATGCGTTTGATGATTGAAACAAGCTGACCATTGTCCTTTAGTGATGTACACACCGTACATGACTGTGCATTTGTGATACCCGCGCACTTGTTTGCGGTAAGCCAGATCCGCCGACCCTCTGTGTGAACTGACCATGGTAGAACCCTCCGCGTGTGTAACGCGAACGGATAGAGCATAATGCCCCACTCCCCGTCTGGAATCGACAGCTCGAAACCCCGACAGGCAAACATGCGTTTATCGACAAGCGCCGAGGCCGGCTTCTTCCCGGTGCTGCCACGACCACGCACGACGATATCTTGATCGTCATCGTTGTCATTTATGACGATGACATCGGATGGTGGAGGTCGTGCAGACATTGTTGAAGACGAGGCCGACATCGACAACATGCCCGACACGTCGGCGCTCGAAGTCGCGGCCAACAATGTACCTAACACGTCGGCGTTCAAGGACGCGCTCGACATCAAAGACACCGCGCCTGCACTTGGTGCGTCCATGCTCGACAATGGGTCCATCCTCGACAGCAAGCCCGCGGTTGAAGACGCGCCCGCTGGCACGGAGTCACCAGTTGTCGAGTTGATCGGTATCGCCGTTGATTGGGTGGCAGCGGTTGATTCATCGAGCAACGATGGATGTATACTGCCGACTCGGCCACTAACCAGGTAAGCTGTTATCTATGTAATGATTTTGCAACACTCACAATGACTCGACGGCTTGCACAAGCCGGCCGACCTTTCCCTCCACCAAGCACGGCTCGACCTTCTTGTCGACGAGGATGAACTCCAAGAAGGCAAGTACCCCATCCATCCCGGCATTCCCTCTCCTAATCAACATTCTAACCTCTTCCTCTGGTCTCCTAGATCCAAATACAATGTTCATGTGCTGATCCGCATCCTCCCAGATGGTGCCACAGTCCGTTTCTCGGTAAGCGTCTGCCCAACCTTTGAAAATCGCGAGCTCATCTGTGTCGCACCCAAGCTGGACAGAGCTCGGCATGTGCGCAACGGCATCGCGTAGCCGGGTCAGGAGCGCGTCAGCCTCGGGCAAAGGGGCCGACTGCGCGATGGTGGACTGGAATGACAAGTTGGAGAGGCTGGGCACTGGCTGAGGCGGAGCAGTAGAGGAGGAGGGGTGTGGCTGAGGAGGAGGAGGAGGAGTGGGAGGGTTCCCGATCTCGAACAGGGTGCGTTGCTTCATCGGCTTCTTCTTCGTCTTCCTTTTCGCCCGTTCTTCCTCTTCTTTCGTCTCCTTTTCCCGCTGCCTTTCCCGCTGCTTACACTTTTTGCTGCCCTTGTGCATGTCCATGTTTTTACTCCCCGCAGTACCGACAGTGACCTGTTGGCCGCATAGGGGGCATTTGTCTGTGTCAGTGGCTTTTGGTTTCACTACGCCCAAGTCGGGTGTCTTCAACGGGAGGGTTTAGTAGGGTACATAGCTTGCTATGCAGGTGCGTACCTCAGCCGCGTGGGTGGTCATGGTGTCGAGTAGTGCTGATGGTCTAGTGTGATACAGGGGGGTTTGAGGACGACGTTCAGGATGGTGTGCACGCGTCGGAATCATTCATTTGATTAATATTTGTCTATGCTCTAGTATACAGGTATTGTAGTACAAATTGTAGTAGCTCTGCGCTGCCATTCCGTGACGCGGCAGCACAAAATCGCCCGAAAATCATCATGATTGTACAGTCTGGACCTCTCAGATAGGGGCTGATCTACCCCTTTTGGGCAGCCACGTGGCCTTTCTGGCAGTTCCCGAGCTCAGCCAGCGAATTCGCTAAGGCCAGTCAGGGTAACCCCCCCCCCTAGACCCTATATACGGCAATCCGATCTTGACCACCCTTGCTCAGTGCACATCAGAATATAAGTTAAGAGGCATAACGGTATTTTTTGTCACGCGGGGAGGTACTTTATCTTTTGTGATGGGTGACGAACCAGGTCTTAAGTTCATTTTACAGGTCAAGCGTGAGGCGTGACGAACCTACGGTCATGTAGGTACAGTACTCTGTATGGCGTACGTTTGGTGGACTCGGATTTATATCACTTTATTTATGCAGGATGCTTATTTCAACCTCTATGCACTGGAAAGTCCTTTTCGGTACTTTAGCTTGATAGTCAGCGTGCAAATGCTTATTGTTGCTTTTTGACATATGACGATAGCTGCGCCCAGGTTGCGATAAGTCTCAACAAGCGAAAAAAAGCGTCTACAAGTAACTTGACCCAAAAAAGCAGCCTGTCGATTTCCTGATGGCCTGCAGGTGTTTATCGAGTTCAGTCGCACCACCAGCAACAAGAGCAGTGCACCACTGCACGAGGTGATCCTTGAACACTCCATGGTGCAGTTGATGCAAGAGGTCCAATGAGATACAGCAGAATATATCGGTGTGGGGAAGGTCAGACCAGAATGGGGCATAGACTTTGTGGAGACCGTGAGCGACAAACTCTGGTGGGTACTCTCCATCTTCTTGCATCGCTAACGTCTCCAGAGTGGTTGTCTGCTCTTGGTTCTCAGATGGAGACCGACTTCCACAGTTATCTCGGCCCACTAGACACTTGGGGCACCAATTTTGCATACAGCAAGCGACTAGGCACTGCTCCGGGTGGTCTGCAATGTATGCAGCCAGGATCGGGAAGACTCGGTGAATGTAGCCGTCCGCGCATGTCATCTCAACCCCACGCAGGCCAGCGTCAGCGAGGGAGTGGAGAATTTGATGCATGCAGTAATGAAAAGTCGGTATGCCGCAAGAGACGGGTTTTCGAACGTCGACAGTTTTGTGGTAGGCAGATATCCAATCAATACCGTGGCGTGTTTCGACAGCTGACGACGAACACCTTTTGCTATAATCCCCAGAGTCAAGTACACAGGGTAAGCGACCTTATCACCACAAAAGTTTGAGAGCTGTGTCTTGTCCGTTGACAGAATGACACTCGCGATGGTCCCACCATCCGCAATCTTGTCCTAAAGGTACGTCTAATATCAGTCTCCCCCTGTTAATGCCGGTTTACTCAGCGGCGTGCCTGTGTCTCCCACCACCAGTTACCCGTCCACATCTCATCTAGCTTCCGGTTCTGACCGCCCGCATCAGTGTAAACACGTTCAGGAGCATAGGCCAAGTGGTCCTTGAGAGCTGGATTGCCTATGAGCTCACATACTGCCTCCACCGGATCTCGCATCCACATCTCAAATGTGTCATCTTCTGGTTTGTCGTCTTCTGCTCTCTTGTCTCCAGTAGCTGACACATGGATACACTGCCACTCGGGGCTGAGCCGACGACCGTCAGGCCCAACATGGAGGTCATCCATCTTCTTGAGCCACGTGTATGAGCTGGTAAAACTGGGCTGAGTCCAATTGCGTGTCTAACGTAATCCGTAAGTTGATTGTCTACATCTGGGTGGAAGTTGGAAAGCTTACGATGTCTAGTTTGAGAAAATCGTCAGCCGCCGTCTGCGTGACGTTCTGCATGAGCCAACGTGAGAGGTCCCACTCCGCCTGGTCCCTGAATGGTCCGTACGGACTCAAACCCTTTGCTGCTTCTTCGTTACAGATCGGCTCGAAGCGGGTGGGCTGTCTCTCTCCATATATCCATGCCGCTCTCTCCCCGTATGGCTCAACATAGTGGGAGGGGAGTGGAGAAGCATCCCTCTGAAGGTCGTCATTCTCATCTTTGGTGCGTCTATCTCGTACACTGTATGTTTTTGACCGTATTCAGTGGATGGTACGGTTCCCTACAGCTGTCGCCTTTTCTCTCCACGAGAAGAGCAGGTATGCCTGGGTATGGGCAGACAGAGAAGGTGGTATGGTGAGCCTGAGAAGCACGGATTGCTTGATAATATGAAGGAAGAAACTCCCACTTATTATTATTAGTTGAGAAGAGATAACAAGTCGAGTATTTTATCACTGGTAACCTATTATCGCAAGAGTAGCGTCAAAAGAGATCCGAGTCCACCATTGCAATGTAACATTGTTGACAACAACAATAACGACTTGAAGAGATGAGAAGCGTGGGAAGTGTTCTGGGGTGAGGCAGGGACAGGATCTGGATTTACTCTGCAGCGTCGAGCTCTCAGCCAAAATCACAATGCAGTCGTCATCGCGTCCCGCCTCCTCTGCAACGCGTCCGGGCACTTCACCCAACCCACAGCGTCCACCACACGTCGTCAACACACAGACAAGGATCCTCGACGCCGCCCACGGCCGTATCCTTTGCATCGCAGACATCCGCGGTCGTCTCTCTGCCCTCAACGACCTCGCAAGAGAGGCAAATGCACAGGCCATTATCCACACGGGCGACTTTGGTTTCTTCGGTGCGCCATGTCTCTCCACTATTTTGTACTCATTGCCATGACTTGACGCGCGTCTGCCACCACAGAGGGTAACAGCCTCGACAGGATCAATGACCGAACCCTCCGCCACCTTGCCATGTACTCGCCCCTTATCCCGACTGCACAGCGTACACATCTCCTCGCTGATCAGAGCACCGCAGCCACCATCCGCTCTACAGTCGACGTCTCCCTCCTCTCCGAATTCCCTCTTCTCCTTTCTGGTCAGATAAAACTCCAGGTTCCCGTCTACACCGTCTGGGGCGCGTGCGAGGACGTCTTCATCTTAGAAAAATTCCGCTCGGGTTCCTACAACATCGAAAATCTCCATGTACTCGACGAAGCCACCACCCGCTGCCTCGACGTGGGTGGCGTCAAACTTCGCCTCCTCGGTCTCGGAGGCGCCCTCGTGCCACACAAGATATTCGACAACGGCGATGGAAACGCCACTATCGCCGGTGGTCAGGGAACCATGTGGACGACCGCCCTCCAGATCGGCGAGCTCGTCGACACCGCCCAGCGCGTGTTCGACCCGACCGAGACGCGTCTCCTCGTCACCCACTCGAGCCCCGGTCGCGAGGGCATCATGGCCCAACTTGCCCTCGTCCTCAAGGCTGACCTCACCATCTCGGCTGGCCTCCACTTCCGCTACGCGAGCTCATACAACGAGTTCAGTGTCCAAAGTGACTTTGATGGTTTCCGTCACAAGCTCCTCTCCGGCAAGGATGGCTTCGACAAGGTCTGGGAAAGCGTCAAGGCTCAGGTCGACACCGTCATCGATGAGCACCAGCGCGTTCTCCTCGATAAAGCGCTGTCGGTCATCGAGCGTGTGCCGCCCACCCCAGCGGCTGGCGGTGCCACTGCTGCCCCTCCCGAGGAGCCCGCGTGGAAGAACTGCTGGAATTGGAATCTGTGCGATGCCGCATATGGAAACCTCGTGTTGGACGTCAAGGAGGGGCGCGTCAGTGCAGAGTTGAAGAGCCAAGGTAAAGTGGTGAGTTGGCTGTTTTGAGACTGCCTATTGACGAACATGCGCTATGGGACAGGCTTCAACTACGCGTACCGCCGCACCGCTACCCCTGCTGCACCCACTACGCCGAACTCGGGCAACCAGCCTCTGCCACCCAACGCCACCACGTCGAACCAGCCTACGAAAGCGTCGACGCCCGCACCCGGCGAGAGACCTGGGGCTCCCGGCCGTAGAGACCCGCGCTCGGTTGGACAGACACCTCCACCCCTAATGGGCGGCGGAGAGACCCCCGCGGTTCCCGCCAACAACGTTCCGCCAAAGACGAACGGCACACCCACTCCGTCCGACAAGGCTGACAAGGCGAAGAAAAATAAAAAGGACAGAAAAGACAAGGAGACCCAGGACGGCTGGGGTACTAATGATGGCTGGGAGGAGGCGGTGGCCAAGGGGGCGACGCCCGAGCCGCCCAAGTCGGGCAAGACGACGCCGGCGCCGGCGGGGACACCAGCACCTGATGGTGCGGCGGACCACAAGGGACCGACGACAGACCTGCTTGACACGGGGCTCAAGTCGCCCGCGACGGAGAGTGGAGGAGCGAGGACGCCGACGAGCAAGCGACCGCATCGGAACCCGTGGACGCTGTTTATCCGCTTACAGCAGGGCGCGAACGATGCTGAGCTCAGGGAGTTCTTTGGCGAGGGGGCTGCGGGGGTGAGTGCTCTCTCTCTACAGCGCGGAATTTGGGCTTATATGCTACGATGCACGACGTAGATTACACGGATCAACTATCCGCAGTCACACTTGGGGCGTCAGCAGAGGATCGTGTATGTTGAGTTTGGAGACGAGGAGGCGATGAAGCAGGGTCTTGAGAAGCATGCGGAGGTAATGACCTTCTTTTCACGATGAATTTGGTTTAATCAAGCTTTTCAGAGATACAAGGAGACGATTCCAGAGGTGAAGCAGGCGACGGACCGCGAAGACCGCATGGCGGAGCGTGGTGGACGAGGGGGCGGACGCGGTCGGGGACGCGGAGGGTTTGTTGCGAGGGGTTTCGCGGCTGCTGGGCTGACCAAGGGCCGGCCCAACGGGGGGACGCCGCCTCCTGGGGGAGAGAACGGGGCTGCTTGAGGTCTTTGGACTTGCTGTTTTCTGTTTCTCTCACTTTGAATCATGATGATTTCATGATTCGTGCAATGATCCATGTTCATGCTTTACGACTTGGCGATGTTTTCTGAATGAATATGTAATCTGAGCTGTTTTTTGTTCGTCGTTAATTCTTGTGCTGGTGCTTTGTTTCTCTGGAATATGCAGATTCATCCGCGTCATTGTTGTGACAGAGCCGGGGAGGTCGCGCGGTGACGATGATCCGGGGAAGAACATGTGATTGAGATCCGAGGGTATATAATGCGCTGCTTACTTACACATATCCATACAATTACCTTATCCTCCATGTTCCGCCTCGCAACTAGAAATCTTAGGGCACCCGCTGTCGCTGTGCGTTCGGCCGCGCGGATGAGGTGAGTGCGAGGTCTGTGGATTTCGGGGCGGATGATGACGCTTGTTCTGCTGCTTGAAGGTCGATTGCCTCGTCTAGCGTGTGTCGTCAGGAGTTTACGCTGAACTCGCTGGACACGTTCACGGATGAGGAGCAGCTGCTCAGGGAGTCTGGTACGTTGTGCTGCATTGAGCACTGTTTGAATTGCGTGTTGACCCGGTCTGCAGTGCAGCGCTTCGCGGCTGAGGTTGTGGGCCCAAAGGTCCGCGAGATGGACGAGAAGGAGAAGATGGACCCGGAGATTATCAAGGGGCTCTTTGAGCAGGGTGTGCGTTCCTACCCCGCTTCTCGCTGCTGATGCACGGCTGAGACTGACTAACGTGTGGGCGTGGCGGAACAGCTCATGGGCATCGAGACGAGCGCGGACCATGGCGGTGCCGAGTCGTCGTTTACGGCGGCCATTATCGCGATCGAGGAGCTCGCCAAGGTGGACCCGAGTGTGTCGGTCATGTGCGATGTGCATAATACGCTGGTTAATACGGTGTTGCGCAAGTATGGGTCGAAGGAGCAGTGCGACAAGTGGTTGCCGCAGCTGGCTACTGAGAAGGTGCGCGCTGCGGGAGAGAAGCATTCGGACGCTAAGCTTATGCAATGGTTCTATAGCTTGGTTCGTTCTGTCTGTCGGAGCCGGCGTCGGGCTCGGACGCGTTTGCGCTGCAGACGAGGGCTAAGAAGGAGGGCAACGAGTGGGTGGTCAACGGGTCCAAGATGTGGATCACGAACTCGGCCGAGGCTGAGATCTTCCTCATTTTTGCCAACGTGCGTTTGCATTTCTGCGACTCACTCAATATCTAACCAAAGGATGACGTCTGGACAGATTGACCCGAGCAAAGGGTACAAGGGCATCACCTGTTTCATTGCAACCAAGGACATGGGCATCGAGATCGCCAAGAAGGAGGAGAAGCTGGGCATCCGTGCTTCGTCGACGTGCACGCTCAACTTTGACGACCTGCGGATACCAGAGGAGAATGTGATTGGTGGCGAGGGCAAGGGCTACAAGGTATCTATCTTTCCATCGTTGTCTATATGTAGTGCGGTAAATAGACTGAAACTCGCAGATCGCCATCGAAATCCTCAACGAAGGGCGTATCGGCATCGCCGCCCAGATGCTCGGTCTCGCCCAGGGCGCGTTCGACAAGGCCGTCCCGTACACGTACCAGCGGCAGCAGTTTGGGCAGCCTGTTGGCACGTTCCAGGGCATGGCGTTCCAGATCGCCGAGGCGGCCGTGCAGCTGCAGTCGGCGCGCCTGCTGACGTACAACGCGGCGCGGCGGAAGGAGGAGGGCAAGAGCTTCACGCAGGAGGCGGCGATGGCCAAGTATCTCGCCTCGGTCGTCGCGCAGAAGGTGTCGGGCTCGGCAATCGAGTGGGCGGGCGGTGTCGGGTTCACGCGCGAGACGGGGATCGAGAAATACTGGCGGGATTCCAAGATTGTGAGTTTACTGATCGTATGGTTTGACAAGATGCTGACAAAGTGGGGATGTGTGCAGGGTGCTATCTATGAGGGAACGTCCAATATACAGCTACAGACGATCGCGAAGTTTATCCAGAAGCAGTATTCGTAGGGATTAGAGCAGGCGGGAGAGGGTGTAATGTACAATTTGAACGGCTAGGGCTTCTGCATCGCGAGTAGGAGACCCTCGAAAACGGCCCAGCCGATTGCAGAGCTCAAGATCTTGCGAGACATTCTGAGTAAGACACCGTCCAGGAAGCCGCCTGCGCCTCGTTGCTAGAGAACAGGGTGAGGATGCAAGCTGGGGAGAAAGGTGCAGTCGCGACTTACGGTCCATATTCGACCGACTGTGCTGGTGAAACCACGGTAACGGTCTTCTGTTCTGACTTGCATCTTGGTCTGAACGGCCACCCGTCAGCATTGTGCGCAAACATGTTCAGTGCGCGACAGACCTTTACGACATCAAAAGGATGTGTTAAAATGGTTGCTACTGCGCCTGCGGACGCAGCTGATACGGTATGTATGCTTGCTGCATAAGCTCCGGGGAATAGGTACGCTTTGAAGAGAACAAATTCAGTGATGAAACCCTTGAAAGGACGGGCGCTTACTGGTCTCGCGTTTGATGCTTTCGTAAAAAGCTATGAAGAGCCCCGCGTATGGAGCGTCTCGGAATGAAGATGCCATGAAGCCTCTGAAAAGCTCGGAAGGCCCTTGACGGGCGACGGACATGAGCGAGTTCCCGAGGCTGCTGTAGTTGTGCAGACCGCTCTGCCGATGGTGGATGTTGGATTAAGAGTATGAATGCGAAAGATTGAGATGCCGCACCTCATAGCGCGCCTTGAGCACGGAGAACGGGTTTAGCAGGAATCCCACCGATACACGGGCGACGGCGCCTGCGACCAGGTTGCCGCTGATGGACAGCTTAGGCAAGACGGATGCGCTGGAGCGTCCCGGAGAGCTCCGAGACGGGGTGACGGTGAAGGTAGGATACTGGGCCATGGCGGCACGGAGCTGGGTGACGCTTGTCATGTACATGGCGACACCGGGAACGTTTCTTGGGGTTCCTGCCTGTGAGGAACGCGTGTGTGGATGTGGAAAGTGGCAGGTGCGTACCGTATGAGACTTGCATTGGTACCTCTCCACAGACCTCTGAAGCCGTCGTGATTTACGATATTTTGAGTGATCCGTACTAGAAGTGATGTTCTCCTGCAGCGGAGTTGGGTTTGTGGGTAAGACTTGTGGGCTCACGACGGATGCGCTTACGATGGACCGACAGTCTCTCCTTGCTGTAGACGCGTCTTGAGCAAGTCGACTGCAATAAAATTAAGGGAGATGTCCGAGAGTTGGTTTTACAAACTCACGAGGTTGCAACATGATGGTGCTACTCAGGCCCGATAGTGCACCTGTCATATGTGACGATTAGTCCATTGAAAGTGGGGTGGTAGAAATGAGCTTGCCGGAGAGCAGATGCTGGCCTACCACACCATTGCTCATCAGTTAGAACGAAGACTTGAAAGGTCTAGTTAGTATAAGCGAAAGGAGGACGTCGGGGAGAACAGGCTGAGGATGTATCAGCGAAGAAACTCGATGGAGAGGAAGTGGATGTTGTCGGTCTCCGGATCCGGACGCGTCGCGGCGTCGATCGGTAACGTGCAGAATGACGTCTCCCGGCCCGACATCCGCCCCGGATACTATCTTGGTGTTGCTCCTTTCCAGTGACGTCGAGTCTTTGCTCAACATGTGCGGTGACAACACTGAGGAATCTTACAGAAAAAGGACACTGCCGGATGCAACCATCTTGAGCCATGTTACAGATGTACACTGTCATCCGACAGACTCCCCCATCTCGCAAGAACAGATCGACAAGCTACCTATCAACATTTGCACCATGGCTACTAGGCCAGCAGATCAGCCTCTCGTCAAGAAACTAGCAGAGACATGTCCCGAGAAGGTTCAACCATGCTTTGGTTTGTTTTGTGTCGTCTTTATCAACAGTCATATCAAACTGATCGAGCAGTCAAGGATAGGATATCATCCATGGTTCACCCACTGGATATCTCTTGACAGCACCCTAACGAAGGAAGCACACTTTACCAAGCTGCTCTTGGGCAATCCCGATCTCAAGGAGCCGCAAGATTTCAAAGATGACTTTAACAGGCTGCTTCCCTTGCTACCCGACCCAACACCGCTCGAGAGCATTCTCTCGGACCTTCGTCGTAACCTCGAAGCGTTTCCGCACGCCATGGTCGGCGAGGTGGGCATTGACAAACAAGCACGCATCGCCATGGACTATGAGGCATATCCGAGAGAGCTCACCCCGTTTACGATTCCTATGGAGCACCAGCTCGCGGTTCTGCGAGCGCAGCTGGACCTCGCCATTGAACTCGGCCGGAACGTCAGCTTGCACAGCGTCAAGGCGCCAAAGCCGACGCTGGACCTGCTCGATGGTCTGCAGGAGAAGTACAGTGACAGGTGGAGAAGGATAAGTTTAGACCTTCACAGCTGTGGTTTCAGTCCCGAAACACTGAAGAGTGTCCAGGCAAGCACCTCGTGATCCAGTGGGCACTTTGTGCACCCGTTGACATTCATTATCGTTGATTTTGTAGAAAAAGCACCCCAACGTTTTCTTGTCGTTGTCTACAGCCATCAATGGGCGCTCTCCCAATCACCGTGCACTCATAGCAGCTTCGGCTCCTAACCGAATTCTCGTCGAGTCCGATATCCACGAGATTGACCAGTGCGCATATCGAACGTGGGACATGGCTTGCACTGTGGCGGAGGTAAGAGGGTGGACAATAGAGTCCAGCTGGGAAGATAATCTGCAAGAGAGCGATTGGGGAGCTGTTCGGCGCCTGGAAGAGAACTGGAGGCTGTTCCGACAAGCAAGGCACGACGAAAAGTTGCCCAAGAAGAAACCACGGAAGAACACGGCCAATATTCAAGGTGGTCAATCTGAAACCGTATAATATCGCTATTTCGTGAGGCCGAAATACCACACACGCAAGCGTGGCGAATAACAGTACATAACTTTGTATTCGTCCAATTCTAGCGACCGAATCGCAATGAAGTAATGCTACAAATGGTGATGCGAAAGAAAGCGTATAAATTATGGTTATAAATTTTGAATATAGACTCCAGCTTTTACAGCGCGCCTTCGAATAGCAGCTTCCTCGGCTTGCTGATAGGAGGTGCTGGTAGGAACAGGGCAGGCCTAAGATCGTTGATCAGACATGGATCAGGATCAGCGAACCAAGAGTACTGACATCGATGTTCCGCAGTTGGCTGCCGGGTTACCCATGATGATGCTTTCGGATACACCGGCGATGCTGTCGTTCTTCCCGAACGCTGCGGCGTCGAACAGGTGATCCGTCGTTTTCTCGAACGAGGCGAGCATGAGCACGCTGTCCTTCATCTTGGCTACACCGAACCGGGTGATACCGAGAACTTCTCCCTACAGTGATGCGTCAGCCAGGAACGCAAGAGAAGAGACAGAACAGCATGCCTTGTAGCTCATGATGTCGCCGAGCAACATGACGTGCCGAGGATCGATGGTCATACCGTGGGCAGACATGGTCGTCTGAATCTCGTTGATGATCGTGCGTCGTGCAGCTTCGATACCAAGTACTTGCGAGGTCTCAATGACGTGGTTCGACGTAGTGTGCTCGCCCACGATGCCTAGAGAGAACCAGCAATCAGCATTGTTCTGGTAACAATGTGTTGTCTGGTTCAGTACCTTCTGTGATCATGACCTTTTGGAGGCCGTAGCCTTCGACCAGCAGCTCCTTGTCGCCCTTTTTGCCTTTCGCATCGTCCTTTTCTTTGATGTTGATGACGGCGCGAGAGATCGTCGAGACACCCTGAAGGAAAGCTTAAATGATATGCATAGATTGCAGCAAGGTACGAACCTTGACAACTACGTCAGACAATAATCGTTTGAGTTCGCGGAGTCGATAATATTTGTCGGGACCATCAATGTAGATGCGGAGCCTACTGCGGCGAGGGATGACTGTAATGGACTGTCGTAACGGTCAGAACCATTGGATCACAAAAGCTGGAGAACTGCTGACCTCCTGTTTTATCTTGAGCTTTCGTGCCGCCACTATGGCCCACTTGATATCGTCCAGCGTCAACTCGAGCTGCAGCTTCCGAATGGCGTCCATGTCCACGATCACACCAATGTAGGTGTATTCGGGCGCCCACGCTTCTTCAAGCAAAGAAGCAACCTTCAATAGACTATTAGCTAGCAATAAACGAGGACCATCAAGCACGTACATCGCCGAGGTGGGTTTTCTCGAGCCGACCTTTGACGATACGCGCCGAAGGCTCGCTGTCGCTTGTCACGAGCTTGCAGCTGATAATCGGCGTGCTAATAGCCTTGGCGGCATTGATAATCTCCTTGATACGAGGCACACCAAGGGTGACGTTCATCGAGGCAACACCAGCAAAATGAAACGTCTTGAGAGTCATCTGTGTCCCGGGTTCACCGATGGACTGGGCACCGACTGCACCGACTGTTGAACCAGGTTCGATCTTGGCTCTGACATATTTGCTCCAAGAAAGCTCGAGGAAGGCTCGGAGTTGGGCTTCAGTGACTTTGGTGTGGTTGTCAACGATTGCCCTCTCGGATTCTGCGTATTCGTGTCAGCAGTCGATCACAGTCGAGTAAACTGTTCCGCACTGGATGCTCCTAGAGACAGGTCCATATCCTCGTCCCATTCATACGGACGTTCAAGAGCCTCGAACATCCCATGACTCTTGCGAATCTGGGCCATTCGAAGGACAACCTTGTCCATGAGAAAACCTTCGATCGTAGCGCGGTAAGCAGCGGTGCATTCGGTTTTGAAGCGTGGCGTATCCAGTTCTTTCCGGACGATCTCGAGAATTTGGAACGGGAGCAAACCTAGTCCACTTCGCCCGCCAATTGACTGCGAAAGGCGCCGCTGAGTCAATATCGCTACCTCAGATGAGTTATAAGACGTACGGAGGCATGACTCCACGACCGGTCAAAGTCGATAGGTTGGGCATCGCCTTCAAGACACGCGGGATCGAGACCGTCGTCTCCGTATCTGAACTGAACCACCCCGCCGGTCGCAGTTCTAACGGAGAGATCATACTGGGTTGTCAAGTCCTCGAGAGCCTTCATCAACCGACGCTGCATGTAGCCAGTCTCGGCAGTCTTCACGGCAGTATCAACTAGACCCTCACGACCCGAGATGGCGTGGAAGAGGAACTCGGTGGGCAGGAGACCGCTGTAGAAACTGTTGCGCACGAAACCCTTGGATGGTGGCTCTTTCGACTTCTTAGGGAAGTGGGGAAGAGAACGGTCCTGGAACCCATCGGGCACACGTTTGCCAGCAATAATTTGCTGACCGACACAGGCAACCATCTGCGAGACGTTGATGACGGAACCTGAAATATTTTCAGCTCAAAGCTCAGCGGTCAATACAACCCAACGAACCTTTCGATCCACTGGTAGCCATGATAAGCGGAGCATTGTGTCTGCTCAATTCACTCATGCAGATTTCTCCGACAGCATCACGAACTTTGGACAGCACGGACGAGATCATAGCCTCCAGAGTCTGCTCTTGATTGCAACCAGGCTTGTTCTCGAGTTTTCCCTTTTTAGCCAAAGCGATCAAGTCCAAACAGTCGGCGTAGGCTTTCTCAACAAGGTCATCTTTCTTCGCCGCTAACTTGCGTCCGGGTATAACATCGTTAATGCCAAGAGAGAATCCACAATTCGCTAATTGCTGAATCAGAACATATGTGGTCACAAAAATCAACATTACACTTACCAAGATATCGAGCGCACAGCTTCGCTACCCGGTTCATGGCAGCTGCAGCTTCATGTGGTCCGTAATCTCGCAAGATAACACCAAAGATAGATTTCTTTTTCCCGCTGCCAACGGTGGCTTTGTCCATGACACCGCACATGATCTCACTGTTGACTACGACCAGCCAGCCGTCGTTTGGAGATAAGTCTGGGAGTGGCTTCATCCGCGGGTAGTCTGCGGCTTTGGCGTCTTGTGGCTTGTTGCACTTTGACTCGACATTGACAAAGATCTTCGACTGTTTATTTGGCCGCATCAAAACATTGAAAATCTGTTTACCAGTCCATAGCCGCACAGGCTTCCAGATTGTTGGTGGTGGGATATCAATTTGCAGGTCGCCATCCGCAAGGTAGCAGCATATCTGAGTGAATGATCGGCGATCAAAGAATGTGTCTCTGCGTGAGATGAGGTAGGATGCAGTGATGAAATCCTGGATAGCGGCAATAACGGGCTCTCCGTTTCGAGGAGTGACGAGGTTGTGCTTGACACTCATGAGTTCGAGGGCCTCGGTCCTAGCTTCTTCAGTCTGCGGAACGTCTGAGACGATGTCAGTACGCGTGTATCCAGCCATGAAGGGTCCACGTACGAAGGTTCATCTCGTCACCATCGAAGTCGGCATTGTAAGGGCCGCAGACACACTCATTCAATCGGAAGGATCGCCATGGTCGGACTTTGACCTGGGGCGCTGGTCAGAGGCATAACAGGCATTCGATCGTTCGAAACTCACTCTATGACACATGATCGAAAGCTAAAAGTGCTGTTAGCCGACAACTGGACAGCAAGATTGTCTTTACTTACCTTGTGCAAACTAGGTTGCCGATTGAACAAAACGACATCGCCATTGATGATATGCCTCTCGACAACATCACCAATTCGCAGCCCGTCGGCGATTGCATTGCGGTTTCCGAACTTGAGGTACTTCTTGAAGCCGCTGCTTCCAGCGGTAACATAGTTGGCACCAGGATGAACGTCACAGCCATTCCTGACAGCCTGCTTGAGGTTGTCGATGTTATGTGACGTCACTCGCTCAGGGTAAGTCAATATCTTGGCGACGCGTTCCGGAACAGCCACTTCGTCAATGCGTAGATTGGGGTCCGGGGAGATGACTGTTCGCCCAGAAAAATCGACACGCTTTCCTGACAGGTTACCTCGGAACCGTCCCTGTTTGCCCTTCAGTCGCTGAACGAAGCCTCGCATGGGTTTCTGGCCGGCTTGCGATGGGACGCCGGGGAGTTCGGAGTTGATGTACATAGCTACGGACAGTTGAAGGAACTCCCAATGTTCCTAGGTATTCGTAGTTAGTGCATGTCAAACGCCGACATCAACAAGTAATACCATGAACTGTGCTATTGGTGCCCCCTTTGCCAGTCCTTGTTTGATCAGCGCATTGGTAAACACTATCTCAGTAAGTTTGACAGTCAGATCATCCTCGTTGGAGGCACCATCCTGGGCAACTGACGGTCTGATACAGACGGGAGGAACGGATATGTATTGCCAGATATACTGCTCGGGTCGACCAAAGGAGGGCTTTAGCCCAAGAAGTTCACAGTCCTGTGCCCTACGTCAGTAAGTTGTCAATGGATGGAAACAGCAAGACTGTACCTCGTTTGACATGCGTTTGAACAGATCCAGCGCTCTCAAGGGATTGATATCTTCATGAACTGCCTTGTTGAGATATATCCCGAGCTCCTTCTGTGCCTCTACAGCAGGCGCAAAACTTCTCTTCCACTTCTCCATCTCCTCCACTGTTTTCTTGGCTCGGAACTTGTCGTGGATGATTTTGAGGGCCCCTGCCTTCTTGACCGCACCGTTCGTAGCCGAGCAGTATGGACAATAAACAACCTTGCGTGCCATAGTGTTGACGGCTTTGCATAGCGCCTGGCGCTGGATATTTTCAAGGTTGGGGCGACGGAAGCGCTTGAGGTACGTGCGTCGGTCGGGTTCTTCGAGCAGAACACGGGCGCAAGTCTACCGGAACTCCAAGGTTATTGCTAGAGTTACCTTGATCTCAGAATCTAATGCCTCACCTTGCAAATAGCCTGAAGGATCGCGATGGAGTGTTTGAAGTAACCGATATGATACACAGGGACGGCTAGCTTGATGTATGCGTAGTGCCCAACACAGTCGACCGAGCTTAGACCACAGGTCTCGCAGAACGCGCTTTTCTCAGTCGTGCCCTAAGGTGTATTAGGAAACTGTGAAGCACAAAGAGTAAGCGGGCGCACCAGTCTGCGATCGAGGACACCATCCTTTACGGGTAACCGGTCCGTGGGGGTATACAGGTCTCTGTGAGTCACCTGGAACTCGGAGAGTTTGACGGTGTCCTGAGCATTTAATAGACTGAACTGGAGCTTTTTGCTGTCGGGGTGATGATATATAAGAGATGGTGGATATCGAACACGGGGAGACGTACATGACTTTGGGGGTCTGAAGAGAGACAGTATCCTTCATCGCGAAGAGCTCCTGAATATACGCGTGTATTTCGTGACGATCGTAGCCTTTACGTGAAGATGAGCCCGGACAGTAAAAATGTCAATATATGCGTCTTCAGGCGATTCAAGAGTGTCGATATGTTAGCTGTTCATGAGATCGCGGTCTGTCCAAACTTGTAAGGTCACGAAGCCCTGTCAAGCCAAAGTCAAACAGGTCACCAGCCGAGATAATTTTGTGACGTGACTTCCGTCCTGGGTCACAGTCGTCACGTCACACTAATCACGCCCGATCGTCCAGACTTGCGCGTCGCGTCAAGCCCAAGGCTGCACTTACTTACGACCACGCCAGACCATGTCCCGGACATCTTACGACAGGTGTGTTCCTGTCAAGTTTTGTTCAGCTTATAATCATTAACATTTTCTTAGATATCTTACAGTCTTCTCCCCTGAGGGACGGCTGTACCAAGTCGGTGAGCAGTCCCAAGTTATGCCTCGGTCTGGACACTGTCTAATCCATAAGATGGATGTACTAGAATATGCATTCAAAGCGATCTCTGGCTCAGGGCACACCTCGATCTCCGTCAGGGGCAAGGATACTACCGTGGTCATCACTCAGAAGAAAGTCCCAGTCCGTATCCATTCTAACTCGTACAGGCTTGCGTCACTAAACATCTCGCATTCAGGACAAGCTCCTCGATTCCTCTACTGTCACCCATTTATTCAGCTTGACGCCTACGATCGGATGTGTTATGACTGGTCTGCTCGGTACGTGATAGCCCATGTCGGTGTAGCTACTCACTGACAGGTCTAACAGCCGACGCAAAGTCACAGGTAATGCGCGCACAGATGGAGGCAGCAGACTTCAGGTACAAGTACGGATATGAGATAACGCCAGATGCTCTCGCACGTCGCCTATCGAACATTAACCAGGTGTACACCCAACGTGCAGGCATGCGGCCTCTTGGTATCGGTACGTAGTCCTCCCATAAGGCTCTATATGTTCTGACTCTCCATAGCCATGATCCTTATTGGAATCGATCCTGAGCACGGACCTCAAGTTTTCAAGCTCGATCCTGCTGGCTACTTTGTCGGGTTCCACGCCACCGCTGCTGGCCAGAAGCAGCAAGAGGCGATGAACCATCTGGAGAAGAAGTGGAAGAAGCTGGATAACGGAGGTGGCGCAGATGATGCCGAGAAGGCAGGAAAGAAGCTGGGATACGCCGAGGTCATCGAGGTGCGAGATCATTGTGTTCTGCGTAATGTGAAGCTAACGCGTTCACTCGTAGATTGCAATTGAAGCAATGTCGACGGTCCATGCCACCGACTACAAAGCAGGTGAGATCGAGATAGGCATCGCCTCGACGGCAGAGGACGAGAACCCAAAAACGCGGGGCTTGTGGCGCGTCATGAACGAGGTCGAGGTGGAGAAGCACTTGTTAGCTTATGCCGAGAAGGATTGATCACAATACCGTGTACAACAATTGCATCATATTCTATTCCATTTCCACGCTTGCACGAGAATAATTATAGTAGCGTCCAAAGCGCAAACATATAGAGCGGTGGCAGCAACAAGCCTCACAGCGCCAGTCTAGTATAACGAAGCACCTCCGCTCTATGGATTGAGTGAGCATGGCGTGAGGGCACTTGACAGCAAGAATGACGCACGGTGATGGCCTCTATTTCCTCCTCTGACTGTGGCACCTTGTTTCTGTAATTCCAGAAGCGCGGTGGTGCCTCCCAGAATTCGGCATATACGTTGCCGGTATTAGCCGAGGTTTTACTAGGGGCAGGGGCACTTGAAGGGCTCGCAGCTGCACCAGAGAACGATTTTTGGAATTCCGGGGGAGCATAAGGATGCGGGTGCGAGGGCTCTGAAGCTGTTTCTATGCGTGAGTCTCGACTTGGGGGTTAGGGTGTGTTATAAGCGCACATGAGGGCCACTTGCGCTTGCCCAGGAAGTGGATCAAGGGCCTGTGGACGTGTGCTGAGCGGACGGCGCGGGTAGGGAGCATCGTCGGGATGAGGTGCGGGTATCGACGTGCACTTGGTCAAGCGTGGGCCGAAACGGAGCGGGCGTCTGTTTGGCTCTGTTGTCCTCCAAGGCCGCCAGTGAAGCGCGCCGGATTCGGACATCGGATATTGACTCCTCCTTTAACGCGTCCAGGCAATTGCAGCATGTCCAAGAAGAGAATATCCTACTACTATGACCGTAAGTGCACTCTCAACAGTTTGTATGAGTGCACTGACAGTGCTGTAGCCGAAGTCGGGTCATATACCTACGGCCTTGGCCATCTCATGAAACCACATCGGATACGCATGGCCCATGAGCTCATAACCGCCTATGGCATGCTCGAAAAGATGAGCGTATTGGTTAGTTCAGGCGATAACAGCAGAGGGATGTCGGGTCTTATGGCTTGCACAGCGTGCAAAACGCGCTTCTGCAGAGTCCATGACCGCCTTTCACACCGACGAGTACATCCACTTCCTCAGCAGAGTCACCCCGGAAACCGCGGACGAGCTCACCTATAACGGGACAAGATGTGCGTGTGTCATTCTCTTGCCACGCATCGTTTATTGAACATTTGCAGTCCTCCTTGGGGATGATAATCCACCGTTTGATGGAGTCTTCGAATACAGCTCTATATCTGCTGGAGGCTCACTAGGTGCGTATATCACACCCCCCCTGACAAGTATTGGTCATTCATCCACTTGCAGCCGCTGCGAGACGGATACAGGACGGTGCTGCAGATATCGCCATAAATTGGGCAGGTGGTCTTCACCATGCCAAGAAGCGAGAGGCATCCGGCTTCTGTTACATCAACGACATTGTGCTCTGCATCCTCGAGCTGCTGAGGACGTACGCCCGCGTGCTGTACATCGACGTCGACTGCCACCACGGGGATGGCGTGGAAGAGGCGTTTTACACCACGGATAGGGTGATGACCTGCTCGCTGCACAAGTTTGGAGAGTTCTTCCCCGGGACAGGTACGCTGGACGACAAGGGGTATGGTAAAGGAAAGGGTTACTCAGTGAATGTGCCTCTGAAGGATGGTATACGGGATGATTCGTACAAGAGCGTGTTTGAGCCGGTATGTCCCCGGCTACTATCCGTTGGCCAGGACTCACGCGTAGCAGGTCATAGGCAAAATCCTGGAAGTCTTCAGACCATCCGCGGTTGTCTTGCAATTAGGCGCGGATTCGCTCGCGGGCGACAAGCTCGGATGCTTTAACCTCACTATGCACGGTCACGCGAATTGCGTCACCTTCCTACGCAACGCGGGCCTGCCGCTCGTTCTGCTCGGCGGGGGCGGGTACACGACGAAAAACGTGGCGCGCGCGTGGACGTACGAGACGGGCGTCGCGCTGAACATGGAGCAGGAGCTGGACGACAATCTGCCGTGGTGCTCGCACTTTGAGTGGTACGGCCCGCGGTACAAGCTCGAGGTGCAGGCGAACAATATGGACGATATCAACGTCAAGGATGGCTCGCTCGACCGGGTGAGGATATCGGCGCTGCAGCAGCTGAGCGAGCTAGGGTCGAGGAACGCGCCGTCGGTTGGGATGCATGACGTGCCGAGACAGAGCGTCGGGAGTCATCTGGGCTTGGGTGACTACGATGTGGATGTCGAGTCGGACGGTGATATGGACGACTTGGACAGGAAGTTGGCGCGTAAGTTCCTGCTCCCTTTCCAGTCGGTGACACCTGTCTCATGAGCACTGTTTTACAGAGCATGCGCGGTACGTGTACAGGCTACAAGAGTCGGACGCGAACCAGAACTCGGACGAGTCGGACGAGGACTCGGACACATCTTACAGCTCGCGGCGGAAACGCATGAGCATCCTGACTAACCGGTACTTTGACGCGAGTGCTGAACGGGACCCATGTGGGCAAAACCCGTCGCGGCGCAAGTTCTTCAAGAGTCGGGCACACTGGGACCCCACTTTCGGGCAGGTGACTGTGAACGACCGGTCATTGTTTGCGACAGACAAGTCGTTGTCAACTACGATGGAGAATGGAGGATCGACGTCGGGCTATGCGGATGCCATGGACGAGGATCAGGATTGATGGCCCTGTATGAATCACTGTATTTGTAGGATATATAGATTGCTGTGTACAATCGAGGCCATCATTTCGTCGTCAACTGAAGATCATGAGCTATGAAAATTGAGTGACTAGCGTATTAAACGTATTGTACATGAGCGGTTTCTGTCTACCATTCGTCTTCATCAGGCTCTTCGGACTTCTCGCGTGGCGGCCAGAATGAGTACGGGGCCTCATCCTCTGTATCTGGTCTCTTCAGCACTTTCACGGCTCTCTTGAAGACTTCTTCGGCGGCGAGAGCGGCAGCATCACCTGATAGAGCGATGTGCGGACAGTGCGAGGGTGTCACTATGACGGATGAAGGGCTTCTGCCTTCTGGCACCCGCAAAGCCGAAGCTTGCTGTATGTAAAAGGCCTTGAACAATGGTGAGATTTCCGCAGAGGAGCATTTCGACAAGGTCTCGGTGAGATAGGGCGTCAGCAGTTCCTCTGCTGATAAGATCGGTGGATGGGCGAGAGGCATGGCAAGATAAATGAGCCCTATATGGTGTGAGCACGAACGTCGCCACGGCATGGTCTGGACACTTACACTTCCCAGCTGGTGTTGACATGGTGCCTGGACCTTGGATATATGCATGTACTGATGTAGCTTCGGAGCCGCTTTGCAAAGACTTTGGAGGAAAGACAATGACGCCGCTGTCGACAGGAGGCCGTTCGGTACTGTCAGGTTCTGCCTGATCGTCTCCACTTTGAGCAATATTTGCGAATTGCAGCGGTTGATCGACAATGGCCACGGCTCGTGCCACGGCACTGGGATTTGACACATCCACTGATGTATTGGATGCTGGCGTGAATGCCAAGTCACGGAACTGATCGGGGAGGAGATCAGCAGATGAGATTATGCAGCGCGAGTGGATGGGCTTGGGGAACTTGTCCAAGTGGACGGTGTATCTGGTGCTAGGAGAGTCGCCATCGGTTACAATAGCAGCAGAGGTGACGGTCACGTTCAGTGCGCATGTATTTCCGCAGACAGCGACGATTCGACAGAAACCTTGAGCAATGTCACCCAGACCCCCATAGGAGCCCACAAGGAAGGGTGAGGAGCCATAATGACCCGCTGACCTCAAGCACCTTCTGATACGGTTCAAGCAGGGCAGAGCGGGTTCTAGGAAAACGATGGGTCTCGAATGGGAATGAGTAGCTTTTTGACGTGCTTACCATCAGAGGAATAGCAATAGGCCAAGGAATAAGCAATCGTTCGGGCAATCTCCTCGTTCAGGGAAAATGTCTCTTGGAGGAAAGTGAGGAATAGCTGATTCTCCTTGCCCTGAAGTTGTTGATCGTTTTCAAAGTCGCCGGCAGCAAACAGCAGAAATCGCATCAGACGGCGCTTCTCGACTAGACTTAGATTAGGCGCCTTGAAGACGTCTTCTTTGCTTTGAGGAACCATCTTGATCTCGGTGCCTTCGTAGATGCCGACGGGTCCCAGTAGCTTGTACTCGCCATAGCGATAGACTCCAGAGCCAACCAGAGAAGATATGAAGGGGCCGACCGAGTGGATGACGGACGGAGAGAGGGAGATGGAGTACTGCCGATGGTTAGTAGGAACATCACCATGCCAAGATGCGGATGTTGGTCGCGGCAAGATAGACGAATCCTTGTCGAGCCAATTCACGAATTCTTCGACACTGAAGACGGTGTCCTGTGAGCCATAGTGGGGGTTTGAGTCGACATGCGCCACACGGAAGCCAGCTTTGGCGAGCGCCCTGGGTTTGTTATGCTTGAATACTGGGATTCGGGCGGGAGGGAGCAGAGCTCACGCAGCAACGATGGACTCGGTCAGGCCAGTGCCAAAGATGATTGCGTCGTAGTTGGGATCGGGGAAGCCGTCGTCGTCTGCCATGGCGTGCAGTTTGGTGATTATTATGTTTGTATATAATATTGAGTAATCTCGGATCAATCTTGCCCCTTTCCGCCTGCCCTGAACTGATAGGATCACGTGTAGTTATCGAAATTTTGGGATTTGGGAGCTGGAATTGTTGTGTTTCCCTTCCACCCGCATTCCAATTCCAATGGCGAAATCCTCAGCAAAAGCAGACAAAAAGTCGTCCAAGGAGAGCAAGTCGGCTGCCGGGAAGGAGGTGACAAAGCAAAAGGCCCGTTCCTCCAAGGACATCCTCGCTAACGGCGCTGTACGTACAACAAATAACTTATCGTCCGGAAAACTAACATAAATCTCCCAGAAGCCTGCCAAAAAGACGCAGCCCGTCAAGCCTGCCAAAAAACAGGAGAGCAGCGACGAGTCCTCTGACTCCGACTCTGACGAGGAAGAGAAGCCCACCACCAAGACCGCTGCTGTTCGTGTGATCCTTGTTGCCGCGTTGTATGCATTACTAACTCTTGTGCAGAAGCCTGCAGCTAAAGCCAAGGCATCTAAAGCCAAGGCTACACCTGCCAAAGCACCCAGCAGCGACTCTTCTGACTCTGATTCCGACTCCGATGCCGCACCTGCATCAAAAGCAAACGGCAAGGCAAACGGCAAAACAAATGGCAAGGTACGCACATCCCTATTATATTGCCACACCGGAGATTGAACTTATAATTTATTCATAGGCGAAGGTGTCTAGTGACGAGAGCAGTGAGTCTTCATCAGAGGAGGAGGCTCCTGCTACCAAGAAGTCTTCTCCCACTAAACCCGCCGCTAAAAAAGCGGCCGCACCACCAAAACCCGCATCCGACGATTCTGACGATTCTTCCGACGAAGAGGAAGAGTCCAAGGTAGAACAAATAAAAGCAGCGGCCAAGGCTAATGCATCGAGCTCATCCGAGTCGGAAGAGTCGGAAGAGGAGAAGCCGGCTCAAAAAGCTGCTTCAGCTAAAAAGGCTGCTCCTTCGCCCGCCAAAAAAGCACCCGCCAAGAAGGGTGAGAGTTCATCTGATGAGGATAGCTCGGATGACTCGTCAGAGGACGAGAAGCCCGCCGCGAAGCCGGTGCCGGCCAAGGCCACGCCTGCAAAGGCCGCTCCCACTAAGAAGGCAGACTCTGACTCTGACTCAGACAGTGACGAGGACAGCGACGAAGAATCCTCCGACGAGAAGGATGGTGATGTGGAGATGGCAGAGCCTGAACCTCCTAAGGGTGCGTCTACGTACTGTCCACTGAATTACCTTTAACCCCTATGTTACAGGTAAGCGCAAGGCTGATACCCAGGATGCTGTCCCAGCGAAAAAGGTCAAGATTGCCAACGGCGATGCCATGGATGTTGACAACGAGATCAAGAGCATATTCGTCGGACGGTTGTCATGGAACGTCGACAACGACTGGCTGGCCAAGGAGTTTGCCGAGTGCGGAGAGGTCGTCTCTGCTACCGTGCAGATGGACCGCTCGACCGGCCGCTCGAGAGGATTCGGATACGTCCACTTTTCCACCTCCGAGGCTGTCGAGAAGGCCATCGAGTTGAACGGCAAGGAGATCGACGGCCGCGCCGTCAACGTCGACAAGAGCAACCCACCGAATAAGGACGCTTCGCGCGAGAAGCGCGCCAAGACCTTTGGCGACACCACCAGCCCACCGTCGGCTACGCTGTTCGTCGGGAACCTTAGCTTCGGCATGAACGACGACGCGCTCTGGGAGGCATTCTCGGAGCACGGCGAGGTGAAGAACGTCCGTCTGCCTACGGATCGGGAGTCCGGCCGGCCGAAGGGCTTTGGTTACGTCGAGTTCAGCGACGTGGAGACCGCGAAGAAGGCGCATGCGGCTATGCAGGGAGTGGAGCTGGACGGTCGGTCTGTTCGTCTCGACTTCTCGCAGCCGAGAGACGATTCAGGTGGTGCCCGGGGAGGCCGGGGAGGCGGACGGGGAGGTTTCGGTGACCGAGGTGGTTACGGTGGCCGGGGCGGCTTCAGTGACCGGGGTGGTGGCCGCGGTCGGGGCTTCGGTGACCGTGGTCGTGGCGGTCGCGGTGGTCGCGGCGGTGGCCGTGGGGGCGGACGAGGAGGAGCTCGCTCGGGTACCATTACTGAGTTCCAGGGCGAGAAAATTACGTTCTGATCTGTATGCTACCAGCACGTCGTTTACTTACTGACTCTCGATCAGCGTCTCTTAGGGTTCAATACGCATGTACATGTGCTCTAGTTAAAAACATGGTATGATCATGTCCTCATTATAATAATTAGGGGGTATATATCCTATGGCTAAGGGCATATTGGGTCAAGTATCGTCATGATTAACGGTGAGTCTGGAGAAGGGATGAAAGTGCAATGATATCAGGGATTACCGCCCATCGAGCGCTGGATAGCCGTCCGGACGGGATTCTGGGATGGCTGGATGGCCCCAGTCCTTTCTAGTCGTTCGAACAGCGAGAACAGCTTCTCGGCCTCTTGTTCTTTCTCTTCTTCGGTCATGTCCAGTTCCGGCTGCTCTTCTTGGTATGTTCCGGTGATGGGGTTGATTGCTCGTCCCGCGTCGGGTCCTGTGACCGTAAGCGATGACTGAGGTGGGGGAGCAACGATGTTCTTCTTGAAGAGGAAGCCGGCGACGTTTCCGTATCCAAAGTAGGCGGAGAGGGTTGCAGCTAAATGAACCATCAGGGTCACTTCGGTGAAATGCATGGGCCTACTCAATGAGTCGCTTACCGTCAGAGTCGCACATGGCAAAGAGGAATCCGCCCATGGCGTCGCACAGACGACTGTGGTACATGCTGGCGAGGAGGCGCAGACACCGGCCGAGCGTGTCGGCGCGGTGCTGGAGCGGCGTGGAGCGGTCGAGGTTGTCGGGCACGAGCCAGTTGCGGAGCCGGAGTTTGACGGGGTCGTCTGAGTGGCAGAAGCGGGTGAGGAGGACGACGAGCGGGCAGAGGATCGCGTCGAGGTTGGTCTCGCCCTCGCGCTTGCAGAGCTCGCGCACTGAAGGGTCGTCTGGGTCTGTGCTGCCCGAGATGAAGTGCGCGAGGGAGACGTCAAGCAGGTCTGTGGCGCGCTGTACGGTGTCGGCTGCGCGCGAGGTCGAGCGGACGGACGACGGGCGGGAGGAGAAGGAGCGGCGGCTGGCGGAGACCATTGCGGACAGAGCTTTGTCCAGTGCAGGGCGGACTCTGTGTTCTCTGCCGCTGGTCGGGCTTGAGGTGATGGTGGGGCTGCCGGAGACAGGCGAGTCCTTTGTCGAATCGTCACCATTGGCCAGACTCTGTTCGGATGCGGACGAGGCAGAGGACGATACGGGTTTGGGAGACTGTCTGGAAGTTGAGGACGTGGATGAGCGTTTGCCGAACCATGTTACTCGGAGAGAGGAAGAGACGGGTATAACGATGAGTGAGTGGAGTACATGAGTGAGAGGGGGTGCCAGAGGATTTGAGGTGGCGAGAGGAAGGTAATTAAATACCCGGAGGAGAGGGGCAAGGATACTGTTGGTTTATGATGTGAGAAGGATGTTGCTGGGTATACACTGTGACACAAAAGAACGTACCCATCGAGACGAGAACTCCAGAAGTCACCCATTACTTTGGAGGCATCTGTTGCACTAGATGTAGAGGCACGAGCTCCAAGGGTCTGGATCTCGCAGTCCACAATCTACGGAACGGCGGTGAGGATGTATGCCGAGATGAGCTCGAAGAAATAATACCTTGGGATAATGCAACAAGAGATTAAAGATGAATTTGAGAAGATCCATCATGGCCTCACGAGCCATAGGCGTTCCGGCTAATATGTCATTAAGCAGATCATCCAGTTTGACTTCGATTATGTCAACGATTGTGCCGGTACCGTGTGGGGTTGAGCGCTTGTTTTCGACGAGCTTCGTAATGAACACTCCGGAAGAGTGCGAAGACGCTGTGCACAGAAACAAGATGCGGCTGATGAGGAAGATGGCCTCGGGCGAGGTCTTTGTCTGGATAGTTGGGAGAACGTGAGTATATGCAGGAAGTCGGAATAGGGCACTTACCTGGAGTAATTCGACACAAGTTTCGCCACCCTCAACATCCTCGCTGATCCAGGTCATACGAGCGGCCTCGACAAGGAGAAGAGTATTGGCAACACATCGAAGGGCTTCATTGCCTCCCTCCTGCTTGTTATCGAGTTTGTTGTAAAACTTCAGAAGGAGAGCGAGATTCGAGGATTTGGCAAGAACCGCAGCTTCGGTGGGCATACGCCCGAGAGCCTTCAGGGTCGCAAGGGCCAAGGGGGCATCTGGACATGCTCGTACGAGTGAGACAAGAGCGATCGATGAACAAGACGCACCTTCGGATAGTAGTCTGCCATCTTTGTTATCTATGAGAGCTGCTTTGAGGTCATCGAGAATAGTCTGGACGAGTTCTGGGCGGGCGGATGGATCGACGGTGAGGGGGGCTGAGTGGCGAGGAGAAGATCAATAAAGTAGCCGGGAGAGCATAGGAGAAAATGAATGCACCGTTGATGATTGATTGAAGTGTTTCTGCGACGGAGGATCTGGAGGTGGAATGGGAGAAGGAAGTGTATGTCTGGACCAGTGACATGGTAGACACACTGTGGCCGCGTACACTGGGATCAGAACACAGAACACTAGACGACGTCGACTCAAGAGTGTCCGCCTGTTCAGGCCCACGTTCACAAGAGCAACACAGCACGGAATTTATTTTCCCCTTGGCAACGACGTTGCACACTACGTACATATTCGGTCATTGTATGCTACATAACACACTATCCAAAACTCCAGCCTGGCTCGTGAACTTTGCGCCCGCACCCCTCATGTCCGGGCGCCGTCAGTAGTCGAAAGAGCGGACAGTGATCTCGCGTCCGTCGTCGGCGTTTGTTGTTTGGCAGTCACTGTATGGAACATCCGGCTCAGCAATTTAGCGTGATGGCACGATGTCAATCCAACAGAGAACAGGGATCGCAGCTACTTTGGGCTCTCCAGATGCTCAGACAGTTCTGGGAAGTTCTGCTCCAGCGCATCTCGGAGGATGTGTCGGTAACTCTAGTGGAAACGGGGACTGTGAGTGGAGAGATAAGGAGGGAAAGAGAACGGTACCTCTATGCCCGCGATCTTGCCATTCATGAACTGATTCTCAGTAGCTGCTCGTTCCAGTCGCTCCTTTGTGAGATGCATTGGGTTCCGAGCAGCATCTATGTCTGAGAGTATCTGGAACGGGATCATGGTCCGTGTGCTCTGGGCGATCTCGTCGACTACACCTAGATGATGAACAACTTCGTTTCTGCGACGGGGTTTAGCTTTCAGTTTGACGAGATACGATGGACATTACGCACGCGCGTAACGCAACCTGTTTGCCACTACCTGGCTTGTCCTTTTCCTTGGTAGAATCGTTGATGACGGTGGTGCCCATGTTGTAAAGTGAGTTTGCGAGGGCGAGCAGCTCTAACTCGATATCGCCTTGTGCGCCCGAGGGCGGGGGCGAGTGAGAGGAGCGAGGCGAGTCTGGTGCAGGTGAGGCGTGCATGGTCTATGGTTACAGACGTTCACAATATTATTACAAGCACAAGATAGTCGGACTGAGCGTGTGAATTTTTGCTCTGCGGGAGGTTTGTGAATATTAGGCTGTACTGTGTCGGAACTTCCTAAAGGGGCATTCTAATGGGTTCGGAAGTGCCTTTAATTATAATCGATGATAATGCGCATTGTAATGCATCACCATCGAAGTGAAGCGACTAAAATGCTGTTTTCAACGCTTACTAAGCGGTTACGATGGGAATTTTTGCATTGTTATGGCCATTGTAATGCCCTTGGTAATGGAAAGTGCCTTTCATTACGATCGATTATTATGTATTTTCCATTGTAGTCGATTACAATGGTTCATAATGCGCCTGAGAAAGTTCTGGCATGGTCTGCGCCAGAATTACTAGACTACGCCGTTGGCGCCGGATGTCGTGTCTATGATCTGCGTCAGTTCATTGTATTGGCTTAATAATAACAGTTAGTCAAAGAAGGAGATGGTCGAGCTGCGGCGGGAGAAACCTCGGTCATCTGGCTGACATGGGCGATTGGAATGTTTGTCAGCCCGCGCTTAATGGAAGGGAGCCGAGGCGGCAAATTATAAGGAACGGAGGATGTGGTCGCGTCTTCCGTTCCCTCGCTCGTCACTCCAGCCCCCAGTGAGCTCACCACCTGCTCCACCACAAGCCTCCGCCACTTCGCTCCATTCGGTGCAAGAACGCCGATTGCGACTCATGGCGTCGTGCACAGACCCAGAGGGCTGGAGACTCGTGTCCCGAACACGCGACTTCGATATCGCCCTCTGTGCCCAGGAGGCCTGGTTCTTCCCAGCGATCCAGGCACTTTTTATCCTTTTCGCCCTCGCTAGACTCGCTCAAGTCTCAAGATGGGAAAAACAAGACATCACCAAACATAGCAGATGGAGACTTATTGCAAAATTGGTTTGCCTTTTCGCCTCCGTCTTTCTCGGACAACGTCACGCTCAGATCTGTTCTTCTCTGTACAGGTCCTCCTTGGTCTTGCCTTCTCGGCCTCAGTTGCCAACCTCGTCTTTATCGCTCTTAGACGCGTCCCGGTTCCTTTCTTTCCTAATTACCCTCTCGAGGCCGTCCTACTTCTCGTCGCCCTGCCCCTGACGTACCTTAATCACCAACGGACGCGTCGCTCGTCCACTCTCCTACTGCTCTTTTGGCCGATATACACCTTGTTCACCGTTGTATGGACACGCTCAGTCTTGCACGCCCATCACGCTGGCATCAACCGCAATGGCGTCGTCGGTCTCCGCTGGGCTGCTGTTGGCTTCGGCCTCTTCGCGTTCGCGCTCGAGTTGATCAGCCCCGCATACGTCGACAAAGGCAGCACCGAGAGCCCGACGCTTACCGCCAACATATTCAGCATCTGGTCCTTTGGCTGGATGTCCCCCCTCCTCCAAAAAGGCGTCAAGGAGTACATCACCGAAGCTGACCTACCCGATCTTGAGCCAGAGGACCATGCCACTCCGCTCGGCGAGAAGCTCGAGAAGGCGTATGTCAAGAGGAAGTCGCTGTGGACCGCTCTCTTTTTCGCGTACGGCGGAAGCTATATGTTCGCCGCGCTGCTCAAGATCTTCCAGGACGCGCTCAACTTCCTCCAGCCTCAGCTCCTGCGCTGGCTCCTCTCGTACATTTCCTCGTATCAGTCTGCCCGCGACCGCGAGAACTTGTACTTCCCCATGTCACGGTTGTCGGGAGGATCGGGCTCGCCTGTCGAGGGGTACTCCATCGCGGCAATGATGTTCATTGCGAGCATCATCCAGACGGTTATTCTGCACCAGTACTTCCAGCGCTGCTTTACCACCGGCATGCGCGTTCGCGCTGGTCTTGTGTCGCTCATTTACCAGAAGGCGCTCAAGTTGAGCAACGATGGGCGCAGCAGGGCGAGTGGAGACGTTGTCAACCTTATGAGCGTTGACGCGCAGAGGATGCAAGATTTGTGTTCGTATGGGCTTATTGCGATTTCTGGGCCTTTCCAGGTATGTTTCATTTGGTTTCGTTGGATGTCGGTATTGACCAAGAGCATTAGATCTTGCTTGCTTTCGTTTCGCTCTATAACTTGCTCGGCTGGTCGGCCTTTGTCGGTGTTGCTATCATGGTCTTCAGCATCCCGTTGAACACGTTCATTGCTCGCATCTTGCAGCGCATGCAGAAGCAGCAAATGGCGAACCGTGACTCGCGGACGCGTCTCATGAGCGAGCTGCTTGCGAACATCAAGAGGTAATACGCTTACCGCTACTGCTCCTTAGACCGTCGTGCTGACAATAGGCTTACCAGTATCAAGTTATATGCCTGGGAATTTGCATTCATTCGCCGCGTCCTGTTCGTGCGGAACGAGAAGGAACTCAGGATGCTCAGGAAGATCGGCGTCGCCACTGCGCTGAACTCGACCCTCTGGGGCGGCATCCCGCTCCTCGTCGCGTTCTCCTCGCTTGCGACTGCCGCCGCGGTCTCGTCCAAACCGCTCACGGCGGACATCATCTTCCCGTCTATCTCGCTGTTCATGCTGCTCCAGTTCCCGCTCGCCATGTTCGCGCAGGTGACGTCGAATATTGTGGAGGCGATTGTGGCGGTCAGGCGGTTGAGTGAGTTCCTTGCTGCCGACGAGCTCCAGCCGGATGCGGTTACTAGGATCGAGGAGCATGATGCGACGCGGCAGGGGCAGGGGCTGTTGGCGGATGGTGAGGAGGTGTTGAGCGTGAAGGGCGGAGAGTTTTGGTGGAATGCGAAAGATACCAAGCCAACGCTGGAGGATATCAACCTGAGCGTGCGCAAGGGCGAGCTCATAGGTGTCTTGGGCAGGGTCGGCGCTGGCAAGAGTAGCTTGCTGAGTGCGATTATTGGTGATATGAGGAAGACCGAGGGAGAGGTCGTGGTTCGTGGTAACGTGGCTTACGCTGCGCAGAATCCTTGGTGCGTCACTCTTGCTTTGGCTGTTAGCTTCTGGCTGATCTTTGTAACAGGATTCTGTCAGCGACTGTCAGGGATAATATCTTGTTCTCGCACGAGTACGATGAGGAGTTTTACGAGATAGTCATCGAGGGTGAGTAAAGTATGTGTTAGTTGTTGAGCAATGACTTACCTCCGCCTGTTCCTCTCATTAGCTTGTGCTCTGAAGCATGATCTTGCTTTGCTTTCCCAGGGTGACTTGACCGAGGTCGGAGAAAAGGGTATTACACTCAGTGGTGGCCAGCGAGCTCGAGTGGCTCTCGCCAGAGCCGTGTATGCACGGGCTGATTTGTGAGTCGAGGATAGTTCAAGTATATCAAGGAACGATACTGACCGAATACGCTAGGGTTCTGCTGGACGACGTCCTTGCCGCTGTGGATGCACATGTCGCGAGGCACATCTTCGGTGAGTGTCCTCTCTTGTTCAAGCATGTATACAGGCTGACCTCTGGACTATGTAGACAAGGTCATTGGTCCAAAGGGTCTCCTCGCGAGCAAAGCTCGAGTTGTAGTTACGAACGGGATTGCGTACCTCCGTCACTTTGACCAGATCGTATTTGTCCGTCGTGGTATTGTTCTGGAAACTGGCAGCTACGAGGCGCTTATGGCGAGAGAAGACGGCGAGATTCGGAAGTTGATGTGCGTGTTCCTCGTGTCTCTCTTACCTCATGCATGCTGCGATTAACACGTTTTAAAGCGCCAACCACGCGACCAATGCCAACGGAAGCACATCTTCCTCGGGGTACTCCACACCGTTCGCTGCAAGTAGGAGTGGGGCTGCGACGCCTAGGACCGAGGGATCCTCTCCCACTGCTGTGAGCGAGATCAGGGAAGACGACCTCGAGAAGATTGTGTCCGAAAAGGGCCTTGTGCCCGACCTCAGGCGCGAGTATGGGCGTGCGCGTCTCGCTGCTCTGCCCAATGTGCGTGAGTTGGCCACGTCCGGTCCGACGAAGGAGCACTCGGAGCAAGGACGCGTGAAGAAAACCGTGTACAAGGAGTATCTCAAGGCCGCTTCAAGATGGGGTTTCGCGCTGTTCTTGCTTGCACAGGTTCTGCAGCAGGCGACGTCGATCCTATCGAGTTTCATCCTTCGTGCTTTGTCGGACGCGAACGATGCGTCTGGCGGGCACGCGAGCTCGGGCAAGTATATCGCCGGGTATGGTATTGCAAACTTGGCGAGCGTCTTGTGCGGAGCGGCGGCTGCGTTGCTGATGTGGGTGTATTGCTCGCTGCGGAGCTCGAGGAGGTTGCACGATAGCATGTTGGACGCTGTGATGAGGGCCCCGCTGAGCTTCTTTGAGCTCACGCCCACCGGAAGAATTTTGAACCTCTTCTCGAGGGATATATATGTCGTGGATTCGGTCCTTGCACGGGTGCGTTCATTGTATTCCCGTCTTGATATGCGCAGTGCTAACCCGATGGTGGGTAAAGGTGATACAAAACTTGGTCAGGACGACGGCGAGCTGTTTGTCCATCATCCTTGTCATCGGGATCAGCTTCCCACCATTCTTGATTGCCGTCATCCCGCTTGGATGGGTCTATAAACATGCCACGCAGTACGTTACCCTTGTCGCTCTTGCATGTAAGTATTTCTGATACACTCGCTTCGCCCCAGGTACTACCTCGCAACCTCTCGCGAGCTCAAGCGTCTTGACTCGGTCTCGCGCTCACCCATCTACGCCTGGTTTTCCGAGTCTCTGTCTGGTCTGCCGACGATCCGCGCCTATGCTCAGCAGTCTGTCTTCATCGCTCAGAACGCGCAACGCCTTGACCGGAACCAGATTTGCTACCTCCCGTCTACAAACATCAACCGATGGCTCGCTGTCCGTCTCGAGTTCGTCGGCTCGAGCATTATCTTTATCGCGGCGATCCTGTCGGTGACGGCGGTTGTGACTACCGGCGTAGACGCGGGTCTGGTTGGTCTTGTGCTAAGCTATGCGCTGAACACGACTAGCTCGCTCAACTGGCTCGTGAGGAGTGCGGGTGAGGTGGAGCAGAACATTGTCAGCGTCGAGAGAATATTGTACTACGCGGACGAGTTGCCCCCTGAGGCGCCATTCGAAATTGAAGGTGCAGAGACCCGAACTGGTGAAGGATGGCCTGCAGAAGGCGCCGTTGAATTCAGGTAAGTGTTCAGGGCTCGGTTGTTACTTCTATGCGCTGCTCATGCGTTGCACGTCGCAGGGACTACTCGATGCGTTATAGGCCCGAGCTTGACCTTGTGTTGAAGAATATTAACCTCGACATCAAGCCTCAGGAGAAAATTGGAATCGTTGGCCGAACGGGTGCCGGCAAATCATCTGTGCGTATTCACCTTTCTACCTGCCTCTCTACAGGCACTAAGAACGCCAAAACCAATATGCTGTTACCTTCGTAGTTGCTGCTGGCGTTGTTCAGGATCATTGAACCTGCTTCGGGCGCAATCCTCCTTGATGGTGTTGATATTGGATCGCTTGGTTTGCATGAATGTACGTCGATCACATTAAAGTTAACGTTCTTCAACTAATCGCGACAACAAATGTATGCAGTGCGCTCTGCGATTTCGATCGTCCCGCAAAATCCGGACCTATTCGAAGGCACGCTCCGGGAGAACATTGACCCTGTTGGAGAGCATGCCGACGTGGATATCTGGACGGCGCTGGAACATGCACATCTGAAGCCTTACATCGAGAGTCTACCGGAAGGGCTAGATTCCCATGTGGCTGAGGCTGGGTCGTCGCTATCAGCCGGTCAGAAGCAACTGTTGTGTTTTGCAAGGGCGCTACTCCGCAAGGTGTGATTTGGATTTTGTTTCCACCTTTGCGCTAGACTTACCTTGGCTTCGTGGTTTACAGTCAAAGGTGCTCGTTTTGGATGAAGGTGCGCATTATCGTACCTGTGTATTGATGCTTGCCTGCTCACCTAGGAATCTCTCGTTGTTTTCGGTGCACTTTTGGCTGGGCCTTCATGACCCTTATTGTTCACAATGGCAGCTACATCGGCCGTCGACTTGGATACAGACAAGGCTATTCAAGAAATCATCCGAGGCCCCCTGTTCAAGAATGTAACAATCCTGACAATTGCGTATGTCCCCGCGTTCTGCTTGACCTCTCCTTTGCTGATGCGATATCAATCCTGATAGTCACCGATTGAACACAATCATTGAGTCCGACCGGGTGTTAGTGCTCGATGCCGGACAGGTGCGTGAGCCTTGCTATTTCTGGTTTGCACCACTAAATTGGCTTTACTTTTGTTTCTTGGTGAACCATAATGTAGGTTGCCGAGTTTGATGCACCGGAGAAGTTGCTCGAGGATGAGAGCTCTATCTTCTACTCGATGGCAACAGAAGCAGGACTAACTCAAGGGAATAGAAGCATGGAGAGTACAGAAAAATAGATTTGAGCAAATGACAGGACACAGCTGTGCCCCCTCAGTTTCTATCATTCACTATTCCATCATACCGCATAATGTAGTCAAAGCATTATAAATTTAAATGACTGTTCTCTTTGTGTTGCAAATCTGCATTAGTGGTTCACGAGACCAAGAGTATAACCAGATTAATATTATCAAAAACTTGGTGCAGCAGAAATAGAGACGACGCGAGCGTTGCACCTAGTGGTCACCAGGCTTGGGCGATAAAAAACTTAGAGCGCCAACGGGAACATAACGTGGACTCTAACAAGTTGCTCAAGACTTAATCACAAGTAAATGAACGAAGTGCGATTGACTGTAAACTAAAACGAAGCACAAAGTAATACCAAGCACAAAGCAAGGAAAGTGAGATACACTATGTAGCTCTAACAGTAACAGCGTAGATGGGAATGTCGTCGCCGTGCGTACTCCGGTCGCTCGTTAAAGTGTCAATGGTAAGAACAAGGGTAAGGAGTTAGTCCATCGTACGTTAAAAACTACCATCGCCACCATGAAAGAAACAATAATATCGTCCAATGAAAGCTATTCCACCCAAAAAGCCGAGGAGAAAAACGTAAAATCACAACTTAGATGTATATAAGGTGTTTAAGCGAACACGGCGACGGCGAGCATGACACCGGCGAGACCGGTGATGGCAGAGATGCCGAGGGTCTCAGCGCCGTTGGAGGTGCCAGAAGGGGCAGCACTCGAGCTAGAGCCCGAGGGGCTGCCAGAGCCGACACCAGAGCCGGAGCCAGACCCAGAGCCGGAGCCAGAGGACGAGCTACCGGTGGAAGTGGGCGCCGACGAGTCAGAACTCGACGCGCTCGACGCGGAGGACGAGGACGAGGACGAGGTGGGGGTGGCCGAGACGGGCGTGCCGGTGGGCTGGCCGCTGAACAGGTCCTTGGACTGGTACTGCACACAGTTGGACGACGCGGGTGGGGTGGGCGTGTACGGTACGGAGATGGTGCCGGTGTAGGGCTGCGAGTACGTGAGGGTCTGACCGGCGGAGGTATAGATGCCGACGGGCGCCATGTCGTCTGAGTCGCACACCTCGAAGGTGCCGTCCTGGCCGTTGTTGGGCATGTTGTACGTGCAGCCCAGCTCGTCGTAGATGTTCTGGCAATACATGTTTTGGTCGTCTTGGCTGCTGGCCGGGTCACAGATCTTGATGCAGAAGATGTTGCCGCCGACAAAGCTGTTCCAGTCGATCACCTGGGTGTATGCGTTCGTGTTGGTGTTACCGGCGGGGTAGGCGTTCGAGTACATAAGACCGCCAATGGGGTTGCCGCGCTAATACCGCGCCAATATCACCATCAACGCCGTGATCAAACAAGAAAATAATATAAGACGCACCAGGTCAGCACCGTGAGGGTCAAGCTCTCCTCCATAATCACCAGCGGCGATGTTGAGCTGAGTCTGGTCCATGAAGCCGGCGATTTGGATGTAGTGAGGGCTCTTGAGGACCTGGATACCGGTCAAAGCGCCCGAGGGGATGACACGGGTGCCGTGACCGGGTTTGGTGCACCAGGCGACTTCCTCCTGCTCAGTGTCGCCGATAGTGGAATCGGGCTTGGGGGGAGCCCAGAGGCAGAAGTCTTACGGGTTGTGTGATTAAGACGGGTGTCAATACGAGGGATAACGGGAGACTCACCATCGATGGAGTTCACGAACGAGGTCTGGCACATGGACTGCTGATTCTCGGTGGTCGAGTTGCAGATGTTGTAGCCAATCTGTGGACCGCGGAGGGCGTCGGGGACGTAGTCGACCTGGTAGGGCTAGTGGAGGCAAGAGTCAGAAGTGGGAAGTAGATTGAATTGCAGGCGTTTGCGTACGATGCCATTGGGGTAGCTGTACTGCTTGGAGACAAGAGGGGTGGGGTCCTTGGGGTCAATCTGGGCGAATGCAACCGTGGAGGCGGCAGCGATGGTAAGGAGAGTAGAAAGAGTGGCGCGAGACATGTCTCAAGGAAATTATGTTGCAAGTGAGTGGTATAAAAAGGGCTGGAGTCAGGAGAGTCGATGTTCGTGGGGGGGAGAGAAACAGCGAAACTTGATGGACAGCGCATACCTGGACGGGTTTTATATATGAGCGGGACCTGAGCAGAATCAACAAGAGGTGGAATGCAAAAATCAATGTGCTGTCGGTGGTGGAATAATTTCATCGGCTTGATCCGCGTTTAGCGCACGGCCACCTGTGACCGCCCTCGCCTTGCTTCGAAGCCGCGATAAACTCTATCTTCAACGTTTCAACTGTCACTCACTGCCGCAAGGCGTGCCCTTATCTGAGAGCATCGAAGCTGCCTGACAGGACGGTGCAGCCGACCAGAGCGACCACGACGTCCCAGTCAGGGGGACTCGACTTGTCCTCCGGATAGTGCCGAGGTCTACAGCATCGGCCATAATGTCGAGCTGTTCCAAACCCTTCACTGGTACTGGACTGTTGCCGGCGTGGGCGTCCGCGAGTGAATAGCACCTCAGAGGGAGTAAAGAATACATTGAGACCAACGTAGCGTTCGTAAGCGTGTCGCTGTTGCTTTCTGTCGCAGAGCCTACGAAGCTCGTACTCGAGCGCTGCAGCGCATCATCGAGGTTAGCACCCTTTGGGAAGACCGTGATACGGTTTAGAAATGATTGGATGTTCGCATCCTGTGAGGACACGATTGTGTTCAGCAGAGTCAGGCTTGGAGTCAGGCAGATGTGATGTTACTCAAAACAGGGGCCTTCGGAGCCATGGCCTCCAGTCAGAGGGAGGTCACGAGACCAGGAGTATAACAGAGATTATCGAAATTTTGGTGCAGGAGAAGTACAGAGACCACGATAGACAATGGCCGGCAGACTCAACGCAGGAGCCTTCGAGTTTGTCCCCGGCAAGGCCTTCAGGGTCCCCGGGCAGCCTCCCGCCCAGCCGCCCCCTCCACCTGTAGAGCGCCCAGCCCAGGAGACCGCCCCTGCGCCCCCTCCGACCATCACCCTCAACATCGGCGGATCGAAGCCAACTCCCCCACCCCAACCTGCCCATCAGACACCTCCTCCAGCTGTTAAGCCATCACCACCAGCCGCACCCACCACCGCGGCCCCGGCTTCAGCTGCGAAAGCCTCGCCAGCTGTTTCAGCGCCTGCCTCCAAATCCTCCTCCCCTGCTCCTCCCACCTCCAACAAGGTCTTCTCAACGGAAAAGGCCAAAACTGATACCCTAGCCATCGCCCGCGAGGTTCAGACTGCGGCTGATCTAGAAACACTCAAAGATCTCTATGGCGATGGTGTGTTTCGCTTTCCTCACTCCACCATACCCATCTCCCTCATCTATCGTCATAGTCAAGGAGCACCTCAACATCGTCTTCATCGGACACGTCGATGCAGGCAAGAGTACCCTCGGTGGCAACCTTCTCTTCATTACCGGCCAGGTCGACAAGCGTACGATGGAGAAATACGAGAAGGAAGCCAAGGAAGCCGGCCGTGAGACCTGGTACCTCTCCTGGGCCCTGGACTCAACCCCGCAGGAGCGCGCCAAGGGCAAGACCGTCGAAGTTGGACGTGCCTACTTCGAATCCGATACCAGGCGATACACCATCCTCGATGCCCCAGGCCACAAAACATATGTACCCTCGATGATCTCCGGCGCGGCACAGGCAGACGTTGCCATCCTCGTCATCTCTGCCCGCAAGGGCGAATTCGAAACCGGCTTCGAAAGGGGTGGCCAGACGCGCGAGCATATCATGTTGGTCAAGACGGCTGGTGTGTCCAAGGTCGTGATCGTCGTCAACAAGATGGACGACCCGACGGTCCAGTGGGACCAGACGCGGTACAACGAGATCAAGGACAAGATGACGCCGTTCGTCAAGGCGGCTGGCTTCAACCCCAAGACGGATCTTACGTTCCTCCCTGTGTCTGCCTATACTGGCTTGAATCTCAAGGATCGTGTACCGAAATCGACGTGCCCGTGGTGGGAGTACGTACTCTCCCTAATCTCTATCGCACCATCCTAACTCGCTCATGTAGCGGCCCGTCCTTCCTCGAGCACATGGACCATATGCCCATGGTGGACCGCAAGATCCACGCGCCGCTTATGGTGCCCATTTCTGAAAAGTACAAGGACATGGGTGCTATCGTGGTTGGCAAAGTTGAATCGGGTCACATGCGCAAGGGCGACAACCTTCTCCTCATGCCAAACAAAACTACCGTTGAAGTCGCCGCGATCTACAACGAAATGGAAGACGAAATACCCGTGGGTCTGTGCGGAGACAGCGTGCGCGTCCGGCTCCGTGGAGTCGACGACGAGGACATCTCGCCCGGCTTCGTGCTTACCAGCCCGAATGCGCCCGTCCACGCTGTACGGCGCTTCGAGGCGCAGTTGGCCATCTTGGAGCACAAGAGCATCATTTGCGCGGGTTACACGGCTGTTATGCACATCCACACGCTTTCTGAAGAAGTTACGCTACCGGTACGTTGCGTTCATGGGCTAAGCCTTGGGATTTTCATTCATGGTGTCTTTTAGGCACTTCTTCACTACTTTGACAAGGCTACGGGCCGGAAATCGAAGAAGCCCCCTCAGTTTGCAAAGAGGGGTATGTCGCGTTCACTCCGTGCCCATCCTCCTATTCTAAACGTGCTACCCAAAACAGGTCAAAAGATCGTCGCGCTCGTCGAGACCATCTTGCCCGTCTGTGTAGAGCGGTTCACTGACTATCCCCAGCTGGGACGTTTCACGCTCCGCGACGAGGGCCGCACGATCGCTATTGGCAAGGTAACGAAGCTGCTTGATGACAAGGCTGACGACGTTACCGAAGCTCTTGCGAATGCTACCCTCGGATAAACGCGCCATGCCTGTTGTCAACGCGAGGCCGTTGTACTATTTCCCCGCTGTATCCTTCGTTCCTGCAGATGCTTAATTAGTTGTAGTTAGCTCGTACGTGTATAGGAACTAGTTTGTACGATCTGTTGTTGGACGTCGCATTGAATTGCAATATCCACCGTGCCGAGTGACACGCCTAAGTGCAAGTAAGCCGCAAGACAGGGGTGTTGCTGGAATCAGAGCACGCGGAGTGTTGTCCGGATATGCCGTCTTGAACGTTCCGCGTTTCTCTCTATTCTTGCAACTGCACCGATAAGTTGCGAATGTCCCGATAACAACTCGCTTTACTCCGTTTTGACCACGCATATACCCACCTACAAGTTTCGAGTCAAGGATGAGCTCGGCATTCAAGACGGTGCCGTACTCGCGACTGCGTACGTTGCTCATGCGCCATTTACGCGACAGTAACTGACAGCATCCCGAACCATTTTCATACTCGGACCAGATAGCACATGGCAATCTAGAAGACGGTGAACAGGACGACAACGCTGATGATACCCTGTTGCGCCATTCCGACGAGCGCGTCAAGCTGGAGAAGCAGCTCTTACGAAAGCTCGATGCGCGCATGGCGATCCTTGTGCTCATCTACATTCTCAATTACGTACGTGAACAGCAGACATGTGTGCTCAACAACGATTTGATTAGGCGCACTCATAGATTGATAGGAACAACGCTGCGTATGTCCATCCAATTCTCGGACAAGCAGAGCAAGGTTGAGACTCACCGGTTGTTCCCAACAGTGCCGCACGACTACATGGCTTTGAAGAGGATCTCCACCTCGAGGGCCAACAGTTCAACACGATATTAAGCATTCTCTATGTGGGATACATATTGATGCAAATCCCATCGTACGTGCCTAACTTGTATGCGTGATGCCATGCTCACAAAACGTCCCAGAAACATGTTCTTGAACCATATCGGCAAGCCCTCGATATATCTTCCGGCATGTATGACCGTATGGGGCGTGATATCAGTCTTGACGGGTAAGCTCAACTGACTTGTGCGTTCAGGGGCAACAGGGCTGACATGAACAGGAACCACGACCAGGTAGGAGTCTCGTGCGATATACGTGTGCTCCTTGAATGACCCAGTGTCAAGCTATACAGGAGCATTGACAACACGTTTCCTCATCGGCTTTGTAGAGGCCGCGTTCTTCCCTGGGGCATTGTTCCTCTTGTCGAAATGGTATGCATCGTTTAACCATTCGCCTTGGTAAGGTCAGTATTCACGGCGCCCAGGTACAAGCGTAGGGAACTCGGACTTCGAACCGCCATTTTATCCTGTGGTAACATGATCAGCCAAGCTTTTGGGTCTCTGCTGGCTTCCGTGATCCTCGAGCGGATGGACGGGGTGCTCGGGTACGCAGGATGGAGGTCAGTGAGTTCCATGTCTCACATTTTACCTACAGATACGAAAATACGCTTCGCAACACACAGGTGGCTGTTCTACATCGAGGGATCCATGACCGTGGTGGTGGCCATTGCTGCGATGTTCATCCTGCCCGATTTCCCGACTACTTCGGCAGGATGGCTCACCGAAGAGGAGCGCGCTCTGGCCCAATTACGCTTGGAAGAAGACGTTGGCGTCGGAGATCAGCAAGAAACAGAACCGGAGAAAGACCAGCCTAGCGGCCTAGTTCTTGCGCTCACAGACTGGAAAGTATGGTGGCTCGCGGTTGCGCTTCTGTTCATGGTCATCTCTCTGTCGTTCAATGCGTTCTTCCCGACCTTGAGCGCAACAATGGGATATAGCTATACGGTGTCCTTGCTACTTTGCTCTCCGCCTTGGATGTTCTCGACGGCTCTAGCTCTTTGGGTAACAAGGCATGCTATGCAAATCGCTCCCCCATACAAAGCTAACATATCAGCCTTCCAGACGCTCAGATAGACTAGGTGAACGGTTCTGGCATATCACGTTCCCATTGCTGTTTGGGATCCTAGGCTTCTTAATCGCAGGTTTTACGATGAATACCGCGGCTCGCTATCTTTCCTTGTGAGCCACACTCTCTTGCTTATCCGTGCCGCGCTCAACTCCATTCTCAGATTTTTGATGGCCCAGTCATACGCCGGCTTCATCGTCTTCGTGGCGTGGATAAGTAACTCCATCCCCCGACCACCGTCAAAAAGGGCGGTCGCTCTCGCGTTCGTCAACTCCCTCTCATCACTGGGAAACGTTGTCGGCTCGTGAGTGTTTGGTTTATCCGAGATATACGCTGCTTGAACTGTTGACAGGTATGCGTGGCTCACGGAATGGGGTCCATCTTACCGTATGTCGTGCTTGATCTGTATAGCAGCTAGCTCGGCAGGCATCGTGATGTCGTGGATGTTCAGGCAGCACCTGCACAGGCTGAATGTAGAAGCCGAACGTAGAGAAGAAGCGGCAGGTCAGCCGAAGGGCTTTAGATATCTTATCTGACGATCACAGGGATAAGCAACAACTTATAGATTGGTTAGGTTTTTGTTGTGGCTTCATCGATGTAAACTGTGGCGCCGCCACTACCGCAACTGAGTGGACGAGGCTCCGCGTCGGTGGTATTATGAAACCTAACTCACGAGGAAGATGCCATGATGGGTGACGTCGGGGTAATTTCGGTACCAGATGATCAAGTGCGGTCCGTGATTTCGACTTCGAGATGAGTGTCATGGGGTCGAGGGGGATTATAGATATGTGCACACCGCGGCTACATGCTAGAGGGCCTCCGATTGCACATACCCGACATTGCAATCTTTCACCAGCGGAATAATGGCCACTTTGAGGACTCTCACCGAAGGTTGGGCTTTCACTCAGGTTGGCGGCGGAAAGGGAACAAAGGACGGCGAGTGGCTTGAGGTCGCGCACGCCCCCACCTCGGTGCACGTCGAGCTTTTGAAGGTGCAACGCATTCCCGATCCGGTGAGTAGAGTTTTCTCCTTGGGTTTATTGTGTATGCTGAAATGTGCATACCCCACAGTTCCTTGGCTTGAACGAATGGGAAGTTCAGTGTGAGTGAAGGAACGGTCGGCACCCTAAGTCCTTGTTGATTGTGAATGCTCACGGTGTCTCCTTAGGGGTCGGAGAGACCGAATGGGCCTTCAAGAACTCGTTCAAAGTTACCGAGGAAGAGTTGTCGGCGAGCAACGTCGACCTCGTCTTCGAGGGCTTGGACACCTATGCTACCGTGAAACTTGTAAGTCTGACAACGGGCGACATTCCAAATATTGAGATGCCCACGTATTTTACCCGATCTCGCAGAACGGCCAAAATATTTTAAAGTAGGAGATTTCATAACCCTCACCTGGATGTTGCTCAGCATGCGCATCCAGCACCGAGAACCAGTTCATCGAATATAGGGCTGCGGCCAAGCAACACTTGAAAGCTGGAACAAACGAGCTGGTCATCACATTCGCGAGTGCATTCAAGAAGGTACGGTCATTGATGACTTCCAACGCACTGCGAAGCATTGATGAACGGATTCGTAGGGACGAGAGCTTGAGAAAGCCAACGGCAAGCTCCACCTGTGGAATGGAGACTCGAGCCGTCTTCACGTTCGCAAGGCTCAGTACAAGTACGTGATTTGACAATAACTTGAGTTAACTCACTCAATCGTGTGTATTAGCTATGGCTGGGATTGGGGTGAGATGGCCGTCATTTGACGATACACTATTCATGACCAATTATATGTAGGTCCGGTCTTGATGACCGCTGGTCCCTGGCGGCCCATACATCTTCACGCCTATAATGTCCGCATCGTTGACCTCGACGTGAGGAGCAAGGTCTCCGAGTCGCTAGAAGTCAACACAACTGTGGACATCAAGCTGTCCGAGAAGATCACGAGCACGGCCACCATCGAAATCAAAAATGCCAGCGGACAAGTCGTGGCAGCCGCCAACGAAGTCAAAATCGCAGGTGGAAGCGCCCGTGGAGAGTTCAAGTTCGCACCAGGGGCAATCGATCTCTGGTACCCCGTCGGGTACGGCAAGCAGCCCATGTACACCGTTAACACGAAGGTGTACAATTCCGTGAGTGGACGCATGCGTTTATCTGCCCCATGACACGACACCTGAGTACCGTACAGGAAGGAAAGCTTCTGGATAGCTCACTAGACAAGGTTTCGTTCCGCCGAGTCCAAGTCGTTCAGGAGCCGCTGGCTGACCAAGAAGGCAAAACCTTCCTTTTCGAAGTAAACAACATCAGAATTTTTTGCGGCGGTGAGCGACTGGTCGGGAAGCCATCCTAGACAGTCATTTGACGAAGTCATGCAGGCTCCAACTGGATACCCGCGGACTCGTTCCTCACGACGTGTGTAGTCGCCGCTTGACACCTGACGTTCTACTGCTTTAACTTGCCTTTCCCATCTAGAATCACTCCAGATCGGTACAGAGCATGGATACAGCTATTGGTGGATGGAAACCAAAACATGATCCGTGTGTGGGGAGGAGGGGTTTTCGAACATCAGTCCTTCTATGATGCCTGTGATGGTTGGTCTTTCATTTTACTATTACGTCCAGCAATGTTCACTTAGTTTGGCCTTGCCAGAACTCGGAGGTATGTCTTCTAAGGCCATGATTATATAAGGGTAAAAGCTAATCAGTGCCTTGAAGTTCTCGTGTGGCAAGATTTCATGTTCGGCTGTGGCCAGGTAAGTACCCTCTTCCTCCGATCTAACTTTACTCACGAGCCTTCGAAGTATCCCGCGTACGACTCCTTCCTAAAGCTCGTTGAGGCCGAGGCGGAGCATAACGTGAAACGTCTGAGGCATCACCCCTCTCTCGTCATTTTTGGTGCGCATAATACCCACAATTAACTTCCCCGCAGCGAACCTAAGCTTGTCTTCCCATTCACAGCGGGAAACAACGAGGACTACCAGATCGCGGAGTCGCTGAACATTGTCGACTACGCCGATGAGACGTCCGACTTCCGGGTGACTAAGTTCCCAGCGCGGCACATTTACGAGCGCACACTTCCTGAGATCGTGGGTCGGCTAAGCGACGTCTTCTACCATCGTAGCTCGCCGTACAGTGCACCAGGGGTGAAGACAACAGACAAGACCCTGGGTGACTTGCATCAATGTAGGTTAAGGATCATCGATCAAAAAAGTCATGCACATCACCTAAATTTTTGTCCGTCGGACTAGGGAATGTCTGGCACGGGACTCAGGAGCCATGGCATAACTGGGATATTCTGGCAGGCCGCTTCGTCTCCGAGTTTGGGATGTGCGTCCCACCAATCCTTGCTGCCCGACTGTTAGGCGATGCTCATTGATCTCGTCGGTGATTAGGGAAGGCTTCCCAGACATTCGAACTGTCGACTACTGGCTCGCGGGCAATAAATCGGAGCGGTACCCTCAGTCCAGGTGCGTGATTCACGTTAGCGCCGTAGGTAACCGACTCACGCAACATCATGTAGAACGAACAACAGTCACAACAAGGCGGACGGGTTCGAACGCCGGCTCGAGCTGTACCTCGTCGAGAACTTTAAGCATGCGTTCGACATGGAAAGGTAGCGGTATCTCCATTTGCGCGTACTTCCGTCGCGCTGATCACTTGCATGCCAGCTATGTGTACTACACGCAGGTAATGCAAGCAGAGACGCTCTCCGCGGCGTATCGTCTCTGGCGACGAAACTGGAAGGGCCGCGGGCGGGAGTACACCGCCGGGGCACTCGTCTGGCAGGTAAGTGTGGACTCGCATCTACGTTGCCCCGAATTGCGCTCTGAACACAGACGCGTGCATGATCTAGATCAACGACTGTTGGCCAACGACCTCGTGGGCGATCGTCGACTACTTCCTCCGGCCCAAGCCCGCTTACTTCGCGATCGCACGCGAGCTGAAGCCGTACACGGTCGGTGCGGCGCGCAAGGAGGTCAAGACGTTCGCGAGCGACCTCTCTGCCGCGGACTTCACCGTCGAGAGCACACTTGCCGTTTGGGGCTCGAACTTCACCCTAGCCGAGAAGAAGGTGACGCTCGAGCTGACCGCCTTTGACCTGCACTCGGACTGGACGGAGAGCTGGACCAAGGAGGTGACACTCGCTCCGAACATGAGCGCGGAGCTCTGGAGCGGGCGCGTCCCGGGCACGGAGGTGCGCACAAAGCTGAGCGATGTGCCCCGCACGGTGATCGTCTCGACGCGGCTGCTCGGGGACGATGGGACCGTGCTCGCGCGGTACGCTAACTGGCCCGAGCCGTACAAGTTCGTCGACTTCCCTCCCGTGCCTCAGCTCGGGCTGTCCGTCCTGGTCGGCGCGGATGGAGAATCCGTCACGCTCGATACACGCAGGCCCGTCAAGGGCATTGTCCTTGATGCCGAGGGCGAAGGTCCGGACGTGCGGTGGTCGGATCAGGCCATCGACCTCGTGCCCGGTGATCGGCAGATCGTGACTGCAAAAGGACTCACAGGTCGCAAGGTCAGCGTGCGTTTCTTGGGTGATGGAAGTGCGTGAGTGTCCGTCTGACCAGAAGGAAGTCGCGAAGACGGACACGGATGTAACACGGAGGAAGGTGTGAAATACGAAGTATAATGAAAATCGTATCATCGGGTGTGTACTTAATTTCAGCGACCGATGAAGGATCTTGCAAATGGGCACGATGAACGAAAGCTCGCGACCTGTGGTGCAGTGTTGAGTTTACTGCGCAAGAGGCCGAGTCCCCTGCTCTTCTCCACGGCTGCGAAAATGGCTGAGTTTGTACCCGGATGACGCACCTGATGTTTAGCTCGGTGGCCCCATGCGGGGGATCAGCGCTTCGGCGCGTCCATATCTGAGACCGCGCCAGTCACGAGAGCAAGATCACTCACATCACCGGTCGCCACTCAGGGGCTTCATCACATACCGCGGGTCAGCGATGACCATTGCGTGCAGACCACTCGGCGATGAATCGTTCGATGCACTCAGCGCATCTTTTTACGCATATATGGGTTCCTCGGGCGATGAGACAGTCAACAATAATATGGTCGCCGGAAATGAAGAGTCCAGCGCTGTACGCTCCATTTCATCTAAGTAATATGCGAACCAAAGACACAGTAAACCACTCTAAGGAGCACAGATCAAACCAGGAGGACAGAGACTATGTACCGAAGCATCGATTAAGTAATAGGGCTACGTATATGCGCGCTTGTACAGGAATGGGCGCGGCATGGGGGGAGGGCGAGAGCTTACACAGTACAGATGCAGATATGTATTAAGAGAGAGGAAAAGAAACGGCAGCAGACACGGAGGTGGAGGGCATGGGGGCATGGAGGGAATTAGACGGACAGCGCGAAGCAAAATTCTAAGATGGAGAGCAGAAAACAGGGAGCGAACGATCGTTCCTAGCGGAAGAACCAGGGAGTCACAGGGATATGGCGGCGCGAGGTAAATACTACACGTATACGTATAATGCTGGTCCCGAGGGGTAATGACGTGCAGCGCAAGCACCGCATATGAGAGAAAGCGTGCGGGCTAGCCGCACGATGTCTTCGTATTCAAGGAAAAGTGTTCATGATCTGGGTTCGGTTTCGGTGTACCTTTGCGGAGTGCAAAAGTGGGCGTGTATCGAGAACGGTCGGTTGAGGGAGATGTTGGGTGGAGCCAGCGGTGCATCTACATCACAATGCAACCACCCTCCTTGGGTTGTTTCTCCGGCTGACCACCACCGGGCGCACGACGTTCAATCTCAGCAAGACACAGCTCGAAGACCTTGCCTACGTATGATGTAAGTTCCTTGTCAAAGATGAGGAGCGGGGATATGGGGATGTAGAAGGGTCGGGAGAAAGGGTCCGAGATGAATCGCCACTTACCAACATTGACGTTATTCTTTGCGCTGGTCTCGACCCAGGCAGCTTTGGATTGCTTGGCAAATTCCTCGCCTTCATCGGCGGGCACCTGTCTGCTGGGGCAATTGTCAGTTCATTATGAATGCTAGGAAACCAGCTACACGACAGCCGAGGTTGTTTTCACCACAGGTTGGTAAGAAGAAAAAAACAGACCTTGAGGAAAGGTCGGTCTTGGTACCGACGATGACGCATGGGATGTCATTCTTGCCACAGAAGTCTGCAATCTTGTCATACACGATCTTGACCATTTCAAAGGAGGAGCGGGAAGTTATCGAGTAAACGAGGACATAGCCATGGATACCGATAGCATGTTTCGAGTTTAATAGTGAGAACTCATCCTGTACAGAGGAAAGGTGCAGTGAAGGTAAATAACAAGGAAACAGGGTAAGATGGAGGACGATATTACCTGACCAGCGGTATCAACGATATCACAGTCATATTCGACACCATTGTACTTGACAGCTTTGGAGAAGGTGGCCTCGATGGTAGGGTAATAGGACTCGACAAAGTGGTTCTCGATGAACTGCACAATGAGCGAAGACTTGCCTATGCCGATATGTGAGGGGACGAGTGATGTCGCGTGACGGATAGATGTACTGACCGACAGAGCGGGAGCCGAGGACGGCAATCGTTCTCTTCCTCATAGAGTTGGCAGGCATGACTGAGCGCGTGAAGCGGGGGAGAGACGAGGGAGGGCGGCGAGAATAACGAGACGCGATCGCGACAAGGCCAGTGTCAGGTATGAGCTACTTAGTTGGAATTCGTCGATATTGCAGCCGAGGCAAAGTGGGTGGCTGAGGTGAGAGTCGAGCTTCGGTCCGGGGAGAAAAAATGAGCACGGAGTAGGACGGTGGTGTACAGGGGGGGTACAAAAGAGTGTCCTGGACGGAGGGTAGAAGAGGACAGGACCAGTGGTACGAGGGAGATATAAAGGAAAAGAGCAGGTGAAAATGAGATGTCCGTGGCGGAGGGGGAGTGTGGTCGGGGTCCGTGGGGTTCCACTGGAGTATTAAGGGTGGTGATCAGACCCAGGAACGGAAGGGGCGTTTGACCGAGACCGGCGGGGACGAGGGTGGCTGAGAGTTTAGAATGGTGGGCGCTTAGAGCAGACGGAATACGGAAATGTGATGCGAGAATTCTTTCCTCCTGTCAAGTGACACAGAGTGACACCACGCCTGTGTCACCCCCGGCCCGACGTCGCTTTCATAACAGATCTCAGCGCTCACGCGTCTCCAGCTCCGACCGCCCACTAGCCGAGCAAATGGCCCCGCGACCTGGGAATCCGGCGTTCAGAAAGGCACAGCGACTTCTGCCAACCCGCCCCCACAGATAGACGCCCATTCGAAGAACCACTCCTCCGTCCCCATATTCTCATTTTGAGCAAATTCCACTTCCCCGCGCGTGCTCCCCGCCTCCCACTCTAACGTCACCACTTCCATATTCCTCCTCCTGTCCTTTCCTGCTCTCTCCCTCCACCTCGTCCCTGCCTGTGATTTAGCTCATTGATCTCTTGAACTCTTATGCACTCATAATTATCCACCCATGCTGCTAGCTACACCAATCACATGGTCTCCGTATTCCCCCTTACTGCCTTGGGAACGACGACTCCAGATCCTGCCGACGCCGTCGCCAGATCGCCAGGTAACTCAAGTCTGACAGCAGTCGAGCCCGAGACGTGGCGTACGTGGCGCGCCCATCTCCGAAAACATACCTATATATGTGCACCTACAACTTGGCCTCGTATAAAGTTTGACGACGACAAATTCCTTGTTTCCAGCGCCCCGCGGAGGTCCTATGAATACACCACCCTCCTCCCACCTCTGCGATACTCGCGACGTGGCTGTTCCGCGTCCAACCGCCTGGCACCTACATCACATACATTTAAGCGTCGGCCGGTCCTTGATTCTGATATATTCTGCATCGAGCTCGCCAGGTGCTTTCAAAAGGCACGGACACGATGTCAACACCGCCTTGCCGCGCTACAAATTCGTACTCTACAACAGATCCTCATGCGCTGTGGACAAAGCACTGTATGGGACACCTTTGGGATTATGTACTCAAAAACGAGCTGCGTTTCCATCTCGTTCGCTGTCCCTCTCTGATGCGCCGGAGCCATCTGGCGCCGATCCTGGCCGTTAACGAGCAAAGAGCGACCTCAGCCAGTCCACTTGCATGTGCACGCTGTGGATCCCCTGAGATCCCAATTCGCCCTCCGAGTTACCTCCGGGCAGCTCGGTGGGTGAGGGCCTGCGAGGGCTCGGTAGAACGCGTTGCGACGCGACAAACACGAGATGGCCCGAATCCGATCCACCAATCCCGACAGACCCAGCACAGCCCAGCACCAACATAGAGCAGCCCACAGTGGTTAAAGTACATACAACATCCTGCCCACGAATTCAGTCCAAGGATCATCCCGGCGAAAGTTTCCGCCATATCTTTGGTCTTTCCGCGCCACCTATTTAAACATGGTTCACCAACGTTGCGCGCGCCGTTCACGACACGGCTTCCACCGAACGTCGAGACGCGCGCGTCTCCTACATGCTCCGGCGACAGCAGGTATATTAAGGTATATTACATATCGCAAAGACAGTATACGACGTTCCCGGGGATCAAACGCGCTCGTGGCGTGTTCTGCCCCGCGCCGTCAGACACACCCTTTCTGTGCTAGGTACAACCGGGGTCCAGGAGGGTCCAGGGACAAATAGGCTGTTAAGCTTATCCTGGTACTAGCACAGGTTTTTTCTGGCGTGCACATGCTTCTGAAGCTTAATTATCATAGGTAATCGTCGGGACTGACGACATGTGAAACTGCTTGAATGGCTTCGCCGTCCATGCATTTATCCGCTGTCCAAGCATTCTCTACCATTACCATTGCATTACCACCTGAAATGCACATTGCCCAGCTGCGGACGCTTCGAAATTTTGAGCTGAGAAGGTTTCATACATATGTCCACAGCAGGAGTATAATGCCAAATTGTTCTTAGCCTGATACGAGGCTGTATCTTGCCTGTCTGCTTGTGGTCTATAACATTGAGGATTTGTTGAGAATAGCCCGGAATGCAGGATTATAGAAGCACAGGCTGAGCAAGTGACGCTGACAGAAAAGGCAAGTCTATTTATAACGTCCGAACAACATCCCACTGCACCATTCTTGTTACACGAATATGCATTAATCGCCAACAAGAGTACATATAGACAAGGGGAAGGAATGTTCAGTGGTGTGGTATAGAACTCAATGCTACCTAACGAATGGTATAATTTATCAAGAAAAACTAATAGCATCCCACAGCAAATAGCGCCAACGAAGTATGTGCTCGCACGCACAACTCGCACTTCATTCAACCTTTTTACGGTCGAACTAGAAAAATGGGACAACACAATTAACAAACATTTTCATCAAGGAAAGTAAACGTCGGAAACTTACGACCGTAACAACCGTGCCATCCTCAAGCTTATCCTTCCGTGGAACCAGCTCATACCCGAACACGCGCGGCAGGATGATGCGCCATGCGGCCCAGTAGGCCACACCGGCAAGCATGACGCCAATGCCAACCAGACAGTAAAGATAGTACGGCAGCGGAGGGGTGTCGCCGACGCCGTTGGGAGGACGGAGGAAGGGCGCGATGAGAACTGGTATTGGGGTACATCAAGGGTCTAGTAAGCCATAGTCGGGTGAAGGAGCAAAGGGGAAGAAGACTCACGGAAAACAGCCGCGGCGAGGAAAAAGACTGCGACAGGCCACCATACTGCGATGGTGCGTGTCAGCAAAGGAACCTAGTCTAAAGCAATATAGGTTTACCTTTGAACGGACGATGTGCGTTCGGTTTCTTCCAGCGCAGGTAGAATAACCCCTGAAAATGTTATGAATAAGGATTTAAATGATATCGACCAGTGGAGGGAAGGACAGACGAGAACGATGAACAAGTTGATGATTTGTCCCGGGTATCCTTCGACATCAAGGATGAATGGGTATGCAACATTTGGTGGGGGAGCGATGATGACGATCACCTAAAAAAAGCTAAGTAAACCGGCTCGCGTTGATTAATAGTTCAGACGTACGGATGGTATCAAATGGATGATTAACCCCGGAAGGGGCGACTTCCCCGTCGGCCAGTTGGATGCCCAAAACTTATTGCCGAATGGGAGAGGAATGCCCTCTTTCGCGAGCTCCTGGTTGACGCGGGACTGGGCGAAGGTCTGAAAGAAACCCGAGGTAAGTACGATATTGTTACATTGTACGAATTTTTAGCTCACAATAGTGACAACGTTCTGTGTAACGGAGGAAAAGGTAAGTTAGCGCTCAGTGATAAGGGGCGAGAATATCGTTACCCCGAGAGCACTCAACGCGACAAACACAGACAACGCACGCTCCGCCGTGGATCCGAAGACCTGGCCAAAAAACAACGCCGCGACCGTAACGCCGCTCGCATCAATTTGCTCCTACCAGTTAGTAACCTCAATGAGCACCCATTTTTCCTCTGGTGTAATCTTTATGGCGCACCTTCGTAGCAGCGCTGAAATACGCGATGTTTGCAAGCAAGTATAGTATCGCACATATACCAAGCCCGAGCGGACCAGCGATCTTGAGCGTGCGCACGGGGTTGCGCACGTTGTTGAGGACGTAGTTGACGTTTGACCAACCAGAATAGGCGTTGAGCACCTTGAACATCGCAGTAGCATACTGTGCAGACGTTCTTTAGCACTATGAGCACGACAGAGGGCTAAGTAGGGCTCACGTCGTTGCTGCTGTTTGAACTACCCGCGAAAGCGTTACGAAAGTTGGCGTGTGGGTCGGCGATGCGGGTGTGACCCCCAAGGACTACCCATCCCGTGACGACAACAAAGACAAGGATGACAATCTTGAAAATGCTCAAAGCCTATGGCATGCCGGCCGTATCGTCAGCATTCAGACTTGAGCGTTTGGCAGAACACCCACGTTCATGAGCACTACGCCGGCACGGGGCGTCAGACCATGGACCAATGTCACAAATCCAATAACTACATACGTGCGGAGTCAGTCAGTCAGGCATGGTCATTATTTAGTGCATGTGTGGTACGTACCCCCGAGTGCAATACCGCGCTCTGACCACCGAGTTGCTTCATGTCCGGCTGACACGAGAATGCTTTTAGGGAGACTGTAAGCTTGCTACACTCATAACTATCTATATCGACCCACTTGCTAGCGAATACCTGAAAGCAGATATACTGTTAGCACCACACAACGTGATGTTCAAGAGCAAAACACTACACACAATACACCCACTTGCTGTGAACCCCAGCAAGATAGCGTTTGCCGCAAACATGATGGTAGCGAGGTACTTGGGACGCTTGTATACCGCTTCGAGATAGACCTTCTCGCCTCCACTGCGGGGAAACATCGTTCCGAACTCGAGCCAGATGAACAGACCGCAGAAGGAGAGGACGAAACCGAGCACCCAGAGCAGCAAGGAGGCGCCGACAGAACCCACCCCGGACAGAATAGAGGAAGGGGTGGAGAAGATGCCTGTGCCAATGATACGCCCGACGATGAGGAGGGTGCAGGAGGTGACGCCGAGATGACGGCCCATGCCACCGGCAGTGTCTATGTGCGTGCGTTTAAGACTCTATGCACTTGGTGAGATGTGCTGTATGACGCACCCTCGTCAAAGGTGAGTTCTCCCGGATTCAAGTCGGCATCATCAGCCGTCGCTGGATCCCCTTTCTTCAGTTCTCCATCTGACGAGCGCGAGTCCGCGACTGCGAGGTCATCCTCGGTCGTTGATGGCGGGTTATCCTCCTGGCGCCGAAGGCGGGCCCAAAGCGAAGCCATGGATGCTATTAGGAGAGCGGGTGGGAAGAGGGAAGAAGAAAGTTGGGAAGGTACAGCGAGACATATACAGGCATTTGGGTGGGGTTGGCGGCGCTTGATGGCGCCATAGGAGTCGCAAATGATAAGCCCTCTAAGCTTCTATGGTCGGGTCGTTGATAACACCGGAAACGGCGCGGAAGTACTTTCTTTGATGTACGGGACGAACAGCGCGTCACTCGCGTGGTTGTTGTCATCATCACACGACAGGTTTGATAACCTTTTGACCTCTCCTCCTCTCACCCACATGTCCTGTCATTGTATTCAACGATCCCGGTTTTTACCACACAAGCGCTTGTCTCCGTACCTCCATTCTCGATAATGCAAAGCTGTGTTCACATGCACAGGCCCCACCAGGATATTTCCAGATCTAACTTGCGTCTTGCATGGCGCAATTGATGCAAGAGACTCCGGCAATGAAGGTAGCTTCAACCATCACCAAGTCAATATCATCGGGGTCAACGACACCAGCTGGTGGCCTAGCAGAACCAATCAACACCCAAGGATACAACGAGGGACCTGAAGCAAAGGGATGATCCACATCGCATCTGCGGATAGGGGTTTAGCTATTATCAATATGCTCATGACGTGGGGACGTCAGTACTTCAAGTGGACTTGTGTAGGGTGTTATAGCATCCACCCTAGGTATCCTTGCTGCTCTCGCTCAGCCCTTGTTACACTAGCATGACTTACTCGAACGCTGAATATTGTCTTCATGCACAAGATATACCATTCGCGGGACCGCACCGTTGGGATCTTCTGCCTGCTGTCCCTGTTGCAAGACGTGCCCGAGATTCTTGCCGCGCTAAGGGTCAAAGTTAGCAACTCACGCTTATCTATCTGAGCCTCGGACTTGAAGCTTGATATGCCTCTCGCTTGAAGGTTCTCCCTGCAGTGCAAAATACTATGCTGAAGCGTTACTACCTGCCTACTTCAGACTGGCTGCTCCTGCTCTCGATCCAAATTGCGCCCCAGTGCAAGCTCGGTTCCTCGCACGAAGCACAGTTTCTATAGCCTGACTTCAGGCACATATTGTAAAGCAACCTTCCTCACGCGGACGAGTAAACTTCAAGGTCGAGCACCGGGAGTGGCTTCTATGACGTCTAGGGCGCCAGGGCCTCTGTATAACCCCGACTTCCATGCCACCTGTCGAAGTCCTGGCGTTAAATGGATAAACGTGGCCTTCGGTCCTCAAAGCTTCAAAGCTTCAAAGTTGAATTGTAAGTATGCCCTACAGTATATCCCTTTTCGTCCTAATCGTACCTTGTCCAGACACAGTGCCAAACGTGTAGAAGGCCCGGCCAAGGTATGGAGGAAGAATGTAGGCTGGGCGGGAAGTCCATGGCCGCCCTGCGTATCCTCGCTTACGGTTGATGGTCATGCGCGCATGTAATGCAATATGTGGTAACCTATCGGAGAAAGGGTCTGAACCCAATTGCAAGGTGCTGACATCGCAATGACGATCATACAAGGAGAAAGGGGCCGATATGACTGTTCAATACGGACTGACAAGGAAGCATACAAGAAGGATCGTCAAGTCGATAAATATTTACGAGGTGTACGACTTCAATGGGAAAGCGATATCACGATAGCGGATGGACAAGCAAGTGAACGAGGGAGAAAACGACTACCGTTTAGGCATTAAATACGGCTCGTGGCATGATACACGATCTAGAACGGGTTGTCGTCGTCGTGTTTGATCTTTGAATCAGAGGGTCCTTCTGTGCTTGTGGGCTTGTCCGCGTCTTTGTCGCTAGTGGCCTCGTCGGATGATCCTGAGCCACCCTCGCGTTGAGTGAAGAGAGCTCCAGACGGTTTCGCGCCTCTAAGGTAATTGTTAGTCAGAGAAAATAACAGTGGATGGGGAAGTGGACGAACTTGGCAAATCGTTTCTGCTTTGCAGCGTTGAGTTTCTGAGTTACAGGAGTCATCATTTTGTCCGTCGGCGACACAAACTTGGGATTGCTGCAATGATCACGCTTAGAACAGGAGGTCTCGCGGCCAACATAATCAGAGTCGACGTACTTCGTCTTGGCCATCTTCTTAGCGAGGAGCGCCTGCGCGGCTGAGCCAGGCTTGGGCTGCTGGGTGGGAGCGCCCGGAGCCGGCTGAGTACCCACAGGAGCTTGAGGTACGGATACATGAGCCGCCTGAGATGGGTTGTGAAGTGGCTGAATGGGCGAGCCACTCGGGGAATCGGTGGGCGTCGAGGAAGCCTGAGCAGACATCTTGGTGATTTGTATGAAGTTGAATGGGTGATGCTACAGCGCAGTGGCAGACGAGAGATCAGTCGATCGAAAGTGAGATGTAGATATGAAAGCAGGTGAAGAGGAGAACTGGTCTTATGTATAAGCTTATGTACAAAAACGGACGGCGCTGGAGGTGTCGGTGGGGCGAGACAAAGGTCTTCGACTGGCAGCCGCGTTCAGTATCCAACCGGGGACGCGTGAAAGAAATCCACGTGACCGTTTTAAGACATCTTAATTAACACAGCCACCACGGGCGGGGCGGGCTTGCGTACGCGAGCCGCGTCATGCATTTGTCAAAGCCGCTCTTGACTTTTGCTCACTCCTCATTGAAACTACTCTGACATAGCTTTATCCTCTTATATACTATACAGACACTACATGGAGCAGAGTGATATACCATCTATCGACCTTCTTTCACCCCAAGGACACGACCAACTTCTTGCATTGCTACGTGACGGTGATCTCCTGGCCCCTGAAAGCCGGTTACGACCCGAGTATGCTTGTTGCCCCCCCAGGATTCAGAAGGGGCTCAGCTGAAACTTTTTAGACAAATAGATCGCATAACCGAAAGCCTGCAGTCCATTTCTGAAGCAGACGTAGCTGCTGATCGCGGTGAGTCCCTTGACTTTCCTGTTGTGTTTTTAAGGTGGCTCTTCATGTGGCTTCTGTCGCCACCTTGTATGCAATCCGTTTATCAGCTGAACCTAAAGCTCACAAGATGCGCTGTGTCCGATCTGCTTTAATACCCTCTTATCCGTCCTCGCCGAGGAAGAGACTGCACGCGCGCTTGATTCTCCGGCACATCCGATAGAAGAATGCGGGGTCGTAAAGCTTCGCGAGACATGTGGGCACATCTTTTGCCGCAAAGAGTGCGTACGATCGAGGTGGCCTTCGTCTCCAATTCTCTGACATTTAGTTGACATATAGCATGCTGAAGTGGTTGCGAAACGGGGTACCCTCCTTCTTGGCTTTTTCTAACTATTGTTCCTCATTATTGTGTCTTGCAGAATGGCTCCTGTCCAACTTGCCGTCGACCTCTCCTCGACGAACTTCGCAATGATGAAGGGTCAGATCAAGCACCACCGCAACCCGATATCTTGGCGTTTGAACAACACATACGCAGCTTGTTAAGCGCGCGAGAGCCAACAGGGATGCCAAGCGGGTTTATGTTACCTCCGTGGTTAAGCAACAACACCTCACGTCCAGAAGAAAATGACAGAAATCCATACGCCGGCATGTATTCGTAGAATATCTCCCATCCTAGTCATGCGCGTTTGACTACCGGCACCGTACACCTGCCTATTAACATAATGGTTGCTCATCTATTCCACAGAAAGTGTGTATCCAGAAAGTAGAATTTAATTGGCCAATTCGTATCAAAGTCCACGTTGTAAGAAAGAAGAAAACTGTCCGGTTCTCAGAATGCAAAGGCACTACGGACAGACCATTAATAGTAAAAATGAGCGGTATCATTACGAGGTAGTATTTCCATTCATCAGAATGTCCCGTTTCACGTCGATGTGAGTTCAATATAGCGAGAGTAGATAAGAGAATGGTCTAGTGTCCATGCCTAAGCCCAACAACCAACAACACGAGCGAAATCCCTTAATTCCTGCGGCAGCACCTGAAAAGGTTGCGCTTGAAGAAGTAGAAGAGACACTGGGAGCTCGACGTGAGTAGGCATTCAAAACAGATGTAAGTAGTACTTACGCCGGCGAACCGCACAACAGAAATACCGAATGTCGAGTATAAGATGACAGCAAAGTAGAAGTTTTGCTTCGTCCGGAGTTCAGTCTGATCCTCGACAGCAGTCTGGGGCGTAGAGAGACCATTGATGTTCTCAATGGCAACAGCGAGGCCAGCATTTGTAATCATCCACATGGCGACAAGACGAGTTCGGAAGGTCTTGTTCTCGTCATCCATGGTGGGCTTCTCAGGTACTTCCTTGACCTCCACCTTGGTGACAGCACGGGTGACGGTCTCCTTGAACGCTGCGTCTACGTCTTCTTGGATACGGTGTGTGTCCTCGACGACGCCCGCATCGGCATCCTTGCCTTTCGAAGACTTGACGGAAGGCAAGGCCTCGGCTTTGTCACTACCTTTCGTACCCCAAGACACCTATGGAACATCAGAAAGCTGAGGTGACTTCAACAAAAGCCATACGAACATCGTGCAAGTTACAGAATGCGTAGACGTTCAACACATTCGTGAAGCTGGGAGCCAAGCAAAGGTATTGGAAGAAACTTGAGAACATGTGCCACGGGTCACGCTGAACAAACCTGATAAGTCAGATGAAAACGCGAGGATTGTCATCACTCACGTAAAGGAACGAAGCGAAGAAGTAGATGCCAAATGTCGATACCATGGCGGCAATCAGAGCACCTACTGGTGGAGTGAAGAAGGTGACGATAATTTGCGTGCTGGTCTTGTTCTCCAGTTCTTTCGGGATATTCTGAACAAAACTCAGGCTACGAGTCGCAAGAGACATTTAGACGCTTACGGCGAAGGCTTTGCCGGTCAACCAGAACGAACACACGAGCAAATACACAGCAAAGAAGGCGTATACCCTGAGATGCCTGAGTTGCCATGCACATTATAGACCAAGGTCGCACTCACCATAGAGTGATGGTGTATGCCGCCCGTTCACCCTTTGGCCGATTACCCAGAGCTAGAACGAACTGTAGCCATTTGTGAGCGACTTGCGCTGTTAATTAAGACCGCACCGTACCTGTAGTGCGAGGAAAGCAAGATAAATCCATTTGAATGCTAAGTTGACCCAATGTGTCTGTGTGATATTAGCCAAGCATTGTGTTAGAGCAAAACCAAAGGACTCACGATATCGGCGGTGCCGAAAATGATGATGTTAACAGACGGGCAAAGATCAATAATGATGCTGAACGTCAACCAGATGTTCGCAAGCGAGAACCAGGAGAAGATGAGAGAAAATATGTTGTACTGAAGACGAATGGTGGTTATTACACAGTCCATCGCAGATGACTGTCAAGATGCTTACGGCAAATTGGATATGGAAGAAGAACATCCGAATGATACCGTGACCTGAGCGATAGAGCTTGAAGAAGTTGACAAGACCATACTATAAAGAGGCTTAGAGCGAGCATCACGAGACAATGTGCTAGTGTCACTCACAACCGTTGCAGCAAAAGACCCATTTAACCAACGACGCCGCTGACCGATGAGCTCAACGGCGGACTCCGGTACGTCTGTCTCAGCCTTAGAAGGCTTGACGTACGTTAGCGTCCACCTGTCTCCCGCCTTGGCAACCAACTCGAAGCAGAGGATACGATCCTCAGCCAAGAACATGTTCTTGGTGAAGATGTTCATTCCATAGATACCCTTCGGGCCCAGTCTGTCTGCGAGGGAATGGTCACCGTGGAAGTACTGCTCGAGCGGCCGGCCGAGAATAGCCCGGTAGCGGTATGCAGAGAAGGCACCAGGAAGCACAGAGACGTAGCCGAAAGAACTCTCCAAGGGTTTGTCTGAATAGTCGTCAGCAGGACAGCAACGATGCTGGACCTAGTAACACACCGAGAATGTTGGACATTTTATATTCAAAGTTTTGGGCAGCAACCAGAGGGTTAAGCAGCTTCCTACCACCCTCAATCATGGCATGAATTTCACCACAGCATCCGCCAAGGTGAGGATCGTTGTAAAATGCTTCCCAAAGGTAGTAGATGGACTTGTGGCCGGGTTTAGTTCCAGCATCAATCAGGACACAAGTTTCAGGCTAAAAATGAAGGTTGAGTAACCATCAAGGGAGAGGGCGTTCAATGTGTCACCTGAAGAATTTTACCGATGGCATTGAACAGCCATCTGTGAGAGTTGATCTTCTTCTGGTTCTTTGCCTTGAGCACAAAGATGATCTGCACTGGGACAAGGTTGTTGGGATCGTTCTCATGAGGGAGGACCAGCTGCGGGGTTGAGTCCACGGACAGCTGAGTCGTGTACTATCCAAAGATGTCAGCCCAGCGGTGGCGACATAGCATAAGGAATAGACACCTCAAAAATATGCGCCACTGTGTCCTTCCCGTCGACTTGCTTCTTCATGACACCATCTTGATACACACCCACAGTAGCCAAGATATCCAAGACACTCTTGTCCATAGCCTCAAGACCATCAACGATGAGAGCAACGGTGATGCGCTGCCAGCCAGGCATGCCCTCCTCGGCAGCGCGACGCCAGTATTTTGACTGCTTAGTCTTGCAGATGTCGCGAATGTTCAACATAACACCGTGCAGGGTACGGGCATACAGAGTTTTGTCTTCATTGTAGGAGGTGACAGCAATCAGCATGTCAGTTTGGCGGTTGTACATCTTGGTCCGGAGCGACCAGCCATCGGCCTCAGAGAAATCGTCAGGGTCGACTGTAGCTGCGCTATAACGCATATGCCTGCAACATGATATACGTCAGTATCAGATCATAGATAACATACCAAACACTTACGAAAACTCGGTGGTGTTGGTGTTACGGTACTTGGCCTCGATGGCGGTATAGACCGGGGTAGGAACAGGGTATTCGGTGATGAAATTACCCTTGGTAAGCTTGACCTTCTTGGTCACACCACGCTTGATGGTCTGGCGGCGCCTCCAAGCGGTGTCCACACCGTTGGTCGATGTGGACATCGACGACAACGGGCGAGAGTAGGGATCACCATAGGCGTTGGGATCGACGGGTCTGGAAAGATCGGTGTGAGCGACGCGCTTAATCGCAGAAATAGATGCAACAGAGGAGTAACTAGGGAGGGTCTGACTTACCCTGGCGGGTAGTAACCGCCTCTGGCATAGCTATCTCCACCAGTCAAGGGAATTTTTTCAGCGAGATCTTCATCTGGATAGTTATTGCCGCCAAACTCGCGAGGAAGAGTGGTAGTACTCTCAAACGGTTGGTTCAAGGAAGCTGTACTCTCATAAGGACGCGTGGGCTCTTGGAAATTGAGTTGGCGAGGGCGATCTGCGAAGGGGTCGCCGTAGGCCTCATCGTGAGGTGGGGTGGACATGACCGACGTAAGCTACTGCTGAGTGGAGTGGAGTGGGCGTGAAAGAGATAAAGAGAGGGTAAAGAAGGAGGAGTCCCGCGTTGGGCAGGAGGAAAAATGCGGGAGGACGGTACTCTTGAGGGTTGAGAACAAAGCCTCAAGGCAACGGTTTAGTACAATCCATTCGAAGCTGGGCGATGTTATACACTGCCTAGAACTTGAGACCCCCGTCACCCATTGGTCTCTAGACGGCCTGTCGCACCCCGTCCCTGCCTTACGCGACAACAGCCATCGGTCTGGTTCACTACTTGCATCTCAGCAAGGCGGCGCCCGTGCCACAACCGGCGCACAGGATCGCCCTTGCTTACAACTGTCTTCACCACAATGAGCTCCAAATATGAGCGCGCAAAACTTGAGATAGTCGCGCGGATAAACGAGTGGTATGATAGCTCGGATACTTGCGCTTCCGTAATAGTAGATGTGCTATATTAGGGACCGCGACTTCTGCAGGACCCCGGAGATGGCTGGAGATGGGCGCAAAGAAATGCGTCGCACTTGTCGCGCAGACCAGCCCAGCCCGGAGGCGTCTCCACCCGTCAGTCACGTCCGAGATCGAGCTTTCTCTACGCCATTGTCACCTTTGTGAAGATCGATAGCGAAAGTCTTGCGATAATCTGCTCAACGAGGTGGAGGCGCGGTTGCTGCGCGCTCAAAATACATGCCGCTGCGGGAATACTAGAACCGACAACCTTGGACAGGTACACAGACCCGCGGGACCAGGCTACCCAACCAGGACATACTCTGATGACGGCTTCAATGCTTCCGGCGGGTAAATTTCAGCTCCGCGTCCCGCAATATTGCAAATTTAAGCGTAAGTGTGCACCTCGAGTCAAGGTTTTTGGCAGTCTACTCTCTTCTCGCTTTAAGTATTTGTTAGAACGACAAGCAACGTAGGTCGCAAAACTCATCTTATCTACTATCGAGCTTACCTTGGAGCGCGATGGGCACACCTAGATGCTAAAAACGTGGGTGCGCTCAAGTACCCCAGAGGCACGCAACATTGTCCGCCAAATCCTTGCCACCGCCTCACAACCAGAAATTGGCCTTACACCTCACGAGATCTTTGAACGAGCCGGAAAAGAGCATCCAGACGCTACTACTCCAACACCGATACCGACAGACCGAAAACCTAGTCGACACTTCCGAAACGTCCCACAGCCTCCCCGGTTAGCCCATCCGATACGGTCTCTGAAGTCAGTTTGATAGCATTGAGCCTACGCATCGCACTGAATAGCCACCACAGGTACCTCAAGAGGGTCGTCCTAGAGGAGATGGCGGAACGCAATGAAGTTGAAAAGGTGTATATCCGTAAAGGGCCAATGACACCCGAGGGCACACGTCAGCTCAGCATCAAGTCGAAATCCCAAGGCGCCTCCGAAATCCTTGGAATTATCAAGTCGACCAATGTTAACGTCTGGCTTTGGCGACTCAGGCCTGACTTTGCAGATTCTGGTCGTGCTTCTCGTGTGGACGCCCCACGAAGCCCGCATCCCCCTCTGCTTACTTCCGATACCCCCTCGAATTCTGAGACGGCAAGCCCTGTCCTTCCTCGTGCTCCGCGTATGGAACCAAAAAGTTCACATCCTTCTCCGACATCGGTCTCCAAGTCTTAGTTGAGCGCCTTTTATAAACTACTAGTTAATTGAAGTTTCTTGATAATCACTGTATTGGACTGAATTTGCATTGTTCCATCCCATGGGGCGGCATGTCCTTGATCGAGCGCTTGAACACGAGGGAGAGATATCTACCTGGTCAACTATAGGCTACGTCGTCCGTACACGTGAATACAGCGATCTTCGAAAGCTTTGACCATTTGCTGCGAAACTTGCTTGAAGAAGGTCGAAGAAGCCAAGGCATACACGGGGTTTGCGAACGCGAACGTGAGGTCTAAGGTCACAAGGGTAGGACCACCTTCATTATCCACCACTCCGGTCGGATGATCTGGCGTGTTATTCATTTCGCCTGGCGAGCGTGTCGATGTAGGTTGGATCCTCCAGATAGTCTTCAGCTCGTTGAACAGCATGGTAGATGCTGCAGTCGCCTGAACTGATTGATATCATTTTTTCGGTGTCTCAGTAATGCAACACACCTCTACAGACTCGTAAGGTTTACATATGACCTTGCTAACATAGCTCTCCTGGAAAGCCAGAAAACCGACGCTAAGCTCGGCGTCCATATGGGTCTCACCATTCTGTTTGTACTGTTGCAAAATCCTAGAGTTTGTGCAATAGGGGACAAACTGGGGATAGGACGAGACGTTTGCTATGACATCGTATAGCTCCTTAGGCTTATACCTGACACACAGCATGGAGCTGTCAGAAACTTGCCAACACTCGAGCTAGGGAGGATACGCACGGGAACATCTTGCGTTCGTGATACTTTTGGCCTTCATTGTTGTTCTGCCCCGAGGGTGCGCCACCAAAGGGAGAAAAGTTGGGAAGTGTGATAAAGGGCTTCGCGTTCCGCGGAAATCTTGCTTGACCTACGACGGTCCTCAGCATGGAGGGGACGAGTCGCATCCAAGTTGCCAAACTTCCGGTATGACGCGAACGCGCGACGCGCATTCACACAAGCTCATGTCCGAGCATCCCGGATACGCAATACGGATATGCTTCGCAAGAGGCTTATGAGCAGATTCAAATCAGCACATCTTTTATCAGTCTTTCAGCCCTTCGCAGCCGCTGAGCAAATTTGACGCATTGGTGCAAGTGCATAGAATCGTATCATAAGACAGTGCTCGTGGCAAGATTACAATATCATGCGAATGGTACTTGGATGTGGAAAACTGCAAAGTTAGAGTAATAAAGTACGACATCCGCTCTGTTTTCAACTCAAGCTGCATACTCCACCGCGTTCTCGGGGCAGTCTCTCGCGAACTAGGGGGAATCAGGGTCAAAGCCGGGAAGATGAGTTGAGATGTACATACATGACCCTCCTGGCCGCACTTGAAGCATGCCTTATTCTTGGCACCACCGCCGTGGCCCAGGCCATCGACAAGAGTGGTCCCAGGAGCAGCAAGACAATCCCTGATGTTACGGTTAGTATGTGCATACAGCCAATGAGTTATTGAAACTGACCTAGCCATGTGGTTGGGGCCACCGCAACGGTAGCATTTCACTGGAGGCAAAGTAGACGTGTTCAAAGCACGTCCTGGAGGGGGAGCGCGCGAGAAGCCACCGCCAATACCAGTGGTGCCACTGGGGCAGACACGAGCGATGTGGCCGAAGCGACCACAGTTCTGAGGAGTAGTCTGAGTCCACAGTCCACGCGCCACCACTTCAGACACGTACATAGCACTTTTGACCACCACTCTGGACTCTCAGGTTCGGGCACTCGGCTTGGATATGACCTACGCCTCCACACGAGTAGCACTGCTTCGCAGCGACAGTTCGGGGCGAGGGGCACGCCGAGGACTCATGACCCGGCTGGCGACAGTTGTAGCAGAGCCGTTGCTCAGAGGAGCAGTTCTCAGCTATATGCCCCACTGTTGTGCATGCTCGTAAGATTCGATTGCCGATGTAACTGCAGCGAACGTACAATTCCCGCACTTGAAGCATCCCTTCCTTGAAAACTGATACGCCATCGCTTTCGAAACCTGATACTATGCTGCGTTCACACGTCAGAAAAAAATTGTCTCTAGATTCTGTCGCATTAACGAGGGAGACACACCTCGCAACTTCCCTCTTCCAACGAGCACCTGAATTGCTCTTTCCACCTCCCAAATCGAAGATGATGAACGGTTGTCACAACCCGGTGTGGCATCAGCAAGCCAGTCATCATTCTTTTGGAGCATAACCTGCCCTAAAGCGTCGGTAAGTGGCGTTAGATGAACTCATCCCTTCCGATCACAGCACACGGTTGGCACGCGCTGTCTATAAAAACAGGGGACCCTTCCTGTTCCATCTATTCTTATTCTCCGCCAGTTTCTGGGAGCAAGCTAGTAAGCTTCAGTTTCATTTGTTCAATTATCTTTGTCTAGATCTTGTGCTTCTGCCCCCATACCGAGTTCATGCGGCGAGCTCATGGCTAAATTAATGGCCATCTCACTCAGACACTCGTTGTGACTCTACCAGCGGGCCGACAGACTTAGATCAACACCTGTCCCAAATAGGCGCCTCCCAGTCCATCTTATCGATAGGTTGCATGTGCTTGATTGAATGGCTATGTCCTATGGAGTCCATCTGGAGCCATCCGATCTGGCCAGATAAAGTGGCCGAGCAGGTATAAAAGAGTAACCCTTCAGCGAAGCTTGGACCCACAACTCCCACTAGTGAACCATCATCAAGGTGATCTATGCCGTACAATTCTTCTCTTCGTTTCTCCCGCTGACACGCCTTTACCTCACAGGCTGATCTCCCAGCGGGTAGCCGGCCTTCGCGCACTCGCGTCATCGCGCTTCTTGCTAGGGTGCACAGCTACCTCCCATTGGGTATGTCCTCGACGTCTTTCTTCAGTTGTTCAGTTCTCACAAATGGATGTTCATTGCACAGAGCATGTCTCTTGTGCGATGCCGTTGAACACCCTCGCAAAACGCGTCGTATCGAGCGAGCGAAGTACGGTTCGACGTATGGAAGGCGATCTTTCGTTAATGTTCGTGCGCCTAGCTTCCTCCCGGCCCCCCAACAGTTGACTAACTTCTTCTATTTCAAGATAAGATGGTATCCAGATGTGTGCACGCGGCCGACGCCGAGTTGTTTAGTTGCCAGTCATTCGTTACATATATGCGTGTATTTCTAAGTCACCCCAACGTCGTATCGTCCCGACATACAACTGTTCAATGTAAATTGTGCGATGGTTGTGGAGTTATCGACATTGACCTTGCAAGCATGTCACGACTTGGAGTGGCCCTGCCTCGCCGATTTGATGAGAAACCAGATCTAGGGAACTACAGTACAGTAATAACTATTCCGTGTTCGACGCAGTTCTCTCGAGAGCCCCATTGGCTAATCAGCTGGACCCGAATATCTACGAAGGTGCTATTGGGCAGGCCTATATAGCACGCGTAGGTCGATTTCGGATCACATACTTACACTTCAAAATGTATGGCTTCTACGCTCCCACGTGACCTCGGGCATGATGAACCTCTACAACAACAAGTTACTCATGGCTCGGGAGAGCCTTCGGACTAGACTAACATCACGGGTGTGTTCGGCACTCGCGGGATATCGACCCAAGATCTATAAATCTCGAGATCAAGGTTGTCTTCCCGGTCACAACAATACCTTTTGAACCCTCGGTCCTTGACCTTGTCTCCCCTGAGCTCAACCATGGTCGCGTCCCCTGAAACCAAACATCGTCTGGCTAGGTTCCCTCGACCCATCAGCCGTTTCCTCGGATATAGACCATCAGCCCCTCCACCACCTCCTCAGTATGTCCAGATGTTCTGGATGTTCGTTGCGGCGTTCTGCGGAATAGCCGTGCTCCAGGCAATCTTCGGACGCGCGCACTACTTCATTGAGAGAGGCGTGCCCTCGATCATAGCCAGTTATGTGAGCAATGGACTTTACACGAGATGTTCTACAAGTGGATCACTAAATGCTTCTTCATAGGGTGCTTCTGCTGTCCTCGTTTATGGAGCCATTGAAGCTCCACTAGCACAACCGAGAGCGTTGATTGGAGGGCACTTCATCGGCGCCCTGCTTGGTGTCTGCATCAACAAGCTCTTCGCCCTCCTTCCCACATATGAACGATATCTCCAGCTCCAATGGCTTTCGGGGTCGATCTCCGTAGCTACCACAATTGTCCTCATGGACATCACTGCGACCACTCACCCACCAGCCGGTGCCACGGCCCTCCTCGCAACAGTGAATCAAGAGGTCATTGAGTTGTCTTGGTACCTCATACCGGTCATACTCCTCTCTTCGACTGTATCGCTGGTCGTGGCGCTTTTAATCAATAATATTCAACGGAGGTACCCCGTATTCTGGTTTAAACCTATAGTAGCACCGCACGCGAAGCCCAGCGAGGACTTGCAGCCAAGCGAAGGTTCACTCGGAGAAGAGAAAAAGGACGCGCCAAACGCAAGGGCAGATGCAGTGTAGGACAGGGGGAGTTGATGGAGAAGCATTCGAGACTTCGTTCAGAGCTTCGATGTCGCTTTTGATACTTCTCCAGCCGCAGTAGGTACTTTATGTGCCCTTTCGCCCCGCAGCAAACGTGTCTGTCATTTGCATGTACTAGATTTGGATGTTGAGATGCCTCTCCTAGACAACCCTTTACCCCACATGCAACGCTCTCGTTCCCAGAGAACTTTGTCGACAAGCTCTCGAGCGTCGCCTTAAGGACACGGCGAGGTGGAGTCGTGCGTCTTCTCTTCCCGTGACCTAAAGTATAGTGCCTCGTTTCCTACGTCCCCTCAGCCCAGTATGCTTTCAGAATCATTTAAGTTAGCCCTATTGGCGGGAATTTGTATCAGCGTCTTTCGTAGGTTCTAAGCTACCAACACTTGGCTTTTTAATGTCGCCGGTATGTCGTTCCGACATCCTGCTCAGAATGCAACTTACCGTCCGTAGGCATCAGTTCGTATCACATCGAGGTCTCAGTATCTCCTGATTGCCAAAGTTGCGGAGGAGGCTGAGAGGTGGGAAGGTACGGCTGAGACGCACAACAGAAGAGCTATCTTTATGCATATACTCAATATTTGCAGACATCGTCATCCAAATCAAGGGTATCATTCAGACGTTCGGCTCCTTAACTGTCGACGAGCGCAACCTGCTCTCTGTCGCGTACAAGAACATCACCAACAAGCTGCGTAACAGCTGGCGAATCGTCGACTCACTCGAGCAGCTGGAAACGTCACGGCCAGCTGATCGCTCAAAGCGACAGGTGCTCCTCATACACCGCGAGCGTCGTAGGATTGAACGGGAGCTGTCGGACGTATGCCTTGACATTGTCAGGCTTCTCGACGACAAGCTCGTCTCGACGGCAACACCAGGGGAGGAAACCGTTTTCTATCTGAAAATGTGAGGGTACGTTCTTGTGGAGCCCGCACCTAGCTAACATTTACCTTAGGAGAGGCGACTACTACCGGTATCTGTTCGAGTTCGCGGAGCCGAAGGACAGAAATCGGTATGCGGACCTGTCCCTCACCGCGTACAAATTTGCGTACAAGCACGCAATGGCAATGCTGGACGCCATGCACCCCACGAGGCTTGGCCTCGCCTTGAACTTTGCCGTATATTACCACGACGTGCAGAAAAGTCCTGAAAGAGCATGCCACCTCGGCAAGCATGCTTTTGACGAGGCTGTTTCCAACCTTGATGAGAACTTTCCCGAGGATACAATGCGCGATTCAATGATGATTCTCCGTCTGCTCAGGGATGACCTCATTATATGGTCAGAAGAGATACAGAAAGGTGAGTTAGCCTTCCATTTTTGTTCTATCTTCGCCGCAGCCATTGATTTATCTGTAGGAGATGGTGTTAGTGCATCATGACGGATTGTGCATCGTTTCATTGGATTACCACTGAGGATTAAATTATCGCAACTTGTGCCTACATCATTTGATATGCTACATCTTTTGTCGGTTTCTTCTGGTTTAGTGCTGTGTTTTGTCTTGCGCAAATGTTGCCGCGACCAACATCGGGAACACCAGAGTTGCATCAGCGAAAACTTTGACGGATTCCGCGCCAGCGCGGATTTTCCCCCATGAGACAGCCTCGTCCGGGCGAGCACCAGAGTCGGAACCGTCAAATTCTTGTCCGGTGTTCTGATGACTAGGATGAGTATCTCCCTAGGCGATTGAACGTTTGCTTACGATATACACAGAGTAGTCAGCACCGTTGCGCTGTAAGAGAAGGTTCAGCGGATAGTCCTATGGTGAAGGAAATTGGTTACAATGAGCATGGCGTTGGCAATCTGATGCTTGCAGACACCTCCGCCGAGTATGATCATGCCAGCCTTCTTCGATTTTCTTGCATGTTCATTCAACGCTCGGATGTCGCCGACGATGTCTATGATCAGACCCGGCGTTCTGAAGGAGTGGAAGTATATCATATCGCCCAGTGAGCCGTCTGTCAAGGCGGGACAGAAGACAGGAATATCGTTCTGGACATCGGTTAAGCATGTCTCAAGGCCGAGCCGCCGTTAAAAAAGGATACGTCGCATTACTTTGTAAGCCCAATAATATACAGATTCCTCATGGTTGATCTCTTTGCCCAGCCTACGAATGAACGAGCTCGGTGTCCATACCGTGCCCGTCGACTGTTGCTCCTTCAGCATCTGGTCGAGAATCGGGAGCAGCCAGTCTTCGAACTTGCAGTAGTTGTCGTTGGGCACGACAAGGTTACCAATTCGGTTCATTCCTTTTTTGCGGAGTTCCGCACCATCCAAGTTGAAGTCGGCAAGGTAGGTCTTGCCTAGGCATTTGATGAAGTCTTCCTCGATACCGCCAGCGGTCGTCACGATGGCTGCGACATGCTTGTGTTTTACGAGATACAGGATGATTTCTCGCAGACCAGATGATATCAGATTAGAGGTGTAGCCGAGGAAGATGTTACACTTTGTTCTTGCACGGACTTCTGGATCCGTGTAGTCATCTGACTCGTCTGCTGACACGGGCTCGTCTGAAAGCCGCCACGTTCGCTGAATAGCTGATGAGTGATGAAGCATGACGAGAGCATGTAAAACGGATGCACCATCTTGTTGACGATGTCGATCGCCTTTCCTAGGCTGTTTGCTTGGAATCCGATTCGTTCATATGATCTGAGAAAATCCTGAAGAGACAGATCATTCTCAAAATTTGGTCCCTGCACAGAGACAGCATGGTCTGGCACGGGCTCCGAGGGCTGCAGGACAGCAGCAGCAGCCCCAGCAGGGATGGATGAGGAGGACATGATAACAAGCGTGCAAGTGAGAGTATAGCCGGCGTATTGATCGCAGACTTGAACAGATCAAGCAGCTGCGCGACGCGGAGACGGGGTCGTTCGGCAAAGTCCGACTGCTGATACTTGGGATACTTCACGTTCACAAGCGACGTCGCCCGTCGCCCAACTTTTCTAGTGTTTGCTCTTCATGCAGCCAGCGTCCGACAATGGCGAGCAGCACACGCCAACCATCCAGGAGGCCCCCTCAGAGTCGGACGTGAAGGAAGAGACACCTGTAGTCGTCGATGGGAGCTCCGAGCCAGGTGTGTATGCATGCCTTCACTCATTTAGGCGCCTGACATAGGGACACGGCATTGCAGGTCAAGAGTCTGCAGCTGACCAGCCTCAGAACGACGCGACTTCGGATGCCCCGAAAGATCCACCTGAGGTTAGAGATGCTCAGACTGTGGACGCACCTCCTGCTGCCGCCGATACGCCAGTCGAAGTTGTCAGCCCTACCGATCCCCCCTCCCCTCCTCCCAAGGCCGACTCAAACCCTCAGCCCGAGCCCACGTCTACTCAGGATGTACCGCACGAATCGAGACCGTCAGTATCCTCGCCCTCTCCCCGACCTTCAATGAACGGTCATTACCGACCCGATGTCTCGCGACCGCCATCTCAACCTTCCACTCCTGGTGCTCAGGCGCACAGACGATCTCTCACAATGGCCAGAGGTCAAACCGTCTCTGTCGTCTTGATCTCTTCTGCACTCGAGACTATCCTTTCTTCTAGAGAGGCGAAGAAGTCACAACCTCTGCGTGAGAGCGCTCAAAATGCTCTCGACATGGTACGAGCAGGCGAAGGAGGCGATCGTCCACGAGCCATCTTTGAGCCCCTGCGACTAGCATGCGAAACGAGGACCGAGAAGCTCATGATCGCCAGTTTGGACTGTATTTCAAAGCTGATCTCATACTCGTTCTTTGCCGAACCTTCGTCTGCTCAATTTTTACCCTCTCCGCCTCCTTCACCCACCCAAGGACGCCCGTCTCAAACGGGTTCGCAATATAACGCACCACAGCCGTCTCTTGTCGATCTCGTCGTCCACACTATAACTAGCTGTCATACCGAAGCGACTCCAGAGACTGTTTCTCTGCAAGTGGTTAAAGCCTTGTTAGCTCTTGTGCTCTCACCGACAATCTTGGTTCACCACTCTTCTCTGCTGAAGGCAGTTCGCACGGTTTATAACGTCTTTCTCTTAAGCTCTGATCCCGTCAATCAGATGGTCGCGCAGGGCGGACTGACACAGATGGTCCACCATGTCTTCACGAGATGCGGATTGAACAAGAACACTGAGTCTGATGAACTAACATTGAAGTCCTCGACAAGCTCGGAGGATGTTTCATCTTCGGCTTCGCAACCCCCTAAACCTGACGTAGAGCCCTCGAGACCAGTGTCCATGACATCCTCCGTACCAACATTGGTGGCAGAAGAAGTTGCAGCCGGCTTGGGCCAGCATACTGGTTTCAACCCAGATGCAACAGACGACGACGTCAAAAACAACACTCTTGAAGCGGTGCACCAGTCAACTTCCTTGGAAACGTAGGACTACTATTAGTATCTTCTCATCGTACGCTCAAGTACTTGCGTAGGCCTCCGCCCAGTACATCGCGTCGCTTGTCGATTGACTCGCATGTGCATAATCTGCACGAACTATCGACACAGGACTTTTTTGTCAAAGACGCGTTCCTGGTATTCCGCGCCTTATGCAAGTTAACGATGAAGCCACTGAACACTGAAAGGTAACTCTCCATTAACACACCGTTGTTAACGTATTCATTTTCTGCAGCGAGCGAGATCTGAAATCTCATGCCATGCGTTCCAAACTTCTCTCCTTGCACCTCGTTCTCACCATCCTGCACTCACACATGATCATGTTCACTCACCCTCAAGCTATTATCTACTCGACTTCGTCAAATGAAGCAACCTCGCTTGTTCAGGCTATCAATCAGTACCTGTGCTTGAGCTTGAGTCGTAACGCGGTAAGCCCTGTGCCACAGGTGTTTGAGGTTAGCGTGGAGATCTTCTGGCGCGTCCTATTAGGAATGCGGACAAAGCTGAAGGTAATTGATCCGAGCCTATGATCGTCTTTATGCTGAGGTTTTTGTAGAAAGAGATTGAAGTGCTCTTGCATGAGATTTTCATTCCGGTCATCGAGATGCGGACATCGACTCTGAAGCAAAAGGCCGTCATACTTGCTATGTTTGCTCGACTATGCCAAGAACCACAGGCTCTGGTTGAGATTTACCTTAACTATGATTGCGACAGCGGGGCGACAGATAATATATATGAGCAGTAAATCAGGTCTTTTAGAATCCGTCTCAATTAGGCTCACACTTTACTTCCAGTCTCATGAATATCCTCTCGAAGATTGCAACACTGCCCTACGCACATTCCCAGGCCGCGGCCAATGAGATGAACAGTCCCAGGGTGCAGCCGCAAACCAAGGCTCAGCGCGACGCTACCCCCCATAGTAGTGCCATGCTTCAAGTGCCAGGCGTCATTGATACATCATTGATTGGTCTTTCAGAAGGTCAGCTCAGACGGCAAGGTTTAGAGTGTCTCGTATCAGTTCTGAGATCACTGGTGACTTGGGGTGGTAAGACTGGGACTGAGAGTGGGCCTGGCCCTGCTTCGCGCAACGTGGAGGAAGAGAATCCTAGTCAGGAGCAACTCGCAGCCGCCGCGAGTATCGAAGCTCTGCGACAACAAACTCCAGATCTGTCGGATGATCCATCGAAGTTTGAGAGCGCTAAACAAAAGAAGACGACGTTGCTGGAGGGCATTAAGAGGTTCAATTACAAGCCTAAACGTGTAGGTGCAGGATGCATTTATCAAGTATACTATCTTAACAACTTGTTTCATAGGGTATTCAAATGTTTATTGAAACGGGCTGGATACCAAGTAATGCTCCTAAGGACATTGCAAAGTTCCTTCTGACGACTGATGGTCTCAGTAAAGCAATGATTGGAGAGTACCTTGGGGAAGCGTATGTATGCTATCACGCTAATGCAGGGTAGTGCTAATTAACCTTGCAGTGATGAAGAGAACGTTGCTGTTATGCACGCTTTGGTTGACTACTTGGACTTCCGCAATCTTCCCTTCCTTGATGCCCTTAGGATGTTCTTACAATCGTTCCGTCTACCCGGTGAAGCGCAGAAAATCGATCGGTTCATGCTGAAGTTTGCAGACCGGTATATCGCCGGGAACATACAAACTCCATTCAAGAATGCAGGTGGGAGATCTAGTGAGGGGTGGCTAATTCATAGCTCATTTTTATGACAGACGCTGCCTATATCCTCGCGTACTCTGTCATTCTGCTCAACACTGATGCTCACAGTCCGCAAGTCAAGAATAGGATGACCAAGTTGGACTTCAGGAAGAACAACAGGGGAATCAATGACAACGAGGATCTACCGGAAGAGTTTTTGGACACCATCTATGACCAGATTCAGAGCAACGAGATTCGTATGAAGGACGAAGTCGAAGCTGCTGCTCCCACAGCTGCAGCTCCAGGCCTTGCAAGCGCCCTGGCTAACGTAGGGAGAGATCTTCAAAAAGAAGCATATCTGACGCAATCTAATGGAATGGCCAACAAGACTGAGGTGACTTCTGCCTGGTTCATCGTCTACCAAGCGGATTACTGACGTATATACAAAGGCACTTTTCCGGACGTTGATGCGCTCTCAGCGCAAAGGCTCTCGGACTGGAGCTGAGTTCTTTAGTGCATCGCACTTTGTACACGTTCGTCCCATGTTGGAGGTTACGTGGATCGCTTTTTTGGCTGGTCTGTCAGGACCCCTGCAGAATACTGATGATCTGGAAACGGTCGAGCTGTGTCTGGAAGGTTTCAGACATGCCATTCACATCTCATCGTTATTCGATCTCGAGTTGCAGCGCAATGCATTCGTTACAACGCTGGGCAAATTCACTTTCCTGAACAACCTTGGGGAAATGAAAACGAAAAATATGGAGGCTATCAAGACTCTGCTTGACATTGCTGTCAATGAGGGTAACTACCTGAAAGGGTCGTGGCATGAAGTCCTCTCATGTGTTAGCCAGCTTGAGCAGATGCAGCTGATCAGCAGCGGGGTTGACCTTCTCGATGCCAAGAAAGGGTGAGTTTTGACGCATTAAAGCTAGTCATGGCTCATGTTGGAATAGGAAAGGACGAAAACTTCCAGCGGAAGAACTCGCCAACGAGAGTAGATCCACTCACATTACCGTTGCCGCAGATATGGTTTTCTCACTGAGCCACTACCTTACCGGAGTAGGTGCTCCTCACAAGAGTTCTGTCCATGATCTCATCATTAACGTTCATAGACTGCCATCGTCGATTTCGTCAGAGCGTTATGCGATGTGTCGTATGAAGAGATCAAGTCGTCGGGTCTCTCCCAGCATCCTCGGATGTTCAGCTTACAGAAGCTGGTAGAAATCTCGTACTACAACATGAACCGTATTCGATTGGAATGGTCAAACCTCTGGGAAATTCTTGGCGAACACTTCAACCAGGTTAGTCGCGGTGTTCGTCCTAACTAAGCCCTGGGCTAACCCTTGCCAGGTATGCACGCATGACAACCCAAGCGTCAGCTTCTTTGCACTTGACTCCTTGCGACAATTGTCCATGCGTTTCTTGGAGAAGGAAGAGTTGGCACACTTCAAGTTCCAAAAGGACTTCCTCAAACCGTTCGAGTACACCATGACCAAGAATCCAAACCCGGATGTTCGCGACATGGTCTTGCAATGCATTCAACAGATGATTCAAGCTCGTGTTCAAAATATGCGATCCGGATGGCGGACAATGTTTGGCGTCTTCTCTGCGGCATCAAAAGTGCTGACAGGTACGATCTCAACTGACGAGCTACTGCTCTTCGTTCGTTCAGTTCTGACCCTTCCTTGTAGAGAGAATTGCTGCATCTGCATTTGAGATGGTGAACAGTCTGAATAACGAGCACTTCGCTTCCATCGTCAGGCACGGTGCGTTCGCTGATTTGACTGTTTGCATAACGGAGTTTTGCAAAGTCAGCAAATACCAGAAGATCAGCCTGCTTGCTATTGGGATGCTCCGTGGTGTCATCCCAGCTATGCTCAGTTGTCCGGACTGTGCTTTGAGCCAGGAATCTGATCCGGAAGGAGACGACAATAAGCGGGATGATGTGATGATCAGATTCTGGTTCCCAGTCCTGTTCAGTTTCTACGATATTATCATGAACGGCGAAGACATTGAAGTTCGGCGGTTGTAAGTTTACAACGTTCACTCCGTTGACGAAGTCGCTTACCAAATATGTTCAGAGCATTGGACTCTTTGTTCTCAACGCTGAAGACATATGGAGCCACCTTCCCGGTAGATTTCTGGGATACAGTCTGCCAGGAACTTTTGTTCCCTATCTTTGCTGTGTTGAAGTCTAGTCAAGATGTTTCTCGGTTCAGTACTCAGGAAGATATGAGTGTGTGGCTATCGACGACAATGATCCAAGCTCTGCGTGACTTGATCGACCTCTACACTCATTATTATGAGATCCTCGAACGGTTCCTTGATGGTCTCCTAGACTTGCTTTGCGTTTGTATATGTCAAGGTTAGTGTAACGACCACTGGCATATCAAAGGTGACTAATAATTACTAGAAAATGACACGCTTGCACGCATTGGTACCTCTTGCTTGCAGCAATTCCTGGAGAACAACGTCTCCAAGCTCAGTTCAGCTCGATGGGAACGTGTAGCTTCTACGTTCGTGAAGCTCTTCAAGACCACTACACCTCACCAGCTCTTTGATGACTCTCTTCGAGTGGAAATCGATGGTAGCTCTCCTGAACTTCCGGACGCAGGTGTGATTTTCCCGGACTTCCTTCCAAAGAACTTTTCATTTTATGCGCTGCATAGACGCGAACGGTCAGGCTATCTTACCTGCACCTCTATCACCCACGGCAGAACGTCCGCCGCCAGAAGTTCAGCACTCTCTATCCGACCGGCGGCGTGTCTTCAAGCAGATCATTGTGAAATGTGTGCTCCAGCTTCTTCTGATTGAGACTACGAGCGACTTGCTTCGTAACGACACCATCTATACCACGATACCCCCTGAGCAGCTTTTGCGTTTGATGGGCGTGCTTGATCACAGTTACCAGTTTGCACGCATGTTCAACGATGATAAGGAGCTCCGCACGGGACTTTGGAAAGTTGGTGAGTGGAGTTCCTCCTCTCACACGAGGAATGTAAGCTAACCGACGTGCCCGTAGGATTCATGAAGCATCTCCCCAACCTGCTCAAACAGGAGTCGAGTAGTGCAGCAACGCTTGTGCACGTGCTGCTTCGCATGTACTTTGACGAGCGACCAGAGCATCAAGCGGCGCGCCCTCAAATCGCGGAAAGACTCCTTCCGTAGGCCTACCTTATTTTCTCCTTTCGTCGCTTTGCTCACCTTTGGACAGACTTGGTCTGAGTGTCTTGCAAGACTACATCAAGCTGAGGGCGGATACACAGGCGAGGAATATTGCAGCTTGGACACCCGTGGTCGCAGAAATCCTGCACGGTTTCTGCCGTTTCGATAATAAAGCCGTGAGTTTGCCTTTTGTCAACTAGCTAGCTCGCAGTGTCGCTCACTCAGCTTTAGTTCTTGAGATATCTACCGGCTATCTACCCGCTGACGACCGGTCTTCTCGCCCGCGATGTCGCTCCGGAAATCCGGCTGGGCTTGAAGATGTACTTTGAACGTGTTGGTTACTCTCAAGGCATCATAGATCAAGTAGCATAGTTCCTTCATTTTAGTCACATTGTATTGTAATGCATTGGACCGCTAATTCCAGATAGTTAAAGTTAAAAACGAGAGATCGAGATGATAAATCCAAGAGAGCGACGTAAGAAATAAGAGAGAAAACACAAAGGAACGTGATTAAAGCTAGTTGCTACTAAGAATTAGTACCCAGTGTATCCATTCTGATAACCACCATTGGGCTGATAGCCTCCCCATCCATTGAAGCCGGTAGGTTGAGCTAAGAATATGAGTCAGTGTCTTATCAGAGAGGTGAAACCAAGTGAAGCTTACTACGGAGAACATCATATTTCTCTGTACAACGCTCAGTGAGCAAAATTTCCGTGCTATGAAGAAACAACTCACCAGGTTGCTGAGGTCCGTTCGTATCTTCTCCCGATGCGAATGTCCCGGACTTCATGGACGCAAACACATTGGCTGGATTTGTGCTCTGAGCGTTGTTGTTCTGCCCGAATGGCGACGAGGGTGGCGGCGAGGTGTTGGAACTGAAGTTGCCAAAGTTGGGGTTGAAACCCGTCGGCTCTGGGTAAACGATGGAAACATGTCAGTCAAACGACGATCTGACGAGGGCATGTAGAATAAACGCACGAGGTTGCATACCGCCGTTCTGGAACGGGCTGGGGTTGTTGCTGAAATTGCCAAAGTTGCCAAACGCACCAGTTGGCTGCGCCATCATCGGACTCGGGCCAGGGAACCCAGTGGGCTGTGCCATAAGCCCCTGTTGTGGCATTGGAGGCGGCAGCTGCTGATGTTGGGGCATGAAGCCAGTCGGTTGTGGCTGCATGGGTGACGGGTTCGCAAATGGCGAGAGCTGCGCACTGCCTGTGCGTGCCGGCACAAAGCCATTGAAACCGGTAACCGTGGGCACGAGAGGTTGAAGGAGGCTTTGGTTGGTAGGAACAGGAGCAAAGGGGCCGCGGGGAGCGTTGGGGTTCGGCGGCATACCCGTCTGTTGGATCTGTAGATGCTGGCCCATGGGCGAAGGGGACGAACCGAGACCCATGCCGTTCACAGGAGGCGACATAATCGAGGGCGAAGGCGCAGCGGCTGGAGCGGGTGAAGGGACTGCGCGGAGCTCGCTGAGACGTGCGAGTTGATCGAAAATGTCGGCGTCCGTCTTTGCAAGTACTGACTTTGGCTGGTCTGATTGAGTGGGTGCGACTGCAGGTGCAGGAATGGGAGGAGCCTGGGCAGTAGCCTGGTTGGCAGCAGGTGGGGCAGAAGGCGCTCGCGCTGGGGCAGAAGCCGCAGGGCTCGCCGCAGCGGGCTTGGTGGAGCTGGGCCGGTTTGTCCAGGCATCATCGTCAAAGCCACTCGCGACCGGAGCAGCTGAGCTGGCCCTCTGAGGTGGTTGCACAGTTGTGGAAGGCGACGGAGTCATCGAGGCCGGAGAACCAGTCCGTTGGATCTGGCCTGAAGCAGATTCGATAGCGTTGAGATCGACCGAAGCTGGAGGAAGACTCTTGCTTGGCTGCGGCCTGCCACGCCTTTGCGTGTTGTTCTTCAGTAAGCCACCAGGACCAGCGAACAAGTTGGGAGCCGGGCTGGTTGGCTTGCTCTCCTCACGTTGAAGTTGCTCTGCAAGCTCCTGGTCCTTGCGCATTTGCTCCTCTTTGTCTTTCTTACCATACTTCTGTGCGATGAACTTCGACACGCGGATGATGTCGCCTTCTCGCAAGCCCAGCGATCGCATTGTTGACTCGGTGATGTCAGGGAGAAGTGCCTCGTCGATCTTGTCGCGTTCGAATGACGAGGCATACCGGGTGCAGTCGTCGACATCACAGCCAGCATTAAGGAAGAATTCGAACCAGTCCGTGGTAGGACCTTTCTTCGCTGGAGGCTTCGACGCCCGCTTCGCTGCTTCAGTCTGGCGCTTCAAAGCAAGTGGCTCGTCATCGTCGTCATTGGAGGCCTTGCGAGGCGGCGAAGATTGCTTCTGCGAGCCCCGGATAACCTTCTCGACGTGACGCATGTCCTCGACAGACATCTTCTCGGCTGGCACCTCAATGACAACGCCATTAACTTTGTGTAGCCTCAATTTGCCATCTTTATAGCCAAGAAACGCCGCCTCGACGCGGAACTGCCCGCTGCGATCATGCCATACACGCGTAGTGCCGGCATCGGGGAAACCTGTAATTGTTAGAACGTCAGGACCGAGTCAACGTAAACCCCTGCAACACATACGTCGACTGTCACTTGAGCTGCGATGTTTGGAGGTTGATGAATCACTGCTGCCCCGTGATTTAGGCTGAGAAGGAGGGCTAAACAAGAAGATGAGGGGCGAGCGAGGTACTTTGCATATGACAACGTACGGAGATCTGCTCTTCTCTCTGTCAGCTTTCTCCTGGGCCCTTCTCGCGTCCTCCTGACGCTGTTTGCGGCGACCTTCTGCAGCCCGCGCTTCCTCCTCCTTTTCGCGCCGACGTCGCTCTTGCTCGGCAGCGGCAGCGGCAGCTTTTGCACGTTGCTCCTCCTGTATCTTCCGCTCGCGCTCCGCCTTTTCCGCCCTCTCTGCCTTCTCCCGAGCTTTACGCTCCTCCGCCTCCACCTTTGCCCTTGCTTCCGCCTCTCGAGCTGCACTATCGTCTGCTTGAACTCCACCTTGACCGGGTGCATTCTGCCAACAAGATTGCCATTACTGTGTACGTCCAGAACGCATTTTGACCTTACCTCAAGATAAGAAGCAGGGACGACACCCTCGGCACCATGCTCATTCCTGCACTTCCACCACTCGTCTCCCTCCTTTTCCACTATCCATAGCTTCTCACCTTCTGTGACCGACAGCTCATCTTCACCTGTACCTTCGAAGTCGTAGAGGGCGAATGCCAACTCCCCTTCGCCTTCCTCCGTTGTCGATGCAGGTGCCGCCTCCTCATACTCTTCCTCTTCCTCGTCAGAGTCCTCTCGAGGAGGAATGATAGCAGGCGAATCTTCAGCAAATCGTACCGACACGCCATTCTTCTTGTGTGGACTACTTGATGGCGAGCCCTCGCGGTCACTATCCTGATGCCCCGACGAGAGTTCTTTGGAGGAGACAAGCTTTGAGACGACAGCTTCCGCGGTGTCCTTGGAACCAACGTTGAAATGGAGCTTGACAGGGTTCGGGCCGGCAATGTCGATGTGTACATGCTTTGACTTCTCGATACTGTAGTCCGAGATGTCGGCCGTCTGCCACTTCTGCACCGGGGTCTGAGGAGTGGACGTGTCAGATTTGACTGCGCGCGAGACTGAACGAGTAAACAGACATACCTTGTCAGACTCGCTGGCAAAGAACAGTGAACCATTGCCGATGCCGAGGGTGCCCTTCTTCTTCTTACCCTTTTCGTTGACTTCAGACACGGACCAGGTCTTGATGTCATCGGCCTGTGCCTTGGTTGGTGCTGAAGCCACGCGATCTGCAGGGTCGATGTAAACGCTTGTCGGTCGTGGTGCAGGCTCAGGCTGGAAAGGGCAAGCTTGTGTGAGATGGACAACATGCTCGGGGAATGAGCGCTTACAGAAGGCGGAACTATGATTTGCGGCGCTGCAGGAGCTGCAGCTTCTGCCTCATCGCCACCCTGTAATATAACACGAAACATCAGTCCAAGCTAGTGATACCAGTGAGGTTCGTCGAGTGCAACAGGGTTCGCACCTCTTCGACATAATTTCCGGGTACGAATCCTGCGCCGCCGTCGCCCTCCTTCTGAACCAGGATCCACTCGTCTTCGTGCTCAAACACAAGAAGGACCTCGTCTTCCTTGATAGTGAGCTCGCCCGACGCAACGGCCTCATAGTCGTAGAGTGCCTTGGCAGTGGACGAATGCTCCGCCTGAGTAGATTGAGTGACGGTTAGCGGGTGCACTGGGAACCGCTGGGGATATGCAGCATACCTGTTCGACATAGGCAGCAGGGACGAGACCGGAGGGACTGTCCTCGTCCTGAGTGGGAGGTTTGATCTTGACCCTCCACCAGCTTGAGCGGGGTAAGCATGAGGACATGACGTCGGAGATGGTAGGAAGCATACTCTTCGTCCACCCTCTCGAGAAGGAAGAGGATCTGGTCCTCCTTGATAGCGACCTCGTCCTCTGACTGTGGGTCGTAGTCGTACGAGGCCTTGAGGACTGCGAGATAGTGGTGTTTCTCCTCGGCCATGGGGGTGTGTGGGGTGTGTTGTGTTCCGTGCGTGAGGCGGGTGGAGGGAGATTGTGGACGTGGACGTATTTGGTCCTGTTATCATGACGTTCCCCATCATGCACCATTCACGACCAGAGTACTATGTATAATACTTATGCTACTATTGTACAGGGTATAATCCACGAGTCCGTTCAGTCCGTTCACATCATCATCCCGCCGCCTGCAGCAATCCCGTTGCGTCCCATCGGAGGCGCGAGTGCGGTCGCAAGCAGATCACGGCAGTTCCGTAGTCGTTCCCGCCGCGCGACGAACCACGAGCTCGCGTTCAGCGGGACAGCCAGGGGCATCCCAACCTGCCCCTTTGCCCGCGCCTCATGGATGCCCTTCACGAGCGCGTCCACCTCCGCCTCAGAGTCGATCTCGTCCAAGTTCTCCGCTCCATTGTCCCCTTCCGCACCCTTCCCCGAGTCCGTCGCCGCAACAGCAGAGGAAGTCGCCTTCTTCGCCGATTTCTTCGGCTTGCCCACCTCCCCTCCTGTAGCTGCTGCCGCCTCTTGGGCGAGCCGCTTCTTCTCTGCCTTCTCTCGCTCCTTCTTCTCCTTCTTCTCCGCCTTCGTCTCCTTTTTGACCGGCTCCACCCAGTTAGGGTTGTTCGCCCTGTTCCAATCCAGCAGTAGCTCGTCATATGACTTTGATCGTCCCTCTACCGCCCGCTTGGCACCCATCGAGTGAGCCTTGCAAGTGAGCGAGCGAGAGCAAGGCAGGCCCTTGTCATTGATCACACCACACTGTTTGTCGTAGTCAACCGGGCCTTTCGTGCGCCCTTTGGTAATCTTGGCCTTCTTCTTGTTAGGCTCCGCAGGGTCTTCTATCTCTTCACCATCGCGTTTCTTGCCTTTCTTAAGCTCAACTGTCGCGCACCAGCTACATTGAACGCGGGAAACCAGAGTGATGCAGGCTCAACGCACCCTCATCAACCTTGCCTTTGGCCCATTTCTTACCGGAGCGAATGTCATTACAGTTGCCTGACAGTAGCTGTATGGGCATGTGTGTACCTTGAGATAAGATTAAACGCACCAGCATGTTCTGAAATGGCACTCCGCAGTACGGGCTTTCCACACTCTAAGCATTTGACAATGCCTATCCGCGACTTGAGCGGCTCTGGCCCGTACGTTTTCATGTCTATTGCAGACAGCCATGATGTAGGAGGCGAAGGGAGCGAAGCAACCTCTGGACCCGACGCGGCTTTGGGACTGGGCGGTGGTGTCAGGCTATCCCACGAGAACGGGACGGGTGAACTGGTTAGTTGTCTGAGCTTGAAGGTCATGGCCGTGAAACAGTACTAGTGGTTGAAAGTCACAACCTTGGCGCTCTTACCCAACGGCCATCGGTTTCAAACCATGGTAGGGTTAGGGTTATAAGCCATTATTGTTGTTCTCTTCGCTGTAGACAAATAGTATTAAGATGAAAGAGATACGGTCATAGTACTATATTCCCTTGAAGATACCCAGAGACGATAATCCTAGTGCAAGTGTCACTTGGAGCTATTGGACGGTCCAGTGAAAGCATCATTGGCCTCAAACTCTGCCTCCACCTTATCCGCATCCAGTTCAGGGGCTAAACGCAGAACAACGATAACCGTCAGAACTTCTGTCTGAGATAACATGAGAGCGTCTCACCTTCGGAAGAGGCATATGCCATTCGCTCGACAGCAATATCATCTTCCGCGTCCCCCCAATCTTCTGCATCCTCCTCGGATCCGCTCATGTCACCCCACGATTCCAGTTCCAGGTCGATTTCGTCGACCTCGAATTCGTCATCGAAGCCGTCTGTATCAAGCATGTCGTCGTCGTCATCGTCTTCCTCGTTTGGAAAGTAGTCCCCATCCGAAGACTCTGCGTCGGAATCCTCGGGTGGCTGGATGTCCACGAATGGGTGACGACAAGTAGGGCAGCTGCCGTGCTAACATCTAGCTTTAGGCAGGAGTCCAGGGGATCGGAGAGAGAAGTGCACGCACAAATCCCTTTATCCACTCTGATAGACTAAGTTTCCATTCGAGATCAGCGAACCAGGCAAAGGGAAGAGACATTCGCGGTACTCACTCCTTCCGACAGAAAACATGACCGCAACTCGTCACTTTGGTAACTCCCCCATAAACTGCGTCCGCATCCTCCTCATTCTTCTCCTCTATTATGCTCGCGAATGAGAGCAAACAGATAGGACACGAGTCGTCCTTCGGGATGTCTCCGGCAGGGAGTACCGGGAGGTCGTCAAGTGCGAACTGGATGCGTTCGCACATAGTGAGGTATCTCTCCGAGTTTGCATTCGGCGTAATATCCATATCACAGGATACAATGGGCGGATCGACCGAGAGGGAGGAGTTGTCCTGGGCGAGGTTATTAGCACTTGGGCAGCTTTCAATAAGCAATAAGCACTCGATCAACAACGCGTCTGGGATCGCGCGTAAATCACGTGTAGTGCTCCTCAGCCCAGATTTGGACTTGGGCTAACCTAATGAGAACGCCCGGGAAATGGGAAAGGCGGCATTTGCCGCCGCGGCGGCGTGGCGGCGCGGCGGCAGTGGCGGTGCCAATACCAAACTCCCACGATCTCGACGCGACTGGCGCGTCGCCCCTGGGCCAGTGAGCCACAGATAAGTAAGTATTCCTTCGCCATTAGGGCTGTAGAATTCCTTCTGTAGTAGATTATCGTCCCCAATAAAAAGCGTTATCTCCCCAGAATCCCTCTTCGTCTCGCTCCCTCGCTTTCTCTATTTTCTTTATTCCCCTCGTCGCAGCAAACATGTGCCCAGGCGGCCATTCTACTACCTCGGGCTGTCCAACTACCTCGGGCTCTCCGTCTACGTCGAGCTGCCCATCTACTTCGAGCTGTCCGTCTACATCGGGCCATCCGTCTACCTCAGGTGGCCCATCTACGTCGAGTAGCAGCCACTTTAGCTCGTCGGACGAGCCCCGTAATGATGTTCACCGACTTGGATCCTGCGAGGAAGCTTCGAGTAGTAATATCGGTATGGTTTACCGTCCTTGACGCGAACGCGCGGTACGTGGTAGCTGTTGCGGTAGTTTGTACCGCAGCCTACGTAAGATAAGAATGCATGAATGCGGCCGATGAGATAATACGCACCGAGGCATGTCAGGTAAACCGACTTGGCCCATTGGATACCGTGATTAAACGTGAATACGATCGCATCCCGCACGTACTCCTTGCGCATTTCGGACTGCCGGTCCTTGCACTCGGGCTGAGAGCACCGGCGCATTGGGGGGAACAGTGAAATAAAAGCTGAATAGTTTAGACACTTGAGTTACAGAGGAAAGAGAGTACTCACAGATTCCTTCACGCCAGCCGCTCTCCATAAACAAATCAGCAAGGGTCACATACTGCTTATTTGCATCCTCCATCCTCCAGATTGTTTGCCGGAAGACGGACCATAGGACCTCGGCCTGGTCGCTTGTAATGCCTAGACACTCGCAGATCCACTCGGCTTGCGTGTCTGGGAGAAACGGCGGGGCTGAACTTTCGGTATCAACATCCGAGGGGTAGGCAAGGGCAATCTCGTCGCGAATGAGACTGCATATGTTAATGAAGAGCTGAATTTGATCCGTTGTTATAGGAAGTAGGTGTGGATATGTTTCAAGAACAGATGGAATTAATGATATGTCGAGACTCATGACAGCGGAATAGATATACGGCGTGTAGGGATATAACAGATGTTAATCTAATCTAAGCGCGGCGGCGAGGCGACGCGCGGCAGTCACATCGTGGGATTTTTGTTTTAGCACCGCCACTGACGCCGCGCCGCCCAGCCTGCCGCCGCGACTTGCCGCCTTTCCCAGATCTCGGACTTTCTGAACCTAATTCGGCCGCAGGATTCTCGGCCATGGTGGCGTCACTGGCGTGTCTCGATCTTGTCCTCTACCGGATAGGGGCTTCCATCGTGCATCAAGCATTTCCTCCAAAATTGCATGAACTGCACGAAATCAATCGTGACGTCTTGAACTTTCAGATCCTACGCGTATGAAATGACATCAGTTGGTTTTACGACCATTTATATACTACCCTTCGACCGCTGCTGACCTTCCAGTCAACTCTTCGCCTTATGATCACCATGTCTGATGCAACTAAAGACGCTACTTCCCAGGCTGGTGCTGCTTTCCGCGAGGTAAAATCAACCCACTTGACCTTCAGTGTGACTCGAATTTATGTGTTTTTCAGGATGGCAGCATTGGCCACCAATTCACGCCCAAAGGGGCATTGGGTGGCACAGCTCAGAGCATTGGAGGACCGTTTGATAAAGAAGGGATGGTCGGCAAACGTAAGAAGTACTCCTTTCTATCTCGATAGATCTCTTACTGATCATGTTCTTTGTGAGATAGATTTCACCACGGACGGGATTCTAGGCGGCACGGCCCAGATGGCTGGCGAGAAAGTCAGCGGAGGTTAGGATATTGCTACTCGTCCAGTTACCAAAACATTCTCACTGTATTTACATTTCCTCAGCTGCAGGAAGTGCTAAATCTCAGGATCAGACGGGCCCCGCTGCGCGTTCCTCTAGGTCCTAAAGCAGTTTGGAACCCTTGCTGCAACGTACTTATGTAAAGACGAAAGTATTACAAGTATGAAGCACTAGCAATTGGTTGACTGTGTACATTTATGCTAGTTACTTCATATTGTAACTTTCCGTGTAGACGCTTACAAGTATTCGAATGGGAACGAATCTGTCGTCGCCTGCTTCCTGTTGTTGGACTCTTTCTCTATCGTAGACGCCGGAATAGGGGTAATTTCAGCCGGACCATATCCTGATGACGTTTCGGACCTTGTCCGGCCCATCTACGCGGACACCCGAGTCTCGTCTTGCCATAGCACAACCTTTCTTTCCCTGTCTTTGGCAATGGCGGCACGTCTCCTTTCTTCGACCGTCAGATGCACTCCTAAATACACAGCCCGTGTAGGCCTACTTTCGCCTTGGCGGGGGATTGCAACCAGCCAGCCGGAAGCGTATGTGGAGTCCGAGTCCGCGACGGGTATCGCATACCTCGCGCTCAATCGCCCACAAAGCAAGAATGCAATCTCTTTGCGCCTTTTGAAGGCAAGTCAGAAACGCTCATGTACGCCAGCGCTTCCTGAAGGTATACGTGTCTTCAGGAATTCCGTGAATGCCTCGACGAGGTCAAATACGACAAGAGGTATGTGCATCAATGTCATGCCTTCTCCCGAGAATATATTTGGTGACGCTCTTGTCACTTAGCATACGCGCCCTCATAATCCGCTCCTCTACTCCTGGATCATTCTGCGCTGGCGCGGACTTGGTCGAGCGGCGCTCTATGACGCAGATCCAGGTGAACAAGTTCCTTGTAGACCTTCGCTCCGCTCTCGGCGCGCTGGAGGGGCTCCCTGTCCCCACAGTGGCCGCGATTGACGGTCCCGCTCTCGGGGGAGGCCTTGAGCTCGCTTTTGCATGTGACCTGCGCGTCGCTGGTGTGTGGATCTCATATGTCAATGACAACATATGGACGTATTGCTAAAGGGATAGACCTTTAGGATACGACGTGACCAAGATTGGGCTTCCGGAGACGCGACTTGGGATCATTCCCGGTGCTGGCGGGACACAGCGAGCTGTCCGGCTGCTCGGTATGCCAAAAGCTAAGGACCTCATCTTCACTGCACGCATGCTGACCGCATCAGAGGCGCTTGAGTGGGGTCCGTTCATCCCTTATTACCGTGGCGTTATTTGACGTGTGCACGTCTAGGTGTGGTTGACTACGTCTCAAAGGAAGGGCAGACAGCATTCGAAAGGTCGCAGAAGCTAGCTCAGGAAATTGCTAAGAGCGGTTTGTCTTGAGGTATTCGCCCGTCTCCACTGTAGGCTCATGCGTCACATACACAGCTCCACTTGCATTGCGAGCTGCCAAACAGGCTATCTCCCGTGCAGCCGACCTCTCACTTGAGTCAGGTACGGAATGCTTCCCCCATACATGACGTCCGAACTGACACGTTCGCAGGCCTTGATTTCGAACGTGCATCTTACGAGCCATTGCTCACCAGTAAGGATCGGACGGAGGCGCTGAACGCATTCCGCGAAAAACGCACCCCCGTATTCAAGGGCGAGTAGATAGAATAAAATGGTCAGATGATAATAGTACACGTTGTAAATTAGGGAACTTCCAGAATGTGACGATTCTAATGGTATGCACCGGGAGCACAAACATACACTAAGAAAGTGGCGATATCGCCTACGGGCCTGGCAATACTCCGCCCATGGCATTGCGCCCAGCGACAAAAAAGTTGCTAGCAAATCCACTCGACATGCTCTCGCCAAGTCTCAGGCCTTCCAGCTCACGCATCATCACGCTGAGTCTCGCCATCTTGAAGCGGTCTTTTAGTGGTTTGCTTCCAGCTTCTGGACCAACAATTGCAGTGTCTTCATCCCCACCCTCGTCTTCGTTAAAGCGTGTTTCGAATTGGCCCCAGTCGCTCCGCTGGGCTAGGTAGGGGCGAAGCAACGCAGCATCGATCCGCCCAAGATAATTCTCGGTGATGTACGACCGTAAAATCTCGGGCCTGACGAGGAAAACGTTGCCAAGCTGACGGATAAACTCGAAGCGTTCAAGAAGGGCAGCGACATTGAACGAGGCTATGGTGTCCTGATAAGATTTAAGGTCCCTGAGATAATGTGCCTTCAGAATCGATGCTGGGGAAATATATTATACCACACTCACTTCGCAAGCATCAGACCACCGGTTGCGCTGACTGGGAACTTTTTAAGATGTTCCAGAAGTGCTCTGGTGTAAAGCCTCAGTCAGGTAACTCATATGAATGCGACGACACGCACGCGTGGAATGTAACTCCAATCTCCGTCAAGAAAGCCTCTTGGTTCTTGCCGCTTAGATTCTCAAAAGCAGCATCGCGAACCCTTTCGAGCATGTCACAGCAGGCTACACATGGCTCTGTGTTGACGCGAGCAAAAGAAAGGTCGTCATTCCGAGGCTTAAAATCATTCTTCTTCTGCTTCGTCAACTGCAAGGAAAGCCATGCCACAATGGCTGCGCGTTCCGGTCAGCGGCATACCAATCAGTCGGACGGATGAGACCCACTGTCTATGACTCGTTGGAGAAGACTGTTGGCGCCACCTTCGATGCGGCTAACAGTCTGGTTATTGAATATTGTCATTTCGCGCCTTACAGTAACCGACGCAGAAGCCAAAGGAAACAAGGCGATGTTGGCGTAGTGTTGCCAAAGATGGCAAATGAGGTCAACGGAACGAAGGACTGTTAGTGCTTGTAAACCAGGTTCGGCTTTTGGGTCCGCGGCCTCAAGCCGTGCATAGGCTCTTTGTAGACACAATAATTCAGTGGCAAGTACACGAACAATGTAAAGGACTTACGTCTCGACCGCAACCTCAAGATAAGCGCTACAGACGGCTTCCGACAGCACGCGTAACAGGGCAAATGTATTTTTCGCGCTGTTGCGAAGAGAGTAATTGTGAGCGGGATGCTTCATCGGGATGCTGAAGGTGCATACACATCGTTAGGCATGCTCAGCTCCACACACCGACGAAGCGCCTCAGCATGCCATTTGAGCATTGTCTCGGCTATGTCGATTTGTAAGTATCCGTCTTCTTCCTGGAGAGGTTCCTCTGTAGTCTTATCTTGCAGGCGATCAGCACTTATACCACCAAATCTCATGATAGCGGCTGCTGCCTGTGCAGATGTGCTGTTTCCGCTTGCGTTTGATGTAGCAGCGGCACTGATTTGATTCACGACTCGGTTGAACATGGAGGATTTCCCCTTGACTATCCGCCCCTGTCAAGCAAGATCAGACTATCTCTGAACATGCATCAAAGGAGTAGGTCACGCACATGAAATCGAGTGAAATCCGCAAGCAATCCTGCATATAGCTCCCCTAAGCTTTTGCTCTCTCTCTCTAGGTACTTTAGGCCTTCAATGTACGGCACGAAGAGCTCATCCATTGCAGTCTCAAGCATCGCACTGACTGACAGTGAAGTCGCAGCAGTGCCTGAAGTCGATGGCCCGTTGGACAGCGTTCGACGAAATTCTGACATATCCAGAGCGGAGCGACTTGGAGTCACAGATGGAAGTTCGTGAGTTTTCAGATCCTCGACGAGGGTAGAAGTCTCAGAATGGACGAGCTGAAGCATTCGGAGATACGCAAGGTCGGAAAGGGTTGCACCCTTGTGGAGGAGCTGCTCCATGTACTGCTGTATCTTTTCGGGTGTCAGCATGTTCACACAGAGTCGTGGATGTAGCGAACCGTTTGCGAGAAGACACGCTGTAAGAAGACTTGCATAACAAATTGAGGATTAGGAAAGACTGCTTGTACTATCTGTGCCTCTTGCCCCACAGTCGACCTAATCTCGGTAAACAGATCAGTGAGACCAGATTCCGCTATGGGAGGTGGTTCATCGGAAATCACGATAGAATTCCACCTGTTAAGTTGGCTTATTAAGTTGGATCCTGGAAGTTGCGACATTTCCTACATTGGGTCGTTGTTTTGTGCTGGTGCGTCACGGACCTTATTGATGAAAAAATCGTGTTGGTTCACGTAGACTTGAACACAGGAAGCACCACCGTTGAAATCTAGCAGTGTTTGGGCGCAGTGCTACAAGGCAAGACCTTTGGTAAGACAAAGCACACGTAGAAAACGAAAGGGGACCTGCATGCATCAACTTTGGATCACCTTTGCGGTAACATCGGTCGAAGAGATACAGCATGTCCTTTTCGAACTTCTCGCAGTACTTGTCGATGGCTTCACGGGTCTGGCCTACCGGTTAGCACGTCATTCATTCGGACATCTTGTAATAACCTTCTCAGCATTTGGTAGATCAACCTCCCTTGCCACTGTTGTAAGTCTTCTGAGGATGGTAGCAACTTGACTTCTGCCCTCTTTGCCTTCTTTCTTGAGTGCGTCAAGCCGTGTTGTGTCTCCGCGAGAAAACTGAATGTAATAATCGATGAGAGTATGTGCAGCATGCGCCCTTTGTCGCTCGATATGCACAGATTCCAGCTGTTCACCTGTAACGCACACTCAGGGGGGAATGGATTGTGAAACCGTGTCACCGCGTACCAATCCTTATTGCTGCTCGACCAACTTCATTCATTTTCCCCTCTATGGTTGTGAAAGAGCTACCTGCAGCCTTTTGAAGTTATCAAGTCAACCGTATGTAAGGCTTGACAGATATGACGTACCTCAAACCCTTGACTGAGGTTAGCCATCTTCTTGGAGTACTCTCGCTCTGCAACACGAACGCTCTTTTCGTTCTGCTCAATCTTGGTCTGAAGGTCTTTCCTGACACTTATGAGTTTGTCAACGGCTTCTTCGAAAGACCTGATGAACGGTTTGGGATCGAAGGCTATGCGCACACGTTCAGCATGTAACGACAAAGTCGTAGCTGCACCCACGTCCTGAGCTGGTTTTTGACTGCAAAATTAGGCGCTCTGACATCGATCCCACGAAATCCTTGACATCAAACTTTCCCTGCATGAATGTGACATGGAATGAATGAAACAATTAGCTTTAGAAAGCATATTGAATGACCTCGAAGTTGCTGAGCCGTAGATGTTCATCTTCATAACGCGCTGATCCCATGCTCGGACCTGGATGTCAATACGCTTAATACACAGAGCCGGCTCGTGGTAGTCGAACGTAGATTCGGAGTAAGTGTCGAGTTAGAGGCGTTATTTGCACTTGTTGAATTCTAAAGCTTTTGATCCTGTTTAGGTAGCAGACTCCTTTCCCTGTCTTTGGCAACTCAAGCCAATCACAGGTAGCCGGGTTGAAAAATCTTAGGCGTGGTGGGTATGGACGTCACCACTAACCTCAAAACTTTGTTACAGGCTCATTTAGCGACGGATTCAGGCGCAGTCTTTCACCTTCCTCATGTCCTCTCTCAGCTACATCCAGACTGCATCCAATCGCCTCATTTCAAAAAGTGGACTACTCGTGTCACATCTCTCCTGCACTCCAAGGACCAAGGAATCAGATGGGCCGGCCTATGTCTAGCATATAAAACCACTACGATGGGGAAATCTGTCCTTATGGATACTGCATCTAGCTGGGTGCCATTGGCTATGTCATATCTTTCGGTGCGATGTTACCTGTTTGCGCCTAGATACTGAAAGTCCAATTGTCATCAGGGAAGCGATACAGCTGTCTTGAGGGTGGCAATAAGATATATTCGCCATGTACTTGCTGCCTCTCTTGACATACAAGAATTCCAACGGCAGATTGTGATACCTCTTGTTCCTAAATTTGCGACTGCTTTGGCAGCTTTCGTGGAGAAAGACACGGAGCTGGGCATCAAAGTATGTGATGAACTTGATTTTTGCAACTGAATGTCTAAAAGTCAAAAAAAGATGTTATCTTTGGATACCTTGACAGAACTTGTTCCAATCTATCCTAACTTACATCGAGCACAAAACAACAGCTTGTCAGCTATCTGTTTACGAATCATCGACACCTCTTCATTAGGCGCGTGTAATAGGGTCATTGTTGCGCATGGTGCTCGGCTTCTCTCTGTACTGCATTTCACTGGTGGCAAAGTTGGGGCAGCCTCACTTTGGAGGAAAGCTCTTGAGGACATGATTGGCTCTACTTGGACCGCTTTTGCAGCAATGAGGACCAGTTTCCCAGGTTTGGTGGGCCCTTGACCGACATCATCAATGCTGATCGCAATTTAGGTCAGAATTATCCCATCCCTCAAGGCCGAGGCCACGATGACCCTTTGGCCTCCATCCCTTTACATACAGACCGAATGAACAACAGTGTAACAGCCCTATGTCATATGTTATGGTGCGTGCCAGTACAACTAGCTACAGCAGCATTCACCCCATAGCATTAGTACCACTGCCTCACGTCCCGTGCAATTGCCCATTGGAACACTTGTGAAACTTGCCGTGGCTCTCCTTGGTTGCACTGGGAATGAAAAGGTCAGATAAATCAACTCGGACCTTACTTACCGGCCAACATTGTCTTGAATGTACAGAGAGAAGGTCACATTGATCCTGTCACTCGCGACCTCGAGATAGCAGCGCTTCCATCTATCTGGACCTCCGGCACCAAGCTTACAACCGCCCTAATCGAATGGTATATCGCCTCCACCGTGATTCTCGAGTAATTTTTGATCTCCATATAGCACTCAGGCTCTGTCAACGCCCCATGCTACTCAACTTCTTGGCGTTCTGGTCCCGCACTTGGAACGAAGTTCCGCATCGTAAGCTTGTTGTGCTATTCTCAACCTTCTAATTCACAATTTCTATTTAGTTTACCACGAGAACGATTTATCCGGGCCACCAAAGAATTACTTCTTGCCTGTCGCCCTATACTACACGCTCGTTTCCTGGTGATGCGTGTTATGAAAGCAAACCTCTCTCTCTTGACACCTCTATTGTTAGCTCAACGCGACGAGAAGATTGAGGCTAACCCCGAACGGCAAGAGAACAGGAGAAGTAAGAAAAGACGACGTGAATACGAAGGAGACGAGGTTTTTAAAAGACACAGGGAAACTCTATGTGCTACCTCCGACGATGAAGCTTCTCTAATTGAAGCCTTGCACCGTAAAGCATTGTCCGTCTAACCCTCCAAAAAAGCGCTAACATAATGCTTTTAGTACTGCAAGCAACACTGCGGATATCTCGTACTGTACCTTCTCACCATTCGTTGGCCTCTCGGGTCCTGCTGTCGGCTGCGTTTGCGATGCGTACAACGTCATCGTCAACGTTATCTCATAACGCACGCCTTCACGATCTCCTTTATTCAAAGATCTGCCAACTAAGCATAGAGACTGCACGTGGTGGCTATAATGCGATGAACAAAAACTTGGGCTTGGTCCTCCAAGGAGCCTTGGTCAGCTCCACGAGATCGAACGAAGTGAGAACATTAATTCCTATAGCTCGCCCAGACTGGATTGACCATTTCTTCCTAGTTGCTGTATGATCTCTACAATGATCTTGAACTACTCCTGCACCCTCGCTTGCCACCTCTTGTTCGGCCATTACCACATGTAGATGAGCTGAGTCTATATCGTGCTGAAGAAAGCAACGACGAACGCTCGGCAAGACAAGCGGTGGGTGTGGTCACGGTACAAGACTCTCAACCCACGCCTCAGACAGACGCGGAGCATAGAAGAAGTACCCTCCTACATCTCGGCCAGCAGGAAGAACAAAACGTTTCTTCAGGGCTTTCACCAGTATCAATACAAACGGCCTCTAATGTGGTATCTGTACGGAGTGCGTCAAAAGCACCTCTGGACATTCCTCCCCTGCCGCCGTCGCAGAACTTCACACCGCAGTTCAGCCCAGCTATCTCTTCCAACATAAGCCCGGTTCTACCTTTTCCCAATACAGGTGGTCATGTACCCTCATCGGCAACAACCCCACATATGGATGCACTGGGGGATGACTCCAATTCTGCTGGAGCAGTTGCGCCGGCAAAGCCATCCTCCATGGACGTTGATGATGATGACGATGACGATGACCAGGAACTCCCCACTATCGATGTCGAGTCTGATAGCGATCACGAAAGCTGAAACTTGTGGGGGACATGATTTTGTTATATACTGTGCATCCGGTAGCGTTTGGCTTGTCCAGGTAATCTCTGGATGCTCGTGTCTTCTTCATCAGAGTCAACAACCTTGGGACTCTGCCAATTGACTCCTTGCATCATGACAGGAACCTATGATAGATAAGGTGTCAACGGGACCACCTGGTCTGCAGCACACGCACCCGTTCAAGAAAAGTTTTGGCCACCAAATTGTCAGAGTCTAAAGACTTAGCCCGTTCGAAGTAAATCTGCGCCCGTCCGAGCATGTCTCCATTGAAACATGTATTCTGGTCGCCCGAATCATCTGGTTGCGCCATGTACACGCAGATAAGCCCAGCATACACATGAAGTGGTGCATTGTCATGGTAGGGGAATGACGGGAGGTACCTAAGTAACATTCGAGACCACGAAAACGCGTTGAATGCTCGAACGTACAATTCCAGCTCGTCGAGAGCGTCTCTGTATTTTCCAGCATTGATCAGATGGATGACAAGCTCGGATAAGATGTGTTCTCGCTAGAAAGGATAAGGGATGAAAGCGACTATGTACTACCCGGTAAGTGGTGATGTGGTGTCTACTCACCTGGTTGGGCGACTGCAACATGATTGTGCGGAGGAACTCTGTCTTGCGTGAATTACTCTGCAGAGTTGCACCACTATCAAGTAATCGAAGACTCATTCTCCATTTTTCCTTCCAGTCTACCTCCTTGCAGCGCGCTAAAATGGCCCATGCATGACGGGCTCGGTGGCTATCTCCACGCTGTAAGCTGACATGGAGAATGTCGAAGAGCCGTCGTATATGAGTGGCACGGACATTGATAACTTTCTTTTCGTTGCCAGGAGAGAATAGAAATATATGCTGATGATCGTCTGTGTCCATGGAGGGGCTGTGGTCTGGCTGAAAACAAGCAAATTTACCAAATCGTTGGGTGCATAATATGTAGCAGTACATGACCAAACTTGGGACACTGACCTGCGACCAACTTTACCATGGGCTTATGACGAACTTGCATCGAATTTCTATTCTCCCAATCAGACTTTCGGCACAACGTGTGTGCAGTCTTCTGCGTAGCGCATTACAACACTACCTCGCCTGATTAATTGGCGTCTCTTATATTCATGGACGATCTTGAACTCGGAGCTGCCGTGTGGGGCGCACCTAGTGACACCACCTTCCCCGTCCGCTCGTCGGCTTCACCGTCCAATGATCAGTTTGACGATTTCGACGACTTTCATACACCAGGACAGACGGAGCCCGCTCACTCAGTAGCCCATGACGATGACTTTGGAGATTTTGGAGACTTTGGGGACGCAGATGCCACCACCGGCGAGGGTTTTGGTCAGGATGATGAATTCGGCGAAGTCACACCCATCTCTAGCTCCTCGGGGAGTACATGGCAACCTCCGGTGCTCAGTCCTTTACCGGAGAGAGAAACATTGAAGAGGATGGTTGACGAGATCTTGGAACCAGTCTGGAGCAGCGACCTGACAATGCTCACTACGGACGAGGACATTAGACAAGTCGAAGGGATAAGCCAAGTCTTGACGACACCACAAAGGTCAGTAGCTCAACGCACATATCACTCATGTCTCATTTCTCGTCTAGTCGCATCTTGTTCAATGCCATTGCTAACTCCCCACCGCAAGTGGAACTACTGAACTGGACACGATCACGGATACGACAGCAACACCTAATTTCACTAGGATTACCCGTAAATCTGGATGAGATGCATCCTCACGCGAACGCCAAACCACTGCCACCGTTGCAGATATCAACACGTCCTATGTCGGCTCCTCCTGGTCCGCGAGCCGGTGCTCCGGGTAGTAAACCGTCATCAAGAGAACACTCACTCTCGCGAGCGGGAACGCCCCGCTCTGGAACTCCTCAGCCATCCTCAAGAATGAAAGCTTCAAATGTTAACCAACTGCGATTAGGACCGAGACCACAACTTGATGATAAGAAGATTGAGGAATTAGTAAATCTGGAACAGGGTAAGTATTCGTGGGAAGTTGCTCACCACAGCGCTGATGGAGGTGTCGCGTAGATCAACTGACTCTCCTTCCTTTGTCCAAACTGGAGCAAATGCTTGTTGACATCCGCACCGAAACGACGAATGCGTCTTCGTTGCTGACTTATCTTCTCCAGACGCGCGATGCACTGGAGCAGGATTCAGAAACGTACAACAAGCTTATCGCAGAGATGGTGAGTGAAGCGCAGAAAAAGAGCATGGCAAAGGGACGGACTAGTGTTGGTAAACGCGGGACGATGGGTTGACTTGGCCAAGGTTGAACGTTGAATACTAGCATATTAGCTATTAAGATAGGGGCTTGTACAGTTTTGGCAGCTATGACGATCACGTGGCGGCTCAGTAATTTTGAATGGAATAGATTGTCAGAAAAGTTTGGGACCAGAGGCCTCCTGAGTTGCGTCCCTCGGTCTGCTCACAGCTGGCGAGCACCATGAACATCGCCCACTCGATACCTTCCACTGTATCAAGCGTCTCTTTCTCATTCCTCACTAGCCAGGATATTCGCCGCATCTCTGTCAAACAGATCGTCAATCCTGTTCTCCTCGATGATCTGAATAGACCTAATATCGGAGGCCTCTACGATCCTGCTCTGGGACCGAGCGAGCGTCAGGACATGTGAGTGCGCCAAGTATTTTCTGGCCCGTCTAACTAAACGAGGACGATAGCTGCGCAACATGTCGCCTCAGCTACTTCACTTGTCCTGGCCACTTCGGCCATATTGAACTCCCGCTCCCAGTATTCCATCCGCTTTTCATGGTAAACGCGTACAACATCCTCAGAGCCACTTGCTTGTTCTGTCATAAATTCAAGCTGCCACGTACAGTTGTGCGTATATGTACTTGCCACCATTACACAAACTAATTTCCGGTCATAGCTATGTAAATATGCTGCTAAACTGCGACTGCTTGAACATGGCCTACTCGAAGCTGCACATGGCATCGATGACATCCGTCTCATACAGCGCAAGGAGAAAGGCGATGATGCTGAAGATGATGGTGGCTCGGATGAGACAGCGCAGGAGTTTGAAATGCGTGTCAACCTATACGTTTCGATATACCTATCTCGTGCATCTAGCAGCAGGCGAGATCACTACAAGGATGGCCTCGTTTACCAGGCCCGCAAGGACATTATTTCGGACTTCATGCGCACAGCTATGATTCGGCAATGTAAAAACTGTGGAGCGTAAGGGAGTTCTCATTTGGCTATTCCTCTTCAAGTCTAATTCATTCACAGCCATGGCTTCACCTTTCGAAAGGAGGGTCACACAAAGGTCATCGAGTACGACCTTACTCCGAAACAGAAAAGTCAACACGCTTACTCTGGCTTAAAACGGCCTCGCGTGCTTGATTTGGCTCCAGTCCCGAACCATTCAGACATAAACCATATGGATGTGGACTCTGCCAGCTCTGAATCAGAAGGGGAGGGCGAGCCGATTCTTTCTGAGGACAATGACGAACCTCCCAATGTTGCTAAACCCTCGGAAGACCACCAAGCTCGCGCAGTCAACGGTAAAATCAAAGGGAAGCGTGGGCGAAACGAGCGACTCATGCCTCCAGAAGAATGCCGGGCTCACATACGTCGTCTATTCAAAAACGAATCGACATTGTGTTCCCTTCTGTATGGGCGACACGGCCCATTTGCCCCGCTCACGCCCACAGGTCTGTCGCTTGCCTCCGCAGACATGTTCTTCATGGAGGTCGTCCCTGTGCCACCCACACGCTTCAGACCACCAGTAAGGATGGGTGAAACGCTCTTTGAGCACCAGCAGAACGAGCTTCTCTCAAAAGTGCTGAACAGCTCTTACCGTGTACGCGATGCCAATGCCAATGTCAGGGCGAAAGATGCAACAAAAGACCAGTCAAGAGCTGAAGAGTATCTATGGGACTCGGTGGTTCAGATGCAAATTGACGTCAATAGCTTCATTGACAGTAATAAGAATCCTGCTCCCGTACGACAGGGGAAGCTGCCTCCTGCAGGTGTGAAGCAAGGGCTTGAAAAGAAGGAAGGCCTGTTCCGAAAGCACATGATGGTAGATATCGCTCTCCTTACTCCCATCCGCTGCTGACTATTCTTAAGGGTAAACGTGTCAACTACGCAGCGCGTTCAGTCATTTCCCCCGACGTCAACATCGAGCCAAACGAGATTGGTATTCCACCAGTGTTTGCTCGGAAATTAACATACCCTGAACCCGTCACTCCTATCAACTTCCATGAGCTGCGGCAATATGTGATTGCCGGTCCTAAAAACTATCCCGGAGCAACGATGGTGGAGTATGAAGATGGGCATCAGCAATCTCTGGTAAGCGATATTTATATCATATACACTCACCTGGGCGTTTCTTATGATTTATGCAGGAGAACATGACTATTGAGCAGCGCACAGCAATAGCAAATCAGCTGTTGACACCTTACAACGGTAGCGACAATCGTCGTGGCCTTGCGACCAAAACCGCGTCTGTCAACAAGAAGGTGTATCGACATCTACTCAACGGCGACATCTTGATCTTGAACCGACAGCCAACACTGCACAAACCTAGTATGATGTGCCATAAAGCTCGCATATTACGTGGCGAGAAGACCATTCGAATGCACTATGCTAACTGGTGAACATCATCCTCTCTTACTTTGACACGCACCTTATTAGTTTTCCTTAGTAACTCTTATAATGGTGAGGTTTTTAACTTGCAATCTACGCTATTGACTGACTGACTGATGTCGGTTTCCCATAAAGCTGATTTTGATGGAGATGGTGAGTAGTAAGGGCCAAGAGGTTAACCACGTAACTAACTCTTTGGGATAGAAATGAACATTCACTTCCCTCGTAAGTACATCCTCCGCAAACAGTTTTAGAAGTTTATCATCGTTGCATCTAGAGAATCAAGTAGCTCGCGCTGAGGCGATGCTCATTGCCAATACCGACAATCAGTACTTGGTGCCAACCTCTGGAAAGCCTTTGCGTGGTCTCATTCAAGATCATGTTGTAGCTGGCGTTTGGATGACATGTCAAGATGCCTTCTTCACTCGAGAAGAGTACTTCCAGCTACTCTATGGCGCCTTGAGGCCTGAAGACCAGATAGACCAAGTGGGGAGGCTGAAAACACTACCACCAACAATATGGAAGCCGGCACCTCGTTGGACGGGCAAACAAATCGTAAGTACACCGAAATCGTTTGCAAGGGTGTTATTTAACGTGTCTGAAGATCTCCACTGTCCTGAAAAACATCACTCCGACCAATGCTGAAGGTCTAAACCTTGAATCTAAGGCCAAGGTTCCAGGCAATCTGTGGGGCAAAGGTTCGACGGAAGATAACGTCATCTTCGTTGACGGAGACCTTGTCTCTGGAGTCCTTGACAAATCGGCATTTGGTGCAACGGACTACGGCCTTGTCCACTCTGTCTATGAGCTGTATGGGGCCGATGTTGCTGGTAAATTGCTAGGGATCCTTAGTAGGCTCTTCACAAAGTTCCTCCAGCACCGAGCTTTTACTTGCCGCATGGACGACCTCGCTTTGACCCCTGATGCAGACAAACGAAGGTCCGATATCTTGGATGATGCATGCAACTTTGGCACCGATGCTGCTATCGAGAACTTTCCTTCACTGGTTGGTCTAGACAAAGAGGACGTCCCTCAGGCGCTAGCTTCGCTACTGCGAGACATCCTCCGGGACGATAACAAAATGGCTGGTCTTGATGTCACTGTACGAAACAAGATGGGAGGGCTCACGAAGTCTGTCGAAGATGCTTGCGTCCCTGGAGGTCTTCTACGGAAGTTCCCCTACAACCACATGCAGATGATGACACTGTCTGGTGCCAAAGGCAGTGCTGTAAACGCACGACAAATCTCGTGTGGTCTGGGCCAGCAAGAGCTAGAAGGTCGTCGTGTACCTCTCATGGTCAGCGGCAAATCACTACCCTCATTCAAAGCTCTGGAGACCAAAGCTATTGCTGGTGGATATGTTGCAAGCCGTTTCTTGACGGGGATCAAACCTCAAGAATTCTACTTTCATTGCATGGCTGGTCGTGAAGGTCTGATTGATACAGCTGTCAAGACTTCACGTTCCGGGTACCTTCAGCGTTGCTTGATCAAGCATTTGGAAGGACTCCGCGTCCATTATGACCATACTGTCCGCGGTAGCGACATGTCGATCTATCAATTCCATTACGGTGGAGACGGCCTCGATGTCACCAAACAGAAACACTTGTATCAATTCGGCTTCGTGGCCCAGAACGAAAAATCTTTCGTCAATCGTCTACAGCCTGCGGAGGTTGCTCAGGCCATCAATGAGGAAGATGCTATTGCGTACATGAAAAAGGTTCTCAAGAAGTCTGCTGAGCGCGAGGACAAGCATACGCCTGCGCCGCGAGAGGTTTACGATCCAGCCCTGAACAAGTTCACACCAAGTCGCTACCTGGGTAGTACTTCGGAAAAGTTTGCTAGCGCACTGGACAGCTACACTAAAACTAATCCTCACAACCTACTCCGGTCCAAGAAGCTTCACCATCCTCTTCCCATCAAAAAGCGGAAGGACAACATGTCTGTGAATCACTTCAAAATGCTAATGAATGTAAAGTATATGCGAAGTCTGGCTGACCCTGGGGAAGCGGTTGGTTTACTGGCATCGCAAGGGTGAGCCGACTATGAGATCCGCTTCATAATGCGGTGGTTAATAATAAAACTAGAGTTGGCGAGCCATCAACCCAGATGACTTTGAATACTTTCCACTTTGCCGGTGAGATACCGCGTTGCAGCATAGTCACATATGAACTGAAGCCTTTCCAGGCCACGGTGCTGCCAACGTTACGCTCGGAATTCCTCGACTGCGAGAAATCGTCATGACGGCTTCGCAGAAACCCAAGACACCCTCTATGACCATGGAAGCTCGTGCAGATACGTCTCAGGGCGAGGTTTCAGCCTTCTGCAAGCAGGCTAATCGCATGACCCTCGCTCAAGTCGTTGAGAAGATTACTGTACGAGAGCGGCTAACCGCCAGCGGAGATGCTCACCGCACGGAGTTCATCGTCGACATGGAATTCTTTCCCGAGGAGGAGTATCGAAGCGAATATGACGTCGAGCCATCAGAGATCTTGGCCGTGTTTAGCTCCAAATTCCCCCTTTTCCTGAAGAAGGAGATTCAAAATGAAATCAAGAAGATTGACGCTGATCTGAAGAGCCAAATTGCTGAGCTTGGCAAAGGGAAAGTGTCGAAAGACCTTCCGGTGGACGGGGGAGATGCTGAAGATGAGGCTGCACCTCCGAGTCGGGGTCGAGATGATGACGAAAGGAGTGAAGAGGGAGATGGTGATGCGGAGGACGAGAAGCGGGCGAGGCAGCGGAAGCAGCAAGCTACTTACGATTCGGACGAGGACGAGGACCCAACCGAGCTTGACGAAGATGCAATCGAGGCGGCGTTTGCCACTGCGTCTAACGATGATGAAGAGCGGGCTGAAATTCCGAAGCTCAGCAAGTCACTCAAAGAGAGGATCAAGGTTGTTTCGGACTTATTCCAGCACAACCTCATCTTTGCCACATCATTTGATTTTACTACAAAGAAGTGTACATTCAAGTTGGAGGTGAGTCCCAGTACGCCAGTACCACGCGGGTGCTAAAAAGTTCGTAGTTCACTGCAGAGTTCCCAAAATTACTGCTGGTTGGCGTGGTGGAACGCACTTGTCACAAGTCCATCATTCGGGAGATTCCAGGCATCGCCGACTGCTTCAGTTCGGCAAAGGACAACGATCAAAAGGGTAAAAAGAAGATTCAGGTCGGTTCTATCGTCGCTGGTGGACCTGTAAACGAGCTGACCATTCTCAAGGTCACTACGAATGGTTCTAATCTTCAGGGAATGTGGCTCTTTAACGACCAAGACGTCATTGTCAATGATACTATCTACTCCAATGACATTTACGCCATCCTGAAGACGTACGGTGTGGAGATGGCTCGCGCGGCTATCCTCCGGGAAATTGGAGGGGTGTTTAGTGCTTACAAAATTGATGTAGACATGAGACATCTAGAGTTGATTGCGGATTATATGGTGAGTCTAAAGGTTCCTTTGTAGGGGAAATTTCTTAGTGAGATGGCATATTCTAGACTTTCGAAGGCGGGTACAAGCCTTTCAATCGGAGCGGATTGTCTAGCAACCCTTCCCCACTCCTCAAGGCATCTTACGAGACAACCGCTGCATTCCTGTCTGATGCCACGCTGTATGGCGACTTCGATGATCTCTCGACTCCATCCGGGAACATCGTCATGGGCCGTCCGAATAGAACGGGGACGGGTGTGTTTGATGTCGTCATGCCCATCGCATGACGAAGGTTCCACCAACTAGACACTTGCTGCCATGCATATGCTATCACTGCTTTATGTCGGATCATTTACGGGACTTTTATGTAGCCCTTAACATTGTTATGCATTTCCTTTTGCCGTTCCTAGCGCCAGAGTTTGGCCCAAGTTTGGCCAGTCTTCTATAGAGCGCGGTGCGTGACTAATTAACACGTCGCGTAGTGAAAACGTGACTGTGACTGTTGGCGTCGCGTTACAGGACAATGGTTCAACTTTTCGTTTTCGTTTCCTTTCTGTCCTGGCTCCCACGAGTTATACCTCTCGTCTCCCTTACCACCACATTCCCCATTCTATCATCGCCCGTCATGCATCGTCCAGGACCGCTGCAGGATTTGCCACTCGATCAGTTCGCTAGCGCCAAAGAGTTGGCCCCTCAATCAGCCAAGAAACGCTCTCTTCCCATTCACTCACCCATATACAACCCCACCAAGCGGCGCATCCTTAGTGAAGAAGGCTTTTTTGCACCCAAGCCTCTTGATCTCTCCTTATTCAACGCAAGCACTCCCCAGTCACCTTTCCGCACGCCGCGGAAAGCATCGCCTTCGAAAAGGCACGCCTGCTGGGATCAGCCTTCATCTCCTGGACCCACTGTCCCTCCAAGCCCAGTCACTCCTTCTCCAAGTAAGCGATGGTCATCAAGGTCTCCGCCACCCTCGAGTCCATTTGATGCTTCTCCGGAGACACCGAAGAAGTCGAATCAGCCTCCTTCTCCAACCACTCTTCGCCGTTCTCCACGCCTACGGAATACACCTAATTCCCCAACATTTATGCTAGCGCAGCGCGAACCACCGCAGCTTTCAGACAGACAATCCAATCATTACCCCGGCTTCGATATGTACTGCGACCCTCACGTATCCATCCCAGCCACATCTGTATCTGCGACAACCCAAGACGATTTCGGGCACAGTCCAATAGAGGGCTATGCAGCCAAGGAGGAATCAAAGGAGAATTTAGCTCCGAGGAAGAAGACAAAGAAGCCCGGGTCGCTTGTTGACTCCTCGAGGAAACGCAACATGCTTTCAAACATATTTAACAGCGGAAAGTGCTCGTCGTACAAGGGTACATTGCAGTTTGGTGAACTGCCTGCGCCGCCCCCAAGCCCACCCGTAGCATCGCCGGGTGTGCTCCAGCAGTCGAGCGTACGTCAGTCCAGTCCGCGGGGTAAGAGTCCCTCGCTAGCACTGACGCCCGATGAAAGGAAGGAACGGAGGAAGCAGATGAGCCAGGAGGATGACTATATGGAGGTCGACCAGAAAGAGAATCAAGGTACTGTCCCTCTTCCACCTATTTCGGAGGGCCGATAAGCTCATTTCGTTGTGTTCTCAGTTGTAGTCTAACATCATTTAACGAACTTTTACCCTTTGTGCTCACCATTTATGACAACTGTAAATTAATACACAACTTCTACTTACAAGCGTACATAACTTATGCTTAGTATTATGACAAAGTGGCTTCCTTACTATGCATGTCAATATGATATGTTGGGCCGATGGCGTCCTTTGCGCTCCTCATTTGCGTTCATCCTGTCTGCAGGGACGACCCACTCTAACTTATATAATATCAACCTACATTGGATTGACGTCCTTTAGTCCCTAGTCACGTGCGACTACCTAATCACTTATTAATTTAGAGTCTAAGTTAGTCAGTATACCGCGGGTTGCTACACGCTGTATCTCTTCTCCACGTCACTAGAAACCGCCATGCTGGTGTTTCTTTGGGCCTATCTACTGATATTCAGTCCACTCGCCTACGCGCAGTTTGGTTTCTTCGACCAAATGTTCGGTCATCAACAACAGCACGCTCAGCGGGGGAACTCTGGAGGGGCTTCGCAGTGGGCAGTACATGCCGACGCAGGTCAGCCTTTCCTACTCACCGCTTTTCTTCAGCTAATAGGCTGCCTCGCCCTTCGTCAGTCTCATGCTCGCAGTATCTCTGCCCAGACACCCTGATTTGCGTTTCGCGGCCTGCAGACTGTCCCTGTCCCAATGTGGAAGATGTCAAGTGCACAATCCCGGACTCTCAGGACAAAGGGTCCGCTACTGTGCTGTGCGTTCGCGGAGAGAAGGAGTGCGCCAGTGTAGAACAGTTAACGAGAAAGCATTCGAAATAGACAACGAGGTTACCCCGCGAGACGGCTAGTGTTGTACGTATCTTGTTACCTGAAGTGGGCGAGCGTGGCGTCAATGACTCTGATTCTATTCGCATCAAAAGAGCGCGTTCCCCCGCCCCACTTTGCTCAAGGCGCCCCGCTCTGGATGGGAGGAGATTCGTCACACGAGATCAGTGGCCGACGTTTTGTATTATCACAATTTTTGGAAATTAATATTGTCGGCGACATCTATGCTGATATCCGTGGCTTAAGCACTTATGCATATGCACGGCAAATATTGTGGCAGCGCGTCATGCGCTTGAATGTTCTCAGCATTTTTTTTGGCTCTCTGACTTATCCAGGTGCGACGCAACCCATGATTCCCGCTCTGACAGTAAAGTCCATGCGTATGTCAGAGACGATATCGTGGCAGGGGACAAAGCGACCGGGAAAAGCAATCACACGCAGCCCCTGCATGAGGACAAGCTCTGCTAATCCTCGGCCCAGTTCCCGGTGGGCGCTTCAAGAACTCGCAACCAACGGCCACGTCGGTGGTGTACAGGTCGGGCTATTCTAGACTATGTTGGCGGTATCTAAAGCCAATTATAAGTACCAATTTGGTGTATGTAAGTTCCACCAAAAAAAGCTAACTCTGAGCCCAGACAACATACGGGTGGAATCTTGCTGGGTGGCCGCTTTAGAACTCTATGCGCGCAGATAATTAGCAAAACCCGATAACCATGGGCTCGAAGATAGAATGTCGGAAAAAGCGAAATTGCGTCGAAATGCATTGAAACGCATTTTGATGGTAACCCCGTCTTAATGGGGGGTTCGTAAAGTTGAGATGCCGTTCCAACGCTCCAAAAAACGGGTCATCGACGACGAAAAGCCAATCATATCACGTCGCTACGACCGCATTCCCGCCTTGGCGCCGTCTTGACAACATTTAAATGGCATTTTGACGATTTGAACCCCCCATATAGTTGCATTGAGACGCGAAATGCCGCCACCGTCAAGATGCCCGTTTTGGTTTTTCCGACATGTCTGATGTATATGTCACGTATATGGATTTTGACAATTCACAGTCGGTTCAACATGAAGCTTTGAACCTTGACGAACGTAGGACTTATCAACCCTCCGCAGCATCAGATGTTGTGGCTGAGTCTACCATAAACCGTGTCATTTTCTCTGACACTCGACCGTATGTGGATCTGACTTCAGGTTGCCCTTACAAACCGGTTATAAGCTTGAGCTGCAGTGGCCTTGGTGACTCCACCTTTGGTTGTCCTGCAATTTTGAACGACGTCAACTTAGTCATTAAAATAATCGATGCGGGTGGTTGGGGATATCCGAGGGTGTTGTACACGCAGACGTTGCGCAGACGCACAAATTGAATCAACGGTGAAAATGCAGAAGAAGAAAATCGCCTGGCATTCGAAAACAAAATGCCTGGGGTATAGCCAAGTACGGTATGCCTTGTCCGCCTAAGAAAAAACTCCGGACCACTCACCAATATCGAGATAAATACTCCGCTGTAGGCACCATTGACTACTGCCAGACGTCGTCTAGAAGCACTGTTTTGTGATTCTGGCGAGACTGACTCTCCCGCTCATGACGGGCGCCTTGCAAGCCCCACACAGTGTATCGCACGACGTGGCGCTTATGTATTGTCGATCTAATGTAGTAGCAAGCACCATCCTATTATTGCTGCATGTTGTACAAATATACAATGTTATAAACGGCCGTCTACTTGTATATGACGTCGACATTTGTACTACACAAGAGCTCGCTATATTTGCAAGACACAATAAACAGGAATAGCACAGACCACTTAATAGTGGTAAGTCAGATTCGTTTGGTATAAATTGTACGCATGGCTACTTTCGAATACAGAATCTATGGATACAGTACTTGACCAAGATTAAATTTGGGAGACTTGGAGTTGAGTTAAATTTCCCGCGCATTCGAAGTAACGGGTTCCGAGTGAGCGGGCTTCCGCAAAGCGGGCGGCGAAACCATGCTGATCTTTTCAAACCCCGCGCGCGTTCCGTGTGCTGACGTAAACTCCAAACGTTTCCCTACTCTTGGTGCCAGACCCCGTTCCGTTTCCCAAGAACAGCATCTGTCGCTTGTACTCCTCTTCACTGACGCCTAGTATGGCTGTACCAAGACCAACGGTATGCTCGCCCTTTGTGATAAGTAGCATCCTCTGCTTACCTCGTAAGCTAGTCGAAGCTGCCCCCTGGCGCCAACCGCATCTTGTTTGTCAAGAACCTCAACTACCAGATCACAGGAGAAGACTTGTATGATCTTTTTGGTCGCTACGGAACTGTAAGACAGATACGGATAGGCAACGAGCCAAAGACTAAGGGCACCGCCTTCGTCGTATTTGAAGACGTCATGGACGTACGCTCTCATCCTTTTACCCATTGTGAAATTTCAAGGCATTTACCTCTCCTACAGGCTAAGAACGCCCTCGAACATCTCAATGGTTTCCATCTACAGGAGCGCTACATTGTTGTTCTGTACCACATGCCAGCCAAACAAGACGCAGCAGCAGCGAAGGCGGATCTTGCTCGCAGAGAAGAAGAGCTCGCCCAGCTTAAGAAGAAGCACGACATCGGAGACGAGTAAGATTAAGAATGTGCTGTCCCTTAGCCCTATTCATCCGTATGTATGTCCGTTCATTAGAATGCATAATCAAGAATGTTGACATCATGCACACGGCTAAAGCTAAGTGCTTGCCCTGGCCCCTTTAGCCACTGCATTGAGGGCACAGTCGTTCTAAATGCAAAGCTACTTTATGTGAGAAATGCATTGCGATTTTGTACTGACAAAACCCACTGTACGATTGTGGAAATTGATGACTGGAATCCCTCAGTTATTTTACCAAAACAATGGGTAGTCGACGAAGCTCACTATTGCCAGCATGTCTGTGTGCATTGTGGCGCAACACAGTCAGGTGGATGATTTGGGCTGAACCTGCAGTTTCTCAAATCGCATCTTATCTGGTCTTTGATGAGCAATCATATGATCATTGTCTGAAGTTTCTTACCTCCTCTTCAGGCTGCATGGTGTGTGTAAGTGGCTCAGCAAGGTATTCGAAGTGGCTTGCTCACTAGGCTTGTGGTATGCCCACAACTACGTTCTCAAGCAGATCAGCTCGCGCGCATGTAGTCACTAGGGCCAACGACCTTACCCTTTGTAAAGGTGTTTTACTCTATACCGTCATTAGTACTCACGTTACCCTTTAGCGCTCGCCTCTCACCTTCGGTAGAAACACATGTCGATTCCCGGAGGTGGCAAGAAGCCTGCACATTCATTAAGCCGTCTTATACCTTTCGACCCTAGGAAAATGGGAATAATGATGATATTACTCTCACCGTCCACATGTGAAATTGTTATAGGCTAACCTGGGCATAAGGGCTCATGAGGACACTGTTCACGGCATCCATGGTTCCTCTGGTATAACTGCGGGTGAGCGGGGTCGCACGATCCAATATTGTTGGGGAAAGGTTTAGTCAAACGCACGTATTTATTTTGTGGACGCCGCTCGTTCATGGCAATTTACATGCACATACAAACAAGATCATGGTTTGAAGCATGCGGATCTGCCATCAAATCGCGATTGGCTTTCAGCCGTCGCCTCAAACCTTCTGGACCGCATGATCGAGCGGCGGCTTCGGGTGCTAGGGCCAGCTCATAGGTGAATCCACAGCATGCCATCGGGAATTTCGCATGTGAAGGAGGAGAGACGTTTCGCCAAAATGCGCTGTCTATGAAGAGTCATCCCACGGATTGCCTCGGAGAAAGAAGTCACCGAATCCAATTAGCCTTCCTCTATCTCCATATCCATTCGGGCCTCAGCGCGGCAAATTTGTATCAGCAGTAAACTGCACTCGAGTTGGAGAATGTGCTGCCGGGACCAGATACACTCTTGAGATCTCGTAACAAAAATGCAAGCCCGGCGCGCAATGCAAGTCACGTCAAAACGGCCTCAAGAAGTGATCCGGAACCATAAAAGAATTGGATGATCTGGCTGGGAAGGATCTGACCTTTCGCGCGTATGACTCACTCATGAACATTCTTCTCATGTCTGAAGGTGGCCGGCTCGAACGATCTTCGGTGGACAGAAAGTGGATCGATTGAATACGCCCGCGGATGATCACGTCCGAGACAGTCAAGTACAACAAGCCACGCCTGGTTGCCCAAGTGATTGACGAAGTGTTTTCGCCGAATCAGTTTTACTTTAAGGGGCGCACTCCAGGCACCCAAGGTCCCTCATGGCCACCGCTGATCGATGCAAAAATACAAGGCCGTTCCTCGAGCCTACCGATGGATATTTCCGCTCGATCTTGTTCACTGATCGTGCGTTGTTCGGTCAGGTACCGTATGGGTGGCTGAAGGGCGCAGTTCCTAATTTTCCGGAAGGTGGCTTTACGATTCCTTTCAGTGACGTTTTGGGAACCTTTGTGGCGTTGAGAAGCAGAACTTCCTTGATGCTAATCTCGGTGACCGGCGGACTATTTTCTGTCCCTCCAAACGCGTCGGCGCGCCGTCTATACCATGTCGAGCATAACGGACTTATGTCACTAGGCCCCTTTTTATCCCGCGACCCTTTTCTTGTATATGGATACCCCGAGGACGTGGGCTTCATGTCCACCGTCTTGATACGTCATTCATAACGTCCTCAGCGGCTAACTATTCAAGATAGTGCCGGTGTATGTACATGATCCCAACCTGGTGCAGACATATATGAGTGCCATGCGACGATGGAGTGCTGCTTTGACCCTGTTCTATGTTTGCGAGGCAAGGCGGCCCTTGCGTGCCCTCCTTCGATTTAAACGAGATACAAACGCGCTACTGTTTCAATGCCTTGTCTCCCACAGCCCCCAAAGTAGTCATCACCTTACCGCCCTCGCCTATCCTAGTACTTGAATAATTCCAATGCGCCTTTTTTGAGTTCTCGGCTATTGCAGGGGGAGCCTCTTTCTTTTCACGCGTCGCTCCAGGAGAACTTGTACCGCTCTCCATTTTCCCGTGCAAACTGCGGGCCGCTCTCGCAGCCTGAGTCTTGAGATCATAGCAAGACCAAATTCGCCGTCGTTTCGCCGTCTCTAGGTGCGCAATTGCATGTGTGCATCTATCATACATCGCGTGGATGTAGATTTTGTGCCCAAGATCAAACTTTCCGGCAAGCATTAGTATCCTCACAACTTAGAGGCGTGGGAGTCCGAGGAAGAAACGCCAGCAACGAACACTCGTGGTCGTCAAAACTGCGCACACCTGCTGACATCTTTCGATAGTCGTCTTCAAGTTACCGAGGGCTTCAACGAGCGACGACATTCGGGATGGACCAGTACGCAATGCATTGAGATAAGGTACAATACAAGAAATTCGACAAGAAAACTGAAACGTGGACTGCGGTTGCAAGGCGATTATTAGATTTAGATAAGCTCAGCAGCGTTGACCGGCATTTCATCCTGAGAAAGTTGAGCTTCTTAGTATAAATAACATTTCACCGAGAAGGCGCGCTTACAATTTGTGTGCTGTAAAATTGTTCTGCGTGGACATATCAGCTAGGCAACCCGGACATGATAGCATGAACATACCGATATCGCGAAGAATTCGGACATCGTCCACTGTGACGAACTGAATGGTAATTATGTATGAGCAGATGCGAGTCTTGATTTAATCAATACACACGTTTATGGCGACACCTTTCCGACCGAACCGGCCGGACCGACCGATGCGATGAATATAGTTTTCACGGTTCCTAAAAGCTAGCTTGAGTATGGTTCTTGTGAATATGGCAACAACCTTACGCGGGTAGGTCGTAATTTATGACTAGTGAAACCTGCTGAACGTCGATGCCACGCGCCCAGACATCGGTCGTGATGAGTACCCGTCTGGATAGAGGTGAGATTCACATCAACAGAAGAAGGGAGGTGCTTACGAGGTTCCACCTCTAAATTCCGCCATGATCGCGTCCCTTTCCTTTTGAACCATCTCACCATGCATTGATGAGACAGTGAAGTTTGCAGCGCGCATCTTCTCAGTTAACCAGTCAACCTGTGAAGAACACCTTCTCAGTAATTTCCCCAGTTGCAATAGAAATCAAAATGACCTTGCGTCGAGTATTGCAGAAGATGACGGCCTGCGTGATCGTCAACGTGTCGTAGAGATCGCACAAGGTGTCGAATTTCCAATCCTCCTTCTCCACCGCCACGAAGAACTGCTTGATGCCTTCAAGCGTCAGCTCGTCACGCTTGACTAGAATGCGTATGGGGTCGGTCATGAACTTAGTAGTCATCTCGAGCACATCGTATGGGAGGGTGGCACTGAGAAGAACGACCTGAGTGGCCGGGGGGAGATAGCGATATACGTCGTAAATCTGGTCCTTGAAGCCCTTGTTGAGCAGCTCGTCGGCTTCATCGAGAATGAGCATTTTAATGTGCCGAGTACGAAGGGCGCGTCTCCGAATCATGTCAAAGACACGTCCTGGGGTACCGGATACGACATGTTGGCCGTATTCAAGTTTTCGAATGTCCTCGCCGATAGAGGTTCCACCAATGCACGCATGACACTGGACGTTCATGTAGTCACCCAGGGCAAGAACAACAGACTGGATTTGAGTAGCGAGCTCGCGAGTAGGCGACAGAACGAGAGCCTGAGTTTCGCGAACCGAGATGTCGATGGACTGGAGGATGGAAATGGAGAAGGTGGCCGTTTTACCGGTACCTGATTGGGCTTGGGCAATTACATCGCGCCCTTGTGTGATCGGGAGGATTGCTCGTTGCTGAATGGCCGAAGGTTTTTCGAAGTCTTGAACGAAGTGAGTACATGTAGTTCGTGAAGGGATGCAAACGTACTGTACGCGTATATACCCCGAAGCAAGTCTTCCTTGAGACTGAGGTCATCGAACGTCGAGACAACAGACACAGCCTCCGACGACTCGAAGAGAAGTTTCTGTAATCTGGTGAGACAGTCTGCGTAGAATAAGTAAATGAAGAACGGGGGGCTCACTTCGTCTCCTGGGTTTATGCCGGCCATTTTTGCAGTCAAGTCAAGGGAGTTCAGAAGGACCTAGAAAGACTCGAAGGGACGCGAGGGCATCGGAGTTTGAAAAAGGCAACACTGCTCGTTCGCCATGGACTCAATTATCGAGGCTCAAAGACAGACGCACGAAGAAATAGAACGGTACGAACGCGCCCTCTATGCCCTCCTCTCCCGCAACCAGCCGTCGCATGAAACCAAGCTTCAGACAGAGCACAAGGCCTCCGAGGTTCTCGACCGTATCACCTCGCGGAGCGTCACGCTAAACAAACACTACGAGGACGAGGAGGCGCGCAAGGTTGAACTTGACTCAGTTTCCAACCCGGCTCAGCAGTCAGATCTCTCTGAGTTCTACACGCGGTTAGGAAAAATACAGGAGCACTACAACAAATATCCTGATGCTGGCACAGGCGGATTCGAGCTCGAGCTTGAGGCGCTCCTTGAAGAGGGAAACCAGGACGGCGTGGACGAAGTCGAGGAGGAAGACCGTGCGTCACCGAAAGTCTCGCTCCGTATTAAAGAGCTAACTTCATTGTTGCTGTTCAGCCATTTCCTTGCTCTTCTCTGGTGAAGAGGCATATGGCAGATACCTAGACTTGTATGCCAATCACAATGCCTACAACAACCTTCGACACATCAGCAAGCGCCTACCCTATCTCCAGTACATTGACACGTTGCTTGCTACCCAAAACGCTCTGCTTCATGAAGAGCTCCCCCGCGAAGCCAAGGCAACCCGTGATTATGAGATGTGAGATCCTATCCTCGCTAGATGCATGCCTGCTAAATTGGTCTTTAGATACATACAGAATCTTCATGATTATGTGCTCTCTTTCATCAAACGGACTCAGCCTTTGTTTGACCTCGACACAAAGTATCGCGAAGCTCAAACTGAGTTCGACGCCAAGTGGGAAGGTGGCGAGTTCAAACCGTGGGAAACATTGAAGGACCCCAAGCAGGTCGCTGCCGCGAACGGTGGAGGCGAAAACATTTGGTGTATCGCATGTAGGTTACTTCTCACCTCTCTTTTATTTGACTGACGTCGTCGAAAGGTCAGAAAAACTACACCAAGAAGTCAGTTTATGACGCGCATCTCACTTCCAAAAAGCATCTTAAAGCAACAGCAAAACAAGCTATCTCAAACACTCCTCCTATCAACCCAAATGGTGATTCCGCCCCCGCCGCTGTGCCTAAAGATACTGCCCAAGCAAAGACACGAGTCGTTGCTAGAGTGACGTACCTTACAGCTGCTCTCCTTGCATTCCTAGCGCCGGCCCTGAACGAAACGAAGTCAAACGTTGAGCGCAAGTTTTCGCTTACCGCGCGTGAACGCGAGCAGGAGCTTCTTGAGCAGGCCAAACCTAAAGTTCCTCCGACCAACGGTAATGGAGACGGCGCGGCCGAGGAGGAAGAGGAGGAAGAAGAAAGAATATACAATCCTCTCAAACTGCCTCTAGGTTGGGACGGGAAACCTATACCATATTGGCTATACAAGCTTCATGGACTTGGTGTGGAGTATCGTTGTGAAATATGCTCTGATCATGTTTACATGGGAAGGAAAAACTTTGAGCGGCACTTCCAGGTGAGTTACTAAAGTTAGGTTTGGATTATTCTTCTAACTTGTGTGTCAAAGGAACCACGGCACGCTTTCGGTATGCGAGCTTTAGGCTTGCCAAACACCAAGCACTTCCATGAGATCACACGGATCGAAGATGCACTTACTTGTAAGTTCTGCTCAAGAGTTCATTCCGTCTTAGCACTCAGTTGGATACTCTAGTGGCGGAAAAGCTGAAACGAGAGGGCCGGCACGAGATTTTTGAACAAGAAACAATGGAGGAGCTTGAAGATGATGAAGGTAATGTCTACAATCGCAAGACTTATGAGGACCTCAAAAAGCAAGGCCTCATCTAATTGTATCTGCCTTCGCCGTTGATGCCTGTTTGTCTGATTTGGCCTATCTTGTATATCTTGTGCACTTATCCACATACGTAAGTATAATAATCTACATCATTCCGAGGTGTTTCTAGATCTTGAAGGTGGCGGCGGCGGCGGTGGTTTCCGTGCCGTAGCCTGGACAGGTACGATGGGTGTTTGAAGGCCCATCGCGTGCGTGTACAGTTCTTCATCCGATGATGATGGTGAGTAAGAACCAGGAGAATCGTCGGAGTCGAAAGGATTCGATGTCATCGGAGCCAAGTGGTACGTGGTAATGGGAAAATGGCCATTTGGGTGCTCTGAAAGAATGACACTTGAGAAGGCGACATCATCTTAGTGGACTTCCTTACCAGGTTTATTCCACCAGGCCTCGTCCTCCGAACTCGGCGGTGGGACTTCTGGGTATTAGCCAGAGCAAAACAGGATAAGAGTTTCGACGTACGAGAGACAACGTCCGCAGACAGGACAAGGGAAGCCAACTTCTCGTCTATCGGCTCGTTGTTCGTTGATTGCAATGTGCTGTCCAGAAGAAGGCGCGACAGTATTGCTTTTTTGGCGGCGTCGACTATCCGTACTTCTGTCCGGAAAAGAGCGAAGACTACAAGGAGAGGTCAGAAGGACCCCTCGTGTAAGATGCTGCAAGTTTCCTAGCACCTGGACGATGATCTGAGCTTCTCAATTCGGCTCGTGAGTACACTGCTAGATCGAAATGGCCTCTGAACAGAATTCGATCTTGTCCAAACGGCATGGGTATAAGTAACTTACGCTCGTTCTGGTAAATGACTTACCTGTCCATGCGGGTATCCGCATCTTTTCGCTGGTATCATAATCATCTGTTCCTACGTCGTACCGGTACGTCGGACGGAAAAGAAGCGGTCCCTCGTCATACCCCTGGAATACCGAGCCTTCTTCGACGGCATCCCTCAGCTAAACCCATTGAGACATGCGCTGAGCCAGACCACTGGTTCATGAACGAACGCTGACAATCGTACCTGGTCGGCGGCTACCAATGCATCGTAGTTATCTTGCTGCGCATGCATTCTCACCGTCTCGTTGGGTAGATCAACTCTGTAATTCGTATCGGCAAGCCATAGCACATTTCTGGGAACATTTTGTCAGAATTGGGCCTTCGCGCCCCACATGCAGGGAAGGACTGTTCATACTCATGGCTATTGATCGTCTTTCCCTTGAGAAAATGGAGGCCATCGGTGATGGTATGGAAGTCAGCATTTCTTTCTTCCACGTTAGAGTGACCGGCAGCTAAATGGGCTGTTACAAAGCAGAAGTTGGTGTCGTGATAGTCGAGACGAATAGCAACGGCGCCTTTGTTGCCAGACATGCCCCTTAGTCCCGTCTGGCGATGAATGTGAATCGGGGAATTATGCACGTGAACGAGAAGCTAATTCACCTTGCGAGTAGCGGCTTCGACATTACGGATGGTTGCGGTCAACTCAGACCTTACGAGAACGATCAGTGCAGTGCCCACGAGCTGTTGGGCGTCAAAGATTTGGAGCGACGATAAGTAGCCGGTGTTGACTAACCTGTTCGCTGCGAAGAATAACATAGTCACATGCTTTTCGTGCTCTCCGACTGAGGTCGTCCATTATTTTGTTTTCCCAAGCACGCCTGGGAGAATGTCATTTGAGCTGATAACGAAGCCTAAAGAACAGTGATTTACTACTTTTTCTCGGGATCAGTCTGGACAATTTGCTGGGCTGTCAAAGGGACTATTTCTTGAAACCCAAGGACAAACATATCAGGTCTACAATCAAGTCAGTGGTGCATCGTACAGGAGTGGCTAATCATACTCAGCCATGCCTAGATTGCTTATGAGCCAATAGATCCAAACGCAAAGATCGTCACCTTCACTCACTATCGCGAGGGAATAACCATGGGATAAGGTTTTCCCCAGGACTCTGGTAGTTTGATCAGAACCAGAAGAATATGACAAGATTCTAGGGCCATACCCTTCCATTGAGGTTCCACGTGCCAACAAAGATGGAGCATGATTTTGTACTGGAATACTCTGAACGCCTGTCGGCCCTCAGAACATAATCATGACAATAGAGACGACAGGTGTACCTTTGTTCGAGGGCACGCCTCACAGACTCGTGTATGGGATCGAAAATGCTGACTTGGCGTTGATTACTGAGGTTACCCTGATCAAACTTTAGCGTGTTGGAAGAGCTATTTGCGATAACTCACGAGAAACATATCAATAGCCGTCTGCTTCCCCTTGTCTTGGAAGTTATTTATGTAGGCTCTGGACACACTCTTGGTAGCATCAGAAAGAACACCTACAATCGAAGCTTGATCAGCGGTCCTTCGCCTCAACGGAATATGCATGGCAGAACCTACCTGCAAGCGTTCTTTTTCCCGTGCGCGTAAAGCTTGTGTTGAGCGCTCCGGTACCGGCATATATGCGGGACAGGGCGTCTCCGTTCTCCGCCCAAAGCTCACGGTGGTGAGTCCATAGCGCAACCGACTGCACCCACTCACGCCTCACAAGCGTAAGATATTGCTCCAGTGCCTTTCTTGATAGAATGTCCTCTATAAAGTTCGTGCGATCCAAGCTGACTCCGCTATCAGCTGTTGATTACTCAGATATCATATGCCCCACTCACCAATCCAAACAGTTTGTCCTAAACACGCCGCGTTGCTCCGTGACTAACTCTGATGTGCTGAGATCGCACATGGTGAAGCCATAACGATCTAAGTTATCATTGATAATTTCTATCCGTCTACCAAGAAAAGTCAGAGTATGTACGTGTTGCTTTCGCGAGCTCACCTCAAATCTCGGACAATGTTCTCGTGTCCACCTATTCGAACAGCGTTGTGGAAGTCGTAATGAGTGACACTGAGGTCATTCTGCCATATCCCTTGGGCGGCTTGAAGGTGATTGGCGTACGCATTCGTCAACGTAGCTTCATTCTCTTTCGAGCCAAGTAAGTTGATAACGTGTACAGCACCATACTCCTCCATCAATTGCTGGAAGTGGCGTTCAAAGGCCGGTTGAGAAGCATGAGGTCGGGTGATCTGTATCTTATGACCAAATGTTTGGAGACCCTGTTGCTCCCAGAAAACTACAAGCCAATAATGATAGCGGTCAACTATCAAACTCGAGGCATTGGGCTCGTAACGCACGAGGAACACTTCCGCGAACTTGAGTATAGCTAACACTATGTTGATCCGTGCTCAAAATAGTCTCCGTCTGACAATGCAGCATATAAAGCAATTAATATAGAGCCATGAATTGTGCGTATATAAGGTATGTTTACCTCAACGAAGTTGGCTGTATTGCCATCGTCGTCGACCCCACGAGTATTGAAGCGAGTACCGGCTCGCTTCCAACCCAGGCGCGAAAATAATGTCAAGGTTGCGACTGTGGGTGTGCCATTGGTGGGTGGTGCCGGGAGTGCCATGGTGAATACACCAACATATCCCTGAATCGCAAGAATCTATCGGAAACATAGGCAACAAGCTTTCATCCTAGCGAAGTTCAACGTACTATAAATTGACACTTGTCCAGGTCTTCTCTTTCGAGAGGGTCCAACCTTTCGCGAAAATCCAGTAGACTTCGAACAATGTACTCATTCCATATAAAGCGAGGATCAAAGGTGCTCAGGTCAGTTTTTGAATGTCGGTCGCGAGTGAGACGAGTGGCGAGCCTGGACGAGATGTCCCAGTGCGGGTGGAGCGCATAGTAAAAAGAGCCAGAAGACAGGATTTTGGTTAGAGGTAAACAGGGATGTTCAAATACAGATTGAGTATTGTTGCCGGCGTAGTTGTCTCGAGACATCATGTTATCAGCCATGTCAGGGTTGAGTATAGTATCAGAAGAGCCCGAGAAATCGTCCCATGTTGATGATGTTAGGCAGAAGAACAAAACTTCGTGAATCTTGCCAACGCATTCAGGAGAGGACTCCGCAGGACGAGTATTCCCTAATTCTGCCGCCGAAGTTACAACTGCCAAGAAGGTATCTGGATAGCCAACGGTCTCTAGGTCAGAGAGACTCTGATTATGAATATGTGGCTACCGTATCACGCACCGCTATCCACTGAGATCAAGCCTAGGCAGCCTTTAACCACCCTGTTTGTGAGCGGCACAGTGTTTCCAAGCTGTACTTCTCTCCTCGGTAGGAACTCCACAGTTACTTGTGCTTCATTAGCCTCTGCCGCATGAAAGACGAGAGCTTTGCTGGGCTTCCCCTGTCGCTCATCTTGCGGCCCAGTGACAAGGTATATAGTACGGGGATTTTGACCAAGATAAAGATGCATGTTGCTTCAGTCCTCTCGATCATTCGCCAAGATGCGTCAGGGCCTTGAAGTTAAGTGCGGCGAGATAGAGGGACAATGCTAGTATGGTGATGAGGCAGACAATCTCAAGACGCTCCCTTGACGTTCGCAGTCGTGGAAGTTGCGTCGAACTCCGAGTTGTCTGGGGGGTGATGCAGTGCCGCTAAGCCCCTTGACCTCTTACCACCATCATCCTTGCTTTCACGTGACCTACCCACCCATAGCCCAATTACCATCCACATTCCATCGCCTACTCACCCCCCCTCCCTGTTCCATCCCAACTCCCTTTCCTTGTCCCCCATCCTTCTCTGCTCTCACTGCTAATTTTCTCTCCGTTTTCGGGGGCTCTGCCCGTTTTCTTTTCTTTTTCCTCCCCTTTTTCCCCTTGTTTTTCTTTCCCTCCCCTTCTCTGCTATGAACCCCTCTACTGACTCTGCTATTCCCACCTCTCAACCCTCCGCTGACCTCGGCGGTATGGCCGTCTTTCACCAATATCCTGCCTCTGACAACTCTTCGCATGCCACCTCTCTCATCCACGGTGCCCTGGGACTCCCCCAGGCCAGCCACGAGGCTGGAGAACCGATTCAACGTGCTGCCTCGGCAGGACCACAGCTGGCTCACAGCCACCAACTCTCCCCACGCTCCACCTCCCCGGCCCGTTCGGCGGACTCCGAGTTCCAAACCCCCAAAGCCGGTCATGTCACTTTCGATGTTTCTACCCCCGCCGACTTCGAAAACGGCTCTGATGAAGACGAAATGGACACCTCTGGAGGTGATCTCGACAAACATCCCATCGACGTTCCCCCTGTAGGGTTCTCCACCGATGATGGCTACACTCAACCCATCGCTCTTGCCACCACCGACTTCGAGGATGCCTTTCTCACCATAAACGCGTCCATGTCCACAATCACCCACTTCCTCATCACCGCGGCAGAAGATGTTACTTACATGTCCGCCCACCAACCCGAAGAGTCCGCTCGCGTTCTTGACCCTTTCCACAACCTTTTACGGGCCATCACTATTCATTGGAACCGCATATATTCGGTCCCCCACGGTAAGCGAGTCAACAACACTCGAGCTCAGTCAGCACCTCTCGAACATGGCCAATTCTACGTACCCAATTACATAGCGCCTGGTAAATTCCCCGTCCCAAACCGGCACCCAGATACCACTCTCCCCCCTATTTCTAACCTATCTCAACCTCTCCCCCGAGTTCCACCTTACGCTCCCCCCCCTCCTGAATCTTCTTTCCATCCTACCACGTCTGGCTTATTTAAAACCCCTTCTGTTTCTCGCGCCTCTGACATAGAAAGTATGTACCAGAACCCACCCGCCAGGTCTAACGCACCTGCCCCCTCCTCCAACAGACCCGTTAGGCCCCCAGGCCTTCCCGGGTCGGTCGCCTCCCCATTCAGCTCTCGCCCCTTCCCTGGCAACAACAAGGGTAAAGTCCCTTCCATCACCCCATCATCGGTCTCCAACCTCCTCCGCACCGAACCTTTCATCCCCAAGGCTGCGCCCTCATTCAGCCAAGTTGCTGCTGCCCCGCCTCCTCCTCCATCAGCCTCCACCTCCTACTCCATGGGGGCCTCCACCATCTCTGCCGCACTCAAACTCCGCGATGAAGATGCCTCCGCCTTCAGGAAGGTCTTCAACGTCAAATCCCAAGAACAGCGTAATGCTGACCGCAACCGCAACAAACGCCAAAAATGCAGAATCTGGGCAGACAAGAAGATCACCATTGTTTTCCCCCCGGGCACGAAAATCAACTCTGCCAACATCCCTGACCCCGGCCCGCTCATTGATGGCCTCAAAGACTTCCTGTTCGAGAAGACGGGTGAACGTCCCACCTATGAAATCTTCGGCAATTACGCCCCACCCATGAAGTTCTACTTCCGTTTCCCCCTACCCGTCACAGGTGACATGTGTCGCTACGTCGAAGAATATGTCTCCGGTCTTCAAATCGCTTCCATGGAGGAGGCCCGCGTTTCCGTTAATCACATTCGTAATACTATAGTATTTAAAAACTTCCCCAATACCTACAAATCCCAAGACGAGATCCTTACCCTCCTACGTAACTCCGATTCATTTGCTAACGTCCCAATTGTTGGGTACCCCAGATTCCTCCAAGGCACTCTCGACGAAGAGCGCGGCCTCCTCTTCGTCGACTTCACTGATGATGTCGACAATTCCATCCTCCGCCGCCTCACCTCCCATCCGTTGCGTATCGGGGATTTCTTCTACCGCTGCGAACAAGCACGCGCACCCGCCAAACGCCCCATGCCCCGCTGCGGCAAATGCCTCTACTGGGGTCACTTCTCCGACAAATGCACCTCTAACATCGAACGTTGCGGCTGGTGCGGCAACAACCATCGCGAAAAAGACCATGGCAAATTCACTCTCGCTCACCTCGATGACGAACGTGCCAACGTTCGCTGCTTCAATTGCGGAGGCCCTCACCGCTCTGATTCCTCCTCCTGCCCCTTCTACCTCCACCGCTTTGAACATGAGTGGATCAAATCTCACGTACCCGTTGTCTACACGGAAATGATTCAGCGCCGTAACACCCGCAATCCTTCATGAACGTTACACCCGAACAAGGTAAACGTCTGTCTCTCCTTACTTTCAACGTAAACCGTTCTGCTGTCACAACCAAATGCGCACTGGACACTTATACCACATACGATATCTTACTTATACAAGAACCCGCTTATTTCCTTGTACGACACATTCCTTCCCCTTCCTCCCCTCAAGGAGACCCCTTGTTCGGCACGGTTATCCACCCAGAATGGCTCCTTCTTGAAGTCTCTGACGTTCACAACGCAAGAGTTTCCGTCTACTGCAACCGCCGACTCAGCCCTCTCCGACCTCGTGTCAAACACAACATCATTGACCACCCGCACCTCCTCTGTTTCACCATGGACCTCCCACACTCTCCGCTGTTCCTCAACGTCTACAATCAACCCGACACCAATCTTGGCTTTGACGCTCTCATGTCAATCCCTGATATCCCTTTCGCTGCTGTCGCTGGCGACTTCAACATTCACCACTCCGGATGGGATCCCGATGCCCCCAACTCTGAACGTGGTTTCTCCCTCCTCGCCAAACTGGTCGGCTGCAACCTCGTGTTATGTAATCCCGACGGCTTTACGTATCTCCCACACAATCCCAATTCCTCACCTTCCGTTCTCGATTTAGTCTGGGTTTCCGCCACCAATGCCTCTTATGGTAATTTCCTTTCTGATCGTTTCCTTTCTGATCATACCCCTATCTCTTTTTCTCTTCCTTTGGATTACCTACCTACGCTTCCCCCCTCACTTTCCGCAGACTCTGACGGCGACTTACTTTTCCTTTCCGAAACTATTTCGTTTATTTCCTCTTTTCGACACGACCTGTTTCCCTCCACGGACTCTATCTCTATCTTTACCAATGGGCTGGCATCGTCTACATACACCTCTTTTCAGCGTCATGCGAAGGTTCCCAACCTCCACCGCAACTCCAAACCCTGGTGGAATCCCAACTGCTCTGCTGCTCTCGATGCCCTACGCTCCTCCCCCTCCCGCGACTCTCGTCGCACACTCAAACGGGTGGTACGCCAAACCCAACGCGCCTATTATGACGCTCGCATTCAAGAAGCAGCTAATAAAGCTCGACCCTGGGACGTCGTCCCCTGGATCAAAGACCGTCGGATTCACACCACTTTCTCCATCTCCGACCACGGCACTATCCTAGATTCCACCGCCGACCTTTCCCGCGTCGCTGCGCAGCAGTTCTTCCACCCCCCTCCCATCGAACCCGATTTGCGCATTACCGAACACATCCCTTTACGTGAAATGCGCCCATTCATCACCTTCTCCACCTCCGAACTTCGTCGCATCCTCGCAGCCAAATCGGGTTCCTCGGCACCTGGTCTAGACCACATCACCTGGCGCCACCTCAAGGCCATCTTCGCCAATGACGATTCAGCTCACGTCCTCACCACCCTCTTCAACCGCTGCATCCAACTCGGATTCTGGCCCGCACAATTCAAGGACGTTGTATGCGTTGTCATCCCCAAACCAAAGAAGGCGGCATATGATACCTTCAAGTCCTACCGCCCCATTGTCTTACTTTCTTGCATCTCCAAACTCTGCGAAAACGCTCTTGCTAACCGCCTCCAGTTCGACTGCGGCAAACACTCTTTGCTCCATCCATCACAGTTTGGGTGTATCTCCCACTGCAGCACCACTCACGCGGGTCTTATCGTCCTCAAACACATCATCAATGCTCGCAAGAACAAATGGCACACTGGCATCATGGGCGTTGACGTCTCTCAATTCTTCCCCTCCGTTCCCCACTCCCTTCTCATCACTATCTTATCTCGTATGGGCTTCGATCCTTTACTTATTAAATTCTTTTCCAACTATCTTTCTAATCGCCATGCCAAGTTTCGCTGGGGTTCTTCCTCCTCCGATTTTATTCCCACTCCCCTCGGTGTCGGTCAAGGATCAGCACTTTCCCCCATTCTTTCCGCTATTGCTAAATCACCTGCCCTTTTTGCATTCGCCCCTAGTCTAGCTTCCTTCTCCAAACCGAAATTCTTCTCTTCCTCTCTATCTGTATATGTCGACGACGACAGCATTGCTATTTCTTCCCCCTTCATCACTCAAATTCCCGAAATTCTTTCCCATTTATATAGTGTTCTTTCACTTCTTCTTCACCGCTGCGGCTTTCGACTCGAAGCTTCTAAAACAGATTATATCCTTTTTCCTCTCAAATCCTATCACGGCTCCCTCCCTTCTCTTCACCTCCCGACACTCTTCGCCAACGGAGCTGAAATTATTGTCCCTCCAGCTCCAATCTGGCGCTATTTAGGTTTCTTTTTCGATCGTTATCTCACATTCAAACACCACATAAAAATCTATTCCAACAAAGCCCTCTCCACCATGAACGCTCTCCCCCTCCTCGGTAACTCTGCTCGCGGTCTCAATCCCTCCCAAAAACGTACTATTTACATTTCATGCGTCTTCCCCATCCTCAGTTACGGCTTCCAACTATATCTCACACTATATCCTAAACGACACAAATCTCTCTTACTTCCTCTTCACAGGGCACAGCGCGCGGGCGCGAAATGGATCATAGGTGCATTCAGGACTTCCCCAAGCGGCGGCATGGAAATGCTCGCCTCCCTTCTCCCAGTCGATATCCGACTTCGCTCTCTGAAACGCACATTCAACCTCCAGGTGCTCGCACTCCCCACCTCTCACCCACTCTCGCCGGTCTTTCGTCTCGCATCCTCACCTAACCGGCATATCTCCTCATACCAACCCACCACTCCGGTAGCCCACTCCTCCCTTCTCCCACTGCCCAGGGATTTCATTGTCTCACCACGCGTCACTTGGCCTTTGGAAAGCCAACCGGGCGCACAACTTCGAGATCAATTTGCCACTCGCATCCACTCCCATATCGCACACCCTCCTAAGGGCGACGATACCTTTCCCTCATGGCTGGACAACTTCATTTGCAACATGAACTCCATCCTAGCATCAGACGATGTTTCTGTCTTCACCGATGGCTCTAACCAGGGTCGCCAAGGTGCCTGCGCCTTCTCCATCCACCAATGCCATCGCGAACTCAAACGTGGGCAATTTCCATGTGGACGCACGACATCCATGGACTCCGAACTCGACGGACTGATGCACGGCCTAGACGCCGCCACCTCCCTCACCACCACCACCATACACGTGTTCACAGACTCCGAGTCCGGCCTTCAGGCCATGCTCAATCCCGTGCACCATAGTGCTCAACCTGCCACCCTCCGTATTCTCTCTATCCTACGGAGATGGTTCTTCAAAAACCCCTCCAGCGAACTTCATCTCCACTGGTGCCCTGGACACCACGACGTCCCCATCAACGAACTTGTTGACAAACTCAGTAAAGAGGCGGCTTCATTGCCACAGCCCAACGTCGCATCTCCTTCCTATGTGAAGGCTGTTCTCACTTCCAACGCCCGCCTTGAGTGGAGGCAACGTTGCAAGTCTCCGCGCTATCGCGGTCACCATTTCATACAGGCCAAACGGTGGCTGGCCCCTACCCCCAAGAGGAACCCACACTCTTTCATGAGTGCGTTTGGGCACTCCTCCTCTCTGGCAGCGAGAGCTTCGCGAGCCATCCTCAATCATGCCCCGACGGGAGAATTCCGTGCGAGATTCTTCCCGGGGCAACCTGTCCATTGCCCAAAATGCCATGATCCTTTTCAAACCCGAACGCATATCCTCAACCAGTGCCCAGCTTACGTACGCCCTTCTTCCTTTTCTCTTTCTTCTCTTGTGCATTGCAAAGATCCCAACGGAACATTGTTAACCTTTCTCTCTACCAACGCGACCGCGTTTACTTTCGATGACGCTGCCAAGGCCATTTCTTTCCCGACTTCTCGTAGTCTAACCCACAGTGGTTCAGAATCAGCGTAGTTACGCCCATACTTTTGTACCCTCTACTTTACTCCCTGCAATGCCAGTGACAAATTCAAAAAAAAAAAGATGCAGTGCCGCTGCCGACGCTGACAACCTGCCTAGATTAGATGAGGAAATACGCGAAACACTCATCAATACATATATTTATGTAGATATCCTCGAGCTCGCTATTCCATCTCAAGTACTAGCTATCGGCTTCGCATTCTGAACTCGACCATGAATTCCTCACAGATAAGTAATCTCAATTGACCACTCATATATCGTAACCGGTACCTGTACCAGTGTACGTACTATCACGATAATTCGCAGGAAAGTACTGACGCTAGTATTGAAATGCATATTATACTAAAGTAAATTAACCTGTTATCGTTACGCGTGCTATTAACTCTCATATGCGTCAGACGTTGATCCTGTTCTTCTCGCCGTGAATCTATCCGAGCCCGAATATTCAGACGTTGCTCTTCTGACTGGCCCTTTCGGTGGCGGGCCAAGAAAAGCGCTAGGACTTGACCGTCCGGAAGCGATTTGCTGGCTGAAACCGTCAGCGCCCATAGGAGATAAAGGGTAAGATGAATGTAGCGGTGAAGTAGGGTTGGACGAAGATGGCCGTAGGTGAGGGGACGGAGGGGCGATAATACCATCGTCCTTTCTGCCTCCTCGGCTCCGCACTCCTGGGACGGAGTCCAGCGGCAGTTTCTTGACGAAAGCCTTGAATAAGGAGGAATTTGAATGAGAGGCGCTCGGTCGAACAGGTGTACTCGATGTTCCTGTAGAAGATAAGTAAGTCTCAAGTTAGTCCAAGATTACATCACTTACCTGAAGATGTCGGCAGGGCATTGTCGTTTGCGCTTAAACTTAGAAACAAGAACAAGGGGACGAGCCATATGCAAATGCCGAAAAACGTTGCGATTTCCGAGAAGGTGGGCGCAACTTTTTGCGTTTGTGGGATTGGATTTCGGAACCGAGGAACGGATTGCCTTGTCTCCCGAGAGACGCGAGAGAAGTAAAAGAACCATATGAAGTGGTCTGCGATGGCCAACAAACACGATGCAATGAACGAGAGCGAGGATAGTGAGATTAATGGCCAAGAAGTAGAGAAATTTTGGAGATAGACAGCGTGACAGAAAACGGAGAAGGCAATTTGCGGAAGGGGAAGTGAATCTGACATCCAGAGTAAAATGTGCAAGCATATGATCGCCTAAACGAAGAAAGTGCTAGTGAGGGGTGACAGGGTCATGCAACTGACAACTCACATAAATTCCCCTCTGGCCGATCACTTTAGCCGTTCTAGAGTGCTCCTCTATGAGCTCCGAGACGTATAGCAGGCCACTAGCTAAAATACGGTCGGTCAAAAGGGCACCTCTGCAATGTGTCATGCGTGCCAGACCGACCTAGTGACAGGGTCATGAAGCCAAAGCCGCCCAGAATCGCGGCATAACTGCATTACTAGGTGAGCATTAATACCGTTTCTCACAGAAGGCGACTGACCTGAGATAGTGGAGAAATGCCATAGCACATATGCATGCAGGACCAAGTTGCCGCCTCCTGCTGCTGTTTCAGTACGTCACACCTAAGGACAGCAACACAGCCACACCGATATCACCCCGTGTTTGGCGACTTGTCCCCTGCCACAACCTAACTACAACCCCGCAGACTGCAGCAGTACACCATATACAGCATCGACAAGATGAGCAACATGGAGAGTAAGCATTGATGCCATGTCTTCTTACTTTTGGTCTGACAAATGTCCAGAGACTCTATTCCAGCTCAAGGTTGGATCACTTTACACCACCCAGCGTTTACCTAACAGGGGGTGACAGTTCACCGCAAAGACATTGAACAGACAAGCAAAGAAAGCACAGAAAGATGAAAATACGGAAAGGAATAGGCTAAAAAAGGTGCGCATGCGTAGGTCTTGTTTGACTCGTGTTCTCATCTTATTCTTCTAGGCTCTCCAACAAGGCAACAACGAAGGCGCTCGCATCTACGCCTCCAACGCCATTCGGAAGAAAACCGAGGCACTCAACCTTCTGCGTCTCTCTAGTAGAATTGACGCTGTAGCGAGTCGTGTCGAAACCGCAGTCACGATGCGGCAAGTCACCGGGAGTATGACGTCCGTAGTCAGAGGAATGGATAAGGCAATGGACTCAATGAACCTCGAGCGGGTACGTCAAGCCATTATCTTCCACGCTCAAATCCATTCATGCCATGCATATGCATTCATAGATATCCATGGTTATGGACAAGTTTGAATCCCAGTTCTCGGATCTTGACGTGCAGACATCGTACATGGAGGAAGCTATGTCCAACACCACTGCTGTGTCCACTCCACAGGATCAGATCGACCAGCTCATGAGACAGACCGCCGAGGAGGCGAACATTGAACTTCAACATGATCTTGCTTCCAAAGACTTGGCACCCGTCGCTGATCTGTCTTCCCCGGCGAAGATTGGAGACGAGGACGCCAGGCTTGCAGAGCGCCTGAGAGCGCTTCGTCCTGCTGCGTGAAGTTCATGGACATGGCACGGGGATCTCGCGTGGATGTTTATGCATAGTTTTGTATTTCATTATTTTCCGCTGTAACATAATTATATTGATAGTCGTCAAATTTAAATGTGAGGAGCCACAATATCATGCTATACCCTATAAATCTCGTTACTACAACATCTACAGCATATATTGTGCGCGGGCCAAATTTGTGAAGGTATTACAGCGTAAGGTACCAGGGAACATAGCAGCGAGAATACGAGGGGAGATCCTAAAAAAACGAGCGCAGATCTAAAGGAAATAGCCGTGATGGAAATGAGGGTATTATGGACTGTGGTATTAGTGTGTAGCAGAAAACTAGATCCTTGCAGTAGCAGAGCATAAATCAGCATAAAATAAGTGTCAATGGGAAAAACGGAAAGTGAAGGTCAGCCAGCAGACTCTGCATGGCTCCTGGCAAACCGGGCGAAGTCATTGAGCAGGACCCGCCGTTCCTTGTCGCCTACGCCAGCATTAATGAGCAATTTGTCTACACGCGCTATGAGGCCAGATGGACCTTCTAACGGTATGGCATGTGCATCGAAACTGTGGACGTCTGATTGGGGCAATGAGTACGACATCAGGATAGAAAACATGTAGCTCACAATTCTTGAAAGAAGCAAAGCCGCTTTCCGAAAGGACTCTTTTGAATACCTTTGAGACATCCTCCCCTGGAGCGCTGCCATTCCTTTGTTTTGCCATTGAGAGCCCCGGCATGATGGCCTCCTGCCGAACTTTCGTAGGGGCCCAAGAGAGACCAAGCCCTAGGTCTAAAGAGCGACCATGTCGTTTATTCTGAGATCTACCCCTTGCGTTGGCGGCGTAGGGTGATGGATCTTCATTATGACCTTCGCGACGATGGGGGGACGGATTTGCATGGTAGTAAGGAGGGGACATTTCGTCAGGTGTGGGTATGACTCCAAAATCGCTCTTTAGGGAGGACGGAGAGGATGCAGGCGTAGGCACACGAAGCTGGGTATGAGGCTGAGTGGGTGAATTTGGCATAGACACTGCAGGCTCGAAGGCGAACGCGCCGTGTGACGTGCGCTGTGCGCGACGTCCTGCGGCACGGCCCCAGCTGGACGACTTTCCCTTCGTGGTGTTCGAGGATCCTGTGGCATTAACACCCTTGCCAGTAGACTTAGTATTGACAGAAGTCGTCGACATGGAGGGAGCCGAGTTTTCGCCCCCCGTATAGCGCGCATGACCTGGCGAAAGTGTGGGGGCACCCCGTGGAGGCGTGCTGCGGTTGTGCCGGGTTCGAGACGTCCCGGCGTGGGATGAGGAAGATGAGCTTGTACGTTCAAGGCCATCCGCAGCAACATGGCGGCCTCGAGCTGCTGTCGCATCACCTTTATTAAAGGTTGCGCTGGTGCCGGACACTGGCCGCTCAAAGTCAAAGCTTCCGTGTTGCGCCCTTCGGCTACAACCACCCATGTTCTTCGGAGGACCAACAACGGTGGATGAGGAAGAATAAGCGGCTGCATTGTTTCCTGCCTTCAGCCTATCACCAAAGAGGTCCTTGATCCACGTATTTCGACCGGGGGAACTCAATTGATCTGGATCATCCCCGACATACTTGACTATATCTTTGCCCTTCCTTCTCTCATCGAGATGTGAGGAGTTGCCAGGCCGTCGAGGGGTTGGAGGTGTTTGTATGATCTTGGGTATTGACGGAGACACTACCTGGTCTGACGGAGGTATTGGTGGGACGAGGTGGTGTGGCGGTGACCTACGTTGTCGCCCTTCTTTCGCTGCGGACGTTGGCTGGTGATCACTACGTGACTGTAGTTGGCTATCCGCTTTCATTCGATGCCGTTCATCTGATTCGTCCTTTAGTTGTGCATAGTTTGAGATGGAATGGTGCTTTCTGTTCTTGTCTGGATGCCTGATCGTCCCGTTTTCGCGAAGGTCCACAGCGCTGTCATGTGGTATTGTTCCATGACCATTACCATGAGGTGTAGATCCGGAGGAAAGTCTTCGTGAGGCTGACAGCGGGAGGGGGCTGGAGGGTACTATGTGTGATTTAGGAGATAACTTGTCCTTGTCTTCGCTATCCTTTTGTGACTGTTGCCGCAGTATGAATGAACGTCTCCGAGACGAGTTTGAAGAGCTTGATACATCTCGTTTGGAAGGCGTAGACACCTCTGTCGACGAGTTTGCCGTCGAAGTGCGCGATAAACCGATGCCAAACAGCGCTTGAAGACCTCGTTTCTTTCTAGCCGAGGCTGGCGTCTCGGGTCGCGATGAAGGATGGCTATGGCTTTCACAAGACTCCGGGATATCGCTTTGGTTACTCCGCTGACTTCCAAACTGTCCCCCCTGATGCGAGTACCGAGCGTAACCTTTGCCTCGTTGGGTATCAGAAGGAAGAGGTCCTAATGTCGAGTGTGTGGCGGTGGTAGTTGATGAAATAGGACGAGACTGTGACCGTATGCTGTTCTTGTGGTATGAAGTAGGTGGGTTTGAGAGGTCACCTTCCACACACGTGGGGGTATGTTGTTGAAGACTAGAATGTCTCAGATGGGTATTCTCCTTTGAATCGGCCGTTCGAGGAGACTCTCTCTCGGATGCTTGTGCGGACTTGGGACGTGTACGGGAACGCGACCTGGAACGGAAAAAGGCAACAAACTGGAAGGTGATGCATTGATGGTCAGAGCAAGGTATGACTGAATCAGCTGTCAAGTAATGGAGTGTACAAGAACGTACCCTATTCTCCGACTTTCTGGGTTCACGGTCTCCATCTCGGTCGCTGGTGTGATTTGAAACAGTTGCCATTCGAACAGAACGTCGACGCCAGACTGTCCCCTGACGTTGATCTGGAGGCGCCACGCGACCTGTGGGGCCAGCTGGTGGGCCTCAGACTGGCTCTACAGCAATAGTGAGAGGTGTGACGGGTCAAACAAAGAGTACTCACGGTAGTGCTTGCCACAGAGGCCTAATACTGGCTCTGGAGTGTGGTGTCACTTGGTTGGTGCGAGACGAAAACACGTGTATGCCTCAAGGCACGCAGGATATGGGGCGTGAGGCGTCCGACGGCCTGGAACTTCCTGGCGATCGTCACGCCCACAAATGACACGTTTCTCTTAACGGATTGTGAGAGGCGAGCGTATGTGGGGAATATCAACCCTGTCCTCGACAGCGACGATGAGCCTTGAAGCTTGAGGCGCCCTTTCCCCCTTGGGCTACCAACTCGCATATAATCGTGGGAAAGATGCCGTCAGTCCACACGCGGTGGGGTTAAGGTCACCACCTATCGCGTATGGGGTTAGGGGCTATTCGTCATACCACATGTGCCTTTCTTATTCACCTGTTCAATATTCATAATCAAAACTTACTTTGCTTACTATGCCTCCTCATAAAAACTGCTCTTAGCACATCCGACCTCTGACCGTCGACGCGAAGATAAGTCCATGCCTATCCATGTTTTTGGTGACCCCGATGCACTCTCTCCTTCGCCGTAACATCAGCATCAATGCTGTCTTTCGATCGACGCGTAGTCCTCGCGCTCTCCGTTTCTCCACCACCGCATCACCTCGACTAGCAACTCCCTCTTTTCCTTGCGTTGATGCTCATGCTGCCCGCCAATCCAAACTCCTCGAGGCATCAAGTCTCTCGCCAAGCTATTCTCGCGAATCCACCGACTCTGAATCTGGACCGGAACCACCTTATGCCCGACCCTCTCCGACATCTTACCACACGTACCATCATTCGAGTCCGATGAAAATGACCTATGGCGACGAACTTCCTTCATTTGACATCGCATACGAGACATGGGGAGAGCTCTCACCGAATCGTGATAACGTCGTTCTTTTGCATACCGGCTTGTCGGCGTCCTCCCATGCTGCTTCCACCTCCATGAACCCATCTGAAGGCTGGTGGGAGAAATTCATAGGACCTGGCAAGGCAATCGATACTAGACAGTTCTTCGTGATTTGTACCAATGTTCTCGGTGGATGTTACGGGTCTACTGGTCCATCTTCTTCAGATCCCTCAGGAGAGCGATATGCAACGCGCTTTCCTATTGTTTCAATCTTCGACATGGTTCGCGCTCAATTTCATCTACTAGACCACCTTGGCGTTGATCGTCTATATGCAAGTGTCGGCTCTTCAATGGGGGGGATGCAGAGTTTAGCCGCCGGTTGGTTATTTCCAGACCGCGTTGGAAGAATAGTCAGCATCAGTGGGACTGCCCGAAGTAGCCCTGGCAGTATCGCCATGCGGCATGCTCAACGTAGTGGTATGTTGTCCTTAGGCTCAGCCTCGACTTCATTGAACATATATCATCTATAGTTCTTATGGCCGACCCAAATTGGAACAACGGATTCTATTATGATGGTGTTCCCCCTCACATTGGGATGAAACTGGCACGCCGTAAGTTATCGCTTCTGCAACATACGCTAACCTTACTGATGAACAAACCACAACACAGAGATTGCCACCATCACTTACCGATCTGGTCCGGAATGGGATCAAAGATTTGGACGGAAACTGCGTAAAGAAAATTCATCACAAGGTTCCGTACAGGATCGAAAGCCGACCTTATGCCCGGACTTTCTGATAGAAACCTACCTTGACCACCAGGTTTGTCACGGCTGTAAGGTACCTTCTGCTTTTGCTGAATATGTGTCATAGGGAGAGCAATTCTGCCTGAAGTACGACGCGAACTCTCTCCTCTATGTCTCGAAGGCCATGGATTTATTTGATCTGACCCTTCCTGCCATTGAGGAGGTGGGCATGGTACCTCCCCCGCCTTCCACCATTGAGCCAGACTATTCGTACTCCTCCATATACGCAACGGCTCACACTTTCTCGAAATCTCACCCGCCACCTCCAAACCCACCACCACATCTTCCGGAGCTAGCTGAGGGTCTACGTCCGCTCGCGAACACACCCATGCTCATTTTAGGTGTGCAAAGTGACATTTTATTCCCTGTCGATCAGCAGCGGGAGCTCGCAGACGCCTTGCGGATGGCCGGTAATGGACGAGTAGGTTATTATGAGCTTGGTGGAGTATGGGGTCACGATACCTTTTTGTGAGCTTTCTGCCTGTCTCGGCTCAAAGTAGTTGCTAATCTCTGCACTTCGCAGGCTGGATGTTCTCAACGTTGGGGGAGCAATCAGGGGATTCCTGTCGTAGCTTCATTAAATAATGTAAATAAGTATTCAATGTGGATTCACTCACCAATACGTGTGGACGTTTGGGATCATGGAGTGTTATTAGTATTACACCAGTCCGAGTGCACTCGGTCAGGGGCTTCCAACCCTGATATATCCACGTGAGACGACGTCACGACTCAAGACTGAGATTCGAAGTCTTCTAGTCTGTGGCTGCTCGCGTAGGCAGCTCAGTGTGAGGTATACCAAGCCAACAACCGCTGTTACTACGCACCCCCCTTCGTCAGTCCTAGCACAATGAACCGCATATTTGGCTCGTCATCGAGCAAAACACCGAAGCCCAGTTTGCAGGATGCGATAGCGTCAGTGAGTTCTCGAGAAACCCCATGACCACGGCGGATCATCAGCGCTCAACCTTCAACTTCGTTACGCCAATGACAGACAGACTCGCGCATCGCGTCCGTTGAGGTAAAGATTAAGAAGCTTGATGGCGAGCTAGCGCGCTACAAGGAGCAGATGGCGAAGCTGCGCAACGGACCAGGTAAAGTACGCCCCCGCGTCTTTCGCCACATCTTTGGTTCTCCTGGGCCTTTAGCTTACCATTTGGCGCATCTAGACCGCCGTCCAGCAGCGCGCACTCCGTGTTCTGCAACAGAAACGGATGTACGAGGGGCAGCTCAACCAGCTGGCGCAGCAGACGTTCAACATGGAGTCTGCTGCGCTGACGACGGAGAACCTCAGGAATACGATGGCCACCGTGGAGGCCATGAAGGTGGCCAACAAGGAGATTAAGAAGCAGTACGGCAAGATCGACATTGACAAGATTGAGGCATGTCATCTTGTGTGCTCCCATGTCTGCCACTCCTGAACTTACTGCTGGGTATCAGAATATGCATGACGAAATGCAAGACCTTTTGGAACAGGCGAACGAGATTCAAGAGTCACTTGGCCGTTCATATGAAGTTCCCGATGAAGTCGACGAGGCGGATCTTGAGGCAGGTAAAGTGATCCTATGGCGTTCGCTCGCATCACATCTGATGTTCTTGGTTTAAGAACTCGATGCTCTGCAACTGGAGGAAGAGGAGGAAGGGCCATCTTATCTTGCCGATCTCAACAAGGCTCCAGACTTTGTAGACGAAGCACCAGTAGAAGAGGGCGAGGTAGGACTGTCTTACGTTCCACTAGTTTCCTTCCTGATTTCCTTGCGACTAGTCTTCGCACAAAGAGGCGATCAAGACTACGGCTTGAGACCACTGACACTTATCCGAACATGCCTGAGCGTTCTTATCCTGCTAATGAATGTATGTACCATAGATCATCCGTTTGAATTAGATATCCACTATTGTTTCTTGAAAACAAGTGAGCTATTTCGCCCTTCACCCGTACCGCTTTCCTTCGCCGCCTTCGGAGAACCAATCGTCAGTCTTGCGGGATTCTTCTGGGGGAGCAGTATTGATGACGACGGATTTGCTTTGGGTGTCTACGGGGAAGTCTGAGAGAACGTAACGAAGAAAAAGATGGATACGCACAAGCCTCAAATGCCTCGAGCCCATTTTCTCGTCCAATGCCGCTTCCCTGCTTAATTCCTCCCCTACATGTCTTTGTTGGGATTAAGCAAATGTGAATAAAAGAAGCAACACACCAAGGTGAACTAGGATCGTTGCGATGATGTGTATTGACCCACACTACCCCTGCGTTGACGTTCTCAGCGACACGATGGGCTCGTGACAGATCCTTTGTCCAGATCCCGGCGCCAAGCCCATATTGCGACGAGTTGGCCAAAGCCACGCCTTCCTGTTCGTCCTGCGAAGTATATAGTCGACGTTCACGCGGAAATGAGTAAATTTACCTGGAAATCCTTCACAACCACCACTGGGCCAAATATCTCTTCTTGCCACAGCTCATGGTTCACATCAACATCATTGATGACTGTGGGCGCCAAGAAGCTTCCTTTGGAGAAGTCAAAGCCGTCGAGCGTTGATGTGCCTGTGAGGCGGTGACCGCCAAGTAGCACCTTACTGTTCCCCTTGCGTGCTAACATGTCCTCAATTCGCTTTAGATGATGAGGGGAAATCACGGAGCCCATGGAGCAATGAGGGTTGGAAGCTATGTATAGTTCGTCACTAGGTCTCACTTGCTCGGGCAAACAAGGCTTACGGTTGCCCATTCGACGGCCAATACTCTCCACTTTCTGGAGGAACCTGGACATGAATTCGTCGTAGACGCCGGATTGCACGATGATGCGAGTTCCAGAGACGCATGTTTGTCCTGAGGCTACGAATGCAGAAAATGCAGCCCCATTGACTGCTGATGTGATATCGGCGTCGTTGAATACAAGAATGGGAGCCTCCAGCGACGAGTGAGCTACCCAGTATCGCCGTTTCTGTGTCAGCAGAACACACCTTGCCTCCAAGCTCTGCGGTGAACGAGGCTAGATTGGCGCCAACCTTGGCACCAATAGCACGGCCTGTGCATGTCCCTGCCTTCATATGATGTCATCCCGGACGGTACCCTAAGACTGTGGCCAATACTTACTGTAATGTCCACTTTCCGCACGATCGGATTAGAGACAATTGCGTCCACAATGGTTGGACCTGGACCTGGGATAACGGATAGGACATCACCAGGGACTGACAGCATGTCGTCGGTTAGAAGTTGCTTTATCCCGCATTTTTACACGCACCTCCGGCTTCTCGAGCAAGCTCCGCAAACTCAAGAACTGTAAGTGGTGCAAGCTGTGTGTCTGTGTAAATGAAAGCGTCACATGAGACTGAAGATGGTTCGACGTGCTTCGGAGGGTTTCACTATGACGCTGTTTCCAGCAGCAAGTGCAGGAGCGATTTTCTTCAGTGCAATCAAAAGTGGATGATTGAACGGCTATGGGGGTCTGAGATCAGGTTCTTTTTTCATTCGTGCATGAGCACGCACAGTCACTTGCAATACTACTCCAAGGGGTATCCTCTGGACATAATTGAGGAGTTTTCCCTGTGTAGGCGCCACAAAACCCTGGCGAGTTCGAAGCATAGCAGCGAAGTACTCGCTGCTCCATGTCAGTAGAACAACCTATGGCCGCATGGCACCATATCCTCACAGCCATTCTGGCAGACGAGCAAGCTGAGTTCTCATCTCTCGGATGGGTCTTCCGGTCTGCATGGTCTCGATTTCGGCCAACGAGGGAAGCTTCTCATTGAGCAATTGTGCTAGTCGCGACAATACCCGGGATCGAGTGATTGCGGGTGCATTGGACCATTCGCCTGACAAAAACACATCGTGGGCCCGCGAAAGGGTGGCATTGATCTCGTCGCGCGATGGTATGCTTATACTGCAAGGGCTTAGGTAAAGAGGACAAAGCGAACATAAGTGCTTGAACGCACGTCTTCAAGACTTGCCCATTTGCAGGGTTGAAAACGGTAAACCTAACCGAGAAAACGGTGTCGCTCAACCGGCACACTCCTAGAAGGTGGTGACTACGCACTCATCGCCGGCCTGCTGGCATGGCGCCGGGCCTTGAGCTTGAGCTTGAAAGCCGCGGCAAACCGGCCTATATGGATTCCGGATTCCCTGAGAGGCAAGACAAGGTGCATGAGTTGATTATGTGTGGCAGATCCAGCAAAGAAGAGCAAAGACAATTACGTATACTCTCAGAGGAACGTGTTTTGACCAAAGAGCCAATGCCATCCTCCAGATGTCCTCGGTTTGAGAGTAGTGTTCCCAGATCTCAGATCCGGCACTTCGGAGAGTCCTCTCGGAGGTTATTCGGATGTGTTCGGATGCAATATTGTTGTCAAGCGCACAAAAGCGCCGTGGGAAATCAACGAAGCGCGCCACAGACGCGATAAGATGCACGTGACCCGATATAAACGTTGCGTCAAAGCTCGGTGTACATAAATCCGAGACCATTTCCGCTCTTTCCTCGTTTCCCCCCCCCAACCTCCTCCCGTTCCTCTTCTCCCCACGCCGGAGACTCCTCCCTCACCCTACACCATGTCCAATCCCCCCCTCCGTAGATCATCTCGGGCATCTTCGGTCAAGCCCGAGGAACCCAAGGCAAAGGCCACAGCCCTCAGGACGCTTAAACGCACCCAGAGTAGAACCCTTAAGCGCACTGCTTCCCCCGAGCCCTCCGAGCCACCAAAGAAACGCGCTCGGTCCAACAAAGGCTCTGCTGATGACGTCGATGACACGAAGAAGAAAACCGCCGCGAAGCTCAAGGCCAAGGCCACGGTCACTCTCTCTGACGTCGATGGCACTAAGAAGTCGTCTACCAAGTCATCATCTACCAAGCTCAAGACCAAGAGCTCGAAGAGCTCTCTGTCAGATGCCGAGGGCTCAAAGAAGAAGGCCGCTGCTGATAAACTCCAGAGTAGGAGAGGCTCTACCTCAGATGTTGAGAGCTCCAAGAAGAAGACAACGCTCGCTAAGCTCAAGGCCAAAAGGGGTTCTTCTACCTCAGACCTTGAGGAAACCAAGAAGAAATCTGCGCTCAAAGCAGCAGTAGCGGCAGCAGTTCCGGCCAAGAAGAAAGTCACCAGGCAGCCGTCTACCAACGGTATCGCTCGTACTCATGAGCCGATACCACAACTAAAACCATACTTCAATCCCCTTCCCACTGTGCCCGATCATCCTCGTCCCGCAAATCAGCTTTTCGCATGGGGTGCCGGCAACTTTGGTCAGTTTGGCATGGGTGAAAATAGCCTTGGCGAGTTCAGCGCTCCGAAGCGTAACACGTGGATCGAAGAAAATATACAGGACAACGTCTTTGGCGACGACAGTGGTGGCCTCGAAGCCATCGCTGCCGGTGGTTTGCATACTCTCTTTATTGATGAAAAGGGAACGGTGCGCTTGCCTTTCATCGCTTAATAAGCCTTGTCTTACATTTCACTAGATCTGGTCCTGTGGCGTTAATGATGATGCTGCTTTGGGTAGGGTCACGAAGGACGTGCCCGACCCCAATAACCCAGGCTCCTTCTTGGACGTAGATAGGCTGACCGCCGTCCCCCATCCTTTGCAATCATTGGTCGATGAAAAGTTCCGTGCAGTACGCATCGCTGCTGGCGATAGTATATCTGCTGCCATCAGTTCAGAAGGAGAGTTGCGGGTTTGGGGCTCCTTCCGGGTAAGACGGGTTGCTTTTACCAATCAATACAATGCTTAATTGTCATTTCATGCAGGCCGCCGAAGGTTCTCTGGGCTTCTCAGGAGAGACGCGGCTAGAGTTCCTCCCTAAAGCTATCTTAGAACTTCCTCATCGTCCAGGCGATTACGAGCGAGCCGTCCAAGTCGCCGCTGGTAACAACCACCTTCTTGTTCTCACAACGCACGGTCATGTTTACACGTGGGGCGCTGGCGAGCAGGGGCAACTCGGCCGGAAGATTCTGGATCGTCGCAAGATCCACGGTACAAACCCTGAGAAGACTGCCCTCGGCGTCCGATCGAACAAGGCTGTTGTCATCGGTACGGGCAATTACTGCTCGTTTGCTGTCGACGAGGATGGTGACGTTTGGGGATGGGGCCTGAATACCATGGGCCAGACCGGGACCGGTATCTCCGAGCCCAAGTCAATGTCGGACGATATTGGAACCCCGAAGACAATCCCCGAGCTCTCCAAGGAGGCTCTAGGGGGTGATGTTGTCGTTGAGATAGCAGGCGGCGAGCATCATACTCTCTTCCTCACCAAGCAGGGGCGAGTCTTTGCTTGCGGCCGGTGTGATGGCTGCCAGCTTGGGTTAACAGACGATGTCCCCACATACAAGGAGCGCAAAAACCCGGACTTCTTCGAGACGCCTACAGAAGTCAAGTTCCCAACCAAGGATGACGACGACCAAATCATCCACATCTCTGCCGGCACACACAACAACATGGCCATCACCCAAGGTGGTGCCTTGTTTGCATGGGGTGAAGAGACTCAGGGCGAGCTCGGTTTGAAGGATCTCCCAGAAGATGATAAAGTTGAGACTCCTTCTGTCATCGTTCGAAGGGAAGGGGGCTCTTGGAAAGCCATCGCCGTGGCTTGTGGTGGTCAACATACATTGGGGATGTTTAGGAAGAAGACTTGAGTTCCTTGTAGAGTATACAGTGTCTCTTTTTATTATCCCTTTTTGATTTATTGAGTCACATAGCTATAGTAGTATTTATTATACGTTTACGGTTAGAGCATAGTCATGACTGCATTCAATGTATTGTCTGCGATATTCATCTCAGTAACCGCAAAGCAGAAGATGCCCTTGATACTCAAAGGCATGATCCTATTGTCAGTGTTCGTGGGTGCCAAACCCTCGCGAATACTTGTGTACGTGTCAACTTTTGAGAATGACATCTAAGAGTAAGTGGCTGCAAGACGACCGACTATGTACTGCTCGGTGGTAATGGCATCGTACTTGCTTGGGCTCTCCTTGCTCGTACAGGATGGCAGGCTCTCAATAGTAGCGTCGAAGTTTGGATTGCAGAAAAAGGCAATGGACTGGCGTTTTGCTGTCACGCCCTCGGTGTTGCTGATTTTCTGAGCGGGCGGTGCGACTACCCTGTGCAAGGTCGATCGTAAAACGTCATTGCTCCAGCGAGCGAGGAGGTCGCCAGCGTTCACAACGATCGTACCCGGCTTTGTGGGAAGACATGAATGTGTTGGATGTCTTGGGAATGGTAGAGATCAAACGTACTATGGGCCGTGCTGGTTGATAGCGCATGGTATGGGGGTTTTGTACCTCCAATCCTCCGACTGAATCTTGGAACAGAAGGGTCAAGGTACCGTAGTCTTCGTTGACAGTCAGCCGCCTTTATATCACATAGGCTATTAGAAATAAGAAATACCTGAATGCGCGCCGGCTCGTGCTTGCCCCTCGTCTTGGAGCAAAGAAGTTTTGATGGGAGGATACGAGAGCAAGCGCAGGTTATGCCATTGCTCGTCAATCTTGCCATCGAAAAAGCTCTCCTCCAAATCCAATCCGAGTGCGATAGACCTCATGACGTGAACGTGTAGGTCATGGCAGGTCTGGAGACAGTTGAGCTAATGCCGTAGCCGAACGAATCGAAACTGAGTGATGATGCTCACCTGAAAGAAGTCCAACATGGTGGTTTTAAATCCAGGAGCATCACTCTCCCTTGGCCATTTGTTCTTCCATGCAGGGTCCCAGTCGCGCCCGATCTCCATGGACTCCTTTGTATCAGGAGTCTTCTTGCGCATGTTTGCAATCTCCTCTGCATCTGCGGACTGTGTCACTTGCTCCCGTCCGATTTTGACATAGCCACGGTTGGCCCGGGGGTCATCCCATGCGAGGCGGTCCTATTAGAGAGCAATGCGGTCAAGAATATGATTGGCACGATGCGAGGCGTGCGCTTTACTTTGAACTCAGAAGGAAGAGCGAAGAACTCAGCACTCTATAGTAACATTGAACACCTTAGTATAACACGTCGAGCTGCGTTGAGTTATCTGGATGTTACTCACCTTCGCGAACGCCTGAGATACGGTGCTCTGGGATATGCCGTGCCCTGAAAGATACACGAAGCCGACCTCCTTGAACGCGTTGACGATCTCATCTGCTGTTTGACGCTTCTCTGAGGACGTTTTGGCATTCCGGAACTTTGAGAAGTCAACGACAGGTATCCTGAACGTCGAGTCTGATTGAATGTCCTACAGCGTGCAGTCAGTACCCATTCGAACCTTGAAAAACTTCAGCTCTCTTACCTTCGCAAGGCTACTATACCGGAAGCGGCCTAAGACGCTAGTCCGGGGAACAAAGCGAGAGCTACCAGCGCATGGTAGACCAAGAACCCTAGATAACATTCTGAAGGTCAAAGAAGGAAGGAGTCGATAGTGTCGGATCGAAAGTCAAGCTATGTGTTGGCAATGTGAAACTTTCGTGAGGCGATAACAGGAAGGATGTCGAGAAGATAAGCGGGAGGTCCATGTGTGCGCACTGAATATTGGTTGTTTACACGGTCAAGTGCCAAGAAACCAAACCAAAGCCACACAACACCATGATGCGGATTCCATGTACTTATTATGTGCAAGGAGCTTGCTCCAACCTGCTCAATCGACCCGCTTGTTGGAAACTCAGTCGTTCAGCTAATTAATGGCAAATTGTAAAGAACGGTGATTTCTGGTGCGCAACACTAATCGCAATGAATATAGATCTTGGCCAAATAAAAGTAGGACATTAATATAACCACTATATAGGTACTTGAGTCGATCAGTACGCTTCCCATACAGCGTCGGGTAAGACTTCACGCATGACTGCAAATCAACACTGTTCAGAAGGAAACGCGAACAAAGGTAAATGTCGCTTACGTTTCCAGTGGTCGAACGCCCCTCCCTGTTGCCAATCGCCCAGTTTGTTAGCAAAGTCAGTGATTAAGTATTGTTGCTCTTGCTCTTCAGTCCAAACCTCCGAGCCACGGATTTCGTCCATGCTCACTTCCCTCATCGCAAGCGTTGATAAGATCCGCGCGCGAAGGTGTGAGTTCAAGTAATCATCGTTGCGGGCCAGTCTGAATTCCAGGGGGCGAGCAGATGGCGAGCAGAAAAACACCTTCAGAAAAAGGATAAGCAAGAAGTTTCTCGACTCGAATGTATCGCCATACTATGTTCATGAACTCTGATTCATATTGCTCCTGTGTAAGTGGCAGTGTGAGAGAGTCATGGAACGCTCGACATTGTCCGAATGCCTTCATAAGGGTAGTCGCTACTCCCTTCGAAGCATCAGAGGCCAGTGAACCCGCAAAGTTCTACAGCAAACCTCAGATTCAGTCTAACAGAAAGGCCACTGCAAGACTCACGACGGCGACGACGCCTTCAGGGTCAAGGGAAACTTTCAGGTCTTCCCAGAACTGCAGCGAGTAAAGGTGTTCAGGCACACTGCCGCCGGAGAAACAGTCATGAATGATAATGTCGAAGATGTCCACCTCCACCGGAGCGACTTCAGTTGCAGGGTCAGGCATCGCAAGGCGACGTCTCTCCTGAGCCCAGTTACGGGCGTCCTCTAAGAATACGTGACCTTTGGCAAGTTCCGGGAGACCAAAGTATTGACGAGCAGCATCATATACCGCAGGATCAATCTCAACTATCGTTGTTGATATGCCGTGTTGAACGAGAGCTGAGGCAGAAGTACCAGCACCCAAACCACTGAGACTACCTTAGGAATGGAATGGATAGAATCAGGTGCCAGACTCACATGACAAGGGCACTATTCCACTCTCCGCTCTTTCCTTGAGGGGTACTAGATACCAGGCGCGCCGCCTCTTGAAGAACAAAAGCGCTATAAATTGGATCTCCAAGAGGAGTCCCTGATTTATCTACAGCAAGCGATGCAGCGCCGTCGAGGGTTACGACCTTGTCGTCCAACCAGACACCACCTATGAGCGAATGGGATGCCCGCAGGTAGCGGAGAGAGTGCGTGCTGCCTTCTGCAGCCGGTAGGATGTCGCCAACGACTACAACGCCAGTAGTTGATTGCACGGAGGAGAGGATTGTTAGCGGGTATTTGTCGCTCTGCCAAGGCTGCGAGAGAGGATAGAGGGTGGGCGATTGGAGATGTGGGTAAGAGAACATCACGAAGACTGCAGACACGACCGGTGCAACTTTGATAATGCTTGACATTGTCAAGCCGGTGCTCTTTGCAGTCCCAGTCGGCGTACCAGCTTCGAGCTGGGACCAAGCCCAGCCAGTGATTGGGATGAGAGCGAGATAAACGAACTAAGAATCTGGTCAGTCTGCGGTCTGCAGTACAGTAGGTGTGCTACGTACGCTAACATCCTCAGAGGTGTTAATGAAGAACTGATTGGATAGGTATTTAACCAATGGTCTAACTTGTGGAGAGTTTGCAGTCATAACCATGAGAGCAATCTGGGGCTACAACGCATGGCCAGTAGGTTAGGCTAAGCGAGACCAAGGGCAAGGTTGCTTACATCCACTTTCAACACCAGCGAAAGAGAAAGGTAGGCCACAGGACAGAGAACAGCCAAATGAGTGAGTATAGGGCCCAACAATGGGTCCCCAAGCCTCGCGCCATATGAACCAACCCAATACAAGGTGTGTGGGGTAGCCAAGACCAGGAGTCCCAGTAGAAGCATAGTAGCCGTCCGCGACAGACGATGCTTCACGAGCAACGATATGCCAGCGACAACATGCACTGAAATGGTGACGAACTTTTCCGCGGGGGCACTAGCAAAGAGAGGGACGAGGGCATTGGTGTAGGCGGAGGTATAGAGAGAAAGCGCAATGCTGGCCGACAGCACGACAGCCGCACTTTTCGCGTTATTGATACCTTCTGAAGCCATGTTGGTGGCTCGCGCAAAGCTGGGACGGGGAGACAAATGTTCACCTGTTGTTGGTCGACGCGGATCCAACGCGGACCAAGTCGAATGCGTGGAGGACGTGGTCACGTCGCTCGGAGGATCATCGAGGAAATGTCATTTCGTCGCTTCATCAGAAAATTTACTTGCACCAAGAATTAGTGATTGCTTGTGGGGACTGGCCAGGCACATGCCACTGCACGGATGGCAGGCCAAAGCTCTCACACAGCTTCCCGTCAGAGTCACACTAGAGGCCCATAACATTATCAAACGTTAAGATGACATTGTAGTTACGGGAATAAACTCTTTGTACAGCACACTGTCTGGGCTGTTTAGATTTGCAGCATTCCAGCGATGGAGTGAAGAGCCTCTGCCAACCGTCGTATCTCATAAGCAGCAGCTTCAATGTCATTGTCGAGGGTCAAAGCCTCCGTCAGTCCGGGTAGAGTCGTTGCACCATATCCTACAGTGTGCCGTCAGGACGAAGCTCTTGAGCGGAAGTAAGAATACACCAACCTAGCCATCTACCGGGAGCAACACCAAGATGCTTATACCATTCACGGTCTTTTAAGCCATCTTTCGAGATGAATCCTCTCTCGAAAGCTATCAGCTTGTGATTCACCTCCTGGATACGCTCGATTGCCTCAACAAGCTTGCGGCTAGAGCGACTGTTGTGAACGAAAGCACGTCAGAAAAGGGGGATGTGATCTGCGCAAAAGCGTACCCGCTAGTTGCGTCACACTCCTTGCCTAGAGCTTTCTTGATCTTGCAGATTGCCTTACGGACACGATCACTAATGTAGTGTCGGTGATAATAGTGGATGATAGCTGTTTGGAGCTGGTGCTCAGCCTCCGTTCTCTCAACGTCAAGGGCTATGCTGGCAGCTTGCATTTTTCGGACGGATTCTTCCAAAGACGAAAAGTCTAATTCAGGAGCGAGGTTCGATGCAATAGCTTCGACCCTAAGCAGCTTTTAGCTTAGACAGTATAATTGACGGTCTCGCACTTACCGCTCGACCTGCACTTCTAGCTCGTACGAGTAGTGTGTGGTATTGAAAGGCAGGATCCAATCACCACTCAGCCGCAGAAGTTGTAGACCAAGATGCTTAGCAACCGCTATCTGCATAAATAAGTAAACATTGCATTTATTCATGCTCCTATTAAGACAAATGAGACTTACATGGCGATGGAATCCTGGGTCGCCATATAACTCTTGCCACGTCTCAGAGTCGAAGACAGAGTGATAGTGATAAACAGGATCATGCAAAGTTGACTTGAAACCTCCATCCGTGCTAGGAATCTGTTGATGATTATTTAGTGGAAAACTATCGCATGAGGAAACAACGCACTCCGATATGTTGCAAAAAGAGGGTGTAGTCACTGCCGGAGCCCAATGGCGTGACGCCAATGCTGTCCTGCGCCAACAGGTCGGCTTCGTGCATATCCACTACTTCAGCGTCAACCTGGCCACCATACAGTTCGCCATTGTCCAAACGTGCATCCCACAAAGTGCGGTTCAGTGCAGTAGGGTGAGGGATCTGCTCTGCAGTGTCACGCAGAAGGTGCGCAAGTAGCGGGGACGCTGACGAGCGAAGCTTCGATCCAGATGTAGAAGAATCTGCTTGATTTGAGTGATGGGATATGATGACCATTTTGAGGACGCACCAATGTTTATGTACGCTACTACGTGCTCATTGATCCAGTCCTCAAAATCTTCGCCGTACTCTGTGCTTCCTATCAGACCGTACTGCAAATGTTTATCACGTTGTAAACTTCAGCCCAGATGACGAATGTCTTTTGTACCTCTTCCGCATCCCAGCTTGCAATAACTATAGTCCTGAGAGGTTGCCAGCCTTTCTTGATCAAGGCGCCTAACGCTCGCACCACCTCAACAGTAGAGACCGTACCAGAAGAGGGGTCAGTAGCTCCAAGAACCTACATCATGTCAGCAAGCTAAACCACTACAAGAGTGACAAGGGCAACACACCCAAGCTAAACGCAAGCGATCAGCAAAATGGCCGTTTCCGAGGCCTCATAATCCACGTACCGTCACGATGACCGCCAAGGATGACAACTTCATCTTTGATGTGGCCTGGAATGACTCCCATAGTGTTCCAGATGGGGGTCACCTTTTCGTCAACATTATTCACCAGACGAATCGTGCGTCCTTCGTCGCCAAGCTTGGCCTCCTCCAGCAACACCTCCGCGTTAGCCCATGAGATTGGCAAACTGGGGATAGTCGGCTTGCTCGGACTTTCGCCACGAGTCGCATTCTCGTACGACGGATAACCAGGCGTGGAAGGGTCGCCGGGGTATAGCGACAAGAACTGCACCGATCCACGCTGGACCGATGTCGGGTTGCGAGCAGGCCCAAGCGGATACCTAAGAGGGATAAGAGAACCATTCAGGCGAGCACGAAGAACCCCTACGGAATGTAGCCGTTTTCAACTGTCACGGTACCATCATCTCGCAAATCGGAGTAGATGAGTACCGCGGCTGCTCCAAGCTCTTGAGCACGCTTGACCTAATCTTGTCTGAGCTTGACGAAAGAACGTAAGATCGCATGGAACGCACCTTCAATCCGCGGAAGTTACCACCATAGCGAGCAATGACAATTTTGCCACTGAAGTCCACGCCTGTGTAACCAGTTATACAGACAAAATTACACCAGGTTTGCAAACAAACGTACCAGCCTCCTCCAACGCGTCATAGTCCTGTTTCCTTCCGTAGTGCGCGTATACTAGCTTTCCCTCTGCAACACCTCCCTTGCTAATCCCGTGCCACGTCGGTACGGCCTCTGCATACTTGCTCGCATACGGATCTACATCGCTCGCCACTTCCTCCAGCTCCGCCTTCCATATGGTCTCCCCATCCTCGCCCACGATCTCGAGAGACCGGTCAAGCGGCGCGTTCAGCACGGGGTAGTACGTATCAATCCATGCGCTGGGCGTGTTGCGCTTGGAGATGCCCCGCGTTGCGTTCTGCGACTCCGGCGAACCAGCCGCATAGATAGGCTCCGCACCAGAAGAGGTATCGACGCCAAACTCAGTCTGAAGGAGACTCAGGAAGGACTTGGCAGTGAAAAGATCACCGGGGGTGCCTGCCATGTGGGGCTGGCCAGCATATTTGCGTGAAGAGAGGATGGCGTTTGCCTCGGAGGGGATAGACCTGTTGTAGATGTAGACAGGGGCTTTGTAAGTAACTGCTCAAAGCTAGACCTTGACGTACTCACAAGAGAAGTTCTTCCGCCGCCTTACCTCTCAGGGGGTGCCCGTAGCCATGGACAGGTCTGGAAATTGTGCTTTGTGCTATGCCGAACGCTCCCAAGTGATGGTGTAACTGCGTTCCGCGGCAGCAGTGAGATGCGACGAACAGCACGACAATCACCGCAGCGGCGCTCATAGCTAACAAGCGTCTCGGTGATTTCCTCAGGCGACGGGACGTCACAGGCGTCGGAATTACAGAGATCGACTTCGGGTCGAGAGACACAGTAGCGTACTTGTCCTCCATGGCAAGGGACAGCCAAGGGTGAGAACAAAGTTTGGTTCGTTTGGTGTCTTTATATGCAGAAGTATTCTATAAATTATATTTGGTGTATGTACTAACTACTTGCGTCACAACTCCACGCCCGCTATATCTCCAGCGGTTTCGAATTCAAATCCCAGGTTATCGTGTTAATGTAGTTTTGGGGGAGTACCAAACTCTTAAGCCTTCGTCAAGCCAAGAACAGTGCAGGTCCGGCTGGGGGAATAGACCTGGACGACAGTTCAGCTAAGCGGGCGGAAAGTCACAATATCATACCTGAAGCCAGTTTTTGCGGGTGTGCCACTCCATGGCTGTCGTCTTATATGTGGTTTTCAAAGACACGTTGTCGAAACCTCCAAACCGTTTTTCGTCACTGGTGAAGATAACACTATACTCGCCAGCGACGTCGACTCCCACGCGATAGTCGGTGAACGACTTCGTAGGGTGGAAGTTGAAGATAAATAAGAGGCCGGCACGCTCGTACACAATCATCTTATCGCCTTCGTGTTTGAGAGAGACGTATGCCTGTGGATGTTGAGGTTGCTAAGGAATGTGTCACATTGACGATGCACAGTAAACCCTACCTGAGGGGAGGAAAGCCATTTATATTTCTCTTCCGTGTTGTTCATGACAGCATCAAACTCGTTGAGGTACTTATAGCGGAGGATATCATCATCCAAGACGTTCCATTGACGTCTAGCATATTGGAACGAATTGTTGTTCCCTTCACGAGGGAAATCTAGCCACTGACACACAAGTTGATGAGCACATAATCTGTTCAGTATAGTCACTTAACATACCTCGGGATGACCGAACTCGTTTCCTTCAAAGTTCAAGTAACCCTCGCCTCCAAGGGTGTGCACAAGGAGACTATGGGCAAAAGCATGAGAAGGGCTTAGCGCCTCTGAGGAATAGTAAGCTTACCGGATCATTTTATGCAAAGCTAATCCCCTTGAGATGACAGGAGTCATTTCTGTGAGGTCTGACATATGTGTGTCTGTGATTTCTCAATGAAAAGAACATCGGAGCCTTCATTGCGTAAGGACTCACACATTTCCTTGTCCATCAACCAGAAAGCCAACGTCTTATCACCAACCAAAGCTTGATCATGACTCTCTGCATAAGCGACACTCTTCTCGCCGTGTCGACGATTGGTCAGAGTGTGTACAATATTGCCCATCTCCCACTCGTCATCAGACTTGTGCTTCAGAAGCTTGATCCACATGTCAGGTATGGCCATGGAAAGTCGGTAGTCGAAGCCAACGCCTCCCTTTTGCGAAGGAATGCAGAGGAGAGGCATGCCAGAGACATCTTCTGCGATCGTGATAGCAGAGGGATATAGCGAGTGGATCATGTCGTTCGCCTGCATAAATAGGTTAGCAGAAGAAAAACCGGCAAGTCATAACATTCATTCTCACAAGCATGAGATAGACAATAGCCTCGACGTCGGCGTTGTCACCAAAATATTCATGATATCCTCCAGAGAAACCAGTGCCAATGCCATGGTGGGTGTACATCATACTCGTGACACCATCGAAACGGAACCCATCGAATTGGTATGTCTCCATGTAGAATCGCAGATTGCTCAATAGGAAACGTAACACCTCATGCGAACCATAGTTGAACAAACGACTGTCCCAAAGTTCGTGGCGACCTTTTCCGCCCTCATGGAAGTAGAGGTGGTCGGTGCCATCGAATGCGTTGATACCGTCCAACACGTTTTTGCTAGCGTGCGAGTGCACAACATCCAATAGGACAGTTATGCCCATGCCGTGTGCAGTATCAACGAGCTTTTTGAGCTCCTCGGGAGTACCGTAGCGAGAGCTTGCAGCGAAGAAGCTAGTCACTTGGTAACCGAAGGCTGTCGGGCGGTCAAAACCTGACTTGGAGAATGTGTGACTCTACCCACAAGCATAGTAAGGGTGTTCCATAATGGCCATAAGTTGAATAGTGTTATACCCGAGTTTCTTAATCCTCGGGAGCACGTTTTCGGTGAATTCGTTGTAGGTTCCTATCCTAGGCTCGGATGAAGAAATACCAACATGAGCTTCATAAATCCGGATAGCTTCGGGCTTAGGAGGTCGTGGGTTCTTGAACGTATAGGTCTCTTCGGCAGGGGGGTTCCAGAACCGCGCTTCGTAGACAGGGGAAATAACAAGGTCCTGCGTGACTCGCTGAACCCAAGCGGGAAGACGCTCGATGCGTTCGTTGGTCGGCGAAATGAGCGAGATCTGTTGCAGGGTGAATATTTTGTACATCTGATAAAACTCGAGGCGTACTTTTACTTTGGAGTTGTGCTCAATAGCGCACACTCCAGGTGCTTTGGGAGGAATAACAACCTCCCAAACGCCATACTGGTTTTTGGTCATCGGGTGACTTATTCTATTCCAGCTATCTGTTCAGCCACAGTCATTTGCCGCCCTTGGACCAAATGGATGGGAATAGACGAGCATACTGAATTCACCAATGAGATTCGCCTCCTTTGCGCCCGGCGCCCATTCGCGGTACACGAATTCGCCGTTTTCGCGCACTGTAAAGCCCATTTGATCATAGCCACGAGAAAACTTGTCGTAGCCGCCCTCGTGGTCGATGATAGCATTCTTCCGCTCTTGAAAACGCTCGTGACGGTACGTTATGGCAGGGAGGAATGGGTCAAGATAACCGTCGAGCTCGAGGATCGTCTTGGGGTCGAACGTCGACATGGCCTACACTTTTCGGTTCTAACCAGAGGATGTAGTGGGAGGAAGAGGGGTTCGACCATGGAACATTTTATATAGACTGCGTAATAAGGTGTCTGTTATGGTCGTAGAGAATCGAGACTATGACGCTGTATGACCAGGCGACCCTGCCAGAAACGGAAAGTCATCGTTATCATAACCGACTTACCACCGAATCAATTAGCTAGTGTACCACGTACACTCAAGAGGGACCAGGCCGGTGATCATATGCATGTATCGATAAATCAGTGATATATATATGTCACCATGATATACTCTTCAGATTTTGCGATTCTTGCTGTATCTACGAGATAAAATACATGTACACGAAAGGGAATACGTATACCCTCTTCCAATGCAAAGTCACAGTATTAATTAGGTGCACCCTCACGCCCAGGTCCAAGTATCATAAAAGTCCAGCGGCACGCAGGTCACTGTGCAGTCTCCGCTCATGCTCCAACGCGGTCCGTATCCGAGTGGCTCTCTCCGGGTCAGCTTCCGCCTCCTCGTTCGTCATCATATGTCGCATTTCCTCTTCCAGGTCATCCGTTTCACCAGAGGCTTCTCTCCGAGACCTGAACGGATTCATAAACCTAGGCCATGACGTTCTCCTATCTTCCTGTGCCCGCGCTTGGGGCGAGCTGCCGCTAGACGATGCGAGCATACTAGCCTCCCAGCGTTTGACCCGCCAGAAACCAAGTGCTGACGTGAGGAGGATGAACCACCCGACTGTCATAAGGAAGAACGACAGCCAGTCCGTCGTTGCGCTCACGACCATCGCATCCGTGGCGCCGATTTCGCTAGACATCGTCATGGTCGAGTTATTAACCAGACCCTGGTAGTATTCCTCTGTCTCCGCTCCAGTACCAAATGACATCGTCTCCGCAGCCGATGGCCACTGAGTTGGACCAGGTTCACCGGCCATGGCGTCCTCCATTTGTGCACGGAGTCCAAAGCCAAATTGAATCATAGTAACGCCCAGGCCTGCACGGCTTCCAAACTTCCCAGCGTGGGTGGTATGCATGAGGTAGGTGAGGAGGAAGCCAATGAACTGAAACGAGACCGAAATAAGTGCATTCCACATGAACACGAACAGGGTGCCCGTCGGAAGATTATCGACGACGACCGAGCCAATGCTCATAGAACCAGTATCGAAAGGTGCGAAAACGGTGTTTGAAAAATAGGGAGGTGCGGCGTCCGCCTGTGCGGCTGCGTACGACGGAGGAGACTCCCGCACCGATTCCTCCGGTACCATATATACATTGTCACCTACAGACCGATTCAGCCTCGGACAAGACGAATGAGTTGATATTAAAACTCACCGTCTTGAACGCGGACGCCGGTCGTTGGCTTCGCAGCGACATTTGCGAACACGCCATCGTTGCCTGTGCCACCCCCGATAACACCAAGAGGACCTCGGGGAACAATGCCCCATCTGTTCACATAATGGGAGGGCAGGATATTTGCTGCGGTGCGATGAAACCAGGCCGACATAAATGAGCGAGGCGGTTGGGGTACGTTGTCAGGGGAGAATATGGGAACAACGCCATTGGAGTTGCCGAAGTCGTTATCAGGTAGAGCAGAGGATGATGGCGCTGGGGGTGATCCAGGAGGGGGGAAGTCGTAGTCGACTGTCTCAAAATCGTATGTGCCGGGGACAGCAGACGGCGGGGGGGAAGGTCGGGTGGAGAGAAGTGGGCGAACGATCTGGTCCTCTTCCGAGTCGTCGTGCTCGCCATCTGAGTCATCGAACGCGGCCTCCAGCTCCGTGTCGTTTGTCTCTGGGCGAGAAGTCGGAAGAGGTACATAACGGTGAGGCATGTAGAAGCGGAAAAGAGGGAAACGGGTAAAGAGTGAAGAAGAGACGTGTCCTGGATGGAGGACAACCCTACTTTAGCGCCGCAGTGGCAATTGGGGGCGAGTTGATATAAGGAGAGTTGTGCCACAAACGCAAAACAGTTGCGCCAGCGCCGAGGATATGGATGACAACCCAGTTGCAAGGTGGAGGAACGTTACCAGCTGATCTGAGTCTTGTGCTTATTAGGCAATACAATTCGAATGTACACTTCTACAGTACCGCTACCGCAAACTCTACTCGTCTATGGGCGACTCCGGCTTTTCTTGAATGGCTCAATGTTGAATTCCACCGCAGAGCACGGATACGTGATCTCAAACTTCTGGAGCACGCTTGGGTGCAGGATTCCCAGGGTGCCAATTGCCATGTCTCGCCTTGATATGTGCAGTGTCTCCTTGATTTCCTCCTTCAACTCCAAGATTTTAGAAGACGTTCCTTCCGACGGTGGCCTATAATAGATCACCGCGGCTCGTCCAGCGAAGTATGCCGGGTCTACCAACACAGAATAATGAGTCCGATATGAGGAAGCGAACTTTCTAGCTCCAACGCACCATCGCCTTCCTTGATGTAGTATCCAGTGTCCGCGCGACCATCCTTCGAGTTGATTCTTGGGACTTCAAGCATTCGCATCGCACGGTCTAGTATGCCATGGACAACTTCAAAACCAGCCGTCTTGTTGCACCATAGTGCCGCAGCATGCCTCTCGTTCCGCGACTGACGTTCACTCGTAGGATCTTTGAACACGACGTCGGAGCACTCAAACAGACGAATTGGGAGAGGGTGGGAACGATTCTCTCGCACAGTCTTTAGAAGTCCTGGAAGCAGGGAAGTCCGAACGATTTGGAACTCCAGTGTTTTGGGATTGCCGATTTTGACGACTTCTTTCCCGTTGTCGACTCGGTTGAGGAAAGCATAGTTTTCATCATGGGAACACTGTGGCAATATGAATGCTGGTCAAGAGTGTTTCATCACAAACCATGACTTACTAAAATGAACGATAAAGCTTCTACCCATCCTGCCAAAGCCCATTCTGTCCGAATGACATCACTGAGCTTGCCAATTTCAAGGGGTTGAGCAACAGTGCTTGTCGCAGGGAAAACATGAGGAAGATTGTTGAATCCGTACGCAACGGCAGCATCCTCCATGATGTCAACTTCATGCAAGATATCTGGGCGTGTGGGTGGTATGTCAACCAAGATCTCATCGTCGTGGTCTTTTGATGGCGTCGCTTCTAGGGACATTTTCTGCAGAAGTTTCACGGTCTCCGCAGTAGTGAGCGAAAGTCCCGTGCACGAGTTGATGTAGGAAGTGTGTGCCACAGTCGTCCGGTACGAAAGATCTGGAGATATACGCGTCGACCCATCGGGGAAGATTAGCTTACAAGGCTCAACCCTATAACGTACGTTTCATTAGCCCAAGTAATGCATGGACTCAACTGCTTACGTGAATGCATCTTGGCAGTATTCAGAAAACATGATCGCTACTTCGTTTACAACAATGTGCAACTTCGTTTCATCCGTCGCCGTCACATCGATGAAGACATTGCGAGTGTTGAGGGAGATCTTGCTGTGCTCCGAGTTGATGATAGGTGGCATTGACAAGACACGATCTTGGTTGTCGTAGATAATCGGATATACTGGAGAGTCGCGAATGATGGGGAGGTATTTGTTCAAATGCTTGTCGTTCTAATGAACTTGTTAAGTTTACGAACGTGAGAATGAGTGGTGCTGAGACTAACCTCGTAAATCGTCATAAGTTCCCTTGCAGTGTTTGGTTGTGTTCGGTTGAGGGGAACAAATTTGATGTAATCGGGGTCTCTGGCTTCAAAACGGAAAGGCTGCTCGACCGTGTCGAGGTCATGAGTCCCAATAGCTACGAACCATCGACGTCTGCCGATGTTTTGGTGCAGTTTATCCTGAAGATCAATGAAAGACGCGTATGATCGCGGTGTGAAGTGCAGATTGCGCAGAACGGCGCAGGCAAAATAAGGTCGAACTTTGACCACCTAGCATACAGTGAGCATGGGAACATATGTACACCGCGGTTATACATACATCGGGGTGTACTTTGACATGGATGAGATCCTTCTCCCCTCCAGGGGGCATGAGCAGCCTGTATCTCGGAGCCGTCTGTTTTCCAAGGAACACGCCGAGGGCGCGCGAAATCCCCTCTATGCATAGGAGATCGTATCTGGACTAAGGTGTAGGGCAAGGGAACAAGGGATACTAAATAAACACTTACCTATTAGCGGGTATCTCAATCTTCAGTTGCTGTAGGCGTGAAAGTCGTCAAAAGACGCGCTGTCATGAGATATCTGAAGGCACTCGTACAGGGCGTTCAGCAGGCAAACCCGCCTTGATCGCGGCCTCGACTTCTTCAGTGGTCTACCCAATTGTGGAGGTGAATAATCTGATGTGTTGTTGTGCAGGATCAACTCACATCCTCGTCCAGTTCGAGTCCATACTCGAAGCAGAGCCGATCAAACTCTTCTGAGGCTGACGAAACGATATGAGGAGATAAGATCTTGCCAGTAGAGTTATAGATGGGACTTACTAAACTGATGGCCAAGTTTCTCAAAGAGATCTGCTTTATCGACTGCGACGGTGGGCATGGTGTGATGACTCGTACTAGTATAAACTCTCAATCGAAGAGCTTAAAGTCCCGTCGCGACAAAAGATAACCGAGGCGGACCCCTGTCACCGCGTAGATCTGTGGACTCGAAGTGACTTTGTAATGACTCGCGACCTATATCATCCCCTGACGATGAAATACGTCGCGCTCATCAGCGGCGGCAAAGACAGTTGCTTTAATCTCCTCCATTGCCACAAACAAGGCCATGAGCTAATCGCAGCAGCAACTCTCTCTCCAGCAGAGGGAAAAGGTCAGCAGTGGCACCCATCGGTACAGTTTAAATTTAACTGACTGGCAGTGTTGTCTATCAGAGGAGCTTGACTCATACCTTTACCAAACAGTTGGTCAAGATGCCATCCAACTCGTGGCACAGGCACTCGAAGTACCACTGTACCGCAGGATTATTGTTGGATCTCCTATAGAACAGGGCTCGGAATACGGTGAACGTGCAGGTGGTCCTCGAATTGGTGTCCAAGGCGATGAGACTGAAGATCTCGTCTCGGTTCTGGCGGACGTCAAAGTGACGCGTTTTACTTGCCGCTCACCGTTCCACTCAAAGCTCACAGCGTTTATAAGGCTCATCATCCCGATGTTCAAGGCGTATCTGTCGGTGCTATCTTGTCAAATTACCAAAGGGTACGCGTCGAGCATGTGTGAGCGCTGGCCTCCAACCCTTGCAACTCATCTCGGTCTCAATGCATCTATCAAAGGTGCAATCGGCTGGGTTTGACTCCATTGTGCTACCTCTGGCAACGGGATCAGAGTGAACTGTTTTCCGAGATGGTCCGGGCGAACATGGAAGCTATCCTGATCAAAGTTGCAGGCATCGGACTCACACCAAAGCACCTCGGAAAGTCTCTAACCCAAATGCAAGATACTTTGATGAAACTGGTTCGCCAACTTATTACACCCTTCAACGAGACGATAAGCCTGATTAATACCTTCCCTAGAACGCTCTTTACGGATCCCATATTTGTGGGGAGGGCGGTGAATATGAAACCTTTACTTTGGATTGTCCTTTGTTCAAAAGTCGGATCATATTGTCAGTATCTCTCATTTTGAGAGTTTTCCTTAGCTCAATTTCCTGATTTCAGAGAAGAAGTAGAATCCGTCATTCATTCTGACAGTGGGTTTGCTACCGTTGCTTTCCTGCGCATAAAGAAGGCATCCCTACAGCGCAAAGACAGCTCTCCTCCGAACGTAGTTGCTCCACCGGTTCTTGACGACTCCTTCGAGGAGGTTTATTCTGCCATTGAGACATCACGTGCCAAGCCGAGCACAAGAAATGCTGAAATAACTCCCGAGAACCAATTTCAAGAGACCAACTCCGCTTATGGGCGGAATGGTCGCTGGTCGTGCTTTGCTAACATCTTCGTCGAAAATTCGAGTGAAATGTCAGTCGAAGAAGAGGTTGAGGCATGCTTCTCCATGCTACAAGGTATTCACATTCTTTTGCTTGCGGCATAACCCCGCTCATGCAGCTGAAGGCTTTCTTGAGGAACACGCCCTTACCCTCGTGAACTGTATCAATATGAACCTCTTCCTTGCCTCCATGGATATCTTTCCCCGAGTAAACGCCGTGTACCAGCGTTTCTTTGGAACAAGTCCACCTGCGCGTGCCTGCGTCGCAGTAGATTTGCCAAGCAATATCCGCATCAAGCTCGATTGCCTTGCATATACCCATAACACACCGTCCGACCGGCAAGCATTACATGTCCAGGCACTCAGCTACTGGGCACCTGCTAACATTGGTCCTTACTCCCAAGCTATCTTGGTACGAGTATTTCATAGCGAAACGTCAGAGGCTTGATGGAACTCGTTGCACTGCAGGCCGATGACTGGGTGTTCATTTCGGGACAGATAGGCCTAGTTCCCAGCACCCTCATGCTTCCCTCGCCGACATCACTTGCGATGGAAACGGCACTGTCATTTCAGCATGCCAAACGTGTCCAGACTGCACTCAGCGAAAATACCGGTAACTGGACCGGCTATGCACAGGCAACAATTTACTGGCTTTCCGAAGCCGACAACATCCAGCATGTCAAAGCTGCCGATGAAACTGCTCGAAGTAAAGAAACCGTATGCATCATTATCCCATCAGTATCTTTGCGCTAACATTCAAGTTAAAGGGGCCACGATCTCCAACGTTATACGTCGCAGTCAAGGCACTTCCACGACAAGGAGTTGTAGAAAAACAGGTTTTGATGCATACAGGTCAACATACTTTCATAGATGAAGATGATTGCATGGTCACGAGCTCAGAACCCCCGGTCTTCGTCAATGGTGTGTTAGCTAACACATTAGTATTCCCCATGTCATCTAAACGGCGACAGGGAACCACGAGGACCAAGGCTCCTTTATGACATGGGAGCTGTCTCAAATGTGTATGGGTGCTTTTTGTGTGATGATATTTGGCAAAGGCCAGGGTAAGTGATCTCTTCAAACAGTCGGCAAGTTGTCGATTGCTGACGATACTACCTTCAAAGTGAAAGATATGCGGACTCTTTTACCTTCAGATTTGTTCCAGCCTGTGATTTCGGCCCGTCTGTTCTATCTCGCGGGTTCGCCACAACCGCGTCAGTTTTCTCGCTATCCGTTTGCGACATACTGACATGTCGTCGTATTTATTGTAGTTGGACAAGTCTTGAATCAGCTCTCAAAGGTTCCCCACCCTCTGCCTACTACCACTATCCCATGTCGTGCAATTTCAGATCAAACGGTCGATGGGTGGGAATACGCACTATGCTTACTAGGAAACAACAAGATGAATCAGCGAATATAAAGTAACGTTGACTTAGTGGAAAGACCATCATATACAGTAGGCGGCAGTAACAGGGGAAGGTTACACATTCTATACCCAATGACCTAGGAAAATGAAATGCAGCGGATTAGACCGAGCTTAAGGCTCCTCTTCCTCGACCAGTGCCTTGAATTCCGCGCGCTGATGCTCCATTTGTTTCTCGGTTAGGGTCGCTGGTACCATCCGGCATACCACGGCTCCGATCTGCCACACGGTTATGAAATGATGTTATAATAGTAATAGCAAAGCTTTACCAATGTGCATAAACCGCCAAAACGAAGGACCCATGCGACCCCGTTCTTGCCCAGATATGTCCCCCCTTGCAGCGGGTCTGCCGCAGGATCAGCTTCATCGACTACACGGAAAATTGCGCTTGACACAAGGGCAACCTATGCCCTATGGATCAGTCGCGCATTCTAATACATGTTTGTGTTGGGGCACTTACGATGAATTGGGGCATCACAATCGCCAGATTGTGAATCCCCAAAACGGTGCCTCCGGCAATCGGCGTTGGCACTCCAATCTCCTCGGCCACCTCTTCGTAAACATCGGAAGGATGCGGATGGCCACTACCCTCGTTTGGGACATAAGCTGAGTTCGCTCTGGACGAAGTTGGGCGGGTAGTGGGACCCGGAGACGGGGCTTGCAGCTCTTTTAGTAGCTGGGGGGAATTAATGGAAATTCGTACGGCATAATGAAGACGTATTGACCTCCATGATGATAGCAAAGGGCACCCAACATGCAACTGCCCAGCAGATACCAACCAGACTGATGGCTGCAGTGGCCTAGGAACGATGTAAGTTTTTCTTGGCGGCAACAAAGCAGCGTCAGACACGCACTTGAGCAACCGTGGAAATGAAGAAGGTGGAGAAAGTTATGAGGGTGAAAAGAAGGAGGGCACCGGTCCATATGTTACGAAGTGTAAGCGGTAGGGGTGGCAGGCGGAAAGTCTTGCCACGAGCTGCGGCATCTGCCTTCCAATTGTTGATATCATTTCGCATCCTCCGCCTTGCCGTGTCGGCAGTTTCCCCCTCGCGAGGTAGCAGGCGAGTATCACGACGAGCAAGGTGCGGTAGCAATACGCCGGCACCAACAGCCACTGTACAAAGCATGAAGAACAAATATAGCTGACGACGATGCTACACACCTAAGCTGTAGATCAGCATAGCAAATTCGCCTGCTCTCGTCGCAACGTCTGGATCCGGATCAGTCTTTGTCTCATACGCCATGATTTGGCCGACGTATGTGGTGCTTTTGCCATTTGTTGGGTTTTAAACAAAAGTAGGCTGGGTATGAACTTACGAGTAAAACAGAAATGGAAACCTAGCATAGACTGAGAACAAAATCAACCTAATGACAGCTGTGACACTGACCAGCCCATGAATGCAAACACTTGTACAAGACAAACTCGTCTGATAGGTTTGGGAAGCTTGATGACCGCGTTATATATGTTCTCTAGGATATCATGTAATTTACTTTTGCTGCGGGTTTGTTAGCAAGAGCTTTAGCAGGCACGTGGACAAGTACTCATAGAACTCACTTCCGTTTCGAGCTTGGCAACGAGGCCTTTTCCTCGTGGCACCAACAAGTCGTCCAGACAGTGATGACCAGGATGATCATGCTGACTACACAGAACTTGCGGAACTGATCCCCACCAAGCCATCGAAGGAATGGCAATTTTGCCAACGGAAAGAACCCTAACGAGACAAACACAAGAAATGAGCGATTTGGCACTTCCACAGAGTTGCGTGACTCACCAAATCCGTACCCAACTATGTTACCGGCCTGAGACATCCTGCTGTGCCATGCATTGCCTGCATTTAGCTGTTCTGGAGGTGTTACATCTAATAGCAGATTCCGCAAAGACGCTTGTAGAGCATTGAGAGCAAAATCAAGGATATAGAAAGAGAAGACAGCAATTCCGATAGCCACGTTTTTGACCTAGAGAAAATGAGCGTTGTTACTTTGAGGCAGGAGAAACCCTTACCTGCTTTGACCGCGAAGGATCCCAGTCACCAGCACCACCTCCATAGGCATCAACAAAGAATGCTGCGATAGTCTGACAATAGGCGAGAGCAAGTGTGGAGACAACAAGGAATATTGTAGAGAGAGAAACCCAGTATCTGCGGCGGTACTTGGAGTGGGAGGAGTCGGATATTGCACCTTGAACGGGTTCTGGTCAGACGGACACACCAGCGATATACTGAGGTAAATGTACCTATCAGGGGCTGAGCTATGAGTCCGCTAATAGGACCTGCGAGCCAGACAAGACTCGTGACTTGCTCAGAAACACCAAGCGAGAGGAGGAAAGGTGTGCCATATCTTGTTGTAAGGGTCACAATATCAGTATATCTAATGAAGCCAAGGAGGAGGTAAGAGGTACCCCAGCTCGACGGTCCACGCAATCTGTGCGCCTGCCATGGATATGCTGAGCGTGATGAGATTCCATGTCGTGAGGCGGTCCTTAGAGCGAGTGAGTCGAGCAGTGGCATGGGACTTGGAAGGAGTTTCGACCGCGCAGTAGGACGCGCGATCGTGTGCATCATGGTCTCCGAGGAGGGCTTGCCTGGAAGGAGACCGGGACGAACGACGCTGCCGTGCGGGCCATGCAATCTGCGTCGTGGGGTCCGGGTCTGCGTTTGCATTGACGGGGAATGTCATGGTGAGGCTGACGATACAAACGCTGAGCGAGTGAACAAGCAGGAGACAAGCATGCTAATGTACCAACAAAGTCCTCCTTCTGTATACCGTAATAGACCGTAATAGCACTTCTCGCCCATTCGCCTATTCGGGTCCCTTATTGATTTACTACATCACTGCTTCCGCTTCGGTATCCTCCGATCAAGTCGAGACCTTGCGCCCCTTGTCGCGCGGGCTCCCGTTTGCCGCAGCGAGCTTCGTGGTGAATGATAATATTATCCATCGTTCTTGAATGTACAATCCATAGATACAGTGCGAATATGCTACTAGTACACATGAACATGAGCAGGTAAACAAACCGAGGACTCGCGGTCCACGTCCAAAACGCCCGATAAATATCACTCTCCACTTCAACCTCGTGCTGACTGCGCCGATGATCCCCGTCGATGATTCTGTCCCGAACGCTCCGCATGACTTGACGAAGACAAAGGCTTGGACAACAGATTGAAAGGTAGCCGACGTCCGATCGCTGAAACAGGATTCTCCCTTTCTGCCTTCTCAGCCTTTGCTGGAGGATCTGGAAATTTAGCATACTGACTCGGAGGCCCAGTATATTTTTCGGGCTCTTTCGTCAACTTATCCTCAATTCGTGGTAAATCCGATGATGTCGTCCGTGTCAAGATAGGTAGAGGCGATAAGGATAGTTGGTGCGACCGCTGTGGCGGATTGGTACCTGCCCGTGTCCTAGCATCTGTAGGTCCTGTGTTTAGATTTGGCGAAGCTACCGGCGTCGTGCTCGTTCTAAGCTGAGCAGCAGAGAATGACGGTCTCAGACGCCTACGTGGCGTAGTCGATCCAGTGATTGCCATGGCTCCTAGGCCGCTGAAGTCATCCCCATTCGCGGCTGGCCCAGCATAACTGTACTGGGTGCCATTGCGCGACCTGTCGTCGTTTTCCCCACTACCGCTCCGATTTCGCCGCATGTATTCCTTGATCGCATCAGCGTCCCTTTCTCGCATTCGTGTCACAATGGGAGACAGAGATGAGGTATGTTGCGATGAAGGGGTGAGTGAATTGGGTTGTGAAGGGGTTCCTTGTACTGTGGCGGAATGAGGGGGGCGAGGAAGATGCGAGTTCGACGATGCGGCGGAAACAGAAGAAAGACTCGTGGCCTGTACGACTCCGAAGCCAGCACTGTCTGGTTCATTGCTATCCGAAGTGTTTGTGGTTCGACTACCGCCTGAACCGCTGCGCAGTCTCGGACTGCTCTGGTGCTTCAGCGATAACGGGGGTGGCAAATCGTTATACGAAGCATTCTGTGGCACAAGCATTCTACGCTTGCTGTTCTCGGCATGTTGACGCGCGTCGTTCATCGTGTCCTGGGTGCTGAAACTATCCATTCATCGTCAGTTCAATCGAATCCTCAAAGAAGGAGGTCTTCGTACGAATACGCATAATCTAAAGCCAGAAAGCCTTCATTATTCCGAGCATAAAAGGCACAACCGCGCTCTATGAGGATTTGGACGACCTGCTGACGAGTGAGCTTATGCCAGGAGGAGATGCCGTGCACGACGAACAGGTATATGTCCCCAAGAGCTTGCGCTGAACCAGATCAGATCGACTTAGCACATGAATGAGTAAACTCACTAGTGCAGCGGAGTGTTCCCTTTCCCATCGGGTAAGTCGATATCCGCACGCCAATCGCAGAGCATCTTCGTGTAATCAACATGAAGCCACGTTTTAAATACTATGAAATTGGCCTATACTCACGCGAACGAGTTCCTCGTTTCCTCTGAGAGCGGCAAAGTGAATTGCTGTCTTACCCCCTACATTGGACCAATCAAGGATGGAGGGGTATCGTTCATAGTACATCCTTGCCATGCGTAAACAAGCACCCATTAAATCCACTTCTGACGGACCAGGGGCATATGGATCGAATGGAGGAGGTTTGAAGTCGGCGAGAAGCATCAATACTGTATTCCCTTCAGCATCCTGAAGGAGCAGACGGTGACATTTAGCCCGCCAATTGGAAGCGATTGCTCCCAAAGGCTGTTTATGATCGAGTCAACTGGCAGGTATGCTTACACGACTCAGCTCATCATCGTCATGACCGGCATTCAGCAAGAATTCGAATGTCTCTTCATGTCCTAGTGCAGCAGTCCAAGCTAATGATGTGAAGCGGCGAGGACCAGGGTCAGGGTTACGCATATCGGTCCTTTGTATAAGCCGCTTGGCCAGAAAGAGGTTGTTTTCTGTCTGCAAATGAGTTTCAAAGATGAGACCCACGAAACTTGAGTACCTTTGATAGCCCTTCGGAGGCGTTCTGTAGCATCCTTTTCTACCATCTGGAGATAATGCAAATGGTGGATTCAGAGCCGCGTAGACTTAGAGGAGAAGAGGAGACAATTGTGGATGGGATATTCCCGCACCGCATCCGGGACTGCATGTCGAGACATGGTCTAAATATAGGCTCTCGAAACTCGCGTGGCCAGCTGGATTACCGCCGACGTCTTGTACGTCTGCGTCAAACCGTTTGCCATGCCCAAGGTCGTATCGCGTTCTGCTGTATCTTCGTCTGCCGATGGTACGTGACATCTACGTGATTAGAGTAATAGAAGGCTTAAACATTTGCCTCAGCTCAGCCCACCGCTTCGGCAACGGCAGCGCTCAAAGTGTACTGTGAGTTCACATGTTGTCTTCGCCACAGCACGCCCGTGGTCTAACTGGCTGTTCTCAGATTGTATATGCGGTGAATTTATCGTGAGTTATTGATGAGTCCTTGAATTGTCTACGGATAGTGTGATTCATCTTGGCATACTCGCAAAGTAGCTGGTGATTGACAAGGCACTCTCTACTCTCCCAAGACGTCAGACAGACAATGCACACATCGTTCAATGTCAAGACAATGAGTTTGGCAAGGCTAAGGTGTTCAAGCTCAATGCTCAAAACGCGGTCCCAGAACTCATAGAAAGGTGTGTAGGCCCACAGGACCTTTGGGGTCATGCACACTGACCACTCGTTCTTTTGCAGACAAGGAGGACACGAACGACAATGGAGGTTCTGTTGTCCCCGGTGCAATTTACTGGTTGCTTACCAGTCTACACCCCCGCCCATCAAGTCAGGCTCCTACTTGTATATTCCAAAGGGTGCTCTCAGCCAGGTACAAGGTCAAATCTCAAGGGAAGCTTTTGAAAGCGATGATATTGACATGGAGTAGGTAGTTTACAAATGGTATGATCGATCAGTGACCCGACTTGTGAGCTCGAGGGTCATCGATATCATCATCAGTCGATCAAGACCTGTATTGGATCATAGGCGACCTGGTAAAACATTAATGAGACATTGCCGTATGAAACAGTGCGAATCATGGCGAAAAAGAGCGGCTCAGCTACCGTTGTAGAAAAAACTCATAACGCAATCACGAAAATGAATGCGTTCATACAGTGTGAATAGAGATGTCATCAACGCCGCACAAAAGGTTGGACAGGAAACAACACATGCAGAAACAATCACTCACCTCACGCGCAGTGCACAAACCAAAGGACAGATGGGAGTGGAAGAAACAAAAAAATTGCTTGAAAGGATCGATTCGCTCTCCAACGACTTATTTGGCACTATTTATCAGTCGACTTCTCTAGGTACAAATATTCCACAACAACCACTTGGACACGTCACTCACATTTCAATTGGTGCAAGCCTTGAGCTTGATGAACGATGGGTAAAAGCTGCCACCGTAACCGAGCCCAAAAAAAACTGTGGGCACTCAGTACGTATCAAAGCAAGACACGACAACCTCAATCAGCCTTTTCCGGATCTCGGTCACGGTTTTCTTCAAGTTTCCTTGTCTACAGCGGTATGCATCATTACACATTAATGCATTCAAATTCTCGTTTCAGCCAGCTGGTATAAACTGGCATACCTCAAAAAGGACCTTCGCAAACTAATTGACAGAACGAGCATATTCAAACTACCTATAGCTACCTCGTGAAAGAGATCATTCGCGTACATGCCTTGATGAAGGGCTCTACACAGCTTGCTATCGTTTGTGCGTATAGGTTTCAATACTAAAAATCTTTACTCAAGACATCCTTTTACCCAGTCAGCTGAAGTTTCAAACGTTAAGGGGGATGAATACTTGAGTACTGAGACGCTTCATTGAGGTATGCGTTCTGGATCCGCAAGTAACTCTTTTTAAATCGGTGATTGACGCCATTCTCTTTCAAGTTCGATTGTGTTGCTAATGTCCTAGTATCATTTCAAACGACCGCATGGATGCACTCAAAGAGTGGTGGTCCCGCTTGCCCGTAGCTGCTCGTACCGAAAGAGAAAGGTCGGTGGTGAACGAAGAATCAACACTGATTATTGGAACAAGTTATTGCAACTAATTCTCAAATACAAAAACCCCGCATCGGACATGGGGCCTCCAAGTCGGCAGTCGGTCCGGGTGAGAACTACACGTCGATGGCTCAATCTGTTCAGTCTCTTACATACCAGTCCATTCGGTCCATTCCTGTTCAAGGCGTACAGCAGCGTACAGCCCGTACGCGCCGCGCACTGCCACGCGCTGATAGTAGGCGTTGATAAATCAAAGTGCGATGTCTGATATGCTTCCGAGCTCGATCACCGAACCAATGTGGTTAGATGTAGTTAGATGTGGTCGTAGATGATCCCATATACAAAGTGCCAAAGGTCGCGGAGTCTGATTTAAGATTGCAAAGGAGTTATCTCTGGTCATGATCCTGGCGCACATGCCATCGTCAAAGGAAATTGAACGGCAGGGAACGGACAAGATAATGTGCCTTTTGAGCGCCTATGAGTATCTTTTGGTGGTAGACGGTGCGCCGGTCACCGCACTTCTTTGGAAAATTTACTCGATGAGTCTACTTCAAGGACTCGCAAAGATAATCCCTACATCTTACACTATCACTCAAAAAGTCTATCTGGCAGTTGAAACATTTGCGCCCACACCGAGTCATGTAAACCGTAAACTCCTGTCAACATGTCAAGGGCCCTCAATACGTCATACCATCGCGATGGCGAAATGAGCGTGGAAATAAGACCAACGTTTGGTCAAGGTGTCGGTTCGGTTGATACGGAAGTCGGAGCGAACAGCCGCGAGGGGAGCCTGGACGAGCACGCATGCACATGGGCGAGATAGAAAATTTCGTGGACAGTTACAAACTGTCCTGCAACGTTGCCGGGAAGGCAAACACCGAGGTGGGGAAGGGCGAGGGTAGTAGGGGCCGGCCGGTTCTCTTCTCCGACAGGGTTGCCCACCAGAGTCAATGACGCGCACTGCAATATTAGCGTCCGCTAAGGTAGGAGAGCGGTAGGAGAACGGCGGATCCCATGGTCGGCGCACGTAACTGTCGGCGTAACGTCAAGTTGCAAAATCTGGCTTGCCAATTACTTTACCCTGATTAAGGATAACAATGGCCTCTTGACGACAAGGCCTCATGTTTTCAAATCAGCACTTATAAACTCTTTACATCTGGCCCGACTTCCGGGCCAGATCCTCCTTCCTCGCCCTCTTTACTCTATGTTCTTCCCTCGTCGTCCTTCGTCTCCGCCGCCTCCGTCGCGGTCGCCCAACCTCGTGCCGGTCTCTCTTCCCTCTCCTCCCCATTTCTCAAATAAGCTATCCAAATCACCGTCAGCGGCCAAAATGCCTCTACCCGACTCGGGTCCTACCCCTCTCAGTCCTATCGGCGTCCGACTCATTCAGCTGAGAACAACGCGCTCCCAGGATAGGCTTCGTAGTAAGCCAAAAGCCAGCACGCTTTCTCCGAACGCGCAGCCCAGCGAGCGCGAAGGTCGGATCCCCCGTAAATCTGTCTCCACCTCAAACTTGAAGCTGTCGCCATCTAGCGCACGAACGCGTCGCGTGCCAAGCCTGAGCCCATCTCGGTGCCGTTCCCCGCCTCCTTCACCATCTATTGCATCCCCTCCTCCCCCAGTGCCTCCCATCCCAGCATTCTTGCGCAATGTCACAGAGAAGCGAACCGCTATTCCCCCAACGCGAAGCCCCCGCCCATCGCCTAGACATTCTTCCTCTGCCTGCTCTAACAACACCATCCTTGACCTCTATCTTAACCGTGACGAACCCCTCGAGGCTTGCAAGCAAGGATCTCAGGCTGGCGCCGTTACTTGCATGCAGTTTTTCGCGATTCATAATCCCGAGTATGAGGTCAAGGCATGAAATCAGCATTGAACGCACGAGTAACTTCAGGCTTCACCTTAAATCGACTCACTCGACGAAGCACGCACAGCATATTGCCTCTGACGCATGATCAGATGAATCAAAATGGATGATAGTCGTCTGGTTTCGACGTACACGGCTGAAATCAATCCTCTACCTATGCGCATGGACTTTCACAACTCTTCATTTCGGACCTACACATTATTCTTCCTCTATATTAATGACTGACGTACCATACTCTTTTTGCTCCCGCTATAGCTAGTCCGTATTGCATCTCGTCATCGCCTTCCTTTCCTTCGTATCATATTTCCTTTACCGCATACCTTATCGACGCCACTGTACCATCAGTCGCCACCATGCATCTTCGCTGTTATACTCCGTTACTCTCTATATAGTAGCACTCATACTTACAGTATAGCCACTCAGTAATCATGTTGTGCAATACATAAATTTACTCAGTACCACGTAGACACGTTGGCAATCTTTGAGGGGTTTTAGAAAATGTTACATCGGATCCGAACACAGGACCTACTGGCCGAGAATATCAGATCTTGAGCTTGAATATTTGAATGTTAGGCGCCAACTAATGTTACAAATTATCAAAGGACTGCACTATGAGATAGGCTACAGCGTTACCCGGGGTCTTGACTCTTGATCAATATTAATCGATAATCGTTCAAAGCACAACATGATGCAGTGCCAAGTCGCAAACCCCATCCTGAACATGACAAATATGTAGAATCACTTGTGGTGAAAATCGGCTTCGAGTTTTAGCGGATATTCTGGCGTGCATGAATACTAATAGCTAAGAGCGAAGCTTGAAGATGCATGTACATTGCGATATACAGTATTCGAAGTAGCAGCTAGCGATGATCAAACGGCAAGAAAAAAAGCTCGGCGTCAAATAACATCAGAAATGAGGGCATGATCAAAGATACCTGCCTGATGCACCACCAATGATGCAAATGGGGAAGTACACACATGTGAATGTCAGGAAATCAGAGTCCCATTCTCTCCGCCAACGTCCGGTCGTGTGCGCTGGTGCCATATGCGTGTGCACCCGTAGCACCATGCCCGCGCGCCCTACGGCTGTTGCCGCCGCTGCCTCCACCACTACCGCCGCCACCATTCCGTCGTGAAAACCGATCCCTGTCGCGATCCTTGTCCCGCTCCCGCTCCCTCTCACGTGTCCTGTTCTTCTCACGATACCGGTCACTTCCTCGGTCTGTTGGCGAGCGTGGGCGCGTCCTCGCGTCCTCGTCAACGTCCATCTTCCCATGGCTTATTTTACTACGAGAGTCAACACGGGGCGAGCGCGAAAGATCTCGCTCCACTGGACGAGAAGTAGGTGCACTCGAATGCGTCGGCGAGACACGAGGGTCGGATAGACGAGGTTTCTTGTGTGCACGAGGACCGGTAGGAGGCAACTTCGTTTGCCCATTGGCATTGACGATGGCAGAGTGACTAGGACCATGATAACTTTCTCGGCTTGAAGTGTAGGCGTGTGTGGTAGGGGCAGTCCGCCTCTGGAATGTCTCATATGTCTTCTCAAGCTCTGATCTGCAAAAGACGGGTGATAGTCAACTTCCATGAGTTGCGAAGACTAGCGATTGAACTACATACGATAGAGATGTGATGACCGAATGTGATTCTAGAGACCTATCTGTGAAATTTGTTAACGGGCCGTCTGGGACGACGTACCTCGCAGTGCAGTTTCCAGCTTCGTAACGACATGGCGTAGCCCTTGTACCTCTTCCTTCAGCCTCCCAGTCTCTCCATGCCTGAGCAAGTCGTAAAGTTCATTGTTCTCGTCCTGGAGAAGTTGCACACGCTGGGTGAGCGCTGCATTCACCGTACTTGACCCTGCAGTGGGGGTAGCCCCCTTCGAAGCGTTTGAAATATAGGGGAGGAGCATTGTCATAAGTGCTGAAGGGAGCATAGCGGAGGTGCTTGTCTGTAATTCAGGCTGTGCGGCAGGCTGTTGGCGCAGCCATGACAGCTCTTTCTGAGGCAGAGGGGGAAGTCAGCACACGACGGACATTCTCATTAGGTGTGAATTGACCGACCGCCAGCTGAGATACTTGAGCATCGCGTTCGCGTAGGGCTGCCTCTAGTTCCACCTCCCTAGGCGAGGGCAGATTCATGGCGTGTCGGACAAGCGTGAACGAACCAGGTCGGCGTCTGCCGGCGTCTAGGAGGCTGCACTGGGGCGTGAGGTCGACGAGGCGCGCCGCCACTGAATCCAGACACAGCTTTAGTCATATGCTCTCCGACCCGCACGAGCCTCTATTGATCACTTGTCGACTTGGTCGCAGCTTAGCGCTAGCACTCCCCCTCGGAGCAAAAACCAACACATGTAAGTTACAGGTTCCAAGGGTCTTGAAGCTCAGCTGAGCATATGTATCATTAGCTCTCACTGCTTCTTTTGAATGGGTTTACCCTCACAGAGCTAGCCCTACCCCATCCTGCGATACTGCTGCACAACAGTGCTGCACACTCCACGATGGTGATATCGATACTATCTTGCGTCGGCCGTTTTGAAGTCTTGATTTTTGTACACCAGCCAAAGAGGATAATTTTGAATCTACCTTGACAAAAGGACTCGCTGCGCCTGCCCGACGCCCGCAGCCAGCTGAGGATGCACCAGGAACGAGTCCTTGTGCTACATGTCAAGCTAATAATACATCACACAGAAAACCCTTGCTTATCGATGCTCAGAATATAGCACAAGTCAGTTGCAAGCGAGGTGCGCCGATCAACGGATTTTACAGACAATATTCAGTGGGCCTACTCAAAACCAGGCTATATATTAAGAGGTCGATAGAACTGCGTCCTGACTAGGCGTGTGCCAATAGCGGGAGCTAATACGCAGAGGCAACTTTAGAGTCTCTCCATCGGTTCAGCGAGACCGCGCTGCATCATGTATCGTGCTCTGCGAGAGGATGCAGAGAAGCTTGTGGACGTCTTGACATTCTGACACAAAAGATAAAAGGGGAAAGACCGCCAGGGACAGGCCGTTCTTGAGGCCGACAAAGTACTTGTCACGAGTCCTCGCGCCCTCATCTACTTACTAACCTGCGCCTCAGACGTCCCACAACTGTCCCACACCCACACTATCCCACATGTCACACGTCCCCAGGACTTGTTCTACCCATCTCTCATGAGCTCACATGTCCAGGTCATATTCTTTGGACCCTGTCAATGCTGGCAAGATGATGCTGCGAGACATATGAACGTGGCTATTTATGAAACTGAGACTTGCGTATATATAGACGCTCACAGAAATGCGTCGCCTCCATTCTTCAGCCGGCGGCGATGGGTCTTTTCCAGTTTCTCTCGTGTGCCTCCTTGGCACTCTTCGCGTCCAATGTCGGTGCTGTCTCCTGGACCGCTGACCCGGTAAACCCGTCATCCATCCCTCTTGCCGTCCGTACTCCGTACCTCTCGGCATGGCTTCCCCAAGGTGCCGGGGCTGCCCTCGGCGGTACATGGCCGCAATTCTGGACTGGCACTGTACGTTCAGCGTATGTAGCTTATGTCCACGATCTGATCAATCCATTTCGCTGTAGACCCTCGGGTGGGCTGGTTATGTTCGCGTCGATGGCATCACCTATACCTTCCTTGGCGCCCCCGACGTTCCTAATCTGAGCCCCGCTTTAGCAACTCAGAAAAGCATGACAGTACGCGTGGCGACGAGCCCTACAGCGCTACAATCCACTAATGCCTTTCGTAGTACACCGCGACTCAGTCTACCTTTGTGATGAGTGCTGGTCCTATTGACCTCACTGTCAACTTTCTCAGTCCTGTCGAGGTATGCAGGTGTACTTAGTTGCTAGGTAAACGCGTCCTTCTGATGGTAGCACAGCCCAACGACCTCGTCAAGCAGTCTACTCCGTTCTCGTATATGGCCATCTCGGCCGTTTCGAACGACGGAAACACCCATGCCGTCACCCTATACTCCGACATCAGCGCAGAGTGGGCTTCTGGCGACCTGTCACAGGCTGTCAACTGGACCTCCACCACGTCCGGGGATGTCTGGACCCACCAGGTTATGCCCGAGGACCAGCAGATCTACGGCGAGTACGACGACCACACCCAGTACGGAGCTGCCTATTATTCCACCCAGAGTGTAAGTGCTATGGCCCGCAGTCGAGCATCTATTCACACGATCTTCAGTCCACTGGCGCCACCTATCAGACCGGAGAGGATACCGTCGTTCGCGCTCAGTTCATCAACAACGGCGTACTTGCTAACACCGAAGACACCAACTTCCGCGCCGTCAGTGATGATTGGCCTGTCTTCGCCTTTGCTCATGATCTTGGCACCGTTGGCACAACCGCTACTGCTGAAGTCCTTTACACTGTTGGTCATGTCCGCGATCCTGCCATCCAGTACATAGTTGCCGGCGACAACTTCCAAGGCCGTAGTATCTACATGTGGACTCAGTACTCAACTGTTGCCGATGCTGTGAGTATTATCGTGATAAAACCTAATGAGTGAACTCAGAAGCAACAGATTTCGGACTTCGTCGGCAGCTACTCGACTGCTCTCTCTGATGCCAACACTTTCGACGCCAAGGTGAAGAGTGATGCCACCGCAATCTCGGACAACTACTACGCTATTGTTGCTCTCTCCGTTCGTCAGGCCTTCGGTGCCACTGAACTTACGACCTCCAAAGCCTCTGATGGTTCATGGAACACCACCGACATCCTCATGTTTTTGAAGGAAATTTCTTCGGATGGTGTGAGTTTACATCCTATCTCTACGTGCATAGATTCTAAAGGATGATCAGAACGTCAACACTGTTGACGTCATCATGCCTGCTTGGCCCGTCCTTCTTTACACTAACCCCACGCTCGGCAAGTACCTGCTACTCGGCTTATTCGAGTACCAAGCCACCGGCATGTATCCTAACCAGTGGGCTGCACACGATCTTGGTGCATCGTACCCCAACGCTACTGGACACAACGATGGGAACGACGAAAAGATGCCTCTTGAGGAGTGCGGTAACATGCTCATCATGACCCTTAGTTACACACAGAAAGCCAATGACCAGTCCCTAATCTCAAGCTATGTGAGTGGCAAGTTAGCCTTGCCATCTTGAAGAAAAGGCATGACATTTGCGCAGACTCAGCTACTGGAGCAGTGGACTGGTTACCTCGTCCAAGAAGCCCTCATCCCTGCGAATCAAATATCCACTGATGACTTTGCTGGCTCGCTTGCCAACCAAACCAATCTCGCCATCAAGGGCACCGTTGGCATTCAAGCTATGTCCGTTATTGAGGGCATGCTCGGAAACACTGCTCAGCAGCAAAACTACAGCGTATGTCACCGTCAGATCGCCTCCTCAAACGTGCATTGATCCATTGCGATAGTCGATTGCTACGAGCTACGCTCCTCAAATTTTGCAATTCGCGACCGCCAATGGTCACCTTGAGCTCAACTACAACAACGCCACAAGCTGGGGTCTTTCTTATAATCTCTACGCTGACAAACTTCTCGGCACAAATGTTTTCAATCAGTCTGTTTACGAGATGCGTAGGTGCCCTCGGCTCGTCAGTCCTCACAGCGCTGAGATGATTGGTTTACAGAGACTGCTTGGTACAAAACTGTAGTTAACCAATACGGCGTACCTCTTGACACCCGCCACACCTACACCAAGTCTGATTGGCAGATGTGGACTGCCGCTTTCATGACCGATGACTCCGTCAGAGACTCATTCATCGACTCCGTCTACGCCTTTATTGGCGATGGCGAGAATAACATGCCCTTCAGTGACTGGTATGATACGCTGACTGGTGTTAGTGATGGCTTCCGTGCCCGCCCTGTTGTCGGTGGCCATTTGGCTTTGGTGCGTCCCTATACCCCGTCACCATCAATGGCGATGCTAACTTACAGCTCAGCTTGCCCTCTGAGTCCCACTAGTAACTAGTGTTGCCGCATTTGGCGAACTGGCTGGAACCAAGCCGAAGAAACTTGCACTTGCACTTGTCATCGGTCCAGATCACACACCTCGTCGCTGCATAGAGACTAAAACTCCGAAGGTTAACACTTGCTTGGTCGGTATTGTGGCAAGACAGTGTGTTTCAAGGAGTCGGTTTGAGCTGGTTTCTCGAACCGCGGCAACACTAGTAGTGGCTAGAGACGTATGTACTGGTATACTTTCGGACGTTTTCAACTTTCGTGTAATTATCTCTTCAAGCTTTGTACAGGGGAAATTAGGCATATGCATATCAGAGTTTGACCCTTATGGATGAACATGGCGATCTCGGCATAAACTCGCACTCAAAAATACATCTGTACGTAGCCGAGGGATCTTCGATTAAATTCCTCGTGACGTCATGTACGTCAAAGTTCTAGAATTTGATCGCGAATACAATGAACAAACAGATCTAGGCAGACAGAGGCCGATTGAAGACCGATCCAAGACGCGCCAATGGAATTGATCGAAGCTGGGCAATATATTTTAGTACAGCCCATGGCAAGACTAGATGTCTCTCGCCTTTGCCTTCATGCTCAAACGATCCCGAAGCCAAAGTCCCGTTCTATTCTCCAAGAACACCAAGCAGAGGATGTCAACTTCGACTTTTAATCCACGCAAAATTGCCACCCCGGAGAGCGGAGCCGCTGCTCAGCAGAACTTGCCCTACATCCAACTTGTTGACGAGCTTAAACAGCCCGTGAAGAACCCAAAGAAGGGGCGTTCAGTCGTACACTGGATGCGCATGTGTGATTTGCGTCGTGGGTACTGATAAGTTATGCATGTGCTTTTGTTGACGCGGGGCGTACTAGTCGTTGATAACAGGGCCCTTTCTCGCGCTTCTATCGAGGCCAAAGAAAATAACATACCTCTCGTCATTCTTTTTGTGGTTAGCCCTCAGGACTATATTGCCCATGACAGGAGTGCTCGCAGAATAGACTTTACCCTCCGCAACTTGGAGGTCTTGAAAGTGAGTACTCAACTATCGTTCAGTCTCACTGGTGCTTACCCGCGTGTAGACCTCATTGAACGAGATGAACATTCCACTTTATGCCATCACCCATTCACCACGCACTTCATTGCCAGAGCGCGTCATTTCTTTTGTGCAGTCGGTTGATGCAACCTGTCTGTTTGCCAATATGGAATACGAGGTTGACGAACTCCGACGAGACATCAAAGTATGTCAGTTGGCCAAGACGAACAATATCAAGACAACTTTCTTCCATGACAAGTGCATAGCCGAGCCTGGGCTCTGTATGACCAAAGACGGCAGAGCGTACACGGTGAGATATTGGCTTTGCCAAGCTTACGAATGTCACTGTAGCTCATCATCAATTTAGGTGTACTCACCATACCAGCGGTTATGGTCTACAATTGTTAACGGTAATTTGGACACATACATGCGCGAGGCACCACCTATTGCTGCAAACTCTGCCGAGGTCATGAAGGATCCAACCTTATCGCCACTGTTTGAGCAACCGATTCCCGAGTTTGTGGGCGGGTTCAAATTAGAAACCAACAATAAGGATGTGATGACGAGGGTTTGGCCCGCGGGTCATGACGCAGCGAAGGAGGTAGTCGGATCCAACACCCTATTGGCAAATAACTAATTGCACGGTCCAGGTCTTATCTCGGTTCCTGCGTACCAAAGCTCGTGCATCTCAACTAGGGGAAGTTGACCCGCTCCTAGAAGGGGCAGAAGAATCCGATAGAAAGAGCAGGCTGAAGGAATACGGCAACGCTCGTGACCGAGTGGACAAAGATACCACCTCCCGCCTGAGTGCTTACCTGGCCGCTGGCGTCATCTCTCCGCGTGAATGCGTCAGAGCGACCATGGAGCTGCAAAAGGCTGGCAAAGTTGACACATCACGAGAGAATGGCATAGGTAGATGGGTGCAGGAAATTGGTGCGTACTTTGTTGAAGTGCATTAACTGAGTGAAACTGATAAACCTTTAGCTTGGAGAGATTTTTACGTTAGCGTACTTGCTTACTATCCCCGTGTGTCGATGGGGAGACCATTCCAAGAGAAGATGGCGAATGTCGTGTGGGAGAACAACGAAGAACACCTCAAAGCGTGGCAAGAGGGCAAAACTGGAGTTCCGATCGTTGACGCAGCAATGCGGCAGTTGAACTCGATGGGTTAGTGAATCGCTCCCTAAACGTATTTTCTCCTACATTCAGCCTGCAGGTTGGATGCATAACAGAATGCGGATGACTGTTGCCATGTTTTTGTCCAAGGATCTCATGCTTGACTGGCGCCTTGGTGAAAGAGTAAGTCGCGTGTCCGTCGAAATGCATAAACCTGACACCAGAAATAGTATTTTATGCAAAACCTTATCGACGGAGACTTAGCATCCAATAATGGCGGATGGCAGTGGAGTGCATCAACGGGAGTGGACCCTGCGCCTTATTTCCGTCTCTTTAACCCGTATAATCAAAGCACCAAGGGCGATCCCAATGGAGAGTATATTCGGCACTTTGTGCCAGAGCTGAAAAATGTATGGGGCCCAGGTATATGTGACAGCCATCATAGACGAAGAAAATGTGACTGACAACAAGCAGATATCCACAACCCGCCCGCGAAGCTCGCAGAGAAACTTGGTTACCCGCTTCCTATCGTAAAACACCACGAGGTCAGAGAACGAGCTTTAAGAAGATATAAGAACCCCGGCAAGGAGTAAACGGAAGCTGCGAAACACAGTCCGGAGGCGATGAGATTCTGTAATCACGTACATACTAGGGATCCTGTATTTTACAGCACGAGTAACGAAGAACCTTTTTGTTGTGATCAGTCCATGTCAAAGTCGTCATCATCATGCGTGGCTTGAAGTTTGCCCGGTCTGCTTGAGGAAGATACATTATATGTGATATTGGACTCGAATTGATTCGCCTTTTTCAAGGCACCTTTGGCAGTTGATTAGAGTGACGAGTGACCAATTGGATGAAGACGTACCGCTGTTGGACAACCTAAGTTCCAGGGCAGCCGTCTCAAAGGCATCAACGTTCCCGAGCTCTTCGAAGCCTACGAGTCTTCAAATTGTAAGTTTGTATTTCAGCTTTGTGATAAAGCTCGGATCCATACTTGTCCTTGGACACCCCGTCAATGAAACACATAACACAAGGGAGAACTTTGATGCCCAATCTTTCCACCAGGAAAGGGACATTCTCTACGAAGACGCGTATGAAACGCGTATTGAAGTATTTTGGTGCTAATTTCTGGTAACTGATCAGTTTCGTTGATTCTGGAATCATCGTCAAACCATGCTTACGGCCAGATGTTTGTCCATGATTTCACATCTGCGGAAATTCGAATGGTAGAAGTGTATCACACATCGTGGCTCATTCCTACATGATCTGTGAGTACACTACGCGTGCGACTAGGCACGGGCACTCACGCACTTATTTGTATAACCTCCTTCTCGTTCGTGATCTCAACGTAACGGCCATGCGCACTCTGCTGCATTTCCTTGACCTTTTCCAACCTTCGAATCAACTCAGCAAAGGGGCACAGATCCGCTGGAAAGGGTGTTACTCTTTCTTCACATATGCATAGCCTTTCTCTCTGACCCCGGGGTCGTCGTCGTTCTCAATTTCAGCCTCGAGCTCTGCGAAGATGGCATCGTCATCCTCTTCATCACGGACGGATTGGACGATTCTCGAAGCCAGATTTTCCGCCTTTGCCTGAGAGCTAACAACTGCATAGTGAGCCAAGATGAAACTGAAAAGAGCGATGTTGGGATTTACCTTGCCATCTTATTGCAGTGTGAAAGCAGAATGCGTACCAAGTTTGAGAGTGTGAATTTCACGCGGAATACGCGAGAACACAGACGTTCGCACACCTGATCAGCTGGAACCGGCGGGACCTGATCAGGACGAGATCTCCTATTTGGGTCACACTCAGTAGCTCACCCGTTTTGACAGTGAAGTCATTGCATCATGAAGCTCATCGGTAAAGGCGTCGACAAGGAAGGAACAGTCAGTGCAGGTCCTAAATGGAAGGGAAATAGCATCTAACTTTGCACAGGGACATGTCACTTTGCGTCCTGAGGATGATGAAGACATGTGGCATCTTTACAACCTCATACAAGAGGGGGATAACGTCAGGGCACCAGCCATTCGGTCAGTTCAATGTGTATGAGACCTCCTTCCTTAACTTTACAACTTGCTTTGCATTCTGTGTAGACGAGTGCAGAATATCTCGTCCACAGGATCTACTGAGTCGAAGCGTGTCCGGCTCAACCTCACTCTAGCTGTCACTCGCACCGAATTCTCTTCCTCAGGCGCTGCATCTACCGAGGCAGCCACATCGGGGACAGGGGCCGCTCAAGCAGGTCCACCGACTTCCACGACGTTACATATCACGGGAACTGTAACATCCGAGAACCCTCATGTGCGGATGGGCGCATTTCACACCCTCGACATTGAAAGCCATCGTGATGTTCGCATTGAGAAGTTCCAAAGTTGGGACAGCGTCGCACTTGGCCGTGTAGAAGAGGCATGCGTTCCAGGAAGAGGGGCTGAAGTGGGAGCTGTGGTATGCGGTGAAGGCACAGCAGCTTTCTGTCTCCTGTCTGAACATCTTACCGTCGTGGCCCACCGCATATCAGTCCCCATACCGCGCAAGGCGTCTGCTCCTGGTACCCAGCAACATGAAAAGGCGATGACAAAGTTCTACGCTACGCTTTTTGAAGCCTTCATCCGGCATATACCTTACGCATCTCCCAGCATACGAGCCATCGTACTAGCGAGTCCTGGTTGGGTGCGAGACAGTGTGTACGATTGGATGCTGGGAGAAGCAAGTCGCAGAGGAGATAAGACTCTCGCCAGAACATTGCGGGAAAAGACGCTGCGGATTCATGTGAGCAGCCCACACGTTCATAGCCTCATGGAAGTTTTGAAAAGCCCAGAGGTACCGTGCTTCTGCATCCTGCATCAAGGAAGCTTTGACACACCCTTAGATCAACTCACAATTGAAAGAGACAAAGTTTGCCCGCGAAGGGGTAGTCTTAGACAAGTTTGTCGCTTCTTGGCTACATAGTGTCGAATCCATATAACGTTTGCGCATCCTGACAGATTTTTCAAAATGCTCGGAGTGGACGAGATGCGAGCATGGTATGGGCCCGATCATGTTTGTCTCGCGGCAGAACGTGGTGCAATTGGTACACTTCTGATCTCTGACGAGTTATTCCGGTAAATATTTTTATTTTCTTCCTTTCAGTCGAAAAAAGTAACACACGCACAGAGCAAGTGACCCAGCAATAAGGAAGAAATATGTTGCTGTCACTGAGGGCATAAGGCAGAAGGGTGGCGAAGTTGTTATCTTTTCTAGTATGCACGAGTCGGGACAGCGTGAGTACAACTCTGTGGATTTGCGACCCATGATCATTTCCTTCTCGTTGTAGAGCTTAACCAGCTTTCGGGTATCGCTGCCATCCTCACTTTCCCATTGGACGTGGAAGTTGTCGAAGCCGAGGAACGGGAAGCAAAGGAGGAGGAAGAGAGGCTACAGCAGGCAAGGATAGATGGTGGAGGATAGAGTTTTATCAGGTGGCATTTCAACCGTGTTTGCCTACTCCAACAGCAACACTTACCTGACGTCTTCCTTAGAAATTCATGGAGAACGAGTGTCAATATATTGATGTACAAGAGCGGAAGGGCTACAGCACTGTTTTACTGGGACAAAACTCGCTCTTCATACGCCTCCCACCCTGCTGTCCTATAGCGCCCAGCCTGGTTTCGCACCTCTTGGATATCGAGGTTTTTAGGACTTCCGTATACACCACGTCCAACGATGATGATATCGCACCCGCTCTTGAGTATCACTTCCCGAGGCGTGCGATATTGCTGCCCCATAGCGTCCCCTTTACTTTCAAGACCAACGCCTGGGGCCAGCACCAGAAAGTCGTCTTCGCCTGCTGTTTCACATGTCGTGAGACCAACCGTCTCCATTCTTCTTTGAGCAATGAACCCCATGACGAAGTTGGGGTTCGCACGAGCCATACGAGCTGCCTCTTCTGTGTAAGAGCCAGTGGCTAGGGAGCCATTGGAGCTCATCTCTGCCAGAAGTAGGAGACCTCGCCCCAGGGGTAGACCCACAGAGGCCAGGCCAGTGATGATGGAAGGGCCAGGAACGGTATGTGCGTTTGTAATGTGTGCCCAGCTAGCGATCTTGTACACGCCACTGGAGTACTGTAGAGCGACAGTGTTACCTTGAATACACATCAATGCCTGTGTGTGACCGTGAAAGGGATATCGAACCGATGTCTGCAAACTTCCTGTCCTCGAAAATCAAGAAATCATGTTTTTGACTAAGAGCCTGCAGTTTCTGGATGAGACCGGGCGTGAAATCCTCAATGATGTCGATATGAGTCTTGATACCGGAAAAGAATAAGCATCAAGCTAAAGGTAAAAAGACGAGTGAAGGTTGCCTTGATTAGACAGACATATGGCCCGACAGCGTCAATGATTGCGAGGAAATCATCAGCAGAGGTGACGTCGACGCTGACAGAAAGGTTTGACTTTTTGCGGACGACAGTCTCAAGGAGAAGCCTTGCTGCGGCATTGGGGTGATTTTGAGCTCGGTAAGCGTATGTGCGGAGGTGAGGGCTTGACATGTTCTACTAGTAGAGATAAAACATTAATGAATATCACTTAAGATTGATATAGAGTTGTCTATAGATATAAGATGAGTCCATAAATGAAGGGCGCCTAATCCAAACGCGACTTGCCTTTTTATCTCATGGCCTCCGTTAACAAACGCGACAATGACGATCTCAGCCAACCGCCCTCTCCCAAACGTGTCAGAGTCGACGAATCAGTTGCAGAAGACAAGGCGCATGATAGCCCGCAGACGCTGGACAGCATACTTCCTCCAAGTCACGCTCTTCTAGGTCTTCCACCCACAGGAGACGCACTCGGTGTTCAGGTCTCGGAGAAGGATGTTGGCATATCCGAGTACATTGGACACGACGTCGCTCCAATTCATGCAATTATCAAGCAAAGGTATGCATATTAGAAATTCAGTCTTTTCACCATGTTGAATTGTACATTCCTCTAGGTTTACGGACTTCCTGGTGTATGAGGTGGATTTGGACCATGAGGTCGTCCACTTGAAGTCGCTTGCAATGCCATCTTCAGCCAAAAAGGTTGGTGCAGAGAGTGAACCTGCCGTGGCGACGTCTGACGTGAAAACCGAGGGGACACACAGGTACGGGCTATGGTTTACCAGTGATTTTGTTTTAATATTCCTTTATAGCGAGGTCGTTCCCGCAAACGCAACCAAAGCAAGCGAAGCGCTAACTGTACAAGAAGTGCTTGCTGAAGAAGACGTGAAGGAGAAGGAAGATATCCCTGAAGACGAGAATCCCTCATGGAAAGCCACTTATGCGGAGAACTTGGCCCGTTTCCTCTCTGACGAGTCTATCGGTCAACTCAAACAAATGTACGAGGAAGGTCCTGAGCCTCCTCGGATTAGTGACAATGGATGGGTGACCAGGCCCGCTCAGGTGGCTGATGTTGAAGGGCCTGCACGGCCCGTAGATGCTCCCGCAGAGAGCGCAGAAGCGGAAGCGCCAAGTTCCCGAGGAAAGCGAAGTGGAGACCGTGGTCGAGGTCGTGGACGCGGCCGCGGCGGTCGGGATAAGAGGGGTGGGCAAACTAGGGAAGACCCTCGTAAAATCGTTAGCAAGGTCAGCCTCGAGCCTGAAAGTCCCGTATGCAATCTAACGTCCTATCTTTATTAGCCGATGGATGACAAAGCAGAGCGTACAGCTTTGCATAAAGCCATTCGTGAACTATTCGGTGGCAAGTTGGAGAGTCAGACCGACACGACGTCCAACGATGATGAAGGCTCTCGTATTATGATTAAGTGGGCACGAGTGGGTGGCGGTGGTGCTCGGGGTGGTGCCCGCACTGGTAGGTGCAGTATGCGTCCGATCATCTTTTCTTATCATCGTTATAGCCAGGGGTGAGCGCGGCGCGCGTGGAGATTATCCTCCGTACATCCATTTTACCCTCCAAAAGACCAATCGCGATACTCAAGATGCGCTAGCCTACATCTCACGGACCATACATTGCAATGTTAAAGACCTTTCTGTCGCGGGTACCAAGGATAAACGAGGCGTAACCGTTCAGCGCGTTTCCTTGCGACGCGGTAACAGGTCCGTAGAAGATATCTGGAAGGCGGCTCATCAACTCGGCCGGCGGTCAATGGAGGAGGTTCTTTCACAGCGTGGCGAGCGAGGTGTCAGGATTGCGGACTTGAACTACCGAAAAGCTGGCCTTGAGCTTGGCATGCTGAAAGGTAATGCTTTTGTCATTACTTTGCGGTAAGGTCCTGTGGCACAGAAAGCACAATGACTAATCTTCAAGTAGGGGCGTGCAAGTTGATTCTATGGAGACCATTGACAAGTCACTGAGTGTTCTTAAGCACAAAGGTTTCATTAACTACTATGGTGAGCTAATCGTTAAGAGAACGTATCGGGAAGGTTAATTTCGGTCAGGTATGCAGAGGTTTGGCACCGCTGCGGTGCCCACCCACTCCATTGGCCTAGCATTTCTAAAGTCAGATTGGCATAAAGCGGTGTCCCTGATTTTGCAAAAGAGACCAGGCGAACATCCCGACGTAGAGGCAGCTCGCGATGCATGGCTCACAGATGGTGACTTGGATCGAGCACTTGCATTGATGCCGAGACGAGTTGTTGCAGAGCGTTGCGTTCTTGAAAGCTTCAAAAAGCAGAAGGGTGATACTCGTAACGCGATGGGAGCTTTGTCAACTGTCAGTAAGCGTGTCACCACCTTGAAATTACCGTTGACAAGGATATTCCAGATTCCTCGCAATCTGCGCCTGATGTACATCCACGCATATCAATCTTATGTTTGGAATGCCATAGTATCAGAACGCATCCGAATTCATGGCTGCGACAAACCGGTGCCCGGAGATTTGGTGTTCACGGCTGAAGGCGGCAAAGTCTTGGAGTCAGAGGGCGAAGGTGACGAAATGCGAGTAGACGAGGACCTTGCAGCGGATCAAACCAAAGAGCCTGGTAAGAAAGTCATTTGTGAGTCCAAAGCATGAATGCTAAGAAAGAAACAGCTAGCTCGCGTGAACGCAAACGGGCGGCCCGCGCAAAATGGGAGCCACCAAGTGTGAAAACTCTCACAGAAAGCGATGTCGACCAGTACTCCATCTTCGATGTGATCATGCCGTTGCCTGGACGAGATGTCTCGTACCCAGGGGGTAAGCTGGGTGATCGCTACCGTGAATTTCTAGTAGCAGATGGGCTGGACCCTGACAACTTTATCAGGAAGCAGAAGTAAGTCAACCTCAGGAACCATTGGACGAGTCTCTTAAAACTCCGATGCAGAGAGTACACGCTCAATGGATCCTACCGCAAAATTCTTCAACTGCCGAAAGATATTTCTTGGTCTGTCCTTAAGTACACGGATCCAGACGTCCCCCTCGCTCAGGCGGACGAAGACGCTCTTCTCGGGTTTGATGCGCCAGCGGTGGATGAGAACGGCAAGTTCCTTGCTTTGCAAGTGAGACTGACACTGGGCACGGCTGCGTATGCAACGATGGCCTTGCGAGAAGTCACCAAAATGGACACAAGCTCTCACTTCCAGAGTGGACTCACATTAGCTTCAGAGGATCAGAAGTTCCGTGGCCTAGGCGACGATGATGAGGCTACCAAAAAGGATCTTACCGGGGATGTGGATTTATCTGAGCCTTAGGTGACTCCATTGATTTACCTGTGGATTACCGGTCCTTGGTACTTCAATCCTTGTAAAACAAAGTAGCAGACAAGCATCGCGGACAATATATGTGGATTTGTCCTTGGGTACTTTGCATATTGTAATGATGCATAGATGTGCATATGTTGAAGTACTTTAGTCTGAAGGCAAGGACGCCATTCATTATTCGGCGTACTTGCGGCGCCCGCGGCCGACGTTGACCCGTTGTTGCTGCGATGAGGCAGCAACACAAACAGTCCTCTCGCACTGACCCTTGCTTGGCTAGTTACTCACGTCGACGTATCCGGTACACCTGAGCTTGCTATCATCCAGTTCTTCGAGGCAGCACCATGGCCAGGGTCGAAACCGTCGTGTTCCTATCCCTTGTACTTGACCTGTTTGGTGCGACCACTGCAGTTATGACCAGTCCCACAACTAACACAGGCTTTAGCTTTTACCATCCCCTTGCCCTTATTTCCACGAATCATCGAGTGGTATACTGTGGTACGTTAACAACAACTATCGCATGTTTCTAGTTCTTTGACAAGGCGCTCTAATCTACAGAGGGAGAGTTCTATCCCGGATGGATTTCTATCGCGAACACTCCAACTCGTGTCTGCTATTCGTGGTCTTTTCTATCATTCGGCGCAGAATTCGCAGAGATGGGACGTTGTCCTCCTTGGTGTGTGATATTCTCACAGAGCCTTCGTTCGTCTGACGACATGCATTGCTCAGGGGGTCTGATGGGATCCGTATTCTCGTACGTTCACTAGCATTGTCACTTTTGCCCGCTAACCAATGGTGGATCTTGCGTTTGCCACTATTACACTTTCGTTTTAGCACGCTCCAATTTCTAGTCTCCCCAAAGATTGGCTCATTATCCGACAAATATGGACGTAGGTTTGTCCTTCTGGTCACGATGGCGGGAAACATCTTGTCAGCCATGGTGTGAGTAAATGTCCTCCAAACTTGCACCTGCTAACTTAGATGCATTATCTGCTACAGATGGATCAAATCAACTACGTTTGCCTCTTATATGCTGTCCCGTGTCATTGGAGGACTTAGCGAAGGAAACGTCCAGCTCGCCACGTACGTACTAAACTCTTAAGGGCGAGCCTTTCTGATGTGACTCTTAGCGCCATCCTATCAGATGTCACCACACCGGCGGAACGATCTAAAGCGCTAGCCCACGTTGGGATTGCATTTGCTATCTGTTTTTGCATAGGTCCACCCATTGGAGCGTACTTCGCATCTAAACCAGTCCCGCAGGCTGTTAACGCGTGGGGCTATGAACTTAACTTGTATGCTGTTCCAGCGACGCTCACACTTGTGCTACTCATCGCCGAAACGTTGTTTCTGGCTGTCGCACTCCCCGAAACACGGGGTCACAAGGCCGGGCGGAAATCAGAACAGAAGGCTGATATCGCCAACTTGCGACCGCTCATTAAACAAAGCAAGGAGAAACGACTCCAGCTCCTTCAGACTCTGCGCCGCCTGCACTTTCTTTTCCTGGGCATATTCTCCGGTGTTGAGTTCACATTGACCTTCCTTACTTTCGACCGTGCGTACCCTCGACGTCATAGGTGAACGCTTTTGATTGACATGCACTAATAAATATAGTCTTCGACTGGAATAACAAGCAGAACGGCGCCCTCATCGGATCGATAGGTATTATTAGTGCCTTACTCCAAGGAGGCTATGTGCGCCGGTCAACCAGCAAGATCGGCGAGGGTGCCATGGCCAAGCGTGGTATCGTCAGCTGCGCCCTGAGCTTGGTCCTCCTTGGTCTCCTTCCTCGATTTGTGACAACACAGCCCGCTGTGGCCATGCGGCTGCTTCAGGGGGCGGCTATCTGCCTCGCATTCACGTCTGCAACGGTGGTCAACTCGCTGACCTCGTATGCTTCGTTGCAATGTGATGATGGTGTCCATGGTGAGTCTGGAAAGACTGATGAGGATCCTCGACTGGCGAAAGGCAAAGCTCTCGGTGAATTCCGCTCGGCTGGTCAACTCGGGCGTGCTGTCGGCCCGCTGCTCGGTATGTGCCCTCGCTATGATCAAGTACCGTGGCTTCATCTGATACCGTTTGTTATCATAGCCTGTGCCACGTATTGGACGTTCGGCCCGTCAATTACTTACTCCACCAGTGCGCTGGCTATGATCTTCTTGGCTGGGAACATAGTCCTGCCGAAGCTACGAATCTGATTGAGGGCATTCAGCATTTATGGAATTTAAACCTGATTTTGTTTTGTTTTGCTGCCTACATGTTTACTGTAAAGTCGTTCCGCAAAAACTGTAGGTCGTCGGACCAATGAAAATAAAATAAACTGTCTGTCCAACGCTACGGTACTATATATATCACGGAAAAAAGTTCCTAGGTCAAGTGGTATCTTAAGTGAACGTCCTATAAAATAGGTGAAGCAGGATTAATAGGCGTATCAGTAGTGTATGTCGTCTGTATTACGAATCTCGCTGGGTATCGTGCTCAAGGTCAATGAGTGGACTCGCTGAAGACGAGGAGTGTGATCGACTCCCCAGGAGAGGGCGAGAGCTCTGTGCGCCGTCCGGCTGCAGAGCTGGCTCATCTCTATACAGGCCTGCCCGCTCGAGATCTGCTGCATACCTCATTTTCTCGGGTGGAAGTTGGGATGATGGGGGGAGAACGCGCCCTCCCTGTTGCGGCGGTGGGCTTCGGGGACCGAGTTCCATGGCTTGCTCCTGCGTGAATATTGCTGGGAGGAAGAACATAACACCCCGGGATCGCTGACGGCGATGAGGCCGTGCCGGTGCACGTGACAGGGGCAAAGTTTCCCTAGAGATGCCAAGGAAAGAGGCTGCGCGATCAAAGACCCGCCGAGCAGAATCAACCACAGAGGAGCTGGTCCGTGAGTTAAGGGAAGGGAATATATCAATCGAAGATGACATGTCGGATGGCGCAGGAGACGCTGAGCGCATGTCGAACGGGAGAGGGAGAAGAGATACATGGTCCTCAATTGGTGACTGAGGCATCGAGTCCGTGGGTGACGGCGGTTGAGTGGACGCAGCGGACGGAGGGAAGGAGGACCAGCGGAGGTCGACTGCCCAGCGTCCATTGCGTTGACTGATCCTTGGAAGGAGAACATCATAGCCACCAATCCTTCTTAGGTTGTTTTTGCGCTGCTTGGATGGGAGCGCAAGCCGGTAAATGCCCACAACCAAGATTATCAGACCCAGCCACATCAAACCCTTGCCCCAGTGCGCCAAAAAGCCGATGAAAGCAGCATCGTCCGCGTGCCAGCTACTTCCGTAGAAATGCGCAAAGAACGAATGGGGTGCTTCTTCCGGCTTGGCATTCTTACCGTACAGTGATTTGGGAAGGATTCGGACTTCACCAGGGTCTTCAACTGTGATGGGCCTGGAAGAAGTGAATAAACTGTACTGAGCGGAGAGGAACATGGGGCCCGTCGAGAACATGACGGTGGGATAGTTGAGCACCCATGAATGGTCGAAGGTGACGAGGTTGTGGATGGTCTGGGAAAGGAAGGGGTGTCCCTTCTCCGCAAACATGAGGTCGTTGGAGACGCCGACAGGAATTGTTTTTGGGAGAATAACGTGATTTACGAGCAGAGGGTCGAGGGGACGCAAGCATCCGACGTCGAGGTCAAGGTATATGCCACCAAAGTGGTGAAGGACGAAATAACGAATCACGTCGGCACGCTGAATGGTGTACTCGTAGTCGTCGTATGTATCGAGGAACCATGGGTAATGCTCAGCAATAAATTCGCGAGAGCTTGCGTCGGTCCACAGCATGTACTCGCTGTAGCCAGGTGAGCGATAACGATAAAAATAGGCGAGACGCTGGGAGAGTATGGGGGGACGTACTAGTCGGGCATCATATCGCGGCAAGCCTCAGAGATGGTCTTCCACCTTGGAGGGAGGGTCTCTGACTTCCATGTCTGGTGGATGATGCGGGGGATGCGTTCTACTTGGCCGTGTTGCGAAGCATCCCAACGGGTAGTGTTGTCGAGGAAGGGGACGTCGCGCTCTGTGAGGTAGGCGGCGCTGTTTATTGCGAGAAAGTAGGAGACAGAGGAGAGGACGACGGCAGTGCCGAAGAGAACGAGACCAAGCAGGGCAAGAAAGATATAGAGGGAGCGCCTGCGGGCCATAACAAGTGTGAGGGAAGGAAAAGAAGAGACAGAAGGCGAGGAGGAGACAGACAGGTACAACTTGACAAGAACCTATCAATCCACATTCCCTTATTCGGACCGCATGCGAACAACACAGCAGTCTACTTTAGAACAGATTCAGATTGACGCTGCGGCCGGGCTCCAGGGCCCCAAGCACCGCAGCAAATGCAGGCAGTACTACGTAGCTATAGTGGCTACTGCTACATACGTACCATTATCTACACTCGCAGTTCACAGCCCCGTAGGTCGCATCGGCATCGAAAAGACGCGCTCCATGTGAATTTGCACAGACGGAATCGACTCCTGGATGGTCCCCTCTTGCCACTCCTCCCCCAAGTCTCCCAGGCTCTGCATCGCCACCTCCCAATCTCGCCGTGACCAGTCCTGGCCCCGTCGCGCTCCCCGATCTGCATACGGCTTTGTTAGGAACACGTCCAACCGTGGCCGTCTCTGGCTGATTCTACTCCTCTTCTTCCCGCCTAGGTATTCGCAGCACTCTCGAGGACCCCATTGGGAGAACGGAACCAACTTGTGTCGGGGTGCGTGCCTGGACACCCCTTCCCCGCATTCTTGTAGCTCTGGCCCTCCCACACGCATCACCAACTCCACTAGCAGTTGCCCGAAGTGTTCAATCACTTGTAGATGTAGTAGATCCAATGCGTGACTTGGTTGGAGAGTCTCCGTAGTAGATGCGTCATCGTCTATATCCATCCCATCGTCTTCCTGCTCCACGTGAACCTGAGTTAGCTCGATCGACGAGTTTTTGTAATTTGGCCGGTGGCCACTAAACCTGAACAGACCGGCCTCGGGTCCATACAATGCATGCGCAATTGCACGGCTGCAGAACTGTCCGGTCGGATAAATGTTTTGAATACCTGGAAGATAAGCCAGGGTCAGCTAGATCAAGAATCGACGGCTGGATGAGATTCAGAGCTTGCCTTCACTCTCAGCCTCTACCGCAAGTAACTTGTCCTTGCTGCATAACACCGTCCGCTTGTGCCGGATTCTGCTGAAATATTGACAGCAGTCCAGAATCAAGCTGTCATTTCGTCGTTCGTCCCACGAACTCTGCCACACAAGTTGACCAACCGTGGAACCTCGTCGATGTCGGATCTGGAAACTTACCTCACCGATCTCTCGCTTTTTCCAATTCCGAGACGGTTTGCACGTCTCGTCGAGCGCCTGACCTTTGACGCACTTGCGCTCCTTCACCTTCTTCAGTAGCCACGTTGACGCCCGTCGCGCGAACCACGACAGACCGTCTCGATTCTTTTGACTTTCCGCCCCAACGCATCAGAAAACTTCAAACCTGCGCGCAAACATATGAGAGACATGCTGCCTTACCCATCAAGTTCATAAATCACCGCCCCAGGGATAATCAGAAGCACAGGGATGTTCTGAGACTCGACTTCTTCCACAAACTTCCGGACGACATCAAGGTATTCCAGGAGTATATTCGTATCCAGCACAACAATGCTCAGATTCTCCGAGAGTGGTGCCTTGGACAGCTATCATCAGTAGTCCATGACAAGCCATCGGGTAAATGCACCTGCATTTCAACATCCTTGTTCGCAATCTCATCTATCCGTCTCAGCGTGTCATGAAGGTGGATCTCCCCTATCCCAGTGATCAAAGAGCACATTCAACTCTGATTGGTTTGTGGCCCACTCACCGGCAGCAGGTGGCCGATCATAGCATAGCGCCTGTAAACTGTCAAATGACATCACTTCAAGGTCTGACCTACCGTATCAACAATTGTTTATATCAGATGTAAAGGAGTGCAGTGAGTGCTAGCCTGTTCGAAAGTCGGTTAAAGGTCAAGGGGAAACAGAAGTAATGACGCGGACGCTTAAACAAGACGTGAGATATTTCATATTGTCCCACATCACAAGACACGCGACACCAGAGCTCATGACTTTCACTTTTCCCTGAGGTTACAGTACTTGCATTGGCACTCTATGATATGTTCATTCATGCAAGTGCAGAAAATACAGATGACCAACGAGGATGGTATCAATAAGTAATGGATAAACTAAACCAATCTAACACAAAATCATCGCCATGATCACGCCGCAAGCGCTACTTTCTTGTTGGGTGGTGTCCCTTGCTCATCGGAAGGATGTGCAGACGGCGGGGGCGTGTTGTCAGCCTTACGCTTCAGCGCTAGACGTTTAGAATCAGGTGAAGGAGATAGCGAAGTACGTAAGCCCAGGATTGCTTTGGGCGGAGTCGACGAACCCATCTTGATGTCAGGCGTTGTAGATCGACTACGGCCGGTTGTCTCTGTACGTAACCGAGAAGCTAGGGTCTGCATGGTGCTAGCCGCCTCAGCGTGACACGTTGCATGGTATATCTGTAAGTCCAGTTGAGATCGGTGTCGAGTTGACCATGGATAAGCTGCATACCCTATCATCCCTTTTCACTGCATTCTTCCAAACCCACTCCTCATCATCCTCAAGGAACTCAGACTTCAGGCTTTCCTTACAAATCGGACATGAGATGGGCATGGCTTCTTCACCCGAGGGCACTACTACATACTGCGACCGCAAGTTAGCATCATGCTCAGCGGCCTCTGCTACAGCGAAGGCTTTGGCATTAGCAGGACGGCCTCGGCCTTTTCCTTTCTCATCCAACCAGTCCTAGTGATCGTGAGTACAATGGCAAACGATGACTGCTTTTGAAACTTACATCAAGGTTGACGAACCAACTTCTGCTATGTCCACGACCGACGTTCTGACTGGCCTTACGGTTTTGCTTGAAGTGCATATCCATGTGGTCTTCCATATCCTTCTTGCCATTGGTGTCGCTCGTAAATCTTGTTCCGCACTGCTTACATTGCACGGGAAGGCGATCATACAAGAGATGGACGATATCAGGGCGCTTCCTAAAGATATGTTGGTAAATAGAATATACGAGTGCACAGAAACAGACCTTGTGATATCAGCGTTAGTTAATTGGATTGACTGGGATAAGATCGCCGTCCGGTAAGCCAAGATTGACTCAGATGCCACCTCAGCCGACCGAGGCTTCGCCTCAGATTTGTTGGAACTGACAGAAGCACCTGGAAGCACGCCAGCTTTCACGATGGCGTTGAACAAATTTGCAATATCGGTCGTTTGGGGCGACGGACCAGAAGTGGTGGGGATAGATGGCGGGGCAGGATGAGGCTGCGAAGGGTACCCATATGCACTTGATGCCGATTCTGGGGAATGGTTCGAAGAACCTTGGGTAGCTGGCGGGTACACAGGCGGATACTGGTAAGTTGCTGGTGGGGGAGGGTATGAAGGAAGCTGTTGAGGTGGATGTGCGACCTGCGGAGGAACAACTGAGCTTGAAGTTCTCGATAGTGATCTCAGCTGGTTTAATATTTGCTGAAGTTCGTTCTGCGACACGCCTGGACCCGTGTCTACCAGACGTCGAAGCTATGTTAATGTCAGAAGTGGAGGGCAGAAGACAATAGCAATTGCTTACTTGAAGCAAAATCTCAACGTGTTTCTGACACATCGTATCCCAAGGACTCGTTTGTAACGCCCGCTCCTTCTGGCTAAGGATGAATTCAAGTTCGCTGAGGACCTGAGCCTTCGAAACGGGGTGAGAACCGTGACCATTTGTCTGTGGTCCATGTCAATGGAATTCAGGTCGAGAAGAAGAGAATGAACATACTGTAGTTGAAGATCCGTTATCATCGCCTCCGCCCCATATGCCGCGCTCTATAGATCGCTGAGTAGCTATACCAAATAGCTCCCGTCCACTTGGCGCTGCAGTTCGCCAGGTCAGGAGCATCTCCTCCATCTTGCTGCGGGTTGCCTGATCTACCTGTTGATAAGTTTCAAGGAAAAGATTTATGACGAAACCCGAAAAAAGGCGGGCATAGGGTTCGTAGACATTCTTTGCGATGGCGTCGAGGAGGTAAAATGCGGGCAGTTTCATCCAAACTGGGACCTAGTAGTAAGAACAACAAGTTTTTTGTTAGTCCATAGAGCCACTGGCAACACCGCATCCATCCAAAGGGCTCAGATGGTGCGTAGGGAAAGATTGAAGGACACAAGAACGCCAACAAGACTCACCTTTCGAATATGAGGTTCAAGACACTGGCCCACAGCATCTGCCCATTGCATATATTCCTGAGCAAGTCGAGAAAGATTCTGTATCAAGGGCCTAGAATTAATGGTCAGTTCCGCTAGGCGAGCGCTGAATTCACGCCGGAATGAATGGGGGTCGACATGATAGTAAGGTAGGTGTGGGGGAGGATGTTGCTGATATTGGGGGTACGAGGTGCCTGGTCGAGAATATTGAGGGCCGGTATACGACGCCTGATACGAGTTCTGATATACGGACATCGTCGGAGACTTATGCCGAATTGCAAGTCGTGTTTTGTCGAGCAGGTTCTCACCGAGAAATCACTCAATCCACCCTTAGAAACGGACGGGGCTGAATGCTCGACCTCGGCAGCTACAGACGATGATGGTTGGAGAAGAAGGCTAGTCAGGGAGCCTCGTGCTGACAACACACACGGGCCAGATTTAAACTCCGCCGCGAACACCCGACGCATTGTCTCCTCGATAGCGAGACCAAGTGCCCAGCGCGATAGACCCCAAGAAACCAACGACTTCAAGGTGAGCACGAACCCTGCCCCTCCGTTTCACCGTCAGGACATCTCCAGAGATGTAATTCTACAACATGGAGAATTCTCGTTATGAAAACTCGACGTTTGAGGCTGGATTGTCCGGCCCTCCGCTGGATGATGATCTTGGGCCAGTCACTCACTTTCCACAACGCAGATGCGGGACGTCCTCAAGACCGAAGAACTCGATATTCCGGAGGGGGTTACCGTTGAAATCAAATCCCGCATCATCAAGGTCGCCGGTCCTCGCGGCACGCTCACGAAGAATGTTCGCCACATCGATATGGATATCCGCGTGGTGAAGCGAAGCAAGACCAGCCAAGTTACTCTGGCTGTGTGGCAGGGCGGTCGCAAGCACGTCGCCTGCTTGCGGACGATCCGTAGTCTTATCAACAACATGGTCATTGGTGTCACCAAGGTAAGTCATTTGATGGTATATCATTCAGCAAGTGGATCTAACCATGTAAGTAGGGCTTCTTGTATAAAATGCGTGCAGTGTACGCCCATTTCCCTATCAACGCCATCATCCAAGAATCTGGACACGCTCTTGAGATTCGTAATTTCTTGGGCGAGAAGGTGTGTCTTAGTCCACTGACGTAGATGATAAGACGCGCTTACGCCATGGACAGACCGTCCGACACGTGAAAATGCTGGATGGTGTCACCATTTCTGAGTCCAAAGCACAAAAGGATGAGCTGATTCTGGAGGGCAATGATATTGAGAACGTTTCACAATCAGGTTACTACTCGTCTTTGTATCAAGTAAAGTCATTCTAACTGGTCAACAGCTGCTTCCATTCAGGGTTCCTGCCGGGTACGGAACAAGGATATCCGTAAATTCTTGGACGGTATCTACGTTTCAGACCGTACGACGATAGGGCAGGAGTAAGGCGTGTCATCAGGATCAACTCCATCCTTTATGGCCAAACTTCATACTACACGTTCTCTCCTCATTCATGTGCACAATATGATGATATTGGCCTCTGCATTAATTAGCCGACGTTGGGAAAACCATTTGAGTATCGACCGAACGTATTATGGGATGAAAGGTATTCTCGTGCTAACGCGGCGTTGGTAAGTTACATAGTCCTGACCAAAGAACGTAGCCAAAGACCGTTCCTCCCCTAAATAAATCGTGAGCCCACGGCAGCGTGGTAGTGACAAGAGTGCATACCTCTGATACGGTAGAAAAAGAATCTCCACAGCACGATCGAAAATCCAAGAAAACTGACGGGGTTTTGGAGAACCAACTGTGTGCCCAAGGCCCAATAGAAGAACCCAGCATAAGACGGATGACGAAACCAACTAAAGCAGCAGTGTGAGACCTTGCTGGAGACTTCAAAGCAAGCCCAATGCTTACGCATAAACACCATCAGTCACCAAGACATGTGATTCCGACTTGTTTGTCGCAACAGTGTGCGAGAAATTGGTCGAAGCGTGTACCATTGCTGCAGAGCGTAGTGCTTGTCCTATCAATACCAACGCCACACCTAAAGCCAAGGTTCAATCAGCTTTGGACTGACGATGTTGAGCTGACGATATAGGAAGAGAGACTAACCCATCAGCGAGATGTGAGGAAACGACTTCCATGACGGTTTAAAATACAGGGTCAGTAAATATTCGAGCAATGCAATGCCGTTCGCAACGTGATACATCGAGCCATTATCCAATAAGAATGCTGAAAGCCTTTTAAGTCAAATTTAAAAGTGTGTTGCACGTTAACGTACAATCAACGCTGCACTTGTCGAGGTTCCAGCCAGCCGTTGTAGCAAACTCTCCCCAATGAAAGCCCGACCATGCTGCGAGGAAGAAGCCGAGTTGAGGAGTAGCCCACCAGGTATAAGAAAGGCCCCCAGAGAGAAGTAAGAAAGTCCCGAATGAAAACAGGCCTCCCAGAAGGAAGGATATTGTTGACGCTGCCAGAGGTGTATTCGGTATGTTTCCACGTGGTTTCTGATGGGCTGCGATGGGCTCTGTATGAAGTGGGTGTCTCGACTGAGCGGCACGCTGTTGGAAGCGTCGCTCAAGCTCGTCGTTGTCCGGTGAGTCTCTGTCCATAGTAGCGAGAGATGGACATGCAAGAGGATAACTTATGTGACTGTTCACTGCAAGGGATACCAAAACGCGCTCTTGTTTACGACTGTTGTCGATCTTGTACGTCGCGTCGACGTCGTTTTCGACCGCGTCACAGTATGTGCATTCATGTCGCAGGCCACGAACCAGCATATCCTGCGCAATGGTCGTCGCTCCTGCTACTGCATCAGACAAATTGCTCGCCGGCATGCATCCACAGCAGCTTCTGTTAATCCTGCGCTGATTAGAAACATAGCACTCGTGGCCCATATTGGTCCGTCGCTTTTGCGCTGTCTCACGGGCCTTGAAAGACTAACCATCTAGAAAAGATTCTGGCAAAACTACCTTGACTGAGTCAATTCTGCACAAGTCCGAATACCTGACAGTCCCTGGCTCCGTTGACACTGGAAGTACTACGACGGATTTCTTACCTGCAGAGCGAGAGAGAGGCATTACCATTCAATCTGCGAGCATTCCAGTTAAATGGAAAAAGTGGTTCTTCAACCTTATTGACACCCCAGGTCACGCCGACTTTGGAATGGAGGTAGAAAGCGCCAGTCGCGTCGTAGATGGCGCTGTCGTTCTCATTGACTCTGTCGAAGGTGTGGAATCCCAAACAAAAGGTGTCTGGAAGCAGCTTGATAGGTAAGTATGCGTGACTAGTGACCAAATGTTTAAGGCTGAGGGATCTGATAACATACCAGATACAATGTTCCTACCCGCATGATCTTCTTGAACAAGCTTGATCGTGCAGGCGCATCGTTTTCTTCTGCTTATTCTTCCCTCCTGGCGCATCGTTTCCATCCCAGACCTTTACCTATAACGTTACCTGTCGCTTCCTTTGACGTGAATGACTACTCGCAAGCGAAACCTGGGATACAAGGTGTGGTTGATCTTGTGCGTTGGGAAGCTTTAAAGTGGGACGAAGAAGGCGGCTCCTCCACCCATCCCTTGCCTTTAGACGAGCAAGGAGTGGCGTCCGCCTCTGTGTTTCCGGTTGGCCATCCTCTCATAAAGCACTTGATTCCAGCACGCAACTCTCTGCTCGAAAATCTCGCGCTTTGCTCTGATGACCTTATGGAACAGCTTTTGGAAACACCGTCGTATCTCTCTGTCTCTGGGAGCGACATCATCCCTCACTTACGGAAAGCAACATTACGTAATGAAGTTCTCCCAGTCTTATGTGGTTCTGCAATGAAGAACATAGGCACGGAGCTCGTCATGAATTATGTTGGTGACCTTCTGGCAAGCCCCATGGATGTCCGACTAGAAGGGGAGTCAACCAACGCACCGCTTCGTATGCTAGCGTGGAAGGTTACCTGGGATAAACGGAAAGGCTGGATGACGTTCGTGCGCATTTACTCGGGTTAGTCCTTGCTTCCTGCATCTTGAAGCGTGATCTCAACTACCAAAAGGCTCGCTGAAATCTCACAGCACCCTGGTGAATGTCACCAACGGACAGAAAGAGAAGGTTTCCAAGCTCATACTTCTTTACGCCTCTCAAGCGGAGGAAGTTGATAACCTTTCATTTGGGTCGGTCGGCGTCCTCCTTGGCCTGAAGCATACTCGGACTGGCGATACGCTCATGGCAACACGGGCAGGACCTTCTTCTTCAAAGATACCAACGTCACTCCGTAGTATCGTCCCACCCCCGCCTGTTATATCTGCCTCTGTCATGCCTAATTCTCATGCAGACGCGCAGCCTGTCGAGGACGCTTTGCATGCACTGGCAAGGACCGATCCATCGGTCCGGGTGGATGATCAGGAAGGTCAAAAGCTCGTTCATGGATTAGGCGCGCTCCACTTGGAGATTGTGGAGGGAAGGCTGCGAGACGAATGGCAAGTGAACTTCGAGTTTGGTGCACGTCGCGTCAGCTATCGTGAGACACTTGGAGCTGCGCCTGGTCCTGGCAATAGTACCTGGTCGACAGAGATAGCTGGGTGTGCTGTATCTGTCCACGTATCGCTGTCAGTATCCAATCTTGACTCAACCGAGCAGAACGACCCTTTGTGGGATGGCAATCTTGTGCTAGGTCCAGACGGTAAACGCCTGCCTCCCCCGGATTCCTACGAAAACCAGACTGAGCCATTGGCTAACATCGCTCGTGGCATATACAACTCCTTGTCCAGCTCCCCTCATACCTCTCTCGCGTATTCTCATGTCAAAATCTGCGTCAAGTCTTTCAAAGCCCCCCAAGAAGTTACATCCTCAGTGTATGTCAGTGCGACTGGTGCTATCCTGCGCGAACGGCTTCGGGCTGCCGGCATGGGGTCCTTGATGGAACCCTTTATCAAACTGAAAATTGCCGTCCTTGAAGACAGCATTGGCAAAGTCGTCAAGGACCTTTCTGAAAGCGGCGGAGAAGTACTTGATCTGGACTCTGATCCAACCGCCGGCGCAGGTGAAGAAGATTTGAACAATTCTTACCCCACGGATGGCCTCTATATTCCTTCTGAGGACATCTCACCGTCATCTGCATCATCAGCCTTCGCTGGTGCTGCAAACACCGCGCGCTCTTCAAAGCGTACGGTCAACGCCGTGGCGCCTCTTAGCAGGATGCTGGATTACTCTACTCGTCTTCGGGCACTCACCGGAGGGCACGGGACATTTGAGATGTCAAGCGCCGGATTCAAAGAGGTTCCAGGCACGCGAAAGTCAGAAATTCTCCGAGAGATTGGAAAGGCATAGATTACTATTGTTGAAGTTTAGGGTAGCCTAATACTAAGACAGCTCTCTCACTTCATCAGCGTCTCCAAACAACACTGCTCCGTCCATCTCGTCATCCTCGTCTGCAATTGCGGTACGTGAATCTCCGCTTGCATTGAGCACTTGACTGAAATTGAGGAAGTCATCCTCCGTGATCGTCTCCATGTCCTCTTCGTCAAGTGAGCCGACCTGAGGTGTGTCATTGAAAAGTGGGATGGACGATCTCAGCGCGTCCCGGGCAGATGCCGAGGGTGGCATGCTCTCTTCCCTGTCCTCGGGAAAGAACAGAGGGGTCCTAGCACGCTGGGATGGCGCGCTGCCCATGGAATTAGGGGCAGCGATGCTAGACTGTCTTACGAGGTTAAGGCGCCGTGGGGATGCGACCGAGACGGCTCTGATGGGTGGATAAGGCTCAGCAACAACGCACAGACATCGACCCAGGATGTGAAACCCTTTGTATTGAAGCCGCAAGAGTGGTTTTGGTTTCTCCTCCTCCTCTTCAACTTCGAGGTCCATGCTGTGACCGGGAGGCTCCGTATCAACTTGCATCTCTGTCTCAATTTCTGAGTTTCCTAGCGGGGCATCACTCAGCGTAGCTTCCTCTTCTTCATGTTTAACATCTGGGTCAGCATCGACATTAATCGCAGTTACTTCGCGTTGGCCGGGTGTCGCGGCGCTGACTGGCTGATAAGAATCTTCGTCCTCAAGGTCAGAACCGTCCTCTCGATATCCGCCTGCGGCAACCCTTGTGGTTCTGCGGGATTGTCGGGTCCGGCTTGGGGGCAAACATTCGTCCATGTTATCTTCTGAACTTTCAGGATCGAATAACTCCTCTTCATCCGAGTCGATTTCCTGTCTAGCTTTTCCCTTCGTGTTGATTTTCATCTTCTTTCTAGCAATATGCCCGCTTGAATCGAGTGACTTCTGAGATGACGCACGTGCCCTCTTGTTTTGTTTCGTTCGAGGGATGGGGAGAGCATTGACCGGCTTGCGTACTACATGAGTACTCTCCGCAAGCGAAGAAGTTGCAACAAATGTTCTTGTCTGTAGCATACCTAATAAAACACACAAGGAGCAATACAACAGGATGGTTACCTTCAGTATCACAGAGTGAGGCTCTGTCTGTCTGAAGAAGAAGGCGAATTGATAGATATCTAAGCTGGAGATATGCTCAAGGTATCCACGAGGGAAACACATATCGACGTACCACCTCTGTGGACATCAACTGATCCCTTCTTGTTGTTGACTGAAGACCCCGAGCCAAAGTGTATGTCCCACTCAGCTTGTAACTTTGGCACAATCCTAAAGCAGGTGGGGTGAATCAGTCTCGAAGATCAATACCCTTAGTTCAAGGCTTGTTGAGTGCCACCAACGCACAGAGGCCTAAGGTCGGCAAGTACATGTTGCAATATTATGTCCGACATCCATTCCGTGTGTTTCTCGTCTAAATAAAGCTGTCCAAAGTGAGACGGAGGAGCAGCTGTTCGGTGTGTGTAGCCCCATCCACTTACATAAAGTGGAACAAGCGTAGTTTTGGAGACACGCAGATAATAAGCATTGCGAGAACGGAATGGCATGGTAGTAAGGCGAAAGGCACCAGCAGAGGATTTACTTGACCTATGTGAACAAGGAAGGTCCTCAAGCTGCTGTCGGAGAAAGGGGCGTTCCAGGTATATCCCCACGTATGCTATCGTATTTCGGACCGTGATAGCCGGATTTACAAATTCAGAGTTCAAAGCTTTTTGGGTAAATTCAAGAGTAGCTTACGGTAAGATCACATCCGATGCAACTGTCAGCGCTACAGGCTACCTTTGATCGAGCTGTCAATACAAGTACATCTGCATGTATCGTACATAGTTCCTTTTTTTCCCTTAAGCCTCCTTTGATAATTTTCATTCCTTCAGCCTCAGTTTGATTCCACGGGAACGTCAGGGCCAGATATGATGGCTTTGATGACACCTTTCCCATCATCGCTCTTTCCTTTGCGCGTGGTCTGGAAAGCGACGACAGCGTCTTCAAATTTGTACCTATTGAATATTGAATCAGCATTGTACAATTCGGTCGCGGCGTGTTGACATCAGATTTACCTATGGCTGACGAGTGGCTTCAGGTCAATCTTGCCTTGAGAAACAAGTTGAATGGCAAGTGGATAGTCTCCGGGCTGTTCTCATGTGAGAGTTAGGTCACCTCAAACAGTGCATTTGTGTCATACCCCATAACGGAAAGATCCCTTCAGTTGGAGTTCTTTGGACATGACAACTCCCATATCGATTGTGATGTCCGGGTTGCCCATTCCAACCTGTGCAGATGTCATTCAGCGCGCAGTCATTATGAGGTTGAAGAAACCGTACTTGTACATAAGTCCCAGCAGCCTTGCAGATGCGCAGGCCGGTTTGAACAGATATCTCTGCCCCGCTGGCATCGATAACCAAGTCAATGCTGCCGGCCCCGCGCTCCGGAATATGAAGTTGTTCTCTCATAGCTTTGGCCGCTCTTCTAGACAAAGCGGGCCTCGATTCGTCTTTCTCCGGGGCGGGAGGGAGGAAAACATCGGTAGCAGCGTAAGACTTGGCAAAATCGAGTCGGGCTTGAACGATATCAACAGCAACGACCCGAGATGCTCCCATAGCCTTGGCCACCGCCATACACAAGATACCCACGGGGCCGCATCCAAATACAGCTATGTTTTTACCTGCTCTGAAGGATCCTAGCGTGGAGACAGCATGAACTGCGACCGAAAGTGGTTCTATCTATGGATTGCAATGAGCGCCCTGTGCACAAGATCATCATGCAATCCGTGAGACTGACCATGGCACCGTCCTCCAAAGTAAGATTTGGTGGGAGTGGGTAGGCAAGATCCGCGGGGATGCGGTAGTAGCGCCCAAGGGTGCCGTCAAACGGCGGTGTGGCTGCGAAACGAACATCGGGGCAGAGCTAGCCAATCATGATATTTCAGAAGAGCTCCTCGGGGATCATCAAGCCATGTCACTGACCTGGTAGCGACCTGCTTTGCAAGATTCGCACATGCGGCAAGTGGCGCCAGGTTCCATAGCCACACGATCTCCCTTTTTCAGGCCGGTGACACCACTACCGACTATAAAACGTGTTGGCCACCGTTTCTCCATGAAAGTGGTAGAATATACCCTTATATACAACACCTGAAGACTCATGGCCCAAAACCTGTGAAATACTTAAGTACTGAGGTCGATTACAATATAACAGACTAACCATCGGGTCTTCTACAATGTAGTCCCCAATGCGCCCATGTAGCAAGTAATGAACCTGCAACGACAGCGTCATCAGACGCTCGGTTGGTCACAGATGGCTGACCTACATCTGAACCACAGATACCTGAAAATCACCGCGGATATGTGAGATAGGGTTCGAAGGAAATGCCTAAGTTACTCACCAGTTTTCTGAACCTCAACGAGCACCTCATCGGGCTGAACTGAAAATCAATCGTTTCTCCTCGGTCACCCCTATTCAGAACGAGGAGTTGTTGAGGGGAACGTACTTTCAGGAATAGGGCGCTGCTCGAAGGTGACGTCTTCGACACCTTTGAGGACAAAAGAGGGGTTATCTGACATGACTTGACCGAGGAGAACCAGTCCAGAGGGTTACTTAGGTGTGTGTGATTAGGATTCGAGTCGGGGTGAAACCAAAGGACGGTCACCGTTGCGTATTCCTTGACGGTATATAGACCAAATGGCCCCTCCGGACCGCGATTTCAGATGTGTTCATCTGATACACAGCCTAGGCCCTTGTGAAAGCCCATCCGGTACATCATGCACACAAGGATAGGTACCACAGCGGAACGGCGGGAGTAAAAGTCGGAAGATCGATAAATAAAACGGATGCTGTCCTGTCAGGTCCTGCCCGTGTCTGCCTGAATACGAGTCCTGGCACTCCCGGCACCTTCCTGGCATGATGACGTCGCTCAAGTGAAAAGTCGGACTTCCGGGTCTGTACTGGTCTGTGCCACGTGGGGAGCCGCGGATCGCCACATGTTTCGTTCACCTGTGTCTCGAAACATCATTGTATCATTGACTTTCTCCTAATCAGCTTGTCTTCGGGGACTCCTGCAGATCAGCTATATCCCTCTGCCCCTCATGAGGCATCTTGTATTTATATACTACCCTCAGATGGCCATGACTCCGCAACTGACAAGAACACCAACGATAACTCCAGCAAACCTCAACCCCTCATACCCAAGCTCACCGCTAATACCTGCCATTAATCGTCCCTACACCCTTAATCGTTCTACACATACACATACACTCTCACCACTAATCTCTTCTGGATTTTCCGACAAGTACTTGCTATCCAACTCCCCGGACAGGCCTCACCGCAATGACTTACACAAGTGATACCTTGCCGAGCTTCTCTGGACAAACCATCGACAATGGCCGCTACCTCTTGCTCGATGCTATTGGCTCGGGCGCGTATGGTGTCGTTTACCGTGCGTTGGACACGAAGTCAGACACTCTCAACCCCTCATACTATGCTGTTAAATGTTTATCCAAGACGGAGCTCAGTACCGATCAGATGTTATCCCAGAGACGGGAGATACATCTCCTTCAGATGATTTCTGGCTCACCCCACACCATTGTCCTTCATACTGTCGTCGAGGAAGAGATTTATCTATATCTCATCATGGAATTCAGCTCTGGAGGCGATTTATACCTTGCTATCAAGGCTAAAGTCTATTTCCACAACGACGACTTATTGAAGACTGCTATTCTTCAACTTCTCGATGGAGTGGATTCATGCCATAACAAAGGAGTTTATCATCGCGACCTCAAGCCAGAAAACGTCGTTTGCAATGAAGAAGGGTCAGACCTTCGAATCATCGACTTTGGTCTTGCGACAAAGAATCGCCTTTGCCATGATCGTGGGTGCGGGAGTTCGCAATATATGAGTCCTGGTACGTGCTCCACAAGTTTTTGTCTACGTGCAAACATGTCTCAACCATCACTTGATAACCAGAATGTATAGGCAGAGGAAGCACGGCACATTTGTATTCGGCCCTCCACAACGACATCTGGTCTGTCGGGGTGGTTATGCTTAACATGGTGACAGGGCGAAATCCCTGGAGGAAGGCACATTTTTCTGACCCGGTTTACTCCGACTTTCTTGCTGATCAAGAAGGGGCGTTGCGCGATATGCTTCCCATTTCACGAGAGTTTAACGACCTCCTCTGCAAGATCTTTAGTATTGATCCGGCTCGCCGTCCAACTATTCCCAGTCTGCGACAGAGTATCGCAGATATTGGAACATTCTACATGTCCTCATATGAACTCGCCGATGCTTCTGGAGCAAGTCGTCTCGCAGCCGGAAATATCTTCCCACAAGTTGATCTGGACACTTCCACGAGGGAATCAACCTTGGCAAAGAGCTACTCAGGGTTTCATACCCAGGCCGCAATGGATGCCTTCCTCGCTGGGTGGGATGGCTTTGATAGCGATGATTCCGAGATTCTGGATCTAGCAGAGTGGGGTTCAGTACCGCCTCTCCATCTCTCTAACGGAAACAGTGGACCGTACTCATCGGACCCGTTCGTTCTACCAGACCCTGAAGGAGGGGTTTCCACAGGTTCGAGTGAATTATCGGTTTCCGGCAGTTTCGGACCTATCACCCCAGAGACGTACGCGGACACTGCGGTGGGAAGTATTGAGGACATTCCCGAGATGTTTTCGTTGGCAGAGCCGTCCATCACTTTCGACTTCGCGCCTCCTACCTCTAAAGCACCACCATCTGAAAGGGCAGTCAGGAAAAATGTTCCTCGGACTTAGCAGTCGTCAAATTGACGGAGATAATAGGTGAACATAATAACATACTTCACATGAAGCTACAGATAGTTACCTGTACGTGGACAATAATTATTCGCTCGTTCTCAACGTTTCCCGAGGAGATGATTGCTCTACCAAGGCAGTCGAAGTTCTCGACAAATGTACATTCACAAGAGCACCATGACCTTGCTCACGGGCGTTGAGCGTGGGTCTTGATGCGCTCTGATAGGAACAGGTGGCGCACTGGTGGCTGAACGCAATGGCGACATATCAATTGTGATTGCAAAGTGGTCAGCAGTAGGATGGTGTCTATGCCAGCCCCTGAGGCCTGAGTGATTGGTATATTTGAATCTTTGTAGGCTTCACCCCGACGATAGAGATATAACGCGATCACAAAGTGCATGCCTACCATCAATCCCGCGTCCTGTGTCTGCCCGCAACTGCAACTGTGTGGGCCTGTGGAGGAAGCGAATGCAGGTGGCACACACGAGACTGTAAACGTGTTCTCGAGGATTTCCAAGTCTCCGAATGGCGCGATACCGCGTGAATACTATCGCGATTGTGCTCCCAGGAAGGTGAGAGAGGTGCTACGAGCGATCTGATTGGAGCCTTACATAAGGGCAGGCGCCTTTCTCAGATCTTCAAAAATCTGGCCATTCGATAATCTATCCTTCATCCCTCCCCCCCTTTTCCTCCCCCCCCACCCGACTACCATCTACCATCTCCCTCTTCAGAAAAATGGTTTTCTCCAGCGTTCTTGGCTTCCCCCGAATCGGTGTGTACATATCCCAATGCATCTCTCTGTTTGCGATCTTGATGATCTTATCAGGTGCCAACCGTGAGGTCAAGAAATCCGTTGAGGCCTACTGGGGTGGAAAGATCCCCGTTGAGGATCTCCAGAAGACCGTTGCTGAGGTCAAGAAATACAACTGGACCAACGTCCAGTCTCGCGGTGTCGACTTGATCCCAAGGCATGCGTCTCTTTCTCCAATGTCTCACTTGGCCTATTGTTAACTTCACTTTAGCGGTGAATTCTCCCTCTACGACCATGTCCTCGATCATTCCGCTGCTTTCAACGCTATCCCCAAGCGTTATCAGGGTCTCGGCATCAGCGACCTTGACGTCTACTTTGCTATGGGCCGTGGTCGCCAAACTGGCGGTGTTGATGTCCCCGCTTGCGAGATGAAGAAGTGGTGAGTGCCTGCTAGACCACCTTCACATTTGGCATACCATCTCATAAGTATTGTCTAACAGGTTCGACTCCAACTACCACTACGTCGTCCCCGAGCTGTCGGACGAGACCGACTTCAAGCTGGTCCACAACAAGGCCTTGGTCGAGTACAACGAGGCCAAGGCTCTGGGCATCACCACTCGCCCTGTTGTTCTCGGCCCCATATCTTACCTCGTTCTCGGCAAGCCCGCCAGAGAGGCCCCTGCCTCCTTCGAGCCCATCACTCTTCTTTCCAAGCTTCTTCCCGTGTACAAGCAGCTCCTAACGGAACTCAAGTCTGCAGGCGTTGAGTCCGTCCAGATCGATGAGCCCATCCTTGTCCTCGACAGGGCTGCGAATCTCGAGAAACAGTATGCTTCTGCATATGCCGAGTTGGCCCCTGTCGCTCCCAAGATCGTCCTCACCACTTATTTCAACCGCCTCGACGCCAACCTCAAGTTCGTTAGTAAGCTTCCTGTCGGCGGCCTTCACATCGACCTTGTTCGTGCACCTGGTCAGCTGGATGAGGTTATTGCTGCTGTGAAGAACACCAACTTGGTTCTCTCTTTGGGTCTTGTGTCTGGCCGCAACATCTGGAAGAACGACTTCACTGCTTCCATCAAACAGGCGCAGAAGGCTGTCTCAGCCTTGGGTTCTGACCGTGTCATCGTTGCCACCTCTTCGTCTGTCCTTCACACACCTGTCACCCTTGCTTCGGAGAAGAAGCTCCCTGATCAGCACCGCGACTGGTTCTCTTTCGCGCTTGAGAAAGCTGCTGAGGTTGCCACTATTGCTGCAGTCGTCAACGGCTCCCAGGATGCCAAGATCGCCGCCGCCCTGGAAGAGAACAAGGTTTCCATCGCCAAGAGGCGTGAGTTCGAGTCAACCTCGGACGATGCTATCCGCAAGCGTGTGGCTGCCATTACCCCGGACATGTACAACCGCAAGAGCCCGTTCGCCGCTCGCAAGGCGGCGCAGGACCAGGCTCTCAAGCTGCCCAAGTTCCCTACCACTACCATCGGCTCCTTCCCTGTAAGCCTGTTCATTGCAAAATCTAAATTGATGCTAAATGATGTTTATTGTCGCTTTTAGCAAACCAAGGAGATCCGTACGGCCCGCGCCAAGCTGGGCAAGGGAGAGCTTACCCCGGCCGAGTACGAGAAGTTCATCGAGCAAGAGATTCAGAACGTCGTGGCCTTCCAGGAGGAAGTTGGCCTCGATGTGTTCGTTCATGGCGAGCCAGAGCGCAACGACATGGTGCAATACTTCGGCGAGCAGCTGAACGGCTTCGTCTTCACCCAGAATGCTTGGGTTCAGAGCTACGGTTCTCGGTGAGTGGCTCCAACCAACGCGTTGAAATTGTTTTAACATGCCTTGCAGTTATGTTCGTCCCCCCATCATCGTCTCAGACGTCAGTCGCCCTGGCCCCATGACCGTCAGATGGAGCAGCTATGCTCAGAGCCTCACCAAGAAGCCCATGAAGGGTATGTTGACTGGACCCGTCACCATCCTCAACTGGTCCTTCCCCCGTGACGATGTTTCTCGTAAGCTGCAGTCCCAGCAGCTGGCTCTGGCTCTCCGTGACGAGGTCCTTGACCTCGAGAAGGCTGGCATTACCGTCATCCAAGTCGACGAGCCTGCCATCCGTGAGGGTGTAAGTCTATCCAAGATACGTTGTTAGTGATGAGTTGCTAAATTCCGGCCAGCTCCCTCTCCGTCGCTCAGACTGGGATGAGTATCTCGAATGGGCCGTCGACACCTTCAAACTCTCGACTGCAGGCGTGGCTGATTCCACTCAGACCCACTCTCACTTCTGCTACTCCGACTTTGGCGACATCTTCACGTCCATCCAGCGTCTCGATGCCGATGTTATCTCGATCGAGTTCTCCAAGAGTGACATGAAGCTGCTCCACACCTTCCAGCAGTTCGGTTACTCTAACCAGATTGGTCCCGGTGTTTACGACATCCACTCCCCCCGTGTTCCCAGTGAGGAAGAGATCAGAGAGCGTCTCAAGGCTTCTCTTAAGATCATCCCTGATCACCTCATGTTCGTCAATCCTGTAAGCCAGTTTCGAACTTGATTTAGGTGGGAAATTGCTAAATGTTCTTTGCAGGACTGTGGTCTCAAGACCCGCCAGTGGAAGGAGACGAAGGAGTCGCTCGTTAACCTGGTTGCTGCCGCTCGTTGGGCCCGCGAGAACGCCTAAATCCCCTTTTCCCTTGCGCTTCAACAGCGCCCATGAAGCGGTTAACTTATCGACATTCTCGTGGCGAGGTGTCGCTTTGACCTTGGGTAGTTGTGGCGATGGATTCTTTGACGGTGTCATACATACGCCGAGGCATACTAGTGCCGCTTTATGGGCCCGCGTCTTGCTGAGGGAGGCTGGGACTGCACGCCCGGAAAATCATATCAGGGATTTCAACAATCCATAATGTTATATTAGTCGATGCATATTCAATGTGAAGCCAGGCGGTCACTGCTGTGACCGCTGTTGTACGAGTAAACCTGGGGGTACACTATCGATATCGTTTTTGCCTTGATCATGAACACCAGTGAACACCTTATAGCGGTTTGCAAAAAGATGGGGAAAAGCCTCCGACGTGTAATGGCCCCGCCGACACAGCCGAGTGAGGACCCTGCGCAATACCTGCCAAATTCGGCCACGCGAGCACAGCAACTCAGGCAGAACCTCCTGGTGCTCTCTACCCAGCCTTCCGCATTCATATGCAAACCGCTGTAAATCACACCAATTTAATGTACACGGGTGGTATGACATTGACAACTGACTGGCTCGACCAGCCCCTAGCATAATCGTGTATTAAGCATGCGAATAAATATACATCGGGCACGAATCATTCCAGAAAAGTACCCTGCAGTCCAAAACTCTACCTCTCCCGAGTACACGTCATGCTTTCTGCTTAATGTCCGACGCCGGTGGTATAAGCATTTGTTCTTCAATGACCGGCGTCATCAAAGCTTTATCCTTGCCAAAGGTGGTTACGGATTGGGTATGAGAACCGGCAACAGAGGGGTTGGCGAGCGCGTCTACTTCCTTCTTCGCGGAGCCAGGCACCTCATCTGCGACCTGCTGGGGCATAACTGACTTTCCGGCCTTCTCCATGGCAAGTGCGGCGCGTAGGGTCTGCTCAACCTTCTCGGTGCGACGAGTTTGCTTGCCACCGCGCCAGATGAGAACACCCGAGACGATACCGCAGAGGAATGTTGCTGGGATGAGCGTGCCTGTTGTCCAGTCGGGACGGGTGTACCGGTCCATCGACCACAAGCAATTTGAGAGTATGATCTGGACGATTTGCAGTGAGCGTAGATCAACAGGGAGGATATGACGCTTACTTGAAAGAAGGAGTTACCATCAACGAAGAGACATATCCAGAGAGCCGTGCTATTGTGATCGTTAGCCGCTTATGATGTGTTGAAGAGCACCATACAAACCTGATGGGAAATGCCTGCACTCGTGCCGTTAGCATATTTAATGGAGCGGCAAAATACGAGATAAGCGAACCCTGTGCGTCTCAGTGCCGTGTGCACGATACCAAGTCTGGCTTTCGCGAAACAGTTCTTGTTCTACCAGCATAAGCTTAGTTAAATCTCGGTAGCGGCGGGTAGGACGGAAAGCTCACGGTGGTGAAGATCCTTTTGCTCTTTGTCCGTCAAGACATGGACGTAGTTGGGGTCGTAAACGGGGTCCGGCAGGTCGTCAACGTCATAAAGCTGGGGAAGCCCGGCCTTTGCTCGTAACATTCGTGTCTTTCGCTGGTACCACCAAATCTTTGTTATCCCTTGGTGCTAAAATTAGAACACGACACTTGAAAAAATCTGGTGACATACGATAAGTATCCATAATGCGGGGCGGAAGTAGTCCAATTCCAGTAAACGTGAACAGGCCTAAGAGATTTCAATGAAGTCATCGACGCTCTCCCCCCATGAATGAAACGTACCGCATTCGACCTGGGAGCAAACCTCGACCCAAAAAGTCTGTGTGTTCAGGTTGTGGAAATTTATCCATTTGACCAAGATGAGCACCAGGGCAGTTCCCCAGATTACTAGGACGAGTTTGAGCCAGGAAAGGCTGGAGGCGGATGTCGTACGTACCAACAAGAAACCCATAAATGCCAGTCACCATCTAGCAAAGCTGACTTAGTACATGGTATACGCACTAAGAATAACAAGCATACCCCCATTGCTATAACAGAGGCGTGTCAGTAAAGCGACGAAAACAGCGAAATAACAGTATCTCACGTGTTTTGAGGAAGGACCAGACACCTTGCATTATTCGCCTAAACTTGGCTCGTTTAGTGAGGACGTCTTCTACATGTCGATCTAGCGAGTCCTCCATGTCCTCCAGTCCTTCCTGCTCGCCCTTCTCAGGATCATGCTTGTGTTTGCGCCGAGAAGGCGAGGAAAGGACAACAACTGGTTTCCGAGAGTAAAATGAAAGTGGAGGTCTAGGACCCGCGATCAGTATGAAATATGTAGTAAGAAAGTGGCGATAACTTCGTACATCAGGATGGCGTTTGCTGCATTGGCTAGAGTCGATACAGTAGCAATCTGAGGGTCTACAAAACTGTCAGAACGTCGTCAGATGTATGTAGGGGGCTTGGAAAGTTACCGATTACTTCGAGGTGCTCAACAATGTCCTCTTGGTGATGCAGCTCGTCGAGGCCGATATCTTCGGGTTGGATGTTAGAGGGCAAACTAAGTGCGCTCTCAACAAGTCCAGGGGTACGATCTCCCGACTCTGTGTGCATCCTGATCTCAGCATTCTCACCCTGGAGGCTAATGGTCCGTTCTCCAAGAGGTGAAGTCACACGAGGGGGTTGGCGCGGAGAAGGAGCTGGGCGAGATCGTGACTGCGACTGAGACCCTGATTGAGAGTGGGGTTCGGAGGACTCAAAGATGGTGGGAAATGGATCGTGAGCCCAAGGGTACTGAGAATGAGAAAGGAAGTCGGAACGGTTGCTGGAGTTGCGGCGGAGGTGATAGGCTACTCTACTCGATGATCGTGAATTGTTGGGTGAGGTGGCCAAAGGGGGTCGGGTGGGCGAGTTCTCAGGAATGATTCTCTGCTGACCACTGGGAGGAATCCTTGGACTGGAGGACGTCGATGATGTCCTCGGAGTAGAGGAGAAAGGGTTTTGTATCCAGCTGGTAGAGGACCGATGGGAGAAAGAATTAGGGTATGGGCGATCGTCGCTATTGAGTCTGCCATAGCCTGAGGGCACTTTCTTGATCCTGACAGAGGACATGAGTACCGTGGAGAGACAAGACGAAAGTTGGAAACGAGAATTGGATATAACATCACCTTGAGCTATGACGATCGTGCTTGGCCTCTCCCGCGCTCCTCTGCCAGCCACGGTGGAGTCGCGCCCGGACCAGACGGAGGAGCAGTACTAGGTAGGAGCAGGAACAGCATCAGCGATGAATCATGTCAAACGTCATATTAGGTAATTAAGGCAAGTGCCTTTATTGAAGATTGAATTCTTACAGTATCTTTATTTTTGATCTTATCTAGCATTAGATTATGAGCTATATAATACCAATCTATAATTATGCAACATGTTGAGAGTCTCGTCCAGATCACTTGCTTGTGTCGTTATCAACGGCGCCCCGGCCGACATCATGTTGGGTGATCGTCTGGGATACACTTTAGCATTTGGTACACATTCGATCTGATGATCACACTCACAGATTGCTTGTTGCGCCCGAAGACGCTTCTGATCGACTTGCCCCTCCGCCGTGATGTTGTGCTACTTGAGCTCCGCCGGCCACCAGTCTTGCCAAACTCACTTGCATCTATGCCACTAGGTTCGTCGGCCAGCGCCACTCCGGTTATACTACCCCGCGAGCTCTCCACGGGTTTCAGTTGGCGCCCACGTTCCATCGTCTCTTTCTCTCGCATCGCCTTCATGGAGCCGGTTGGGTCGAGTTGCGAAGCACCCCTTGACGCAATTAACTTCGTCTTCGAAAAGAGCTCCCGAGCCACAGGAAGCACAGGAACCAGAGGTTGATGGAAAGCCATCTTGACCCAACCCTTCCATGTCATGTCCGAAGGAATGAACTGGTCCACAAGCTCTTCAAACTATGCCTTCCCGTGAGACCAAGCTTGCAATAAAGGGTGCTTGATACTCACGCTCCATGTCTGATTGCGATACTCCAAGTCGCGAGTCCGTATTCGAGCATCACGGCATTCGAAAGATTCCTCCTTCATGATGCTCAAAAGAAGATGCAAGCTAGCAAAACGTTATCAACTGCACCTTTCCTTCAAACACTGAAAGTTCATACCTCGAAATCTTGACAAACACAAATGTCTTCTGAGATGAGCGTGTCTTCATTTCTGCTGCGTCATCTCTAAGTTTAGGCTTGTCGTGCTTTGACAGCGCCGTGTGCGGTCTCGCGACATCATCTTTAACGTCTGGTGTACCTGTTAGAGACTGCTGAGCCGAGTCCACGCGAGGGATTAATGTACCACTGCGATTCTCTGATGCTGCGCTACGTAAATCGTTGAACGACCGAGAGGAGCCTAACTTGCGAAGACGTGGAGGAGCGAGACCTGTGGAGTCAAGAGACGCGCGAGGGCGATGGGTTGGTCCAAAGTTACTCGACGCTTCACCCCCTTCAAAAGAGCCACGAGGTGATGGTGAGTACCATGGCGAACTTTCCTCTGGAGGAGACTGCCGGTCCTCGATCGTGCGATTCTTACGAGCCGGCCATACGTACTCCATAATCCGCTGACCAAGTCGCGCATCTAGTTGGAGACGAATGGGATGGAAGTTGAGCTGAAACTCCTCGTATATGGTGATTCCCCCAACGGGTGCAAGCACAGTCCAATCAGCCAACAGGAAGAGCCCCCTCTATGAGAAAGGTTAGTTCTTTCTTAGAAATTGATCACGAGGCTTGCCTTCAACAGTGGATGATTCGATGGCTCCTCGTATTTAGTTACAATCTCAGCCCAGACCGCATTCGGCGAACCGTCAAATGCCTGAAGATCGCCAACAGCCAGGTTATTTGACGTCGAACTATCTTGCTTGCTTAGCCAGGAGAAGTCGATGTTTCTCACAGCGAGCTTAGCTAGGAGCTCGCGTCGCTCGTCGAGCATCATCCATGAGATCTCATTTGAGAGGGTATGCAGCAGTAGCGCTGACTTCTGGTCCGTCCGTTCGTCAGCGCGATCCTGAGCCAACTTGATGGCATCGAAGATGAGGTTGAGCTCTTCGGTAAGGAGGAAGATGTGCGCGTTGAGCTTGTAGATCTCCATACGATTGTTTCCATCATCAAGATTGGCCTGCATATCAGCCTCGCTCCACGTCTCAATGGCATTGCGAAGGCGGGTTTGAAGATTGGCAACAACGTCAGCTGCTGAACTCAGGTCGGTGAAGTCATATGAGAAGAGGAGGGTCTCCAGTCTCTCTAACCGGTGCTTGTGAACAGGGTCGGAGAAAAGAACAAGATTGGTCACAATGTTGGAGATCGCTTGGAAATGCCTGTCTGTCGCGGAAACTGTGAAGCGTGGCACATGAACCTGAATCAGATCCTAAGGAGAAGGCTAAGATTACGCTAAGTGACAGCAAAAGTAAGCCCACCGTCTCGTTATGCAAGTGTGCAGTGTTCTTCCGCTCGGGGTCGTCATGCGACGAGCGAGTGACGGAAGTGACGTTATTGCGAAGGCGTAGTCTGTTGAACTTATCGTAATGGAATGTCGCATCAGTCTGAGGCACAATGCGATCAAACTCTGGACTCTCGCAACGATAGTCAATGAGGACTTCAACGGGTACGCATCCATCACCGTCATAGCCTGGCGCAGGGCAGAATGTTTGAAGTCCCCCCAGAAATACATGGTTTCTGCAAAAACCTCAGTGCATGATCAGTGAGGAGAGGAAACCGATTACCGTGACATGATCCTTCCACTGACAGGATCCTCCAGATTGGACAAGTCCATAATCTGGAAGGTCTGTACTTTGGCTTGCACGGCTGCGAGCACAGAGACAGCTTCAGCTTGCGCTTCACTTCGAAGGACGATCTGAGGTTTGAGCAGTAGGCAGAAGTGACTTTTCTGAAGGAGAACGCCTTCGTCCCAACCTGCGAGAGGATCGACAGAGGCGGCACCGGAGAAATCGTCATCGATGTTCACAGAAAGGCTGCTTCCATCCGGGGCGAAGATCCGCCGTAGTGCGTCAGCAGCTACTTGTGCAGGCTTTGAAGCCCCCTTTCCCTTCTCTTGTTCATCGGGGACATTGAGGGACATGATTGCTTCGGCTTGGTCTCTGATGAACTTTACAGCACTAAAAACGACATTGAGGGGTGAAACTTCTTCAAAAAGAATCCATTTACCGTGTAGACATATGATACTCAAACCCTCGGCGGTTCTTAGAGCAATTATAGTACTGCATGAGAATCTTGAAGAGCCACGTTAGCATCACGTCAAAATTGTTGTTAAGGTCAAGTACATCACGAATTGAGTTACTCATGTAGACCTTTGGAGAGTGCACTTGGTAAACGTTCTCGAAGTCAGCCCAATCGTCTGGCGAGACCGTGTCTGACGGCATGTAGTAATTCCGGTTGCCAGACGTGGAGTCAGCGTTATTGACCTCAGATGCTGTATCCACGACTTGAAGATAGGCTATATACTCTTCTAGAAGATTGACCATATTCATAGCTGACTGAGAATGTGAGTCTTGCAAAACGGCGGCGCGCTTCTCAGCAAGACCAATTTCAACCTGGTTTACCGCTATAAGAAATCAAATAAATTACTTAGTAAAGCAATAGCTGAATCAAAGCGATTTAACCCACACAGTTCCTTGCCGAGGAGACATGTATGGGAATCTTCGTTGCCGAATTTACTGTTTTGTGCCTCAAATTCTGGTGACTTGTTATGCTTCTTGAAGTATGTGAGCCGTGAGCAAGAAGCTGCATGTACCATAGAGATCTCGGGCTGAGCACTTGTCGACCAATCTGTCTCCACAAAGTCGTCAGGATCTAGCCATAGAGGAGGAACTTCGGTTGGAGGCAACTGTGCCCTTTGAGCATGAACAGTGCTGGAGTCTAGAGGCGATACGTGAACGGTCTGCTTGAGATACTCCGGAAAGGTCGCTAGAAGCGCATGAATGTCCAGGCCTTTCATAACCGCTTCCGCTGCATAAAAGGGTTTATGCCGTATGACCTTGATGCTTCCAGGCGTCTTCCCGGGAGCAATCGACTCCTGATCTCGCTGATGTAGGTCAGCTTGGAAATGATCAATTTTGGCTTTGAGTCCGACACAGGGCGTCACGCCTTCCAACCAAGATTCGCGAGACTCTTCAATGTATATATGTGAGATGAAAACATCCGGGATGCTAAAGCGGTATTTCAGTGTTGCCAGGTGTCGTCCAAACTTCGGAGAGGTCGGCTTTGGTGGATAGTAGGAACCAGAGCGGATCGGTAACGTCAATGCGTTGTCGAACAGACTCCACCATGCAAAAAAGTGGGCGAATCCTTTGGGCGTAAGATGAAACCTACTGGGAGCAGCAGAGCTTTGGCCGTCTCTGCCGTGCAACGACGATGTTAAAGAAACCGACAGATGTATGAAATCGGACCGAAAAGCATTATATGAGTCATCTACAGTCTGTGAAAGGGCCAGATCCTCAGAGGACATGAGCGCATATTGTTTACACATGCTTACCTTAATGGTGGGCTTCTCGGTCTTCTTCTCGAGCGTGACGTCGTAGTGGGGACGGAAGTCGAAAAGACGACATTTGCGATCGAAGGCTCCTCCGCTGCAAGTTCGGCATTCTTCGCCACAAGAACGCTCAAGTACGATGCCTACTCCAAACCGAACGCCCCCTCCGAACTTAGCGCATGGTTTTGTGCAGCCATGCTGGCAATGGAACGGATCCTGCAAAGCCATGCGACCGCCGCGCCGGGACGACTTAACACTGTGTCGCGAAGTGGAGCTGAATCTGACCAATGTGAACATTGATTCATAGTCGATCAACCGCAGACTTACTTCGGAATTATGACCGCAAGAGTATCGCTCAGGACTTGAACTGCTTCTTTGTCCTCGTTCTGCATCCCAATCCGTATTCTTGAGTTACCTCGCCAACACAAGGCAAATCCGGCCCCTGTGCCATGCAGAATATGAGGGTCCCGAGACCCTGGTAATTGATTGGCTCGATTAAAGAACAAAGTGGAAAGGAGCATGCGTGCAGACCTTTCATGTAAAGTCTGACTTCCTCCTTGAAAGTAATCTCGACTTTCCAGTGACAGATCAACCTAAGCTAAAAACGAGTGAAAACCTATTAATTTCGAATTGGTAAGAGGGCTTACTTTATCCCAAAACCCGATGGAAGGTGAGGGGTCCACGGGTTCAGAAGTGATGGCCTCGATGACGCGCACAAAGTCTTGTGTTACAGCGCTATAGCTCACACCCCAGGCAAAAGTAGTGATGTCATCGGTGAGGATTTGGACACTGGGACTGGCGTAGGTTTTCACTGGCATGGTCGTCTTGGGGACATCAATTTGCATCAAGTGCTGGAGATCGCGCCCTTGGCAAGTATCAATGTAACAGGGTATCCAATCCACTGACGAACTCGGGCCCATCTGCTCTGCAATAACAAGGTCGGCTTTGAATCGGATTGCGGGAGACTCGGTGTCCTTCTTGTTGGGAGGGATATGGATGAGAGGTATTGGGTAATCTCGCAAAGATAGCCGCAGTGAACCCGCTGTGAAGTCAAGATGCAGTGGAATAAGCAACCAATGGAGCGAGTCCAAGGGGTCTCCACCTCCTTGGTCATGCAGATAATTAGGCAATTGATCAAGAGGGAATGATGGCTTTCCGACTGAGAGAGACAGTCGGTACACAACGATTCGGAAAAGGGGAGGCGTGTTATCAGGACTAGCGACCGACATGCCGCCCTCTTTGGGAGGCCACCGCATGTCAAAGGGACGACGAAACTGGCGACAGAACTCGTTTTCAGTTTGAATACGTTCATTCATTTTTTTGCGATGTCTGAGCTTCCAGTCTATTGAGTGAGCAAGACGGAGACGTTCCTGAGCTTCCTCAATAGAGACAGAATGTTTTGAATCAAAGGAGTAGTTTGAGTCATTTCCGGGGCCTTTCGTCGCGGAGTTCGTCACGCATTCTGCTGCTAAAATTGCGGCGACCTTAGCCTTGAAAGCATCTTCTCGTTGAAGGCGTTCTTTAGAAGCGCTATACCCAACTTGTGATATTAAGCCGAACTTGCTCTCGAACGGATCATCCATAGCTTCCACGCAAATCATTGTGACATTGATCTTCATGTTGGGTACTTCTTTGGCCTCTTCAGCTTCTGGGGCCTCAAATGGGAAATAGCAATCGGCAGCAACCACACGAGCTAGGTGGCGCGAGCATTTTAAGGTGACTACAACACTGCGAATCAAATGGGCCAGGATATAGTTGTGAGGGATCTGTAAATATGCGCTTTCTCCATCAATTGCAAGCGCCTTTGAGGATGAAATTGATATCGACCAGCGGTTGAGGCGACCTAACTCTTCCCACTGGGCATCCTTCAACTCGTTAGGGTGCTGTGACTGGGGCGACACAGGCACCAAGAGCACAAGCGTGCTCCAGGACACGTCTCTTACGGTTGGCGTGAGTGAGAGCAGGAGCACATCCATTCTTGTAACGAGGACTTGCTCCTGGAGACTCCATTGGAGGTAAATATCCTGGATCGTGCTTCGGAAGTGTAAGATTGGTGGTGGAGATTGCGACTCGGGTTTGGGAGAAGGAGTAGATGGCGGGCGAAATGATTGAATGACACGCGCTGCAATGAGTGTATGATATAAACAAGAAACATCAAATGTGAATTGAAGCGTCCGAGCATCAAGTGTTGCATCATATTCTGTCAAGCTGGAGATGGCAGAGGATGTCATCTGGGACCGACGTTGCATCTTAACATCAAGAGACCCCTTCTTCAACAAAAGGAAATCCTGAGAACGCAGATCATCTTCATCCTTTTCCGCAATGTAAGGATCATCCATCGAGTATAGATCAGCCGCCGCAGTCCGCAGCGATGTCTGCCACACTCTGATTTTGCTGAAGCTCGTGGTGCCTTCGTTAGGGCTGGAAGCTTTGACCGAAGCTACAGCTTCTATGATGCGCTCTTCCATCAAGTATAACTTGTGCCGAGCCTGAGAGCGAGTTCGCAAGTCTTTGATAGCCTCTAGTTGTGGTGGGTGAAGTGAGACAAACTCTGCGGAAATGCCTGTGCGAAAAGCGATCCCTCGAGTAATGTCATCTTCTGCCCCTGGACTGGCATCATGTCCAGTTACAAACAGGACACATCGAGCAATGGATGTTGAAATAGCAAAGCCAATGCCCGTTGATCCATCCGACTCCACTAGGTTAGATTGTGACTGCTTGCCTGGTCTTAAGGGCGGAAGTGTGTGCAAGACCGTCTTCAGAGACTTCACAGCTCTTGGAGACCAAAGTTCCATGACAAAGGCTTCAGTAAAGCAATGGATGTTCAAGAAAATTGAATGAGGGTCAAGTGAGACACCATAATTGGTTTGATCACTATGTTCTCCGAAGGCCGTGGTCACACCAGTGATTTCTATTGATTCGAGGGCAATCAACGGATCGCCAGTATTACTATCTGGACGAAGCCTTGACGCCCTGTGAGCACTTCTGCTGGAGGATTTCGAATTAAGATGAAGGAAAAAAGGCTCCGTGACCACCCGAAGATCTCCTGTCATGTGAACGTATAGTTGGTCGAACTCAGGGCCATATAGCTTTCGACCTGCAGAAAGAGGCCGTGCTCGGAAAGAAGTTGAGTAAGTACAGACAAGCCCACTTGTCTTAACCTCGAGCGCGACAGGTTCTCCATAACTTTGTTCGTCCACATATATGACACGGGCTGCTATTGCACCTAGCTGGAGACCGAAATCGATTCTGGGTACGTGAGAAACGATGGGAAGCATAGCCGGTTTAGATGAAGGCCTCGAATGGCTCGGGAAATTAGCTTGAAACACCTCGTCCAACATATCGCAACGCTCTGTTATGTCCAATGAGCCCAAGTTTACTCTGATGGCCAACAACGGGGCATTTGGGTTGCCATAATCATCGGACGTCATAGGCAACCATGGCGACGACCATTGAGAGGCCAAACAGTTCAGACTAACCGGCCCAACAGAGATTATCTGAAGGGAGTCGTTTGAGGCCGCAGTAACTCGCCGTAGACTCGATTGCGCAATAGAATAACTTAGATTGTATGCTGACCTCGAGCTTGCCGTTCCTGTGCCATCATAACTGCCCAGTAGGTTCCGGTGAAGTTCGCTGGAAGCCGGCTTGCTTAGACCGCATCGAAGATGCATGCTGCCAAGGGTGCCTATATATTTGCTTCGTCCAATGTTCTTGTCCAAAGTCACGCTAGCGATAGTCACCTCTGCCGTTAGGAGCAAGGATATCCATGACTAAAATTTTGACTGAGGAGACCTCGCATGCAAATAGTGAACATACATACTATTGAGGGTTTTCTTCGCTTGATGGCATGGTTCCCCGTGATAAAGGGAGAGTGTATGGAGGGCTAGCAGCAACTTCAACACAAGCCACAGATAGCTACTAGTCACTTACCGTGCTAAAGCGAGTCTTGCCACTAGAGATCGAGGATCCGGTAGAAATGGGAGCTGGGGAGAGGACAGAAGGATGCGATATGTCCCTTAACTGATTGACGAACAACTCCAAGCCATCGAAGTGTATAGATACATCCCTAAGTCCCAATGCGATGGAGAGACCCTCGGGTTCGAAAGAACCATCCTTGGGGCTGAAATGAGCTTCGCCACGGAAAGATACTTTCGGGACCTCAAAAAATGGCACTGAAGAGATGACAAATCAGCTCAATCGACGCAGACCATTTGCAGATTGACAAACTTACGCGACGAGGGCACAGACTCGCCGGTAACCCTTCCAATGTGGAGAACAAAGGATGCGTGGCCTCTGCTTTGACCCCATGTGACATCCCAGGCCTTACTCCACGTTCTCATAAAGTTGCTGGATATGCGTGATTTCCAAGCACCCATCGCAAGAGCTCTAGCCGTTAGGTGTTGGTTCTGGCTAGCTGCTGGACCCTGTGAGGGGATCCGGCTTGCCCGAAGTTCTGTAAATAGAACCTGCACGTCTATAGACATTTGATCTAAGACAATGCGATGGTTAGATGCGACATCAAAGATGACTGCTACAGAATCGAGCTCTATACGAAGAGCCTGAGTGAGTGTCGGTATGACCCGTATAAGTTGTGCAAGTATGGCGGACACGCAAAAGCGTATGAGGGGTCTTACGACGGGATCGATGGTTGAAATAACAGCAAGGAGGGCGGACCACACACGGATGGCCAAAGGAGAGGGGGAAAAGTCGGCTAAGGTGAGTCTCCGCCTATGGCGCGTCATGAACTGGCGAGGCGCCTGGAGTTTTCCAACCCGTAACGTCAGTCCCTCCAAGGTGAAGCAGAATTGTTTAGCTTTTCCTTGCCCTTGGAAAGGCCTCGACACGCCGATACGATCTACAGTGAGCGTGATATTGCCCCGACGAAAGTATACGCCGCGTATAGAGCGTAGGCTGATGCTCCGAACCCGCACATGTCTTGAGAATAGATTGAGCGCACCAGGTAGAAGGTAAGTCCGAATGAGTAATGCACATAGGATGAATCTAGCGGTCCAAATGGCTATGACAATCCATGGGGAGGGATATGGTTGAGAGAATCCGAAGAGTATGACCTTGAAGAAGTTGAAAAGTGGGAAAGTAGCTTCCATGCCTCTTTTCTAGTACGGTTGAAGGTTGGTAAAGGAAGTCCTCAGAAGTTGGTGTTGCAGTAGGTTTAATGAGAGCGAAATGGGGAGTCGGCGGACCAACGAATGGAAAGGAGCGGGAAGGAATAAGGATCGACTGGTGTTTGAATATTGTTATGTAGCGCTGAAGGTGCGACCCATCCACACTAACTGTTGGTCTAACTGTTGGTCGATGCAACTGGAGGGAAAGTGCTCGACGCTAGGGCGGTTTGGCTGTCAAGCTTTCAAGCTTCAAGGCCGACGTTGTCAATGTCAATGTCACACCTGAACGTTTGAACGCGCAAAGGTTCCGTGCGCAGCCAGGTCGGCACGTGACATCGCGTGGCGCTTGTCCGCTGGACCAATAATTATAAGTACTTGTTCGACTCGCTTCGTGACTTGGCTTTCGAGATCACGTTGTGATACAAGAGAAAAGGCGTCATACATAGTGAGCTTAAACTACGGCAAACATGGGGTACAGTAGGGCATGTCATATTCCAGCACACTAATCTCAATCCTCTGTACCACCCACACCCGGTCGAGCTGCTCGCCTAGAACACCATCTCATGAGGGAACTGGCCCTTCGACAGGCCGAAAGTGGCCTTGAGGTATTTGGCAAGGTTCTCCTGCTTTTGGATAGCCGAGATGACGGCCTTGTCAACCTCCTTCTGATCTGCTGACTTAGCCTCAGGGAATGTCTCCCTCTGCTTGGGCTTTCCATCGGCAAAGAACTCTGCCTCCGCTGACCCGGCGCTCTTTGCAGACGCCTTAGCGAAGTACGAGTCGTTGATTTTGGCGTCAACCTGGGTCTGCACTTAGATGGTGTCTAAGAGGATAGTATCGCCAATACGCACCTTCAGACCCTCAAGCTCAACCTTGGTGGACGTGGCGATAACGTATGCCTGGTTCACCCTCCGGAGGGGAACACCATTAATCTTGTACGGCCCAGTCACCAACAACAATCCGCTCTCCAGCTGCTTCAAGAAGACAACGCGCTTCCCTCTGAAGCGCCCTGCCAACAAGATGAGGACAGCTCCGGGTGTTATGGAGGGGCGAAGCCTGGCGGGTTTTGGTGTTTTGCGGCTCTTCTTGGGTTGGCGGACAGCTTCAGCGGGGTAGAAACGGGGGGCTTTCGAGGTAGGAACAAGACGCGCTCCGGCATTCTTGTCGCCGCCGACCTTGACCTCCTTGTGGGCAGGAACAGGCTCGGTGGCAGGCTTCTCCGAAGTTTTGGGACCCTTATAAAGGCCCCTCCGCGCTGCAGCCTGGGAGCGAGAGAAGCGACCAATTCCAGGTGCGAGCTGTCTGCTGCGGGCCATCTGTAGGGTTTAGTCAGTCAGGCCGCGTACCAGGAGGAACATTGAGTTGCGAGGAGTCCATCCAGATGAGCCATGTTCCATCCATCCTCAATTTCCACCTCCACCACCCAACCCTTTCAAATGGCCATCCAGACGACCCCTAGCTTGCGTTCGGATGAGTGAAACAGGCGCTCACAGTGTCGATCTTGAGGGTTCTTGCTGTTGAGGACGTCTATGGGCTATCTCTACACGCCAGACATCCACCGCGCATCGGAGTTGCCGCGCGTGAGAAGCCATTTCCATATATGTGATCCCTTATACTTGTGTTGGGCGTCTTTTCCGCTCCACAGATCTAAGACTGCCTTGAGATATATCTTGCGTCAAGGTCAAGGTCGAGGTCGAGGGCTGAATTCTTTGAATTCCCAATATACTGGAAAACCATGGCTGGTGTCGAAGGTGCCCCTTCATCCTCTGACATGTTAACTATGTTTCATTCTCTGTCTGCTTCTTAGATCCTAGGTCCATAATATGGTTTGACATAGACAACACATTGTACTCTGCGAGTACTAAGATATCTCAGGAGATGGGGAAGCGTATACACTGTAACCGTTGCTCGTCATGCAAGGGGGCCTTGAGCTGACCCATCGGCGACCAGCGTACTTCGTGTCCATGGGATTGAGCGAAGAAGAAGCATCGGTTCTCCATCATCAATACTATACCCAGTATGGATTGGCTCTTCGTGGACTCACTCGGCATCACGATATAGGTTTGGAGAACTGCTTTGTAAAAACCGAGAGCCCCGATCAACTTTTCATGTCTCAGATCCAATGGATTTCGATCGCAAGTGCGACTGTACCCTCCCGCTAGAACAATTAATCAAACCGAATCCCTCTCTCCTGCAACTGTTCGAAGACCTCGATAGATCGAAGGTCAGAGTGTGGGCACTTACAAACGCTTACGAGTTTGTGAGTTTGTGTGGATATGTAAGAAGTACAGCCGCTGATTAGTATTAGCATGCACGTCGGGTTCTCAAGACGTTGCAAGTTGAAGATCAGATAGAGGGGCTCGTTTACTGCGACTATACCCAACCTAATTTTTCTTGCAAGCCGGAAGCAGCATTTTACCATGATGTTAGTACATACTAGGCTTCCCTGCGAAAGCTATTGATACAATCAATCTGATCCGTAATCCAGGCGATGAAGAAGGCCGGCATTTCGGACCCATCGAAGTGTTTCTTCGTTGACGACAGCCGATTGAACATCAAAGCTGCTAAGGATCTAGGTTGGGGGCGCTGCGCCTATTTTCTCGAGGCTGGATTAGAAGCTGTAGAGGGAGGTCAGGTGAAGAAACTAACCAACCAGGGACATGAAACCCTTGAAGGGATAGATGTAATCAATAGCCTTGAAGAATTGAGGAGGATTTGGCCAGACATCTTCGTTACCACATACCCACCTGAAACCTAGCACAGTTTATGTGATAATAGAACTATGAAATTTATGAACAAATAAACACATTGTACGATGTTCAGTTATTTCAAGTTATACAATGACTACAAGGGCAATTGCTGTAGCTGTAGTATGTATTTTATAGATACTGCCCTGTCATTAGAAGATTACAACCGAAAGTACATATGATGCCTCTGAGACCTCCAGAATCAGACCGTCGTAGCCGTGAAGTTCTGTATAGGGAGAGAAAGTAAGTCCTGAGATTCACGAAAAGCTTCGAAGCGTACGTGTTTCAGAGTTAGGCAGCGTAATTCCCTCCTCATCCACCGTGCGATCAAGGAGCATTGATGGTGGCGAACCTTGAGGACCAAGGAAGTGATTGATAATATCGAACTGAATGTCGGGTGAGAGAGCTTAGCTTGGTATATAAACATTTTTGTACCTTCTCGTCAAAATGCCTTGTAGGTGGCGTATCTATGCACAAATAAGCAAATTCAAATCTTGAAGACGAGTGGCGTACCATCTTCGTCGTCTTCGGGTTTCCCTTCAAGTTCCCAAGGGCAACGTTTGTACCGTAGGAACAATGGGGATCCGGGCTGAAAATGTTTTTACATGCTGAACATGAAGACATCGGCCGACTTACAACGTTGGAGTGAATGATTATTTTCTGCAAGATGTGGGTTCGGCCAGAGATGAGAAAGTCGATCCCATGTTGAAAGTAATTGTAAAAATCTGTGATATGCGAAATGAATATGATCAACATTCGCAACTTAGAAATGCCCACAGTCCGAGCCTGGGTTTTCCTCTGAGCACTGAGGCGAGTGAATTGTCATACGTTCATCTTCCTTGTAGTGTATGCGGTTTGGAGGTCCAAGATCAACGTTGAGGTCTTGTGCGCTGGTCTCGCCGATTCGAATGTGCAGTGAGGGTACGCCAGGCGGATAAAAGTACAACACGACGCCGTGGTGTATCTAAAAAATAGCTAAGGCAGCATGCACAAGGTGTGGATGGCGAGACATACCTTAGCTATTGCGCGTGAAATATCTCCGTACATTGGAGGACACACCACGACTTCGTTCGTCCCGTCATGATTTTCTCCGTTGGAGGGCTTTTGCACGACAAATATACGTTTCACCTCCTGGTTCCGGCCGTCCGCACTGAAATTAGCGCCACCAGAGCTTTCATCTGTCGCATCTTCCTCAAAGCTAAACCAGACACCAGGATATTTGAGCTCATTCCCTGCGTAGGTTGGACCAAAAGTCCTGCTGACTTTGACTCTGGACAGAGCTTCTCCAGAGGAGATGATTTCTGAGTTCTTATAGAGCAGTGCCATATGTGGCTGTTGCCTCAGCCCTCTGAGACAGATTGTATGTAATCGCTGCTGGCGGCCAGAGAAAAGGAGATCAAAGTGAGGACGGAGGTGTAGGATCACAGGAGTTGTGGAGGAAAGCTCTGGGTCGTATTTAACTTCAACTTGTGGGAATAGGTTTTGCGAAGACCTAAGCTGTTCGATGACTGTCCAGAGTGATGTACCTAGGAGACGAGCCATTGGTGACCTCTCCGACATGAGAGGCCAGAGTCACCTACCAAGCTCAAAAATACCAATCCCAGACCCAGGACGAATGTCCAGAGGCGTTGCGGAGAACATGGCGAGATAAAGAGGAGACCCGGGACCGGCCACGATGTCCGTCGAGTGTTGTGTTCTGCCACTGTGCCACTGGAGAGGGGCAAGAGCAAACCCAAAGGGGAAGGGCAGACATGTATGGTAAAACGCGATCGACCCAATCCGGACACGCGACCTTGAAACGCGACTTCTCGCGACAAGGCCTGTACATAAGTTGACGTTGTCTACTCCTCGAGTGCCTATACTTGCTATTCATTCGCACCTTTCTTCATCGACACGTATTTTGACGCGGCAGACTCTTCAATACTTGTGCTCAACACTCTTTGTATGGCCGACTCTCGTCAGAGGACTATCATTCAGGTCTGGCTATCTCTCATCGCGCACTCAACCTGTCATAATCTCAGACAGACGAATCACAAAGGTGTTCCGCAAGTATAGTCACTCGCTTGGCCCTGAAGCACTCCAATTCATAGAGAATGTCCTTCATCAACATGACATTTCCGAGGGAAACGTGGAATACTCAGTTGAGATGTTTGCAAAGGAGTACAACAAACAAGATGGTGTGTGCCTATCTGCTTGTGGTTCCCAAGTCTAGCATGATTCAAGCCGAAAATACTAGATGCTGCCATGAAAGTCTCATTGAGCATTCTGAAGCGCGTTTATGACACACTTCAAGATCAAGGTGCCGATGCAGACGCATTAGACGCTGAATTACTTGACCCCGAGAGCCACCTCCATATCATTGATGCGTTCGAAATGCCCTTGTGGAACTGGTCGCAGGAAAGAGGGACCTTCGAAAAGTGAGCGAGACAGTCAAAATACGTCGAAGTATCTGGGTCTAAATAATACAACTAGATTCTCGGGTCCTCTAACGATTGCCGGCAGCGCTGACACTCGTGTCATGGCCACCCGCAACAGGCTTCATATAATAAAACAAAGCGTCTTACGAAATGAACATTTCTCTCCATCAACTCTCCCGTCTCGCGACCGTGAGCGTCTTGTAACTGTGAGTGCGGTATCCATCACCCAGAGGTTACTATCGCTAACCCTTACCAGCTCAAATCAACGAAACAGCTACTTGGACGTGCGGGTGATCGCTTTTTACTCTTAGGTCTGCTGGTGCACAACAAGGAAGGAAAGCTTTGTATTGAAGACTCAGATGGTAGTGTAGAGCTCGACTTGTCCAAATTGGTGAGGTATCATTTATAGCTCATGATTTATTCAATACTCAGCGTCAACAGGGCGAACCCGGCGAGGGCCTTTATACTGAGGGTTGCCTCGCACTAGTCGAAGGAGAGTACACAGACGAAAACACGCTCGAAGTAGTCGCCATTGGTCAACCGCCGTGCGAAGACCGTGAGACAGCCAGGTACGCCAGCGTAATCATTCATAAGTGCTGGACTCAATATGGCTAGGTCAATATATGGCCATATCGACTTCTTGGGTAAAGGCTCGACGTCCCTCCTTGAAGATGTATGTTTGCATCGATTGCCACGGTTTATGCTCATTCTAGGTATCAGAGTAACTTCACACGGCGGATTCGCGAAGATCTTTCAGACTTGTACTTTTTCTTTCTATCCGACGTGTGGCTCGATGATCCTCGCACCTTTGTTGGGCTCCAAAAGATGTTCGACAACTGTGTGGCTAACAGTTTCATTCCAAAAGTCATCGCCCTATGCGGCAACTTCACTAGTCGGTCACTAGCCCAAGGGAATGCTAGGGACATCCAACGATATCAAGGTGAGCCCTTACTAAGGATCAACATGCTGAAAGCTGCTTACTTTGCCCTCTAGAAAACTTCGACACCCTGGCAGATCTCATAGCTTCGTATCCACAAGTCACCCGCACGACGCACTTTATCTTTGTGCCAGGGCCGTTAGATATAACTAGCAGTGGAACGCTGCCCCGACGACCACTGTTATCCACATTCACATCTCAGCTAAAATCTAAGATCCCAAGGGTTCATTTTGCCACCAATCCATGCCGAATCAAGTTTTTCGGACAAGAAATCGTGATTTTCCGTGAAAATACAATGGCTAGAATGCTTCGAAACACTGTTGGTGTAAAACCTCATGTTACTGGAGAGGAACTACGGCGATACGTTCGTCCTTCAGCTTCCTGCCTTGTGCTATGACACTGACTGAAAGACAGCTAGTCCAGTCAATCCTGGATCAAAGCCATTTAGTTCCTCTGACCTCGAGCATACTGCCAACCCTTCCAGATTATGATCACAGCCTACGGTTATACCCCCTTCCGACAGTAGTGAGTTGCTGATTCTCACAATATAGCAAAGGATTCAACGCCCTACAGGTGATCCTCGCCGACAAATATGAGAAATATAAGTTGACATATTCGGGATGTCATGTTTTTAATCCTGGAAGTTTCGTGGGCAAGGACTTTTCATTCTCGACGTACTGTCCCGCCGAGCTAGCATCCGAAGAAGGGTAAGCCTCGCTCATATGCATCCGTCATCTATTCATCTCGTTTAGGACTCTGGATATGGCATCCGAGGAAGACTGAAGCTACAAGCTGAGCAAAGATCATCTAGCGAATGTATGGTTTGCTTGTATAACGTTATAATAATCAAACGCGCCTCAAGACATGCGTATTATATTGGTACATACGAACTCAGAGGCACGCACTTGATAAAATGTAGACACCCCGCATGTTGCAAGCGTCTGTTTCTATAGCAATGAAATGCGGCGGTTTATATTGTTGCTGGCGGGTAGCGGATAATTTCTGGTGTGTACGTTGCAATAATTGTGACTGGCGGGTACTATGGTAAGTACATACGCAACTTCCTTGCTTGTTCTGCACCGCGTGCAACCAAGACGCGTCAAAGCCGCACGTGTCCCTGACATCCGTTTGTCCGCTTCCTGACTTCCACTTGATGCTTGTGCACGGTCTGGCGCGTCGGTCGACTCGACGGCTATGGCCAACTGGTGGCCCCCATAGCTCTGTAACGGTGCAAACGCCTGTTTGCAGACGTACGTTTTTAAGCATGGCTACCATGACGGAAGGCTTCCTAGACCTAGCCATTGCTTTGCCTTATCCCGCCGGATGGCCCGCGTATTCCTCTACAATCATCCTTCTCACTGTCCTCTCCAGGCTGGCGATTACGGTACCATTCTCTGTCTGGGTCTGTCTTATGCTTCGCCGTCATTGTGGGGTTCACGCTGAAGCGTCGTTCAGGCAAAAAAGCGGCAATGGAGAGCAGAGGACGAGGTCATTCCACGAGTGAAGGAACTAGCTCCCGAGGTGTCTCGACTCGTCCTAAAAGACATGAAAGAAGGGAGAGTGAAGGGAACCCAACAAGAGCTCCAAGCAATGCATGGCAAACGTGTGCAGCATATCGTATGGAGTACTCCCTCCTCGTGGATTCTACTGATATCATCCTTAGCTGAATACCCGACGTGACGAGCTCCTCAAGGAATACAACTGCAGGCCGGGCGTCACAATGGCCATTGCTCCACTCACTCAGCTTCCGCTTTTCATGGGATGCTCGATCCTCTTGACGCGACTTTCTCAGCATCCTACGCCGTTCGACTCGGAATCTTTTCTGACACTGTCAACGTTAACACATGCCGACCCCACAGCTACACTACCAATAGTTCTGGGATTCTTAACTTTGGCCAACGTGGAAAGTTCACGGTGGCTTATGACTGACGCCCAGCGGGAGCGTGAAGTGAAAGTACAGCAATGGAAGGAGGCTAAGGTCGCAAAAGGAGACACGGTCCTTGAGCCTCAGAAGATCATCAAATCGTCCCTTCGTATCCTATCCGTTGGTCGTATCGTAGTGGCCACTATGGTACCAGGGGTAAGAATACCTTTGACACCTTTGTTTACTATCCTCATTTTTCACAGAGTGTCGTGCTCTACTGGATCACATCAGCAGCATTCGGTCTGGTGCAGACCTGGGCGTTAGATTTTTGGGAAATTCGAAGGCGACGCACGAAGGCTTTGCCTTCCCCTTCTCCACCGCAAGGCCCGCCTTCACCCCAGCGCAAACCGAACAAGTCGGATAAAATCCCTGCGCGATGACAGCTTGCGACGGAGTTAGCTTAATGTGAGTCTTTCTGGCTAGCAAAAGTTAGATGCCGCGGAATGATTATAAAAGTGGTTTGAGGGAACCTCCAAAATCGCAGTCTTCTGTGTATGGTTCCCCATGATGGTTTCTTGATCTAATATGACCGCGCACCAGTCATCAGCGTCTTAGCAAAACTAACCCATTTGAGCCCAGATTTCGTATAATATTGATGTAATGTCGCGTAGCCAATATCGTCAACAATTGGCGAAGCGTCAGGAGACAGCTGTAAGAGGACCCCCGAAAAGAGACTTGAACTCGGGCCGAGGTGTCGGGACTCGGGAGTATTCAGACTTTCCGGAAGCGCAGGGGTGTAGAAGCACAGCCACCTTTGTACCCTTAGGCACTTGACATGATCAACTACATCCTCCTCGTATCCCGCCAAGGCTCGTATGCGCCCTCACTCTTGAAGCCGTACTTTATCTAAGCTTGCTCGCGTGTAGGTAAAACGCGTCTTGCCAAATGGTTTACCACAATGTCCCCAAAGGCGAAGGCCAAAATCGTCAAGGACGTCACACAGCTTGTGCTCGCTCGCCGGACAAGGATGTGCAATTTCCTCGAGTACAAAGGTGCGACGCAATGTGTCCGCCTAGTATGCAGTACACTGAAGAGCATCTTATAGATACTAAGGTTGTGTACCGGCGATATGCTTCCCTGTTCTTTGTTTGTGGTATTGGCGCAGGGGACAATGAACTCACCACGCTGGAGATCATCCATCGTTACGTTGAGGTTCTAGATCGCTACTTTGGCAACGTGAGCTCATGAGTTATCCGTCATTCACTCTTCGCTAAGTGTCGCTACCAGGTCTGCGAACTTGACTTGTGAGTGCCCGAGTAGTTTTCAGAACTTCAGCCTGTAATGTCCCCCAGGATCTTCAACTTCCAGAAGGCCTTCGCAGTGGGTTGCCACGTTACGATGACCTGTGCGTTCCGCTGATGTTTGCGCTCGCACAGATCTTAGACGAGTTGATTATCGCTGGCGAGCTTCAAGAGTCATCCAAGAAGTCAGTGTTGCGAGTGGTACGTTCTCTTTCCATGCGTTATGTCTCAGCATCATACCATGGCTTTTCAGGTCACTCAGTCGGACAGCGTGGAGGAACAGGAAAGTTCACAGGAGTTCGTCAATAATCTTGGCTCAAAGATGATGTGAGCCTGGTCTATGAGTGCCACCTGGACCCAGCCCAGCACCATCTTTATAGCCCACTTTACTTGTGATTCTATAACACTACCTTCGCACACTAGGGTCTCGCATCATAAGTGGTGTAATAACTTCATTGAGGTACTCAAGACTCTGTTGTGGTTGCTGACCCCCGATGCTTGTATAGTACATACCAACGTACAAGATCTAGAGTTGCTACGGAATCTTCAACGGATGAATGTCCTATCGTGCCGTCGCCCGATTGGATTTTAATGCCCAAATGCTCTCGAGCTCTGAAGATGTCACTTTAACTCTGAACCAACCTGCACATAGATCTGATCGCTTACAAGTCACGCAAAGACCTCCTATATGGTGGTCCAGCTCGGTGAGGGAACAAGATAGCGGTGTCGACGCATTTTGTATGAATCATTCGCAACGTCTTAAGATCGTTCTCCAGCGCATGCCCTATGAGTATCGTTTCGGAAGTAATATACTCATCCAATAGTTTGCGGACCCCGGATAACGTCCGCGTCGCCTTCGCAAGTTCTTCATTGGTGATACCGGAAAACCGCGTATTATGATCTCTGCGATCAATGTTAGGCCAGTTTTGCAAGGGCTTGAACGCACGAACATGACTTCAACGCCTTCATCCATCTGGACGAGTTCATCCAACAATTCCTTTCCAGCCCCATCCACAACGGACACTCGTGCAACTCTCATGCCACCGGTGGTGTAAATCATCTCGCAATCCAAGGCTACCACGTCCGCGACCTTGCCTTCGGAGCTGCTTTCACCACTTCGTGTGCAAGAGAACGCGTGACGTATGTGTAGCTCTTCTGGTTTTGACTCGTAGAAAACGTGGGAACCAACAGAGCATCCACCTTCCTCGGCTGTTCTCGAGCAGCATGAGTAGATCCGTAGCCGTTCTCCTGCGAGTGGGTTAACGCGTCTATATAAACGTGTGTCAGGCATATCTCACCATTCACGCTCCTAGTGAAAGGTCTGCCCCAGTGATGTGTGCACTCTGAAGGTGAGGGCCTTGATTCTACTCGATACGACAGACTGCAGCGCTCGCATGTGAATACTTCTCCTTCTGCATGAGGGCTGGTGCTGCCAGGACCGTCAGGGACATCTGTGATGTACCCCCATTTCTTCATGGTTTCTGAGGTCATGAGCAGGGGCTGCAGCAGTGATGCTGTGAGTTTAAGACATTCAATTTCTTTCTTAGACTCAGCGCGCTTTGTGATTTCCTCTTCTGTGCCAACAGAAGGGTGAGAGATAGAGTCGGGAACCGACCTCCGTTTCAGTGCCGCAATGGAATTAATGACTGCCTACAAGTCGTTAGGAATCACAGAGCCCAAAAGAAGGAAAACTAACATTTCGGTACGTTAGCTTAGTGGAGGTCCGGTACACCTCCTCCTCTTGCCGAAGGGCATGCTCAGAAGCCAACGTCGGGTTCGCATGCAAAATGGATGCATACAGAACTTTGAAATGCTCATACAGAGACTTCAGCATCGTCTAAGTTCCCAACTGATTAGCCTATTTATTCGGCCACTGATGCAGAGACAAACCTGGCGGACAGGGACCGCGACTAGAGATTGTGCAGCATTGACTCTAAGAGTGGGTACACCAGTCTGTGCATGTGGTCGCTTAAGTGAGATATCTAGAAGATTGAGACTGACATACAGTTGACTGTGAATTAGATGAGGGTGCGGCAGACTTTTGAGAGGTGGCAAACTTCGGCCTTTGCCTGGGAGGTTCGGAGGGGGTTACAGTGCCCTGTCTGGATTCAAGTGCAGGAGCATGGGAGGATAACTCAAGGGGCCGCTTGGCTGGAATTGTTTTTGGGGCGACAGACGTCGTGGCAAGCGAAGAGGAAGAGGAAGAGGCTTCCTGAGAATGATTACTGTGTGGCAATCTCGTAGCCCCTACATGGGACTTCGGGCGTTCGGTGACGGGTATAGGAAGGGATGGTATTGTCTGGGCATCCTGTCTATGAGAGAAAAGGCAGAACGGCCGACTGCAAGTGTCGGCATGAGGGCAGCGTTGATTACTGAAGAGCCCGAGAGCGGTAAACATGAGTAATTCGAAAACAATCCTCACGGCTTTGAGGCCCGAAGCACGGTGGCGGGACCGAGGAGGAAGGAGGGCGTGTAAGCGTGCATGACCTATTACTGACCTATCGCATCAAATCCAGTTCGCCGGTTTCTTGTCAAAATTCGTATATTATTTGCTATATTACCCAGCAACCCACACAGGTCTCGTCCCACCTTCTCTCTCAAGTGTCCCACCCTGGAGAAGTACTGCCCATGTCCAAGGAGCAGACAGTCAACACGGGTCTCCACCAGCGGAGAGAGAATGCTGGCCCCTTGTCCCGTATAGAGTCCGTCTTCATTTCTCTCCTCACGCGTCTAACTCACCTTTCTCCAAAGAACAGATCCTGCCCACCACTTGACCGGCCCGTTTCTGACCCAAACGTACGTCGCAACATGCTCTTGTGACCTTGCTGAACCTCACGCGCATCTGCAGCCCCCTCGGCGGCAACACTCCCTCCTCAGGTGGTTCACCAGTTTCTACCAATGGCAATGGATTTCCGCGCACCAAGGCCAAGCTAGGCTTCTGGGATGACATTACGAGCTTTCAATGGATTATCAAACCCGGTACGTCTTGCGTTCTTGCACCTACGTCTAGCTGCACTGGCTCACCTTGCTGCCTTTCTTCTCAGCGTCGTCATTCAAGATCCTTGTTTTCTTTGTGATTCTCTGGGCTAATTGGGCGGCACTCGCACCCTACGTGGCGACCAACCTCTCAAACCCTTTTGAACCTTTGCTCTTCATCTCACACCGGGTCCCCTCATCTCCCCCAGACGACGCTAGGTATCAGAAAGGATACCTCGACCTTGTCTTCATTGCATATCATATCGTGTTTTTCTCTTTCCTTCGACAATTCATCACCGTCACCTTATGCCGCCCCGTGGCGAGGTATTTTGGCATCCGGAAGCAAGGAAAAATAGACCGATTTGGCGAGCAGGGTTATGCGTTGGTGTATTTTGCCGTTATGGGCGCTTGGGGATACGTGAGTTTACTCCCTTGCTAACAAAATGTAGAGTTTAGTGAGCTGGTGGCAGCGCATCATGACCCAATTGCCAACGAACTGGTTTCAAACAAAGTACTTCTGGATTGGTGTGTACACAACCATTGACAGAGCATTCCCCTCACTCTTATCTTGGCAGATTATCCTCATTGGGACATGAAGCCAGAATTGAAGCGCTACTACCTCATGCACAGCGCATATTGGTGTCAGCAACTTATAGTCCTATTGCTTGGCTTGGAAAAACCTCGCAAGGACTATACTGAGCTTGTTGCCCACCACTTTGTGACCCTTTGGCTCATTGGGTAGGAGATGGTGTTGTTGCTAACTGCTACGAATTTTCCTCATCTTTGTTCAAAGGTGGAGCTACCTCATTAACCTGACGTTCATTGGCAATGCCGTTTACATGAGCATGGATATTCCGGACACATTCCTCGCTGTAAGACCGCTTTAGGCTTGACCTAGTTTGGCCCTTCATGATTAATGTCTTTTCAAGGCATCCAAACTGCTCAACTACATGCGCTGGGAGAAGACCAAAGTTGTATCTTTTATTGCGCTCCTAATCTCTTGGACGTAAGTCTATATACCTTTCCTGCAACCGTGCCAAAAGAAGCAACGTATTGCCCCTACAGCTATTTCAGACATTGGTTAAACCTGAAAATGTTATGGTCAGTCTGGTTTGAGTTTGACCTCATCTCGTGAGTCACGTTTACCTGCGCAACCTCAGGTCTTGACCCCTTTCCTCTTTGCTATTATAGCGAAACCAACCGGAGTTGGGCTCCCGAGACGGGTGCCTGGCTCACTTGGTGGATGAAATACCAGATATTTGCGCCTATACTTTTACTCCAGATTCTCAACCTATTCTGGTATTTCCTTATCTTACGAATTGGGTACAGGTACGTAAGTTCGCCTTCAGTCGTTGATTTGTCTAATACCATACTTCTTCAGGGCGATGCTCCAAGCACCTATGACAGACGTGAGGTCTGACGATGAAGATGACGGCGACGATGGAGACGATGAACCACTGATTGACAAGAAATCTAGCTAACTTACCCTAGAGGCCTGTGCTGAATAGGTAGCAGCATATCACTACTGGTGCAATATAGGCGACGCAGTCTTGCTTCGAACGCTCATGACAGTCTGACGGTTACATCGCTTTTGCACCTGAGAGTATACATGGCTATCTTACAGCAATTCAGTACACCATTACATTCCTTATCACTGCAACCCAAACACCTTAGTGGATTGCCTCCACCTGAGCCGGAGCACTAACTGGACCGAACATCCCTTCAAGATCATCATATTCGTCATCTTCGTCCCAAGGCTGCCAACTGACCTGCACGCCTGCTCCTGTTTGAGGGGCGTGTGGCGCGCTGACGTTGCCGGTCTGATTCGGCCATCTTTGCTCGCGTTGTATGTCGAGCGGGTCGCCGGATGCCATACTCTTCAATGAGAGAGCTGTGTACTACCAAAGATTCGTTCCATGCTGAGTCCCGTTTTACGAGTCAACGAGAGTATGCTTACTCTGGCATCATTACCTGCGTTGTGCAGGAATTCTGTGGGAATCTGTAGATGTCTACACATCCGTTCTAGACTTTTCTTGTTGTGGCCGGACTCGCCCTCAAGAGCGGCAAACAGCTCCGAGGTGTCAACAACGAATATGCCATGATCTGGCACAGCATCGGGTAGGGTCATTGATAACCCTCCAAGATCAACGTCCATGTGTTTGGACTGCAAATATCTAAGCGATGGTCGGGTTCATTTATAATCTGAAGAAAGAAAGGACCGACGAACTTGATATCCTGGCTATAATCATGAAAAACCAGAAAAAGCGGGCCTTGCTCCTGGAAGGACGCTAATAGCGTCTGAATGCGAGACTTGAAATTCGCCCGAGATAAAACCTCGCTCTCTCCAAATGAATAACGCTGAAAGATTTTTAGGCGTTAAATCCTCTGTTGAGACAAAGGTACAAATCCAAAACTAACCTCACGGTTGGTTGGGACAAAGGTGTTATTGTAATGCCGATATTCTTTGACAATCAGGTGACCATGGTCGTCGCTTTCATCTGCATCCTTCCACTTGAAAGCACTCCAACCAAACTCTGTGATCACTTCGTGATCGCGGTCCCATGCTTCGATGTCGATGGCGCACCAAATGCCTTTCTTTTCCGACCAGAAGGATCGTACTCGCTCAAACAATTGTCTCCGGTCGTGGAGCTTAGGGTTTGCTCCCTTCCTGCGCTTGTTGTCTTTGTCTATTTTCTGATACATGATGGGATCGTGTCATATACTAAGATGTATGATTGCCTTTCGATCTCACCTTGATTGCATTGCGGACATCGCCGCCGGTTTTGTAGACGACGCGAGAAGGATTGCCACGCAGATCGGCATCAGTCAAGAGACAGTCCGAGTACGGGAGAGGCAGTAGGGTCTTGGTCAGCTTCATTGCATGAAGCCAATATCGCATATATTCCACTTGGTCTGATGAGAACAATAACCTGTTCTCATTGTTTTGTAGTATTCCTGTGTATAGGCGCGTAGTTAGTTGGGAGGTCGTAGCCCGATACCAAGAACGACTATGATATTTTACCGATATGCAGCTCAACGCCGTCTACATCATCTACATGAAAAGGATGCTCCGGATGGACGAGAGCATCGTGCGCAAACCCTGCCTTGATACCACTGCGGTCATGAGGGTCTGTTATAGCGTTTGGCCTGTTGGTGGAAATGAGTGGACCACATTTGAAGTATTGCGCAGCATGCAAATACCATTCAAACCAGATGTCCGTGTATCTGTACCAACCTTTGACGACTGGAGCTGCCATCGGTAACGGTGCTAGCAAAAGATAAGATGAGTTGGCGCTCGTTCAAGCTTCAAGACGAAGTGTGTGGAAGCGCGACATGTCTGAAAAAGGGGTGATACCCTATATGGCAAGCAAGTTGAACCACACCGACCTGACTTGTCCAGCTCTCCTACGCGTCGTACGCCACATTGACCGCGCCCTGCCCATGACTGATGGCGCAGACCGTCCAAAAGCGTAGGCGGAACACAGACGCTACAGAGGAACACTCAGGTAATGAAGCAGGCCCCTCCAACCCCAAGCGTTTGAAGCACCAAACCGCACGCAAGAGCACGGGAGGCAAGGCTCCTCGTCCGCGGGATCCTGGCCCAAGCTCGCGCAGAGGACCACGTAAGTCTCCCGTTTTACGTCGTATGAATCCCTCTTGATCGGCCCGTAGGGCAGTCCACGGCGGAAAGTGACGGTGGCCAGAAGAAGAAACGCCGGTATCGTCCAGGGACACTTGCCCTTCGCGAAATCCGCAAATACCAGCGCAGTACCGACTTGCTCTTGCGACGACTACCTTTCTCGCGCGTTGTGCGTCCGCACTTCTATTCAATGACATCTCTCGACGCGCTAACACAGCAGTCCTTCGTCCAGGTACGCGAGATTGCTCTCGACATGATGACGGACACGAACTCCTACTCGTCTGACACGGGTCTGCGCTGGCAAAGCTCTGCAATTCTTGCACTGCAGGAAGCAACAGAGGCTTTCCTTGTACATTTGTTTGAAGACGCGTACGTAAACCTGCTCTGTTATCTGCCCGTTCATGTGCAAGCAATTTGCTCTTCTTAGGAACCTTTGTGCTATACATGCCAAGCGTGTCACGATCATGCAGCGGGATATCCAGCTCGCCCGGAGAATTAGAGGCCCGTGGGGTGGACTGGGCTGAACTACTCAGTCAAGCATCTGCCATTTCCAGTTCGTTTTTTTAACTTCCAGTCTATACGCACGTTCGTGTCGCTTTATTTGATTGTTGGATGCGACCAGGTTATAATACCGCATCAATGTATCCGTACACGTAAAACCTTTCGACATCATGCCGAAGACCTGCTTGCATAGCACATAAGTACTTTCAACTGGAAATCTACACGACGGTATGAATTTTAGTGTGATAACGAAGGGAGTAATACTACTAGCACAGATATTCTGCACAAAGAAGAAAAAGAGTCTGTAAGCGGAAAGTGTACGATTACGGCGGAATTGTATGATTGATGGGTTGCGGAACAAGAACATTGTAAAGATGCAGATCCGTTGTAGGGATGAAAAGGGAGCTGGGGTATCACAATATGACGCTAATGCAAGTAACGAGCGTGCAGGTGAGATAATAAAGTTACAGTCCATAGTCAAGTCTGTAGAAAAGCGCGTGTCTCCAATTACGCAATGGTGGACTGGCGGCGGTTCCCTGGATGCTGGAAATAGGGCGATGCACTCTGTCTATTGTAACCATTCAGCGGAAGAGCTTGAGTACGTGGCAATGTCGAAAGGTGATTTCGCGTCTGCTGTGAGCTTGGCGGTATCTGGCTAGATAATCTCCGCGGGGCGGATGGACGTCTCTCATGAAGGTCTGTCAGGCTTCCTGAATGTGGGGAGTCACCGCGTGAGGAGGTGAATGATGAATCGTTACTAGGCCGGCGATGGTGACCAGAATAGTTGGAATTCGACGAGCGGTTTCCACTGTGCCCACCCTCATAATTGCCACCATGGGAAACGTGATGTAAGTTTCGGTTGGAGGGCGAGTTTGAAGACAAAGAGCTAGACGAGTTTCGTCGACTCGATTGCCCCATCATGAATGGGGCCGAGGGGGGCAGTAGAGGCATGTCTAGCGGGGCAAAAACCGGCACACTAGGGAAGGTCGGGATAGGCGTGCCCATTGGCGTGTGAGACATGTAAGGAGATGCGTGAGGCATCGGCATCATCGGCATCATCGGAGGCACCGGTGGTCCATTCCACATAGGGTACTGGACCATCATGGGATCAACCCCAATCGTGTTCCTCTTGTTGAAACGCCCAGAGTCACGGGAGCGAATATCTTCAGAAGAGTTGGTGTAACTTGAGTAGACCGAAGGTGGCCGCGAGTTCCGTATACTACCTGCCAAACTATGCGAGGAAGAACTGTGCTGGGGGATGGGAGGGCTGGGTGATACTTCAGGTGCGCGTCTTTGAGTGGAGTGCGGGGATTGAGATTGGTTTTGAGGCTGAGAACGGCGACGTGAAGGGTCTCGTGAAGTCGAACGAGAGCGTTCTGTATTGCTCGGTGCCGGCGACGAGGGATGGCCAGCTCGCGCAGACTCACGGCGAAAACGAGTAGCTTTAACCTCCTCAGCCCACGACTGCTTACGTCTCGCCTCGTCAATTTGTGCCTGTCTCTGACGCTCCTGATCTCTTTCGAAACGCAGTTGCTCTGCTTCCTGCCTCGTGCGCTCTTCCCGCTTAAGACGTTCTGCGTCCTCCTTGTCTCGTCTGACTTTCTCCTGCTGGAGGAAGCGAGCCTTTTCTTCTCGACGTTGCTTGATGCGCAGAACGTAGCCCAGCGGAATCTGATCTTCCTTGTCATCCTCTGCAAATCTGACACCGCGTTTGGGTGCTGAGATCGTAGATGGCATTTTTGCAGGGTCAGGCTGGGGCGAAACAGGATCCGGAGATTGAGGAATGATTGCAGGCATTGTGGGCGGTGAATGGGGGAAATCTGCAAGACAAGGTGAATATAAATCCTACCGTCGATTATCTGGAGTGAAGTATTGTACGCACAAGATGCATCGGAGGGGAAGATGGATGCTGGTGGGGACGGAACATGTGGAGGCTGTTGTGAGGGCGGTGTTGGCTGGTCTGGCTGGGGATTGTCGTAGGTGACGCCCGCGAGTAGTTGGAGGCTATCCGAGAAGTCAAGTTCTGGCACGCCGAGGTGCGAACCGGGCACTCTGTGTGCTGTTAGGCCGCCCGATGCGTTGTCGGGCAAGTATAGAAGGACGCGTTCTTCGTAGCATGGGCGGTCGATCCAGCGATGGAGGCCTTGACTGGAGTGTGCAATTGATTTGGGAGCGGGATAGGAAATGTCACTGGGATTCGGCAAAGGAGAGCCGATCGGTTTAACCGAGTTGGAAGTGCGGTTAGCCAGGGTGACAATCAATGACGCATCTGCGGGGCTGAGATGAACGCTAGCAAGGCGGTCCGCAAGCTTCTTCCTGAGCATACTCATGCGAAGTGTCTCCACTTTAGGGGCCTCACCCCACAATCGACAGGATCGAGGATATGTTACAATTCCCGAGTCAACTGCTTGGATGAGCGGGGGCACCGACACCACCGGCCGCAGCTTGTTGACTGTCATGACACGTAGATTTTCACGTGCTTGATTGACCGCTGCCATCCGTGAGGCATGGCAGTGCAGCGAGTCGACGTCGGAGAGCGAGGCTGAATATTCTCCTGCTGGTGATGTCGCGGATTGAGGCAACGGTGGGATTGGCGGTGGATTTTCCAGCTCTGCCTCGGGGGTGTTTCTTCTGCCAAGCCATGACTTCCAGCTTGCCTTCCTGGTCGGCCGTCGAGGGATGACTTCATCTACTGGGGTTGCGGGCAGGGTTGTAGACGCGCTTGAGGTCGAGGAACAGGACTTGGCGGAATCGCTGACGAGCTGTGGGAGAGTAGGATGACGGACGGGTCTTCGCGGAGTAATGGGCTTGCTCGGGTCGTCCTTGGGGGGGTCGTCGGGACTAGTTGTGGGCTCTGACCGACTCGAGCGTTTTGAAAAGACGGAGGCGATGCGACGCATGGTGGGCGAGAAGAGAGAAATGGCTTGAGAGAACGACGGGGGGCATTAGATACAAAACTGGGCCATGCGATGGAGATGTGCGATCGCCGCTAGGCCGGCAAGAGCGGCGGACTGTTGCAAGCGGCTGGCTAGCGAGGAATGGACAGGTGGCAGCTGTGTTGTCGGTGCTCTAGTGACCACAGCTGTCCCTGCAGGAAGTGGACTAATAGGTTCCTCACGTCGGAGAACCGGCCAAGTTTTTGTATCCCATTAACATTCTGCACTCGCACACGCCGGATGTCTAATCCCGGGCTCCCATCACGTTCGTGAGAAGCCCCCTGTGTGCTGATCAACATGCCTCAACGGTACCACCGATTCGACCGTCGCCGTATGCGTTTATGAATACGACGATCCACGCGCTACGTTCAAGCTCACTCGCTAAATATACATCCTACATCCCTTGACTTGTCGCCACAGCCTACTTTTTCCCGTTCAGCCCGTCGCTCTTCACCCCACCATCGTACAAGCCGTCGTTCGTATCGGCACACAACATTGCTTAGGTAGTCACCGCTCACGCCAGCCCACCGAGCCGACACTTCAATCACTGTTTCACAATCTTCAGGAAGGCTTCCCAGGACGTCCCGAGAATCAAAGATCGTGTAGCCTTCCCCAGGATTGAGGTCCCCTTTCTCAGGACCACCGATCTCCGTGTTTAGAAACTGTGCTTCCGCTGGGCCGGTTACATCCTTCGTATTTAGGTTTCCACGTTCTTTGTCAGGGACCGGGAAAAAATTGTCGACGGCTGTATATTCTATGGCAATCCGCCCATGAGTTGGCCCCGACCATTTCGTTTGATCTGACGTACCAAGATCGGCTGCGGGGTCTTCATCTCCCAGTATGCGTTCGCAAAAATCTAGATATCCATCAAGAGTTTCTTCATCCAAGTCACCAATGCGTCTGTTTTGAATATGGGGACAGATGCTCGTACGAATGAATTATTGTGGACGCACAAATCATTTTTCGAGCGAAACAAAGTATCCGGCGATTCAGAATTGAACTTGCCCTGCGCTTTCAGATATCTGAGCCACTCTCCGCATTCGGGAAAGCAGCATGCCACTACGTCGTCGGGACTGAAGCGACGTCTAGCCATTAGAAGTGCCTCAGCTTGAGGAATGTGATCATCATTTTTGGAGCTACCTTAGGCCACCATCAAGGCCATATACCAGTTTCAGCACAATAATTGCTACCGCGAGAAACGACGCCTCCGGAGGTATACGGTTGTGTCCTCGACTCGGAGGTTCAAGTTCTCGATGGTGCAAAGATGACGTCTCGAGGCATTGATGCAGGACGATTGATACGGAAAGAACCTTGCACAGCCGTTTGGTGAGCGCATACAACATGGCTGCAATCAGATCAGCCAAAGGAGGTAACGAGCGTGATAAAGTGGAAATCGATACGCACGTGTACCGCTCAAACCACATCGAACTGCGCGCCACAAGATTGGACTTGCGTTTATTTCGGGAGTAGAGATGGCGAACTTTGTATGCATCCGCTCTGCGAGCCGTGATGCAAGTTGATGTAAAAGCAATGTACTGGGAGCATGCTGTAGCGCCATATGTATTAGTTCGAGTCTACTTCGGCATGCGTCGTCTTGCCTGAGGAGAAAGCGCTTGTTTCGAATGTTTCGTTAGATGACGCCGAATGTTGGAGGGAAGCAAGCGGACCGCGTCCAGGTACTCAAGCTTGTAATAATCGATGAGCCTGTGACATATACCTGCGATTAGTACAAGGTGGAATGGGCCACAGCCTTAGGGAATACACGAACTTGATGAGGTCCGAATACAGGATAGGCCAGCGGATCATCCAAAGGGAAACTATCAACACAGCGACAGTAGCAGATGGTCGGTCATAAGGGTCTACTAATCCGCTCCGTTTCCTCCGAAGCGTGTCGCTAGTGTCTTTGACGCGCTGGCCTGGGAAATCGTGCTCGTCCTCTGATGAACTAGCGGCCGAATTTTCGCGCATAAGAGCAGCCAGTTCAGGGTCAGACACATTACCAGCTTCCTCTTGTTCTTCTTCGGACACCCTTTTATCTATTTCTTCTTCGGATGAGGAAGACGTATCTGCATGAGGATGGGGCTGCTGCGCCGTGGTCTTTGTGCCTTGAGCGCTGTCGTTGGTAATATTAGTTTCCGCGCCCATCGTCTGATCTTGCCTGTAGTGATATGGCTCTGCCGGAGGTGGACGCGGTAGCGTGTCCAAGTATAAACTCCATACATCCCTGCAAATCAGCTAAGCACAATACAGGTGCAGCGTGTCCCGACGAACGGTAACACTTACCTCGAACTCGTGTGGAAGCTGCCAGAGGGAAGTCAAGGTGACAATCTGTCGACGTAAGAGCAACTGCAAGCACTGAAAGTAAAGGAAACGGGCACGATCGCCGTGGTACACTATACAGCTTGTCAGCGACATCTTGACAGAGATAACGTTCCGGGTCACTTGCACTGAGGGTCAGCATTGCCCAGCTTTTGACCCCTTTTGCGACTGGATTTCAGAGTACGCTTGCGCATAGTGTGAGGGCCTAGCTCTTCTGCCTCTCCCGATTCATTAATGTAATTCTGAGTGCAGATAATAGTATGAACAAATGAGTGATTGTAAGCGAGCCAGATACATACCTGCAGGACATGGCCTTCGCTACAAACAACTGTACCAGTCACTGAGTTCTTGCGCCATTGCTTCGAACCACAAAGAGGGCATTTTCGGCGACGTCCCATTAGTACTTGGATTGAAAAATCTATCTATCCGCGCCTATGCGTTGAATGCTGTTCGGCGTTGGTTAGGATACTGTCAAAAGACAATCAAGTAATGGATCTCGGCCCAGCGAATCAACTGTCGGCAACTGCCGAGAAGTCCAGACGGTGACGCTAAGCGCGCCTAGTTGAAGAGTGCGAAAACAAGACTGTCGCCCAGTCGCCCTCGTTCACCTCGGCCAGAACGCTTCAATGAGGCGTTTCCTTTTCTTCAGCTTCCTCGCTATTCTGGCGACGGTTGCTCTAGCGTAAGTCATCATTTTGTATAGTGGCCAGGCAAACTTGCTCATTAGTCTGCCATAGCTGGACTAAAGTAAGCAACGCTTCGGACCCGTTAGCCAACTAAATCCGCTAACTCGCCAGTCTACTAGGAAGACTATGAGGTATTTGACCTCGTGAGCGCTCTAGAGGCAGCTGAAGGTATGTGCGCGGAACGTTGGACAATATTACATATTGACTATGGTGTTGCTACGACCCTTCAGGCAAAGGGACGACGTTCTATTCCTACTTGGACGTGCCATCCACTGCCTCAGTCGCTCAGATTCAAAAGGCGTATAGAAAGAAAAGCCTTCAGCTTCAGTAAGCACGCTCATTCAACCACGAACACATGTTAGGCTTATGCTTGGCGTTTCCAAAAGTCCGGACAAGAATCCAGGTGTTCCCAAGATACAGGAAAAGTTTGCAAGGCTCGGTGTTATTGCGAATATCCTTCGGACTCCTGATGGACGAGAGCGGTAGGTGCTCGCGTTTGGACCTCGTGCTGCTGTCTTCTGGAGTGACGCGGTAAACTGACACGGCGACATGCAAGGTACGATTTCTTCTACAAGAACGGCGTGCCCAAATGGCGAGGTACAGGCTATTACTACTCGCGCTTCCGCCCCGGCCTCGGCGTAAGTCGCCGATAATATTCCGCTGAACGCTCACTGATCTGAGACAGACCGTACTCGTGTTCCTGATCATACTCACCTCTGGTCTACAATATGTCGTGCAACGGATGAACTACTCCCGGGATGTTGAGCGTATCGAGCGCATAATCAGAGATGCGAGGTTATCGGCGTGGGGCCAAAAAATGGTTCCGGTGGAAGGGAGGCGCAAAGTAAGTTTGATGCGTTTTAGCTTGAGTGACTCTAATGGCTGGAAGGTGAAAGTCAACCTTGGTGGAGGGTCACGCCTCAACGAGGAAGGAAATGTTGTTCCTGGCAGGATGATTGACATAATCGTGGAGAATGATGAAGTCTACATCGTGAGTCGTCCGCATGCGAGTCCGAATTCGCTAACAATCCCCCAAGTTGGATCCCTCGGGCGAACTCCATCTGCTCGACACGGACTCCGCCATCTCACCTGCTGTCTCACGAACGTGGTTTGTTGCGCTCCTCATTGGGGCGTTCCGTAGAGTGACGGGCCGTCAAACGGATCGACAGGATGATGACGAAAAATCCGAGGAAGAGGAAATTCAGTTGGCCACGGACGTGTCGGACAGTTCAAGTAGCGGTCGTGTGACCCCAAGTGGAGCCAGCGAGGTGGAAGGGCCTACGTCTCTTAAAGCAGGTCATGTGGCTGCAGCCAAGGCAGGGGGGAGGAGGCGTAAGGCAGTCAAAAAGCGGTGAAAACTTTGCGTCATTATTATAGAATTCTTTTACTTTGGGATTCCCCTCTGAAATCCGGGAAATCGAGTCAACATTTGCGTCGATAAATAGACGTTGGAGTAGAACGCAGGACTAGGCACGGTGACCAGTATCGATGGAGGAAGAACAGTCAACTGGGAAGGCGCAGGCCCCCTCATGAACTAGCTATAGGTTTCGAGTACACAGAGAGAACCAAGGCAATCGATGAGTCGATGAGTACCGAGCCGCAGGAGTCTGATTCTTGAAGTGATGGTAACTGGGGTTGGGGCGAATTTGATTGACCGTCGCTGATTCATCGATTCATCGATGAACCAACGTAGTGCGCGCCGCGTATACTGCGCATACGCACCAAGGTACTTGAAGTGACCAGCAGGTGACACAAACTCTTTGGGGTACGCTAACCAGAACAGATGTCGGACGAAGCATTTTAGGTTTTGCCATATGCGTGCCAGCGAAGGAACAGTACTTGGGCCTGACAACAAAGAGAAAAAAGGGCTTGACTCGAGGTACTGAATAGCATCGGCCGAGGGCTACTTCGGAGTCCTGTTCCATACGAGAAGATCAAAGGAATTCTTCCGAAGCCGTGACATGCCGCCCAGCCCAGACATGGCGCATCGATGAATTGGGCGGCACGAAGACGGGCAAATAGTCGCGGTGAGCTCGACGGATGCTGGGAACTGAGTGCAGTGAGGACGGTCTGGAAAGGCCTCGGGTGCGGCTGGGCCAAGGTTAACTCTGCGGCGGCATATTGCTGTGTGCCTTCAATTTAAGTAATGGAGCGCGGATGGCAATTCCTTAAGGAATCCTTGCGGACATCAAGCGGGCACGCGGGGTTTTCCATATGAAGGCGGCGGGGTACTCTTATCGTCCAATGAAATTCGAGCGATAGCTATGTCCGGGAACGGAACCGGAGGACCCGCATCTCATAAATACAAGTGGAAACCCCCAAACCAAGAACCAACTGTCTCTGCTTCCCTTGCAAACAATCTTATCTCATCTCTCCCGCATCTCTTTTGCCATGTCGTCGTCCATCCAATATCACAACGACCTCCTGGCTCCCTATCTCGCCCTTCCCCAAGGAGAAAAGATCCAGGCCGAATGTATGTTTACTGTCCTTCCTTTCTTCGATCCCACATTTATCTTCTCACCTAGACGTCTGGATCGACGGCGACGGTGGTCTCCGCTCCAAGACTACTGTAAGTAGTCTTGTTGAATCTTGCAATGTGTTTTCCTAATTCATCGCTGTTTCCTCGTCTAGACTGTCAGCAAAAAGGTCACCGACATTGGTACCCTCCGCATCTGGGACTTCGATGGTTCATCAACCAATCAAGCCCCCGGCCACGACTCCGACGTTTACCTCCGCCCCGCTGCCATCTTCAAAGACCCCTTCCGTGGCGGCGACAATATCCTAGTCCTTGCCGAGACCTACAACAACGACGGTACCCCCAACCGCACCAATTTCCGCCACCATGCCAACAAGTCTATGGAGCTTGCCAAAGACACTGCTCCCTGGTTCGGTATTGAACAGGAGTACACTCTCTTCGACGCAGACGGCACTCCCTACGGTTGGCCTAAGGGTGGCTTCCCCGGCCCACAAGGCCCGTACTACTGTGGTGCAGGTATGACGGCATTGTCTCGTATCTTTTTCCAGGTACCAAACATCTCCACTTAGGTACCGGCAAGGTTTTCGCCCGTGATGTGATCGAGGCCCACTACCGTGCCTGCCTCTATGCTGGTGTAAACATCAGCGGTATCAACGCCGAGGTCATGCCTTCCCAATGGGAATTCCAGGTTGGCCCTTGCGAGGGTATATCGATGGGTGACCACCTCTGGATGGCTCGTTACCTCCTCGTTCGCATTGCCGAACAGTGGGGTATCAAGGTATCCTTCCACCCCAAACCACTCCAAGGCGACTGGAATGGTGCTGGTGCGCATACCAACTACAGCACGAAGGCGATGCGAGAACCCGGAGGCATGAAGCACATCGAAGCTGCGATCGAGAAGCTGTCAAAGAAGCACGATCAGCACATTGCCGTCTACGGAGAAGACAACGATCTGCGTCTGACAGGTCGCCACGAGACTGGGCACATTGGGCAGTTCAGCTCTGGTGTTGCCAACCGTGGTGCATCCATTCGTATTCCTCGGCATGTCGCTAACCAGGGGTATGGCTACCTCGAGGATCGCCGCCCAGCGTCTAACATCGGTACGTGGTTAACATATACGGTGGTGCAACCACATCCTTACCGTGCCGTTTGTAGACCCTTACCGTGTCACCGGCATCATCGTAGAGACTACTCTCCTTGACGTTTAGATTTACCATACCATCGGACTTCCTAATCTACATACCTACGCATATCCTGGGGACGTCTGTACGATTTAAGCACACCATTGTGGTGCATTTACGCCGTCCACGGCGTCAAAACAGTATTGAGGTTATCACCTTCCATTCACAGCACCGCTTCCTGAAATAAGCCCCGAATGTGCTAAATACGGCGAAGTACAGAGCAAGGCTCATCATCAGCACCTTCAAAGTCATCCCATCATTTCGTTACGAAGGTTCTATGTCTGAGCGGAAGCTATCTTTGCCTGCTTTCTTGAAAGTACTCACAAGCCACGATGTTCCCGTCTCAACTGCCATGGCCGTTGCAGGCAAAATGTAGGTGCAAGGCGTAATCATGAAGATCAGACAGTATCGATATCCCTTACCTCAGATACAAGCAGTTCAATACGGCAGAGTCCCTGTCAACTCTAACGGAACCTCAGCTCGTGTCTTGCGGTATCGATGACAAGGACCTAAGAAGACAAATACTTATGGCGGTCACGAAGGCTGGCTTTATAGTAAAGAGAACGGGGAGAGAGCCAGCGACGTCCATATCCACAGGACAAACTGAAGCCGCAGACACAGTGCAAGCTGCTGTACGTCAGCTAATCCTACTAGCAGGTCCTCGTGGCTCTTAATTTTCTTAGATTACACCACGCAAACGGACACGCAAACGCGATGACGGCCTGAACAGGTATCTCCCGGAACGTCCTGATGATGAGGCTGCTTCATACGGCAGTCTTGAGTTCAACGAAGAGCTGGATGAACAGGTAGGTCGTATGAAGACACGGGTTCCCCTGCTAGATCCCAATACCCTTCCATATAGACGCTAGCATCAAAAGCCACTGTGATCAATCGGGCACCATTAATGACTGCATGGGCAATGGTTGTCGCCGAACGCCTGGGTTTTCAGAGAGAGGAAGCCCTGAGTATAGGTGTGTCGTTGCCTTGACACAGGATCGTCTGAAACTTACAATCCACCAACGAAGCATCGGCATACACGGAAATGAATGCCATCTCAAAGGGCGTTAGTATAGGTGTTTTCAAGACGTCAAAGAAAGAAGAGATGGAACGCTATGAAGGAGGTGCACAGCCATACATTGACCTCATGGGACGAAGGTTACTCCACTTCTGAATGCCAGATACCATCTGCTGATGATATCCTTACAGGATGTAAGTTGAGACCAGTAACGTCTTGCTTGCGCGGGATATCAACGCCATTACAGACCACTGTATCAGACGCGGTCCGAGCAATGGCGTGCCCTCATCAATGCTTCCCCGGCACTTCCAAGTGAAGCATTCTCGTATATCTCGCGGTCTTTCCGACAAACTACGTCGCACATGGTTGGCGCCCTCCGCCTTCTGGCTGAGAGCTACCCACCGAAGATTTTGAACGAGCGAGGTTTTGCTTTGTATGCTGATTTTCGGCCAACAGCGGAAGGATGGGGCGCACGGGGTGAAGTCAAGTGCGAGAAAATTCTCTCTCTGAGACGCAAACTCGAGCGAGTCCCCGCCAAGACGAGCATAGCATCAGTGCAAGACGTTGTCAAGATTGGAGACGTGGAGTCATTGGCTCGAGGTGCTGATCATAACACAGATCCAAAAGAAGGTGATCGGGAAACATGCGAGCCGGAGCAGAAGAAACAGCGGACACTCACTGTGGAGGAATATGAGGCTATGTTAGACGAGGATCTGACATTCAACAATGCAGATTTGCCTTGAAATGCATGTTTATGTAGCTAATGGTTTTTGTCCATTTTTCACGATGTGTAGTTCTGGCAGTTCCCACAGTTTGAAGGACTTGGTGTTCCACGGCTATGATGTCCAAACTAGTGTAAAATTTGCTCCAAGTCATGTTAAGGAATGTCGAGTCTAGGAATTTGTCTAGCTAAGTCTAAAGTAAACACCTGACTGATAACCCAAGAATAGCACCTCATACTACTTAAAGGTTTTTAATGACGGCTGCAGTGAACTCTGACGTCGTCGATCCACCTACGATCGAAATGACACATAAGCGAATTGACAATCAAGTGAGATATGCTACTTACCACCCATGTCTGCAGTCCGGACCTTTGCTGCGTTGATAACATCAAATGTCGCGCTTGCAATATTGTTAGCAATTGAGTCGAGACTAAGGAGCGAATCTTCAGTAACACAAAGCCCATATTCGAGGAATTACTCACCCGAGGTGCCTGAGCATCATGGTGGCGCTGAGGATCATGGCCGCTGGGTTAGCACGGTTGGTGCCCATGATATCCGAGGCGACGTGACGGCATCCGGGCTCAAACAAAGCATAATCCTGTTTCGCATTAGAACATTACTTCATGACATTCCCAGAGGACAGATACGTACTCTGCCGACATTGCAACCTGGAACGATTCCGGGACCACCAACCAAGGCAGCGCCGATGTTAGAGATGATAGCACCATACAAGTTCGGCATGACCATCACGTCAAATTGTGACGGTTTGGCCACAAGCTGCATGGAGCTAACACGCAAGCTGTAAGAAGGGAGTAATAACTTGTAGATATCACGTACGTGTTATCAACGATCATGTCGTTGGCTTCAATACCCATAGACTTGTACTCCTCTGCCACGCGACGGAAGGTGTTAAGGAACAGGCCGTCGCCAAGTTTCATGATGTTGGCCTTGTGGACACATGTGACTTTCTGGAGTGACTTTCAGACCTCATTCAGGAAACCAAAGGCGAGAATGTACCTTGCGGTTGTTCTTCAAGGCAAAGTCAAATGCAAAACGGGCAATGCGCTCGGCCTTGGCCTTCGTCGACACCTTCAAGCTCTCAACAACACCGGGGTAACTTTGGTGCTCGAGGCCAGAATACTCGCCCTCAGTGTTCTCTCGAATGATAGCAAAATCGACATTTGAGTGACGCGTCGGGAACCCAGGGAGGGATTTGCAGAGGACAACTGAGGCGTAAATGTCCAACTGCTGACGCATGGCCACATTCCAAGAAACGTGTCCCGTTTGAGAGATGGGGGTGAACAAGATACCTACAAACCTGTTTAGTATCCAGAACATGACTTGCAACATATGGCATAAGATCGTACCCTTTAGACCGACTCGGTTGCGCTTTAAACTTTCCATAGCCTGCTTGAACAAGTCCTCGCCAGCGGACGACATGCCGGAAACATTGTACTGCTCCCACTCGATGGGTGCATTGACATGTTCAAAGATCTCCTTGACAGAGTCGGTGATTTCTCCACCGATACCATCACCGGGAATGAGTGTTATCTGGAAGAAGAGTAAGGAAGTGGCACAAGAATTATTTGCCAGGAAGATCGCACAGTATATACACCTCCATATTTGGTGGGGAGCTAAGCGGGAAGGTTAGGAGACGTACAGGGTAGCGAGAGCGGACAGACTCTTTGCGTGACCTTCGGGAAACCAGCCGAGAGGGTTGTCACGGTTCTCTGCGGGAGCTGAGCGAGGTCTAGAGGCAGATGAGAAGGGAGTGGTACTAACCGCTTGGAGGGCTGGGCGGGCGAGCCCTGGCAAAGCACTACGGAGCATGTTCGAAATAAGCTGGCTAGAAGGAAAAATGCGAAGAGGAAGGAAACGGAACGGTGTATGATGATAGTCGCCTGCACGTGACACCGGATCACTTCACCCGAACCGTGTTGTCAGTGTTTGCATTTCTCCGTTGTGATACTTATTCCTTTGCATGAGAAGAGCTGCTACTTAGAAAGCCTCCCTCCTTCTTTCCCTAGAGACGTGCAGATCTCGCAGCCTAGTCATTCCTTTTATCCCTCGTCCGGATTTCTAGTCCGGCATGGCTCCTCATCTGTCTCGCTCCGGTCAAGCAACTGCGAAAAGCTCTGACACAGACATGGATACCCCTCCCCTAGATGTTGCAGAAATACCCTTTGTTGTTCAACCGCGAACACCCGGCTTTTACGCAGTTCTCGCTCTTGTTGTTATACCCCTATGGTCTGTTACACCTCTCTCATGGATATTTGTCATATACTCGCTACGCTCTGGTCTCATTTGGACGTATACATGGTTGAGACGCGCTTGCTTCTTGCTTGCACTCTGTGAGGTGCTGTCAAATTGAGACTTCCTCGCTGTCTACTGCTTCTCACCAACTCTCCAGGTTTTATTCAGTATATATCATTTTTACCTAGTAAAACAAGTGTCGAGTCCGTCCCCGAATGCCCCGGGTAACACTGCCGAAGTACAGGTCGCATTTACTCGAGTGTTGAAGGCGGGCCTTGCTAGACTGCCCGAAAATGGCTTTGACGAGGAATCTCTGGATGTCGACAGGCCTGGCAGTCCCGCCGAAGATATTGTCAAGCTTGCTGCTCAGGACCCTGTAGCCATTGACTTCCGGAATTGCACCAGGAATTGGTTCGTCGGTTACAAAAGAGTTTTGGATGGAGCTAACCGTTCAATAGGTTTCGCAAGGCAACCTGGTCTTCAATCCGGAAAGAGGAGATGTATGCTTGGCTGTATTGGTCCATATTTAACGCCGCGTGTCCCCCCACTGACCAACTTTCGCGTGGACACCGTGCAATTCTGGACGACGCACTAAAGCTACTCGAGATGCGCTCGGGTAATGCCATTTCCGAAGGTTTCAATACTAATTCCAAGCCGATCCTATTAACCTTGGACAAAGTGAATGTGACGTGGAGACCATTTTTCTGGTATGTTTTCGTGTTCGCCAGCAACCAGTCCATGAAAGCTTGGCTTCGCAACACATGGGGGGCAACTTTTGGATGTTACAATGGTTTAGAGTACGTTTTCAAACCGCTACCCGGTATACATCTCATGTGTAACTAGGTTTTGTATCCGCGTACCACCATCGTGGGATGCCGCCTCTGGTCCTGCTCCCATACTATTCCTCCATGGATTGGGTCTGGGGCTTACTCAATACCAACTGACTCTTCGCGAGCTTCTGAATTCCTTCCCGGACCGCCCACTCCTCATCCCTTTGCAACCGCACATTAGCCAAGACATTTTCCACGGTCGTTTCCTGAAGCCTACGAACCGTCACCAAACCGCTGAATCTCTGGCTGGTTTACTGAGGAAACTGGGCTGGGTGCCGGGGATTGATGATGAGTCTGACATGGAGCAGGACGGCAAGAAAGAAGTCAGTGCCAGAGGGGGCATAACCGTCTTTAGCCATTCCAAGTCTGTCTCATATCGTTTGTTTGTGGCTAATTTCTCACCCTTAAAGCTAGTGGCTCGTACGTACACGCCTGGCTGCTCAAGGCTTATCCAGAGATTGTAGCAAAATCATGTTTTGTGGACCCTGTTACCTTTTGCTCTTGGGAAGGAGGTGAGCGAACCTGCAATGCTGTCAAAAGCAGGTTTTCACTGACGCCTTTTTTCGCGTGCTAGACGTCTGCTATAACTTCCTATACAGTCGCTGTAGTACGGTACGCGATTCATATCTATGACATTTCCTTGTCTCACCGCATGGCAGGCCCTCGAACTTGTCATGCGCTACTTTGTTGGAACGGAGCTTGGTGTTGCCAATACACTGCAACGCCACTTTGATTGGACGTCGAACTCGCTTTGGTATGAGGAAATTCCCAATGCACGCGACCCAACCAAGACTTTGTTCGTTCTTGGAGGGAAGGATGCAATCGTGAACGCGGAGGTGAGCATGCCATATAGATCAAAGGCAAGGATATCGTTGATCTTTCGACGTCAGCGTGTCAAGAAGTATCTCCAATCCCATGGTGTACGCAAAGGCCTATTTTACGACCCAGAAGGCGGGCATGGGCATGCTCTTGTTCCAGGAGGGGAGGGACATTCTCTGATTTTTGAGTGGCTCGCTACATGATTCGCGGAAGGCTCAGCTTCCACGCTATATAATTGATATAACCCCGTACATAAGAAGATTAATGATCGATACCCTGTGCGCACAAGCACTAAATCGTACTCACACTGCATGTATATTCCGTGGAACCTAGAATCTGTGGTAGAAGTGTGCGATGGAAGTGCAATCCGCACACAGCATCATCGCTAAGCAGTGTGGGACCGTCATCCACGGAACCAGCCATAGGACAAACACAGGAAAAGTCAAGCTGAAGCAATCCTGTCTGCAGTGCCTCTTTCTAGACAAGACTCGTTCACCATCGACTCGTTCACGGGTCTGATGCATGATGCATGATGGCACACATACATTTGAATTCCTATGTGCAAATACTGCGATTACGATCGACCTGAACGATCACGTTCAGTTCTAATCTGGTTCCGCATATATACGTAGCGGATGAACGCCACTCATCTTGTGCTTCCATAGCAGGGAGCAATCTTTCTCTCGTTCTCTTTTCTGAGCTTTCCATTGCCAGCCCTCTACCTATTCGACCCAAAAACCTTCTTCGATGCCGCCTCGAGTAACCTCATCCGCTGGAAGAGGCCGCGGCGCACCTCACAGGGGAGGACCACCCGGTGGTGCTACTTCGATACGAGGAGGCGCAGGCGTGTCTGGTGCTTCAGGCCTCCAAGGCAACCATGTTGTCACTGTTGGTGTCAAGCGACCTAGTTTTGGCACAAGTGGTCAGCCCATCGCCGTGGCGGCCAACTTCTTCGAAGTTAGCCTGCCCCAGGGTAATATCCATCATTATGACGGTGCGTTGTTGTATGCAGGTCGTATCAGACGCGTTTAATTCATGAATTACGTGTGGTGGACCTGTATCTTGCTGAAATGCTCTAGTTGGTTAGTACTGGACCTTCACTTATATCTATGTTGAGCTAATTGAGTACGGTTTATGGACACATATAGTCATTACACCATCTGAGAAAACACTCCCCGCTCGTCTCAACATGGACCTCGTTGAACATCTGCAGACCGTTCACGCGCCTGAGGTATTCACACCGAGGGCAGTTTATGACGGTCGCAAGAATATGTTTGCACCTCGGGAGCTACCTCTTGGTCAGGAAGGTAGTCGGGAAGTATGTTCGATATTTGACGAGAATCAAAACGGCATGAATTTTCCTTTAGTTTAGTGTGAGTTTGACGGGTGGCACGACACACGGCAGCTCCAGCGAAGCCCCTACTGGTCGCGGTCCGAAGGTCTACAAGATTCGCCTGACGAAAGTCAACACCATCAACCCTGAGTATGCCCCCGTCTGCCAGTCTCGTAACAACGGTACAGGTTGATTGTTCCATAGGGTCCTGGAGAGATTTATTGCCGGGCAACAAAGCCACGACAATACTGTTCTCACTGCGTTGACGGTACAGATTTCAGCTACTCAACCGTTTCATCTCCTTTGAATGCGGATTTCTAGGCTTTAAACGTGGTGATTCGTATGGAACCCGTCATGAAATATCCGTTCAATGTGAGGTCCTTCTTCACTGACAGGGAGACCAAAGATATAGGCGCCGGTCTCGTCCTTTGGAGAGGTTACTTTCAGTCTATCCGGCCGGCGATAAGCAAGTTGCTTGTGAATGTTGACATATCCACTGGGACGATGTACAAGCCTGGGGCTCTTCTTAATCTATGTCTGGAATACCTCAACCATGGGAAGCATCCTTCCCAGATGATTCAGCCACAGCACATCAACATGAGAGAAGGTCTGGGAGAGCGCGACCGCATAAAGCTTCAGCGATTCATCTCAGGCATCCGTATTCAGACCACTTATGCTGGCGAGCATGGACGCAAAACACCTCGCGTTCTCAAGAAGCTTAGCTCAGCGGGCGCATCAGACCTTACTTTTGCTCTCAGAGATGGCAACCAGCTAACCGTCGCCAACTATTTCAGACAGTTATTGAATCGTCCTCTGAAGTTCCCTGGAGGCCTCTGCGCGGAGGTACGCGCTCGCGTGCACCTGCTTTATACTGAGGCCATAATATGCATAGGTTGGGCAAGGTGCCCTTATTCCCCTGGAACTTTGCACGGTACCCCCGGGGCAAATTATGCGAAAGCAGGTCCCTCCAGAGAAGACCAAAGACGTACTAGAGTTCGCGACTAAGAGGCCTGCCGATCGTCTGGCCAGCATATCGAACGGGCTTTCTGTAGGTCGATGTGATATCAATCAGGCTTCAAGTTGTTCTGATACGGACATCAACGTAGGTTTTGTCCTATGGGCAGTCTGATTATGTTCGGCAATTTGGAATGGTCGTAGAAGACACAGCTGGTCCTATCAAGCTCAATGCGCGAGTGCTACGCCCACCGAACTTGAAGTACGGCACAAATAGCAGACAGCCAACGATTGTAAGTAATCCCCATCGTTACAAATGTTCGTGACATTGATCTAGATAACTTTAATCCATAGACGCCGCGGGAAGGTGCATGGAACATGTATGACAACTCCACCGTCCTTCCTGTTGCTCAGCAATGATGACGTGTGCAGGGTGGACAAACGCTTTCATCGTCCCAGCGTCATTGATAAATGGGCTGTCGTTATTTATGAGCGTCAAACCCGCTTTAATGAACAGGCCGCGCGAGACATGGTCAGGGACTTAGTGAAGAGCTGTCAAGACGTCGGTCAGGCAACTTCTACCCTCTGTCGCGGACGATTGGCATTAAAATGTTCCTCTCTAGGTATCCAAGTGCACGACCAAAACCCTATTATCCAGTGGCAAAACGCCCAAGGCCACGTAGCCGATGTAAGTTAAGATACACGCTTGTAGAACGTTCGCTGATATGCCTTCATAGCAACTGCGGAGAGTTGGACAGTTATGTCGGCAGCAGAAGGGAAAGCCACCGCAACTCATCGTTGTTATTCTACCGGATGGAGGAAATGACATTTACACGGCTGTAAAACAGTACGAAGTTTCTGTTCCGATGAGTCGACAGCTTGACTGACATCCACAAGCTTCGGTGATATCACGGTAAGGATTTGTGATAAGAATTCAAGACATTGACTCATGCGAGGAGGTGGGAGTGGCTACTCAATGCATGAAGAGTTCTAGATGCTATAGAGCTAAGCCTCAGTACTTTGCAAACATTTGCCTGAAGTGAGTCTCAGGGATTTGCGTTCTCCGGTCTCCAGTATGGCTCACAAATTGATTAGGATGAATGTTAAGCTGGGTGGAATAAACACCATTTCAGACCCTCAGTCGGGGATCACGACCTTATCAGATCCTCGCAGCCCAACAATTGTGATGGGTCTGTTTTGACGCGACTCTCCTCAACTCCGTCAATGACACCTAACCAACAGGGGCAGACGTCATCCATCCTCCGCCGGGGTCTGATGGGCGACCGTCGTTTACAGCTCTTGTGGGCAGCGTTGACTCAGACTCGGCGAAATACGTTGCCACCAGTCGCGTTCAGGCTTCTCGTGTGGAACTCATTGAAGATTTGCAGGACATGGCTAAGGTGGTCATAAGTTCCGATCAGCTTCTAGGACAGTCAGTCTAATGGCGGAATTTGCATTCAGCATATATTGGTCAAGTATATGCAATATAGACAGGTTGTTGAGAAGAAGACCACGGGAATAGCACCCACTCGCTTATATTTCTATCGAGGTACGTCACTGCTGTGCCATAGTTCTGCGTTAGCCTTAATATCAACCTTAGACGGAGTTTCGGAAGGACAGTTTCAGCAGGTGCTGGACTCAGGTAAGGGAAGATTTAAAGGCTGCTGGATACATTCTGTCGGCTAATATACTGCATCCCAGAGTTGAAGGCGCTCAAAGGTTCGTAGCATCTTGATCAGCATTCATGAGCGGAAGTACTACTATGCTAAATGTCTTAAGAGGCGTGCAGAGAGCTCAAGATTCAGCCCAAGATCACCATCATAATCGTTGCAAAGCGTCACCACACGCGTTTTTTCCCAACAAACCCTAAGGACGCGGATAGAAGCGGCAATTGTCCCGCTGGAACTGTGGTTGACCAAGACATAGTTCACCCGGCTGAATGGGACTGGTACCTTCTAAGCCATGGGGGTCTACTAGGAACAAGCAGACCTGCTCACTACAATGTGCTTTACGATGAAAACAATTCCACGTAAGCCCGTCGATAGAAATGCTTGAGTTCATTTGACGTACTTTTGTGGCAGTCCGGACGGTCTACAGACGCTTTCCTTCGCACTTTGCCATCTATATGCGCGCTCCACGAGATCCGTGTCAATTCCTGCACCTGTCTATTGTGTGTGCTTAGGCTTCATTGTGTTTCTTTGCTCACTTGTTTGGTAGATGCCGACATTGTTTGTAGTCGCGCAAAGAATCACTATGACCCCCAGGGAAGTTTGGATTTCTCTGACACGGTCACCCAGACAGATTCAAACCAAGCGCAAGGGATGCTGGAAACTTACAAGCAAAATTTCCGACCACTTCACCCCAATATGGAACGTCTCATGTATTTTTCTTGATCAATTTGTATGTCATAATACTGGTAGTTGTCCTACTCAGATCGATTGACCCCTTTTCTTTTCAGCAGTAACCAAGTGCCGCCATTGAGATATGTTGCAAAGCATAACCATGTACAATAGGGAACAAGGAACCATGACGTCATACCTCTGGTTAGCCCGTGTGACAGGTTCTGACAACAGCATTGTTAGGAGCTTGGAGGAATGTTAGGGCAAGAAAAGCTGAAATAAGCTCACAGTCATATACAGCGTCGTGCCCGTCAGGAAGGCACTATCTACTAGCGCCAATCCAACCTGTTTCAACCCAAAAAACAGTGGTGACCAAAGGACATTCATCGTGAGCTGAGCATAGTACAGTTTCAAAGCGAATGTCAGATCAGAACTGTAAGCAGATGTTTCGGCATGAGTGGAGGACACGAAAAGAAAGTGGAGACCAATACCGCGTGCCTGTAGCACCTGTCTCATCCAGAGTCTTGACAATAATGTGCGATGCATAGCCCATAGCTAAGAAGAACGATGAACGACTAAACTTTGAAGTGCCCATGGGGTATACCTAAGTAGAGAAGAGACCATGCAACTGGGAAAACCTTGGGTGATGGACGGCCTGGCGGGGAAGGTAGGTCCTGATATTTATTAATTTAGCCAATGCCTAGGTAGCATTAACCCAGAAACAAGTTGTACCTTGTACCATGGTGAGCGGACGACGCCCCTGGTTTGCGAGCCGCTGATGAAACCGAGGGTGAGTGGAATCCCCACCGCTGTAAAAACATTGCGAGGGATAGAAAGCAACAAAGGGCCAATGAAGGGCATTGTGATGGCGTCAGACAAGGAGTGAATAGGAGTTGATAGGACTCCACCACGAAGCTCCCCTTCAGGGAGGATAGACGGGTACTTGTGAGCCTTACTGTGGGGTACAATATTAATCATCGCCTGCCGAGTCCCGGGAGCATAACGAATGTCGATGACAAGTTCAAAGAGCTTCGTGCAGTAACATATATAACATTGACATAACCTCCTAGTCTATCTCACAAATAAACCCCATTTCCAGATCCATGATCGTCTGTTAAGTTGTTGCTTTCACCATTAGCCATCCTTTCCGGCGCAGGGGCTTGAGTAGGAGTGTTCTGTTGAACAGATCCTCGCGGCTGGCTTTCTGATACACTGCTGGTTGGTATGCCATGATGGGTGAGCGCGAGTTTGAGCATAAATATGCGTTCATCTTGGGATGCTCTGGTTCCAGTTAGGCCCCTGTATGTCCAGCAAATTAGAGACACACATTGTGAGTTCATTCTCGCGGAGAGCATCAGACACGTCCTTGTCTTCAGCACCATCCGAGCTGTTATTCATGTGTCCCTTCAGATCATCTTGGGTGTGCCTAAGGTGTGTTAAAGAATTCTGCAGACGAGCGATTTCTGAGCTGATGAGCAAGGCAGAGACCACGCGGGTGACATTGATCACCTTCTGAGATGATACTTGGATCAAACAGGAGCGCGTCCGCCAGAGTAAACGGTTGAGGATATCGCGGAATGAATTCCATTGTGTGTTTGCTTGACCGCTATGCGCAAAGCTCAGAGAACAGTACTTGCGTCGGTGTACTGTCGATATGGAGGAGTAGCTCTAGATTTGCTGAAACAATACTATATACCGCTCATTGATCTCCACTGTCGTCCGGTTCTGTAGTGTAGCGGTTATCACTCGAGATTCTGAGTCGAGTCTTCTCGAAACCCAGGTTCGAATCCTGGCAGGACCTTCATTTTTTGGGCTCAGCCATTTGAAAGATGTCTATTTTATGAGTCCAATCCATGGATGTGCAGGAGTCGAGGGAATATAACATCCACCCTTTTGGTCAATTGCGGGTGAAGCTAAGTGCCTCGCTATTTGTCAACTCCTTGTTCGTCTCTGTGGCGCAACTTCCAATTCCAAGCTTTTGCCAAGACCGAGGGCTTTCCAGAATAAGGATCCTTTACAGGCTTGGAGTATAAGCACACTCCTCCTCTGCGACTGCGCGGCATGCAGTCCATCAACCGTTTCCTTTATGGCCCCACTCCAGAAGAGAAGGTTCGTGCATGGCAAACGAAGCTACGCGCCGAGAGCAGACATCTAGACAGGGAGATGAGGCAGGTACGTATATTCTACTCTCGCCGCTTAAACATGTTAGTCTCATGTGGGGGAATGGGCCCTATCGGCCTTGATTTCAATAGCTGGACGCTGCAACCAACAAAGCTCGCGCAATTGTCAAACAACTTGCCACCAAGGGAGATGTCAAGTCAGCACGAATACTGGCCAAGGAGGTGGTCCGTAGCAACAAGCAGAAGGACAGACTATCAGTGAGCAAGGCTCGCCTTGGTTCAATCGGGCATCAGCTCTCACAACAACTGGGTATGTCGTTGGGCTTCTGCTTTGATACTTTCAGCTTACCCGCCACAGCGATGATGAAAGTTACGGGGTCACTGCAGAAGTCTACAGAGATTATGAAGCTATCTAATTCGCTAGTGAAATTGCCTCAGATAAGTCAGTCCATGCGTGAGATGAGCATGGAGATGACCAAGGTAGCATCCTCATTCATCCTGATCATTCTACGGTTAACATCATCACTGGTATGCACAGGCTGGGATTATGGAAGAGATGCTGGATGACACTCTGAACATGGATGAGGACGATGAGCTAGAGGAGGAGGCCGACGCTGAGGTTGACAAAGTTCTATTCGAGCTCACTGATGGTAAGCTAGGTGAAGTGGGTCAAGTTGGGGCAGATCTTCCGGTGAGCTACAAATACTGCTTACTTGGTTGGTTTTCCTTTTCTGATGCAGTTGCTAAAGGCGCAGGAATCTCTGCAAGACGAGGAAACAGAGCGCACCATGGAACAATATCGGCAGCAGCTCAGTGGATTGCTTAGTGGTTGAAGCGCCAACGGCAGGGAGGATGTTTCATTCGGGGACATTTGCACTTTTCCATCTTATCACAAAGCCCGCTCGTTTTCCGGTCTCATTGTAAGTACTATATCTAACTAGGAATTACATACAGTACTTGTATAGTACTATGCATGGGTGAGTGTATGCTAAGGCGTGTAGTATACCGTTAACGCGTTACTGGCGTTCGGCGCTCGGAACAATACTGGAGCACGTGATTGGTAATCTCGTCACTTTTCGGAAACGAAGTCGAGCCTCCGAGTCCTAACTTTTTTCTGTCTACATCCTTAACGATGTTATCCGCTCGCTCGCTTGTCAACAGGGGAATTCTGAGGGGTTCGCAGGTATGTTGCTTGAGTACGCACTGCTATGCCTGCTTATGAGACGGTCATAGCTCCGAGGATATGCCTCTGCCTCTCCTGCGCCTACTGCCGCTTTTGCTGGACATAAGGGTAGCAATGTACGTTAACATGGCTTGCCAGCCTCTCCATGGTTTCACTTACATCTGCAGGGAAAATATGTTGTGACTTTGATCCCGGGGGATGGTACGCGTCAGCCTGTTGTTGCACCTACCTAGACTCACTCTAACAGGTATCGGACCGGAGATTAGCGAATCGGTCAAGAACATCTACTCTGCGGCCAATGTAAGTAGTCGCGACACTTCTCTGCTTTGGTAGTAAAACTTGTCCTAGGTCCCCATCGACTGGGAGGAGGTTAGCGTGACCCCTGTTCTCAAGGGAGGCAAGACCGTCATCCCCGAGAGTGCCATCACTTCTGTGAGGAAAAACACCGTGGCTCTCAAGGGTAAGTCGTTGTGATTTCCATGCTATCAACGTACTTAAGTTTACTTGTGTAGGTCCTCTGGCTACGCCTAGTTCGTGATTTTACGCTTTCAATGTTTCTACCTACTCACCTTGAGCATCTCAGTTGGAAAGGGTCACGTTTCGCTCAACTTGACGCTCCGCCGAACATTTAACCTTTTCGCCAACGTACGTCCTTGCGTGTCCATCCAGGGTTTCAAGACCCCATACGACGACGTCAACACTGTCTTGATCCGAGAGAACACGGAAGGGGAATACTCTGGCATCGAACACGAGGTATTCATCCTTTATCGTCTGGAATGTGAAGATACTTATTGCTTGCGCGAAAGATTGTGGATGGAGTTGTTCAGTCTATAAAACTCATCACTTGGGACGCGTCCGAGCGTGTCGCTCGCTACGCTTTCCATTACGCGCAGTCGACTGGCAGGAAGCGTGTGACCGCTGTGCACAAGGCCAACATCATGTACGTCATAGTATTTGTCTCGTTAATTGATGTAATCCGACCACATTCTAGGAAAATGTCGGACGGCATGTTCTTGTCGGCCTGCCGGCAGGTGTCCAAAGAGTTCCCTGACATCACTTATGACGAAGACCTTTTGGATCGTGTATGCCTACAGGTTTGTCTTTAAACGCATTCGTGGTGTGTGGACGATGGTTTACGGTTGAGCCAGGTGGTGCAAAATCCTCAACCTTACTCTAACCGCGTGATGGTGATGCCAAACTTGTATGGAGACATCTTGTCCGATATGTGTGCGGGATTGATTGGAGGTTTGGGTTTGACACCCTCTGGTAACATCGGCCGGGTAAGTCCTATCGCCACTCGAATGCCAAAACATATCTAAGGCATTTCTCAGGATGCTTCCATCTTCGAGGCCGTCCACGGCTCTGCTCCCGACATTGCGGGTAGGTTACATTGAATACCTGTGCTATTGGTGGCAATGACGTAACCTTACCAGGCAAGGGTCTGGCTAACCCCACCGCACTTCTGCTCTCCTCGTTGATGATGCTGAGGTCAGCTTCTTGTTTACTTTCTTCGCAATGATCCGAAATAACTCGTTGCAGACACATGAACCTTAATGAGTATGCTACCAAGATTGAGTCTGCAGCTCTCAAGGTGTGTGATGTAGGTTACGTTTATAATTGCGTTGCTGAGGACTGTTGTCAAGACCATTGCCGAGGGCAAGGCGATCACTGGAGACTTGGGTGGCAAAGCATCTACGACGGAGTACACGAACGCCATTATCAGCAAGCTCCGGGCTTAGATCAATGGTTGGGTGTTTGTTGAAAGCGGATAATTTATGGCATACATAGATATACTGATGTTGACTTCGGATTCTCGGTATCCAAGTAAAGCATGTGCGAGTACTAGTGCCTAGACTGACTAGTGCCTCCTTGCGTATCCTTGCATTCAGGCTGTTGCCGATTTTGATCCCGGCGTTTGGGTTGCCTTATGTGAGCGTAATTGAGTAATTAGCTGTGCTGTCTGTAGTATTGCAATGCCCCTGAGCCCTGTGCAGGTTGGCGTGGGAAAAGGCAAGGCAGTATAGTGTGGCCAAAATCGCGAATGGACACTGTCTTGCTCTTGCGACGACAATCTTCATTGACCCCTTCCACGCCTACGCACGGCATCCACTCTTCATAACCCCTCACTCGCCCTACAGGGCACAGTCAGCCATCTTCTTACAGACATTCACGTTCAGGTCCGTTCCGTTCCCCGATACTGACCTGATAGCCTAGTCCCAACCTGAGCCTCATCTTCTCTTATCAGTCAAGACCACCATTAGAAAGCCTACAAAACGCCCAAAAAAATCCCATAACGGCCTAAACGAATTTCTCTCTGCACTTTAACGATACGAACGAAATGACGGACGAGCAAACCCAACTCAAGCGCGACGACTCCAAGAAGTCCATTCCACCTGGAAACTCGCGTGCTCCGAAAAGGACGCCGTCTAATGCTACCAGGCCTCCCTCTGCTTCTGCAAACCCCACTGGCCCTGCCAGGCCTTCATCTAGGTCAGGTAACAAGAAGCCCGCTGGACCAGCCCCGGCCTCCACCGAGTCCGGGTCTGAGTCGAACAAGAAGCAATCTGAAACAAAGAAGAATGAACAACGCAACAAGTCCCAACCCAACCCAGGCGGTCAGCGCAATGGCCACCGCAAAGGCCAGTCCACCGCTGCACCAGCCAATCGCAATGTTAAGCCCGGTGCTTCTCCCTCACCGGCACCAGGTCCTGGCAATGAGTCCAGCGATGCGCTATCCTCCCTCCAAAGGGTCATCGCCGATCTCAAAACTACAACTCCAAACCAAGGTGTTCCGTCTGCCAATAACTCGCTCTCCGCTTCCATCCATGCTCCCCAGCAGTCGAACTTGCCCGTCAATGCTCCTGTGTTTCAACCAGGTGCAACAGCTTTCCCGACCAGCAACCTTGCCGACGCTGCCAGGCATCGTAAGGCTGCCTCTCTTGGTGCATCTGCCGCAGCGAACAATTACGGATCGTTTTCTCCCCATCTTGGGGCAATGATAGAAGACGCTGAGGATGGCGCTGGAGCCGCGTTCGAGGACGGCGAGATTTCCGAAAATTTCTACCAGCAGCAGTCTGGCAATCAGTTTCGCCCCCAATCACAGAGCTTCATGGCCCCGCGCTTTGCAGCCCTCGCTGCTCAGCAGGACCAAGAAGCCATCGGGCCGACTGGACGTCCTCAGCTCGCTCCCGGGTTCATGTTTGGAAACAGGAGGCGAGCCAGCTCCAATGTTCCTATGGCACCGCCCATCAACGAAGAGGATGTTGGTTTCCAGTTCCCGCAACAACAGCAACAATCGTTCTCGGAAGGTGGGATGCAGGACCAAGGCCGTAAAAGTGAACATGATATTACTGGTATCATGGCTGAACAAGTAAGACCTGCTTCTATGTTTGGCTTCCCTGATTAATCCATATTGTATTCCTCAGATCGCCTTGCAAAGCCAGATCGAGGCTTTGCAGCAACAACAGCAAGCACTCTATCAGCAGCAACTTGCATCCAATCAGGTTCTTTCAATGCAGACACCTGGACTGGTTCCCAATAGTCATAGGCATAGACGCGTCCAAAGCACTTTGCCAATGAGCATGGGCGGAAACAACAATGCCATGAACGCTCCCATGGGTCAATTTGCCAGCATGACGAATCTTGGTTTGGGCCTTGATGCCCAACCCTCTGGCCTTCCTCGCGGCCATGGCCGAAGACACAGCGTCAATGTGGTGAACAAGAATCCTTCTGGTCATGGCAGTCACGGCTCCGTTAGTTTCCCTTATTCAGGCGACGGATTCGACGACGGTTTTACTCCTCCGCCGGGGTTCGGTGGTCATTCGCGTCAAGCATCGAGGGCGGACTCTACCTGGCGAATTAGTGAGTACTCGCACCTCTTCCCATCCCGTCGCCGCTCATGTTTCGATAGATGGAGGCGTTGGAGGTGTTCAAGGCAACAATTCGTTCGCATCCGATTTGGCTCAGGCCCAGGCCCAGCTCCAGAGCCTTCAGCAGTTCCGCGCTGCTGCCGGCGGCCATCACCATAAGATGGCGTCATTTAGCTTCCCCAATATGCTGCCGAACATGATGGCAGCTAATATGATGGGTCTCAACATGGGAGGCGTTGGCCTTGTCCAGCAGCAGCAGCAGCAACAGCAACAGTTCCAATCTCAGCTTCAGCAAACACCTCAACGTAAATCGCTTTTCGCTCCTTATCTTCCCCAGGCATCGCTGCCGCCCCTCTTGGCAGCTGGCAAACTTGTTGTTGGTATTCTCCGCGTGAACAAGCGCAACCGGTCCGATGCATATGTTGCCACAGAAGTTCTCGATGCCGATATCTACATCTGTGGCTCCAAGGACCGGAACCGTGCTTTGGAAGGTGACATCGTGGCCATTGAGCTTCTGGACGTTGACGAGGTTTGGGGCACCAAGAAGGAGAAAGAGGAAAAGAAGAGGAAGAAGGAAGAGAACTCTGCCTACGACTTCAAGTCTACTGCTGGTCGTAAAGACGACAAAAAGAAAGACGACGTGGAGGTCGAGGGCCAGGGCTTGATGTTGTTCGAAGACGAAGAGGTCACTGACGAGGTTAAACCCCAATATGCAGGCCATGTTGTTGCTGTCGTGGAGCGCATGCCCGGTCAGCTATTTTCTGGGACCCTCGGTCTTCTACGCCCGTCGTCGGCCGCTACCAAGGAGAAGCAGGAAGCTGAACGCCGAGAGCGTGAAGGCGACCGTGGAGATGAGCCACGACGCCCTATTGAACGTCCCAAGATTGTCTGGTTTAAGCCTACTGACAAGCGTGTGCCCCTAATTGCGATACCTACCGAACAGGCCCCTCCCGATTTCGTCCAAAATTCTGAGGCTTACGCTAACAAACTTTTTGTCGCCTGCATCAAGCGCCACGTACGTTTGTCTGGAAAGTCGATGTGGTTGGATCCTAATGGTTTTATCTGTAGCCCATCAGCTCTCTTCACCCCTTCGGGACTCTCGCAGAGGAACTTGGACCCATTGGCGACATTGAAGTTGAGACAAGTGCTCTACTTAAGGACTGCAACTTCCCAACCGAGGAGTTCTCCGAGAGTGTCATGAAGTGTCTCCCACCGACTCCGTGGACGTAAGTAGACGTTTGTCTTGTACTTAGGTTCTTGTCTGACCTTCTCATAGCATTCCAGAGCGCGAATTTGAAGTCCGCAAAGATCTGCGCCAGGAGCGTATTTTCACCATTGACCCTGAGTCGGCTAAAGACCTCGATGATGCCGTTTCCGTCAAGCTGAACGACGACGGCACTTATGACATTGGTGTTCACATTGCTGATGTATCATTCTTCGTGAAGCCCAACACGGCCCTTGACCGTGACGCCCGGAAGAGGGCAACTAGTGTCTATCTCGTCCAGCGCGCCGTGCCGATGCTTCCACCCATTCTCAGTGGCGAGGTTTGTAGTCTGAACGCAGGCCAAGACCGCCTTGCTTTTAGTGCTGTTTTCACAACGACCAAGGACGCTAAAGTTGTCAAGAAGTGGTTTGGCAAAACTATCATCAAGTGGGTTTGGATTTGAATGTGTGTTACGACAGAAAGTTAACGATCCTTCAGATCTGCCGCAAAGCTGTCGTATGATGATGCCCAGAGGGTCATTGATGGACACCCTTTGACAGATATTGTGGTGACGCCGGAACACGAGGCCTCTGCCATCGAGCATGACATTAAGGTTCTTTACGACATTGCGAAACAACTCCGTGATACTCGCTATAAGAATGGAGCTTTGAGCTTGTCCTCTATGCGGTTGCAGTTCAAGCTGGATAGCGAGGGCAAGCCCGTTGATTGCTGGCAGCAAGAACGCAACGAAGCTCAAAGCCTCATTGAGGAGGTAATGTCATGTAACTACCCAAGATAACCCGCTCTGATGAATATTGGTATTCCCAGTTTATGCTCCTCACGAATATATCCGTCGCCCAGCGTGTTGCGGTTCACCTTCCGGAGCAGGCACTTCTCCGCAGGCACGATACTCCACTTGAAAGGCGCATGGTACGTGATGGTTAGAACTTGGCAAGCCAGTCCTCTTACGCGGATTTCTAGAACGCCCTGGCCGACCGCGCACGTCGCCTTGGTATTGAGATCGATACTTCCTCTGCGGGAGCTATGATGCGTTCCCTGGAGGGTGTCAACAACCCGACCGCCCGCAAACTTCTTGAACTTCTCTCCTTCAAGGCCACTCAACGCGCCAAGTACTTCTGTGCCGGTATGCTGGACATTGCAAAATACAACCACTACGCTCTCAGCATCCCTTTGTATACTCATTTCACCTCTCCTATCCGTCGTTATGCGGATGTTCTTGTTCATCGTCAATTAGAATCCGTCTTGCAAGGTGGTGGTAAGTGAATGTTGCTCTCGCAAGGATTCATTGCTTACATCCTGTATAGCGGAACCCAAATTTACTATGGATAGGGATGCTGTGGCGAAGGTCGCTCAGCAATGTAATATGTATGCGCTTTCTTCTCCCTTCGTACTCACGGTACTGATACCTCTGTAGTAAGAAGGATTCGGCCAAACTAGCCCAGGAACAATCTGCACACTTGTACCTTTGCGTTCTTGTCTCGGACCTTACCCAAAGCTATGGTCCCGTCATTCGCCAAGCCAAGGTTGTTGGCGTCCTTGACGCTGCTTTTGATGTCTTGATCCCTGAATTTGGCATCGAGAAGCGCGTACATGTTGACCAGATGCCCATCGACGTGAGTCAGACCGGCCTGGGACCAGTAGAGCCTCGCTAACTTATTTCAGAACCACGTCTACGACGAGCACACCCACACGCTCCAAATTTACTGGTCCAACCGGGATGTCATCACTTGGCTTGCGGAGCACAGTGATGATGAGCACCTGAAAAAGGTCAAGCAGAATGCAGAACAACATGCTACCAAGATGGAGGTGGCATCCCGCTCCGTCCATGACGAGCATGCACTCTTTGATGAAGACGACGCTGAGGAAGACGAGATTGTCCTCGGTAGAGACAAGAAGACCGAGAAGCAGAACGAAACATCCAAACAGCGTCTACTATCTGCTGCCAAAGTACAGCCCACCTTTGAAGGCCTCAGGACCTCGCCTTCTGGCCACAAGATCCAGGATATTAAGGAGCTAATGACTGTCCCGGTACGTTAATCCCTTACATAGAAGGCAGTATGACTTAGAGGATCCCGCTAGGTTATCGTTACTGCCGACCTGACCAAGAGCCCTCCTGTAATCAAGGTGTACAGTGTCAATCCTTACGCTGCCTCCAAGAACCAGAAGTAGAACAACTAGGCGTCTTTCATGTCTCCTCAATGATGTACGATAGTAGTGGTTGTTTTTGCACCCGCTTTCTTCGAGTTGTTTCCTATTCATAACACGAGACCACTTCATTGTACTTTTCCTACACTCATGAACACAATCGTGCACTTCCTTTCGTTTCCCCAATTGGTTTCGCTTTGGATGTCGTCTGTGTTGTGTTATTGCTAATGTCCATGTATTTGTATATTATCGTATCATGATCCAATGGAGGAGACCGCTTGCAGGCTCTTTCAGTATAAAGCAATTGTCCTCACTGATAATTCTAGAGTGATGATGCCTAAGAACGTCCATGTCTAATAATAGGAAGTTGGGGGTGTAGCAAGTACTGCGATGAGGTTGAGTGGGAATAATGAAGCAGCATGCCTGGGTCAGTGAGTCAGGTATATGAGATGTAAATGGTAATTATATCCACCCGGGTGGTGGGTTCAACTGTACTGCTGGGCAATTCCTGCTGATACTTGGCCTGCCCGGTGCGTGTCCCCTATGGACACTCCCAATGTTGCCGCCTGTGATACTTCCTGGTGTGTGGCAGCGCGAATCAGAGTGCACTCCGGTTGGGGATTGAAGAATCCTTGCACTGAGCGAAGTTCCCGGTCGATGTCCCGGATGTCGATGGCCCTCCAGTGACGCTTTAGAGTTAGGCCGCTGGAGTCCGCTTAATGCGGGCAGCGAAACGCTGGACAACCCACTTGCTGAACTGCTGCACCGATTGTCGGATTGCTTACTTTGCCGCTTCCGAAGTTCCATGTCACAGGCGTCATGTAATTCATCGAGTCCTAGGTAAAGCGCTTCGTCCCGAAGATCCAAAAGCCCCCCCAGGACGGATGTAGATGTTCCAAACATCAGTGACCGCGGCAAAGGATTTGTCCCTTTTTCTGATTCTGCTAAGCGGAGGTAAGCCAGAACGTGAGGGTACCTGTAAGTTTGTTATATACATCCCGAGGATTGACTACTGTGACTATGCTTACGGTGAACTGGGCCGATCAAGAAAGACATGTAAATTTGGGTGCGACGATGACAGGAGATCCTCCGCACTAACAAATTCTGCGCAAGATGATTCCGAGTCATGATCGGAACGAATGGAAGACCGAATGAAGTGAGAGAGGTTGGAAGGTCGAGAGTTCAGGGTGCGAAGAGTGGTTCGGTGGGTGGTAGTGCAGGTTTCGAGAGTAACGATTGTTTTTGAAGGATCAAGATGAATGCCTGCGGGCGGGCCCGATAGGAGAACTGCATGGAAAGGAGGCTGCGCTTGTGAATCCTCGATGACGATGTCAGGTGTGACTGAGTGTCTCGGGACAATAGGTGATCTCGATCCGGTTGACAAACGAAATTCAAGGGGAGGTACATTGGCTAGGGGCGCTAGCGGTGAACGCGGAGCACGTTGCGCCAAATAAGACGGCGAGGGCGACATTAGGTCCAAGCGGCGCTCTTGGAGCGAGACTGCTACATGTGGTGCCGGAGGACTCATTGGGGGAGATAATGGACAGCCAGGGGAAACGGGCTGGATTTCGTTGTCCTCGACGTGCCTTTCATCCTGTTCATCAATGACACTTGAAAGAATGTCGTGTCTAGACCCATTTCCGGCCGGACTGCTCGCTTGAGCTCGCGCACGAGCAGCAGCAAAGATGTCGAGAGACTTGGCAACTTTTGGTTCGGATATGCGAACCGGCTTTGACGCGGCAGTGTATGGAGCAGGGTGGGATGAGCTAGATGTATTGCTTCGAGTGAGCCATGGGACTGGTTTCAGCTTTGAAAAAGAGATAGTCGGGTTCGATGGTGAGGGGCGATGGACCGGTCGATTTGCTCGAGGAGGCGTGCCGGGAGGTGAGGCCAAGGTAGGTTGTTGTGGCGAGGGGGAGTGAGCGAGTTCTGGAGAGAGGGAAGTTGTGCGTGGAGGCACCTTGAAGTTGGCAATCATCATGCTCATCGATACCACCAAGAAGAATGAGGAAGAGGAAGTTAAGAGATGCCCAGACGGACAAATGGCCCGGGTCTTGTCGCTTCGACAGGTATGACATAACGAAGACCCGACGAACAATGGTACTCTATTATTTTCCTTTTGAATTATCGCGTATGGACTTTGTGAACGCGCCCGTCACGGATCCAAATCCAGTCACGGTCCATCCACCATGTCCTCCTCACTCATCGCAACATCCAAGTTCCAATCGACCATACCAAGTGTACTCCAAGGCATTTCTCCTAGTCTGTCTGCGCTCCATGCAACTCGTGCCACACTGCTGAACAAAAACGACGCCCAAATTGACCACCTCCATTGTCCCAGATGTGGTGCTTTTGTCCTCCACCAGAATGGCAAGCTGAATGTCTCGACTTCTTGGGTCAAAAGAAGGCATAGGACAGCCTCAACGTCACGGCGTTCCCTTCAAACAAACTGTTCGAATTGCCGTTCTGTCTCCAAAACGGCCTATGCGACGGAGTCTCGGAGCCGCTTTTCAAAAGCGCGGTCCTCTATATCCGATCTGTCACCCGCTTATGCTGGTGATCCTGATTCTCAGTCTGCGTGCAATTCAAACAACGCCTCGTTCCATCCCCTAAACCTGCGACAAGAATCAGTGCAAACAACTGCGGTAGTCGCGTATGACAGACCCGCGTCCTCGGTGATAGATACTGCAAATGCACCGTCACTCCCAAAGCATCGGACGAACACAATCTCGTCCGCACTTTCACCAGCTGGTGGTGCTTCGCGACAAAAAAAGACCAAGCTTGGCCTGCAGGAGATGCTGCGACGCAATAAAGAGAAAGAGACGGCCAATAAAGCAATGAAACCTGTTGCCCAAGGTGGCCTGGCCGCTTTCCTTGACGGACTGTAGTAGCGCAACCGTCCTTATAGTGTACAAGCTCAAAGGCGTCATAAAAGGGGAAATATCCCATTGAATAATAAGCGCGTGAAATGCGCACTGAGTAGAGTGGCTATATCCTATCAGTAGTGGGCAGTACTAGTTATGAATGTTGTTAAAGTACAACGTGAGCTGTACAAAGGCAACACCACTACATGCTGCAACAAATATTATCTTCGGTTCTATCCAGTTCCGCCTAAAACCATGCGCATCGTGAAGGTCTATACCACTGAGGCACCATGTGGAAATTTCTGTTCTACTTCACGTTCAGCCTCTTTCGGTAAAAACGTGGCATCAGGGGATATGAACATCCCTGGCCAGAACGGTACATAGATACCGATGGCTATCAGCAAGGGCAGAGTATCGAGGCCGTAGAAGAAGGCCTCCGTTGTAGCAAGGTGGCCGATGTAACCTTGGGACAACTCAGCTACACGGTACCCAGAACGGACCTATTCGAGCGAGATGAATAAGTACGCGTCTCACAAAACTTGATGTGGGGTAGTAGGACTTACCAAAATTCCTATACAGCTAACGACAAGCGCACCTGCAAGCGTCCGCCAGTCACGATACCATCTCCCGCTTGCATCTCTCCGCAAAAGTTCAGGGTCTTGGCTGCAGACTTTGTACAAGAAGCGAGCGTATATGACGGAAAAAACTAAGAATGACGCCAATTGGAGCACTAAACCGGCCAGAAAAATCTGTGTTGTGATGAGAAGATTTACTAGGTGTTGAGTACAGCTAACTTACATGAGAGCCCGCTAGCGCTGAGCTGACATCATGCGACGTCGACAAGCCACCTCCTGCAGCCTGAAGGCACTCAGCACGAGCCTGGAAAAGACCATAAAAACACGTACTTGGATGAGGAAAGTGGTGATATCAGATGTCACAAATATCCACGTCAATCGGCGGACAGGTAAGAGTACATGGTGGGTGCAGTTGATGTGCGTTGCGAGGCGGCCCAACAATACGTAGTTGGCCGCGATGAACGCGCACGGCTAGACCGAAAGATGTGGTTAATCCGGGTCAAACCTGGTTGCAATACGGACACGCACTGAAAGGACGATAAACAAGTACTCCACGATGTACGTTCCAGAACTTTCAGGATGATAATGAAGGCCAAAACGGCAAGCAAAGCCGATGGCATATGCTGTTAGTAAATATGCTCGTTCAGTACAAGGTTGGTACGGAAGAGATTATCTAAAGGTACGCACTGTACTCTCCTATCACCATCGCAGACATCCACTTGACACGGTATTTCCAGGTGTACCATGTTTGTATGAAGGCGATTGCAAGCACAATTGCTATTCAAGCCTTTAGATATTCTGATCTGGTTTTCTTTGAACGAAGCAGTGACTTACAGAAGGCAATTGCGGTGAACGTGTTAGACGCAATATAACGTAAAGGATTATAAGGATCGTCCTTGGGATCCAAGTAGGGATTAGAGGGTGGTGGAGGAATGTTTGGCTGGCGTGCCAGAGCGGGCTCTACGAGCGATGACGCAGCTGAGAATAGAAGCACTAGTGATAGAATGCTGCTTCGATGTGACCGCAACATTTCGAACTTCTTCGGAGCGCAAGGTCGAGAAGCGAGGAACCGGATTTTTGCCGGTCACGTTCATTTAGCAATCCTTAAGTATGCTGGCAAGTCGTGACGTGCTCGCCGCACGCCGTATCAGTCATGGTACTGTGCCATGTGGCGCGAAGGCCGGCGAAAGCTGACGCTGTCATGGATCCGTGAGTCGTGCCTGAACCGGGACTTGTTCCGACGGTTGATCAACGTCCCGCGCGACTGCTGAGCGCTGAGCTTCTGCCCGCTTCTGCCAAGCTTGGAGCAAGGCTCCGTCGGGTGGCGGCTTGGGTAAACACCGGTTTAGACGGAGCGGGGCGAGCGGTGGAAAGAAAACCTGGAACGTCATCGCGCGGGTGGTCCCGGTCATCCACAGATATGCATGGTAATAGAAAGGACGGATTATATATTCAATCAAAAGTACCAAAAGCTGCAGAAGTACGTACTGCCAAGCTATAACTCGTAGACTTTGCCTGGTACCTGGTATTAAGACCCGAGGAGAGTGGTCATCCCTTCGGCGCCCACAGATCATACAACTCCCTATCTTCAGGGTCAAAGCATGTCAATAAGGATGGGTCAGAGCGAATTGTTATTCGTTTAGGTGTGCGATGAGACAACGGGATATGATGAGGGAGACGGATGCTATCGCCGGCGCGTTCACGGGTTAAAGTCGACTCTGACATGGTACTTGAGGATGTAGGGGATTGGGCCTGAAATACGAGCGGTGAAATAACATGCATAAGTTTAGTGAATGATTTCTGGAAGATCTAAGGAGTCACCTCGGTTGAGTCTTTGGGCCATCTGTTCAGCGGACCGGTAGCTGAACCAGAGACGTCTGCAATCAGAGAAGGTCAACAGCTTGCAAGTTTGAGAGGGTTGGAGACACGCACTGGGTAGTATTGTCGCGTGCTGTGGAGGTGACTCGACCATTATTCTCGTTTTGCGACCAAAGTCTACGTACGTCTTGTCCTGCACTGGCGCTGCCAGAGTCGCGAGTCAGTTGGGGCGCGCTCCAGCTCCGATGCGCGAGCATGTGATCTGTGACTATAATGTCACGCGATTTGGTCACCTTGATATCGCGCCTCCCCAAGACGTGACTCCTTGTCACTGTGTCCGAACCCCTCATGAACATCTTCAGGAGCTGTAAGTCGCCAATGGGATACAGTGACTCACATGTCCTTACTCACTCTGCATAGTGATAGGCCGCGTCTGGCGTAAGCATGCGGTCTACTCTGTTGGATCATAATAATGACTTCGAACTGTTCCGAATAGAAGATCCCAATGCCGCTGAAGTGGTCAAGATCTCGTCTGGAAGACTCTATCTGGGTAGATCTGGTGGTATAAGGCCTTCAAGAGAGTGCATGTGCGTTCTTTCTATCTTCAGCCGTGCACGGCCCATTTATGCCAATGCAGTTACAATGGAGCAATGGCGACTGTACGTCGTGTGCCATCTGTAGAACACAACTTCCAACTTGTGATCACCCGAGTCTACGAGGATGGAGACCAGGAGCTTCTGGAAGACGAGGATGAAAGTGAGAGAACCTCGGAAAGAACAACACGCTCCTTCTGACGTAGTGTCATCAGCTGACGAGGAGAAAGTGTTCCTAATTGGACAAGAGCTCGAGTTCAGACCGTCTGATACAGAAGAAGGACCAGGGTTTCTATGGCGAGACCTTGATGGGGATATAGACGAGTTTTATGAATTCGTCGCCTTCGACACGAACGAACCGACCCGAGCCTTCTTCGAAACTTGCATGTATCGTGCAATGTATGAACGCAAATACAGGGCAAGCGCCGATGACGTCCCTGATTTGGAGTTGGAGCAATTCATCTGGAAGTGAGGAGGTTATCACTAATTCACCATTGTCTAATCTTGTCTTTCAGAGCCACAGATATTGACGACAAGGGCAACCATAAGACCGTAGGTGACGAAGAAGCCATCCCGTCTGACTCCACTCCCGTAAGCAAGGCCCTGACTACTGACAAGAATCCCACTACTTGACATGGCTCTTCTACAGAAGATACCAATCATGCCCCCTGATGACCCTGGTAAACCCTCAATCGTGGCTAAACCAGCTAATCTCTGGCTGTGGAACCCAGACGCCGAGGATTTCGTCTCCGCATACGACGAAGTGCTTTATGCTAAGATAGTACGACGATCAACTGGCGACTACGACTATTGGTTGGCCGCTGCGAGTGATCGGGGCGAGTTGTTATCACACAAGCTTGACTCCAGCATGAACCCGCGCTGGGCGTCCAAGACCATATCTCTCACTTGGAATTATTACAGCGAAGGATCACAGAAGAGTTGGGCACTGCAATTTCTCAATGAGGAGGATTACAATGAATTCAAGGACACGGTTATGCGTTGTGGGTGGGAGATTCTTCATCGCGAACCATGGGGGAAGGCGAAGGTACGCGTTGATAATATGATCGTCGTGAGTGGTGACCAAACATCCGTCATGCAGCAAGATGAGCAGGCATACGTTATGAGCTCCGCCTACGAGGATGTTGAGATGCAAGATGTAGAAGACGAAGAGGAGGATGCTGACGAAATCGAGTCAGAGTTGGACCCCGACCAAGGTCAGTTCCTCCAAAATGTCTATCACTTCGTCATAACCTTCCATCAGAGCCCAGTGATGATGGGGAAGAAGATGAAGAAGAAGATGCTGTCCCTCAGATCAAAGGAGAGCGTAACTCCCAGCTCACAGTGGGGTACAAGGGTGACCGCTCTTACGTTGTGCGCGGCAACAATATTGGTGTGTTCAGTCATACCGGCGGCGGTGACAATGTCAAATACCACGCGACAATCAGCAAGATTGCGACACCCAAGGGCAAGGAATTTAAGCCGCAAGAGGTAAGGCGGTAAAGTATGTACATTGGCTTTGCTGACAACAAATAGGTCATGCTTCATGATCAAGATACGAAAATGGTCTTGATGAACCCGTCGAACCCGAACTCATTGTTTAACTTGGATATAGAACGCGGGAAGGTTGTCGAGGAGTGGAATATCCACGAGGACGTACCAGTGAACCATATTGCACCGGACAACAAGTTTGCTCAGACTACGCCTGAGCAAACTCTAGTCGGAATTTCACATAATGCACTCTTCCGAATCGACCCTCGAATCTCCGGAAGTAAAATGGTAGACAGTCAGTTCAAGCAGTATGTCAGCAAGAACCAGTTCTCGGGCGTGGCTACGACTGGGACGGGAAAACTTGCTATCGCTAGTGAAAAAGGAGACATCCGCCTATTTGACGCTATCGGCAAGAATGCAAAGACAGCGCTGCCACCCTTGGGCGACCCTATCGTCGGCATTGATGTCACTGCCAATGGAAGGTGGATTGTTGCGACGACGAAGACATACTTACTATTGATTGACACTCTCATTGGCGAGGGTCGTTATGCTGGTAACTTGGGCTTTGACCGAAGCTTCCCTGCAACCTCAAAACCCATTCCCAAGAGGTTGCAACTTCGCGCCGAACATGTTGCCTATATGAACCATGACATCAGCTTTGCACCGGCAAGGTTTGTTATGCCCCATGTTAGTTTCAAGATGTATCTGAGTCCATTATCTCCAGGTTCAACCGAACTGAGGGCCAAGAAGAGAACGCCATTGTCACCGGCACTGGGCAATATGTGATTGCGTGGGACTTCGCAAAGGTGAAGAAGGGGCAACTGGACAAATATGAAATCAAGAAATACGAGGACATCGTCGTTCAGGACAACTTCAAGTTTGGAGACGATAAAGAGATCGTAAGTTGGCCTGTCACTGTGAAGGGCCAGCACTGTACTGAGCTCCGGCTAGATTGTGGCCCTGCAAAACAACGTGCTCGCGATTAACAAGAAGAACCTCAAAAGGCCCACGCGTCACTCTCTTGCCCCTATCGCCTCAGGCTCAGGCTCGAAGAGCAAATCAAATATAGTGAATACTCCATACTAAACCTGCGGTTGTGCACGACACAGCGCTTGATACCAGCTTGTGTTGACTTTCGGGACGTTACGCTTAGACTAGAGTGCACATGGCGCTGTGTAATTTCTTGTAAAAGCTTGTTGTAAGAAGTACCTAGCAATAATGAAAACAATAAGTGTATACCAATCAAGATGATGTTTGAAGATCTGTCAACTAATTGAAGATACCGCTGCTCTCTCGGAGGATTATATCAATTCTTCTCGCCACCGTTCCGTGTAGCCTCTATTCTTCTATCTCTAACATCCACATACCGCCAAATGCCTAGATGCCACATAGCCCGTGGTATCATCAAGCTAAAGCCTAGTACCACTGTCAACCAAAGCATGGGGCTCCACCGAGAGACATCCCACGCCTCGTCGCCAAGGGCCCAAAGAGTAATGTACAGGTGAAGGATGTCACCCATCATAAGGGCAGTCATAAGAGAGCCCACAATCTTTTCTTGAAGTGCAGGAAAGCGTGCAAGGTGTGTCCGTGCCGCTGATAGAACGAAGAAGTTGACGACGCCTAGAAGTGCGCAGACGTGGCCCAGCTGGACGACGGTTACAATGGATGCCTTTGGAAGGTCATCTGGCGCTGGACTATCTTCTGGCCACGGCGCTTGTGTGTTATGAGTCTGCCAATGTACGCTAGAACGAAAGGCTCGGACATCTACTGCAAGGCTGCTCACCTTGATCGGGTCATGAAGAGCGCCGATGAAGCCCAGAATCGTCAGAGCTGGTTCATAAAACGCGAAGAGCGCGTAGTAGAAGTCTGGTATGGCAGAAATGTACTGCATGATGCGGTCCTGTGCGGGAATGCAATAGGGTACGTCGCGGGAGCGGACAAAGCCGCGATTTGGAGAGTAGAGCAGGTGGGAAGTTGTCGTTGCTTATGAGCATCATAATACTCGCAGATCTACGCACGCAAATATCTGACCATGGCATGTGAACCTCCGTGGACGTGAGCAAAATTAAAAAGCCCCTGTTTCACAGGCACTGTGCCTGAGTTTGCCGCCCATATGCCTGCCCTCAAGTGAGGTCACTTAAGATCGGAAGAGACGATGGCTTTTTTCTTCATCTTACATCCCAGGTCTATCATAACCCAGGTAGGCAGCCAGTCAGCCTTCGACGCTGACCTACTAAATGGCGAGGACCGAGAGAGCTCCCCTTTGGGGATGAGGTTTTATAATGCGCTTCCTGTTGGTTCTGGTGTATCTTCGGTGCTCAGTGCTAGTGTGGGTCGTGCTTCGCTACCATCTGACAACTTTGTCCCGTAGTTCTGATATGTCTTACTACACTGTGTAATAAATCGGTAGAAAGAGATGTTCTATTCATTCGCTATAGCCTTGCGAGCAAACATAACAATCTTGTTGGGTTGCGCAGGACTTGACGCGATGACTAAAACCGTGGGCGTGGTCAAACTTTGTGGGTATTAGGCTGAGATTCCATGTTTCGAACTTGAAACCCATCATTCATATTCATACCCATGCGTTGAACAGCGTATACCATCCTGTTTGACGGCAACGCAGCTGGTCTTGGTTAGTTTCCAACATGGTCCCACATATGTGCAAGTGACATGCTGATGCGCTCTTAGACATCATGGATGGCACTAGTATCACTGAATCGCGAGACGCTGAAACTGGCGTCAGATCCAAAAGACACCTCAAACGAACATTAGGTGGTTCCGAGTCTGGCACTACGACGCCCGGCGACAACGGCAATGCTGCGAATGAAAAATCCGTCACACCGAATGAGCCTTCTGATCACGATGTTGGCTCAGTGATTGCTCGGCATGAGTCCTTTAGAAATGCTGAATCGCTGGCGTCAGTGGATCGTCCACCTAGTGAATATCTTCCTCCAGCAAAGATATACCATCCTTTGTCGTTCCCAGTCATCGCCCTTCTAATGCCTGCCTCCGTGCTCGGGGTACTGGCACGACTCGGACTTCAAGCCCTCGTAACATATGATGGCGAAAGCGTGTTCCCACTGGCTTATATTCAAGCCACAGGCTGTTTCATTATGGGCATCGGGCTAGGGTTGAAAGAACCCTTTGGTAGATTGTACGTCTCGATAACTCCGAATCTCTTTTTTGTGTTCATCACTGTTGCCAGCTATGGCCCGTTATACACTGCCATGACCACAGGTACGTTATGGTATTGGTGTCCAGGGTAATTGTACAGCTAGTCAACTGCAACGCTAGGATTTTGTGGGTCCTTAACGACCTTCTCTGGCTGGCAAGTGGATATATTCAATTCGTGGGTTAACTCAACTGGATCCCACCGAGATGGCCTTCGAGATGTACGTGTTCCGTGCGATGAACGAGGATTGGTTGTGAACTTCAGTTCAGCTTATAGATGGTCTCACAAAGACCTTTGTAACACTCTGTCTTTCTTTGTCCTCCTTGTGGTTCGGAGTTCATTGCTGCAAGCTGGTAGCGCCCCATATACCTACCATCAGGTCTCCTGGCAGGCCTATTCAGTATACACTCGTCTCTTTGGCAGTCCTCACTTACGCTGCCACCCTCCCTGCTTATTTCCGTGCATCACCCAGCTACCGACATCAGGCCACAGCTGCCCTTCTCTTCTCATTTCCGGGAACGTTGACCCGATACCTTCTGTCGATTGGCTTGAACCCACGCTTGAAACTCATGCCGCTCGGAACATTCACCGCTAACATCTTCGGGACTGCGCTCCTGGGCCTGTTTCATGTTCTACAGGGGCTCCCCACCCCAGTCTCCGCCAACGCTTGCGCCATCCTTCAAGGTTTAGGGGACGGGTATTGTGGTTGTCTCACAACGGTCAGTACGTTCGCAACGGAGGTGGATGCACTTGAAGGTTGGAAGGCATGGCTGTACGTAATAGCTAGCTGGGTCACTGCTCAGCTGGTGTTACTTGTCATTATGGGCTCTTCTTTCTGGTCCGGGCATGTTCATGCAACTGCTTCGTGCAAATTTGTGTCTTAGATTGATAGTCGCTATGAGAGTGTCTGTTACAGGCAACTGTGAATGTTTTTATATATTCCTTCTATAAATTCCTACAGAAAGGTAGATCTAGAGAACGCGGATGCGCTGAACATTAGCTAGCTCTTTTGGTTCATTGACTACTAGTAGTATATGTCAGCGCCGACGCGTACTGGTGTCTGATTATCTCCTCGTTTATAGTGGGTAGCGCGCGGACTTTGAAATCCCGTTTAGGCTTTGTGACTGTGGCAGAGAGGGTGAGGAACGATGCTGTCGGTTTCGTGACCTGACTACGCCATGTCGCGACCACCTCCGGACGTAGAGGAGGAACAACTCGAACTGGAGGAGGAGGAGGCTGTTAGCGGAACCGGGGAGGGCGATGAAATTATGGAGGAGGCGGAGGAAGGTTACAGTGCGTTTGTCCCCTCATGCTCCCAACCTCCCGACAGGCCTCGAGTCGTGATCGAGGGGGATGCAGACTAAATCAATCTTTGCTTCTCAGCGTCTTCCACACCGACATCCACTTTGACGTGGATAAGCTGGTTTTGCTCCCTTCCTGGTCACGAATACTTCTGTGAAGTCGCAGAAGACTTCATTGAAGATGATTTCAACTTAACCGGCCTTAACTCAATGGTACCATTCTGGAAGGAAGCGATGGAGATGGTCCTCGATGTGGAGCCAGGTTCGCGCTGTTTAAAGTGATCTCCTGCTCGTTGTGAATCAACAGACACCTTAGATGAAGATTCGTCGAAGATCCCGGACGTTTCGATAGTCGAGGCCTCGGCCGAGTTGCTATATGGCCTAGTACACCAACGATTTATCTTGACTCGTGCAGGGCTACAGGCTATGGTTCGATATGGATCTATGTTGCAATTATATGGCTAATGCTACTCCAGGTCGATAAGTACGAAAACGGGATATTTGGGACGTGTCCCCGAGTATATTGTGAGGGCTGCTGCGTCGTGCCTTGTGGCCGCTCCGATCTACCTGGTCTTGAGACTGTGAAGCTCTTTTGTCCTAACTGCAATGATATCTACACTCCGCCAAGCAGCCGGTTTCAAGGCGTGGACGGTACGACATCTGAAATAAATGCGATTAGTGTTGACTCACTGTGTCACCAGGCGCATTCTTTGGAACGACGTTTCCACATCTTTTTTTCCAGAGCTACCGCGAATTAGCTCCAGCACCTTTCAAGCGATCTGGGGTTTCTCCAGGTTCATCGTTATCACCGGGCCGATCACCGCAGAGCGGGTCAAGTAGCTCACGCCAGTCTCCATTCGTCAACCCTAATCCGCATGGAGGACAGAAGCAACCAGCAAGTCAAGTGTATGTTCCACGAATATATGGCTTTAAGGTCAACGAACGCTCGAAGAACGGGCCTCGTATGCAGTGGCTACGGATGAGACCAGATGGCCCCGTGGAATTGGACATGGTCGATTGGAGAGGGCGGTGGTTAGATGATGAGGAGTACGAGGAGGAAGAAGTTGAAGAGGAGGAAGATGACCGGCCAATGGAAGATTTCGACCCCGTACGTCATCAGCTTGGCCTATGTGTATCCGGCATCTAACCTTTGACAGGTGGTCGACGACGAAGAAGAGGAGGAGGAAGAGGGGGAGGAGGAAGATGGAATGGAGAGCAGACAGCCTTCTCGAGGTGAGCGACAATACAGTGACTCTTTGCATGCACCGACGTCTATCTATCCACCTTCTTCTACGCGGACCACACCAACTTCAGCACCAATTTATCCAGATGATGCGCTACGAGGCAAAGTCAAGGCTGTCCGACAGCTTGTATGACCCGAATAGTGGATTTCTACTCTAGGCTTCATGACATGTTTCGCGTTTGCTCGTTTATAATCTGCACATTCACGAATACCAGACGCAATTGGTATACAATATAGAATATATCAGTAAACATATTTCACTTCACATATGGCTAAGCTTGCGTTTGGCGCCCAAGAGACCATAGTAAGAGGGTCGTGGGAAACAAACTATACAGTCTCTCAGCCACTAAACTCACGGTCACGCGTCTATCGACCAAAGATCTGTGGTATCCGAGTGCGACTATCCCATCCTCAAGACCGTCAAGACCAATGGCACGAAGCAGTACGTCGTTGCATGCATTCAACATGATTTGACAAAGACTAAAGGAAATAATCACTTTTCTATTGACTAGACCTCCGATACGGTCTCAACAAAGGCCACCCGACGACTCCCATTGTTCAGACACCTCGCCCTAGTCACCGCAAGGGCAGCCAGTCTACGCGCAACAAGTTTGTGAAGTCAGTTGTTCGGGAGGTTACTGGTTTCTCGCCATACGAGCGTCGGGTGATGGAGTTGTTGCGTAACTCCAAGGTGCGTGATTATGTTGACAACCGATCAACTTTATCCTCAGGACTTCAACAGGACAAAAAGGCACGGAAACTGACCAAGAAGCGGGTGAGTACTGATTAGCTGAGAAGCACTGACACCCGCTCATAGGCATTTATTAGCTTGGGACTTTGCTCCGGTCGAAACGCAAGCTCGAGGAGCTCAGCACAATCATCCAGGAGAGCAGGAGAGCGCACTAAAAAGACGTTGGGATGTGACTGTATGCCTTTGGTCCCTTTGTCGAGCTACATCGAGATGATGCAGTGCACTGTGATTTCATGCTATGCGGCGTATGTATGCCTTCTCACTTATGATAGCAAAGCAGGGAGTTTATCCTCTGTGTGTCTCACGCAGTATTAGCGGACGCCTGTGAGAGTGAACAGATCATTCACAATTGCAGTGTGTCAATAACGGTAACGTTTCAACGTGATGCGTTGGACGTTGTGTGTAATATTCGTGATGATCGATCTTGCAAGTGTTTGTATCGACAGAAGTGATGTACTTCCGTGTGGTGCAGCGCTCACAAGGTACAGTACTTATCGGTATGGCCTGAATAACTTGCTTCCTCTTGCTTCCCAAAGTGATCGAGGCTTTGAACGTCCTAATACCTGCCGCAATGTCATGACAGGTACCAACTCTATTCCTAATACTACTGCTTGGTCATAAGTGTTTCAAGCTTTGTCGGACCAGACGGGACGCTGAGTCAACTGGGTTTATGGGCATCGGCCGCGTAGCCGGCCATCCCGGGGAATGAAGATCACTCATGCGAATGCATCATCACTATCATCACCCATCGGTGGTCGCGAGAGCTGTGGTGAGTACTACCTAGTACGGGCACTAATGGTCGCATCAAGTTGAGGTGACTGTGCTAAAAGACAGATAACGTTCTCGGCAAAGACAGAGCATAGGATGTCGGATTCACGTAACACTGGCAGGCACTACGATTCACTGCAGGAGTGACCACAATAGATAGGCCGAGGGATGCGATCATCGAAGAAGCGACAGTGTAAGCCGAGACCCGAAAGTGACGTGCCGAGAAGCCGACGGACACCGTGAGTAGTCTTGCGCGTAATATAAGATGATTTTTGAAGACGCGGTGATGGAGAGAAAGTTGTACACTGGCTGATATACCCGTCCCCGTCCGCGACGGCCTGTTTGCTATGTCCCTCGCGCCCCCTCCCACCACAAGGACCCGTGCTTCATCCACAAACATCCGCCCTGCCCTATCTATAAACACCCTTGGTCGAAGGCGTTCATCTTCCCTAGTCAACATCCCTCAGCTCAGCCGCCCTTCCTCCCCACACCAACCTACCACCGCCTTCCCCTCAACATTCGCTGAAAGCCCGGTTTCCTCAGATCAACCCATGTTTGCCGTCATTGCATCGAGATGTTTCCACCTCCTTCATCTCTCTGCTTTCCATCCCAAAGGCTATCCAGTGTCTTCCACATCCTCGTCGGTCGTCGGCGACGACGACATGCTCCTGCCCGTCTCTTCTCCCTCGTCTCGGCGGACCTCCTTTGGTGACGTTTCAAATGAGAAGCAATCATCGGACAACTTGCCCTGGTGGCGACAACCTACATCAGTCAGTTTAAACCTTCTTTTATGTTTTTCAACTGTCCTCACAAGTTTGATTCCCCCCAGCTTCCCGTCATATTTGTTGTTGCACTATTCCCCATCTCCACCGCCCTCGTCATGTTTTCGCTATACACATTGCCTATATCTGTAGCATGGCCGCATACATTAAAAGAACTGGCAGCCTTGGGGAAAGAGCTGCACATCTACTCGCACAGTGGGATAGGTGCATTGGCCCATGTCATCGGTGTCCTGGCAGTAACTGCAATTTATAAGCACGCTTGGTCAATACCAGGCAGTGTTCTATGGGTGCGTTTTCATTCTCTTGATAAATGGCTTCTCCTGTGCGTGGACTTACGATGTGCGCTGCCTGTAGAATGTTTTGGCAGGAGCCCTGTTTTCGCCAGCATTGGCAACGTTACTCCTCACTATCCTGACCATGCTTGGCTCTGTCTGCGCCACGCTTCTCTGCAAGCCTTTGGCGCCGTATCTAGCACGCGTTTTCCCTAAGGCGCTGGACATGACAAGGGGAGCCTTGGAAGGTGGCTCATCCGTGAGCACCGGATCGAAATCGAAGTCATCTGCATGGGTTCGCCTGTGTGTTCTTCGGCTCATTGGTGTCGTTCCTTGGTCTGGTATTAACATCGCGTGCGGGGTGTGCGGCGTTTCGCTCTCTGACTGCATGTTGGGTGCATTCATTGGATGCTTGCCGTGGACCGCAGTGACTTGCCAGGTACGTTACTGTTCCCGAATGCGTAAACATGCGTCAGAGCACTACTGACGTACTTCACTTTTGACGTCAGATCGGTGACATCCTCCAGACAGTGGCATCGACTCCGTCTCCGTCCCAGCAGACCGTGGGAGAGCTACTGGCGTCTCCCGACATCATCTTGAAACTCGTCTTCCTTTCGTTTCTGTCGCTAGCTCCAATCCTTGGACGCAATCGATTGCGGACACTTCTGTCGTCGTCCACCAGTTCTGATGTCTCGCCATCGGAACGCAGCGATCGCCCTTCACGGCTTGTTTGGGTCCATGACTTGCGGTCTAAGATACGGCTGTCCCGCTCTCGTTCGGTAACACGCTCGGATCAGCAGCTTGCAGTCCTTATCCAAGAAAAGTCGAGTTTGCCATGACCGCTCGAGCCCTTGACCTTATCATTGGGATGACCCTACACATTTTCTTACGACCATCGTCTCTTGGATACATATCGCATCGGTGATACCTACCCGTATTTGTTTCACAATAGTCAATCACACCAACACGACCAGCACAACTCACTGCTTTCTATTTTCCAGCAATTTTTTGACGTAACGATATGATACGATTCGTAACTTATTACCGCATGCAACTTTTAGCTGCCAACGCAAACATGTGCCGATGCATAGCTAGATGCTTCTTCATATTCAAACTTCATGCAGCCCGTATTCTTCTATTCTGACCCACCAATAGTTACTTATCGTTGTTTTTCAGGGTAGATGATGGTGTAGAGCCTTTGTTAATCCTCCTGCTGTACGTTGACCACAGTTCATACACATACATGGGTGTCAAGTTGTGATTATCTGCCAGGGTCTATCGATGCATTTACGTGTGGTCCAGGAGCCTCGTGAAGCGTTTTTCTAAGATATCAAACACTGCAAAATACCATTTATGGTAGACTCGTCATTTGCCGAAAACGACGATCATCTCATTCCATTAGTAAGTGAACGTTTGAACCAAGTTTGAACATTGAACGCTTGCTAGTATTTGCTTTATCACCTTGTGGGTGCGGCCTACTGGCAAAAATGAAGTCCTTGCCAGGTGGAGTGCGGATTTCCCCCTTATCTGTTGAACAGTTGACCGGAAGTTGGTCTCATCCGACGAACCCATGGTGGCATAGAACGAGCACACCAGACTTGCCGAGAGGCCCGTGCAACCCATGAACCGTGAACAGCTGGGTGACACCGTGTAGCTGCCGCAAGGTAGACGCGAGGTGCTGTGATTTGGCAATGCAATAATCCCTTGACCGCGGCACGGCGTTGGCAAGGTGAGCACTACTACACTTTGCAGCGAGTCAAACGCCGCATTGAGCAGGCTGAACTTGCTCTAGATCCTGAGTCGTGTATCGGAGTATATCTTCGACAGATTTCTTGTCTCCTAACGTGTATCCCCCTAAACCTTGGTCTCCTCTCGACTTAAAGGTCACGGTGTCCATCACCCTTTCCTCCCCACTCAGTGGTTTTAACTCTGTTACTATTGACCTAGTCAAGCTGTTCGCTTTCAAGCCCAAGACAATACACAGGGGCGCAAACTGTGCCCCTCCAGTCAGCTTCATTGCTACCATCGCCAAATTGGGGCTCGTTTTATTCTGTGCTATCATCCTCAACGCCTTTCTCTCTTGCATGGCGTCTCACAGAATCCAGCGGGATTTGAGTTATCGAAAACCGGTGCCCAGATTCATTCCGTCTCCGCCACCTTCTCCGCCGGCAATACGTGCTCCAGCTCCCCTTTATGTCGATAAGGACGCTCCGCCGGTAAGCTACGTGAAGGTCTTGTTTCCTCAGCTCTAACCAACAACTTAGCTCCCAAAGAACTGGCGAGACGTTATCGAACGTGCAGTTTCGATTGACGAATACTCCTCAACATATGCACGTTTAACCGAGGGACTTGATGTTGTGACGCCCCTTGTCGAAAGCGCAGGTCGACAAACACTTCTGAATAGAGTAAGGCGCAATTGATGGCAGCAAAGTGGCAATCGCGAGGACGTCTGGCTCATTTAATAAATCACAGGACGTAAACGCTGCCAGTAGCGATTTGGAGTCGCTCACCTCCTCCGATAGCATTGATGGTGATATTATGCCACGACCCGAGTCAACTATTCCGTGGAATCCCAGCCCACAATTAACGACTCAACGGTCGATCAGAGTGGTAAATGATGTCAGCATTCATCGAACCTGGTACTCGCATAACCCTCGTTCCTAGGACATTCGTCCTCCTACACCACCTCTACCCAGTCAGCGCAATATTAAATGGCAAAGGTCTGCAAGCTTCGAAAACCGCTCTACCGTGCCGAGCATAGCATCACAGATGGTATCTATTTCATCTCGTCTACGTCGTATCAGTACATTGTCTCATGTTTCGGTTTTTAGGCGGGAACAGAAAAGCCGACGATTGTGAATTCAGATCCAGATCAACACGCCCCTCTCGGGTTTGACATGCGTCCAGAGCTGGCGGTGCTCTCTCAACATCCAAAGCAGACCTCAATTATGCTACCCCTACCTCCGGCCAATATTACAGCGCAAGATGCGTGTTTTACATCTGATCGCGCGATTCAAAGACCACAGAGTGTGAGTCGGAAGCCCACTTCCACGTGTTCCTCAACGTGTACGCCTGCCTTGACTGCTGGAACACTATCTCCCTCGAGTATCTGTCTCGACAGATATTCCAGTAACGGCCCTTCAAACGTGGAACTTGAAGCTCTCGGATGCTCGAGCCAGCACCCCAGGGATATTTCTCGCACTGCGGGTAATCAGACCCAGGTGCCGGTGGCACAGCAATATTGCTTCGAGAAGCCAGCGGCCAGAAACCGAAAGTCTGGCATTCAAGCATTCCGAAGACTATACAAGTGTCTCGTATCGTTTTTTGCATGCCGTCCAAGTCCATGAATCATCAGACTTTTCACTTCTTTCTTGCACAACGGCTCACGCTATTATACTGGTACTCGAATAGAGATCAACGTACGATCTTTCTGACGATAGTGTCATCGTCGAGCAGTCGCGGACCTTGGGGTTTCGGTGAACATAGATGTATGAATTATAAACGCTAGTACTAAATACATGCCTACAAGCCACCGTATGTAAGCATATGTAGCTACGTAGTTAATGAATCCGAGCGCCTTTGATAGGCCAAGTTAGAACGCCGAGGCAGCCGGCCGGTTCAAGTCGCGTATGGTGTTCCCGCGCCTGAGCTAACTACATCATCGACGGTTACGACCTTCCCCTTACAGGTACCTCTAGTAAATACTCAGCTGAGCGCCTCGCACACACCATATCGCTCATACAGCTGCATCTAATATGCCCCATTGAACAGCTTTTCTATTCTGGATATTCTTGGGCATCTGACACTTTTTAGCCCATATTACCACTGACAGCAGTGTCCACGCCAGACTATCCTACATGGCCAAAGACTCGAGTTCTAGACCCTCTGCACGGGCAATTTTTGATACCACTCTCTCCGGCGAACAGGACCGTCCCTTCATACCCCCGCTGAAATCTGACCCGCTCCCATACCATCCCCCACCGCACAGCTTATTCGAGTTTAGGGAGCAGGAAGGACAACCGGCCAGAGAAGAGAGACTCCGGGAACTGTGGAAGAAGCTCCCGAACCGCGAACATCATGCGTCATCCACAGCTATATCGAATACATCGGTGGAAGAGGGAAAGCTGACGCCGGAGATGGCCAGAGAGATGAAACGGGAGTACGAAGATGAACTCTTGAGTCGATGCGGAGGTCTCGTTTCAGACGGGTCGTCAAGGGTCATTGCGTGGCCCGAGTTCAGGAAGTACGCGGAGGCGAAGGAAGCAGGTGTGTGCTCCCCGTTGCCGTCGCTCCTCGCTGCAACCTACTGGCAGCTAATTCTCTTCAGAGTTGTGGACCGTCTTCCACGATGAGTTGGATCTAGATAAGAACGGACATCTAGACACAAACGAGCTCTCCATTGCGCTGAGAAAAGCCGGTGAGCCACAACCTGGTACCTTTGCGGTCCCTTGCACTCATGGTCAAACAGGCATAACCCTATCCCCTTCTACTCTAGCTGAATTCATGACATGCCTCACTTCTTCGCCACACTCGCATTCCATCAGCTTTCAAGAGTTCAGGGACTTCTTGCTCCTCCTACCACGGAAGCCATCTACTCGGGAGATATATCAATACTACGAGTTCAAGAAGTTCTTGGGTGATGATGGTAGAGGGCCAGCTCGTGTTACAATGGAGGGTGAGCGCATGCATCCATGAGGTTCTTCAGAGTCACCCTAACATGTCGCAACATCTGTTCAGGCGACGTTAGTCTAAGCGCCGAGGACAAACCACCGCCTCTTACCACTATTGGCCAAGTTACGGTTACTACTCGGGATGAGAGCGGCAATGAGTATGAGCAAGTCGTGAATTTTGAGGAGGACGAAGAATATGAGGATCACGAAGAACAACATGACTGGCTTCAAGGCCATACTGCCATTAAGTTCCTCCTTGCTGGCGGTATCGCCGGAGCAGGTAAGAGTTTACATTCCGGCGGTGAGTAATTACTCACACATTCACAGTCTCTCGATCATGTACTGCACCTTTTGATCGCTTGAAGATCTTCCTCATTACCAGGGCACCAGAATTGGGAGGTACAGCGATGAGTAATAAGCCCGGAGTGGGCGGTTTGAAGTCGGTTGGAGGAGCTGTTGCGCGCATTTATGCCGAAGGTGGCGTCTTTGCCTTCTGGGTTGGCAACGGCTTGAATGTCTTGAAGATTTTCCCCGAGTCTGCGATTAAATTTTTATCCTATGAATCCTCCGTCAGTGCGTTGCACATTGGCAGGGGACGCTTCTCTGACAAGTCTACCTATTTAGAAACGAGCGTTTGCTCAGTATTGGGATCATGTAGAGGACACGAGAGATATCAGCGGGACAAGTCGATTTATGTCAGGTGGGATTGGTGGCCTCACTAGCCAGCTCAGTAAGTCGCGCCTTTATGTGTTCGTTTCGCCGTATCGACCTGGATATTAGGCATATACCCAGTTGAAACTTTGAAGGTATCTGGCTATTTTCTCAGTGTGTATAGATGGCGCGCTCATTCTGGCTTCGCCGTAGACACACATGATGAGCTCAGCGGGCGACCGGAAACGAAACTTATTCGATGCCGCTAAGCGAGTGTACCAGCTTGGAGGAACTCGAGCTTTCTACCGAGGGTTGACTGTTAGTATGTTTCATGTCAGTGTCGAATGATTCTAACTCGTGTCTTTCCAGATTGGCCTCGTTGGCGTATTCCCGTCAGTCAACACATTTTGAGTCTCATTTTAACGTTTAAACGATCCATAGGTACTCAGCTATCGATATGAGCACATTTGAAGCGCTCAAGCTTGCCTACATACGTTCAACCGGCAAAGAAGAACCTGGAGTGCTTGCGTTGCTGGCCTTCGGCAGTATATCGGGTAGCGTCGGCGCCACTAGCGTCTACCCCCTCAATCTTGTGAGAACGAGATTACAGGCATCGGGCTCGTCAGGACATCCCCAGCGTTATACTGGCATCAAAGATGTCGTCATCCAGACTTATGCCCGAGACGGATGGAGAGGCTTCTACCGTGGATTATTGCCCACATTGGCCAAAGTAGATCATCTCATACAGTCAATGGCCACTATTGACTAGCTGTCTAGGTTATACCTTCAGTGTCAATATCATATGTGGTTTATGAACATAGTAAACGACGGTAAGACTGCGTTTGCCCATGCCTCAAACCATGCTTACAAGTTTATTCACAGGCTTGGTGTATAGATATCATTTACATCCTCATATAATGCATCTACTTAAGGCGCACCATCCTTACTTTACAACTCGCATCACTTGGACTCTTGCAATACAAGCTACTTCTTTTTTTGAAGATTGGTGTTGATGCAATCCTGCTATGGACTGTAGGGCGTGTCGGATTCCTCAAGTACAAATGCTAATCTCGGAAAGAGTTCCAATGCATTTCCCCGAGCGACGTGGTGGAGTTTTGCAGGGTCATCGCGGAAGTATTCTTCAAGATTGTGAGTGTACCACTGCACCATATCCACGCTTACAGCTAAGCATATGAGAATATGTTCATAACTCGCCAACAGAAGGCTTCAAGCAATCTCACCAGGGAAATCAGACCCAAACAGTATATGATCCAAGGGCACAAACTTTTCCATTGCAGCGAGATTAACTTCATGTGCGCTGAGTGCGGTCTCATAGTAGAACGATTTAAAGTCGTCAATGATGTCTTGGTGGTTCAGCTCGCAGCCCATGTGTGGGGACAAAGCTGCTACTCTGGCGGCAAGGAGGGGCAGGCTACCACCTAAATGCGATAATACAATCTTGATGTTCGGATATCGCCTTTTCTTGCCGGTCACTACGAGGTGTGCGGCAGCTTTGAATGTTTCGTTAGGAACCTAGTGAAGAGAAGATACAGAGGCATTCCAGATAAACCCGTTACGATAGTGTTGCTTCTTACCTCGACGACAGGCAGACCCAGGAGGGGATGAGGGAAAGGAGTTGAAGAAGGCGTCTGCGCTCCATGCAAAAACACGATAGCGCACCGCCTGTCGAGCTCTGCCCACACCGCATCGTAGGCATTATGTCCGATGTATTCTAGGACGAGCTGAGGACACAAACAAGTAGGTGCAACAGAAAGTGAACATACTTGCGGTGCCCCCTTCGCCGTAGGAAGATACTAGCGCTATACCATCAGCCTTGAGGTCTCCTAATGCATACTCAATCTCCGCCAAAGCGCCTGGCCGTGTTAAATTCACAAAAAAAAAACAGAATTCTGCAAACCACCAATAACCCACCGTCAAGATCGTCTAAGGAGGGCAAGCCTGCGAATACCCCAAATCGTCCCGGGTATGTTTGACTGAGATGGGCAGCATAGTCGTTAAAGGCTCGCATTTGTTCGCGGTTCTCAATACTGGGCTTTGGAGGAGACAAGGGTGGAGGAGACATGAACGCAAACTGAATACCAAGGGCATCCATGGCGGCTAGACTGATTTCTGGGGACCAGGGGAGGTTCTCCTCGGGAGTTCGCCATCCAGCTTTTATATTGTTCGCTAATTTTGATTCAGTGTTAAGGAAAATGTGGTGGTGTACGTCCACTTTGTGTCGGCTTAGTGGATGCACTAGATTTTCTGAAGATATAGAGCTAGACCCTACCACGGAGGAATCCATTGTAAAGGCTTCGGGGGAGCAAGAGGAATGGATCTATGGCAACAAGAAGATTCGCCAGGGGGATTGGGTACAAGCTGCAGCTCCCTGTTGCGGCTGGCATGAAGGCCTGTATATAGGTGCCCATGATGATGGCAGGTGACCCTCCTAACGATGAGGTCCAACCACATTTAGATGCGAAGATCTATGGATTCGCCAGTGTTTAGATGGTACATAATTTGCCTCTCAAACAGAGCCCCCGGCCTCAGGCTGAACGTGCTCTCGTCTAAATCCTTGGCAATCGGCATCGTCCCACCGGACGGCCTTTCCACTCAGAGAAGATGGTGCCCGAAGTGCAAGTCCAGCAATGACATAGCCGACGTCGAAAGAGTTGACAAGCACGCCATCCTTGTGAGCATCTAGGAAGACCTTATGGTCCTTCTCGGTCATGTGTGGCGCCCCTTGTTGTCGGAGGTGCAATTGCATCTGCGGTAACAATCGTTCAAGTCAGAAAACCCACTATGCGAGCTAGAAGGCCAAAATCACATCAGTGTCAACCTTCCCCGGAGCTAAGGCAAGGGAGACAATGCCGGGTTCCTCTTGTGCGAGCGTCCTGAGATGAGTTAGTTTTCTTCAGGTAAGCGCTAGTGGAAATATACCTGCTGAGACTGTTCAAGGCTGCTTTTGAAGCATTGTAGGGACCCCATCCGGCTGTGCTTCCTGTCGCGGCCCCTGAGCTAATGAAGATGATTTTGCCTCCTTGTTCGCTTTTGCGAAGATGAGGGAGGGCTGCTTGCAGAGCAGTCACGAGAGAGAAGAAGTTGACCTCGAAGTGGGCCCTCCAGCTATCCAGCGTATTGTCTAGATCACCGATGCGGCCAAGAGGCTCGAGTGCTCCTGCATTGAGGACCAAACCATCGATTCGCTGATGTATTCCATGTGCTTGCTCTATAGCGTGTCTGAACGCGGCCTCATTCGATCTTGTGCAAGTCGTGATAAGGCCGGGGACATCCCTTATGCACCCTACACTTACACGTCACAACTTATAATGGATAGCGCTTGTGGATGTTGTTTGCTAAGAGAAACAAGCTGATCGGTCTCGGAACGAGAAACGGCGACGACGGCTGCGTTGTGTTCCTCCAACAGCGATCTCGTTACAGCGAGACCAATTCCTCTGCCGTGGATGAGACTCAGACAATTCTTGCGTGAGAGAGGGATGGACATGCTCACTTGGACGCCCCTGTGACGAGGACGACTGGCTTGGACATTGTAGCAACAACGATCTAGAGGCGGCCGAGTTGTGGTCATATCTTGGGGTTTGGTCAGGGGCGTGTCCATTTATTGGGGCCGAGCGGACCGAGCCGTGTTCCTCCGCGGCCAAATTTGTTGCGCGCCTGGTCACAATTTGCCGCTTCTCGCTCTCTTTCGTTCCCTCCTCCCAAAACGCCAGATGGCTGCCCGCGCTTTCTCCCGCCTCGCCCCCGCCGTTGCCAATGCTCGCGCAGCTCGCGCCACCCACCCTTCTCTTGCCTTCCGTCACTCTCTCCGCCGCTCATATGCTACCCAGTCCGAACACTCGGCATGTCTTTTAGTTTCCAGCTTGTACTTTTGTCTGATATCTTCCGTAATCCCAAGATGACAGTTCGTGAGGCCCTCAATGCTGCTATGGAGGAAGAGATGATTCGGGACGAAACCGTTTTCGTCATGGGCGAAGAGGTTGCACGTTATAACGGCGCATACAAGGTCGGGCCTCCACCTCGCATTTTCTCTTTGTCCTGTCCTTATCCAATCGTCCCATCCAGGTCACCAAGGGCCTTCTGGACAAGTTTGGTGAAAAGCGGGTGATTGACACGCCTATCACTGAGATGGGTTTTGCTGGTCTTGCCACCGGTGCAGCCTTGTCTGGTCTCCGTCCCATGTAAGCCTCGAAAAATACGCGTGTCTGAAACGTGCTCACGCGTGTCTTCAGTTGCGAGTTCATGACTTTCAACTTCGCCATGCAAGCTATCGACCAGATTGTCAACTCGGCCGGGAAGACGTACTACATGTCTGGCGGCAACGTGCCATGCCCCGTTGTCTTCCGCGGCCCTAACGGTGCTGCTTCTGGTGTTGGTGCTCAGCACTCGCAAGACTACGCTGCCTGGTACGGTTCTGTGCCCGGTCTCAAGGTTGTCAGTCCATGGAGCGCAGAAGACTGCAAGGGTCTTTTGAAGGTACGGGCCCCCGCACTATTCTCCGACGGCTGGTATCTCATGGGACAACCTGGGTAAATTTAGGCTGCTATCCGGGACCCCAATCCCGTTGTGTTCCTTGAGAACGAGATGTTGTACGGCGTTTCTTTCCCCGTCTCCTCCGAGGTTATGTCGGACAGCTTTGTCCTCCCCATTGGCAAGGCCAAGGTTGAACGGGAAGGCAGCGATGTCACCATTGTCGCCCACAGCAAGATGGTCACCCACAGTCTTGAAGCCGCCGATGCCCTTGCTAAGGAGGGGATCAAGGCTGAAGTCATCAACCTGCGTAGCATTCGTCCCCTTGATATCGACACGATCAAGAAGTCGGTCAAGAAGACCAACCGGCTACTTATCGTCGAAGGTGGCTTCCCTGCCTTTGGTGTCGGTAGCGAGATCTGCGCCCAGATAGTTGAGAGTGAGGCATTCGACTACCTTGACGCGCCTGTTGAGCGTGTCACTGGCGCTGATGTTCCTACGCCTGTGAGTGTTATTTTGGCTTCATAGCTGTTGATCTTTGTTTATTCTTTTCCGCGCAGTACGCTGCCAACCTCGAAGCCCTCGCATTCCCCGACACCCCCCTCATTGTCAAGGTCGCCAAGCGCGCTCTCTACCGGACCAACTAGTCTGCTGCTTTCGTTTTTCATGGATGTTTACCTTCTACACGTATTATTCTCTATGGTGGCCACTAGTTTACATCGGCAATAGACATATTCATACTGCTTGACCCTCCTGAGCGCAGGCTACGACCAACATACAGTGATAAGCGTTGAAGGTCGATTACGGTCTCACACCTGGCATTCAGTCATTATGCGCCTTGGTATTCTACTTATTTTTGTGTATGAGAACTAGATTTCTCATATGCTTGAACCTAAGCGGATGCGGACAGCATTCGCGTGAGCCCCAAGACCCTCGCAGTCCGCAAGAGTAGCCACGACAGGTCCAAGCTTTTGTAGACCTTCTGCAGTCACATGCTGTGATGTGATATGTTTTTGGAATGACTGCGTGTTGACACCGCTGAATTGGCGTGCATAGCCATTTGTTGGGAGTGTGTGATTCGTGCCAGATGCATAATCGCCGCAGCTACGCACACGATGCCGTGTCAGCTCACCATATCCTCGTCAAATTCATATTGGCTTACCTCTCTGGCGAGTATGGCCCAACGAAAACGCTTCCTGCATTCTTGACGTGCTTGACCCACCCCTGAGCGCCGCGAAGGTGCAAGATCAAGTGCTCTGGTGCGTAGTCGTTCGAGAATTTGAACGACTCTTCGACGCTGGGCGCCTTCACGACTAGACTGCGCCTTATGCTCTCTCTCATAATGTCGACGCGCGGAAGTGCGCGCGCCTGCTTGTCGACCTCTGCTTCTATCTCCACCAGCATCTTGTCAGGTAAAGAAGAGCTGACGAGGACGACTTGGGAGTCAACGCCATGCTCTGCTTGAGAGAGGAGATCAGCTGCGACGAATGCAGGATTGCAAGTCTCGTCTGCGATAACCTGTGAATAGCATAGCTTCAGTGCTGCTTCTAACAACTAGGCTGACTTGGGACCGACCAAAACCTCCGAGGGACCAGCGGGCATGTCGATGGACACAAGCGCATCAGTGTCGTTCTGAACAAGCATCTTCGCAGCGGTGACCCACTGGTTCCCGGGGCCAAACACCTTGTCCACCTTGGGAACGGTCTCAGTACCATACGCCAAAGCTGCCACGGCCTGTGCACCACCCGCACGAAGGATAGCATGCGCGCCAACCAGATTGGCAACATACAACACCTCCGGAGAAATGCTCCCGTCCGGGCGGGGAGGCGTCGCGAGCACAATCTGTTCGCAGCCCGCGACTTGGGCTGGCACGCCGAGCATCAGCGCCGTGGACGGGAGGACGGCTGTGCCCCCCGGAACGTAGAGGCCTACTCGGGAAATCGGACGCGCAAAGCGCGAACACACCACGCCCGGCATCGTCTCGACTTCGAGCGTGGCTCCGTCCACCTGCGCTGCATGGAACTTTTTGATGTTGCTGTACGCGATGTCGATGGCCTCGCGCACCTCCTGCGAGAGAGAAGGGGACTCAAACGGTGGGAGGAGGAGAGGCGTGTCCAGCTGCGCCTTGTCGAACTTGGCGGTGAGCTCTAGAAGCGCGGCGTCTCCGCGCGTTCGCACATTCTCCACGATGGGCTTCACTTTGGCGATCATCTCGTCTGATTTGAGCACGGGCCGCTTCAAGTATGCTGCTCGCTCCTCGGGAGTAAGCTTAGGATCGGATAAATCCACCGTGCGCATGCGGATGGGTGCATCGGGGTCTGGCTTTTGCGGTGTTTGCGTCGGAAGAGCAGGTTTTTGAGACGAGCCTGACGAAGGCAGATACGGTGCTTTGGCGTTACCAGGTCTCCGCGAGATTTTCTTTGCTTTGAAGTTCAGCGAGTCTTCGATGTCCCGAATGCTTACTCCAGCCGCAATGCAGCGTGTCAATGCGAAGTATATCAAGTCGGCAGCCTCGAATGCCACATCTTCCTGATTCTGAGCGTCACATAGCTCATCTGCTTCTTCCTTGATCTTGGCTCTAAGGAGCGCAGGGTCGTCGAAGAGCCTGCGCGTATAAGACCCTTCTGGAGCATTTTGTTGCCGTGCTTTCAAGGTACGTTCCAACGCGGAGAGCCCGTCTACCTCGCCAAAACACGAAGCGCGATTGAGGTGACAGAACCCGGCGCCATGCTGGATGACGCTGAATTCCAAAGCGTCACTGTCACAGTCTACCCGGATGTAAACGACATCCTGAGTGGCACCCGAGGTCTCCCCCTTCCTCCATAGGCCGTGCTTCCGAGAGTGATACACTCCTTGTCCTGTAAGGATGGCTTGTGCTACGGATTCTCGAGAGGAGTATACAAGGCCGAGGGAGCGGCCGCCCTCGTTGTATGAGGAGACAACGGTCGGGAACAAACCATCTGGGCGATCCGATTGGAGGGGGGCGATGAATGCATCGGCGACGTTGACTTGTTGGTCGGATGTGGGTGCAAGGGTAAGATGGGAGAATGGAATGACGAGCGAAGCACCAATGGCAGCTAATTGAGTGATAGAGGATGGTGTAGGCTGGTCGTCGGACAGGACGTGGATAGACAGACCGACAAAGAATCTGGAGACCGAGGTAATGAGATCTACATCCGAGGAAGGCGTCTTCAAGAGGACGCCTGAGACTGCTGTGCTGAGCGAATCGGGGACGGCGCCGGCATTGGAAACATCAAGCAGGAGGATTAAGCGTTCGGGAGGAACAACGCCGATCAAGTTCTTGGCCGCCTGCAAAGGGACGATGGCCTTGTGTGCCCCCTCGTCAAGGTAGCGGATGATATCATCTGCGGTAGCGGTTTGATCAAACTGAACGTATGAGGTTGCGTCGGGAATGAGCTGCTGCGACGGGTCGATAATGATAGGAGCAACACGCGAGACGACAGAGAAAAGCTCGTCGTCGCGTTCCGCGTCGAGAAGAGCAACAAAGGGCGGCATGGTCGATCCACAGACAGATGCAACACTAACTTTTTCTTTACCGGCCACTACTAATCTAAGCAGTAATGCCACCGGCCTGACTCGATCAGACGCTCGCAAACCCTTCATTGCCAACCTATCAATTCATGTTATGTAACGAAAGTGAGGACATGTTCTAGACCGGTGGCCTGGGCTCTGAATGTAGCGATGAACTTTGCGATGAACAGGGATTCCGGAAACCCGTCATTCGACAACAACAAAAAAGGATAAAACTGGTTGAACAAGAGTGATACGCGGTAAGTTTGCGGTAAGTATGGCGACGATGCTATGTTAAGATAACAAGTTATGCTACAGTGGTGTTGAAACGATGCTGGATGTGTTGAGACAATTGCAAGATGAGGTGCTAAAAGCGTGTTGTGCGGACGAATGCGGATGTCATAATGAGGGTGTTGAAACAGATGCTAGGTAACCACAGCAGATGAATGCAGGGTATAACATGCCTTCCCGAAGGCGCTTTGCCTTAGTGACCATAGTCGTACCTGAGCAGGGTATGGTCAGCCTCGTGTAAGATTACAAACAGATTGTATGTGTAGGACCCACTTTTTATAAAAGGTCTCCGAATCCGTAGGTACCTGTGCGGTAATGGGGTTAGCTCAGCGACGGTCTAGAACTTCTGGACAATACATTTCCTTACCTCACCCTTGCGGGCACCTCTCGCCCTACGACCGGCCGTCTCGAGCCCCCGCCGATAGTCACGATCCTCTTTCAGCCATTGCAACGCGGTACTGTATAGCGCGCCTGGCGGAGGGGTAGATACGGTGTTGAAGAAGCCCGAAGGCCAGACCGTGGGTTCAGTGACGAAAGAGCCAAAGCGCATATGCGCGATGTGGGTGGGGAAGGTATTCAGGCCATCAAAGATGTGAGTGGCGTCTATGAGAAATTGGGTTTGTTAGGGATTACAGTATAGTTACGAAAGTGGAGGACAAGCGTACAAAGGATAGTGGCGCCGCGTGTGATGCTATCGTTTTGCAGAAAGGTGAGGAGTTCATCCCGGACGAGGACATCGAGATCTACGGTGACCTAAATATACGATCGATACGAATGAGAACTCTGTCATTTGCGCATTTCGGGCTGCGGAAAGGCACAGGAAATGTAAGAACGTACCTCGTCGAGAAGGAGGACGTCCCAGGGTGCCATGAGGCCCATACAAAGCTGGACGCGACGACGCTCGCCATCGGAGATCATATGCATGCGCCAATCCAAATCGACGTCCAAAATATCGAGGAGCTGGTCTCTACGATCCTTGTAGCGGTATCCTCCGACAGAGTCGAGGAAGACGGAGACTTTGATATCACTACGGACAACGGGGTTCATTGCCCTGGATAGGTAAAGAGGACTGATTAGTGGGCTACGTACGGGGAACTCGGGCAACTTACCATTCTGTGCCTAGGAAAGTAACGCCGGGTGGAGAGTCTCTAAAGACATCTCTGCCTTTGATGCGGATGTCGGCGCCATTGACAAGACGCTTTCCTGCGAGGATTTGTAAGAGGGTGGATTTTCCCGCTGGAAGGACAACTGTGAGCATGTATGAGACCGATGAAAGCGATAAGGCGGACTTGCCTCCGTTGGCTCCAACAAGGATGGTGCGTGATCCTGGGGGGAGATGAAGGGATATGTCGTTGAGAGAAGGCTCTGCAGCGGGGACGTGATGGTATGTGAGGTTTTGTACAGCGATTGTATGGGCCATGGCCAAAGAGTGAGGGGGAGGGAAAGGAGAGGTGGTGGTGGTGGTTGTTGTCGACGACGCTGTCTTGTATGGACGCGATGATTGGGTGAGGGTCGGGGAATAGGAACGGGGGCATTATTTTAGATATTTTTACATCAGCGATCTGGACTGTTTTTCGTGATATGAGTGGTGCCTTGTAATGATGGAGCGTGAGAACGACCCCCCGTCACGACAGCTTGTTGGAATCCGAGGTTAAGCGCTCTCTCCCTTGCCCTCGATCGTCCACCTCTTCCCTCCCCTCCGCCACCCTGGCATCCCCTCCCAGCCACAGTCACATTCCACCACCTCATATATCACCCGTCTAGCCCAAATCACACGCTCCTTTCTCTTTCTCTATCTCTATCTCTATGCTTCTCGACCCGCGCCAATGTGTTTCCTGTCCCAGTCCCGCTCCGTCCTGCGCCTGTGCTACCGATGAGTCTTGCCAGCAGATCAGCCAGTCAGTATCTTCTCCCTTCTCCATATTCTCTCCTCACACATCTACTCAGGAATTGCCAGGCGTGCGCAACATTCACCTGTGTCCCGACCAGCACCTCGTCTGGCAGTGGAGGTGGTGGGGTCAGCGGTGGCGCAGTCGCTGGTGCCGCGATAGCAGCCATCCTTGTCCTCGTTGGCGCTCTTATCGTCTACTTGCTCTATCGTCGCCGTCTCCGCCAGCAAAAGGCAGCAGCAGAAGCAGCAAATCCCAAAGACGTACCCGCTTCAGCAGCAGATGTCCTCAACAGGCCAGACCCTGCAGAAAAGCCTCCCTCTCCCCCTCCCGTCGATCAGGAACGCCTCAGAGTCCAGAGTGCCTCCAGCTACCAGCAGTCCGCCCAACGCCTCTCACGTCTCTCACGTGGTCCCTCTGCTGTCGACCATTGGGGCGCTCCCATATCGATACATAATCCCTTTGAAGACGCCGAGTCCATTCAGACAACCTCTTCTGCTGCGCAAGGCACCAACGTTATACCCATCGGTCTTGCTCCAGAATCCACTCGCGAGTCGAAACGCACCTCCAACACGTCTTCGGGGCCCGCTCGTCCCGCCCGTGCTCCCGACCTCACCCTAAACGAGAGTGGTACTCCCAGCACCGAGCATCTGCCCCAGCCCAAGGCCGGCCGCGCCCAGTCCATCCGCTCATACATGACAAATGGCAGTTACTCAAGCGAGTTCTTGAACGAGGCCCCCATGATCGTCACTCAGAGCCAACGCCAGGTCTTCGGCGTCGTCAAGGCAGAGGTTATCCACGCATCCGGTAACTCCACTCCCACTTCTCACCTGTCCCAAGACAGCCTCAAGCCCCCCTCGAATGCGTCCCGTCCCTCCATCCGCTCGCCTCTCGCCGCTTCTTCCTTTGCTCCCAGCGATTCCCCCGACGAAGCAGAGGAGCATGATTCCTCACCCCGCTCTCGCTCTGGTACGGACCCCTTCGACGACCGCAATCAGCGTTCGCCGAGCAGCCCGACCACTACTTTTGGGCACTCACACGGTTCAGAGAGCAACAGTCCTTCTCGCCCCGCCAGCGTCTATACCAACGCAGGCTCCGTCATTGATATCGGCAGTGCTACGCGTGTTAACGTTGGCTATACCAGCGGGAACAGTCTCGGTACCGTAAAGTCCCCCATGACCGCAAAGGCCAGGCTTCTCTCGCCCACATCGCCTTCATCTCAGACCTCGATATCGACCAAGCAACCTGGTAGTCTCGAAGAGCAGCAACAACGTGCTCTCGCTCACGCACAAGCTCGCGCCCATGCGCAGGGTGGCCACGGCAGGCGCATCTCGGCCGCATCGTCGGTCGTTTCCACTGCTACCAGGGCAGACTCGATCCTCGAATCGTTCCCCTTCGTCCCTCCGTCACCTATCTCGTCGAGACCTGTTCGGTCCCCACCGCGGTCACCCCTGAACCAGCAGTTCACCCAGAACGCTGACCAGGCATCTGCCAAGGATTCCCAGGCACGAACTTCTCCGCCTTCCAGTGCCCGCGAAGACAAGAGACCAGAGTCGCCGCTGGATCCGCCGCCGAGCCGAAAGATGCTCGGCATGTCGACGGCCTCGCAGTTGTCAACGACCTCGACTGGCCTCGGCGCGTTCCCGTTCCAAATCGAGAATGAGAACGGCAATGGGAGTCAGTCGCGTCCGAACTCCAGTGCACCTCAGAACGTCGAGGGCCGGCAGCGGGCGAGTCTGGACACGCTCGCACTGATGGGCGACATCTCGGCGTACCCACTCGGGTACGACAAGGAGCCGATGCCTCAGCTGCCTGACCGGTTCAAGCGGTGAGCGTGTTATCCCAAGAGATCCTTGGGAGGTGCATCGGGATTGCTGCGGAGGGGCGTGGTGACCAGCCAGCCGGACTTGCTTGTTGACGCCTCACTTCCCGTTCTCACTGGCCGGCGCTCGTTCGGCTGGTCTGAGAGCATGTGTCTGTGTGTACAACAACATCATCAATCAGTAATCATAGTGTACTCCTCGTTTGATCCCTGGTGCGGGTTTTCTTTTCATCCTTCAATGCGTAGATCCGCTGTGCGTAGCGACACCTCGGGATGTGGCTGACTCGGCAGTCTGCTGAGCTCGCTTCTTTTCCTTCTCATATACCTCCACATTAGCTTGATATCATCACCTCTTTTTTAACCAGAAAGGACTGTTCGTCGTCCTTCATTTCGAGCGTCTGTAGCTTTACTCGCTCGCTTGCTTGTGGCCGGGGTTTTATTTCTGTTTTGAGTGGTATATTTATGTTGTTGCATTCAGATTTCTCCAGTACTTACGTTGCATTTTTACTTGTCTTTCCATTCTTTCTTTCATGTTCTTGTTTTTCTTTTGCACAATGTGCATAATTAGAATGGATTGGACTGCGATCTACTGGAATGAAACTTGCATGACATTTGGAGTATTATGTTTCATATGCATTCGAAGTGGTGTTAGTCTAAGGACGCGCGTGACCATTTAATCGACCCAGACACGATGCAGCGGACTCGAGGTTGCCTCTTGCGCTCTGACGTCCACAATCAGTTCCTGCAATCTGCTGACTTGACTTTCCTTTCAACAATATGTCTTCCCGAGAGGTCGACCAGCTCGTCGAGATGGTGAGCCTGTCCTCCCCGCGCCACCACCGTGCCACCCTAAATCGGCTCGCCCGACGCACCGTGACGTCTCACTCGTTGTGCTGACAATCGACGCTGATGCGCTGCGTTGCGGCTGCTTTCAACGACAGGGCGCCACGCCTCCGCAGGCGCGCGCTGCGCTGCGCAAGTACAGGGACGTTATGCAGGCCGCGGAGCACATTTTCGAGGGCGAGTTTGCGGACGTGACGGAGGCGGACGAGCCTATGGATGCGCCTGCGCCCCACACCAAGGTCGATGTCAAGGCGGGAGGTGCGCCTGCTACGCCGGCGCGGACGCCGCGTGCTGTGGTACGTGATGCGCGCGTGGTCGCGTTGTTGTTTCTTGTTCTGGGGGGTGTATGCGAGCTGAGATGTGATATTGCTGTAGCCGTCGGACGGGGATGCGGATGCGGACGCCGACGAGGGGGACGATGAGGATGTGGATATGGACGAGGACGAGGACGGTGATGGTGAGTCTCGCGCGATGTCTGTGTCTGCGCGCGGGGATCGCGTGGTTAATGGTGGGCTGGTGTGTGTGTGCAGAGGATCAATATGTGGACTACGACTCGGACTTTGAGGGACACGATCGCCCGGCGGTGGAGGCTGATCCTTATGCAGGTGAGCTGCGTTGTGAAGCGTGCTACAGCAGGATATAGCGCGCGCTGTTCGTGCGTGCATCATCTCACACGTCTTCGGATCAGGTATCTTCTTCTCCAAGGACCGTCGGGAGGAGGTCATCGAGGTCGAGGAGGAGCCCGAAGAGATCGTATCGGAACGAACGGGCGCGAAAGTGAAGATCATGACGCAGGGCGAATGGATGAAAGGCTGCCCGGAGGGCAGCGAGCAGGGTTTCTTGTTCAGCCTGTACTCATACCTTCGTGAGGGTGCCTGTCATTGTCCGCAACAGTGCGGATATGCGGTGCCAAGGAAGAACAGCGATTTCTTCTCTTTGTTCGTGAGTTCCCCCCGCACTTCAATCTCAATGGATCGCGGGACGTTTTGGTGACGATGATTCACTGTGCATACAGAACGAGTTCTCGACATACATCGATGAACTACGCGCGATTGTCCCTCGGACGTGCCCCCAATGCAAGGTCGCGTTCTGCTTCGCGTGCGGCGAGCCAATAAACAGTACGAACAGTCGGTCCTCGCTCGCTGCTGAAGACGTCCTGTTCCACTGTTCGAACATCCAGGGCGCCATCCTCGGCGTCGGCCTGGCGATGCTGGAAACGCATTTCATCGAGCAGCGGAATCAGTCGAGCGACTCCGCAAACAGCCAGGAGGCGAAGCCGCGCACGAGCAAGCGGAGGAAGACGGACTCGCCGGTCGCGTCGCCGCCGCCGAACCCGGACGGGGAGTCGTCCGATGATGACGACGACGACGATTTTTACACGCCAGGGACAGGCGGCAAGGCCAAGGGCGGCATTGGCTACGCCGGCGACGGTCGCGAGGACGCAAGTGCGCCTTCCTTCGTCTCGGAATGTAAAACTAACTTGGGGGTTTTGGTCTTATTGTAGACGACTGGCCAAGCGGAGGCACTCCGCCTGCAGCTCGAGAAGGACGGCGACATTGGACGGCTGCTCTCGCAGATCCGTGTCTATCTGCCTTCTGTTCTGCGCGAGGGTGGAGGGCGCACGAGCGACTACATGGTTCACCCAACGGCGCTCGCGCACCTGAGACGACGGTTTAACTACGTGTGTAGTACGCTGCTGAGGAACGACTCGCTCTCGGATATGTCGGATCGCTCGGTGTTGTACTTTGAACTGTTCGAGTGGCTCGAGGTACGGATCGGCGTTAAGAGCCGCTGCATAACGACCGTCTAATGAATTGTATAGACGATATCTAACCACGAGGCTCTCGCGAGCATGATGGCCATGCCGATCATGGTCGTCGCCTCGGTCAAGTCGATCAACCCCAAGAAGCCGCCGGCGAAAGGTAAATCCCCAGTCCGCGAGCGGACAATCATCTACGAGGGCAGCTCTGGCCCACGCGAGCTCCTCGAGGCGATCGTCATCCAGTCGCAGGCGGCGATCAAGGGGCTCGAGGGGATGAAGCCCGTCGAGGAGGTCACGCAGGAGATGACGGAGGCGCAGAAGCGGATGACGAGCGAGAGCAAGGGCAAGGAGAAGGAGAGCATACCGATGATGAGCGAGGAGAACGAGAAGCTGCTCGCGTTTTGCCAGCGCATCCTCGCGACGGCGCACGCGATCGACCGCTCGCTCCGCGAGACGAAGGGCGACGCGTTCGTGAAGCGGCTGCATGCGTCGCTGCCCAGCATTGTTGGTGCGGCGGGCTTCGACTCGTCTGCGATCGCGGTCGGCGAGGACGAGGAGGGCCGGCGGAAGGCGTACGTCGACTGGGCGACGCAGGTGCGGTTCGAGTACTGCGATCTGACGATCCCGACGACGGACGCCGAGGTGGAGGGCACCGCGCCGCATTACAAGTTCTTCTTCAACACGGAGGCACGGATGCTTGCTAGCCAAGACATACCGAAGCGCTCGCTGGCGATCGCGAAAGAGGTAGGTGGGCCGGTGGGCTTTGGTGGGGTGTACTTTATGCTGAATGCGATTACTCAGCTTGCTGTGTTGACGACGAACCTCCCTGTCGCTTGGAATTCTTCGATTTTCTTGCGCGTGGACGAGACGCGTGTGGATATCATCAAGGCGCTCATTATCGGGCCAGAAGGAACACCGTATGTTTTTTCTCTGGCATAATATCCATGCATTGCGCTCACAAAAATGTAGGTATGAGAATGGATGGTATGTCGATCCGTACACCTTTTGATATATGTGCTGAGTATGTCAGCTTCCTGTTTGATATCTTCCTGGGACCGAGCTACAACCAGTCCCCGCCAAACGTCAAGTATATGACGGTAAGTCTTACGATCAAGGCCTAGGCTTAGTCTTTATGATCTTTCCAGACGTCTGGTGGGAAGTACCGGTTCAACCCCAACCTATACGCAGTAAGTAACCACACCACTAACTGCTGTCAAGAAAGTTGTTGAGTGTTTTCTCAGGATGGAAAGGTCTGCTTGTCTCTTCTGGGAACATGGAACGGACCTGGCTGGGTCGCTGGGAAGTCAACGTTGCTTCAAGTGAGTCCCGTTCTCTTCAGTCAGTCAGGTTGCTTAAATCCTTACAGGTCCTAATTTCAATCCAATCTATGATCCTCTGTGAGGAACCATACATCAATGAACCAGGCTGGGATAAGGATGCTGGCTCAAGTCGGTCGCTGGCCTGTGAGACTCTCGCTGTTGCATTGTGTCCTTCAGCTCAATGATTTTTTCCAGACACTTACAACGTTCGACGAATGGTAGTCAGGGCCGCGGTGAGTGAATTCTTTCAGTTTAATAAGCAAACTTTCCTCATGCCGTATATAGATGCTGGGCTACCTGAAAGCACCCCCGGAGCCGTTTGAAGACGTGATCCGCACGCATTTCCGTCTGAAAGCGCCGATGATCGCCGCTCAGCTAGACAAATGGCTGGCAGAGGACGATGGCAGACTTACTCTTGATGATGGCGGTGGATATGCAGTGAGAGGTGGGCCAAAGGGCCAATCCGGGCGGAGTACGAACGGGTTCAAGGAGGACGTCGATGAGATAAAGGCGGTTCTGCAAGAGCTGCAGTCGGGGACGTCTGAACCAAGTTCGGAATTGTAAAAGTTGCTTTAGCTGCGTCAACGAATGTATCTACACTAGAATGAACAAAAGTAATGAGACGGAGTTGGGTTTCCGCTGCATTTGTTGTGTGATTTTGACGCGTGGCAGGTCGCGTCGCGGACGAGGCTAAGTCCGCACCGGAGTGGAGACATGTGATATCCCCGAGGCTTAGGCGTGAAATCAATCCACACTACTTACAAGCGTTGGCAACTACTTTACATGCTGGAAAACGTCCACTCCCTCAACGTCCACATCTACCAGCCCACATAGAACATTATGAGCGACTCTACCATTCACGCACTCGCTGGGGCAGCCGGCGGAATCGTCGCCATGTCGGTGACGTAGTGAGTAACGAATACCCCTGGCTTTGTTCTCCGAGCTTACCAGCTGACCAGCCCCTTGATCGTCCTCTCCACCCGCGCGGCTGTAGAGACCAAGTCTGAGTCCAAGGTTCGCCCCTCGTCTTGCGCAGACAACCTCAGGGTTGAGAGGGTCAAGCTGACCTCAATGTTTGCAGTCTACTTCGCAAGCCGTCCTTGACATCGTTAAGCGCGAGGGTGTTCGCGGACTCTATGGTGGTCTCAATTCGAGCTTGCTGGGCATTGCAGTGACCAATGGGTGCGTCTTTCTTGAGTGTGCTACGAGGTACCTCATCAGAACTGGCGCATTGCAGAGTGTACTACTACTTCTACGAACGTTCGCGGGGCACCATCCTGAAATCACGCGAGGGCTCCAAAGCCCTCAGCACGCTCGAGTCCATACTCGCCGGCTTCATCGCCGGTAGGTCTCCCTCGAATGTCCCTAGTGCTCGTCTTCTGAGCGCGTCTATCAGGCTCGGCCACGACCGTCATCAGCAACCCCATCTGGGTCGTGCAGACATCGCAGGCCGTCCGCGTCGAGGTCCCCTCCTCGGACCCGACGCAGGCCCGCCAGGTCGAGAAGAAGCTCGGCTTCTTCGAGACCATACAGAAGATCCTCGAGAAGGACGGCGTCGGCGCTTTCTGGCGCGGCATCGGCCCTGCGCTGGTGCTTGTGATCAACCCTGTGCTCCAGTATACGGTGTTCGAGCAGTTGAAGAACACGCTGATTAGGAGGCGCACTGTGAGCCTGCGCGCAGCGGGTGCAGGGTCCAAGGTTGCGGTCTTGTCTGACTGGGATTTCTTCCTGCTTGGAGCTCTGTCAAAACTCGGTGAGCAGTTCGCATCCTTTGCATAAGGTGAGGCGTAGGGAACTGATTCAATTTGTAGTGGCTACTGGATCCACATACCCTTATGTGTATGTATTCGAGTTGCTCGTCGCCTGCAGACTTTGATTATCCATTTCTATTAGTGTTATGAAGAGCAGGATGCAGGCAGGCCACGCCGAGTCTCTCAAGTACAAATCCTCATTACACGGTTTGGCGATTATTCTCAAGGAGGAAGGGTTCCAGGGCTTGTACAGAGGTGTTGGAAGCAAGCTCACTCAGAGCGTTCTCACAGCCGCCATTCTCTTTGCAGGCCAGAGAAGGTTCTACGAAATCACAAAACGGGTGAGGAAAAGAAATAGCTTCCTTCAAATTTGAAGACTGAATTGACATGACTTTTATTCAGGTCATAAGCCAAATGGCGACAAAGAAAGTAGCTGCATAGAATACGATATAATTCGATATGTTTCCTTTGCTTCTATGTACTCATATGCTTAATCATGTAGTTGCTGCAAGTATCAGTGTCTCGCTGAGGGCTAGAGAGATGTCGTGAATGGCGAATTTGGATCACGCCCAAAGCCGCATGCGTCAACTCACATCGACTGCCAACGAGCTAGACTAGCGACACTTGCTTGTCCCGCTAGCGCTCCCCGATCGGACTGCAGGTTACTGCAGATATCAAGAACGACTATCTTCTGATATTGGGCCTGCCTCAGCATAATAGGCCAACGTCGTTTGCCAGAAGTATACGACTCGAAGGGAGAGGATGTAACTGCTACCGTCGAACAGTTGCCTCCGGGTAAGATTACAGTACCCGCGCGGCAACAGACAAGCAACAGGTTTTTTAGACGAATCCCGACAAGTAGCGCGCTCAGCGGTATGCAACATTCTGGAAATAAGCAATCACTCAGCTTCCTTCTGATACTTCAAATCTCGATGATGAACAGATATTTCGAGCGACGTTAAAGTGATTAAAAACTAATAGGAGGCTTGCTTTTATGATAGAATAAAAGTCACTAAACCAGAATTACGAAAAGTTAACACTGAAATCCCCAGAGATCTGCACCCCAACGGTAACATTGAGCTTCTGCGCCTCCCCATCGTACGTCCACTCGCTCTCGCCCATTGCAGCAGGCTGCGCACCGCCTTGCTGCACGCTGACCTTGCTCGGCTTCTTACCCACACCGAGGAGCACGACGCGCTCGACCTCGATCGGGCCGTACTCGTACTTGCCCTTCACGCTCAGCAGTCCGAGATCATATGCGAACGTGAGCTCCGTCGTCTTGTCCGGCGTAATCGACTCCCCGTCGTCGACGTACAGCGCGCCGCTTGCCTTGCCCTGCGCATCGGGCGCGACGACGATCTCGAACGGCACCTTGCGCAGCTCGGTCGTCGTCATCGCACCCTGCGCGCGCAGGGGCAAGATGGCGCCGCCGCGGATGTGCAGCGGGATGTCGGAGAACGAGACGTTGCTCTGCGTGACATTTGCACCGGAGCCCTGGACGGGCGTGAAGTCCGGGAAGGCGTAGAACGTGTCGTTCGGGAGGTAGTAGGTTACGCTCGTTGAGTTCTCGTCGGTCACGGGCGAGACGAGGAGGGACGGGCCGAAGAAGTATTGGAGGTCAATAGGGAAGGTGTTCGCATCGGAAGGATAATTCATCCAGAGCGGGCGGAGAACGGGGGTGCCATCCTGATGGGCTTGATGGAACGCGGTGTAGATGTAGTCCATGAAACGGTAGCTAATATGGAATAAGCATCCTCTCAAGAGTCACAGTGCACACGAAGGGACATACCGAATGTCGATGGCGTTGCGAGCTGCCTCGGCCACGGAGGGCCAGCGGTAGAACTCTTGCGGGATGGAAGCGATATCGTTGTGCTAGAACGTCGTCAGCAAGTTGCACCCCAACAACGCATACGAAGCATAAGCTCCACTCACGTTTCGCATAAACGGATAGAAAGCACCCAACGTCGCCCACCTCGCGCACAGCGTCTCAGTCGTGTTCTGAGCTAAAACACGCCCGCCATTCAGCGCCTTGCCCCAGTTGGCATCGCATTGAAGGCCACTCACCATAACCGCAGATATCGGCTCCGACCATGGGCACCTGATACACCGTCGCCATGCCCAAGATACCTGCGATCGAAGCGCGATACTGGTCCCATGTCGAAAAGTTGTCCCCGAGCCACTTGCCGACGTGCGCGCCCGCGCCAGCGAACGTCGAGCGCGTGATGACGAGCGTGCGCTTTCCCGGGCGCCGCGCGAGCAGCGCGTTGCGCGTCGCGGTAGACATCATCGTGCCGTAGAGGTTATCTATCAACATCGTTGCGATGAGCCGAGGAGACAAGCCCAGAGGAAAGGGGAGACGCACGGGTGTCATACATGTTCAGTCCGTTCGCGTGCACGTTCGTCACGTTCGCGGTCTTGTTGCTCAGCACGCCCGCCGCGTTGTCGATGTTGTATGGCGGGTTTAGTAGGTTGAAGTCGCCTTCGCCGTTGTCGGTGCCGTTACTTGAAGCACCATCGCGCTTAGAGTTCGAGGAGGAGTCAGTCCAGCCGGGGAAGATCGTGGTGTTGCCGCTGGGCGCGGAGGTCGTGCGGTTGGGCGGGAGATCCTGTTCAACGGCTTGTGCAAAAGGATCCGTGCAAGGATAATTGCAGAACTGGACAATGTTGAGCATGGTGAGTACATGTTCACAGAACGGGGGACATGAAACGTACGCTCGAGGGTTCATTCATGTCAATCCACGCGCCATCGATGTCGATGCCGGTCTCGGGGCTGTAAAAGGCCTGGAACTGGCCTGACCAGAAACTGTGCCGCACGCGCCTCGTCAGCAAGCGCGCCTAGTGAGTATGTACAGAGGCGGTCACTCACTCCTGGGTCTTGTTGTTGAACCAATCTATATGTCCTGAATGAGCCAATTACACGACCACATAGTAGTAACCGTGGACGTACCGGGGAAAACGGTGACACCCGGCCACACAATGCCCATTGCCTCGCTCCCGTTAGGGTTCTTCATAAAGATGCCCATGTCAGAGCCATTCATATATGGCGCATAGTCGCTGCTCGGCAGGTAGGGCACGGCAGGGTCCGTCATGAGCACTACGATATCACCGTCAGAAATGATCTGCGATGACATACGCGAGAAACCGTACCATAGTGCTGGTCATGGGCATGCAGATAGTCGACTATCTCGCGCATCTTGTCAAGCGGGAAATAGTCGGGGTCGAGGGTGAAGACGCGGCGCTTATACATGTAATCTAGAGGCGCGTCAGCCAGAGGCGAAGGGAGATGGGAGAACGGCAGACGCACCAATGTCAGTCCACATCGTCTCGAGCGGGATCTTGGCATCCGAGTAGTTCGAAATCGCGTCCGCGACCTCGACGTAGTCTTTGTGCAGAGATCAGCAAACGCACGCATTTACCCATGCATGACAGGAGAAACGCACCGGCGTAGCCATAGCGGCAATTGTGGAACCCGAAAGACCAGTACGGCACCTCCGCAGGTGTCCCCACCACCTCCGCATACTGACGCGCCACCTCGGTCGGATCGGTTTCGCTCCCCGCAAGGAAGTAAAAGTCGAGCACTCCGCCGATCACATTGTACTCGAGCGTCGTGCCCTTCCCCTCTGTGTCGTTGATCTTCACGTCCATGCCGTTCGAGTTCAGCAAAAACACGCCATGTGTGCCACCGGGACGGTGCTCGTAGTACACGGGGTGGTTGCCGTACAGGTTCGTCGCGTTCGGCACGCCGTACGCGTCGCGCGACCACAGCGTGCGCGTGTGGTTGTGCGTCGGGAGGCGGAAGGTGTCGGTGTGTTCGCCGATGCCGTAGATGTTCGCGTCCGCGGGGAGAGAGGTCTTGAGGCGCAGGTACTGCGGCTCGAAGATGAGCGGATGGTCGGCGGTCGAGAAGAGCGTCTCATTGGTGGAGGTGCGCTGGATGGAGAAGGTGAACGGCTGAGTGGTGTGCGTGAATTGAATAGAGGCGTTCGAAGGAGAGGTGGAAGAGTCCGCAGAGGGCCGAGGAAGGACGCTCTCGGGGACCTCGTAGCGAGCGGTGGAGGGGTCGGTGATCTTGAGGTGGATGCGGTCCTCTGCGGCAAACGTTTCTGTCAGGGCGGGAAGTTGTACGAATGAAGAGACCGACGCACCAGTTTCATAAGTGACCTCCAACTTCAGCTTCTCGGCATCCTTCCCAAAGACATTGCACGCGTTACCAGCCAGAACGAGGTCTGCAGTGAGCTGCGAGGCCTGTGCGTTGACGTTCTCCGCGTTGTAGCCAGGGCACTTGTCCAGTACAGCAGGGTCGACCCACTCGGCGCGTACAGTGCTCGCTGCAGCGAGCAAAAGCGCCCCAAGGAACTGAAGCTTGCTCCCTGCCATGTGCACTGGTGGTGGTCGGCGGGGAAATATTGGAGCTTGTCAGAAAGACCGAACCTTGTCCGGTGGAAGGTTATAAGCATTGGCGGACTCAATGATACAAGTTCGCATTATTGAGATCCAGGGTCATGTCTAGGATGGTTTGATGGTCGCTGGTGAACTCCGGTGAACTTTCAGTTGGCGTTAAGGAGCACATGGTCCCCGCAAGCCCCCACAAATCTGTGCGTCAGGAACCGTCAGGTGATGGTGGTTTGGTGCCAAGCCGTGTTTTGCCAGCGGTGTCGCGCCCTCTGTGCGCGCCAATTGAAGTTTTTCTTCCACCAGTGTATACCGTATTTGTCAAGCGCTGAAGCATACAAGTTCGAAGTGGGTTTGAACCTCTGTAGTAAATATTTCTGCCAGCTAAGCATTACCTGGTCGCTTCCGTCATGATTTTGTTCAGCGTTACGAGAGCATGCTCTCGTTGCGCAGTCAGTGAGCCCCAGTGCGCCCAAAGCTGGAGTTGTGATTTCTCGCCATCGTCTTTGAACTGTTGATCTCCTTCATTCAAGAGTGCAAGTACTGTTCACGACCAGACAACCTACTGTGTGTCGGTTCGTTGGTTGAGCTGGATGACCGCATCGGTCATGATCGACACACGCGTCAACTCCGACTCGCGAGTTTCCGGTCGATCGGTGAAGGTATGCCAAGATGTCAACAAGCTACGATATTCTATGCACCGGCATCCTTCACCATCATTTTAAGCCAGCAAAGGCTGGCTGACAATATCCACAGGACACCTGAGCATAGCTGAGTGCTAGCCTGCTCGTCAGCGTGACCTTAAAGGTACATAATTCCTTCCCAACACAAGAACGATATATCGCAAATGAGAGATGCAATGGTAAATCGATGAGTGAGATGGGACGTGTGGCAGGCATACTAGTGGGCTATAGTAGTAATAATGAGTATGTCGTGAGCGGGGGAGCACGAGGCAAGGAGTTTAAAGAGGTTCTAGCCCGAGCAGTCCCTGGCATGCGCCTTCTACGTCTACGACCTTGAAAGAGTATGAGCACATGCAGGAGGAATGTGTTGATAAACGAGCACGAACCTCTTTCGGAGCTGAGACGCTAATGACGACTGGGTGTTCCTTGCCTACGAGCACTTCATCCTGCGAAAGATAGAATCAAACATGGATCAAATATTCGTTAAGGATGTGCTCTCACCTCGATGCGAATACCTTGATTATGGAAATGCGTAGGGAATTGCGGGGTGGGGGGTACGTAGATGCCCGGCTCGACGGTGATGACCATGCCCTCCTTGAGTCTACCATACTCCGTTAGAACTAAGCGCGAAGCCTTTCCCAAACTAAACTTACTGGCTGGACCGTTCTACCTGACTAGACTCGTGCAGATCTGTACAAACGCATTCGGATTAATCGCACAATGAAATATCGAATAGCGCACCAATGCCAATGGGATGGCTGAGGAAATGCGGATATAGGCACCGCTCAAGGTCGCCTGAGCGCAGATCAAATCCGAGTTGTCTCAGCTCCTGGCGAAGGAGCTCGCATGACTTGCGGTGCAGATCGTATAGTGAGAGACCATGAGACTCTGAACACATGCTGACAAGCATCTTCTGTGCGGAGAGGACTGCAGAGTATAGGTCCCTCTGAGGTTCGGTGAATTTACCAGAGGCAGGGTATGTACGCGCTGAAGGCTGCGTAAATACGGGCACTCAAAAGCATGTAAACCATCGAGCTTACTGATGTCTGATGCATATCCACTGAGGAACATGAAGTCAGTACCATACCGTCATCTTGGTGAGTCTTGCTTACTTGTATTCACATCCCGCATCCATGAGGACCATTTCTCCATCGTGCACAACTTGGTTGTTGTACGTGTAGTGTATTATAAGAGCGTTTGGACTAAAAATACTGTTAGCCAATCACCCGTGCAGCCACTCGGCTCCGCACTCACCCTGACGCGACCACCGGCACGTATGCTTGGCGCTGTGAACCTGATAGACTGCACAGGTACTCAAAATGGGCAGCCAGCGCCGCCTCTGGTATGCCAGGACGGGTAAAGCGCATCGTCTGCAAACACAGAGCATATCACATGAGCATGCCCATGGGACGCTGATCCGCACGGTTAATCGCCGGCACTAACCTTGGCATGTGCACGGCCACTTATATCTGCGGCAGCCCGCATGACGCGCTGCTCGTCCTCGCTTTTTATAGCGCGGAGCTTGGAGACATGCGGGGCTAGCGACTTGCGGCGAGCGCTGGAGAGCGACTCGAGGATGGATTCGTACTCGGAGCGCGGGCCGACGGCGGGGGAGAGGTAGCGTAGGAGGGACTTGGCTGGGCGGCCCTTGCGCGTGGCGTGCGGTGGGAGATCGACGTAGACAGTCGAGTAGAGGCTAGTGAGGGATTTGAGGTGGCTGGGGAAGTCTTGGATGGACATGGCTTCGTCGGCACGGAAGATGGATGTCGCATCATGGAAGCTTGTCCTGGGTGGGCAGGTATGCTGTCAGGTTGGGGAAGACGAAGGGATATTATCCAGCAACGAGTGCGCACCTTGCACCATCCCATTTCTCCTTGTCGGAATCCTTGCCGCTGGAAAATAGCGTCATCCTGTAACCCTTGGAAGTCGAGGTTTTCTCTGGAACGGGGTGAGTATACGGCTGGATAATTGTATGTAAGGAGGCTTTGACCTAATACGACGGCGGCGTCTGGCTCCTCGAAGCCAGTAAGATACCAGAAGTCTGAATTCTGGCGGTATTTGTAGCTGGTGAAACAGAGTTGAGCAAGATACTGATGATCTCACAAGCAACCTACAAGATGTCTTAGAGGATCTAGGTATGAGATGCGGAGAGTTGAGGAGAGAATGCACGTACTTGCGCTCATGTATTTGATAGGTGCGGCAACTGATATGACTACACTGTTTGCGGGGAGACTGTCCATAAGGTGCTTTCGCCGGCGTTCATATTCGGTGGCGCGTATACCTGGGGTCAGTTCGTCCTGTTTGACTGTGAAAGGGCATGAGGATTAGTGCACACGAGCAGACGAGAATAAACGGACGGAGATGAGGATGCGTCTGGAAGAGAGGCTGGCCATAGGTGGAGGGTTTGCTCTCTGGGAGTGCAGCCTCTGAGGCGTAGTTGCGTATGCGAGCGTGGGCCAACCTGCGAGAGGAGGAGCAGGATTCAGCTGCTGCTCTGAGGACGGGGAGCACGGGACGAAGCGACATGGAGAGTCGAGAGGTGGATGGTTAATTTGCTGAATATTATTAGAATGACGAAACTCGAGAAAACCCTAACCCGCGTGCCTGAGAACCGAAATTGGGAATGACGAGGCTTGTGATTCTATGGTCCTTCCCATTGGGGCGAGCTCAAGTGTGGGGAGACGAGCGATTGGCTTCTTTCCAATTCTTTCTTTCTGGAGTGCGTCCCGAGTTGGGCGCCTGAACATGGACAAGAGATCCTTAAATTATCGGAACCACCTTCTCTAATTCTAGATTCCCCACATGATGGCTTACGACCTCGAACGTTTTGGAAGACGCAGCGTCGATGTTGCCTCTGCCATGTCCTCCATTGTCTTCTCCGCCGCAAAGTGCAGCACAAAGCTCGGTGTATGTTCCACCGAACTTGTTATTCTCAATTCTGATTGGCCCCCCATTTCTCCAGTTCTCCTATGCTCGTAGCTTTGCTTCGAACACAGCAGGCGCCGCCGCCGCCGCCGTCGACCATGCTGTTTTTGGTGGCCACACGATCACTCCCGTAGTCGAGAGCGCCGTCTCAGTAGCCCTCACTTTTGCAGAAACGATATCCCTTGCACCTATATTCCTCGGAGAATATATCACCACCGCCTCTCTCCGTGCTGCTCACAGCTCCATCGACGTCCTCTCCGTCATATTCCCAGGCAGCAGCGAGGCCTCCTTCTCCCTTGCATCCTTCATTAATTTAGTAAAGCGAGAATGGGACAGTCCCTCCAGTGCCCTCTCCATGCCAGACAAACGATACCCCCTCACCGACGTGGCACGCGCCCTCGTCGCATGGGTCGCCCTCCAGGGTGTCACCCAGGAGTGGCAGGAGAAGCGCTGGTTCAAGCACCTCCGCGAGATCAAGGAGGAGGACCCATCCACCCATCCACCGCTCAGGCGCGTCCCCTCCCGCGTGCGCGTCACCTCCGACGTCATCTTCCCCGGAAACCGTGGGCAGCTCATCGCCGCCGACATTGGCGAGGCCCCGCGCACGCCCCGCACCCGCCAGCGGTCCTCCAGTGCACTCTCCATTGGCGGGCTGTCTATTGCTTCCATCGGATCTTTGAGAGGAAGCATGCGGGGTTCTCGGATCGAGCCCCCGCAGAAGCCCATGTCCGAGGTGAAGGCGAACCTGAGGAGGCTCTCTAAGATGGTCCTCGCCGGGTACGGCGGCGCAAGCTTGCTGTTCTTCGGCGTGTCGCCGATGTTCACGTCTCCACTGAAGCCGGGCTCGCCGAACCGCAGCGAGAAGGTGAGGGAAGAGGCGCAGCTTGAGAGCGCCGTCGAGGCTGCAGAAGCGGAGGCCGCGGGCGACGATCCGTCCGGCCGTGTGCCGGATGCCCCAGAGTTCTCCTGGTGGGACGTTTTGATGGGGAAGCATGATCAGGCGATCTTTGAGAATTCGGTCCTTGGCCACGGGACCCAGCAGACATCCGATGGTGTGCAGCAGCGGATCCGTTCGACCGCGGTGATTGGGATTGAACGTCAGATGCCGCGCTTTTGGGTTCTGGCGGATCACGATCGCCGACAGGTCGTGTTGATTTTGCGGGGTATGTTTTGTCGTCGACCGGTAGTATGCATTGTTTCTAATTGCCACCGACCCATGCAGGAACCATGTCACTCAATGAGCTTGCGGTCGATCTAACTTGCGATCCCGTAGAGTTTGAGCCTGCGTCGAGCCCAATGGAGGAGTCGACTTCGTTTGCCTCATTCGGAAGAAAGACTACCCGCAGACAGCCTTCTATCCAGTCGTTCACTTCAGAATGCTCTCGGTATATGGTCCACGGTGGGATGCTCAGGATGGCGCGTGTCATGGGTGACGTTGGTAAGCCCGTTCAGCTGGCTGTGAAGGAGGCGTTGGAGCGAAATCCGGACTATGAACTCCTCCTCAGTGGGCATAGCCTCGGTGCCGGGGTTGCTACACTATTGGGTCTGGTAAGCTACGTTCTTTGTATCTAAACGCTTGGATGTGTGCTGACATTGGGGAAGATGTGGGCAGATCCCCATACCTGCTTGACGGTTGCGTCGAGTGGTCTTCCACCCAATGTCCCTCTGTCGGTTTACGGCGTCGCGCCTCCGTAAGTACATCCATTCATGTGCTTGGAACGCTCGCCGATGGTTATGTAGATGCATCGGCGATGCAGCGCTCAGCCGCCTGGCGTCGAAGATGGTCGTCTCGTTTGTATGGTCAGACGACATCGTCTCTCGTCTATCCCTCGGGTCTGTCTGTGATATCCGGAATGCCGCCTCGTGGCTATGTGAAGCGCAGGAGCGGACAGGTGGCACAGAGGGCTATGCCGCCGTCACTCAGCGAGCTCGTCAGTGGTCTGCTGGGATGGGCACGTCGGAAGATCCACAATGGGTCAGTCATGGTCAGAGCATTGGCAGCGTCACAGCTACTAATACAGGTGCACGCAGTTCCTGGCTATCCGGAAGACGCTGGAAGTGAACATGCAAGTGGCGGACCTGTTCCCTGCTGGCCGCGTGCTCTGGGCCGTGAGAGACAGCGACCTCCATCCTTCGCACCAGCTGTCATCTGCGTCAGAAGTACCGAACAAGCTCAGGCTCTTTGAGGTGCTGGACGTGAGCAAGGTATTCTCGCAAATCGTCTTCTCTAGAAACATGCTTGGGTGCGTTGGCTCTGCTCTGTCCTCTCTCTAGCCTGGTCTGGTTCTTATTTGCGACATCGCGACAGAGCCCATATGCCCCACCGTTACGACCAAGTGTTACACGAGCTGCTGTGAGCCCCGACGATATACCTCGCCTATACCTTTTCGGGGGTCAAGCAGCTCCTTAGAATCTTCTCGTCTGGAATACCATTTGTGATGTAGACACTCGTAATTGGATGGTGCGCTGTCCTTTGTCTGATCTTTCTTGTTGTGATGCACGTATTTTACATGGTTTAATCGGAAGCTCTCTTTCTCGCGTAATGAACCGCGACTAATGCGAGCATGTAGCATAGTATGATGAATGTGCATACTGTAGCTAGCTAATTTCTGCTGAATACCACGTATGTTGTAATGATGTGACCAAATCTGTAGTACTCGAGCTTGAGGCCAAAGTTGTATTACGTTAGCGGGCCTGTTATCGCCCGTTGTCTATAACGCGGGCGCAAAGTATGCCAACGCGATCATGGGCGTAGCCGAGGGGTGCCTAGGACCAAGGGCGGATGGTTTTGCATAGCAGGATAGCTCAATGGTACGAGAAGAGGGACATGAAACGTCGAGCGAAGCGAAATCGGTCATGGCCTAGTCCTGGTCCGTTTGGTCTCGTGGGCGGTACTTGATGCCGCGATTTTCGAGCTCTGTCTCGATGTCCTCTGGGACGCGCCCCTTGACGCGCACGGCGTACATTCCACGGACGTACTTGGCTGATAGGAGTTGAGATTGTGTCAGCGGTGGGCTACTTCTGAAGAGAGGCGAGGATAGGGAAGGTGGCGGAGGCGGTACGCACATGTGCGCTGCCAGCGGGCGACCCAGCTGGACTCGGGGTCTATGACGGCGATGATACCGTCAAAGTAGGTCGTGGTGCAGATGTTGATGCGGTCTGGCGAGCCTTTCATCTGAGAGAAATTGTTGGTTCGGGAGGGCGTCGTGATTAGGTGCAGTGTATGTAGCTTACTTGCATGAGTTCTTCACAGTTTGGACAGCCATTCTTGCGGAAGTCCATTGGGTGCTGGACGATGGAGCACAGCAGGCATGCTCGTAGTTGCTTCGACTTTGCTTGGGAGGGGATGACGGACATGGCTCGAGGTGCGGGATAGAGTAGAGTAGTGGCCAAAGACAGGACAGGCTATAGCATATTTCTGGTATTATTTATTTTTGCAAACATGACGCGCCGAAAAATGAGGGGAATAATAGCCTAACCCGATCCATCATGTTGGCCCGCAACGCCGTCGCGCTGCTCGCCCTCCTCCCAGCCGTCTCTGTCTGCGCCTTCAAGGACTCGTCCCCGTTCGTGGCCTGGTCGTCGTACAGGTGCGTATAGGATTCTGCATGCTACTGACAATGCGCTCATTACGATGTATCGCAGCTCGGCCCTGCTCGACGAGCTGTCTGGCCAATCCGTGACCAAGTCGCCCATACATGACATCCTCTCGTCCCCGGAGCTCTGCACGTACGACGCTATTGTGCTTGTCGATCAGCCTGGCGTACGTCTCTGCTGCTGCCTTGCTCTGATCCCGAACGAGATGCTGACCGGAGTGCCCGTACATAGCTGCACAGCTCAGACCTCCGCAAGCTCGAGCCCTCGGCTGCGCTATCGACATTCGTTACGTCCGCTCCGTCGTCGTGCCAGCTCCCGTATGTGAAGCGAGATGCCAAGCTGTCTATGCGGGACGTCACGGAGTCGATAGCAAGCAGCTGCGGCTCGCAGCTCGTCCACATGTCGTCGGCAGACGAGAGTGCGTTTGGGCAGGGAAAGCACGTCGTGTACATGGGCCTGTCGCCGTTGGAGGGTAGCATGAGCTCGAGGAAGTCGTCTGTCGCTCAGACTGGTGCGTCTCGCCTGTTTGTTATGTTGTGCAATTCCGCATATACTCAAACATTTGTGAATGATTGATATGTGTAGAGTCGATGCTCGCCGCAGTCCTCGACAATATCGCCGCCCGGTTCCCCAAGCACCTCGTTATCTTCTCTGGCTCCGCACCCATTCTCCGGACCCGCCAGTTCGACGATGAAGATGACTACGACCTGTCGGACGCGTTCGAGAATGAGGACGGCTTCGAGATTGCCGAGGTCACTAGTACTTGGCCACTGCAAGCCCCCATCAACGCGACCCAGCCCGAGGGCGGCATCTTCAAGAAATACCAGCTCTTCACCCCCGCACTCATCCTCATCCTTGGCATTGTGCTGTTCGTCTTCATCCCTATCATCATGCTCGGTGTGACTGCACTCTCGAGCATCCAGTCGTCCCTCAGGCTCGAGGCACCCCAGCGATACAACGCCCAGGAGAAGAAGATGCAGTAGCGGTGGGGATACTCTTTACCGTTGTGATGATGTATGCACGTATAGTGGATGGTACATGGTATGGAATTAATGCACGGTGCCGTGCGATCTTGACAAAGACAAAGACAACGTCGATGAGACCAAAGCAACAACGGAACAATTCAAAAGAAATATACTATGTAGTAATACAAGGAAAACGACGACGAAAATTAAGATTGCAGATGGACCGAGAGATGTGCTGAGTGAGGAACGTATGGACGTCTAATAGTTAGCAGACACAGGAGGCAGCGGGATGCAAGAGACTGAGGCTGAGATGCAAACGGTAGTAGCGCAATGAGGTGGCTGAACCCGACCATTGTTCACGAGACATCTCCTTGCCGCAGCGCGTCATCCATCGTCTCAACCATGGCGAGGTGCATGGGCAAAAGAGGGTTCGCGTGTAGCTGAAGGAGCGAAGAGCTGAGCACCGCGAGGTCATGGTAATTCTGGGTGATGTCTTTGTGCGTCGTATCGTCAGAGATGAGCAGAGAAGAATGCACAGATTTAGAGGCGTATAGGAGGTGGATGTAGAGTGCAGATGACATGGGCGAGTCGAACGATGTCCGGACGAGAACGCTCATTGAAAGGGGGAGAATACCGAGGGTATCGGTTATTGTGGGTTGGTCAAGTTCTGGGATGAACGCGCAGTTGGGTAGCTCTGTTGTTGGACATGCTGGTGCAGGGACGGGAATGCGGATGGAGGGGTATAAGGCAAAGACAAAGCCTGAGGCATCGAGGTATACAGTCTTGGTGTCCTTGCGTGGTGGAAATGCTTGCTTCATTGGACTCTGCTGCTTAACGAGAAGGGGGAAGTGGCGCTCTTGTTTGACTGCAAGCAAGGAGACATGGAAGGGTAAGAGATCGCCCGTGGCTGAAACACATGTTTTCAGCTGGGCCTTCCAGGCTGGGAAACTCGTAAGCTAAGTGAAACAGTTCCCGTTTTATTGTACTTACCATCAAGTAGCGTTGCGCTCATTGAACCTAGATGCGCAAAGACCATTCTCCACTCGACGTTGGCCGTTCGTGCAAACTGCAGACCAAAAGCCCAGACCTTCTCGACAATAAATGTCTCCGTTTCGTCCTGGATAAGCCAAGCGCCCATGTCGTACGCCTCCCCTCGCTGATCGACGGCGGCGACCAAAAGCCATCTCCCGCACCTTGAGATACGGTAACCTATATGGAGCAGGCTGTGCCGCTCTAGCACGTCGAGTGTCTGCACGGAGGACTCCTGAGTGAACTGCAGCGTGGGGCGCGCCGGCGGAGCGAGTGCAAATGGTTGCTTCTGGAGATACGCACGGCTTCGCTCGCCGGTTTCGTACAGCCGCCGGGACATATAACGATCAACGGGGTGGAGGACGCGACGGTAGACCGAGTAACACAGGTTTTGCATGTCGATGGCATGGTGCACGGACGTCTCGGAGGACCAAATGAAGTTTTCCGGGACAAGATGAAAGAGGATGCGTGCCTCCGAATAGGTCTTCTGAGCGCGTCGAAGCGCGGATAAGACCTGTCTCATAAGGGGAGAGCCAAGCGACATGGCAGCGTTGGGAAGAGCGATGTAAAAGACGAGGTCAAGATTGGGGTCTGGTATGCTTGCTATGAAGTTCACTGTAGATAGCCTTACAATGAGTTTGATGCACACAGCGTAATAGACAAAAGAGATCGTACCGAGTGACTTGCGAAGGCTTTCAAAATGTAGAGCGTATGCTCCTGCCTTCACGCATAACGGTGATGATCCAATAGCATGATTCCCAAGCTGTTTTGCCTAACAGTCGATTATGAGTCACATGAACGCGAAGTAAGTAATTCGCACCAAACCTTGTACACCGCTGTGACTTGTTGTATCCATGTCTCAGCCTGCTGCAGCTGCTGAGAATCCTCCCCCTCAAAAAGAACGTAGGCAGTCACATCCTTGGCGCCACTTCGAGGAGCAAGACCAAGCTTCTCCCAGAAACGTATAGCTGTTGGCAGCACTTCGATGATCTGACCGGACTTTGAGCCAATGAGCATTGGAGGCTTGAGTGGATCGTATCGACTACCAGAATCTGAAAACGTGATATAAGCGCGACACACAAGGAGTAGTACACATTTCAACTCACGAGGCCGAAGGTACGTCTGCAAGTCCAAAGGGCCCTCCATGTCTATCGCTTTTGACACGTGTCTAGTTAACGAAGACACGTCCGTCTGCCAAATATCCATGCCTTGCTTAGTGGATGAGGAGAACAAGTTGTGCGCCCGCCATGCGTTTGCCCATACACAGTTCTCAACCACCTCCCTGGCGAGCATATACCCAGCCGCCTCCAGTGACTTGGACTTCTCCGATGCAGCACCGATCGCGGCGGATGGCGAGACCGGTGTAGGTACCGAGGCTGTCGCCATTGGCGTTATGTTCATGGGCTCGATCGCAGAACCAGGCGGCCGCAGTACGTTACTTATAGGCAGCAGGTGGGCATGGTAGAACTGCGTATGCAGTAAGGTCGGCCCCAGTGGGAGGTAAGATGGCGGCGGGGTGGAGGCGCGCGACGGCGCGGCAGTATCCTCGTCGTCATCTTCAACATCGTCATCAGAGGTGTCGTCGCCGTCAGACACGGCGGTTGCAGAATCATCGGTCGGCGATGTAGCGTCGGTCCAGTCTATGTGCTCCTGCATCCATGTTGGTGGCATCTTGGCGCCACGCAAGCCCTGGGTAAAGAGGCGCCGTTTGACGCCGATGAGCTTGCGCAGGACCGCAACACGCGGGTCCGTGGCGGCGGAGTAACGCGTCTTCCACGCGGACAACTCAGGCGGGGTAGATCCTGCCGCTTGGAGGATAGGTATCGGCTGCGTGCGATCTTCCTCATCGGGCGGGCTGGGCAAGGCGAATTTGCCTTGGACGTACTTAGAGTCGATGGCACGGTGGCTCGGGGCAAACGGAATGGGGTCAAAGAGGCCGGGAGGGGCAAGCAGAGCGCGCCGTGCTTCAGCGTTGAGCTGCACCTTTGGAGTGGCAGGTGCTGAGTGGGATGTGCTTGTCATTGGCGAGAGAGGTAGTAACGATGTTGTATCCAGAGGTTTGGGCTCAAAGCCGCTAGCGAGTCCGCCGCGATTCCAAGGGAATGCACTTAGTTGCCCAGGATCAGACGACGGGAGTCCGGCCATTAGATTAGGCTCAGCAAAACCAGGAGGTGAGAGATTAAAGGGAGCGGGACCCGTCGTGGGCGTGAGGCCTACGATATCATCTTGAGTGTGGATGGCTGGAGGCACCAAAGGCGGTGGAGGCGCGGCGGTCTTACTGTCAAAGAAACTAAAGTCATCATCTGTGATGTCGAAGTTCTCAAATCCGTCATCGAGATCCATGGCGAAGACATCGCGTCGATTATTAGTAGAGCGCCCAGAAAGCGCAGGCATGCCCATATCAAACCCATCATCACCCATGCCCATGCCGAGGTAGTCATTAGAAGAAGACCCCCATGCTGATGCGTACGGGTCTTCATCTGTGGCAGTGTCAGCTTCTTGCGGGGTAGGTGCTGGTGGGGGTTGAGGAACGCTATGTGACGGTGGAGGGTCAGAAGGCGGCTCGGCAGCAGGTGTCTGAGAGTCAGCACTTGAAGGATGTACACCATGAGAGTGAGGGGGGGTCGGATAAAAGGAGCTGAATGGTGTCGGCAAAGGATTCTGAATGGTAGCATCTGAAGATGACTGTGGCGTCACTGGCACTGAGGGTGTAACAGTTGAAGTCGGTACGGTCGGCGTCGTTGAAGGTGCAGACGCTCCCGGAGTCTGTGCATTCGTGGTAGAAGACGGAGTCGCGACCATCCGTGGCGAGTTGGACGCTTGCGCATTTTCTCGCTCTTTGCGGATGCGTTCACGTTCCTTTTCGCGCTCTTTCGCGACAGACTCAACATATCCGCCTGCATCAACAGCAATTTGATCAAGAGGGGGAGATTTGGAAACAGTCAACGACCGGAAGGCTTGTACATATTCGTTGGACGGAAATCGAGCTAACCGACGAGTCAATGGTCGACTGATCTGAGTTGAGCGTGTGTCTGGGGACACAGGAAATACGCCGTCCTGTGTAGATGCAAATGTAACTGTCGGTGGTGCTGGCGGGGGCGGAGACGGCTGCAACTGAGGAGGAAGCTCGGGGATATAGGGGAGCGTCTTTCGAGCGTGTCCACTTGACGCAGAGGGGTGGTAGCCAAGGCAAAGACGTCTGGGCCAGATGATGGTCATGCCCTTGTCCTCGCCCTGCTTGTTCTGGACTGCAAGCCAGGCGATGATGTACATCGGTTGCCTATCTGCATCGTCGACTCGGTGATGCTTGCCTTTGGCCGAACTGTGCGGGTGCGGCTTCCACTCGCCGGTGCCAAGCCCGGCGAGAGCTTGCTCAAAAAGCTTAGTGATTGCAGACGTCGGCCCAGCATATGTAGTCAAGAAGAATGCGGGTGTCGCGTACGGAAGTAGTATGATTGGAGAGCCAGCTGACAAGGGAAGTGTGAGATGAAGCGGGAGAAAATATGTGGGTTTGAGCCTAAAATGTATCTCCAACCGGGTGCGAGCTAGATGGAGGTCGAGTTGTACAAGGAGCATCGATCTACAGAAAATCAGCATTGATTGAGATACGTCCGGGGGCAAACTGACCGGGTCCGAGTCGTATCCTGCCAGTCGTCGGCCCATTCATACGTTGAAGGGATAGATCCAAGGAGAAACCCATTCTTACACCGTTGAATGATGGTTCCGGGAACTGATGTGTTAGCCAGATCATCAATAAGGCGGCTACGAACAGCATCTAAAAAATGTGAATAGACTATTCGGAGGGGCTTGCGGGGTAGTAAGGGGGCGGTTGAATTCGGTGAACCGGAACCGGATATGCAGTTCGGGCACGGCGCTGCGCGGTCTGAACATTCGGCTGAGCACGGATACAGATCGTCGGGCTTGAAGGAAAGGACGTCCGAAACTGCGGGAGGAGCATTCAGTCGGACGTGGTCGGGTCGGGAGGAAGTGTGGGCCAGCGCGGGATTAGAATGTACGGACGAGCACTTACCAGCGAGACCGTCGAGTTCTAGAGCCTCAATGGATGACTTGACTGCTTCTGTATGATCAGAAGAAACAATCGAAAAAACATATAGAGAGGAGTCTTGTGAGATGTATACGCTAGGCAGAAGCGAGTCCCATAAGGAGGGTGAACTGGACTGGTTCCGTGCCACAAGTTTCCTGCGCGCGTGTTCAAGAACATCGTACTGGGGCAAGGCGAGAAAGCCAGTGGGGAAGAAAGTCGCATAGACTATGGAGGGATCGGAAGGGAGATTGACCACAGAGGAGAGCAGCTTATCAGAAGGGGCAAGTTGAGGAGGCAATCCTGCGAAGTGAGGGTTGACCTGGCTGTGAGTAGTACTAGTGGCCTGTGGGCGGAGGGGGCTAGTTGCGGTGGGCTGCCTGGAGGCCATACGAGGTGGCTGCAGCTGGTGTCCCCTCGAGAAAGATAAAGAGTTGACAAGGAGCTCATAGACGAGAGAGGACAAGCACTCGACCGGTGAGCAGAAACGAGCAGAGGCGAGCCCGACGGTGAAAGAAAGTAGCGTCACCCGCACTGACCGATCACACAATAATATTAATATTGGCTCGAGCTTCAAAGCCGCTTCTACAATTCACCCATTTATAACTTCCTCGGCCACCTGGCCATCCAAAGCACTTCAACCATTTAGTAAATGATCACACTACTCAATGACAATTTCTCTGCTATTTAAAAAACGACCATGGTAATTTGGATTGTAAACAAAACCCATGCTCTCTCGGACTGTAACCTATGCATGATCACACGCACATGGAACAACAAAGTTGCTTTACCTCCGCTGAACTTACCGCATGTAGCTTTAATGCTTCTGTTTCATTGTCCCGACATCTACCTTGCTCCCAAGCCTTAACAACGAACTCAGATGAACTCACCGTGGTTTCGGCACTCCTAGAGATGCATTCTAGCATGTCAATCATGTCACCCTAACTGGCACGCGGCACCTCTGACGAATGATTACGGAGAGTTGAAAGAGGGGCCATCTTGAAACACTGACGTCTTACTCATGCGCAGAGATTAACAGAAGGGGTTTGGCGAACGAACTGCACAGTTTCTACGGCTCACACAACGTCAAAAGAGCGCAGCGACACGTGTAAATCGGCTGCAGACTAGGTTTCTACTACGATGCCTACTGTGACGGCCATATGACTTTCCTCCTACAATTGTTAATTTGACAGCTCTGCACAGACCAACGTGCCATTCCAAGTACACGACGTATGGTGTCCCTCACCACGCCTCGGTATACTCACAGGGTCTCGGCAGGCAGCATATATCGAAGTAGCATTGCGCATGCCATGAAGTCAATGATGGCATTTCACCGTATCCTATCAGGTGCTTAATTTAATCACAGACTTTTGAGAAAACATCGCACACCCCTGCCTCTCTAGACCTTCCTCCCTGGCAGCTGCTTCGTCGTCGATAATCTTTTGGGAATATTTCCAACGAGAAGAACAAGGGGACCCTTCTCTAGCATTCCTCAGGATTTCCTCGTAGACCTTGCCGGGCAAAACTACACAATGTCGCCACAGTACGAGGCAACATTTGACAAGCGACTTGAGCTCATTACTTTGAGTGCCTTGAGTGCCATCGTAGAGAAGAACTAAGTTCCGATACGAAAGTTATCCGTTGAAAGAGAGGCGAGGACATGCAAGGGCGAGTATCATCTCTGTCAGCGAGCCGCATGCTTATGACATTTTAGGTTGCAGTACAATTGAGGTCTTCCAATACGCTTTGTGCCTGGGATCCAAGCGCGATGATCCCCCACGAGTCGACGTCTCGTCGTGGCGCGGTGCATGCCTGGTGACGTCCGATTGGTGTCCGCGATTTTGAGCAGACGTTACAACTTGTTATCATTCTGTCAAGCCGCCACCGATCGACCGGACCCGTCTACTACGTTCAAAGCATTAGACGCGAGCGGACCCGCGTTGATGCGTGTCCTGATCAAGGCCGGGGCAGTCATCCAGCTTAGCCAAGGAACCGACATAGACCGACATCGGTGGTCCGATCTTGTTGCGACAACGCTCCAAATTATTTACGCTGGCATATACCGCACCAGATCGTACCGTCCTCGGCAGCGATGCGTCGGTATAAAACACTACCAGAGGCCAAGTTCGCTGTTTAGCTCACTTTGGCCCCTTCCTTCGCCCAGTAACCAACCAAGCATGACCATTACCTCCACTTCTACTCCCACCACCCCCTCCGATCCCCCTGTCCTCATCGTTAGTTTACACTGTTGCCTCTGTTCCACCTCTCGCAGTTGACCCGTCTTTCTCTCACACAGATAGGCGTAGGGCCAACAGACCTCACTGCAGCTCTAGTGATTGCCCAGAATGGAATTCCGCTCCGCACGTCGACAAAGAGACGTCGTTCCATCCCGGCTCTCGTGGCCCGGGCATCCAGCCCCGCACGCAGGAGCTTTTGCATCAACTCGGCATGTCTGACATGCTCAACGCTTCGATTGAAACGATGCAGATACAGAGGCACTCGTACGATAAGATGGACGCTGTCAAGACATGGGCTGTGATACCTCCATTGGAGTCTACTCCGCACATTCCCTACGTATGAACAGCTTCCTCACGCCCATGAGCTTACAGAATCTACAATACTCTGACTCTCAGATAAATCCAAGACTCTTGGGGCAGAATGGCATTGAAAAGTTCCTGCGAGCTGCCTTGGCAAGACTCGGCTACAAGGTTGAGCTGGGATATGACATTCGCTCCTTCGAGCAGACTCCTGAATGCGTCATTGTGCACGCATTCAGGCGGGACGGTTCGGAGGAGACGTTCCGCGCCAGCTATCTTACCGGCGCAGACGGAGGTAGAGGTATGGTTTCTCCCTGTCTGACTCGTATATCTCACCCTGGAGACTAAGGAACATGTTGGATGTAAGGTGTCTCCCGCAAGCAGCTTGGTGCGACTTTCTTAGGCGAGACGAGAGAAGAAAATCGTTTGGTCACTGGAGACGTTCGCATGACAGCAGAGGGCTTCGACAAACGTTACTGGCACCGTTTCGGAGATAGCAATAAGAAGCTGTATGCTGGCTTGCATTCTAACCATTTATCATGTAGCCCTAACATTTATTTGGAATTTTTACAGAGTTATGCTCAGGCACTGTGCTGAAGTTGCCGAGGAGAACGACGGCTACCAGTTTCAGATCATGGGACCAGAGGTTGACATCCATAAATTGCTCAGTAGCAAAGAGTCATTGTTTGAAGAAATTGCGTCTGCCTTGCCGATGAAGATCCACTTTACGAGTCTTATCTGCTCCAGTGAATGGAGGTTAGCTCATCTTTGACTCATCCCATTCGAAGTGTGAGAGCGAACATCCCTTGTTCAGACCGAATATTCGCATGGCAAACAACTTCGGTTCTCAACGAGCTTTCTTGGCCGGAGGTACGTGTTTCTATGCATTCAATACACACTCGTCTCACACACTGTACTTTAGATGCAGCCCATGTGCACTCGCCTGCAGGTGGACAAGGGTTGAACACGGGCATAAGCGATGCTGTAAGTCCCCTCCCTTCGCCTTTTGTCTGGCCCTTGGGCGTCATCTTTAATCTCCTATAGATTAACATCGCGTAGAAGATCTCGCTCGTTATGAAAGGTGGGGCGGGTCCATCTCTGCTCGCTACGTATTCCGCAGAACGCCTCCCCCTCGTCGCCGAGATGTTGAATCTGACAACCACCATCCTGGACGCCGACACCTTCGGCTCGGACGCGACGTGGTCACCGCGTCCGGAGTCGCTGCGCATGCTGGGCGTCAATTACCGCCAAAGTGACATCGTCCTGGACGAGATACATCCTTTAGGCTCCCTCCCTCCCATCCCTGCTTACGGTGATCCCAAAGAAATCCAAGCTGTCGTCTTAGCCGCCGGAGACCGCGCGCCCGAAGCTGGTGGCCTCATCGATGACGCAGGCAACACGCACCGCCTGTTCGACCTGTTCCACATGACCCACCACACCGTCCTCGTCTTCGCGCTCTCTGTGGAAGATGCCCGCGACATTTTGGCAGCGCGCACGGCAAGAAGCGCAGACTTGATTCGCTACATCGTCATCCTTCCCGGCTCGTCACAGCTTGATGCTGGGGTTACTCTTAACAGCGACGCGCTCATCGTGCAGGATAGCGAAGGCATCGCATACTCAGGGTACCAGGCCGAGAACGATAAGACCCGCGTCGCGATCGTTCGCCCAGACGGATGGATTGGTGGTCTAGTACGCGATAAGGAAGGGGCTCACAAATATTTCACGAAGATCTTCGAGTGATCTGGATAATGAGTAGGACCTACGCTTGGGGGATGCTGCATTGCAACCACACTAATGTGAAAAGATTACTTGTGTTCGAAGACTTATGATTTATTCTCGAGGTTCAAAACGAGAGAGTTGAGAAATGTGTTGCATAAACTTTCACTAACATATCCATTGGTCCCCCGATTTGTACTCTTGGTTTCATGCACTTGAGGAACGCGTTCCCCTTGTTCGTTCGCTCCAGACTTCAGCGGCCAATGATCTTGTAGGAATTCTTTGATTGACAAGCGCAATAAAGGATGCCCTGAGGTTTCAGGCATGGTCATATGCCAGAGTGCAGGCAGCGCCAATGCGCAGGCGCTCATAAGATATATTTCAAGTGTTCGATTAATGGATTGTTGGTACTTACACATAAGCTGGGCCCGGACGTTCATTAAGACGCAGCCGGAGTCATGTCAATATTTATTTGAAGAATAATGTGATGAAGGGGTTAATACAGGAAGTTGAATCGAGATATGACAGAAAGGTGTACAATATGATGTGGGGCGTAGTAGATATCATAGCATTTGGACGTTGGTCGTTGAATATGCAACTCGAACCTCGTGATTCGGGGATGTGAAGGATGAGAGCAAGCGAGGATCAGCAGCTGAGTAGGTATCAGGTACCAATATGCGATGGAGCCATCACAATCGGAACAAGAAACCCAACTAGAGGGAAGCGCTGTCAGCACAGTATGGAGGTGGGGAAATGAAAGCGACTCACGTCTTCTGGCGTCAAGCGACCCATGGCCTGCAAAAATAAAACAGTCAGCGCAACTCATGTTAGCATTGCGGTGCACCTCACAGAATCATCAGTCGACAGAGTGGCATCCACCATGGCCGACTTCTTCTCTTGAAGCTGATTTGAGGTCAGCATAGCCCCCGACACGGTGCAAAAGATGCTTACCTGGATAATACGACTTTCAATGCTGTCTTCTACAACCAGCTTATAAGCCTTGACAGGCCGGTGTTGTCCAAGTCGATGGATACGATCCATGGCCTCTGCGATACGATGAGCTATGATGCCGACAGTCTTGAAAATGCTTTGCACTCACGAAACTCAACAGCCGGGTTCCACCAACTGTCCATAAGATAGATGCGAGATGCCTCAGTCAGGTTGAGGGCCACACCACCAGCTTTTAAGCTGACAAGGAACACCGTTACTTCCGTGTTGTTCACTGCGCGAGACATCAGATCACATGCAATAGCCGATTAAAGTAGCCCAATGACTGACTAAAGTGCTGAATAGTCGCATCGCGTGCCTGAGGGCTCATGGTGCCCTCTAGACGACAGATCTAAGTATCCTTGTGAGTTTTCATGGACCATTTGACATTGCGGAAACTCTACCTTGAATCCAGCCTTCTGCAGTCTGAACGAAATGAGGTCCAAGAAGTTGACGAACTGGCTGAATACGATGCTCTTGGTAGTGTGATCCTGTAGACGCAAGTTGGATAACTCTTCGACCAACGCTTCAATCTTCGTAGACGAACGCCATTTGTCGAGGTCGAGGCGGCCGAGGATACCCTGCCTGGTACTAGTCTGCACCTCCGCGTCTAGTTCTAGTGCGGGAGCCTCAAGGTCGATTGTCAACGGTACGTGACAAACAGGACAATCAGGCTACGAGTGAAAACTTAATTAGATCGAGGAGTGGTTTCTGACAGAATGACACATACAGAGATTTCGGCAGCTGCCTCAAGGTACTGGCGAATACACTCGCGGTCGAAGATATGCCGACACTTGGCCTGGATAGCATCTTCCGCGACATCATTGCAGAGCCTGCAAACGGTAGCTTCGCCTGGCTCATCAGCTGCGAGGAACTTAGCACCGTTGGTCTTGCTACGAAGTACAAGATCAGGATGACAGGCCATTTGTCTCATGCGAGTGATCCTAATGTCATGTCAGTAATTGATCGGTTTGAGATGCCGCTGTAGTTACAAGCTGAAAATGTTGGAGTAGTCTGGCGGTCTATCAACGTCTGAGAAAGTCTGCAATGAGCATGAATAACGCACTGTTTAGGACAGTTCCGGAGTCAACATAGGTGCTGAACTGACGCGTGGCGTCAGAAAACAGAGAAAGATACAGTTCCTTTTCCTCGGGGCTGAAGTAGTCACGTTTGACAACAACGATCCGTGGGGGTAATCCCAGGTCGTCCGCACGTTGGACCTAGCAGAACATTTATGACTTGATAACTCGCCATAAAAAGCCAGAGCCAACCCTACCTTCGTCCGGCGAAGCATGACACGATCGAGGAGGACCCTCAGCTTCTTAAAGGCATGTCTACCTGGACCCGCGAGACCGTTCTTTTGGATGGGCGTCAATATCTCATTATTCCAGAAACAGGTCTGCACGATAGTCAATATGTATCCAGTTGGCACACACATAGTGAAACTCACATGCTGCATAGGACTATGCCCACACTCTACGAAGACACATTATTACTCAAGGCTTGATAAAACATATTAACGACAGTTGGTTACATACCGTCACAGTTCTTCCTATCAGAGAACTTCCAGTGTAAAGACTTGCAGTCACACCTCTTGCCTAAAATAATAAACCGTCAACGTGGGGTCGCCACCTTTGGAGTGCAGACTTACAGAAATAGTATGAAAAGGGGTCACCACCCAAGAAGCGGATTAAACTGTACAGTTCCCCGACACGGTTCTGCAGTGGCGTGCCAGAGAGACACCATTTATAGTTACTATCGAGCTCGAAGGTTGCCTTTGCGGTGTTTGTGGCACGCTCTTTAATGTTATGTGCTTCATCAAGCTGATGTTATATGTTGGTTAACACCTCCATGGTCTCAGTGAGCTTAAGCGCGAGCTATACTTACAATGATCCGGTTCCACTTCATCGAATGAAGCGGCGAACGCTCTTTGACAATCATGCCCTTGCGTTTGAAACCACTCTGTTGCTTTCTGAAAACGCTTTCCAAGACAGCGTACGTCGTGAGGACCTTGCGAGGGTTAGCAGGCGAATAGCTCTACATCAGGAAGCAACTTACGACATCGTATTTCTTTAGCTCTTTGGGGTCTGTCATGCGAGTGGAACCATACCACACGAGGACATTCATGCCCTCAGTATGGGCAGCAATCTCGTTCCTCCACTGCATGAGGGCAACAGTTGGACTACGAGTTTGAAGATTAGGACATCAAGATCATGAAGTCGGGACGGCAATGGGCTTACGCTACGACAAGATTCGGTCTCTTCAAATCGGACACGAAGAGCGAGATCATCTGAATGGTCTTGCCCATACCCATCTCGTCCTAGAGGTCAACGGTCAGCACGGAGTCAACTTCAATAACTGCCTACTTGGCTTACTGCCAACATCCCACCGTGCCATGGCCCTGTCTCTTGCTTCCGCATCCAGGTAAGACTTTCCAGCTGGAATGGGAGGAGAGTAACCTTCAATCCTGCAGGCTGTTCTGCAGGCTCGGGAACGATGACGGGGATGGTTGCTTCTAGATCACCCCACACATCCCGCAGCTCAGGATGGTTCTTTCTGAGATAATATTCGTTTCTTTGAGCCTATAGAAGAGCGTCTCATCAGCCACCTTCATGTCATCGTTGTAAGGAACACTCACTACTGTAGGTCTGCGTCCATATATCCGGTACATCTCATTTTTCTCGGCCTGGAGGACCTTTCGATGAGAACGGTGGCGTTCCGCCGAGTTCGGGTCCAGGAGGTTCCTGGCAAACTTGGACGTCTTTTTCTTCCCCTTCCCCTTGCCTTTGCCCTTAGACAAGGGCTCTTCTTCCTCATCTGACGACTCAAGGGCAGAAAGTTCAGAAATATCCTCCTCGAGAATCTCAAAGTCGTCCTCGTCGCTATCGTAGACCTTGCGTTTATTCTTCCGGCCTTTGGCGAGACGCCTTTCGGCGCGGGCCGCGCGAACAGTCACAGCGGCACTTGGTACAGAAACTACTTTTGACGACGAGCCCATGCCGGCCCGTTCCTGTGCATCGCGCCGGGCCGTTTGGTTCGACAGCTCGATAGTGGCCTGGAGGATCAGTGCCTCGTCTTCCTCCGAATCATGACCTTCAGATCCCTCATCTTCAGAAGCTTCAAAGGCAGAACCACTGTCCGCAGACTCATCATACTCAAGCTCGGACTCAGACATGTACTCCACGTCATCGTCCTCTTTGACCTCGGGAGCAGCTTTGCCCTTGCCTTTGGTCTTAGGAACGGCGGTAACGGGCTGCTATCTCGGGTTAACGAGCTTTTCCTTAATACAGAAACACACCGAGTTTCACCTTGCCAGTGCACTTGGACCTCGCTGAGGACGCTTGTGTCTTGTTGGGTACCTCAATGTAGAAAGACTGCCTAGTAACCACGCGTTTCTTCCTCTGCGAAGTCCGCCTTGAGGTAGTCTTGATGTCCTCCGCTTCTTCCTCTTCTGTTTCCGGAGCCGGACGCTTTCTCGACTGACGAGTGGCTTTCACTGGGGGCTCTTCGTCGGCGACAACAGACGTGTCAGGGGTTTCGGGCTGAACCGAGTTCTCATTGCTAAAGAGCGGCGAAACGGTGGAAGCCGGTGTGTCTGTAGCCGTCGTGGGTGTCACCGCGGCGCGTTGAGCGCGTCTCCTGGTCTGCACCATGGTCTATGGGGGTGGGCCGGGGATGATAGGATGAAAAAGAGGCCTTGTCTGAGTTTCAATGGTCCCCAGGACGCGAAAAAGAGACGCGGTACGCGCCCACGCTCCTTATTTGGATACTTTCCAATTAGCTGACTCATTCATTGCCACAATCGCGCTTCGGCACTGGCCGCATCGACAGCTTCTTTATTGATTTCCAATTTGACTGTGACTCAACCTACCTGCTAAACATGGCCTGTGTTCCCCCAGTACTTACTCGGGCCTCAGTGCTTGCGCCGACCTTTCTTTACAGGAATATACGGAACGATGGAGGATTGCTTGAAGTCTCACAGGAAGTAATAGCGAAACGTCGTTAGTTGCGCACGCCAAATAGGATAAATAACTAACGCTATGAACAATTTGCAGCGCTCATGCATATGAGAGGCGTTGTAAGCTGCCGACCGACTTCAATTTACAGGTATATCGTATAGATCAGGTATGTAGCACGGGGAAAACAGATGAAGCTATATGGTAACAGGCCATGCACAGTATTCGAACTCAAAGAGCAGCATCACTCGACGGCAACGGCGGCACTGGAGGGGGGTGTCCACCAGTTGGACCCGATGTGCCACCATCCCTGCGGCGGCGAACGGTTCTCCTGATCGTCCTCCTGACCGTCGTCGTCCGAGGCCGTAGTCCAGGACCCGGGTGCACCTCATCAAACGACGGCGGAGGCGGCGCCTCGTCGTATAGTGAGTATACCGGGACCTCTTCCTCGACTTCATACTCCTCATACTCAAACATGTCGTCCTGGCCATCAGAGACCGCATCGAGCGCAGGCCCTAGTTCAGAAAGCGACAAGGCATTGTTGTCCCCTGGCTGTGTTGCTGAGACAAGTGGATCTGCACCCGTGGTCAGTCCTCCGCTCGGACCCTGACTTCCAAAAGTCGGTGCCTGAGGAACGCTGGCGGCAGGCACTTGGGGTATAGGCGTTCGCTCTGGTTCAGCGGCCAATGTTGTAGGTTGGGAAGCAGAAGGCTGCACATGGGCAAGCGTATGGCTAGCAGGCCCCGTGTCATAAGGCGGGACAAATGGCAGCGTCCTAGCACCCGCTAGCTGCGGCGATGCATGAGCATTAGACGCTGGAGGCGACCGGGACCTATTGAATTCTGCAGGTGGAAGCGGAGCAGGCGTTGACATGGGCGACGAGGCTGTGGTTCTCCGTGCCTCAGGGGGTAAAGAAGAGAAAGTCGTAGGCGGGGATACAGTATACGGAGAATCGGGTACAAGATGGATGGGGGGTGCAGGCGGAGGAGTAGGGCTTGCCTGCCTCATGTCAGGGGCGAGAACAATAGGCGGAAGTGCAGGCGGAGGTGGTGAGCCGCCTGAATGTACAGGATACGGGGCTTGAGCACCCCAAGACGATGCAGAGCTCAGCCATCTGGGACCCGCATCTGGATTAGAGTGAGGGTAATTCGTGCTTGGTGGGCGCGAAGCAGGAGGCGACCCCGCGGTAGATGCTTGCGACACGAATGATGAGGCAAGGGGGCGAGATAAATGTTCGCCGTTACCAAACGAAATTGAAGTCGCAACAGGCGGAGGCGGAGGCGGAGGCACCGACGGAGAAGGGGACCGCTGAAACATGGGATATGTATGCGATGGTCCACGAGATGTGTTGAGTCCACTTTGTCTCGACGATGACGACGAGGCGGGTAGTGCAGAATATCCAGACTGTATTCCACCCTTGTACATCGATACATTTATCGATTCCTCAGGTCGATACGTCGGGTACATTGAAACATCCTCTTTCACGTAGCCCCAGTTAGTCGTTGGAGGCTCAGACACCGGCGCCGACTTGGAGTGTACGGGATGAGGGTGGGGATGGGCCTGATTGTTTTTGGAGAAAGCACTGGCATACAGCCTCTGTGCGTACGATTGTCCTGGCACCTCGGCATGCGGGACACTGAATCTTACGGGAGGCGGGGGCGGAGCATTCGAAGATGAAGGAGGGCCATTAATGTTGGAGCGCTCAATGGTATGCCGCAGACGCGTGCTTGGGTGAGCATTGATGCTGTCGATGAAGGCTTGGGAGCGATTGGGGTCTGTAGTGCTTGGTGAAGTGGATGCTCTGCGAACGCAGACGATAATATGTTGGGATCCGATCTCGAAGGGAAGGGGCTATTCGTGTGCTCACCTGTCCATCATAGGACCGGGACTTGTACTACGAGATTGTTAACGTTCCAGATCAAAAGACAAAAGGCTGGAAACACCAAGGAACGTTGCTCACCTCTGACCGTAGCTGATATTATGCTGCATGTTTGGGGGTGCAACTGACCACGCTGCGCTAGCTCTAAATAGACGAATGAAGTGGTCCTGCTAAGTGGAAGGAAAGTACTAGCAACTAAACGTTCAGATACAGTTATTATGCTGTGGAGCGCGTCGCTGTGAGTCGCTGCGGAGATGAGACTTTAGAAACAGCGCGCATATACGGGGGTTGTTGTCGGGTTTGCAGGGCCATTGTTCTGATGAAAGGGCGGCAAAGGTCCCGCCGTCAGAATAGGCGCTCATGATCTACGTGCCTGGAGTCGGCTTGGACTATTTCAAGAACGACTGTCTTCTGATATAGGGTCTGCCTAAGGGAGACTAGGTTTGGACAGCCCTTGGGGGCGCGTTACAACCTCGAAACGCTCTTTGCCGAGGCGTTAAGTGACTACACATCCTTCTTACATAAACCTGGGCTAACCTGGGCTCACAATACTCAAACAGCTTCTACACGTACGAGTCAAGGACAGTTCAAAAGCGCCAGCTAGCAAGATACGTTTATTGCAGGCCAATTGTTTCTCATCCACGGTCTAAAATGCCGTGCTTCGCACAAGACCGCAGCTTATAAACCATGGTTCATCAGGTTGTACCCAACGCCAAAAGAGCGCAGTGGCACGTGTAAAACGGCTGCAGAGGAGATTAGTTCATCAGAAGCCCAAGGAAAACCAAGTAACCAAGCACCTAGTCGCACTACCATTTTTTGTTGTTTCACGGGTGATATTCAACTCGGGCATTGCAAGGGAAATAAGATCAACATTTGATATCCAAAAGGTTATATACCGTTGTAATAAATCTCATAGAGTACAAGCCACGCTGAACTTTAAGTCGAAAGCAAGGAAAACGTGCAATCGCTTCGCAGAATAATGGGCATTTACCAGTCTCCACCGCCAAAGTCATTATTATCGCCATAGTCTTCTCCGGCATCGAAACCTACGATACGCTCAATATAAAACACCAAAATGTCTAAAAATAAGAATTACCTTGATCGTAGCCTTCTTCTCTCTCATCTTCGTTGTGATCCTCAAAGGCATCCATGAGTAAGGCACCTCCAACCAGACCAGCACCACCTAAGAAGAAATAAGCGCCTGTCTATATGAAGACGTAGACAAACCACGCACCAGCGAGCAGACCAGTTCCAAGGCCCATACCAGATTTCTTCTTTCGTTGCTCTTCAACGATCACAGTCTGCGGCGGCTGAGGACTTGGGCCGCCATAGCTCGGGCTGCCATAGCCTGCAAACGTCCATGTCAGATAACGGCTGAGGGGGATAGTTCGCTTAAACTTTTACCCCTATTCTCTTGATAACCACCGCCATATCCTCCACCGGGAGGGCCGCCATACCCACCACCAGGAGGAGGAGGGCCACCGTAACCACCACCATAGCCGCCAGGAGGAGGGCCTTGGTTATATCCACCTTGGGATCCCGGGCCGCCGCCGTAGCCGCCGCCGTAGCCACCTCCCGGAGGCCCGTACGGCGATCGATTGTAATCGCGGTTCGGGGGAGGAGGACCAGGGGGAGGTGCGAACTGCTGTTGCATTGGGCCCAGGGGATGTTCCCAAGATGAGCGTGGAGGGTTCTCGCGGGTATTGACATAGAACCTGGATCCAGAGGGGCAGAGATGAGTATCGTCGCAGACATACTCTATGATCTCTGCATCCACGGAGAGTCGTCAAGCAACCTACCATTGTCTGTAACTGTGTGGGAGGGATTTGTTAGATCTTGGAGGGACTACGTGTCCTGATCTCAACGACGTACTCCGAGTTATACTGCTCTATCCATCCGGGAGGGAGTTGCCTGGTATCAGGGTTAGGAGGCAGCTGTTGTCCGTAAGGTGGAGGTGAAGCCATTGTATGCAGTCGATGTTAGTGGAGAGGAGATGTGAATAGTAAGTGCCCTTAAAGGTTTTATAGTAACGGGCCGGGTCTTTATTTCGGGATTCGTGGCTTCCTGCGGCGGTGCAGTACTGGCTGGTCACAGCAACTTGTTGACACAGCAAACGTTGCCTGCAGTTGCCAGCTGGCCAAATGCGAATCACATTCATTACTTATCACTTAATTGGAACGCAATACATCCGGCTCACAAGCGGTGCATGATTCAATACTTTCATCGGTGCATTCTCAAGACCAAGCGAGCACGTAATTATACAAGCAAAGCAACGCATCGGCGAATCTCATTATTGAACTCAGAAGTCGTCAACTACAAATACTTGAGAAATATCGTAGAGGGTTCGCCCAAAAAACCGAAAACAAAAAGAAAAAAAAAACAGGAAATCGTCAAATGCAAAGGTAGGTAGGGTGAATGAATATGTTTCACGGCGGAGTGTACGAGGGTTTCAAAGAACGAGCAAGGAACGTTGGGTTGAGTGGTCGGTCGCATGGCAGAGATAATTACTTCTTGTGGGACTTAGGCTTCTTAGCCGGGGGAGGAGGAACCTCTTCCTCTTCCTCTTCATCCTCCTCTTCATCCTCCTCCTCCTCGTCATCCTCTTCGGTTGCTTTGGCGGCCTGCTTGACATCTTCTGACGAGTCGCTCTCAGCTTCGGAGTCGGACTCGCTCGTTGGAGCAACAGGGGCTGATTTGGGAACACCCTTTAAGACTGGCTTCTTCTAAGTGAAGTTGAGCGGAAAGTCGCTTTTTGAGATCGTGTAACGCACCACCGTGGCTTTGGAGACAGGTTTCGCCTTGACAGGCTTGAGGGAAGCATTCACATCTGGAGCAGCCTCCGCCTCGACAGTGTGGTCTTGTCCTTCGTAAGCTATCTTGTCGGTCTTCCACTTCTCCTTGGCAGTCTCAGCCTGGCGTTGATAAACCTAGAAAATGAACGGTTACATAAGAACAAATGGTTGACTAATTCTTGTTACGTACTTGCTTTTCCTCCTGAGGCATGTTGGACCATTGTTGACTGATAAGCTGGAGGAGGTCGCTCTGCGGAAGGTTGGGGTTGGCAGTCTTGTACTTAGAACGGACTTGGTTTTGGAAGAGGAGGTAGGCAGATGCGGGACGCTTGGGCGCGTTAGGGTCTTTCTCCTTGACTTCACGCTTGCGTTTCCGGCCGTCGCCGCCCTCGGAGATCATGACACCCCTACGCTTGCGAGGCTTGGTAAAGGGGACATCGGCGGCAGTGGTGAGTTGAGCGAGGGTATCATCATCGAGGGGAAGGGCCATGATGATCTCGGTGAGCTTGTCTTGCATGTCCGCGTACCGACGCATTTGAGCGGAGGAGAGGGTGAGCTTCTCCAATAGCTGCAGGGAGGCAACATAGGAGGTTGATGAGTTAGGGTGGAGGACGGAGACGAGTGGAGGACGTGTCGACGCGCACCTCCGCCTTGGCAGGCTCCGGGACGGATGCCTCAGACTTAGATTTTTTGGTGGCCATGGCGCGTCTTGAGGGGAACGCGGTTTGTTGAATGTGGGTGAGTAAGAAAGAGGCGAAAAAAGTGAACCGCGGGACAAGCTTTCTTTTTGTTGATGGACGTAACCAATTATAAGCTGTTGATCGTTGATTGTTACTATTAGGTTCAAGTATTGAAACCCGACTATTATAGTGGTTTGCATAAGCGATCTATCAAATCTGAAACAAATTGTGCCTACTGACCAACAAGGCTGACATCTTCTCGTTACTATTATCTCCCGAATGATCCTAGCTTGCATTCTAGGGTTTTTCCACTGCTCGGTTCTTATCGCGCGGTTCTAGACATCGCTGAACACGTCCCGTTTATAGTCATTGTAGGACTGGTTAGTGTGCGCTAGTATGCCCCAGCTGCGTTGATATGGAGTGAAAGAGACAGTGGGCGTGGGCAGGAGCTAAGAAACGGCTGACCTCCATTGACACGCCCATCATGTGGATGCCCTCTCCACACGACCGTGCGATGACCACGGGCATGCCACGGGTAGCGCGGGCTCTGCCGAGTTGCCGCACGCCAGACACCGCGGTGCGTGAAGCGGGTGGCGAATAACAGTACAATACAACCCCCGGCTGGTCAGTGCGCCATCCAATCTCGCTCCATCACAGAGAGGCTCGCAGGCGCATAGTCGGCTGCCAGTAAACGCGGATAAAGGTGATAAAAGGCGCTGTAGCTTTCTTCCTTGCCTTTTGCCGTCTCGTTTGCCTCAGAAATAAGCCGTGTAGTTCTGCACCAATTGAGACCCCTCGGGCGTCCTCCAGAAAAGAGAAGGAAAAAACTCGAATTACACCGTGATGGATATGTACAACACTACTGCGGCCTGGCTGCAAAGTTCACAGAATGTTCACGGCGTATCTCATGCTCAACTCTCAGATGGCCGACCGTCGCCATCCACCAGTTGGAAGGAGGACACGACGGGTAGTGACGGAACCGAGGTTGGGACGTCGGCAAGTGGTCAGGCAGGCATCGATATGAACGATTTTGGAATAGACCTGAATGGTGAGCAAACCAGTCGCATGCTCCTATGAGCAGCGTCTTTATATGCGACCAATCAAGATGCTGACCAGCATACTTTGCAGCCGTCCCATCCACCTCAACAGCCATGTCTCCAACTTCTCAGGCTTTCTACAGCCATCCTTACTCCCAACATAATTACTTTATGCCCGGACCCTTCAACGCCATGCCATATGGTTCTATGCAATGGGCGAATCAGTCACTTCCTCTATCAAATTACTCTTCCCTTGACGGTGCAACGTCCGCAGCGCCGTCCTCTCAATCATCTTCTGCCCCCACACAACATTCTCCCCCTCAGTCGATGATGATAGAGTTCGTTTTCCGTGTCTTCATGCCCATTGTAATACGTGCTAATTATGATGTTTCAGTCCCTCCTTGGCGACTATAAATGGCTCCGATACAGGTCGACAACAACTCTCTCATTCTCCCAATCCATCCGCTCAGTCTTCGCAACCTAGTCAGTCACGACCATATCCCACGTATCAGCATCATCCATTATCCATAAATCCATCTTATGTTCTTCCATCACATTTTTACTCGGCCCAGTCACAGCAAGCATCACAATCACAAGGCACACTTTCACCACATGTTCTGCACGCGTCATCTCCAACGAACAACACCACACAATCTCTTTATTCACCATCCACCCTCTCAGCCTCGACATCGTCAGCTGCTGATACTCAGGCTCGAAAAGACAAATTCCTACAGGACATTAAGCCCCTGTTACAGCCCAAATCGTTTACTGGCGCAGGCGCTGTCAGCTCACTTGTAGGCATTATCGATGACTTTGGCTCACAGGATGTCGACGCTTCCACGCGTATGGACATCTTGACCAAGATACGAGATAATGCGGGCAATCATTACTTTCGTGCCTGGTCGGAGAACGAGGATGCGGTGGATATAACTAAGGAGTGGCTGAAGGCAGGTCTCACCGCGACGCAAGACAATGGGTTGGTGGAGACGATCATGCCACTATTACACGTGAGCAAACAAAGGATATGCTATGATGTCGTCTGACTCAAAATTGGCGTAGATTGTGGACAGGATGCCTCTAACTGTCAATGCCCTCAAGATATCGAAGCTCGGAAAGATTGTTGTCAAACTCGTCAAAGAGCCACCAGCGCCTGGTGAGTATATTTCTTGTTATCGGAAGACTTCAGCGCCTGCCAGCTATTTGAGTTTCGAAACTCCACTTGAAAACGTGGTGATGCGCGTTTCATGTGTGTGTAGCTTAGACGCCTACCTTATCTCCATACCGAGAGTAATACATGTGAGATCTGACATGAGCTTTGCTTTCTCTATTTTTGCGTTTGCAATGTATAGCAATCAAGGATATGGCCTCCAATCTCGAACGAAAATGGCGACAGCTGGTTGACGCCGCTAGAGCGGAGTCAGATTCTCAGGATGGTAGGTCACGCCAGTCCGTTTTAATTAAATCAGATTCTCAATTCTTGTCTGTGTAGATACGTCCAAGAAACGGAAGCTTGCCGAATCGCCATCAAGCAAAGCCCTTCCGCCTGCGAAGAAGGCCGCCGTGGGGTCGACGGCAGTGAAGCCTACCGTAGTCAAAAAGGAGGCCAAATCTACTAGCACTGGGGTGAAGGATGCCCGATCGGACTCATCTTTCTTTTCGGCGCCCAAGCCTAAACCCAAGCTTCCCAGCTTCAAGAAGGCGCCGGCAGAAGCAAAGAAGGAGCCAACAGATAACATTGCGCAGCCGTCATCATTTGATCCCTTCCAGGAGGCGCTCAAGTCGATGGCGAAGGCCCGCAAGGATTCGCCCGTAGTTTCCACTCCGCCGCCGACGTCGGCCAGTGTAACGCCTGTCTCAAATACAAATCCTGGCAAAGGGAAGAAGAACAAATCTGTGTCGTGGGCACCGGATTCCCAACTAGTCGCGGTTAAATTTATTGAGCGCGCAGTCTATGAGGATGACCCGATGGATGTCAGCGTTTCGTTATCTGACACTATACTATACATTAATGCTGTGTTTGTTTGTTTGTTAATCAGGGTGTCCACCATGCACATTCGCTTCGGGATTTGGACAGAGGAGAAGGTGCAGCACTGCATGTTCCGCTCTTCGAGGAGATCATCGACTGGTCGGAACCAATATGTGAGCCTCATGTCCCCCTGATGACGTCGTATCCAGTGTTGCTGACAACTTGATGGACAGTGATCGAGCGTCCTGAGTTCCTGAGTACTCTCCCGGAACCCGGTTCGCTGAGCGAGGAGAAGGCGGCACAGGAGACGCGAGAGCAGACAGCGCTCAATGCACTGTACATGACTGCAGCGCAGATCCCGGACTCGCCCGGCGAGCCGGCATCGGTAGTAGCCGATAACGAGATGGACCAGGAACTAAAGCAGATGACTGTGGGTGAAGAGAACGACAACGTCTTCTGGAGTAGTGAAAACTCGCCACCACCAAACGTCGCGTCGGTTGCTGAGCTCGTAGGCCAGCTTACAGCTGGTAATACTGGCCAGATGATGAATAATGGTGGAAATGACGTTTCAGCGACGCTGCAGTCGCTCGGACTCGACACAAATTTGCTCTCGCAGTTGGCATCGATGCCGTCGGTACAGTCAACACCACCCACAGACCAAATGTCACAACTGCTGCAACAGGCACAAGCTATGGTCGGACAGGGGCAGGGTGGGGCTGCACTGCCACCTTACACCGGAGACGACCAAAATTGGAATGCCGGCAACTATGGCTCGGAGTATGGCCAAACACGGCAACCGTCAGACGCCGGCGACTTAGGCGGCTCCCGCGGCGGACGTTGGGAGTGGCGAGGGCGAGGTCGGGGAAGGGGTCGTGGGCGGGGCGATGGTCCGTATAGACAAAGTCATAAACGAACACCATGCAGTTTTTATGCAGAAGGAAGGCGAGCATCAATTGTACTTGTGTCTGACCCGAAACAAGAGACTGACTGATCAGCGTGTCGTTGTTTCCCACAGGTGCAAGTATGGCGACCAATGCGACTTTAGCCATGAAGCAGTATATTAACACACTATACCTAATGTCGACAGTAATAGTGACTCCTACGTATCGCGATCGGTTATTGGATCATATTTCAAAGTGTAGTATTTCCACGACTCGGAGCTCAGATATCAGGCTGGTACAGCAGTGGCCGGGTATGCATGCGTCGTTGTGGGAGGCTATAGGTGCACAAAAGCGAGCAGCTTCCGACTGTACAAGCGCGGCGATCCAGACAGCTATAAATACAACAGATGCAACGAAATAGGTAGGATGGCCTGCATGGACGCGGCCCTCGCGCGAGGGGGCTCTTATAGATAGCAGATAGTAGACCCAGACGCTGCGCGCAAAATAGTAGAATATAGTACATCCTGTATGTGCAACAAATGCGATAGCAAATAAACAAATCGTCCCCACTACACGCGGCGTGCCAGAGGACCGAATCGGTCAAACCCCACACCCAAGGGGCAAGCAAAGTACATCCGCGACCTCCCAACGGAAAGCCAGCTTGAAGGTACTACCCCCCGCCCGGCCGACGTCGCCGCGTCATCCTTTTCGATGCTGGTTCGCCGCTTGAACCAGACGGGGAACCTATGTCTTGTTTCCGTTTGAGAGTGGCATGACTCATGGAAGGTGTGATATTTACCCCTTGTTGTTGCGCAGGCGTGCCTGCCGAAGGGGGGTTCGTCGACGGTGGTGGTGGAGGCGCATTGATATTGTTCAGTGGGATAGGCGGCTTCTGATCTATGGCCATGGACGGAGATTTAGAGGGGCCGAGATGCGGAGGCCCTAAGCTGGATGGCGACGAGAGCCCTTGATGGAGCGTAATGGCGGGTGAAGGGGAGACACCATTCATGCCGTTCGCCATGAACCCCCCAGATCCTGGTGGTCCACCGTTCATTCCTAAACTTGCCATCACCTGCGAGTTTTCGCGGATTCGGCCCGCGTACCTCTTCAAGGCTTCTATGGACGTGGGGTGAGCATGCACTAACGCATTGACCCGTTCCGACATACCGATCGGACCCAGCGAGGAGTCCTTCGAAAAATTTATCAGATCTCGCATGGCGCCAACGCTTTCCGCAAGCTGGTTTGCTCGTCAGCGAAGAAGAAAATCACGTCAACGCAAGATGCTGACCTCCAAACAGCGCATTGTGGCCTGGGGAATGCCAAATGCGTTGACAGGTTCTCCAGGCATCGACCCATGCTCGATCAATATCCGTGGTTCCTCCCAATTCTTGTCCACGTCTCCATTCATCACCGTCGAGGTTCCATTTGGACTCGGTGTCGGAGCAGCTCCTATCCGAGGTGTACGCGGGTTCGTAACCCGCTGGCCCATAACTGCGTCCAGTGCGATGAACTTGTCGTGATGCGTCGCATCAAACTGGAGGTGCTCAAACTTGAGCGATAGCTGGCCGTTTGCGGATGGTGTGACGATGATATGGGCGGTGAGAGGTCCACGGAGCATGACCGTGTACCCACTCGCATATTTGTATGTCCAGACAGCGGCGACACATTCAATGATTGCATGGTGGCTGGCGACAAGTCGTTCGCGTGCTCCGTCAAGTGACAGTGTCATTGACTTCACGCCTGATTGGGTCGTCACGAGGAAGAACCGCGACAGGATCGGCATACCTATCTCTACAGCGTCCAAGTTAGCGCTAGCACAGTTTAGCAAACTTTAAAACTTACCAAATGGCTTGGCCTCTGCTCGTTGACTATCTTTCCAAAGCGTGAGTTTCATCAAAGCAGATGGCATGAAGTATTCTTTGATGAGTTGGTCCCAGTAAGACATTTGCTGTTTCTGGGTTTAATAGGATCAGCGTCCAGAGTATAACACAATAAATTTGAACTCACTGTGTGAGTCTCGCTTGAAAGTACCCCGCTGAACTGCAGCAACCGAACCAGACCCTGCCCAAAGCCGAGTGCCTGTTGTCGATGCTGTAGTTGTTGTGGAGGTTGTGGTTGCTGGGAAAGACTCTGTGGTGATGTGGATGCACTGGCGTTGCTCGGAGGGTTTATTGGACCTGAATTGGCGGTGGGAGGGCGAGGTGCGATCTGCGGCTGGGATGGCTGGCCAGGGAGACGCGCAGGCAGAAGCGATCCTGGCGGATTATTAGGCGGTAGCTGTGATGTGGATCCACGGGGTGTGTGCGAAGGACCTGCCACCGACGGTGGACGGCCGGTCTGCGACTGTGGTCTCTGGGGACCAGTCATGGCCACATCAGCTGGGCGAGGCGACGCTCGAGCCTGCGCAGGTGCCTGACGTTCTGTAAGTGGGTTTCCATGGTGCGACGCAGGGCGCGGCGGGCCCTGCTGACCGCCCATGTTGAAGACAAACGGCGGTCCCGACCCTGGTCCGTCGGCACCGGCGCCGCCCGAGGGCTGCTGCTGCATGGGATTTAGTTGTTGCGATGGGTTGAAGTGGAAGCCACCCGCGCCTATCCCGTTGGGTCGTGTCGTGTTATCGCCTATATCTATGCTCTCGCTAGAGAAAGGGAAGGGCGCTACGGCACCTGTAGGGGGTATTCGAGAGTTTGCAGGAACGCCAACATTAGGGTGGGAGTGATTCTGTTGAGGTATTGGCATGTTGAACATGTCGTTCGGCATCGATGAGCGATTCGGAGGCGAAGAAGATAGGGAAGGGTTCGAATGTGATTGAGGGAAGCCATTGGGTGTTGATGGTTGTCCGCCAGTTCCGGATGGAGGCTGATGCAGGCTGCCCATGACCTGCTGGTTATGACCCGAGGGGTTCGGACGGATTGATGTTGGCGGTTGACCTGGAATGGCAGGGGGTTGGTTGCGTAGTGGAAGACCAACGTCGGAAGGGGGCATAGCGCCTTGCACATTTCCTGGCCCAAAGCGCATCTGCTGACTGTTACGAAATGCCGCCATAGGATGTTGGTTGGGATTGCCATTGAGGTTAATGCTGGCTGGGTTCATGGCTTGACCGGGATGCATGCCCCCATGGGCTTGATTGAGACCCTGAGGATGCGAAGCAGTGCGGCGAATGGTGGGTCCTCCTTGCATGGCTGGGTTCTGAGGGCCCATCATGCCAATGTTACTCGGAAAACCCGCCATGTTCCCAGCCATGTTCAGGCTGCGCATCTGACCGCCCTGCGCGCCAGGGGGACCGTTGTTTAGTTGCTGTTGTATGTGGGGTGGAGGATTTCCTGGCTGCTGGCCCGGGTTCATGCGCTGCTGTCCCATAATCTGCATCAACGCGGCGTTGTTGTTATTGGGGTTTTGACCCTGCTGAGCGCCAAGACCGGCTGGAATAGGGCCCATTGGGTTCGGTTGACCAGACTGGTTGGGCAGGAAGTGGCCGGGACCAGGGCCTGTACTCATGGACATCTGACCAAGCTGAGGCATGGATGGTTGTTGACGAAGCATTTCCGGATGCGGACGACCGTTCACGTTCATAGGTGGTTGACGGCGCCGGTGGCGGGGGTGGGCCGTGCTACTAGAGGCCTGTCGAGTAGGCAGACGAGGGTAGCAGAGACGAGAAAGGTCAGAAAGGCTGGAGGGAGGGAGGAAAGAAGGAAAGGGGATTGTTTGTGTGCGGGGGCTGTCGCGCGAGGACGAGTTGTTTGGGAGAGATTGGCCCGGGGAGTGACAAGATGTCGGCAGCGATGATCGAGGGCCGGTACAGTACGCGCACTGCCCTCTTCACACGAGAAGCCTTTTACGTCGGAGAAACGCAGCAACAGTCGAGTCTAGATATGTCAGATACTGTGCTGGCTGATGCACGACGTGCAACGCAGGACGAGAACGAGGACGAAGACGAGGGGGAGGCTCTCTGCGGCGGCTTCGAAGAGGAACTGGCTCTGCCTGTTGGACCCAGCTGCTGTACTCACACGCGCAACGGTGGCGGTGCAGCGGAAACAAAATTCGGCATCCTGACATTGCCTGCCACTCCAGCGACCCTGCCCCGGCTGCCCCTCTTCAGACAGCATGGTCCGCCAGTTCAAGTACCATGAGCAGAAACTTCTCAAGAAAGTCGACTTCCTAAATGTAAGACGACTCCTACAGTCACTTCTCGCATTCTTACACAGCACAGTGGAAACAAGATGCAAATGTTCGCGAGATCAAGGTCATGCGCAGGTACCACATCCAAGACAGAGAAGACTACCACAAGTACATCTCCCACCTCCCTCTTCATCCTGATCTTGACTTTCGTGTGTCAGATACAACAAACTATGTGGCTCAATCAGAGCCTATGCGCACCGTCTCTCCATGCTCCCAGCTCAGGACCCCTTTCGCTCACAAATGGAAGCCCAGCTGCTTTCGAAACTATACGACATAGGCGTTCTTAACTCCCAGGCCAAAATGAGCGATGTCGAAAACAAACTCACAGTCTCTGCGTTTTGTCGTCGCCGCCTCGCCGTTTTCATGTGCATGAGTAAGATGGCCGAAACAGTTAGTGCAGTGCGTATTCCTGTGCTTCTGCCGCCCTCCCCTCGGACTTTCGATTTTCATCACCGCTTCCTTGATGGACAGGCAGTCAAGTTTATAGAGCAAGGTCACGTCCGTGTCGGGCCAGACACGATCACAGACCCTGCTTACCTTGTGACCCGGTCCGTCGTGTTCATCCACGCTGCGCGACCGCATAAGTGGCTCATCACAACGTTTCAGACACATGGAAGATTTCGTGACTTGGGTTGACACATCCAAGATCAAGAGAACGGTCATGAAATACAACGATGAGGTATTGTCCCCAACATCGATTGTCGCATGTTACACTGACATTTCCTTGCAGCTCGACGACTATGATCTTCTCTAGTCTGGCCACCGACCTTTGTCTGAAATGCTTATCACCACAATAAGCTCCACATCGGTAGCTACGATGCTGATACGTGTTGCTGCTCCTGTGCCTAATACCGCGTAATATTAACGCGTCTCCTCGACTTCGACTTACTAACGGAAGATAGAGAACTTGGGATTGGGGAGGACTGAAGAATTTGTTTCAATTGTAGCCATATCCCTTGTTATAGCTAGACTACTACACTATTTACTGCCAATTCAACTTGATCTACACCTACGATTGGCACACTTTGGGCTTCGATGTTCTTTTATTGGGAGACGCGAGGTGCTGTGCCTGTCCTAGCACGTTGCCACGCGACTATTGCAGCAAGCAGCGCGTTCAATTGCTCTTGCTGGAGCCCCTTGCAGTCATTCCGCCCATTCCCAACATACCCTCCCCGCCAACGTCTATCCCTCTCTACTTATCTATTTCTTCTCCCTTACCGGACACCTACCTTCCCCTTCCTTCTTTCCATTTACCCTTGTAACACCCGCATACACGCACATAGACGCGAACGAAGTCAAACGATAACTCGGCGCAACCAGATAGAAAAGCCAGTTCGGCAGCATACCCGCCTCTTGTGGCCGAGGCTATACACCTTTTACAATTTCACTTCTTTAGTTTGACTGTACGATGGGCGAAGGGGACGGGAACATCAAGGTCGTCGTCCGATGTCGACCTCTGAACTCGCGCGGTGCGTTCTCTCAACCTGTGCTCCGCCATTGCTCGCTCACAACTGTACAATCTTCCTCCAACTTCTTCCTCATGTCTCTCGATCGCTCTCCACCTACATCTATCTTGTGCAGAGCTCGCGCGCGGTGCGAAGCCGCTTATCCGGATGCAGGGGAACCAGACGTTCCTCGACCCTCCCGAAGCAGGCTCAGCGCAGGATACCAAACGCGCGACGGAACGTAAGACGATGGCATTTGGCTTCGACAAGTCATACTGGTCAGCAGGACCACGCGACGAGCCGGGCTACTGCTCGCAGCAGACACTATTTGAGGACCTTGGGAGGGAGCTGCTCGATCACTCGTTTTCAGGTTTCAATGCGTGTATCTTCGCATGTGAGTCTTGATCTCGCGTGTATAGCGAATATAGGGGTCTTTGGTTTCGGTTATTCTGTGTGAGGCTTGTACATTTGATTGCTGACGGCTGACTCGCGTCCAGATGGCCAGACTGGTGAGTTGACATGCGTTTCGGTCTTGAGCATATCGCCTGACCCACTGCAGGATCGGGAAAGTCTTACAGGTACGAAAACTCGTGATTATGGAAGGATACGTTTTCACTGAACGCTGCTGAATGAATTGGACAATAGTATGATGGGCTGTATGTGCATAGAGCAATCCCATGCATTCCCAGTGACCACTAACGGTTCGGTTCAGACGGTGCTGACAAGGGTATCATCCCTCTCACTTGCATGGAACTCTTCTCGCGCTGCGATAACAAGAAAATGTCGGATGCAAACCTGAACTTCACGGTGGAAGTGTCTTACATTGAGGTGAGCCCTCATCGTAATGATCTTGGCAGATAGCAAGGCTAAGAGCTGATGCTTTGCGCAAGATCTACAATGAGAAAGTGCGAGACCTACTTAACCCCAAGAATAATGGCAACCTTCGTGTCCGTGAACATCCGAGCTTGGGTCCGTACGTCGAAGATTTGTCGAAACTCGTCGTCAGCAGTTACGACGAGATGATGCAGCTCATGGACGAGGGTAACAAGGCGCGAACAGTTGCGGCGACGAACATGAATGAGACGTGAGTCTTGTGGCAACCTCCCTCTCCGGAAAAAATGGACTTACAGCGCCGCATCATCGTAGATCATCTCGTTCACATGCTGTCTTCACGTTACTTCTGACTATGAAGAGGCATGATTCAGATACAAACCTCGACACCGAGAAGGTGTCCCGCATCAAGTACGACCTTCCGTTTTTAAGGCAATAACGCAGTTTCTTATCACTCATCGTTTCGTTAGCTTGGTCGATCTTGCTGGCTCTGAGCGTGCCAACTCCACAGGTGCAACTGGGCAGCGCTTGAAGGAAGGTGCCAATATCAACAAGTCGCTCACAACGCTGGGTAAGGTCATTTCCTCACTCGCCGTCGCCAGTGGTCAGGATGTCAAGAAGGGCAAGAAGGGCAAAGCCGAGGAATTCGTTCCATACCGTGATTCCGTGCGGCTAGTTCTTCGAACTCACCGGTCTTGTTGTTGAACTGGAACTTACAGGTTCTCACGTGGCTTCTCAAGGACAGTTTGGGTGGCAATTCGAAGACGGCAATGATAGCTGCCATCGCTCCAGCTGATTACGAAGAGACCCTCAGTACGCTGCGATACGCTGACCAGGCCAAGAAGATCAAGAACAAGGCCGTTGTCAACGAAGACCCGAATGCGAAGCTAGTGCGCGAGCTCAAGGAGGAGCTCGAGATGCTGCGCGGTGCGTATTCTGCGCATATACACGTGCCTCCTATCCTAAACTCCCTTCAACAGCCCGAGTGTCGGGATCGACTGGCGAAGACACGTTCGATCCTAAGGTCCCGCCTGAAAAGCAGAAGGTCACCTACCAGGCCAAGGATGGCACGATTAAGACGGTCACCAAGGCAGAACTGCAAGAGCAGATGGAGACGAGCGAGAAGCTGATGCAGAGCTTGAATGAGACGTGGGAGGACAAGATGGCCCGCACGCAAGAGGTGCAGAAAGAGCGCGAGAAGGCACTCGAAGAGCTCGGTATCTCGGTTGAGAAGAATATGGTTGGTGTGCATACACCAAAGAAGGTATGTGGGGATAAGGTATTTTCGATTGGTCGATGGCTTACATGAAAGGTAGATGCCGCACCTGGTCAATCTGAACGAAGGTTTGTTATAGCAGAAGTGCTGCTCATTGATAAAAGCTCAACATATGCCATAGATCCCCTCATGAGCGAGTGTTTGATTTATCAGCTAAAATATGGATCGACCGTGGTGAGCCGATTAAATAAAGTCACCAGACGCATTTTCACGCTACCCACGCAGGTTGGCCGACTCGACAGCGAGAAACTCGCCGCCATCCGGCTGAGTGGCGACAACATCTCGGAGGAGCACTGTTACTTCGAGAACAACGACGGCAAAGTCACGTTGCATGCCATGCCTGACAGTGTCACTGTATGTTTCCGATTTTTGTTCAATAATATCTCCCTGACCTCGTCGCTAGTTCCTGAACGGCAAACAGATTGTGCCAGACCATGTACGTTTGCCATCAAACGTTTTGTTTTGTATCTATGTCTCATCCGTCTTCGATAGCCGTACAGACTGCGCTCCGGGTACCGCATTATTATGGGTAGGGGTTCCGCTTTTCATCGCATCCAGTACACGCTCACGATCCTGCAGGGGAACATCACGTCTTCCGCTTTACCAACCCCGAGGAGGTTCGAAAGCAGCGAGACCGCATAACTGCACGCTCAAACTTGCATATGAGCGTGACTGCCGCTGACCTCGAAAATGGCGCTGGGACACCTACGCGTTCCGAATCACGTGCTTCAACCTCCTCGCGCGAAGATGAAGCCGACGTCGACTGGAATTTTGCTCGTCGAGAAGCTGCTCTTGCTCGACTAGGATTAGATCCAACACTTGACAACCTCCCGGATGAAGAGATCAACAAGCTCTTTGATCGCATTACTAAGGTGAAAACCATGCGAGACCATAAATCGGGGTCGTTGCGGCCCGAAAGCAGTCTCAGTTTGCGAGATGACGTATGGAGCGAATCAGGTCGACCATTCTCAAGTGATGCAACTGACGACACGAGCGTAGACGCTGGGCCTAGCCACGGGAGCCCTGACGGTGATAGGCCGTTAAAGGATGTACAACACCAGCTCGAATCTCGCCTCCAGGCGATCACCGAGTCTTCTATAGAAGCTGACGACCTTAAGGAGGAGAAAGACCATATGGAGCACCAACTTCAGCTCGTCCAGAAGCAGCTTCGACGACTCATAGAGGCCCGAGCGCGAGGTGACACGGAAACAGACATTACCCAGTTCGAGCCTGTTATCTACACGGCTCGACAGCTCCGGCTCATACGTAAGGTTCTCGACCAGTGGCGCGCACACAGATCCTTTTCTATGGCCGAAATTGTCCTGTCGAATGCCGTTTATCTCAAAGAGGCTAATGTGATAAGGTTTGTGAATTGCAAGTCTATCTGGTAGATTGTGGCCTTGACCCGGTGGCTTTACAGTAAAGAGCTTGGAAAAGATGTCTCGTATAACTTTACCATCGCCTCTGGAGGATCCTTGGCCCGACCCAATTCCGGCGTGGACTCCATTGGTGGCCTCGACGAGTTTGGTGATGTTGCAGATCCCATTCTTGCATCGGCTACGCAGCCATCTGTGGCCGTTAAGGTTGTAGACAAACGTCACAATGCTGTGTATACATGGTCGTTGGACAGATTGCAGCAGCAACTTGGTCGAATGCGCAATCTCACGACTTACATCGATCGACCTTCCTTTACCCAACACTTCTCCTCGGACGAATCCTTCTACGACTCTCCTCCGCCGTCCTACTCATTTATTGGAAATGCCTTACTCTCTCTTGCAACCCTCTCTCGTCGGTTATCCTCCACCTCTACTGTCCCGATATTCTGCCGGTACACATCGGAAGCCATCGGTTCATGTCGTATCGACGTGAAGATAACTTCAGTCACACAGTCCTTGAAGCATGGCTCGAACTCCGCCGCTTCAACTCGACCGGCTTCCCCCGCCTCGAATGTCATCGCAGCTGGTAGCAAGATTTCGTTCCTGCTCTCGGTAGATTCTGTCAAAGGACTGTCCTCCCATGAGTTTGCTTCAGTGCATCTGCAAATCCGGCTTTCGTCGATCGTGGGACCATCTCTGATTTCTGAGGAGATATTTCCATCGTCGACACTGGATATGGACATGTCTTCTCTAACAGACTTGAAGTTCCGCCGCAGTTTCACGATTAAGGCAACTTCCAAGGTTATTGCTCATTTGCGACAAGGCTATGCCCCGATAGAATTTTTCTCGGCCGTCAAGCCAACTTACATGGAGCGTTTGGAACGCTGGGACGAAATGCGGGAAGTCCGAAATCAGCCCCGACAGCCCTCGCCGACGGATGAACAATCATCTCTGCATCCTAGTCCTAACACCAGTGCTAGCGTCTTGCCGCAAATGCGCCGATCCGAAACGGACTTCGTTGTCGAACAACGACACGACGTCGCGGTCTGGATACAGATACAGGAGCTTGGCGCAGATGGACAATACGCCCCAGTTCCTGTTCTTTCCCAGGGCACCTTAGATCCCGGGGCCTTCTCGCTACATCAAGGTCTGCAGCGGAGAGTCGTTCTGCACCTTTCTTCAGACTCTGGCCAACAGTTCCCGTGGACGGACGTCACCAAGATACGAATCGGCAACGTCCGTCTTCTTGATCCCAAGGGGCGGATATACGATTCTACCTCAAAGGCGATGATCACGCTCCCTCTGATGGCTGAACAGGTCGTTGAATTCAGACCCGATGGGACAGGTACCCTCAGCACCCAAGCACTCTGGGACTCAAGTTTACACGACTCCCTCCTTCTCAACCGTGTGACGGCAAACAACCACCGCGTCCTTCTTCAGCTCAACTGGGCAGTGGCCGTTGAGACATGCTGCGAACCTGTGCAATTCACTATGGACATCGCCGTCAGCATGCAGACTCGAGATGCCCGCCCACCCAATCGTCTGGTTACTTTCTTATCTTCCGGGAAAGTTCTTTCCAAGATCAGCTCTATCTTCAACGTTAAACTCTCACCGCCCCTCACTCGCTCTCCTAAAGACCTTTGGCGACTGGATACGTCGGAGAAATATGTCCGGGGCGAGGAATCTCTCGGCACGTGGAAACCTCGAGGCATCTCCGTCGTGGAAGATTATAGTCGCTTGGTGCAGATGGAACGTCGGGCAGCCGACGTCCAGGCCATCCGCATAATTCTTGGGTCCGCCCCCACTACCAATCGATCAGATCCTGGGTCCGCCATTTGGGGCGCTGAGGCATTGTTGAAAAAATCGGTTGATCTATGGCAAAAACGTTTTGGCCATCCTGGAGAGGTCCGATCTCAACCTTTTCTCATCTTCTCGGTACATTCCGCTGACATATGTCTGTTTTTAGATCGTTCTGAGCCAGGTACCTACAGATCCTGATGAGATGGCGTCTCCAAAGAAAGCCCAGACTTTTCAACCCGTCGAAGACATGAAATTAAATTCGGTCACCAACTTAGTCTCAAGAAGGTAGGCCCCTGGCTTTTGTTATACACCCTCATCAATGACGTCAATGACCATTACACAGTGATAGTCCTACGAAGAGAGGATACCTCATGATCTTGACCGATGCAAGCCAAGACGTATGGGAAAAGCGGTGGTTTGTCCTCCGGAGGTAAGGCCATCATCAAAATGTCGCCTATTTCGATGAGACTAACAAGAATTCCCCCCATTTTGGCCTTGAAATTTCTTATGCTCCAGACCCTACCTTCATGTTTTCATGCATTCAAACGAACAGGAAGAAACCGGTGTCATCACCCTCCAAGACGCGAATGTTGAGAGCGATCCAAGTAAGGAAGTGCTCTATGGGGTGAGTCCTAGGAACACATCGTATCTGATAACGAGTTGACTTATGATTCGTTCAAGAAACCGCTCGTATTCACGCTTTTCACCTCCGCAAACTCGCACGCACTAGCGGCGCCATCACTGAAGGAGCTCCAGTCTTGGACTTCGAAGCTCGATCCTACGCGTTCCTTCTCATGACATCCACCGTTTACGCACACACTCATTGGAATTTAGGTCTTATCATAATATAACGTTCACGACATGTACTTGTTCTGATACCTAGTTAACAGTTTTATCTACTGTATGTGAAGATTTCTTACTGGAAACGGCGAAGCTTGCACAGGCGCCACAAAGATGATTCGGAAGAATTCGAGGCTTCAATGGAATGCTTGTGACATTACCAATCGCTTGGGTGCAGGATGTGGATCGCACTATCCTGAGGTCGATTGAACACGCTAGTTACCGACATGTGTTATCCACGAACGTGAGACAGAAGCAGGCCCGAATTCCTTGTACCGGCGTCGAAGAACATCAGAGCAATGTAAACGCGGCCGCCTTGGATGATTTAGGGTGCATTGTAACGGCAGCGTTCCTTCGGATTGTGAGACGATCTTATACAGTGCGATCAACGCTTTCGTACAGTTGTGCACGCCGACCGGCACCACGAAATTTCTTTGTCGGGCTCGGGCAGTCCCATGAAGAGACGCCTGGACTGAGTTGTATGATGCTTATTATATTAACATTCACGGATTTGGTGGCTTCAAGTCCGCCGTCTCTAGGATATTTTCTCGTGTGGCCTCTGCCCCCCTTTTTCTGGAGTCTGGGTATTATATATGTCCGCAAGCGATGTACGGTGTGAGCTCGTGCGATAGAAGCGAGGTTGAGAACGCTTTCGGTGCCGGTGTACAATACTACTTGGTCCGAGTTGCATTCAATTAAGTATAGTAAGGCGAGCCAGGACTTTCGTCGCTAGATACTCACGAACATGCCTTGTGCCTCGGCGGGTGCCGCGATTGCCGTACTGTCGAAATCTCACGAACATCAGCTTTGCATCACTCATGGTGTGAAGCAGCTCAGGGTGATGTCATGTCAGCGAGAATGTTTACACAGGTCCGAGTCGGCAACCGCCAAGTAGCACATGGCCATCGATCGCGCACAGCGGGAGACAGCGGAGGACAGCAGGTCACAATGATTGACAGTCTATTGATGTATTTTCTTCGGAGTAATTATGATTAACCCGGCCTTGCAATTGATACAGGTTGATATGCTGCAAAATGAGCGAGCAGATGGCGTTGGTGCGTCTGATCCTGAGTTGCGTCTATCGGTGGTCAGCCATTCGGTTCCTTGATGGCATTGAATTGTTTTCCTTATACCGAGCCCTTGCCAACTTGTACTCGCATGATGTACTTCTCGCCGCTACCAACATCAGAGGCTTTGCCGGTCGTACGGATGCCTCGGCACCTTTGAGGGAACTCGGAAGAAATGATAACACTGAAAGTGATTGTGTTTAACCTCTGGTTAACGTTTGACTGGATGATTCTGCTTTGTGGCGTTTTTGTGTATACCAAAGCGCCCACAAAGCAGGTGATTCATTTCGGGTAGTAAGCGGCAAAGATGAAGATGTACTTCTCCTTTGTTTGTTTCCCCACCCTCGGTACCTGATTCGCCACGCGACAGCTGACAGCTGTCAAGGAAGCAGCCTGTCATATGCGGCAATTTCAATTCAAGTCGTCTGTTGATATGAATCATTGCAGGCACACCTTAACTTCGGGTTCTGATCAAGACGGGAGTTTTTCGCAGTCTCTATAATTGAACGAAAACCAAGCAAATCACATACAAATTCCTTGAAAAATAAAGATAAGACTAGAGAACGTGTAAAGTATGCGCTAAGGGAGTTGATACAGATGACGTAGCCGTATAGAGAATGTGCTAAGATAGGTCTAAAAAGCGAAAGAGTCTATAGGTGAATAATAAAGTGCCCATGACGCCCGTGGTGCGTCAATGCCGGAGTCAAATCTTATCAAACGATACAAGAGAAAAAGAGGAATTGCCGCTTAGTCGCAGGCAACGGGGCAATCATTCTGCCAAAGTTCGTCAGATGGTTACCTATCATGATAGAAATGGGCCACATACCTCCCGGGTGAAAGTGAGCATATGGCACGTAATGTATCCTTTGGCGAAGCCTGCGCCAGCGTATTCGAAGAGATATTGCCACTTGCGCTTGAAGATCTCGAAGGAGGCAGCGTCCTTGAGCTCTGGGTAGTCCTTGGCAATCATCTCCTGACGAACGTTGGCTTCCAGCCGCCTTCCCCACTCACGGAGTGTCCGTGGGTAGTCTATGGAAAAATCAGCACATGTAGACCGCACCAATTTGGAGACTGCACTTACGAGCAGCGTGGTTCTCAACTCCCTCAAGGGTGAAGCGGCCTTCCGAGCCAGAATTAGCCGCCTCAATCAGGGCAGTGGCACTGGGGAGACACGAGTTTGGCCACATGTACCGACGCATAAAGTCCTCAGGCCTGCCGCACAATTAGCCTATGCTATGAAGGCACCTGCAAGGGGAACTCACTGATAGCCGGAGTATCTTGATTCTGGGAAAGTCGAGGCGCTGACGACAACTGTTGCATCTCGAGACTTCAGTGCGTAGTCAACAAGCTTGAAGTAGTTGTGATAGTGCTGCCCACGCTGTCAGTACATGATCTCATCGTCGTCAAGAGTATTGCCATACCTTTGATCCCACGTGCTAAAAACAAATCTCGGTCAGTAAATGAAGGGCAAACACAGCGCAGCTTAATTACCTCGAGCATCTCGATGCTGACAAAAGCATCAAAAGCTTTCTCGAATGAAGCCGGAATCTCCCGGTAGTCCATGAGATGAACACGGATAGAGTTCTCATATCCGGCCGCCTTGATTCGCTCTTCGGCAAGTGCCTTCTGCTCTTTTGAAAGCGTCAAGGTGTCCACCTCACAACCGAAAGAACGGACAGCCTGTGCAGTCGTCATTACTAACAGCGTAATGCATATCCGTCGGTCGTCACATACCTCAATGGCAAGACCGCCCCATCCGGAACCAAACTCGAGGATGCGGTCACCGGGCTTGACGCGTGCCTTGGTAAGGACGTGGCGGATCTTGCGTAGCTGAGCCGCTTCAAGATCGCCTGGCGTAGGCCCGACCGTCAGATCACCGCGAACTCCGTTCTCGGCGTCACTCCATAGACCGCACGAGTACATCATCTCGTTACTCAAGAATGCCTGACAATCGGCTCAGTTGGGCGATAAAATACGTGGAGGCGAGGCAACATACCTTGAACAACTCGTTCGACTGATCGTAACTAGCAATCGCATTCAAACGTGCCCTTGACCGCGTCTGGCCAAGGAACGCGTTCGAGATGCCAGAGAGGGCTGATGAAATGCGGGCTATGGTTGGCGTGAGCCCGTCCATTCCAGCCTCATTGTCGAGCCAAAGCTATTCAAATAACACGTTTAAACAGACGAACGCCGGAGGAAATAAGACGGCAACTTACGTCCATAACAGACTTGAGGCTGTTGACTTCAACCTCACCCATCATGTAAGCTTCACTGACTTTTAGGGTGTTAGGAGCTATAACGGAAACAGAACCATTGTAAACATACATCCGAGATCCTGCGAGCTAAAAGAGCGTAAACTCATCAGCCACATGGTGAGCTGATCTAGGACAGAAGCACTCACAATAATATCCGCGTCCAGAAGTCGCTGCTGGTGACTTTCATATAGACTTCGTTGCACCCCTTGGTGTGCGTCCCGAAGTAGTAGGTGCCCTCTTGGTCAACGACGGTGAAGTAGCCCTTGTGAACCGCCTTCTCCATAGCGGCAAGGACGGAGCTACGAGCTAGACGTGGACGTGTTAAAGCGGCGCGCAAGGGTAACGCGTGAGGCTCACTAACCATAGCTGATTAGGAAGTTCTTGGGGCTAGGGAGGATGATGGACAGCGACGAAGGAGTCGAGTAGAAGTTCTTCTTGGAAGAGAACGAAAGAGAAGAAGAGGTGACTGTGTCCAGCATGGTGATGAAAGTGTGTTTAAGCGAAGGAAGGAAGAAAGATTGGGGAACGAAGGACGAGAACGAACAGGGGGAATGGGTTGTCAGCGAACGAACATGACGATCTTATATACATGACGGAGGGCGGGCATACTCACAAGATCACATCTGAAGAGCACAGGCTGGTTTGACCTCGGCAAAAATAGAAATTGAATTGATGGGTGGTGAGCCTGAATGTGGTGGTTCCGGGAGATTCACGGTAAAATGGAAATAAAGTAAATCACGAAAAAATATTCCGCAGGAAAATGCTCTGTGACTGGGAACGGGGAGATCATAGCACTTAGAGCGCCTGTTACTTACAGCAGGTCTGGACGGCCCGTCGTCTCGTCCACACCCACGGAAGAGAAGACAAGAAGCCTCCCTGGTAGGTTTCTGGGACGGACTGGGCGAAGGAGCTGCGAAGGAGCGCACCGGCTAGCTAGGTACGGACCCGGCCAGGCTGGCTCCAAGTAACGGTTACCGAGTCCGTTTCCCTCCTCACTGCAGTTGCGCCATTTGGGCTCTTCGCCGTCTCTGCGTGAGATGGGATCTGAAGAGAAATAGGTTTGAGACAACATTACAAGAGCCCTAGAGGCTGCAAACCTGCAGCTAGGTCGTGCCAGGCCTTCACGACAGTGTATTGAGAGCCAGGTTTATTGGTAGGGCCATTCGTAGAAAGTATCGGACACAGCGATCGACTCGGACGCGTCTCAATATTGGTAACAAAGAAACAATAGACTTTGGTCGGATCTCTTTCTTGATCGACCGGCTTGGCAGTCACACCGCCCAGTGATGGCAGATGACAAGGGGATCGAGGTGCTCGAGGGATGGAAAATATTAATGAGACTGGAACTGTGAAGGAGATTGAACAAAGTGCCCACTGACGCCGCTTGACAGTTCCCACGTGGCTCCCACGCATGAGTTCATCTTACTCCCACTGCCGACGAGCCCTGTCAATATTTGCCATCTGTGTTCCTAAACCAACGGACCCAGTAGCTGGAGACCGCCAGATCTACTCTCTGAGAGTCTCTGCACTCATCCACTCGCCGTATCGAATTTCGAAAATAATCCAATATTTACTCGCTCGGTCGTTTTACCGTTCTTCTCCTCCACATGCATTTTGAGTTTTTACGTAGACAGAACACGCAGTTCCAATGCCCAGCCGAGATCTTTGCACCACTTCAAGATCAATGCAGACACATGCAGATGCGCACTCACTTCGGCGCGGTTTACCCAGGCCGTCTGTTGCGGCAGGCGGGATCCACGCTCAAGCGACGCCTCCCATCTCGGCCGTCGTAAAAAACCCCTTTTTCGCTGGGGCATCTCGTGCGCTGCATGCGGTTGTATCATAACTTGTCGTGACACCTCCCCTCGAGTCGACAGCTCAACTGCTCCATGGGAATACCTTCCCCTTCTCTTCGCTCCTCAGACTGATCGACATCCGCAGGCACCCGCCTAGTTTTGATACGAGCCTCCGACTAGTGACCTGGCCAGTGACCTCCAATGACCTGGCCCGCCAGATCTCATCGTTTTTCCTACCAACGCAATCATCAAACCTCATCATATTCCAGCCGGCCCTCTGATATCCGTCCGAAGGACGCGATCTGTCGGATTTGCACTTTGCGCCCCAGATTCTTGTATGCAAGATGTAAGAAAATGCCGATTGGTAAGGGAACCAAATTATTCTACGTGTCCAACTCTTATTCTGACATCATCGGCAATCTATCTTGAGTTTGAGCTCTGTTAAACGTCAAGAGCCGGCGTTGATCTTGTCCATTTGGTAACTGACTCAGATAGGGTCTGGTAGGGTTGTCGCGTCTCCATACGCGAACAGTCGCTATCTCCGTCGACTAAGTCAAATGTATTGAGAATGAGCTGCTCGTACACGTGGGATGGTGACGCTTCTACACCAACTTGTCAATTGTATGCAACCTCTGCTTTGACGTACTTCGCAACTTTTTGCGCCCCGGTATGCATTCAAGTATGTGTTCAAAAAAGTCCCACTGGATTTGTTTCCTGGGATAGTGCAAAAGCACCGGGTTCGACTCGGAGGCGATAGTGTTGCGGACTATTGTTGGCCTATCTCAGACCTACATAGTTGCATGGCTCCAGAGCAGCCGACACCGTCGGCTTCAATAGAACGACCACACCCACAAACTCTCATAGAACAAGAACCACCGACAATACAATGGTAAAAGTTAATTTCTTAAGTCAAGTCTAACACACAATCGCCCCAAACTCTAATTCTAGACGGACGCTGACGGACGCCAGGATCATATATCGTCCTCCGTAAAGGTTTGAAATTGAGGCGTGGTGAGGCAGTGATTGCTTTGTTTTCCAGCGCATCCAATTGAATACCGACCTGAGCTGCACCTCAGCGCCGCAATCTAAGCGGGCGCTTCGTGGCACCCCAAAAACTTGGGAAATTGGAATGAAGTGGGCCAGCCGCTTTGCGGAACATCCGATGTGAGCACAAGTATCGTCATAGCAGCATAATAGCAAAGACGGCCTTGTGCTCTCGACTCATTATCCCAGGGCGTAACGTAAGATCTTTCGAGCGGTCCTCACACCACCATGCAGTCATATGGAAAGCCTATCTACCACCAAACAGCACTTATCAGAACATAATGATACCTTCTATTTTGCCTTTTGGCTTTCACAGGAATATTGTACGGCACATTGGAACGTGATGGCGTGGGGACCTTCGCAATGGTATGGGCGATTGGCTGAGCGGGCCGCTAATTAACGGAAACGAAGGCACCCAATGAAACCGTGCGCAAACCCGTGCGACGATCTCCCTGAGGACGGACCTTGCATGTGCATCTTGCATTGGTCGTGCGCGTGAACGGCAAGCGACCGCTCGCATGGACGGGGAACGTAGGTGTAAAAACCTTAATGCATCCCGGACCACGTATCCGGGAGCCTCACAGGGAAACGCGGCGCTAAGAGACATGCCAACATGCCAATCAGGAATGAAATATTCCGCAGAACAAGGCGCAGAACAATGGTGTCTCTTGCCTGTCGGGTCGCTCTTTTTGAGCGATTTCAGCGGGCGATCCTCACCCACGACTTCGGGACACCGTCTCAGTTATCCTGAAGATGCACATTTGGGTGCATAATTACGCACTGTAGACGCTTGCTTCATGGGCAGACCCAGAGTCCCGTCGGGCTGGCGCTCATCATAGTCCAGGGGGAGCTCGGTTAGTAAGGCCTCACGCCAAAAACAACGAAAACAGGAGCGAACAGAACACCGTCGCACACTGATCGCCGCCCCGCACCGTCGGGCGATGCCGAACACGCAACAATGATGGAGCACAGATTCTTCCCTAAATTCCGTCGTGTCCTGGGTATCGCGGGTGTAAATAGGAATGCGGACAGCCCGAGTGGAAGTGGAATGGAAGGGCACGCGGCCCGGGGCGGTGTGCATTGCATGGATTCATGAAACGCAGCTTCAACGCCAAAGACGTAAACGAGCTACGGGCAATGTGCGCTAAGCCCCCGACTCCATGGTTTCACAACGCAGAAGGGTAGCGGAGGAGTGTAGCTCACTGGAGCTGGAGACTCATCTGGTTTCCATTCTGTTCACGGCAACATATGAGTAAATGCGGTCACGGAGATATACATGAACTCCGAAATACAAAAAACATAGCAAAGATCCGTAGAATGGTGATACGGCGTGATGACGCTTGCAATACTAGGCGACCTGTGTCCCTGAGCGAGCCTCTTGCGACGCCGTCTTCAACGGTGCGGTTGTCGGTGCGAAAGCCGGAGTCGTCGAGCTGTAGTAGATGCGCCTCGCAACATCATCGACGGCCCAATCAAGCCCGGTTATGAGGTTATCGCCCGTGACCGCACTGCATGGCCAGATCGTCCAGTTGTGCGATCGGATGCTAGAGAGATCGAGTGCCTGAAGGAGCATAAGTAGGATGTTTCGGGTATCGTCATGGGAGGACATGAAGTTGCTTAAACGACAAGAGTAACTCACGTCACGAATTTCGGAGTCGGTCAGCGAGCCAGCTATGTCTTGCTTGTTGGCAAAGACAAGCAGTGAGGCACCGACGAGTCTCTATAGTAGCAGGAGTCTCCTTGTTAAGTTGACACAAGGGCATATCAAAATTAGCTCACGTCCTCGAGGAGAAGACTGTGCAGCTCCTCTTTGCAGTCCTTCATGCGCATGCGGTCGCTTGAGTCGACGACCCACACGATCGCATCTGTCTGTTCGAAATAGTTACGCCAATATGGACGCAGGGTCCGCTGACCACCGACATCCCCTTTGACAAGGAATATAATCAGTTATTGGGAGGAGTATATCAGGTGCAAGAGCACAGCATACATATGTTCAGGGTGTAACTTGGGGAAGAGAACAAGGTCAGATGGAGAACAAGACAAAACGCAATGAAACATGACGTCAAGGGACACACTTTCTGTGGACGAAAGTCTTGATGTTGAAGCCGAGCGTAGGGCTGACCCTCATGATATCCTCCCCATTGAGTTTCTTCAGGATTGTCGTCTTACCTGCATTATCAAGACCGCTATTGTGGAATGGACGTCAATGAGCAATGGACAAGGGATGCGCGTAGGACAACAGGGGCATACAGAAAGAGAATGCGCATCTCCTTCTCCTTCTGCCGCGACTTTCGGATGATTGTCAGTAGTCCCATCTTGACCTAGCGAAGCAACCACGAAGATGACACGAAGATGACACGAATGGAACAGTACTGCTGGCTTGATATGACAACAAACTTTCACAACGTATCAGCGAGCCGATATCGAGTCAGCTTGCAGACGAGAGAGCCATTGGAGGCGGCACCGGCGATGACTTTGAACACAAGAACGCGAGCATCTGCTTCCGGATGCGGCACTCTTTGTCAGCACCGATAACTTGCAGATTCTTGCTCACGGCAGGGCACTCGCTGTATATCCAAACGGCTTACCCTACTTCCGCTCCCTTAGCCCACCCGATCTCTTGTCTCGTAGCATCAGCGAGCAAAATCTTCCAAAATGGCACCCAAGAACAAGGCAAAGAAGGGAAAGAACACCGATAATGACTACTGGTCCGTCTCAGCTTGTCATTTTGCTCAGCCAGATCCTTCACCCATGTCTATCTAGGGACAAAGTAGGCGAACCCGTCCTCAACAACAACGTCGCAGGCCAAGATGATGCTGGATCGGATGACGATACGCCTGCCCCCCGGAAGGGAGCGACGTCCGCATTTGCTGCCCTGCACCAGGATGACATCCCCAATGAAGAGGAAGAGGAGGACTTCGGTGGGCTAATGGTACGCTTATTCATTACTAGTGCAACACCGTGATGTCTCAGGCCCTCGCAGTCCATGATCAAAAACCAGTCAAAGGGCAAGAAGGACAAGAAGAAGCTGAAAAAGGCCCAGGCTTTCGATGAGGAGAACTTGAACGCTGACGGGGACGCAGCAGCGTCGGCTGAGTCCAAGGGTCCAGTCGAGATGACTGCCGAAGATCTTGCCGACGAGGAGTGGGGTCCCACAAAGGACAAGAAGAAGGGCAAGAAAGGGAAGAAAGGGAAGGGCGCCCCTGCTGAGGACGCCGAGCCACCTGGTATGTATGCTTGCTTTTGTAGTCGCGACTAATTTGACCACCCGTTTCTAGCTGAAGCTGAGGAGGCTGCTCCCGCCCCTGCTGCGGAGCCTACTGCTAATGGTGATGACGGCGAAGATGATGCTGGTCCTAAGGTGTTGACGAAGAAAGAGAAGGAGAAGCTCAAGAAGGAACGCGAGAAGGTGAGTTTCGATACATAAATTAAACTATGCGTTCTGATGTATATCTCGATCTAGGCGAAAAAGAAGGCACAGGCGGAGGCTAAGAAGGGAGTACCTGAGGTAAAAGAGGCTCAGGCAGAAGCCGAGGATAAAGAAGAGGAGGCAAAGGACGATGCCGCAGATGGAGATGAAGGTGGCGAGGGAGGTGGCAAGATAGACTCAAAGAAGAAAAAGAAGAAGAAGGGGAAGAAGGACGACGATGCTGCTGCTCCGGCATCTACCCCAACACCTGCCGCAGGGAAGAAGAAAGCAGGCGGAGGCATCAGCGCTCTGAGGGCGATGATGGAAGAGAAGAAGAAGTTGGAGGAGGAGGTACGGAAGCGGGAAGAAGAGGAGAGACGTCGGATCGAGGAAGAGGAGCGTCTGGCAGAGGAAGAGGCAAAGAAGAAGGAGGAAGAGAAACAGCGGAAGAAGGAGAAGGAGAAGGTATGCGATCAGCTCACATCATACTCGTCTTGCATCTGACCAATTCAACTGTAGGCTAAGCGCGAGCAGGCGAAGAAGGAAGGGAGGCTGCTTACGAAGAAGCAGAAAGAAGAGAAGGCGGCGGCTGAGATCAGGAAGAAAGCACTGCTCGCTTCCGGAGTGCAGATTGAAGGACTGCAACAGCAGGCCGACGGTGTACAGGCACCGAAGAAAGTGGTCTATGGCAATCGCAAGAAGAAGGGACCGGCTGCCCAGAAAGGTGGATCGGCTACTCCTTCGTCGAGGGCGAGGACGCCTGAGCCCGAGCCCGAGCCCGAGCCTGAACCGGAGACGCCTGCTACTCCCGCTGGAGCGGAACCCGAGAAGGTGACAGCTGCTCCTGACGTCAAAGATGAATGGGACGCCAGTAGCGAGGATGAAGCACCAGCAGCAACTCCCGCTGCGGAGAGCGTAAAGGACGATTGGGATGCTCCCAGCGAGGAGGATGAGCCTGCTAAACTTGTAGAGACTCCTAAACCTCAAGGTTCGTCACATCTCTGAACCTATCATTTCTCTATTCACATTGGTTATAGCAAACGGCAAGCCAACCGGGGCTCAGAAGGTACCGGACGCTGTGAAGCCAACATCTACTACCGCAGCCAAATCTGAGGCAGATGAGGACTCCGAGTCGGAAGAAGATTCAGAGTCAGATTCATCCGAAGAGGACTCCGACGAGGACTCATCCGAGGAAGACTCAGATGAAGGTATGACAAACACCCAGCGTGTCGCGGCACAGCGCAAGGCAGAGGCTGCAGAGCGGAGGGCAAAGGCTCACGAAGCCGCCCTTGCGGCGCGGAGCAAGGACAACCTGCGCAGCCCTATCTGCTGTATCTTGGGTCATGTCGACACAGGTAAAACGAAGCTGTTGGATAAGGTAAGATGGTTGTGTGAGTGACGATATCGCGAAACTAATTGCAATGCCTCGTGACGTCGACGACTGTAGATACGGCAAACGAACGTCCAGGAGGGTGAAGCTGGTGGTATCACGCAACAAATTGGTGCTACCTACTTCCCTGTTGAGGCCATCAAGACTAAGACAGCTGTTCTCAACAAGGTTAGTCGCGTGCGAGATCGTAAATCTGCGAGGTGCTGATGCTCGGGACAGGATGGCAAGCAAGAATATAAAGTTCCGGGATTGCTCGTCATTGATACCCCCGGACACGAATCCTTCACGAACTTGCGGTCCCGAGGTAGTTCGCTCTGTAACATCGCTATCTTGGTAGTCGATATCATGGTTAGTACATTTCCTTAAGTATTGAACAACATCATGGTTGATCTTTTTGTAGCACGGTCTTGAACAACAAACATTAGAGTCTTTACGCTTATTGAGGGATCGAAAGACTCCATTCATTGTTGCACTCAACAAGGTGAGCGTGATGACACTTCTTTAAACTTGATCTAGGTTTTAAAGGGATTTAGATCGATCGTTTGTATGGGTGGGAGCCCACCCCTGATGGCGCTTTCCGCGAATCACTGGCTAAGCAGAAGCAGTTTGTTCAACGCGAATTCGACGATCGCATGCAGAAGACCATTATCGCCTTTGCCGAACAAGGTTTGAATGCTGTTCCCTACTACGAGAACAAGAACTTTGCTCGGAACGTTTCGCTGGTGCCGACATCTGCTGTCACGGGCGAGGGTGTTCCCGACATGATCATGCTCCTGCTCAATCTTACGCAACAGCGTATGGCAGATCGCCTCATGTACCTTTCCGAACTCGAGTGTACGGTGCTTGAGGTCAAGGTCGTTGAAGGTCTCGGTACAACCATCGATGTTGTCCTGTCGAATGGTATACTGCGAGAAAGTGACAAGATCGTTGTGTGTGGTCTCAATGGGCCTATCGTCACTCAAGTTCGCGCACTGCTGACTCCCCAACCCTTGCGTGAACTGCGTATCAAGGTAAGCCGCACAGAGATATAAGGCTTCGAAGTATAGCTAATAAACAAGTAAATAAAACAGTCAGCCTACGTCCATCACAAAGAGGTCAAGGCAGCTCTTGGTGTCAAGCTCGTCGCCCCTGATCTTGAGAAAGCCATTGCTGGTTCTCGTCTGCTTGTCTGCGGTCCTGACGACGATGAAGACGACCTCCGTGATGAAGTCATGTCGGACTTGACGTCGCTGTTGAATTCCATTGATAAATCCGGTCGTGGTGTCTGCGTCCAGGCCAGCACACTCGGTTCCCTCGAGGCTCTACTCGACTTTCTGAAGGTCAGCAAGATTCCAGTGTCGGGCATTAACATTGGTCCTGTGCACAAGAAGGACATCATGCGTTGCGCCACTATGCTTGAGAAGGCTAAAGAGCTCGCTGTCATCCTTGCTTTCGACGTCCCCGTGGACCGTGACGCAGACAGGCTTGCGGAGGAGATGGGTATTCGTATTTTCAAAGCCGACATCATCTATCACCTGTTCGACGCGTTCACTGCTTATAACAACGAGATCATGGAGGCCAAGCGCCGCGATGCTGCTCCTCAGGCTGTATGGCCATGCAGACTCAAGACCATCGCCGCGTTTTGTAAGCGTGACCCCATCATTCTCGGTGTCGACATTCTGGATGGCACTCTGCGCGTCGGTACTCCGCTTTGTGTAGTGAAGATAGACCCCACGACGCAGAAGAAGGAAATTATTGACTTGGGTAAAATGTGAGTTTCCGGTGATGAAGGAAAGGACAGCAGCACTCACGCCAGGAATAGCACGTCCCTCGAGATCAACCACAAGACCTTCGATATAGTCAAGAAGTCGCAAGCAGGTGGTGGTGTCGCCGTCAAGATCGAGCATGCCGTGTATCAGTCAGCCAAGATGTTCGGCCGGCACTTCGAAGAAAAGGACGAAATTATCAGCCATATCAGTCGCCAGAGTATCGACGTGCTCAAGGTATTTTATCGCCATTTTTACCGCCGCTAGATCCGATGCTGACCACATGGTACTTCAGGCTACATTCAAGGCCGATGTATCGAACGAAGAATGGCATCTTATCAAGGCTCTCAAACCCGTATGGCTTCGTTCCACGCATTCAGCCACATAGAGCTAACTTTATCTTCCACAGCGCTTGAACATCCAATAAAGGGTTTAGTTCAAATCAAATCCTGGTCATGTAGCGTACTTTGAACATATACTTACTAGGTAGCTCGGCCCGGAGGCAATCCCACGGTTATCTTGTATCACATCATAGGTTGTCATTACATTTGTATTTATACCGCACAGATACGATAGCAAATTTTCGCCCTTCTATTTCCTCCTCCTGAGCTCCCGAGATCGTTAATTCCCATTCCCATTCCCTACGAAAGAAACGATGGCCGAGGACCTCGCCAGCGTTGCCGAAACGACAAAAGTTCAAACTAACACAAGCGACGCAGAAGATCGGACGACAACTTGCGACCAAGATGCCCTTCAATTGGTAATGACACGGTGGATAACAAGGGAGAACTATGCAGGACGTTGATGCTGCTGGGACTATTTACTGCGATAATCGGTAACGTCCATTTTAGTGGTACAACTGGTTGGCTGCGGGTATCCCTGTCTGTTACTGTGCTCCTCCACGCCGTGTCCTAGTGCTCCCAGCCTAGCTTGACCGACGTTGGGAAGAAGGGGTTCAGGCAGCAGGGGTTGAGATCATACCGCTTGAACCTGAACAGCGCTCAGACCTGCGTAGGGAAGCCCCCAGTGTCGCCCACTTCATTTAAGCTCCCTCGGGGAGCACTTGATGGAAGTACTGACCTGCTATGTTTTTGCTCATATAGCAACAGCTCGGGTACAAACAGGTGCGTGTTGTCTCCCTCTCCCAGTGTTGTGGACAGACTGTAAAGACGTGGGAGCTAGCAACTGCACCGGACATGGCATCTTTTGGAAAGTTTCGCCGCGAGCTTCGTGGCCCTAAACTTTATCGGAGGTGTTAGGTAGGATTGGATTAGATCTGAGAGATCCTATCTTGCATAGGGCGCAGCTTACCGAAAAACTTCTGCAGATCGGTTCTCTTCCTTGGTCTCCAGGCCGGTGGTCCCGCCGCAGTATGGTTAGTCCCGTCACACTAGCCCAATGACCGACGATCCGAGCAAAAACTAATTGGCGATCGCTCGTTCCATTAAGGTCGTCCTATCTAGTCACGCTGGTGTTCATGTTCATCACCGCCGCCGTGCTAGCCGAGATCTGTTCGGCTCTGCCTCTGAGTGGGTCAATCTACATCTGGGCAGCCGAAAGTGCGGGACCCAAGTATGCTCGTTTCTTCGGATTCTTGGTGGCGTGGTGGGCATGTACCGCTTGGATGACGTTCACAGCGAGCAATTGCCAGGTTAGTGCTGCCCTGAATCTCAAAACATTGTGATGAGCTCCTACTCATACTTCTGCGCCCCGAAAGACGACTGCCAACTACATCGTCTCTCAGCTAGCTATATGGGATATTTACTTCCCTGGTGGTGTCGGAAACGACAACATTCAATGGCGCGCTCTCATTTGGGCCATTTCTGAAGGCATGCTTCTTCTGTCGGTTGCGATGAATTACCTTCCGCCGAGGGTTTACTCTACTGTCTTCAAATTTGGCGTCTTCATCATCATGCTTGACTTCTTTTTGTGTCTTATCTGGTTGCCTATTGGCGTATCAAAAACGTACGGGTTTAGAACCGCAAAGGAAGTATTCACGACGACCTGTGAGTTGCCTCACCATTGTTCAAAGTGGCCGACGTCTCAAATACAATAGATAATGGCACTGGAGCACCGCCAGCTTGGAATTGGATATTATCATAGTATGGCCTCCTTTCAAGATGAAGAAACAATATTTACGGTCTCCGTAGCTTGTTTACTGCAGGCACTTTAACAGGATTTGACGCTTCAGGTCACATCGCAGAAGAAACTCAGAACGCAAGGTACATGTTAAATTTCCTTCTAAAATGTATAAGCCACATTTTGCTTATACATTTATTCAGTATCGTTGCAGCAAAGGGCATTTTGTCCAGTGCCATCGCTACAGGACTGCTTGGTTTCGTGACAACTATATTGTTCCTGTTCTGCACGCCGGATCTCGATACAGTCTTTGCACTGGATGCTCCACAGCCGTTTGTACAAATTTACGCTTTGGCGTTAGGGCAAAAAGCGAGCATCTTTATGACCATTATCGCCGTGATTGGCCTCATAATGGTTGGTAGTCCCGCTCGCCGCCTTACACTCATGTTAATCATCCACCCAGAATACAACGGTGGCGATCATCGCATCTTCGAGACTTGTTTATGCAGTTGCCAGGGACGGTGTTCTTCCGCTTTCAGGGTGGATTGGAGCCGTTGATTCCAAGGGTCAACCTCGGAACGCAGTTACAATCATATACATCTTCGCAGCGCTACTTCTCTGCACGATCCTTCCCAGCCAGGTCGCATTCACGTCGCTTGTTTCGGCTGGTGGCGTTCCAACTATCGCTGCCTACGCGCTGATTCCTCTCCTCCGTCTCGTGTGCACTCCGAGCAATTTCCAGGCGTCTCATTTCCGTCTGGGAAAATGGGCCAAGCCGTTCTACGTCTGCGCATTCGTCTTCAACCTTCTCGTGTTCGCTGTCAGTACCTCTCTACCTCATCTTTCCCCGCAAGCGACTTTCTTCGCTAACGTGTGTCCAGGTTGACATCTCGCCCTTCTATTTCCCTGTCACTGCGGAATCATTCAATTTCGTACGTCAATTCGTTACTCTCACCCGGGTCGGGCTGATGTCTTGATCAGGCTGTCGTGATTTTCGGTGCTGTCTCAATCTTCGCCGTCGTTACCTATTGGATCTTCCCTGAGCATCAGTGGCTCAGGCGCGAGCAGATCATGAAGGCGCTGGAAAATACTGACAATCTGGTTACTAATGCTTCTGGTGATGTGGACGAAGAGGACTGAGGAAGGGGATGGCGAACACGGTATATACCGAAAGGGATGCTCATTTACAACAAAACAATCATCTCACCCGCTACCCGCTGTATATGTCGAACCTTTATTTTCTTGACCGGTATCTCTAGACTGAATACGCTTGAAATTAACTGTGTGCATGCAATTTAGCCACACATGTTTGTCTTCGTCAAACCACGAATAAAGTCGGCGTGCTACGAGGACCCAACGCTGCGGTGGCGCCGTGGTATGGGCTGCGTCGGGCTGCACACAGCACTCGATGGAAGATCATCTACGTTACCAAGACTGTATCCTCAGAATCCATTCATTGGAAGTAGCTGCAATTTAAGACTGTTAATATCACCTTGCTGGCACGACTGCCAACCCACCTAGACCAATGAAAACCCCATAAATTATGTATATGTATTATGTGACCTTGACAATATGTAGGATATCATGTCTAAGTGTAGCAAAAGAAACCACGATTGCGAATGCCTAGTAAGTCGCGGCAGCGGGGTTCAAGAACGGATCCTTGCTGAAATCCATTGCGAAGCATCCCCTCGAGAATGTCTCATTGCACGAGAAACACCAGTCGCGGGTGTTATTGATCGTCCGGTACTGTTTTTATGCCGGTCAGCTCTGCGCGGCGAAAACATTTGGAGATGAAGGAGATGAAGTGGGAGACATACGGCCAGGTTCGTGGTGAAGGTTTCGAGCGACACGCGGTCGTTACCCCACATCGTGAGCGAACGAAACTCATTGTCGTCGGTCCCGTTCTTGAACTTGAGGCTCAGCTCGGGTTCGCCGTCCTTGCCTTCAAACACCTCAAGCGCCAAGGCCGATGCGTAGTTGGCTGCAGTGCGTCATACGTGTCGTTTGGTAAACCGTAGAGCGAGGCATAGAGATAAACACAAGTACGTACGAATGCCGGCAACATCGGGGTCCTTAACTGTAGCATTGGTGACGTTGAAGAAGCTGATAAACGGCTGGTAGTCGATAGTGGTCAGCGCGAGCTTTAGCGGGCTCTCATTGGACGTCATGTTTCCCATCGCCCAGATCATCTCCGGAATGAGGGTGCGAACAGCGACTAGAGGAAACAACGGCGTTAGCATATGTGGCATTATAAATTGACAGTAATCCAAGATGAACTCACCCTCTCCGATCGCGTTGATGGGCTGCGCATTGAAGACTTCGCGTTGTTGCATATTCGCAAAATGGCGAGCTTGCTCCAAGAAAGTGGGAGGCAGAGCCTTGCGATAGCCCTCATCGTGGGTGGACTGCACGTTCATGTAATCGTAGATCTATAAGGTGTTAGCACGAGCGAGGAAAAAGACTCATAAGGCCGCAGCTCACGTTATACTGTCAAGGAACAGTCATTTTGAGTAGACGATCTAGATGAACCCGACTCTTACCATGTTCGTGAAGTTCGTGTCCATGCTGCCAATGAACGGCTTAGACGCGTTTAGGAACGGAGCAGCCTCCCTCTCCATGTCCTTCCAAACAGAAGAGTTGAAGGTCCTGTTTAGGTGGGACTGGAAATACTGAACGCTACCATCAGGGACTGGCTCCGCCTGACGCAAGGTCGAAAGACTCACTGGGCAGTCGATCCAAGGCGTCAACATGGGGTTCCCGTCCTGCATAATAGTCTCCACTGTACGATCATCAGCGCTTTATCGCGAAAAGACAAACCTGATATATTACCTGGAATGTATTGGTACCCGTGCAAAGGTGCCTCGACCGTTGACCCGTTGTGCAGTTTGATTGCGGCCGTCTCGGTAGGGGGATACAGGCCCTGAAGCAGACTGTACGCCGAGGTGACACCGGCGTTGCCTCCACCTCCCTCTGCACGAACACGGAGCTGCTGCATGTCAGCATTCTCAGGGTTGATACCCTCGATATGCGACGACGAATTGGAGTCGAGATATGCATCACGGAGGAAAGAACCAAGCTGGTACTCTTGATTCTGGTAGACGGCCTGTGAGTGACCTAATGTGCAGTCCACAAAGTGCACCACATGTGGGACTTACCGCTCCTAGAGACGTGAGATACGCTTGCTGCGACCTGTACGTTAGTGGTTCCTGGTAGTACAGCGTTCTGTCGCCGTGGCGAGCAAGAACGATGACACCAATAATACCAGCAGCAGCAGAAGTGGCGTTGACCATTATGTAGACGGGTTGGAGAGGAATTAGGGATAGGGAAAGGAGGACTAGGTTGTGAGAAAACGAGAGAAGTTGGAGTGGACGGATGGTATGCTCTCACTGAAGTACATGGCGCATATATACCCAGCAGGCTGCAGCAGACCTCAAGGAATACGGTGTGTTGAGAAGCGGCCCTAGGCCGTTGATATTGCTATTTCAGCTCCCGCCAAGATAGTTCCAGGAATTTGTCAAGAAACACGGCTTGAGTCTGAGTCGAAGCTGGGAGAGAGACAGGTTGAAGTCTTCCGAGTGACTGGGCTCGATCACCTAGTGACCTGAAGATATTGGAAGTCGTGCCCAAGTCGGACTCAGAGTCACGAAGCAAGCAATTCAACGCTCAGCCAGCGCTGACGCCCAGATCTTAGAAATCATTCGGACGTCTGCAAAGCGTGGAGAGCAAGGCGAAGCGAAAGCAAGGCAGCGAGGAAGACATTTGATTCAAACAAGAAGCGGGCCTTGACGCGGTTGTTCTCGGTTGCTTGACCAGTAAGTAATCGCGGCTAATGGATTAAAGGGCAGGAGAACAATGAGAGACTTTGGCAACGACTTGCCGAGAAACACTTAAACCTCGAATACAATTGACTATGACAAAACATGCGAGAACACATACGTAACACCTCCCAACGAAGCGATGGTAGAAGTAGATAAGATAGCTTGTAAAGGCGTGGACCGTGGGCAAACGTTCAACGTTCAAACCCCTGGTGGGAGATCTCTCGGAGATCTCGTAAGTACCAAAAGATCCAATGTGAACACAGCTACAGCATGTAGAGCCCGCAAGGCCTAGAACTCAAACTAGCTGCGAATAGGTTACCACATAGTGTTAGCCCCCAAGGGAGATAGACGGACGATGTGCGCTATTGCGGTGCGTACTCCAAACCGCAAGCGATGAGTAAAACGAGGTGTGCCGTTAGTGACCGCGGTTTTCCGGGGCTTGCACGAAGCCTTTTAGGTGGAGCACAATGGCATTCATCTTCCTCCTTCGAACTCCAATCCAAATATTTCTTCCCCATCGACCACCACGACCAGGATAGATTAGGACACAATGGGCCAGGACAGCTACTACATCGGCGTCGACGTCGGCACTGGCTCCGCGCGCGCCCAGCTCGTCAACCAAAAGGGCGACCTCATCGCGTCCTCCACCCAGGAGACCATCACTTGGCGCGATAACAGGGATCATCGCATCTTCGAGCAGTCCACCGACGACATCTGGTCCAAGATCTGCATCGCCGTCAAGGAGGCCATTTCTCAGAGCAGGATCCAGCCCTCCGATGTCAAAGGTCTCGGCTTCGATGCGACCTGTTCGCTCGCTGTGTCCGATTTCGACATGAAGCCCGTCACTGTGACCAAGGGGGAAGAGCTCGGCCACAACGGGACGCGCAACATCATCCTCTGGGCTGATCACCGCGCCGAGAAGGAGGCGGAGCTTATCAACTCCACCGGCTCAGTTGTGCTAAACTATGTTGGTGGAACTATGAGCGTGCGTTGACGTCTTATCTCAAGATTTTATGTCGCGTAATTCTGACGTAGCCGTTGCATAGTTGGAGATGGAAGTGCCGAAGATCCTCTGGCTAAAGAAGAACATGAAGCCAGACCAGTTCCAGCGCTGCCAGTTCTTTGATCTGCCCGACTTCTTCACATATAGGGCTACGGGCGTGAGCACGCGTTCCTACTGCTCCGTAACTTGCAAGTGCTCGTATGTTCCCGACAAGGGCTGGCAGGCCGAGTTCTTTGAGAAGATCGGTCTTCCCGATCTCGTAGACGCTGGCAACTTCAAGCAAATGGGCGCCACCAAAGGCGATATCCTTGCAGCCGGCTTGCCAATTGGAAACGGCCTCTCGAAGCAGTCTGCTCAAGAGCTCGGGCTCGCCGAAGGAACTCCCGTTGGTAGCGGCCTGATCGACGCGTAAGAGAGATTAGAACATGTTAGTCCATATCGGTCTGATGATATCACTTGAAGATACGCCGGCTGGATGGGTACTGTCGCAGCTCGCTACAACGAGAACGGAAAACTCTCCGATTATGTCCCCACTGTCGAGGATGCTGGTCACCGCCTCGCAGCTGTTGCAGGGACAAGTACCTGCCACATCGTCCAGGTGCGTATATTGATAGATGAGGTCAATGGCGTAGGTTGACTGACACGATATAGAGCCCCGAGGGCGTCTTCGTCGATGGAGTATGGGGACCGTACAAAGTGCGTCCGGTCATAAAGCACGTCACCTCTTACTCACGAATGATCAGGATGTTGTCTTCCCGGGCTGGTGGATGAATGAAGGTGGCCAGTCGTCCACCGGCCAGGTAAGCGTGGACCATCAATACTCAACAACTGCATTCTCACTTCAAATCATTAGCTCATAGACTTCATCATCACCTCCCATGTTTCATACCCCAAACTGGTTGAACGTGCCAAGGAGGAGAACTCCAACATCCACTCAGGTGAGCTTGCAAATGTTGACCATGTTCACCGAGTGACTCTACTGACCCTTTCATCGAGTACTCCTTGAGATCCTCGAGAAGATGAGACAGGAGGAACATTGCGGGACACTCACTGAGCTGACCAAAGACATCCACTTCTACCCCGACTTCCACGGTGAATTTCTTCTAAAACACTGAGTTGCTCGTAACGTAACTGATCAAACCAAACTTCAGGTAACCGATCCCCCATTGCCGACTCCCGCATGCGCGGCTCCATCGTCGGCCTTGAGCTGGTAAGTCACACATAACAAAACGGCATCAATTCCAGCTCATCAGTATTTATATACGAAAAATGTAGGACAGCGGCCTCACCGACCTCGCGCGCAAGTACTGGCTCTCACTTGAGGCCATCGCCCTGCAGACGCGCCACATCATCGATGAGATGAACGGCAAAGGCCACAAGATCAACTCCATCTACCTTTCCGGCGGCCAGGCCAAGAACATCCCCATGATGCAGCTCTTCGCCGACACGTGCAATATGCCCGTCGTCCTCCCCTTCTCCCACTCGGCCGCGGTTGTCCTTGGCGCCGCCATGCTGGGCAGGATCGCTGCAGAAGGTCACCTCCCCCGTGACAAGCAAGCTGCAAGGATGTGGGAGATCATGGTACGCTCCGTGGTTGATTCTCTGCCACTTCTCACTGATGGCTGTCTCAGATTGAGATGACTCCTCCCGGAACTATGGTGCCTCCAGCTGCTACGCCCAAGGTTAAGAAGCTTCTGGATGCGAAGTACAAGATCTTCCGCGAGACGATTGATATCCAGAAACGATGGAGGAAGGAGATGGAGGAGGCTTCAAAGTAGAGAACCGAGCAGCTGCCCGCTTTGATTCCCTTTGTACTCATAGTCATAGATCGAGAATACCAAACAATTATCGCTTTCGATTTCGCGTTTGTGGAAAAAGTAGATCGTGTGGTGCTGCATGTGATGGGCGATGCATGATCGTGGGGCATATGCAAACTGCATACAGGATTTTGAAAGGTAGACGTAAAGCATAGCGATAATGTAAGGTACAGAGCTCTCGTCCCCCTTTAGACGTCCTTGACCTTGACGGAACCGCGCAACAGACCAGTCTGGGCAGAGAAAAGTCAGGAAGATTCGTAAGAACAAGATCCCCAGTATACATACCCGGCGGGCGGCAATGAGACCAGCTTTCTGTCCAGGAACAGCGGAGCGGGCAATCGTCGATGCCTTACCAATGTGCTGGTGGTTACCACCACCGTGAGGATGGTCGACGGGGTTCATAGCAACACCACGAGTACGAGGCCAGCTGGAGAAGAAGTCAGCGCTAATCAAATTGATAAGATCCATGATATGACTGACTTGTTGCGCTTAGACTTGGCACGGTAGAATGCACGACCAGCCTTGAGCAAAGGCTTGTCGATACGGCCACCACCAGCGACAATGCCAATGCTTGCACGTGCGCTGCCAGAGACGGTCTTCTTGGCACCACTTGGCAGCCGGATGCGGGTCTTGTTGTCCTCGGGCGAGTGGCCAATGATGGTGGCGTAGTTGCCAGAGGTGCGGGCGAGGGCACCGCGGTCGCCAACCTTCTCCTCAACGTTGCAGACAATGGTACCTTCGGGGCACTGGCTGACGGGAAGGACGTTGCCGACGGTCAGAGCGGCCTTCTTGCCGGCGTAGACGAAGGCACCGGTGTGCAAGCCCTCGGTGGCGATGAAAGTCTCCTGGCGGAGCTTGTAGCGGTAGGGGTCGCGGAAGACGACACGGGCGAGGGGTGCACCCCTACAAGCGTCCACGTAAATTGCAAACTCTCGAGGCTACGATGGGGTGGGTTTCGGGAACTTACCGGCCGGAGTCGTGGATGATTTCTTTGACGATACCCCGGATGTAGCCATTGCGCTCGGCGTAGTCGAGGGTACGGAGCTTGGCGGGGGCCTTGTTAAGGTGGGTGTGCGCCCGGAACTGTCAGAGCAAAGATCGCAATGTCAAGTCGCAGATTGAGCGCAAAATATGGGGTAGACGGACGATGGTGGAGGCTTTCCTCTGTGCCCTGATGACGCGACCCATCGTTTATCTGTAAAGGGCTCGTAAGCACGGTTATCCTAGCGCAAGAGATAACAGTCGAAGAAAGAGACGAGAACGCAGAGACGGCGTCCAAGGAGAATCCTATCACAATCCCTGAGTTCGCCCATACATCCAAGTCCAGCGAGCTCCATCCAACCTCATACTGCTCCGATTTCGCTACCGTTTTCTCCCGGTGCATTCTCCGGACCCTCTCAAGCGTATACGGCGTGTAAATGGGCAGCATGACGGCGTGATACTCACATTCTTCGTGTCTTGAGGAATTGGGCACTTGCGGTATGTGTTTTGGTGTTCGATCGTTGCGGGTGGTCTGAGCGCCGCCACAACTTTCGGCACATGCCGAGATGGCACTGCCACTTTCAGCGCGTTCGCTCTCCTCACTTTATCCCTACTGACTACATCACAACTTGTTCCTGAAAAACACCATGCATAAATTTCACTTGTGCTCTCCTCATAGCTGTGCTAAGTTGGTTGGTCTTTGGATTTCTCTGGCCGCCTTTCCTACAGCTACCCGACACATGTGACGAACATCACACTTGTACTTCTGAAATGGCCACAATCACTTCAAAACCATACTTTGCTATTACATGGAAGATAAAGACTTCATCAAGTCTTGATTACTTTGTCTTGGCACCTTTTGGCAGAGTTCTCTTTTGGCTGAGCTCTAGCCGTCCGTATGCAAGATCGTCTGGTCTCTGTGAACTGGGGTACGACATTTTATCATGCCACAAGCTATTATATCGATAACGATTCACCGTATGTGGGGGGTCCTCTGGGCGACACGATCTGTTCCAACGCGCCTCTTCAATCTGAGATCTTCCTCCTCCGTCTGCCATAGTTTTTAACCTTTTGGTACATCCTGTGTCTACTCTCTCGAACGTGTTCTCGCTTTTGGAGATGGCGGGTACGCTCATGTGCAATCCTACGTAGGCGTACTGACGAGGATTCTTTTAGATGGACAAGCTGTGACCTGCAGATGAGCCCTTTCCCTTCCTTCGTGCAGGCGCGCAGTTCACGGAGCTTTTGGTCAAGGCTGTGCCCGTCTTAAGCTTGTCGACCCTATCAAACAGACGGAGAACCCCTCTTTCATGCTTCAGCAGAATCTCGACTTTATATGAAAACGCAATGACTCACATGATTTCATCTTTCTATCATTTGCATACGACGAATAATGTCGCCCTGTCTGATGGGTGGACATATCCCCGAACGTGTGCTGTGGTGTAGCCGAGGACAAGAACATCGTGCCGGGGTGCTTGAGAACACAAGCACGATATACCAATGACGCAGATCCATGACAACGTCTTCTCCCGAGTCTTTTGTGCCCGTGACTTACCTCGGTATCCAAGGGCAAAGGTCTCACACATCTCGAGTCTCTAACGGACAGCCGCCACGTTCTTCTTCAGAACCGGACGACGGTTTTCATGAAGACATCTACGAATAGACAGGTACGGTAAGTACGTGCCCCCCTTGTTCCGTTCCGCTCCAGGGTCGTGTGCTACTAAGTTGGCGATCCAAATCATTGACATCGCTCACGCCTTTCTTCCTTTGGTGGATCAGCCTCATGCACATGTGCGTCACTGAGCAAAGTCACATCTGGTTGCTGATCGCAGACCGAGGGAGATGAGTTTTCGGGCCGAGGAGATGGGCGTTTTCTCGGGTCTAATCAAGTCGAGACGGTGGGTTGAAGATGTGCTGTTGTTTATTTTGGGGAGTGTAGATAGCGAGAGTTTCTTCTCGGCGTTATCAGGGGTCGAACACATGGCAATGAATGCAGTGTGATTTGCGGCGACGCTTGCTCGGTGGAATCGGGGGGAGAGGGCGAGGCAGATGATGATGACATATGCGAAACGATTGGTCTGATACGGGAATCAGGAAACTCCTGTCTCTGGCTACAAGCTAGATTCTCTTCTTGGCTTCTTTCCCCCACCTACTGAATGTGCCTCTGTTCGATTGGATTCGTTCATGAGTGGTCGTCCGCCGCTGTGCACGGCAAACGCGTGTTTGAACGGAGCGTGTGGAGGGATGGATTGTATGCGCTGGCTGATTTGTCGGAGAGGGTAACTGGAAGGAAAATGATGGTGAGGCTGGGCAGGCTGGGAGAGTGGACCGGTCGAATTAACGACGAGCGCGATCGAGGCATTATTGATGTCAGGTCTCCGTGGATGGCGTGCAGTAACCCGAGCGAACGTTAAATCAAAATAACCGAGGGCTGGGGAGTACATAAGGGGCTTGCTGCCCTCGAGGCCCACGAGCCATTTGTCCGTGTCCCTTCCCTCTCTTTCGGTGGGGCCACTGATTGTTCCCCGCGTCTGCATGCCAGTGTCGATGTCTGGCGGTGAGGGCGGCAAGGCGGTGTTGTGTTTTTACACTCCGCCGCCAGGAACGAAAAGTCACACGGTCCTCAGTGCAGAGCGTTTGCGACGGCGTTTTGATATCGACAAGGCTACGAGTGCAGTCTCTGTTTCGGTGCGGAATCCCGGCCAACCAGTCCAGCAGCTGCATCTACACCCCCGACGTCCTCACGGGCAACGCCGACAGCGCCGACAACCCGACCCCCGCTTCCCCCGAATCCACCTTGGAATTTCCGGCTGGATCTGGCGCCTCCCCGGTCTACCCGCCCGCTTCCCGTTGCCAACGCCAACGCCCTCTTTTTGTAAGAACCCAACCTGGACATGATCCATCTCGATCGCAACCACAACCCGCTCGACCCAAACGCCAACCTCATAACAGACGACCTCAACCCCCACGACCTTCTCCAGTTCGAGTCCTTCAACAAGGTACACGACGACCCCTTCTTCAAGGACCAGGACGACCCTCTTGTCCATGACATCGACACCTCCCACCTCGACATCCACCAAGACAGCACTCTGGACCCCTCAACTCTCGATATAGCCCAGTCCCAGGACGGCGAGCCCCAACAGCCGCCTCCCGCTCCCTCCTCCCCACCCGCCCCCACCGCTCCCCAGGACGACCGTAGTTCGTCCCTTTCACCAGCCCCGGAGACGAACTCGCCAAAGGACGACAAGAAACCGTCACCTCAACCACCTTCCCAGCCTGCTGACCCTTCCGGAGAACAGGACAAGGGAGAAACTGACGACCCGTTCTCGCGTCAGCTCACCCCCCTCACGGAGCTCTCACCAGCCCCTGACTACGACGACGAGCCAGAGAAGACGGAGGAAGGAGGTTCGGATGGAAGTCAGGCAGCGAACGGTGCACCCGGAGTCAGTGCGGAGGGTGGCCAGTCGCGGCGAGGGGAGGGAACAGAGGGCAGTGGAGAGTCGAATAACCCAGGTGGCCGCTCCAATCCTCAGGGAGACGTACAGTCTGCTTCACGGCAGGTCGGCAACTCCTCTGTCCGTCAGCCTGCTCCTCCGCAAAATCCGACCAACCACAATGCAGAGGCCGGTCCATCTCAGTCCGCCCAAAAGCCCCCGTCTGTAGCACCCTCGTATTCCCGGGCCCCATCGAGCGAATCTGCATCCTTTATGGGTCTCAGACAGACTCCAGGTGCTTCGGACAATGCGGGAAACGGACCAACGGATCCCAAGGTCGTGCGGATATTGGACCTGAACGCTGAGCTTCTCAAGTACGTAAATTATCATCCGAGCCCTCGATTCGCTTGCTCATAAATCTATAGGATATGTATGGAGAGCCAGTCGCATGCGCTATCCATAACTGACCCAAGGCTTCAACCGTGAGTGTCTACTAGACAAATCACGATCCACCCGTTGATCATCATGCTATTGCCCAGGTACGCTCTCCGTCTTCAGAACAACCTCGCCTGGCTTGCAGCTGCCGCGGACCAGAGGCACATGGTTCGTATATTATTCCTTTTTTCTCCAGCCGTTTACCATTTTCCCACAGAACCACAACAATTCCATCCCCATCATGGAAGCACCACCTCCACTTGAAATGATGTCCACTGACCGGATACAGTACCTGTATTCTGATTTGTCGACACTGTTTGCTAAAGACATTGCCCGTCGGCAAATAATGCAGTCAGGACAGCCCAACCCACCACTCACGCCAACGTCGATGAACGGCAATGGACTCAAGCGCGGTCGACCAGATGACATGGTGGATGGTATGAACAAGCGGCGAGACATGGGTGACGCCAAAACAACCATGCACCCGCCTGCCGGGCCCTCGGTTTCCATTTCTGCTAACGCTGCTCGCAGTCCGTCTGCCTCGTTCCCCGGGCATGGCGGCGCCCCGGCGTCGGGTGGAATGCTGCAAAGCCCACGGGTCTCAAGTCCGGCAATGCCGCCGCCGCCAAATATGCCCTCACTTCCCTTCGGGGTTGCCGAGGCGCAGGTGGCGGCTTCATCACGGAATCGCGCCCGCGAGCTCCAAATACAGCAGGCGCGTGAAATGCAGCAGCGCCAGCAGGCCGCACTGAACCAGATGCAGAACGCGTCGTCGCGCATGTCGCCACCAGGCAACCCTTCACAGGGCCCAGGACCGAGTCAAGCCAACCAGCCATCGCCAATGGGTGGTTCGGGTGGCTTCTCGCAGGGTGCTGGCGGCGGAATGCCCAATCAGCACCCTGGTCAAGGACATGGCGGCCCGATACAGATACCTCAGCAGTTGATGCAGCAGTACCTCCAGGTTTTGCAAAATCCGGGCCATCCGATCATGCAGATGCTGGCCAGCCAAATACCTAACTTTATGTCTTTACCGCCGGCGCAGCAGATCCAGAAATTGCATATGGTCCAGGTAGGTTGTTTGACGAGATGGGCCCGTTTTGCAGCTAATCGTCGGTACAGACGCTACGGCATCAACAGCAACGAAATAACCAGATGCAGAGCATGGCACAGAATGGGCAGATGCCGGGGATGCAGAATGGTCTGATGCAGAATGCGAACCAGTCGCATTCCTCAAGTCCTGTCTCTCCTATGAGCCAGCAGTCTCCCGTCATGCCTCAGCAGCCGATGCAGGGTCAGAGCATGCAGAACGGTCCGTTTTTCTCACCGCAGCAGAATATGTTTATGAACCAGGGGATGGACCCACGTATAGGCGCGAACTATCAACAGGGCAGCGGCAACCGGCCAATGGATAACAGCTATCAGCGACAGCTCCTCCTGATGCAGCAGATGCGCGGCGGAAATGCGAGCGCTGCTATGCAGAACATGAATCCCCAGCAATTATTGGCCTTTCAACGATGGCAGCAGCAGGGCGGTAGCATCAGTGGCATGAACCAGATGCCGCAAGGCGGCAATAGCGTCCCAAGCGGCGGCCAAGGAATGAACATGTCTCCCACTAGTGAGAATCATTTCCCTGCTCTGCGCTCAAACGCAGGCATCCCCGGCATCGCGCGGACCATGCGCTCGCCCTCGGATAGCGTACACTCGCCGATGACGCCGCGCACGCCGTCGCGCCTCTCGCAGCAGGGCGGGATGGGCGGGGCCGACGGCTTCTCGAATGGCATGATGCAGCCCCCGCATATGCAGTCCCAGCACAGCCCAACGAGCAGCGGCAACGTCGGCAACGGCATGCAAAACGTGAACGTGGGTCCCTTCAGTCCGCAGATCAACACTAATCCGACATGGTCACAAAGTGGGCAACCGCACCTCTCGCAGGGACCGCTGGCTGGAATGCAGATGGGGCCGCAGCAGCTTAGCATGAACGGTCAGAACCCGATGGCGCCGATGGGTTCGATGGGGGGCCAGATGAACGGCGGGTACGGGATGAGCCCGCCCGGATCGTCGTCGGGCAACCCGTTCGTCGGTGGCGGTGGTGGTGGCGGCACTGGTGGCTCGCCCACGGGCCAGGGGTGGTCTGTGCAGGGGCAGGGACACGGGGGCGGTGGTGGGTACGGCGGGTACGGCGGATCACGGCCGCCGTCGTCGCACGCGTCGCCGCCAATGGCGCAAAATATGGCTGGAGACAGCTCGAACGACTTCAACGATCTATTTAATTGGGGAGGACAATAACTCACGCGTGCTACTTACACCCCTTGTATAGCCCTCGACCGGCCCTCTGCTTGCTTTGCTTGGCGCCCCGGGTCGTTTTTACCTTGCCCGCACACTACATACTACACATCTTACACGCTTCACTACTACGCTCACCGACTCAATCTTCCTTGCATATCTGCCATGTCTCCTCAACTCCTCCCTCATCATGCTTATTGGTCCTCCGTCGTTCTTCTGTCTGTGCCTTGCTGTCTCTTCGTGGTTTTATCCTATAAATACTCTTATGGCTGCCTTGTTTTTTACTCGTTGGTTTTCCTTTCCTTCTTTTTTCGTCCTTGACTGAACTTGACGGTTAACCGCACTTTTGTTTAAGTATATTCAATGCTATGTTTGCTCGTATGTATGCTGTAGATTTCAATCGACTCTTTTAAAGCTCTTATTGTTGTGAGCTTGTGTGATTTAGAAGTGTGTGTATCATTAGGGATTGACTGAGAATTTACACAAACTTAGCGAGAACATGTTTGCGGGGTTGAATGTGGGCGCCTATAATACCGCCGTGGGACGAAGTCGGCGCTTGAGTGTAGAATGTAGCACATGGCCAATCGTCCCTTGACATGTGACGATGAGAGCGCAGAACTGATTGCTATGCCGACATTCGCGGACACAACTTCACCACTCTACAGCAGGATCAGGGATAGGGATGGTCTTTGCCAGTTTATCAGGGCACGAAAAACAAGCCTTTTTCAGCCTCCTCGACGAGTTCGTGCTGTCCATCTACTCTCACAGCTCTGGCCAGTGTGACGCATCCTTTGATTCGTTCTAGATACTTTGAGGCGCGTCCTGAACTCCTCTCAGGCGCAGGAGGTGGGAGCGGCATCAGCACAGGAGCAGCTGCTTCTGCTGTCAGCCATGCGCTGTCGTCCAACCCTTCGATAGCGGCTCCGAGGGCTACACCCTTTGCAGCAGCCGTGCGTCTACGCCATCAGACCGTTCCTTGCATTTCGATCTAAAATACAGGCTTGACTTGCATATGGATGTAACCTTCCGACATGCTGTACTGCGCCTCCGCGACCCAATCAAACGGTTCCCTGTCTGGCAAAGCAGGCGTCCAACCCTCAACTCGCCAGTTCCATCGGGAAAGTCGCCGCGGCGTCTCGTAACTTCGGCAACAATGCAAGCAGTGCTAGCGAAAGCGCCATGTCGCCGCCCCCCGTCCTGCCCCGGCGTGCGTCCAGCACGAGCGTCAACAGCACATCGCTCGGATCTACGCCCGCCGAACGGGCATCGCCATCGCCCTCGGCGGGGACGCCAGGTGCAGAGATAGACAAGCTTTACACGCGCAAGGTGCGTCGGTCCTGGTTCTCGACCTGTCAAGTTGAAGTTGGCTTCTGGCGGTGGCTAACGATCCATATTCCGTTCCTGTATATCTCCAGGCCAGTCTCTTCGGCAAGAACAAAACTCCTTCAGTGGCAGTGACCATCCCGCCCGCGTTCAATGCGCCCAAAAGCAACTTCGGGCCTCCCCCCATGCGTCGCAACACCTCCACCACTAGCGCCGACGTCTCGCCATCCCCAGCGCCGCCGCCTTCGCTCCCGCGGCGAACACCGAGCGTGCAGCCAGAGTCGGACCCGGAGCCACAGGAAGAAGAGGCTCAGGGTGACTGGGCAGAGGCGCTGTACGACTACGAGAGCACGGACGCAGGCGATCTCCCGATCCGGGAGGGGCAGAACATCTGGGTGACTGAGAAATCTTCGGAGGATTGGTAAGTGCTTGTTCTTGTGATTTGCTGTATAATACATATATAAACGTCAATCGTCAGGTGGACAGGGCAGATAGAGGGAAAGGGCAAGGAGGGGCTGTTCCCAGCATCTTATGTCAAGGTTATGTAGAGCCTTTCGAGAATTTTGGACTCATCAGAACGTCCAATTACGCACTTGATTGCTTACACCGATATCTCCCTGTATATTCTCACATCGTACTAGCAATGGAGCCATCAGCCAGATTTTCTCAACGGTCACGAAACAATTACGCAGCATCTATACGTACATTACAGCGATAAGTATCTGTCAGTGTCCATATAATTAACACACAAACCGCGACAAAACGAGTCAAAGCACACAGCTGCTATACCTTGACTACCCACACAATGGCTCTCTCGCTTACTTACCCGCTACAACGCTAGTAGGAAGGCTATAGCACTGCTCACAGCGCCTCGATCCTCCTCCGTGTTTCCGCCGCCTTCTGCTGGAACAACCGTATCTGCTCTCGGCCGTCCGCGAGTAGCCGGTCGTAGCTTAGCTCGATTTCGCGCCGAATCCACTGCTCGACCGTCATCTCGCGCTCCTCGGGTGTCAGCACGATTGCGCCGTTCGCCTGCCGGCTCGTTGTGGGCAGCTCGTCCGGTACTACTGGCAGTCCGTTCAGATGTGGCTGGGCATCTTCGGCCTTGGCTAAAGCTAGAGGTGTAGATTGGAGTTGAGGCTGAAGCTGCGGTTCGGGTTCAGGCTGCGACTGGCGAGTTTGAGATGCCCTTGACTGAGGCTGCACTTGCGCTTGCGGTGGCTGGACTTGAGGCTGGATCTGGGATTGAGGTTGACACTCAGGTTTGTCCTCTTGCAATGGGACCTGTGGCTGTGCTTCAGCTTGAGGATGGCTGACTTTCTTCCCCGGTTTCTGCGAGACCGGCGCGGGAGGAGAGTGCCTCGCCTCCTGAGGGGGAGGCGACGGAGGCGGCGACACCGCCACAGGTGCGCGCGTACGCGCCGAAGAAGGTGCAGGTGCGCCTGGGAGTGCGGCCGGTGGTGGAGATGGAGGGGGGAAAGCTGCAGCCTTCAACGGCGACGTCGGTCTGAACGGTTTAGGAGCGTGCCGCTTAATGTACGGCGTAGGCTCCGGCGAGTCGAGGTCGATGATCTGCATCGGACGGCCGTTCACCGAGTGGCTGGTCGATCCGGCTGGAGGCAGGTCAATTTGCATTTTGACCGTCTCGTCCTCTATCTCTATCGCGAGCATCGGCTCTGGCTCTGGCTCCTTCTTCGGCACGATCTTGGGCCTCGGGTCGGCTTTGCGCACGGGCTTGGGTACGGGGGCTGGAACTGGCTCCAGCTCCGGCTCTGGTTCGGATCGTGCGCTTTCCTCCGAGTTATCATCAGTTATTTCCATCACCTCGTCTACATCTGTTGAGGGTGGCGGCTCGCGTGCGGATGGACTAGGCGACGGGAGGGATGACGAGGCTTCGGGGGCTGGCAGATGGGCGGCGAGCGTCTGGGTAATAGTGCTTTTGCTCAGCACCCGGCGACTTTCGGTAGCAGCTGCTGTCGACGTCCTCGAGATATTTGATGATTTCGCATTATTACTTCCCTTCGCTGGTACCCGCTTTGGCTTGGTCTCGAGTGTAGGTTCTAGCTCAGGTTCTGACTCTGGCTCAGGTTCTGGCTCTGGATCTTGCTCCATGGCGAGCTCGTTATCAGATGATCCCGTTTGCACTTTCGGTGCCGCCAACACTTTTGATCCAGCTCGGGCAACCGGATGCGACTTCGAGATAGTCTTCGCCTTGGGCATGATGTTCGCCTCTTTGTCTGAACCAGCTGTATCCAACTTGGACGAGGCTGTCGCTTTCGAGTGCGAGCGCGACATCGTCCGGGGTTTTGCAGAAGTCTTTGCCCTCGGTGCAATGTCCATTTCTTCATCGTAATTCTCCGTCTCTAGTTCAGACGCTACGGTCGTTTTCGAATGCGATTTCGACACAGCACGTGGTTTTGCGGAGGTCCTCGTTTTTGGTGCGATAGCCGACTCTTCATCAGGGTTCTCTGCTTCATCATCAGAGACTTCAATTGCCCTCGTGTGCGAGCGCGAAGGAGCCCGTGGCTTTGTTGTCGTTGTAGTTCTCCGTGACTTTGGCGGGGGGCGTGGCTGCTCGTCGGCGGTGTCGTCTTCTGTTGTACGAGCTTTGGACTGGACTCGCGAAGTTGCCCGCGGTTTTGAGGTGGACGTGGCTGGTACCTTCGAAGGCGCACGCGTCGTTCTGCGGCGCGCTGGCTGTTCTTCCTCCTCAGAGGGCGCAGCGTCATCCTCGACCATGACAGAGTTCACACGCGTTTTTGACTGTGTACGTGATGTCGTGCGAGGTTTTACAGTCAAGGTGCGAGTCTTGGACGATCCGCGTGAGGGTCCACGGGGAGGCTCGTCCTCAGACAGGGCTGTGGAGTCTTCGGCGGCCGAGTTGAGCTTCGCTCTGGATTGCGAGCGTGAGGGAGGACGATTCTTTGCCGTAGAGGTGGTGCGGGACTGAGTGGGTGCACGGCTTGGGGGTTTTGACTTTGAATTCGACGCTGGGAAGAAGACACAAGGTTTGTCCAACTTCGACTGTCGCTTGCGGTGCTCGTCTCTGTAGCCAAATCAATATAAAGAAATTTTGTGAATCGGCAACGATGCCTACATTGGACTATCACCGTCGTCCCAACCTCCCAGCGAGAGATTGCAGTACAAGCAAGTAACAGTGTCATCCTCTGAGGACTGGGGAGTATACACGAAACCGGCTTGTGCCATCTGTGTTGGTGTGAGGATCAGATAGCCAGTATACTTGCATAGATATATAACGCACAGCTGTTGACTGGGCAGAGTGACCGTGTACCTTGTCGTGCGGCCACCACTCGCCAAATGTGCCTAATCGCGCCTGTTCCATGGCCCTGCTAGTTGGTACACGGCCCTTTTCCGAGAACCTGAACCTATCAAGAACTTGAGCATGAGCATACGTTCATCTTAAAATAGCCGAGATACTGACTCTCCATCTTGGTCCATATCTTCTGAGAGCCCACACCTCACCTTAGCCCAAGGGCAACTTTGGCTGCACTTGGCGTAATGTATCTCGAACGGGTCATCGTCCGCATCCCATTCACTAAGTTCCTTTCCACAGATGAAGCACGCGACACTGTCGCGGTCCTCCCAGCTAGGTGCAAAGTAAAAGCCGGCCTCTGCGAGCGTGTAGGCGTTTGCCTTGAACGATGATGGGTGTGGCCATTTGACCGAGACGGAGGTAGATGTGGCCTTCTTCGGATATTTCTTGACACGTTTAGTTTTGTTGAATGAGTCTACGCGGGCCGTCAGAGCCTCCATGGCGACGAAAGGAGAGGTGGAAAGCACAGAGTTGACTCGAGCTTGAGCGATGCAGATTCACGAGAGTTCACGAGCGGGCTCAACAGACGCGGCGCTTCCGGTACGCGACCACGTGATCGATCAGGCGCGCATTCGAACTTTGAAAGTTGATTAATATTCCCTATTGCCAAAAGTTCGTGGAGACCTTAGGCACTAGCACTGACGGGGCCGGGACCCGTATGCCGCCCGAATGTCTTCAACACAATGACTCAAGTACTGTTTGTCTCGGAAATCCGCTAGTAAACCTCTTTCTCATGGTTCCAGGGTACTCGTTGGTTCTGTTATGACGGGGATCAAGAAGTGTGCCGTCAGTCCGAGTCTTGGAGTCATTGAGCGCTCTATTTACCTAGGCGTACTGCGCTGTGGATTCGTTACTCCGACCTAACTTGGCTGAAAGGGTTACTAAGCGCCTCAAAACAACGAGTCATTTGTGGGAACAAGTCAATGGGGCATTCAACTTGAAATTATCACGATCGCACCCCTACAATACGGTAAGCTCTCATCTCACCGGAGGAATGAGGCTCACGACAGCTTCTTGCCAATAGGAGCTGATGTTTTTCCCACAAGGACAATGGTCCATGCATATTCTGGGCGCTCAGAAGCCAAAGCTGATCTCGCCTGCGGCATTCTGGGCTGATAACGGAGCAACGCGATAATAGATGATGACGATCCGGGCGGCGAAGCTCCGTAGGCGGAAACATATATTATGTTCTTGCAGAAATCGCAAGGACAGAAGCAACCGTCTCAAACATGCTCTCTTTTGCTTTCCCTTCCGCGGTCGTGTCTGTCCTACCTCCCGCAATTGCGTCTGCAAAACCTGTCGACGTTGCCCTCGCCACTCTTACTACATGGGTCCTCCTCAAAGCCTTGAAGAGCATGCGCAAGCGCGTGACTACCACTAAGCTGAAAGGCCCTCCGAGTGCCAGCTGGATTTGGGGCGTCGGCCGCGTCACTGACGAAGCCGAAGACTCTGCTGTGCTTTACGAGAAGTGGGAGCAAGAATATGGCGTCGCTTACCAAGTGCCGGCCGCTCTGGGAATCAACAAGGTCATTCTATGCGACCCCAAAGCTCTTGCCCATTTGTGGGCTCGGGACACTGTCACGTATGACCACGAAGCAGCTACCAAGAAGATGATCGACATATCCGTGAGCATCTAACACTTTTGTAACCCAAGAGAACGTATTAACTCGAATGCAAAAATTGCAGATCGGAAAGGGAGTCATTTGGGCTCACGGTGACAGCCATAAGAGGTACAGATTTTATGCGAGCTGCCGCAGCAGATCGAAGTCCTGAACGTCATGCACCCAGACAACGCAAAGCGCTCACACCCGCGTTCAGTCACGCTGCTCTCCGCCGCATGACTTCAGTCTTTCTCAATTCAGCGTACAAGGTAGCCAACGAGATCGCATGCATCCTTTGCATTCACCGATCTGATATCATGACTAGGTTCGAGATGGATGGCACGCGATCCTGGATAATGCCGGCGATGGATCAGTCATCGAGGTCCAGAAATGGTGCGTATACTGATATTCATTCCAATAATCTAAACAAAGTCACTGACGAAATGATTATTAAGGATGAGTGGAATTGCGTAAGAGGTATCCCTTTTGAACATTTTGTGTTTTACTCATATCGCTTCTATTAGCCTCGACTCGATTGGATTAGCTGGTTTTTCGCATGACTTTGGTGCAACGACGAACCAGGACACCGACGTGGTCAAGCTGTTCCACTCGGTCGGAGGGAACCCCACTCAGCTTGCCAGATTCTTCACCCTCCTCGGTGTTGCGTTCCCCTGGCTCGCGGAAGTTCCAATCCCGCACAACCAGCGCGTCAAGCGCCTGGCTACTTTTATGGAAGAGATCTCCGGTGGCTGGTTCGAGCGCTCTCGTCAGGAGAAACAGGAACTCGGCGCCGCGACTGTCGATGAAAAGTCGGTGCTTGGACTTCTCCGTAAGCCTACAGTACTAGTGTTATTTTTGATCAGCCTTTAACCTTAAAATTTAACCTTAATCCCTAGTCAAGGCTGAGGTAGCGAACTCTGAGCTTCGCCTTTCTCATGAGGAAATCATTGATGAGGTGGGTAGCGCTCTCATCATATCGCAACAACTACCTTAAAGGACATGCTGCCCAGATGAAAGTTCTTCTCTCCGCCGGCTTTGAAACCAGCTCCAGTGAGTCCTCTGAACATTACTCTCGAGTTAAACTGACTTTAACCATCCAATTAGCCACCCTGACCGTAAGTCGTTGGTTGTTAACTCTGAATAAACTCACTCTGATACGTTATTCCAGTGGACTCTTGCAGAGCTTTCCAAAAACCCTACGGCCCAGGAAAAGCTCCGTGAAGAACTTCTCGGGCAATTCGCAAACACAGACCCAACGTACGACGATTTGAATGGGGGACTGCCTTACCTTGATGCAGTGGTGCACGAAGTGCTCCGCCTCCACCCACCCGTGGCCGAGCTCCAGCGCGAGGTAAGGAGAACGTTCCGGCACCAACATGCCCCTTCCGCACCACCTGTAGTTCTAATTCATCTTCTACGTGCTATTGGCAGGCCCTCGAGGACGACGTCATTCCTCTCGGCGCGCCTATCCAAGACGCCAACGGACGCGTGATAGACAGTATCACCATCGCCAAAGGCACGCTCGTCTTCATGTCCGTCGAATACCTCAACCGGTCCGAGAAATTCTGGGGCCCGGATGCCAAGGTCTTCCGCCCCGAGCGCTGGCTCGAGGGAGGCGACCTGCAGGCGGGTAACGTCAAGGCTAACGAGCTCCGGGGCCACAAGCATCTCCTCACGTTTAATGACGGGCCAAGGACCTGTCTCGGAAAGAATTTCGCGCTTGCGGAGCTCAAGGTAAGTGGCCGTGCTCTGCATTAAAAATGTACACATACTGACGAGGCGGCTCAGGCCTCGCTGTCTGTACTAGTTAGGAACTTTGCTTTCGAGCCTCGTGACAAGAAAGACAGGGTTGAAAGAATTGTAGGCAATTTGGTCCGTCCAAAAGTGGTTGGGCAGCCCGGTATCGAGGTCCCTCTTCGCGTTAGGCGTGTGGACTAAAGGGACTACATATCCCAAAGTGGCACACAGACACTTTTAGACACCTTGAATCATAACGCTCAGCTAGTAGCCAACAAATACCTGTGTATACGTTCACAAGAACATTCAGTTTGTTGGATCACGCATCACGCATTGCACATAGCAGCACTTGAGGATGACGATCATCGATCAAACACGTTCTACGAGCCATGAGTACATGAATGCGCGTAACGTACATAGTAATGATGTGCACAGCGAGTGGTAGGTATAGGGACATAGTAAGCGGCGAGTACAAACTAGATAAAGATACAAAAAGAGGAGAGAGAAAATTGATGATTGGTGGTTATGAACTAGAGCACGAAGTTCCGTTCGAAGTCTTGATTTCCGCCGATGTTGTATGTGGTAAAGATGTGGAAGACTGGAGCGTGATAAGCGCCAGAGCGTCTATGGGTACGTGGTAAAGAACGTGGATTTAATGAAATAGAGTCTGAGCCAGTCGTCGTCAGAGGGAATGAGGTAAAAACATGTCGTTCAAGGAAGTATCCGTCATTTTGTGCGTATCCAGCGCTAGTCCAGTCGGTATATGCCCTATTCCGAGCTAGGGGAACGTTCAGACGTCAAGCTCTTGTTGTCCGGAACGGAAGATTGCCGATCGCGAATGTACCAGCCTGCGGAAGCCCGAACTGTAGCCGTTTGGGTGTGCCTCTGTAGGCTCGACGATGCTTACGGCCGTCAGCTGGTGCACGTCGTCCTTCACAAAACCGTTAGCATTGGGCACCTTATCCTTCTCGGAACCTTTCAGTGCCGTAGCCCACATGCGAGAGAGGAAGCCAGTTCCAGAGCTAGAAGAGTTCTCCCTGAGCCTTTGTGAAGAAATCGAACTAGGCGCCGAAGTGGAATCAGGTAGGTTGCCAAGAGCCTGCGAGAAGAGAGCATGGTAGCTAGCACGTTTTGAAGAAGCCGATAGACGCTTGTGAGGCCTAACCTCAGACGCATGATCAAGAAGAGGCGAAGGGGTGTCACCGCCCTTGACAGTCCGTTCAGACATGACTGATGTGGCAGAAGTCTTGCGTCCCTCCCTATACACGTGGGATGGTACCGAGGGCAGAACGAAGCGGGCCCTGCGAACACCGCTTTGGGTGCTATTCTTCTCATCCTCAACCTCGGAGTCACTCGGCGAGCCTGTCGACGAGCCATTGTCCTCAGTGAGGGAACCTGGATCCGATTCAGGTGCGCTCAAGCTATCGCAGCTATGGACGCTGGAGATCGGGGAAGGAATCGCAGCGCCCGATGATTTAGCAGACAGCTGAGCGGCATTGATTGAGAGACGGTTGGTCGAGAGGCGATGAGCGATACACTTGACCGTGGAGACAAATGAGGGAGGCGCAGGAGGAGCAGAGCAACGTTCGGGAGTGGGCGGAGATGGGCCCCTAGATCTAGCCTTCCCAGCTTTGGAGACCTTATCGACAGCCGCAGCCCGCGTTTCTTGCTCCGCGGGCGATGGCATACACCGGGTTTTGGAGGGCATGAAAGGACCAAAGTGAGTGCAAGCTTCGGCTTCATCAAAGCGGAGATCGTAGTCAAGCAAGAAGAGCAGCTGCTTTTCCATGAGGTTAATCTCGGCGATGTCAAAGAGAACGCCATAAGCGGCCCAGTGCTTGTTTTTGGGAGACGAGTCGTTGAGATACTTGGCCGCTACAATGAGGGTGGCCAGGAAGACCCGGTGTCTAGTGCACGGCATACCTAGAGCAACGTCAGTGAGCTTGTGCTCTAAACATGAACATGTTGTGCGTCTACCTTTAGCCATGGCGGGAAGCTTCGAGCGAAGCCGGTTCAAGTAAATGAGCGTGGTCAAAAGTGTGGGAACCTGAACGTTAGACTTGGTGGCGATGTGAACGATGAAATCCTCCAGGGATGGCAGCGGCGGGTTCAGAGAGCTCTTGTCGGCGGGAAGGACAGACTTGACAGGTGTATGCGGAGGTGTCGGAAGGAGCGGCTGATCTTCGATAAGGATAACACGAGAACACTGAAGGGCAATATAAGAAACCATGTCCATAGTGACCGGCTTGCGGACGAGCTCAAGTAGATCGGAACTGTGTTGAGACCTTGGGATGAGAGAAGCGGGGTGACGACGATCTGCAGACATGTTGAGGTTGAAGGGAGTGGTTTAGGTTCTAGTAGAGACTGTAGATGAGCCCAGCTATCGGGCGTTGGTTCTAGAGAGGGAAAATGCGAGAGAAAGATGAGAGTAGAGATTGAGGGAGACGAGGAAAGAGAGCACAACGGTGGCGAGTAAAAATGGGCGGGAGGGAGCCAAACAACAAACAAGGCGCGTCGAAGTCACGGGAGACGAAAGTCAAATTCGGCGACTTGAGAGTTAACTTGAAGTTGCTCTGAGGAGTGAGATCGAGTCGCTCAGATGTTTGATCCTGTACTCAGCGGGGCAGTGATGGCGCAGGATAAGATACGCTCTCGTAGCGAAAGCACTTTTATCATGTGTTCATTTTAATCTCGACGGGCTATGACGACAAGAAGTGTCTTAGTCCATATGCACAGCCTATGGGGCGTGGGTCAGTCATTGTATGAATCCTTAACTATTAGTCCTCGGAAGTCGTGTATGGCATGCGGGCGTTTACTATGGAAAATCTCAGAAGAATGGACCTCGTTCTGATTGACAGGGGCTACAGCTTTGAGTCAACGTTGGGTCACCAGTAACCGTTGTGTTTGGGTTCCGGATATGGAACCAATTGCAAAGGCTGTACCACGCGGTCATCTATATACGGCGCGAGACAGGGCTCCGAGATTAATTCACCACTAGGAAGGTGGCGGCCTGTAGCTGTTAGCTGTACAAGGCAGCGACGTGTTCAACTACTTAAGACCGCCAGTTTCATGCCAGCGTCGTAAGTCGTATTCTACGAAACAACTCCTTCCTGGGGCTTGGCACTGATACCATTTGCAGTACTTTGCTGGGCTTGAGGGAGCATGTTGTCTATTTCCGACTGGGTCACTACACTCTCGCTGGTCTTCGGAGGTTGCTGCAGGTACGCCCTTGTGGCGTTTGGCTCACTTGCTGTAGAACCTGATGTTCTTCCTCTGTTTCAGCAATGCAATCACCATGGAACGCCTCACCAAGCAGTTCCCTCACTCGGGCACGCTCATCACCTTCTTCCAGTTTCTTGCTGTGTCTCTATACGGACTGCCCTCTCAGATCACATTTGAGGAATCAGATTCTAATTTAACATCGCATACATATGCCAACGGGCGTGCCAACGGACACACGAACGGACATGCTTGCGACGACAAAGACAGTAAGACGCCCAAGCCAGGCAAGCGCTACTGGTTCCCTCGTCTAAAGACCCGCCGTGTGCCACTCACTCCATACATGATGCAAGTCGCGCTCTTCTGGGTCCTATCCATCCTCAACAACATCGCATTCGGGTATCACATCCCCATGTCCGTTCACATCATCTTCCGTAGCGGTGGCATGGTCATTAATATGCTCCTTGGCTACATGTTCGCCAAGAAACGATACTCTCTTACCCAGGTCCTTTCCGTATCGATCGTGACCGCCGGAATTATTATGTCCACTTATGCTGCTGCTGACCCGCGTAAGAAATCAGAGAGCATCACCGATATCGACCCGTCACTGTATACAACTGGCATCATCATCCTTTCCGTTGCCCTTGTCCTTTCCGGCTTCCTTGGCCTCCTTCAGGACTGGGTTTATCAGCAGTACACAGCGCCCCTAGTCCGCAAGGGCAAACTTGACAGCGCGACGACATGGCAGGAAAACATGTTCTACCTCCACTCATTCGGCCTTCCGCTCTTCTACTTCTCCAAGGCAAAAATCTTGAATGCACTTGACGACATCATGGCTGGCCCACCTGCGCCCGTTTTCGCTCAACTACCCCCTAAATACTACCAGATTGTGGAGCCTGTGTCGATGTCAGGGACTGCCCTATACCTTGTGCTCAACACAATTACCCAGTTACTCTGTGTGCTTGGCGTCAACCGCATGACTGGGCGCGTCTCATCACTTACAGTAACCCTCATCTTGACCGTACGAAAGGCACTGTCCTTGTTATTTAGCGTGATGGCATATGGTGGCCAGGGATGGGACATGTACATTGGCGCAGCACTAGTGTTCGTTGGAACAATTGGGTATTCTCTTGGCGGAAAGAGCGTCACACCCAAACCAGAAGAGAAGACGAAGACGGAGTAGTCATCTTCATGCATGTTGCTGTATACCATCCACACGCTAACACGTCCACTTTTTGCACTATACATCGAGTTTATTAAAGTACTCCAATATCTATTACCACACCCCACGAATCCTAGATTTGCCCAGTGGCAATGTTCCAGACCTTCTTTGCGAGTTCTGCAGCCGGGTCCGTCGAGTCATCAATCTTCTGAAGGCCAACCGTACCCAGTGTCGTTGAGTAGTTCCTAAGGTAGGGGGCATACTATAACACATATGAGCAAACTAGGAAGTGGGCCATGACGTGAACTTGCTACTCACTGTCCTGCAGAAGTGGCGATACCAGCCCCATGTCTCCCAGGTATTCCACTCTTCATTACCCCATGATCCACGATTCTCCCAAGCGGATTCGCCAAGGATTTTTTGCGAGCGTGCAGCGGCGTCACCCGCAGCGAGGCAGGCAACGAACCCTTCAATAGTGTACGTGAGCGCATACTTCTGCTCTCGCGTTAGGATGGTGAAGGCCTTGAGTGCCGTTGTCAACTGTGGGCTGTCCGCGGCAGGTTCATCTAAAAACATTTGCATGGTAAGCAAACGAATGGCAGGAAAAAAGTGTAGACTATACGTACCTGCTTTAGCAGCAGCAGCGTCGGCATCCACATCCATCGACCCAACATCGGTAGCCTTAGCGCGAGCTCGGCTGTCATCCTCCTCCTTCCTCAGTGCAGCGACTTTGCGACGCGCAATCGCAACACGTCCGTTGGCCTTATCAATCGCACCGCGAAGCAAGTCCCAAGCGGACCCCGAAATGTATTGCTTTTGATCCTCGCGCGCGAACACCCATTGCACGACATCGGATGGGTCCACGATCTGGTACTGCATCAACTTGTCGAGCACGATGTTCACCATTTGCGGGCTCCTTTGCCAAAACGCCGACGCAGCATTGAGGATATCGCGTTTCGCCTCCACGCTGCCAGAACCAGGCGGCTGGGGGGCCGAGGACGTCGCAGCCCCTGCAAGCCCACGGAGAAGTGGAAGGTACCGCTCAATGGCGTTGAGCAAATGCGAGAATGAGCGCGAGCCGATCGAGAGAAGACACTGGGTCGCTAGTGACCGCACGACTGAGTCGGGGTAGCCTGAAGAATCATCCATGGTGTTCTTGAGCGAATCGAGGTGAGCGATGACTTCGTCGGCTTTGGACCGTCCACGAAGAAGACCAATGATAGACTGGGCGGCATCGTAGTGAGGGTTGGCTGCATCCTGTGTGAGCAAGCTGGATCGAATGTGTGTAATGACGATACGTACCAGGGTCTTCATAATTGAACTCGGGTCCAGGCCCCTGGTCCGCAATGACTGTAGAGTCTGTCTGCATTGCTTCTGGGAGTGTCTTCAAGATACGGTCGTGATAGGATAGTCGAATCTCGTATTCAATAGCACGCCTGATAAAGGCACGTCTAGGGTGCTGGTCGGTCAACGCTAGATCTGGCACCCTGTAGCAGGCTTCAGTTTTTCTTGGTCTATTTCTTCACGGTCGATGAGGACATACCATTCTTTCCATACCCATTGGAAGCCGAAGTTACTCATGTGCACAGCGAACCAGTCCGCAAATCGCCGCGAGATGTCCACATCCAACCCATCTGCGATGGTATTGTAAAGTTTGCGGATAGACTTGCCTACAGCAGGGCCTACAGTCGAGGGTGAAAGTTTGCATAACTCGGTGATGAGAGACACGTAGTAGATAGATTTGTAAGAGGCTTCTGGCAAGAGGAACAGAGCGCCTAGTATTGTCTATATCCATTTAGTTATAGAAAGGCGAAAGTGATGGTCTGAACCATACCTCGATGACTGTACTCTCAAGTTGCCAATTTTTAGCTGTTCCATCGTCCTCCAGCTCCGGTGCACCAGGTCGAGGCTTGAAAGTGCCCGGAATGCACCATTTCGGGTACTCCAAGAGGAGACGAGCACACTCTTTGCGGTTAACCTCGAAAAGTTTGGATATGTCAAGGATGTTTGAGCGAAGCAAGAAGCCTTCGATGGTTAACGGGTCTGGGGACACCTGCGAAACTCATGAGCTGAAATATCCAGGAACTCTTGGGTAAAAACTCACAGTATTGTCGAAGATGTGCAAGAAGTACTCAGGCCAGTCATCCTTTTTGACCTGAGCGTCTTCGCCAGCGTCGGTAGCTAAACCGTCGAGTTCAATGACCTCGGGTGGGACAAGGATAGAGGGTAGTTCAAAAGGTGATGAGACGGCAGGGTCAATATCGGGGAAGGCGAGGTACGGTTGCGGGAATTCGGGAGTTGTTTCAGGATTTTCTCCTGAATCAAGCGCCTTAAGCACTGTAATAGCGGTATCAAGGTACTAAAAACCGTTAGCAAACGATCATCATACGGATGTGAACCTCTCACCTCATCTGCGCCCTCAACGAGGATGGATTCCGAGTGGAGAACAGCTAGAGGTTGCACGAGGACCTTGGAGGTAGATATAGATTCATTGTATGTTTGAATGGTGGATATGATTTCAGAGAGGTTGTTTACAGAGCTCTTCTTGAAGACGCCACCCGTCTACGATGTTTCAAATATGCTCAGTCCGTAGTTCCAAACAACTTCAATATGGAAGGACGCACAATCATCAGCCCTTCAGCTGCACACACAGCCGCGTTCTTGCCTCGCGTGTATGATACCCCAAACTCGTCCAAGACCGCTGCAAAGGACTGGAGAAGCGAGGTCATAGACTCGATTGATATTATTTGTGCGACCATCAAGTGAGCGAAGAAATGTATCTGAACATGACAAGTGAGTTAATGTTTTTAGTGCCAGTAATGAGAGGACGCACGCAGAGCCTGATTTCTCTCCATGCTAGCTTGTCCAGGTAGGCTTGGAAGCCTTTCCAGAAATCCTCTAGTATTTGCTTGCCAAGTGAGCTGCTTCCAGAGGCGGCAGCATCCTCTCCTTCGGTGGGGTCATAAAGCACACGCAGTATAGCGGCATAGTAGGGGGTCTTGTACGGCTGTTCCGTAACGCTGAAGTGATGGTCAGTAGCGCCATGCGTTCGGTGCGACCAACTTACCCTGTCCGAAGCGCTTCGGAAAGCAGTGGAATGGAGACGGGTGTAAAGTCCCGAATTTCCTTTGCAAGACGAGGTACTTCCTCAGTCGGATCCTGAGTAACAAGGTCATCTTGACAGCATGGAACAAAAGAGATGGCAACACTGACCACCTCGCCGAAGTTGAGGATGTGTTTCCTTAGGATTTGCTCAGGAGTCTCGTGTACTTCATGTCTGTGGTGGTCACGGTCGTCTAAAGACTCATGGAGTTGCAGCGACGAATTCAACGCGTCATTTCGTAGTTCCCTTACCTCTGTTTCTTCTGCGGTGTCCTCCACGATGGGGTCTGTCGTACATTTTTGGTTTACAGTCAATGGATAACTTTGTCAGTATGGACTCTCGTCAACGAACAAAACACTAAAACGCCCGGACGTCTATTCACGCCGTGCGAAACTTTCCCGGGAAGTTCCCATCCGAGCGGACTGGCCTCGAGTCTGCCGTATTACTTACAAACATAAGACCGTTCATAGACAGCGGGAAGACGTCGACGGTGACTGAGGACAGTCATTCGCCTGTGCAACAGCTTCTGGTGCTGTAGTCGCTGGTGAGATCTGTTCGTGAATGTTCGAAATATCTGAAAACTAATGCAGGCACTTTAGGAATGCTAGACACATGCAATGCATCCAGTCAACGAGCCTCCATAACATACTAAGAGGCAAAGCCCTCCGTGACCTCTCTCTGCCTCACCACTTTTCCCGCGACTCCTCGTCACTTCTCTCTCAACTCTCAATTTCTTCCTACTTCTCTCTACACCGTTCGTTTCAACGACGTTCTGTATCGTCAACAGTTTCCAGATACGCACAAAGTCTCGCGTATGCATCCCCCTCTCCGCCCTTCACAGAACCACATGATTCGCAGCAGGATGGAAAATCTCCCCGTTCCCCATCGTCCAATGCTCGGGATGTGCGCGGACCAAGCAGCTCTCCGACACGGCCACCCGGTTCACAGGCTCTAGCTCTATCCCTGCAGGCATCCTCCCCTTCCTTGACACCAGCTCAAATCTCTCGCGCAGCCTCACAGGCCATACGAATATCTTGTGCAAGGCGCCAACACTTTGACGCGCTTTACATCATTAACTCCCTACGCGAGTCAATACGGCCCGATGGAAAGAAGCTGCAGCCAATCCTCAACAAGTCGTTCCCCCGTGTCCCGTTCTACCCTGTCAAATTTGGAAAGGCTGTCTCTCCCGTCCTTGCTTCCCATTGTCTCTTGCATCATTATCTGCGTTCTGGCAGGACAACGAAAGCGCGGAAGTTTTCAGAGCAGCTCATGCGCGAAGGCATCCCAATCAAGAGCAAGACTTTACATTTTGTAATACAAGCTCAGTTACACACAATGGCCCCGCCTCCGCCCCAAGAAAAGATTCTATCTCGGCAAATGTCGCACTCACTAGAGGGCCTTTTGGAACGCCCGACAGCGATCAGGGACAAAAGCTTGCGCTACTCTACTCTCTTGCTTCTTCAAGCACATCAACACCGGCAGAGGTTCCAGGATGAAACAGCCCAAATGGTCATCAATGCTTGCCTATTCCAAGGGGAACTTCTCGTTGGGTGCCTGGTGTTCGTGGTACTCGTCAAAGGCTGGCTCCTCCGCCAACAGGCAGCCGCCCATTTTAAAGCCGAGATCGCTACACAGGAAGGGAAGTCTGGAGGGCCAGCCCTTGAGGGCCAGACGGGCTGGGAAAACCTTGCCACCATTAATAATGATCCTCCACCAAGGAGCATGCTGAACGAACTTCTCAAGCATTATGAGGTTGACTTGCTACAGCACGCAAATCAGCCTACGAGAATCGCTCTGCAGATGCTTGCCAACTTGGCTGGCTCAATTGATCGGCGCGAACTACCCTATGATGAGATCTCTAAGCTTTTACGAGTGCTGTACTCGGTCCCAAAAGTTCACGATACGGTTTGGGTTGTAGAGAACGGGATAGAGAAACAGGTTCAAGCATACACCTACATCCACGCAGTTTTGGATCGCCTCGTGCGCTCACCTCCCACAACCAGAGCGCGACGCCACCAGAATTACCAGGGCTTACTACCCCTCTCTGTCCGTTCATACAACTCCCTGCTGCATTATGCGCTCCGACATCAGTATTCGGTCGAGCTAGCTACACAGTTGCTTGACCATATGGAGCACAAACGAAGGCCACCCCTCAAGCCCAACACAAGCACATACAACATCCTTGTGCGGGCCGGAACGCTTATCCGGCATAACGATGTTAGCAAAGCAGCTCTTGAGGCCCTGAGGATCAAAACGGAGCATGTACAGAACGCTATTTCTGCCGGGCCGCCTTCGTCTCAGAAGAACGAACAAGCTGGTCCGATCGTCCCTTCGGATCCCCTTCCGTCCGAGCCGCTCGCTACGGACGCGCACACCTTGTCGAGTTACATCTTGCATCTAACGTCCACCGGTCGTCCAGCTATGGTTGCTCAAGTCCTCTTCCAAGTGTTACCGGAGTTGTCCATTATCGACCATCCATCATGGGGTGACGTGACAAGAGAACAACGTGACATGATGCGCCTACGCACCCGTGAAGAACGCTTGAAACGGGCTGTGTCTCTTGGCCCGCACTTTTTTACTGCCGTGCTTAATGCACTCACCAAAGCAGGCAAGACGGGACTTGCGGAGCGCGTCTGGCTACTTGCCAAGCAGGCCGAGCGCGCAAGCTGGCTGTGGGCGCCCGAGGGGCAACCAGTCAAGGCCTGGTGTCTTCCCGTACATGCTTACACGATCATGCTTCAATGCTATGGCGCTGAGGCACGCAAGGCGAACCGGGGAGTTCGCCGCTCATGGGACCTCTCAGGTGACGACGCGGCCTGGACGCCAAAGCACAAAGTTCATGTGCGCGGTTGGGCGCATTATGTGCTCTCGCGCAAGGTCCAGGGCTCGTCGCGCCGTCAGACGGGTCTTCGAATGAGCGCATGCCTGTACCGTGCAATGTTCCGAGGCGCTCGCAATATAATGCACTCGCTTGGGGAGACGCTGAAGTTACCGGCCGCGGTTGAGCTGCCACAGCCTGATGCACGATTCTTCAACGCTGCGCTAGATATCTTTGACAGGAATCTCTCGACTTGCCGCAAGATGAAAAACCGATCGTTTTCTGGTTGGAAGGCGAAATTGCGGAGAGCTAAGCTACGCTTTGTCAGGCGCGGACAACTTGTTCGTGGCCATAATCCCTTCCTAGTTCGCATCTGCCACGACATGGTCAGTGCAGGGTACAAGCTCCCGGTCGGCCTCAAGGTATTTATGATCGGCCGCACGTCATCTGTACTCAAGGAAAACCAGGGAACCGTCGCTCAACTCCCTGTCGGACATCCCTCGTGCAGGAGAGAAGCGTTCAAACCCTGGGCTCTTGCGACAGAGAAAACGCGCGGCATGCATATACGGCGTAGGGAATGGAGATCACATGGTGCGCAATGGAAACGGCAGTGTAGACGGACACAAACCAAACACAGAGATGTTACGGTAGACACAGCATAATAAACAATTGAAAATGTGATATAAATTTGACAATCATGTCCGTGACTTGGCCTTGAATGACATCACAACGACGTTCTTCTGCACGTCCCGAGCCGTGCACTCTCCAACGTCCGCGAGGGCAGCGACAATCTCGTCCGGGAGCACATTGATGTCCTTGGGCGAGGGCGGCTTCTGCCCCCGCTTCGGCGCAATAGCGACGTCAACGCGAATGCCTTTCTCGAGCTCTTTCCGCGCTTTGCCCAGTTTGTGCTGCAGGTCCCCGCCGGCGACGCCCCACGTGAGCTGCACCTCCTTGCGCGTGCCCGCGCGGGTTCCTTGCGACTGCTTCTTCTTGAGCTCTTTGTGTTGCGCCCACATCGCCTGCCTGTCGCCGACCTTCACGATAGGTTCCGGTTCGGTTGACACCAGCTCGATGAACTCTGTCTTCGGGTCACGCTCCTCCAGCAGCTTGCGCAGCGAGACGGTCGTTTCGCTGAGCTTGCCGGTCTCTGGGTCAACGACGCGCACAACAGGGTGGGGGATAGCTGGGCCGAAGACGCGATTTGGGAAGTCAGAGCCGCCCTCGAAGTGCTTGGTCTTGTATTGGCGCGTTCCCTGTGCGCGGAGAAGCTGGTTGGCGCATGTAACGCGCGATGGTGTGGAGGCCGTTCGCAGGAGCGAAGCGGGCAGCATGTTCTGGTACAGAGTCAGCTGAATGTGTTCATTCAACAAGGAGCATAAATGAAGCAAGACGTCTTTACCAATGGTATCGAACGGCGACTATGTCCCGGAAAATATGTTTAATACTACTTGCAATGTCGCACAACGTCAACTCGGTCCGAGAACCATTGTTTGCTCGTGTTGAAATCTGAAGCTCTTGGTAAACAAGCCCAAACCACATCCATTGGCAGAAAAACTTGTCTCGCTCAACCTTTGACCACTTCCATCGACAAGAGCATGTAACTGCACGGCAGATTTAAACCATGGTAAGCTAACTCGATCTGATATTCGTCACATGACGATACTTTCTTGTCGAACATGGGGAGGACAACCTCTAGATCTTCCCTTCGTTCCGCATGCTGAATCGTTTTGAGGACGTTTGCAATGGAACGCAGGATTGGTCGCTACCGTGTCATGATCCTCTTTTGTTATAGTTATTCTGACTTATCACCATCTTTATCATGATTGGATCTTATGGCTGACTTCAATGCTATTCAACAGGGCAAATGTGAGTGGTGGTGGATGGATATTACATGCGTCATGTGGTAGTCTATGGCGTCCTCTAAGGCATGTTATTATAAAACGCATAAGTAAACGGTGATATATCGCCCTTCATCTTGAAACAAATCTCTGCTATGAGTTGAGCCCAGGCCCACGCTTTTCTTCGCGTCTCAGTGCTGATGTCCGTAGCAAGTACGCAATGTTTTCGTAGACGACGAACGTCACGCAAGTCCCAGGGAGAACGCGTACAAGGTTCGTGCCCAGGCCACGATACAACCCTTTGATGCCCTCGCCTTGCCAGGTGCGCTTGATGGTTGTGGGGATATTGGGGTATAAATGAGTAGTTGCATTATTCTAGGAGTACATTAGCGCTGCACCATTCTGGTTTTATATAACCCGAAGCATGCGAACCTGTATTCGAGAACGAATAACTTGGTAGGGGTATGTTAGTGTCAAGGCCCACAGTTTACTTGCTCCCGACATGACGGTGTACGCCGTGTTGGACTACATGGATGTAAGACGCTGCTATGTAAGCAAAGCTGAAAACTCACCAGCTTCTCGTCCTCCGGACCCATGATCTTGCCAGCTTTTGCGAACTGTTTCCGCTTCTGGTCGAAACCCCACCGTTTCATCTCCTCGTAGGCCATAAATTGCACCGCTCCATTGCTGACGCCGACAAGTGCCAAACTGGTCCCTCTCCACAAGCCAGCAAATCCCTCCTTACGTACGATAGAGGACAGTCCATCTATAATGACATTTATTAGTGCTTCGGTACCGTGTATGGTGTAATGGACGTACGCCAAAGACCTCTATACGCGGTTGCGTTGTCTGCACGAGTGGTGAACATGCGTACTTTGACCACCCATATTGGATTCGTCATTATAGCCGTCACAGCACCTGAAGAACGATCAACATTCAGAATGCTAAGAGTTTGCGGAGATGTACATACTCGCTTCTGCAGAACAAAGGAGATAGGTAGAAGCGGGCATACGATAATTGGGATCATCGCCTGCTGCACGTTTCTTGAGCATATTATAGCTTTAGGTCTATATTAGTCTGCGCTAAGATCCCAAGAAATGGGGTACTCACAAGAGAAAGTACAAACCCCAGCTAGAGGCGTTTCCAGTAATGTTTGGACTAACACCACGATAGAGACCTTTCCAACCATCCTGGACCCTGATATCCCTGAGCGTGTTCCATATGTGTTTTCCAGCGCCTCCAGCGGGCTTTTCTGTAGCGACCTGGAACTTGACTTTGAGCAAGTCAAGCGGATGCATGCACAACACGGCGACTACGCCGGCACCAAGGCCAGCTGCAGCATGATCCTATTGCAAAGGTTAGTGTATAGATGAAACGAACGCGAGGTTACACAAACTAATGCAGTTGTTGGAAAGAATGAAGGTTGATGTTGGGCCATACGGCCCCGGTTAGCTGTTGGCGTGCAAAGAGAAGGTGGTCCGGAAGCACTTCCGGAGCCCGGAAGCCGTCATAGCTGACATGTTATGCCGATCAATTCATATTAGGCGCCCACTTCCGTCTCGCGCACCTCCTCGTCGCCTGCAACTGTTTCCTCAGTGCACTTTGCATACCTTCATCTGGCCACACGAGATCAGAAACGTCGTCAACACGATCTCATTCTCAGTCGCACTTCTCACGCAGCGCATCCTCGGCCTCTTCTCCTCTTACGGGTGCAGACAATACTTTACTGGGCTTCCGGCACTCTGTACAACTCCTGAATGATGTAAAAAAACAATCTCGCTATATGCTCAACAGTCCACCCTTCCGTGGGGTCTCTCACGATTTGTGGTGGACCCCGAGCCCTCCACTATTCTATGGCAGACCACGACCTTACAGAACGGAGTACCTGTCATCTCCAAGCTCAGAGGTTGCAGGGTGTATCAAGGGAAAACGGCGCGAGACCAACAAATATTTGTCAACTACATACTACATGCAAATGATCGCAGCGCTTCGGGGGTACATAGTTGTCGAGATACGTTTCGTTAGAAAATCGAGATGCACGCTAAGATCCTCCCAGGCACTCCGCTCCTTGTGTCTGTCTCCGAAACTCCATTTCGTCTAGCAGTGCACCATGATAAAATTGGCCAGTTACTAGCCACGGTACTAGAGACGTAGCTTTTGTCCGAGGGCATACTTCATCTGGGATCCTTGTGCGAGTAGTGCCACTAGTACCAGACACTCGATATCCTCAATTCTTTTTACGTTTTCCTCAGCCCCGGGCATAAAGTATTAGAGTGTAACACATCAAAATCCCGTAGGCATGCATCTTGGACCATTACTATAGCTAGCTGCCATCAACCATCGTTCAATCATCGCTCAACAATATCTGATTTGAGTCCAAGAAAAAGCAGCACTATCTATGTAAGCCTGATTTCTAATTTTCTATTACAAGGTTTATGTACTGGCTAGCTAGGTATGCACAGAAGGAAAATTCGCGTACAGTAAAATGATTTTGACGTCTCGTACACGCACACAGAAAAAATTGGTGAGAGTCGTATCGTAGTCGTGTCATTACCGATGATCAATGAACGTTTGTCCGAGAAGTATGGAACGATGAGAAAAGAAAGAGATTGGGAACGTTGGGAGTCGACATCCGAAACACGCATCTGAATGGGGTTCCACCCGCACAACGTGAACGTTGAGTCCGGGGTTGTGGATTTGATGAGGCAGCGTGATACGCGCGTGTCATAGGCTGGGATCGATCGAAGAAAGCCTGTGAGGGGTTCGCTCCCACTCGCGTCCTGGTTGTCCATCAAGGTAACCGGAAGCGACGAATAATTAGAGGCAGGGCAGGGAACGCATGAGGCCGAGACAAATAGGAAGGCAAGGCTAGAAAAGGTCGATGGATGATTGGATGATCGGAGTGAGAGATTGTGGCGATGAGAACCTGCATGGATGCGATGAGTGAATTGCGATTGGGGATATGAAAGGTGGCGTTTTGGGGTTGGATGAGATCTAGCGCGCGCCATAGAAACCCAGATGATGTCAAGAGCGAGGCAGGGAGAAAGGGAAAGATAAGATAACCGAAACTATTGCATCAACAGCAGAGGGCTGCTTGCCTGCCGACGACTCTGCCAGAATAGCCCATTCAACAAAAGTTATAGATACCCGACCACTACGGGCTTGCCATCCCAATATCTGAGTTTCGTGCCTCCACCTCGGCACGGAACACGCCTTCGGCATCTACCTCGTTTTCATCCTCGTCATCGTCACCTGAACAACTGGACTGGCGAGGGCGAATCGTTGGCTCATCATCCGTGGTAGATCCGCCCTCTGTCTCCGTCTCCGTATCAGCCTCGGACAGGATACTCCGTGCATCTTCATCTTCCCCTCGTGCCGCCCGCATGCTAGGAGTGCGGTTTCTGTCAGTGGCTGTGTCCATAGCATCCGCCGCCTGAGCTGCAGGAGAGGGGAAGGATAACGGCCGACAGTGTGCGGGAGGAGCTGTGGGCAAAGCGCCAGCACTTTGAGAAGATGAGATATCTGATGCTGAGGGATCGGTGGACTGCGAAAATATTACAAGCTGCTCGGCGTATTTCTGCATTTCTTGGGGGGATATGACAAGATTAAAGTCGTTGAGCAACAGAAACTGTAGCTCAAGCTGATTCAACTCCGCTTGCGGGAGGCCGCCAACCTATTTCGAGTGCGAAGCATCGTTGAGATGATATCATTCCGGATCGATTTAAAATAAAGTACTGACCTTTGCATACCGCGAATTGGTGTAGAACACATCGCTGAAAAACTTGCTCGCCACTGTGACACCAGCAATGACGAGCCGATGCACGTTGTAGGAGTCAATGACAAACGTGCGACTGGTCGCCTCAGCCGCGAGGCGAGACATGCGATCGAAGTAGACCAGGAGTGCAAGGAAAACTTCGTTTGTGGTGGGACAGTACTTGAGGATGCGAAGAAGGTATGCGTCGAGTGCAATGGTAGGGATGTTCCGCGCATGGAATGTCAGCGCGCTGGTTGGATTCGCAAGCGACTCTCGAGAAGCGGTGGTGAGGGTGCGCCAAAGTGGTGGTCGTGACGAGTCTGGTATGTGCGTAGATTCATGGGGGTTAGGGGTGGGGAGGGCATCATTAGTGGAGGCAATCTGGGTGAGAAGGGACGCAAGGAGGCGGAGCAGGTCGGTTGATGGGTATGTATGGATGTCGATGGGTGCTGGTGCTGCATTGAGCGGTGAAGCGATCCCGTTGGGAACAGACGTAGGAGTTGAAGGAGTGGGTATGGGTGTTTTGCTGGTACTCGCTGCAGTGATAGTGACACGACTTGAGCTTGAGCTGTTGGTATCGACGCTAGTGGTGCTCTCCGGAGGTGGTGTAACATCCGGCCGATCTGACTGGTCTCGAGCCACGGCGAATCCTGCGGCAGACGTTGGTCTAGAAGAAAACGGTGTGGCAAAGACGCTTGAGCTCAAGGATGCAGATGCAGAGGATGCGGAAGAGCCAGGGGTGTAAGAGGAAAATGAAGAGGAGCTGTGTGGCAAAGGAGGTTTTCTCTGCTTGCGGACGGAAGATGAGGATGAGGGTACAGATGTCGACGCGGAGGTGGTGGACGACGAAGACGATGACGGTTGTCTGAGAAGGGACCTGTCAATGGCGGAGTGGTCTGTCGGCTGTGGATGGAGAGCGTTGACGAGAGCGAGCATGGCGATTGTGATGAAGAGGAGAGAGGCAATAATCAAAGGAGAAAACACTCAGACCGTATTGCAGCCGCTTTCTGACCGTGAGAATACAACTCTATTCGTGGGAATCACGTCCTCGACCCCGCAACGTTGACGGACTTCGGATTTGAAGCTTCGGAAGGACTCAAGTACTCAGCGCCAGAACCTAAGTTGACCGACGTTTGGGCGGGTTGAAAACGGGTGGTGGTCAAGGAAGGAAAAGGGCAGGAGGTTCGCTCTCAGCTGGCCCTATAATGTGGACCCTCATCAACCTATCAGCACGGTCCCACAAAAACGTGGGTTTCTAAGCGCCCGCCAAATTGAGTACTTGGCTTTCTCCAAACCAATCCCGGTCGACATTTGAAATTTGATGTATGTACTGACAGTACGACGGTGCACGTCAATCGGCTTTGCCATCTCGGTCACCACGTCTACGTTTGTAAGGAACGACTATCTTCCGCGCTACATAAAGGTCTCCTTTTCACGATCACCCGCTTTCCCATACCCTGGTCTGACCCAGTGTGCCCTCACAAAGACTCCAACTCTCCCCAATCCCTACCTATATCTCATGTCTTTATCGCAATCATCGCACCAAAGGCTAAATACAGCACTTCTCTGACCACCTCTATTGCAGTCTACTCTCCAATCTTGGTTACGCCGATCGATTCTTGCGCATGTCCACATCACGTTTTCAAAAGCCAAAAACCACGCGACATCGCCCGAGTTCCATCTGTAAACTATGTACCGTCCTCAGCCCTCCTGATCATCGTGGCCATCTGGCCTCACCTGTCAACTGTTTGCGATGTCAATCCGGCCAGTATCCGGCCTGACCTGGTTCTCTCTCTAAAACCCCTGGTACGATGACAGTCCGCTGTACCTCAACGTTAACTCTGGATGCATGTGTCAGTGAACATTCTTCCAGGACAGTAAAAAATTGGCTCTTCTCTGATGTACACAGCCACGGCATGAGCTCATCTCCCGAAAGCTGAAAATTCAAACGTTCAAACGTTCATCTGCCATTGACGCGACTAAATCTATAGGTTGAAATGAAAAGCTCCCATGTGTCCATATATCCTCCGCTCGTCTTTGAACTGAGACTTCCAACGTTCTCGACTACAGGCCCTCGAAAGCATGGAGTGCGAATGTGGCGAAGACAGCGTTCACCTTGCAACCGCTTCGAGGGTCTGATATGATCTCATTTACGTGGTGGATGATATAGCAATGTGCAATGATGTCAACGTACTGATTTTACGCACTTGCCGTTTATATATATACTGGTATGAACAAATTTTACTATATATGTATGAAGTTTATATATGTGGGCCTAGTACTAGCTATGAGCAATTGCAAGTGATTGCCTATATCATGGTGTTCTCATGAAGAACAATCCGCAGTTTTCGCTCCGGCGCCATCATTTCCACTGGCTAACGGCACATTTTCCTGACCACCTCAAACAGTAAAATGCCGACGTTGCAGCGCCAGAGCACTGATATCCTTTCGGATTTGCGTATACCCTCAGAGTTTACGGCATACGAAAAGATCGCAGAGGTGGAGACCCTCCGGCGATTGGAAGAATGGAAAGCGCGTGCGCAAGAGGCACTTCAAGAACTCAGAGAAATGCTAGTGCGCTTGGAAGGGACAGATACCTCTCAGGAAATTAAAGAGGGTAACTCAGATGATCGAAACAGATCAGGGCAGTCGAAGAGAGTTCGGGACGATGCAGCAGTCATCCAGGCCGTTGCACCTTTCGCCGAAGAGGAACTAGGAGTAAGCTCGACCCCGTGGACGACGCCGTCATCGCGTGCCCATGCCCAAGGTGTGCTCTGCATCCCCTCTTTTACAATTGTCTGTCAAAGGTTCATTGTGCTGATGGCTGAATGTCAGCCATACTTGCACCGTACGATACCCTTCCCGCCCCACTTGCCCTGGAGCTTTTGACGCTTGTCAAGCCGATCTTCGCGAAGAACCTACACCCACGTCTACATCCCGAGACCGCTCGTGCCCTCGCACGGCCTGCAGGCGGGGATGCAGCAACGCAGGACTACTTCGAGGCCCAGGAATGGAAGAAATGCCCAGGCATCGGTGGTTTACTCGCGTGGATCCTCACTCGGATGGAGGTGCGCATATACCCAGCTGTACTGCTCTCTTTCTCGTCTCTAGGAACTAAGTGGGATTGTAGGCCGAGGCGTATGAGCGGGCTTGGCCATTGGTTATCCCGCCTATGATGGCGTTCATAGACGACTACGAGCCTCACCACAAGCTTGCCGGCGTACGCATCGTCGCTCGCATGCTCGAGCGCGTTCCTCCTGAACTACTACGCCGAACTGGACTCGATGCCCTCTTGAACAACGTGAGTTCTTTTCCTTTAGTATCGTTCGCTGTCTAGATGGAACTCAACACATCCGAACTCCACTTTGATGTTCCGACTGCAGTCCCTTTCTTCTGCATTCCGCTCACTTCACAGCGATCACACACCCGATCTCCTGCGAGCTACTGTTCCTACCCTTCTGCTGCTCACAGATAAGAGTACTTCACCGGCAACCGAGACTCGCGCAGAGCGCCTCAGCGCGATCATTGGCGACGGGCTCATCGGCACCGTATGGACCTACGCATACAGGGACCCAGAAACGCTTGCCGCGGCAACCGAGATGGTTGCAGTTGTCGTGCAAAGGATTGGGATTGGTGCTGCACGATGGTTGAAGGTATATCAACGTTATGTTCACTTTTCCATCTGGGACATTAACTCACGTACCCAAGGCCATAATCCCACAACTCACTCACGCCCTGGCCGCATCTGCTAACGTTGGCATTGATGCTGGGCTTCCTACGGTTCCCATGTCCAGACTGCTTCAAGTTGCATCAGCGCAGACATTGGCCATCGTTGTCGAAGTATGTGCTCCACGCATGGGGCGCTGGCGGTACACTATTCTGGATGGCGTCGGACGCTGCTGGATCTCGCTCGAAGACCGGCTCCGTGAAGGCGAGAAGGAGGGCCCCGAGGAAGATGTTCTCCGCATAGCGCTCAAAGGGGTGGTCAAGAACTTGCAAGCAGCATGCGAGGAAACCACGAAGGTTTGCAACTAATATCTACCTGGCGATCCCTTGGGCTAACACACCAAAACCCAAGGACCTTGTCGAGTTATGTGTTTTCGATGACCACCTCTTCGCTGGGCTCTTGCCATCCACCGAAGCATAAAATTTAAAAAATTAAGAAGAAGAAGAAAAGAAAGAAAAAACCTGCAAACCATGCTGCTTGCACTTTCTGTGTAGCGCTTTGGATGCAAAGAATGCTCTAGGCGATGCTTCCCGACCCCACATGCCCCCAACTGCTGGCTGTATTCACCCCCTGGACGTATCCCAGACTTGAGATAGGACTGCATATCTCCTATAGTGCGCAGGTGTCTTCAGCCCTATGTCAATAATGACTATTTGTCGCCACATGCACGGAATTGAGGTCTTATGGTCAGCCAAAGTTATCGATTGTCCTCAAACTGTTTTGAGCCAAAGGCGAACCCTATGAATGCCTTCTCCCTGAAGCGAACGTATGAAATCTTTTGTCAATGAATACGATTGCTATACTTGCGCATGCTCATGCTCGAGGAAAACGCGCTCGAACATGGGAACTTTACGCAACATGGCTCAATGTGACGTCGAAAGCTTATGGGGTGAGTTCCAAAGCCCAAGAGGACAATGGCATCCTGCTGACACATGTGCCATTCGGATTCAACTGACGCTGGCGCGCACATCTCTCCCTTCAACTTGAACGTTGACAACGTTGAACGTTGAACAACAACCGTTTGCATATAACCTCCACACATATCATACCATCCGCACGCAATGTCGTTGATCGCATTGAACCTTTTCCTCGCCGCCCTCTTCCTATCTTCCTTCATCACCGCCTTCGTCTTCGGCCCTAGGTCGACCGTCGGATCTGCGATCCTGGTCGGCGCGGTCTTCCTGTCATTCCTTATCACCATCATCTACCTCTCCCGCCACATAATCAATACCACCCGGTACAAGGCAACCCCCATCCTGCCCATTCATACCTCGGCATTGGACATGCATGTATTCCTCCCTGGCAATGCACCAGTAGTGACGCGCTCAGTTCAACGCAGCTCTCACCATGGCCACCAGCGTCACGCCACTGCCCCAGCCGTGTTCTACCCCACCTTCTCTACCACTTCCAGACGCGTTGACGTCGTTGAACATATCTTACAACGCGTGGAACGCATAGAAGACGCGACACTAGCCACCAACAACACATCTACCGCTACCTTCTGTCGCCCCTCCAACCCCATAGCTGCGGAGCTGAACTCGACCATGTCGAACATCGTTGCCTCTCAACAGCCAACACCATCGACGGTGTCAGTCTCGGACTCGCTCCCTTCAGTTGATTCCATCGTGCGACGCGTCCGCAATAAGTTCGATATCGCGGTTGCATCCCCGGCGCCAACGTCCCACTCCGAATCCTTACCTTCGGTCGACGCGCTTGTCCGACGCGTCCATCGGGCCATCACCGCAAGCAACCCGATCTCCCAGGTCATCTCCATCCCTTCTAACGTTGGCGATATCCTTCGTCCCACGAATCCCATAGGCGAGATGCTCGATTCTCCATCCGAAACTTTCTCTCCTCCCAGCCGCAACCCTCTGCGCATCGTCGGCGCTGCCTTAGCTCCTTCTGACGACTCTCCCATCCTAGCGTTACACCACAGCCCCATCTCTATCAACTCTCCCTCTCATCCCAACTTCGTGTCAGAACCCCGCCACCGGTTGACAGCCTTGGACAGCGGTCCCTCGATGCCTCTTTCAATCAGCTCAACCCCCCACCCATGGGTGTCCAGCAGTACCCCCAAGACGTCCACCGAAGTCCAGGAGTTGGAACGTATTGACGTATTCTATCGTCGCAAGCACAGTTGCGATGCCTCCTTCGACTCCCCTTCACATCCTAACTTTGTGCCGGAGCCCCTGCGCCGATCCTCCGCCCTGAGCAGTGGTCCCTCGACGCCACTTTCCTTCAGCTCAACACCCCGCCCATGGGTGCCCAGTAGTGTTGCAGATCGATGGCCTTGTCGATCATCGCCACCCTCCACCGACAGCCCAGTTGTTTTTTCGAGCGGCGACGGTCCAGTTTCACTCACTCCTTCCCTGTCACTCCAGCAATGGGCTCCAGCTCTCCTTCTGGACTCGGCACTGAAGATGCCTGAGCCCATCCAACTTGATTCATTCCCCCCTGGCGTTGTTGATTCGCCCATCCCTTCTGCAACCACCCCGGAAGGCAACATCTCCAAAGATCGACCTGGGAAAGGAACGAGACAACTTTGGCGGAAGCTGATGCGGAGGACGACGAGTGAAGTTTCCTCAAACCTGCCTGCGTAATTTATCCCTATTTATCTGCTCCATATACATTCACTCTAAGGTATGTTTAGGTATCCTTACTCTGGCGTAGCAACGTACTTGATTATTGTGCCGTCGAATAGGGATGATAGAACGATAGTCACTTAGGTAGCATACTGCACACTTCAATTGTACCATAGACTATTTGCATTACCAACTTCGCATCTTCAGACTTCATGTACTATATACTCCCAGCTGCACCACCATGGAATTTATCTTGCATTTCATGACTTTGGTTCGATCAGATTGAAGTTTAGATATTAATTATTGCAAGACTTAGATATTATATCAACTTCGGCCGAGTCTCTTATGAAAACCTAGTTATACGCACCTGTGACTATCACGACGTTCTGACGAGGTGTTATGAAGCGTAGTACAGGTACCATGTTAAGCTTTGCTCAGATGTCTGCTCTCGTATGTATGGAAGGATATCATTATTTTGTGTAAACGTCTACGCAGATGTTCGCTCCCTTATGTGCAAGTTATTAGATGCAAACTCTATCGACCATCAATGGGCATAGCTCCGTCTTACAGCTCGTCCTTGCCGGTCGCGTCATCATCAGTGGGTGGCGTGCATAGCGCAGGAGTCGTGCCCGTGATCTGGTACTCGCACTTCTCGAGCTCAGCCACGCTGAGCAGTGCGTTCTCTATGCCACATTCAAGGACAAGTTCAACACTGCGCTGCGGACCGTTCCAGCACTTGGCTCCGAGAGTGTAGCGCTGCTTGTGGTAGTATGCGGGCGTGCCTGGCTCTTGTTGTGTATCCCACGAGGTGAATTTGCTGCGAAGGAGGGGCAAATTAGGCGAGCTGCATTTGATTCATGAAGACGCGGAGATCGCTCACCCGAGAGAGAAGTTGGAGCCGCCCTTATTGGGCTTCTGTTTCGCCTCATCGAAGAGGCAAATCTCATACGTGTAGTCGCCCGTGTCTTTGGACAAGCAGAGCCCATCGAGTTTCTTCCACTCGCCCTCAGGCCCGAAACCCTTGGGGTCGAAGATATCCCCGAAGTCCACTCGAGCCTCTTTGAGCTCATTCTCCGTAAGCTTCAGGCTGTGTTCGCTGTCCGAGAGCTCCTGGCGAGCGAAGTCCGCACCTGAGAAAACGTCAAAAGACGAAAAACTGGAGAAAAGGGCTGTTTCCTTACTTCCGGACACATCAACAGGTTTTGCCAAGCCAAACGCGGCAAGCCACGAGACGACGATATCGCGGAAAGCTTCGAATTCCGGACGGATGGAGTCAGGAACGTAAGAGGAAAGATCAAACACTATGGGTCATTACAACGGCACTTGCGAAGAGCAACAATGATGACTTACAAATAGAGGGGCCCGGCGCATCAATGTGTTTGTCGTGCTGCAACAGCAGAGAGGTATGATCTTCTTTGAGTAACTTGTCCAGCTCCTTCTCAATCTTCGCCGCATCCCAGATGCCCTCTTCGAGCTCCTCAGCCTCTTGCACCTGACCCTCTGCAGCCGCATCTCCTGCGCCCTCGCTCTCGTCCTTGCGCACATCATTGATATGTGGCAGACCCGCAAGCGTCTCCCATCCACGCACAGCCTCTAGAACCGCCATATCTTGGTAGTTGGGGTTGTATCCCGTCCGAAGGGAGTCAAGAACCTCGCCGAGTGCCTTCTCGCGCTCGAGATGCTTCTTATGCTCTCGTTGAAGCGACTTCAAAGCGGTGTGGTGTGTAAGGAGAGACTGGTAGAGTGCTGTTCGACCAAGTGTTAGCCCGCTAGCTCGGAACATTTGTCCAGACGCGAGACTCACGCGACTTCTGCTTATGCTCAATGTCAGCAGCAGACAGGGACTCGGCGTGCTCGGCAATCTCCCGCAGACGCGCGACTTCCGCCTCCCTGGTCGCGACTTCCTTCTCCAACTCTGCGATGAGGCCTTCAAGGCGCGTCTTCTCCTTGTGCGCGTATGCAATGTATGTCGAGCGGATTTTGGAACCCTGGAGAAAGGTGGCGCGTCAGGACTGTTGGTGGTTAACATATAGCAACGTTGTACCGTCTTCTGCATCTTGCGCTCAGCATCTCTCTTCTTCCTGTACTCCTTGCCTACTTCGTCGCAAACATTTGGACAAACGCCGGGTTTCTCGTCGGAACCGTCGCAACATTCAGGCTCTGTTAACAAATGAACACTATATACTTAAAGTTGAACCATACAGGTAGCTTACCACAAAGACCATCATTCACCCTAGAGCTGAGGATGCTCGAGCCAATGTGACCCGCGTTCCGACAATAGAATGAACTGTTCGGGCATGCACTCGTCCCTGGAATTATGTCATGTTATACGGTCCAAGTTTATTCGAAGAAAATAGCGACGCACCTGGCTCATCACTCCCATCTGGGCAGTCACAGTAGTCGTCGTTCACCGCGCTCCAAGCAATCTCCTTTGACCCATCAAGACACTTCCAAGTACTCCCTTGAGGCGCATATCGCGCGAGCAAGTCAGGGCGGACGCCGTGGGTCTTGTCAAGCGCGCCAAGCACAGGGAGAGGAGCGAGGAGCAACGGGAGCCAGGCCACCATACTGTTAGAGTTATAGCAGACCAACTATAGTTTAATTAGTATGGTCAAGAGTTGTTCGTAGCGCACCGCACCCCTACGTGTTATGGAGACTTCCCGAAACGCGCTGTCCGCCACATTTACGTAAGCATTATTAAGGCGGCGATCCGGTTGATGCCGTATAGCCCTGATCTCTGGAAGCTGGGGAAACGAGCTCGACATCGCCGCTGAAGAGGCCTCACGACAATGGTGAGTATAGCACCCTGTCAGACCACTCCGATGCCCTCGAGACGCGATATGAAGCTCCCTGAAATGCTGCTGGGCTTTATCGCGCGGTCCTTTCGCCTGGATTCCACTCGTACTTTCTGGATGGAACGCTGACCTACCGCTCTCTCATCAGGCTAAAGCTAAAGCAGCTCCCACCTCCGGTGGCGGCAAGGCCGCCAAGAAAAAGAAGTGGTCGAAGGGAAAGGTCAAGGACAAGGCCCAGCACGCCGTCGTTCTTGACAAGCCTACCTTCGATCGTATTTTCAAGGAGGCTCCCACCTGGCGCCTCATTAGCCAGTCCATTCTCATCGAGCGTCTCAAAATCAACGGCTCTTTGGCCCGTGTGGCCATCCGCCACCTCGAGAGGGAGAACCTTATCAAGCGTATCGTGCACCACTCTGGCCAGCTGGTCTATAGTACGTTATTGTTGATTAGATGGGAGTTATGTTTTGACCTTTCTCTCCTTAGCTCGGGTGACGGCTGCCACCGACTAGAGTACTACCATCACTTGCATTTCATTTGTTTATGCTCATCGTTAAGCACATGTACTCCATCGCACATTACCAAAATCCATGCACTTGAAAAGGCTCCAATGGATTGATACAAACGATTGAGTACAAGCAATCGCAAATGGATATGGGATGCAGGCAAGTTCATACAATTCTGTGCGTATCACATATTTTCTGCTATTGCCTGAGTTCTAAGAGATTCAGCGACAATCTCATCTCACATCTCCCCACATTCTATTGCAAAGAATTAAGATGCTGACACTCGATCGCCACCGCTGGGCAACTCACCTGTTATTTTCACGACCAGTTTGGGTCTATTGTTGGGACCAGTCGGAACGTTCTCAATCTTGCGTAGCGTGAGCATGCCGTCTATGACTTTTCCGAAGACGACATGCTTTCCGTCAAGGAAGTCGCACTTAGCCGTAGTGATGAAAAACTAGCACCAGGTTATCAGCACATGCACACTATTCTGTGGATCAAGGCAAACCTGGCAGCCATTGGTGTTTGGTCCTGAGTTCGCCATGGACAGCAGACCAGGACCAGTATGTTTTTCCTGGAAATTCTCGTCCTAGGAACGCTTGAGATGAGTGTTCGAGAGGGTAATCATACGGGAACCATAAACACATACGGGGAAGTTGGTCCCATATATCGAGAAGGATCCAGTCCCGTCGCCCTTGATAAAGTCTCCACCTGTATGGTCAACATGATTTGATGAGTCGTCAAAACGTGTGACATGCACATACCTTGGCACATGAAATTGGGGACACTTGCAGCCGTGGTTATGAGACCTCCTGAATACACCGAGAGAGAATTAAACATACACTCTAAGAGCGAAATATCGGGTGTCAGCTTAGTCGAAGCTTATATGGATCAGGAACGCATACCTGTGGAAAGTCCCATTTTTATATCCTTGTGGACGCGCATCGCGTCTAGTGACATATTGTAAGTCAAGGGCTACACTCAGGATTATCAGGATATGCTTGCCTGCACTCCCCAGTGCATAGTTGCCGGAAGTTCTCGGCCGTTCTGTATGCCTTGTTTTTAGCCTAGCATAAGCGCGTAAGATCAAGGTGGAACTGACTTGGGTACGATATCGCTGAAGAGTTCCATCTTGATGCGACCTGCTGGGGTTTCACCGATGTTGATGTCCATGAAGACGATAGGACGTTGTGTCGTAGAAGCCATTACGATGTCAACGAGGCGGTACTGAAGAGTATGAGATGAGATGTAAGTAGCTAGGCGGACTGGAAAAGGGATAGTGAAATCGCCAAAGTAAAGGGTGAGCACAATGAACACAAGCGCCAAATCGCGTCTCCTGTCTTGACGCGGACGGTCAGTTTGCCTTGCCATTACCGTTCACCGGCACCATTGCTTGCGCGGGCAATGAACGATCTTCTCAGTCGGTGCACCTTTTCGTCTCGATAGTGCTGCCGCTGAACTAACGCATCTTGATATTGCCACTCAGACCCCTTTGCAGTGGTCACTTACCCTACCGCCGTCCAATTCTCCCTTTACGCAGGGGCATCCATCGCTCGCTTCGATCCTTCAGGCAGATACGTCGCTGCAGGTCGCCCGGATGGAGCAGCAACTGTATGGGACCTTGATACGCGTGCCAGCATACGCTGGCTTGAGGGACACGTCAAAGGCATTACCAGTGTCGAGTATGTCCACATATACGCCTTGTTCTTACGAGGCCATGGATTGAAAGAATGACACGACATCACATGCACGTTTAGCTGGTCACGCAACTCCCGCTTCCTACTCACCGCCTCGAAAGACTGGAACGTCATAATCTGGGACCTTGCCGCCCTCGCTGACCCACCGGATCGCCGCACAACAATCCGCTTCGACGCACCTGTGCTCAGCGCCTCTTTTCACCCTCGGAACAGGCAAGCGTCCCCCAGCATCCAACGTCTCAATACTCATCAGCCTCTCACTTCTCTGCAGTCGCATAGTTCTCGTGCTCCTTGGTACCGGAGAAGTTTATATCATTGACCTCCGCCGTCATGCTCGCGCCCGTAGTCGCGTCGAACTTGTCGAGGATGACAACGCGGAAGTTGAGGATGCTACAGGGAGACAGCAAGTTACACTTCTCGGGACGAGAATATAAGCTAAGATATTGTTTGCATAGGTCCGCTATGACGGTCGCACAATTTGATCCATCTGGCAAATATGTTTTCGTAGGTACCTCAGCGGGCACGGTACTCGTGTTCCACACAAGAACCAAAATAGTAAGCTCTAGTCCATCAATCACTTCGATTCAAGGAAGAGCGATGTTTACACCTTGAAGCTTGTAGGTCGTCATAGGGTTCCAGGTGCGGGAGCAATGAAATCCTTCGACTTCACTCGTAACGGCAGGTGCGTTCTGCTTGTTGAACATCTTGAAAGTATTCTATACAAACCTTCTAATCTATAGGAGTCTTGTCACGAACTCTGTGGACCGCACCATTCGCCAATTCATGCTTCCTGCTTCTTATCCTTCGCCGCCAAGCTCTACGTTCTCCCAAACACCAAATCCACAGAGATCACCATCTCCGTCTCGCAATGCTTCCCCCCAACAGACCGATGGACATGATCAAACACCCGCAGTAAACGGGGTGAACGGTATGCATGAAGACGGCGACGTGACGATGTCTCAAGTACTTGAGAACGAGTTAGAGCCGACGCAGCGCTTCAACGACCCTATTTCTCGTACCGCTTGGCATACCATGTCGTACAGTCCAGACGGACAACTTCTGGCTGGCGGTGAGTAAATAAATGCCCCCCTAACTTAGCTCAACCCAAGTGGTGTCATGCATTCGCGTCTTGCACAGGTGCTGCGGACCCGGCAGCGCACAAGATCTTCATCTGGGATATATCTCATGACGGTCAATTTGTAACTGCCCTCGACGGCGGACGGGAACCTCTTCTCGATGTCCACGTGCGTCTACCCCTAAAATTCATCGATGGTGTTCTTTAGCCTAGCTGACTATGATTTTTAGTGGCATCCCATGAAATCTGCGATTGCGTCCACTGCAAAGGACGGGAATGTGCTCATATGGCACTACCCAACGCCCGAGCGGTGGGGTGCCTTTGCAGGAGGATTCGAAGAGGTAGACGAGAATGTTGTATATGAGGAACGAGAAGATGAGTTTGACCTGGTACGCGGCGATTCTTTGAGTATCTACATGTGGGTTTAATTAAACCTGTACAGGAAGATGAATCTGCCCTCGCTCTCCGCAAAAAGGAACTGGAGGATGATCATGTTGACATAATCAATGGTGATGACAACCTGCCTGCTGACGGAAGCGGGTTATTAAATGGTTCTCCCTGTGCGATGGGGCCTGGCGAGGGGCCCGAAGAAGATTATGATTGGGCTGATGTGGATAATGAGGAAGACTGTACACCCTGGAGGATGAAGGTATTGATGGTGGATGATGATGATGCATATTGAGTGAACTGGAGGGTCGTAGGGTCCTCGGATTGGTACTGGTGAGCAATACTACATTAGAGATAATCTGAACTTATCGGATGACAAAACATTTTGTTACTGATAGCCTATTCCATATGCCTGACTGTGCTTTCTGTCGGGACAACAGATGTAATGTGAGGATTCATACCTGCAGGTCCATGTGAAGACCATCATCAACACAAAAGCAAGGATCCTATGTCTTCTGCCTTCTCCACCCTGGCCTCTTCCTTTACTTTAAGAAACAGGTATATTCTGCAAAACTATACACATCTGCCTTTCCCATCTGGTATGTGGCCAATCCATTATAAGAGCATGTCAACTAGGTTTTACTAGATTAGGTGAATAGATTATGTAGTATATTTGTAGATGCCTACTAATATGCAAATTTGAAGCTCTGGTAAGGGAATGTAAGTAGTGGATGAGTGTTTTAACATGGCCACTCCCCTTATCATCTCTTCACTGTCTTGTTCTTTTCACCTCTCCTGATTCCAGCTCTGTCAAGTGACATGAAACACTTGCCCATCTAATTCATCTGGTTGAATATAGGCTCTTAAACAGTGCATATTCTCTCAGACCCATTGTTGAGTTTCACCACTTTTTTGCCTCATTGTATTGCATGTGTTGACCAGATAACTTTGTAGAAAATAATCAGGCCATGAAAGGCGAGCATACTACTGTAACAAGCAGACCATAGTAAGTTCCTGTTCTGTGTTCCACAGGATTAAGAATGAAACTTAGAGTGTGGAACAGTTCCACCTGTTTGGACCATCAGGAACTTATTTGTGGTATAAATGGTAGGGCCACAAAACCATTGATTTCATGCAAAACAAGCTCATACATTCCTTGAAATCCTAACTGTTACCTATAATAGTTATGCACTAATTATTCAAAAATGCAACCCATTTGCTCAAGGTTGTTGGAGACCTGGGTCAGCATCTCTATCTTCAATGCCGCTCCAGGGGCGGGTGTTTCATTGTTCTCTAAATATAAATGCATCAAATGATTTTGGAAAATTCAAGACAGGCCTTATCACAGCCTTAAATGGGGTTATTGGCCTTGAACAACCTCCTGAGCTAGGCCAAGGCTGGGAACCATGTTTCACCCCCCTCAACCTCAGAGAACTAAACTGTGGAACATATGAATAAGGAAAGTATATCTGAAACTGATTTTACATGCTGCTGGAAACTTATGGTTGATTTATCATAGTAGTATGTGGTGCAACCACCAGAGTTTCTAAGCTCATATCAACCAGTAGCAAATAGTCAATATATAAGCATACATCAGCAAAAAATGTGAGTAGAGATTAGAGGAATAAGCTGTCTTTATCAACACTATAGGATTACAACAGAAGGCCCTTAATTATGGTAGATTACATGCATGCATCACATAATTACTTATAATTTGCTGTATTTACATCTGATCACCATCACAAATAACAGTGAATAACAAGCAAAAATGCTAATGAGAGCCCAGTTGCAAAAAATGCACTCTATATTTATCACACGAAAACAGACAGGAGCGAAGCAAATTATCAAATATGATATAGTAGAAGAACTTGTATGTAGACACCATACACTGGAATGCTAATCCTCACCATAATCTGACCTGTCATCTGACCCATTGTCCTTTGATGCAACCACTGATGATTCACTTGAGGCACATGAATGAGAGTGGTAGCAACTTATGGCATTGTGGAACTCTGCATTGGGGAGAGGCTCCTTGGATGCAACTTGACTCTTCTTATTCTTCTTCCAGATCTCATCAAGAGAGATGTGAGCACTGGCGCTGACTCATAGTATGAATAAAAGATTAGTTTGGTGGCACAGGTCATGCATGTGTGGGCTCACCAAGCTTTCCTCAGCAGGTTCTCCCTAATTACATCAGAGAAGTTGGACTTGAGGTCAGTTGTGACATGCTGGAGCTTCTCAAGGTTGTTGGTATGGGTGGTGAGGTGGGGTCCATAGGTCTCACACTTGAAGTCCAGGTCCTTCTGTGAACTGTCAGCCCACTTGTCAATCCTAGCCTAAACCTAGTAACAGTGTTAATCAAGTGTCAAGTATGTATAATCAAGAGCACTCACTGCCATGAACACGAGTGCCATTACCAGGATGGGGAGGGGATCAAGCATCTCAATGAAACAAGCACCCTTGTCCCTATGTGAGTAGAACCACACCGCATACTCGCTTTAAACTGACTGATCAGGATTTCCAAAGAAGAGCGAGATGTCCAAGCAATACTGTTTGTGTTTCACCAGCGGCAGATTCTTGGTCATCATATCCACGGGATTTTTGGTTCTAGGGATCCAATAGAGCGTAATGACACCAAGCTCGTGTAGTTCCCGGACAAAGTGATAGCAGATGTTGATGTGCTTACTCTGCTTCTCAGTTACAGGGTTTTGGATGTTGTGGAGAGCGCCCTGATTATCTCCAACGATTGGCATTACGCCAATCTGCAGGACTCCTAGTTCACCCATCATTTGGGCAAACCATTTGGCCTGGCGAGTGCAGTCCAAAATGGACATATACTCGGCTTCCACCATTGAGAGTGAGACAGATTTCTGAAGGTAGGAGGACCACGAAATGGGTCCGCTTGCCAGCATGAAGACATGGCTGGTCATCGACTTGGTGGTTTCATAACCAGCCCAGTCAGCGTCAGCAAAGGTAATGAAGCCTTTCCACAAGGCACCATTGTACTCGATATAGTAATCTTGCGTCCCTACTAAGTAGCGCAGTATGTACTTTGCTCTGTTCAGGTGGTCCTTGGAGGGGTTGGCGGCATGTCATGACAAGTGTGATATGGCAAAAGCAATATCAGGTCGCGTCCTGATCATTATTATTATTATTATTATGATTCCATTAGCATCCATCGGGGTTAGTCACCCCATGTCGGACAATACTCAACGTTTGCTATCTAATATATGTGATGGGCCCATTGCCCCTCCCTTCTCGGTTCCAGGGGGTCCCGACGACGGCTAGTAAGAGCCCCGCCGGTCAGTCCGTTCCCTCCGGGTTTCCCCTAGCCACCGAAATGAAGAAGGGAGCTCTCGTTGTAATTTCCTCATAACATGCAAAGTCCTGATCATTAGGTAGATCAGGGACCCGATAAGCTCCTGGAATTCCTGCCATAGGGACAGGTCAACCAGTTCGAGGTTCTTAGTTGCCATGTACCCAGTAGGGAGTGGCGTTGGCGCTGCACACGCGTCAAGGTACTTGAACCTTGCTAGCACCTTCTGCAGGTATGCGGTTTGATCGAGACGAATCATCGACATGTTGACCCTGCTCAGGAGCATGCACAAGAATTCTTTGGTTTCACCAAGATCTCAGCATTCCCATTGTTTCATGAACACTGCCTTCACGCGGGTTAACACCTCACGATCTGGCCCGAAGAATAAAGCGTCGTCAACGTAGATAACAGCAATAACCACTCTGGTCTTTGACTGTTTAAACTTGTAGACACCAGCATCTGACTGGATTTGTTCAAAGCCCAACTCTTTTAGGGATTGACGAAGCACCTCCCACCATTGGCGACCGGCTTGCTTCAACCCGTATAGAGCCTTGTGCAAGCGCCATACCATGCGCAAGTTGGGTGAGGTTCAGAAACCTCGTGGCTGCTCCATGTAGATCTCCTCGTCCAGATCGCCATACAAGTAGGCATTCCACACATCGAGTCCTGAGACGTACCAGCCTTCAAAAGCTGCGAGTGCCAGTGTCATGCGGACGGTTTTGAATTGCACCACTGGGGAGAAGACTTTGGAGTAGTTGATGCCTTTGCGCTGGGAGAACCCCTTGGCGACGAGGCAGACCTTACGGCGGCCATCCATTTTTAGGTTGAAGACCCATCAACACTTCACCACCCTACAACTGGATGGGAGTTCGACTTCTGTGAAGACACCATGTCGGACGAGAGCTTCAATCTTGTTGCGACAAGCCTGCATCCAGGCTTCCGACTCCTCGGTTGGTAATGTTATTATGTCTTCATACTTCCATTCCCTCACCAAAGCGAGGTCTGGTCCGAGTTCCGTGGCGGCTGAGTAAGCCATGAGAATCATCTTGTTCACAAACTCTGCTGCTGTTTCCCTTGTGTGTGCAATGTGCGCTGCTGCGTTCTGCATAAATGCTGGCGGAAGGGTTTTTTCCCCTTGAACATGCGTCATAAGTCCAGTAGAGCCATTGTCATTGTTTGCAGGTGTGGGTGTGTGGTATCTCTGCCAGAGAATTTTTGCATGTTCCTGTTCCTGTTCAACCTCATCCATGGTGCGGTCGGAGTCGACAGGTGCCAAGTGATCAGAATTAAGAAATTGATCCATCCTTCGCCACTTTGACAGTGGGTTCCAAGTACGACCGTCTCTAGGTTGGTCGTCTTCGTGTCCCGCAGGATTTCCCACAAGATTCTTGCGGACGGTTCCCTCTAGGCTGCGACCTAGGTTCCTGAACTGCTCCAAGGGATTTCTCCCAGGTATAGCGTTATCCGGCAACATGTTCGGCTTCCTCTTTCACCCAGATGTCCGTATGGTTTCTGGTGTAGGTACTTGAGGTGCGACAGTTGGTTGACATTGTGGACCTCGTGCCCATGGGACCGGTTGTTCACCAGGTTCCGGCAGAAGATCTTGATGGTCCTCTCGTGGAGGGTCGTCTGGGGGCAGATCCTGGTACAGGTCTTCCAAATTGCCTTCCAGTTCAGCAAACTCCTTTGCCAAACCTTCAAACTCGTTGTCGTCATCCTCAACCTTAGGCTGATGAGCCTTTTGCCAGTCGTCTGAACTTTCTGACCGTGGTGTTTGAGGCGGACTCAGGTTACGCGGCCCATTGGCTGGTAGTTCACCATCGTCCTGTTGTAGTGGTGATTGTGCAGCAGGAGATGCTGGTCGTGTGTCATCCGGACTCAGTGGTGGAAAATCATTATTGATAGGACTCCGCGGTGGTGCGAGTGCATCCACCTCTGGTAAGCATATAAAGTGCTGGGTGTTCCAATGCTAGAACATGTGTCGCTTTGGAAACATCATCTCGTCAAACACCATGTTTGTGGTGATCTTAAGTTTCCAGTCGCCGGTCAGGAATTTGTATCCATTTCCGGAATCCGATACTCCAACGTGTATACACGCGTGGGATCTCAGAGTGAGCTTGTTGGCGTGCTCCTCTGGATTAAGATACACGTAGCCCAAGCAACCGAAGACACGCAGGTAATCGACGTGGGGTTTTCACCCTCCACAATCTCATACAGCAATTTCCACTTCAGTTGCTTCATTGGTGTCCTGTTATAGACGTGTGCTGCGTGTTTGATGGCGAAGTTCCACACAAATGTCGGCAGATAGGCATCATGCCGCATTGCCTCAGCTTTTTCTGTTATTGTGCGTGTCATCCGTTCGGCCTTGCCATTCTGTGCATGCGCATAAGGCGTTGATGTGAGGATTTTGATGCCACACGATTGTAACATTTCTGTAAACTCTCGTGATTTAAACTCTCCCCCTGCATCAGACTTCCACATCCGAAGAGAGCGATGGTACTGATTTAGCGTGAACGCCAACCAGGTGGCCACTGCTTGACAGGTCTTGCTCTTTTGACGGAGCAGAGTTACCCAACAGTAGCCAGTACAGTCATCGACCATGATGAGTGCATACCATTTCTTTCCTATCAAGGACTCGACCGAGAACTCTTATAGATCCGCATGGACAAGTCCAAGAAAGTCTGTAACTCTCAATTCATCTCGTGGGAATGGGCCATTGGTCATTTTGCCAAGGGTACAACCCTCGCACAGCTGCCTAAGATTAGGCGGTGGGAAGTTGAGTTGGTTGGTAGACCTTCAACGGTCTTCCGTCTGCGATGTAGCACCTCATCCGAGCAATGGCCCAGACATTGATGCCAGATCTTGAAATCAGGCTTAGTCATGCCAATAACACCAGCCAAATGAGCCTGGTGCAGATCTAATGATGAGTGAACCCAATATAGGTTCCCCCCAGGGCACACTGTAGTGTGCACCACTTCAGCGGACTTGCTCGTGAGCACCACAAGCTTGTCCTTGTCTCCTCGCAGGAGATTCCCTTCCCGGCAAAACTGGCCTGTAGATAACATCCGAACGGTACCACCGGGTAGGTAGAAAACAGGGTATATACACGTGGTACATTGTTTCCCTTGTGTATCCTCGTGACGAAGGATAATGGTACCCTTTCCAGTGCACTGGGTAGACCCAGACGATGTTGAGATGGTAAACCGCTCTGGCTCAGGTAGATCCTCAAATTCTGAGAAATCAGAGAGATGAGGCGTGAAGTGTGTGGAAGCACCTGAATCAAGAACCCATCCAATTGGATAGTGTTCATGCACCTTCTCATGTAGAGCCTTCTCTCGTTCTGGGCTTCTTACCACCAAAGAAGCTCCACTGCATAAATCACACTTTTGGGATGATGAATGCACGCATTGTCTATTCACCGGTACATGCGAGTTTAAACTACTGACTACATATGGTTCACCTGTAAAGGGTTTATCACCAAGTGAGTAACTGGGAGCAGTGGAGAAACTGGTTGCGCACCAGACACCCTCATTGAGGGACACCACCTTCTTTGTATAATGGCCATCCTCCCACGGCTCGTGGAGCGACATGCCCGCGGACTCCTCATAGTTGTCCTCCTCCTGCTGACCGAACTTGTCGATCCTGACCGGGGTAGCCACCATGGAATGGCGGATGTCCTCCAAATCACGCTGGTACTGCATGTATGCGTCAGCATTGAGCCAGCTGTTGTAGCCAGTCCGAGCATCCGAGATGTAGGAGCCTCCGGCTGCAAGCCGGTCACCAAGCTTCTGCTTTTTATAGTCAGAAAACTTGGTGCGCTTCGGAGCACCTAGCCAAGTGGCAGGATCAGTCATAGCATGCGGTTGAAACACCTGCGGCTTACGAGATGGTTCCTCTATTGGCTCAATGCGAGCTGACAGAGGCGGAGTAGGCAAGGAGCCCATGGAGATTTGGTTTATTAGGGCCGGACTCTCCCCCATCATAGATGGCAGATCTGCGCGAGTGTGCTCAAAGGTGGGCTTTAAACCCTCATCCTGCTGATGCTTCATAGCATTGGCAGGTCCCCAGTTGGGCGCCGCATCACTGCCGCGACCTTGGTAGGCCATGGTGGGTTGTTGGGACCGCTTGCACGGATTGTGGGCTGGCTCAGTTGACACCAGTGCCGGTGCTGGGCCTGTGAACAGACCATCAGCAATGTGGGCGAAGTGGTATTGCGGCAGCGTTTGGAATGCCACCATGCTTGTGTAGTTGGCAGCTGGTGCACTCTGCGCCGGCGCTTGCTGCTGCACCGCTGGCACGTTGGCAGCTGTGGGGGTTGACGAAGTTGATGCGGTGTTAGCTGCCCCCTGCTGCTGTTGCTGCCCCTGCTGCCCCTTCCGCTCCTTCTTGCCCTTGCGTGCCTTCTTGTCGCCGCTAGACGACGTCTGCTCGTTGTACGTCCTCGTACCAGAGCTGGCCTTGTTGGCCTGCTCCTCCTTCACCTGAGGGGCCTTCTTCTTCTTCTGCGATGCGGAGCGTAGCTTCCAGTCAGATTGTAGTTGCGTGATGACATCTGAGCTCGTAAGACTCCAAAGTCCGGTGGTTGCCGTGTTGATGGCGTCCTTGGCCGCTTCATAGCCCAGCGGGATTTTTGAGAAAAGGATGGCACCGGTGAGGGAAGCAGGGACTGTGCCGCCCAAGCCAGTGTACCAGTCGAGAGAGGTGACAATCTTGGTGATTGCCGGGTTCAGGTTGGAGTCCCCTGGAATCTGGGTGTTGAGAGCAACTTTAAGCTTGTTGATCGCCGTGCTGATCCCCCTGGCAGTGGAGTGGGACTTGAGTGTGTCAAAAGCATCAAGAGCCGTATCAATTCCAGTGAGGTGCCGGGCCTGATCGTTGCTGATGCACTCCAGGATCTTTCCGTACACCATGTTGTTGGTGTCCTCCCACTTGCCCCTCTCGGCCCTATCTGTTGCCATATTGGTAGGTGTGTTGGTATGCAAATGAGCGCATGTCTTGTGAAGACAGCGCCCATTACTGGATGACTTGATATGGTTCTTCATCTGAACCTCCCAGGAGGTTTAGTCAACGCCATTGTAGACACCGACAACCTGAGCAGCAGCTGAGAGTTGTTGGGTGGTTGCTGAAGTAGACATATTTGATGAGTCTGGGGTTGTTGGAACACGTCAGCGTTGTTCACACGACGATTTACAATCCGTGCCCAGGTGAGCCGCGTATAGGCGAACGGGTTTAGGTACCGGTGGTTCACCCAATCAAGGGTTCCCACGACCGTGTGATGACGCTTCACGCATAATGGGAGGGTGTCCCCTTTATTCCCGCTCACCCTGGTTAACACCAGTGGGTGAAAGGTAACACCGCTTTGGTTAACGCCGTCGCGGATTTACATCTCTATGTGCTACTAGGCTCTACTCGTACACTAAGATCCCGCTGCGCCCCGCGGGGCTCATAACCTGTCGAAGACACAATACACGAGTAAAGCTGGAATGCCTATGAAGGCGGTACTCACCGGGCTAGTTGTTGAAGACTTGAGTAAAGCTTGAAGAGCTTGGTTGCAAGTGATGATGGTAGTCGTTCAAGTAGAAGAGACTAAGGAATGTATTCATGGTAGCGACTCGTATATATAGTATACACAGAGCATGTGAATCTACTACTGTATTTGTAATGAGCCAGCCCTAAACCACGCATAGCATGGATGTCTAGCTACAAGTCCACATGGCCTGGTGCGACAGCACCAGGCCATGACGGGTCATGAGTACGTAAGAGGTGCTTAAGTGTATACACACGTTGAGCGCCGATATAGAATGGAATGGTGTGTTTACTTGTAGACCTCATAGAGGAACATTGCCTAAGTGATGGAGACTCCCTGGTGTACACCAATAGAAGTCATAAAAGGGTGAAGTACCACTTGTACTTTCAACATTAATGATGTAAATGGAATTTATTACATTGCCCATTACACATTCAAACAGACGGCCCAGAATGCTCAGCAACTCGATTGGAATAGCTACTTGTGATTCAACTGCAATCAATTACATTACCTAGAACGGCTTGAATAGATAAAAAGCACGGGAGCGCACCCAGATCCTGCCGTTCCCTACCACTCCTCCTGCCTTCCTGCCCAGCCCTACACGCCCTTGCGCTTGCAGTTCAATCCACCATGAGTCTCCCATTCCTTCCTGGTCTCCCCATCACAAAGGAGTCATGGGACCAGCAGCCATACCAGCAGCAGGTCCAGTGGTATGCACACCTCAGCATGACTGTTGTTGATCCTGCACTTGTTGACAATGATGTCAGGCACCAATGCGAAGATAGCCATTGTTGGAATGGTGATCACCCCATTAACAGACCCAGTGAGCCTAACCCATATGCGCAACAGTGGGTGCTCATACACTTGCTCAAAGAACCTGATCACTCACCTTTATGAAGGAAACCCCCACAGGGCCGCAATGCGCAGCATAGCCCAAACAGAGGCTCACGTGACAGCTCGTGCTGGCTGTCTAGGTCCAAATGTTGCCCTTGCTCAACCTCGCTCTCAAATGTGGAGCAATCCTGATCCCCTCCCCGCCATTGCCAACGTACACAGATACATACATTGGAGCCTGTGGCCAACAATGCCCATGCTGAGCGCGCCACAGACAATATGTCAATGGGCCCCACTCCTGCTAGTACACCAGGTTGTGGCCTAGACACCCTCAATGCATGGGGGGCCAGATAGGCTGGTGGGGTGACCATCAGACCACACAAGAGCGGAGAGACCAGGACAAGTCATGTACCAACAAATACGATGCAGACGCGGTGAATGTCTGCGGCAAGAATGTGCCTGAGCTGGCAAGGAGTGCTAGAATAAAGTTATTTGTGAGTCGTAAAGCCAGCTCTAGTGAGCTATAACTGATGGGCATACCAGTCAGAGAACTTCATCAAGCCTGCATTTTGCAAGCAATGTGGAGTCATGCACAGCAAGAGGTGGCTGAACGACCAGAGCGTCCAGTGAACCAATACCGTTCTAGGCATCAACTATGTGATACCACTGTTCTTAGTGGCCGTCAATGATCTCTGTAATGAGCCAGTGTTACAGGCAATCATTCAACAAATCTGGGATGACATTACAGTAAGTGTATCACCAAATGTCAGACAGATACAGTATTCACCTTGCGTACTCTAGAGCAAGGTGCTTGTGGTTGTCTTGACCAATTGTAAGGTAAAATGAAACAAGGCCAGTCTTGAAGACTTGGCCAAGGTAACGGGGTGTGGGATGAGGACTGAGTAGACTCAGCAGAACAGCCAACCTGCAGCTAAAAGAGCGCAGCTATCAGACCAGCGAGGCTGCATGCAAAGCCAACATCAGCAGGTCAGTCAACATCAGAAAAGTGTGCTGTTGATTGGAGCTCACCTCAGTCTCAGAAATCCCAGAGGCTCAAAGCCCCAGTTGTTTTTGAGGCCTACCAAGATATCTACAAAGTTGATGCAACACCAATTGTTCATGAGGAGTACATGTATAAGCTCAGTTGTCCACTCATTGTAATGGGCAAATGAATGCATCTATACTCCCTTTAACATGCCATGTCACCTGATTCCTTGATGCAAGAGCAGTGCTGACATTAGTGTTAGAATACAAGACCTAAAATGGTGCTGATAGCACATAAGAACTCAGACGTTCAGTGTAGCAGTAGAACGGTCTGGAGACTTGAATACAGGAATTGTAGGTATAAGTATGCAAGTAGCGTAGAAACAGGCAATGAATTGCCAGCAAAAAGATCTGTACAAAGGGGCTGGGCCCCAATAACAAAGAGAAATATATCAAATAGACACATCAAGGTGAAATATGAAATATGGAAAGGTCAGCTGCTCCATAAATTGGACAAATTCATAACAGATAAGGGTATAGTACAGGCACCTAGATCCAGGGCCCCTGTTGATGCTCAAGTGTTGTCACAACAATTGATGTCACCGCCAACGGGCAGCTACAAGGGTGCATTCTTATCAGCTGACGGCTTTGTGTGCATTGCCCAATTTTAACAATTAGCTGGTCTAGAGAAACAGCACTTGACAAGGGGGATAGCTTTCTGTTTAACTATTATGTTGATTTAGATATGTTTGAGTGGATGTGATTTGAGTGCTCTTGCAAAAAATAGTGATACTTCATTTATTATATTACTATCAAAACTACTATATACAGCATAATTGTTATATAAGTTCAAAAGGAGTGGGTGAGCATGCAAACGTGCATGTATGCGTGCATGTGTGCAGTGTATGTGTGCATGCAAATGTGTGTGCATGTAAGTCCACTGTGTGAACATTTGGTGGTATTTGCCATGTGGGTGCCTTCATGCCTGGTGGAGCTGCAGATGGCCTTGCCTTATGCTCGCAACCAACTTGTGGAGAATAAACCTTGTCCAGAGTGCATGTCCAGCAGAGCTGGCCATGAGCAGCAAAGGGCACCCTGAGCGGGCTAGAGGCTGGGGAAGGCAAAGACATTTTGCGGATCAGGGCCGCTGCTCCCACCCTGGAAGCCTGGTATGACAGATGTAGTAGGTGGAGAAGAGAACAACATGCATGTGCTACATGATATTAGTGGAGTTTATATCTCTCCACCAAATAAGTGCAAATAGATGCATGTAAGCCAGAGCTTCTCATCCAGGCACATGTTGGCCTCCTAACATCAAATAAGGCCATTACCCGTATCTTCAATATTTATCCTGGCTTGGCGATGTTCATGTTTGGCCTCTTGAAGGAGATGGATCTCGGAGTCTATCTATCCCTTTATGGTCTAATCTCCCGTCATGATAATAGGCTAGCGCTGGCCATGAGTTGTTACCGGTGTCCTTTCTTCCCCTCTCCTCCCCAATTTCGCACCATGGATCCTGCTGCCGCAAACCGGTACGCTGCTCACATCTCCCGCTGTTCATTCACTAACTTCACTGCAAGGTCACAGGTCAAGCACTGTTGACTCACGCCTCACCGGCACCCGCCTGGCTGACAGGCAACAGCAGCCCTGTGACGTCCGCAGGCGCTAGCAACCTACCAGCAGCTGGATCGGCGACAGTAGCCGCCGCCCATGCACGGGCTGAAGGCGTATGGCCCGCCTTGGTGCACTCGAGGGCTTTGTAGCCCCAACTCTCTCTGTCATCGTCTCCATGTACGTCTGCAGCCGCTCCCATGATACAACCTTGGATCCTGTTAGCGCAATCCCGTACGTACTCTGCTCACGTTATCCACTTTTCTCGAGTTAAAATAATGTTTACCTAGTCTAATGAGTCGCACCTGCCCAAGCGCATGCCACCCGCGATCCGCCAGCGAGAGACCAGCTCGCACGACGCCAGCGCACCCGCCGTGCGCGCCTGCGAGCAACCTCCTGCGCCCGCGTTCTCGCTAAGAACACGCGAACGTCCCGTAAGGACGCGCCTGCCGTGGGCCTCGCAGTCCTCTGGGCTGCGGGGCGAATACCCATCCGATCGTCTGCGGCGGATCGTGCCACACCGTTAGGTGAGTGTCATCCGATCGGTCTCCTATTTCGTCTAGACCAATCCCAGCGCGACGATACACAGATATTTGTATGCAGGCAGAGCATGGGGAGAAGTCGCTCCCTCCCCGCACTCTGCCAGGTAAGCCCATGTTCAGATTTCTTATTCCTTATGTCGGGGCGATTCACTCATCCCCGCGTTCGGCCAGATTCGAGTACCACCCTCCGGCTGCCGGCATCGTACCATTACAAGCTACGGTTTATTTCATATGTCCGTACCTAATCACTCTCGCCATGTATTTTAGTCCCCATGTCTACGCGTCCAATGTACCATTTGCGCTTAGGCTCGGGCAGCAGTGGCAGTTCTACTTTTTTTTTCTGGTGTGACTAGCCGCACGTGCGAGAAGGCTGATTAGACATGTTCTAATAGTTCAGGTCCTTGCCCATCAGTGTTCAACTGTGCCGTAGCGGAGCACGGCATGTCTTGTTGCAATAAAAACATGCTTAAGAGAATACTCAAAAGCTGGCCAAAGGTAGAATCTCTACTTGATTAGACCTGCCCAAGTGTGATTACTATAAATCTCCAGGAATTTATTACCATATACTAATAATTACTTCAATTATCCATAATTACAACAACCAGGGGATAATCTCTCAGACATTTTTTCCTGACATAGTATCAGCCAATATTAGCCATTCCCTCAACCTGGTCAGGATATGGTCAGCAACCAGAGGATATGGACCAATATTGACTTGATATTGACCAGTATATTAACCTTTATATTTCCAATGGTATCTAATCATTACACACCTGGCCAGTACACCTTGGACAGGTCTATAGCCACATGCCACCCCAAATACAGAGATGCCCCTGTCCAAGTGTGCTTCAATATCCTTTGCATACTCACCATCCTTGCTCTTCATCTGTCCAAAACCCTTGTATCACCTATCTGAATGTGTAGAAGCTTTCATTCATGGACCCAGGACCCAACCAGCAACCTAAAAAAACCAAAAAAAAAAAANAAAAAAAAGGCAACCAAAAAAAAGGACAACCAAAAAA